CTCTCTCTCTCTCTCTCTCTCTCTCTCTCTCTCTCTCTCTACCTCTCTCATAGATATACATATATTTATCTACTTCATATTATATATATGTTACTGGCTCAATTTGACATTTTACTAGTTTCTCAATATCTACAAGTGGTAAGAAAGCTCGAGTTTTACTGGTACTATTGCTGCTCTCCTAAACTTGTATGGTGAATGCAAATCCGGGAGCGAATTATGAGCCATTGAGATCAGCTTCAATGTCAAAACCTGGTGCTTTCAACGAGCCCGATATCGTGGATCTGGAAACGCTAATTACCTCAACGTTACTGGCGGCCCGCTTAGCTGGCGGTCCCCTAAGCCTCAAGGACTCCCACGTTCCACATATTCTTCTAACATCTCTTGTCGATCAGGCTGCTCCAAACTCATCGTAGCAAACATCTTAGAAAACAAATCCACCGTCTTGTCAACATCTATCTCATGACAATGAGAAACACCAAACGTATCTGTACAATTGCGAATCCAGGTCATTCGATATTTCACCAGATCCGTCTGGCTCAGTGACAAATCTCGATTTTGTTCAGAAACTTTACGTATTTGGGATCGCAGGGATCCCAATTTCCCAACACTCTTGCCAATCGGTAGATTCCCAAACTGGTTTTGAATTTCCTGCTTCAGTAAAGCTGTGAACCGCGGGGAATTCCCGTTTGACGATATCAAAATCTGAATCGGTTTGTTGTTTCCACTTGCATCGTCGTCGTCGTCGTCATTCTTGGCGCCCAATGTCACATTGCTGCCGAAATAAAAATCGCACAATGGCGGATTGTCTGCAACGTTGCACAGCACGTTGGGACCAAGTACAAGTTTCGCACCGCGGTAGATCTTCTCACTCAGTTTGAGATCTGGAATGCATGTCATTATGAAGTGCCAATTGGTCCCAGTTGGCTGGTTTCCTCCAAAAACCTGATCCAAGATTTTGTCGTCCTCATCGCCTCTTAGAAATCTGTCAATTTCGTCTCGACGATCAGGTTGTTGTCCGAAAAGCACAAGATCCCGGGTTTCAAACCCGCGACAAATGATCTGGTAGATCTTGTGTTTTTCAGGCGTCCAATTGGGGTCTACAAATCGTTCGCTATCTGTGTCTTTGTCGACATCGAGGAATTCCCACATATCATCGTGGATTACAGGCGCTATTACAGTCAATTTACATCCTGTTGGTAGAAGCTTAGGAATTCTGGTCATGGCTACTTCGCCCGCGCCGACCAGAAGTACATTTTGGTTTGCAAGTTGGTGTGCCAGTTGCAAGGATAACAACATCTTGATTAACAAAGGCCAAAGAGGAAGATCTTATTCGTCTTGAAGTTGGAAAGCCTCAAAGAAAGTACAGGATTTTACTACTATATACCCTGGATTTACTGGAATAAAGGCCATGGTGCTCGCCACGTGAGGTGACGATTAAGACTGGAAACCCTTTGGTTACCACTCGATTTGTATCAGGAAAGGTCCTGTCGATGCTGTTCTTCAGGTGTCGACTGTGTTCTCTTATTATTGTCGTCGTTTTGATGGAATACAACAAACATCAAGCATTTGGCTAAAAATCAAGCGACACATTTTTCTTGAAGACGGCAATTGTGGAGTCAAGACCTTGAGCGCTACAACTAGACATTTCGCCAATCTCTTCCTCTCCCTCTTCTATTAACCTGTCAAATCAACACCTGTAAGCAAGCTGGCTGCCAGCATCTACTGCAACTTCCAAACTGTAAAATCGTTCAATTAACTAGACTAATGTAGAGCTTCAATATCGAGCATTACGAAAACAATCGTCCCCGACAATTTCAGATAAAGCTATAAGAACCCATTTGTATGGTTAGAACTGAAGTCTCAATATATTAATGACGAATGCGTCTATGGGTTATCATTATTACACTCACAACAGTGATGGATGCACGGGCGGAACACTGTTTGCCTGCGGAGTGGATTCTTGGCCCTGCAAGTGGGATGACGCTGAAGCATAGATCGAAGGCCGTGGAAACCCGCCATCGGGCTCGTTCCAAACTTGGGAAGGATACTCGACATGCATGTTTGACAACGACGGAGAAACGTCCTGAGCGTTCGCCGGTCTGCCCATGTCTGAAGAGGTTCTTCCCCAGGATAGTCGTATTGGGTTCCCGCCCACGATAAACCCCTGCATGCCTTGAATAGCAGCCTCTGCATCGATGCGGTTTGCGTATTTCACGAATCCACACCCTTTCCCAAGCGGAATCTTCACGTTGACCACTGTACCAAAGGGTGCGAACATTGAATGCAGTTGGCGCTCTGAAATCTGTGAAGTTAGCCCGCCAATAAATACTGTTGTGTTGATAGGACTTGATACAGCAGACCGATTTCTTCCTTGATTATTAGAGAATTGTGTGGGTACAGTAACATCTGCAGAGGGCAAATAGGAGAGCGATTGGTCATTATTAGGTCTCGAAAATCCCATAAAATTACCATTGACCAAGGAAGACGCCGTCCTCATTAGCAATGGAGCTTGGTTGCCGTTAAGGTCCGGCACTTGAACGGCTGGATTTTCAACCACGTAATTGCCCGGTAATTGTGGATTTTGATACTGAGGGTAAGGCTGTGAGAAGGACTGGGAGGGTTGCTGCTGTTGCTGGTGCTGTTGTTGTTGCTGTTGCTGACGCCGCTGTTGTTGTTGGTGATGATGATTATGATGATGCTGCAGTTGCTGATGATCGATTTGCTGATTATGATAATGCTGTTGTTGTTGCTGATGCTGGAGATGCTGCTGTTGCGGGTGAAATTGCATCTGGATCGGCTGTTGCTGCTGTTGATCCAGGAACGGTGGCGGAGGAGCAGATGGCTGGTATTGTTGTGGCTGCTGTCGCTGCTGTTGGTTTTGTTGTTGATTTTGGGACAATTGCCACATGACGTTATTACGAGGAGTAGCGTATGCAACGCGTAAGTTGCGGCCTTGGCACCAAACCCCATTCATTTCAACAAGTGCCCTGCGTCTTTCGGTTTCATCACCAAACCTAACGAACCCAAAACATCTAGACGCACCTGTAATGGGATCAGTCATAACACGCACGGTTTTCACGCTTCTGAAGCTTTTTTGGAATAATGACAGGAGGTGTGCTTCAGTAGCCGTTGGAGAGAGATCGCCAACAAATAGTGAAAACTCTGGAGTCGATGGAATGGCACTTTGTAAAGTAGCGCCCGAGGCCCAATTCAGACGGAAATTTCGCAAACCGGACGGATTTGTTGCTAATTGGGTCGACTGGCTGACAATATTGGGAAGTGGGGTGGAATTGAGTGAGAGCGCCCATTGGGCGTCAGCCAGATTGTTGAATTCCACAAAACAGTACCCGGCATGGTGGAGCTGGGTGGTGTTGGGATCGATGAAGGAGACGCCGTTGATGCTGATTTTCTGGTTCGTGCTGGTGGCTGGATCGTGGTTGGGATCTTCCTGGTTGTGGAGTGTTTCTTGCGGGTTGGTGGACTCTGCAGTTTTGGGGTCTGCGGATTCGGTGGTCTCGCTGAACGTGCTACTGGTGCTACACGGGATCAGGAGGTTTTTTTTGGCACGAATGAGCTTCACACTTACCTGTTTTTGCAGTTGTTCCCAGATCTGCTGGATGGTAGCTTCGTCAAAACTTGGGTCCAGATCGCCCATCCACAGCGTTCTGGGTGGTTCTGAAGACGTCTGCATTGTGGCAGAAGGCGGCAGAGGGATCTGTGGCATGGTTATTGGTTTGTTCAATCTTAATGTGTTTTGAAGTGTGCTTTAGCGTGAGTTTCGAGATGTATTTTGAAGTGTTTTTTGTCCTTTCTTGTCGCTTTTCTTCTGTAGTGCGACAACGACGACGATGAGAACGCCTTGTTGAGAGAAAACTCAAAAAGTTCGAAAATAAAACGAGCTTGGATTCCAATTCCAATTCCAAGTCGTAAAAGACTCTAACCAAACACGTTTCACTGGCTAAATGCAGTTTACTTTGGAAGCCCTAAGGTTCAAGCGTCGGTGATGTGCTAGAAGTATACAAATGTATGTAAATATATGTATATAGGTATATATATATGTGTAAATATATATATATATATATATATATATATAATTATAGAAGAATAGCACTGTAACTTCCGAACGGCGTCAAAATTTACACCAGCGAAAAAATAAAAGGGCTACCAAACGAGAATCGATCGAGCGTTTCAATTAGCCATACCCTAGCAGTTCACAAACACTGCGATTGTTGTCCTTAATGGTCCTTTGACTTAGAGTCTAGTATATTTTTCCAAAATTTACTTAGGATTTCTTCGCAAGCAGTGATGAAAAATTCAATTTACCAGCTACTTATATCGGAAAAAACGCAGTATAGCGTAAAAGACGTCAAAATGAGCTAAAAACGAGTTGTTTTCGTGATCTCAAATGGCTCACTGAAATTCCTATACATACAACTATTTACAGCACTGATAGCGTCCTCTCTTGTCTTGTCTTGTCTTGTCTTGAGCTTTTGTTATTTCTGGGAAGAATTGTTTCGAGGCACTAGCCAGCTAGCTAGCTCTAATATTATTACTACTTAAGCTAGAGAAAAACACAGGAAACACAGGAAAAAAGCGAGGCCGCTAGCACGAGCCTGTGCTACTCAAACCTATGGGCCGTGAGTTTGAACAGACATGCAGTGGAATATGGGATTCATAGCGGGCGTGTGGTTCGCAGGGGAAATTTTTCTTTTTCTAGGTTTTTTCACCTAGTAACTGGTGCCGTGACAATGTTGTATGACAACCAGGTAAAGTTTGGTGTCGTCGCTAGTCGTTCAGAAAAGTGTAAGACGGCGCGTTGTTGTGGGGGAGAGGGATAAACAAACGTACGTGGGCCGAGAGGAATGGGAATCGGAATCGGAATGAGAACAAGAACAAGAACGAGAACAAGAACAAGAACGAGAACAAGATGAAGATCGGCGATTTGGTGTGAATTCGATTGAATATCAAGAGAAAACTGCACTTGTAGTGCCATTGTGAGAATTTGGATTTTCCCGCCGGTCAAAATCAGACGAGCGGGAACCGGGAACCTTCTTTTTCTGATGGTTTGGTTTTGGTTTTTTTTTTTTTCACTTCTTGTTTCCTCGTCTCGGTGTTAAGTCCAGCATAACGGACAGGAGTTTGAATTCCGATGCTCGAGAGAGAGGATTGGCTGGGCGTCGGTCGAGACTTCAGTTTGGGCCGTAGACAATAAAGTGTGTGCACCAAGTATTTGAGGCCAGAGGCAGAAAGACGGAGCAGCGGCAGAGAGAATAAAGTCAGAGAAGAAGATCACGGCCAAAGAAGACCACAACTGATTATTGTAGTCAATGCAGAACTGGTCTGCATGTGCTTTCTTTCGATTTGCAGATTCCAGCTCTGCGATTTTAGTACAAAGTGATCTCCAGCACCTATTTTTCGCTTCATGCTTAAGAGACGTGCGTGAACGGACGCATTATCGCACCTGGAGGAATGCACGGAAGAGGAGACGGATGTACTATGGTGCAGCGAAAAAAAAACCTTTATGCTGTGCGCAGCCATATCACCCACACGATTCTCGGATTCTGTAACACCGGGTGAAGAATGCAGAAAAAAATGGCCAAATAAGAGGTAAAAGCGGCAGCTCCGGCTGGCCACGCGCAGGTCACTTTGTATTTTTGCGTCGCACAAGTCTCGGGCGAAAAAAACATCATAGCTGCTGGGATCGATTGTCTAAGGTTGTGTGAGTACCTGCGGGACTCGAATTTGGCTACCAGCGTTTTCGACAGCAAGCATCGGCAACTGGAATTGATCACAGAAGTAATCAATTCTTGTAAAGTTTCCGTAGCCACATCTACTACCATAAACCAGGTCATGAAAGATAGTTTACTGAACTAACATTAAAGTCATCTCGAAGACTCAGGACTCAAATTGGTCACGTGTTTTTACACTTTAGCAACTACTTCTCACAATCCAAACAGCGTCCAGCGTCAGCGACAGCGGCAAATCGATTCTTTATTTTCAAAACTCATTGTTGCACTTTATAACCAATTGCCAAGGGCTCTCAGTTGTTCTTTCATGCTTTTTGTTTGGTTATTCTGTTCCGTAGCTGCTTGAAGCCATCTGTCACTAGAGACGTCTTTTAAATTGATCTTTAAAGATTCCATCGGCACATCTATTAACAAACACAACACACAAGTGTTCAAAACCATCGGCTTCGAGATAAACACTCTCTGGGAAACCGTTGATCGGTTCTTGACGCCAGGTCTTTTGAAACTGCATAATGCTTGCCGACCGCCATGTCAAGCTTTTGTCTCGGCAAAGAGGTAGTGCTCTGCGAAAAATCGATCACGATGTGGTAATATCTCAAATCAAAAAACCTAGGCTCGATCGACCGTCTTTATCTGTATCACCGTCCAAAAGCAACCAATATGACCCCGAACACGAGCCCTCGCTCGATCTCCCGCAACCGCCGTCCGAAGTTCATTTTCCAGCGGATTTGGACGACCCTGCAAGCACACCACCACACAGTCCAGTCCTGCGTAACGGTCTCCTAACTTCTCCCGAAATTTTGCACACGTCTCCTACTCGGGACCAGGCTCCTGCTGGCCAGGAAATGCCTGATAATTACTTGGATTTGGCAGAAACAATCTCTCCCCCATCAAAAAGCTCGAAAAGCTCCCAAGTCATCCCATTGGTGCCGGAATTTGATTTCTCGGGTCTTCCCATTTCGCAACTACGAACAAATTCTCTATCTCAAGCTCGTATTGAGGTAATATGGTCACTACTGAATAATCTGTTTGAGGAACAGCTCATACCGCAAGCGTTTGCGGATCACGACACTGCCAGTAACGCGGCTGACCAGCTTACGTACAAGCTGGACATTAAGCTACTGTCAACATTTCTCCACGGCATTTTGTCCGACTTGCAGGACACGCTGGACATCAATGCATCTAATAATGAGTTATGTTCTCAGCTGAAAGCTTGTGCCAAACAAAAGGCGACACTCACTGAAACCTTAGTTGATCTGCGACAACAGATCACTGATTGGGAAAATAAAGAGGACAATGACGCGCAGCTTCAAGAGATGCAGCTAAAGAGTGCCTTGAATGACAAGCTACAAAGTCTGGCTATAGGTGATTATCCATCTGCAGATGAGGGAGACGCAATCACAAACCCACAACCTTTGGAGCCGATTGCTGACGATTTGATACAGCTATTGGACCCACAGGATGGGATTCTGGGAAAACTAAAGACTTTTAATACATCCCTAGAAAAGCTCTTGGATTAATTTAAATTTTACATTACTGGTGGTAAGATCCGTTCTTATATGCATAATACCAGCAAAACAAACCCGAACAAACCGGCAATAAGTACGTAGTAGTTGTTTCTGCGACCCCGACTCGAGTGAACAAAACTCTCGAGTAATCAATTTTCAGCACCGGCTTAGGGTGGAAGAGAAAATCAAATCAAAATAAAGGTGCACTGCTTAAGGCCAAGTTTCCATCTCCGATCCCGTTTAGTCCGCTTCGGCAATCAAAGCCATGATCATTCTGTATAGATAGAAGAAGAACATCAACAGGTAAAATCCGAGCTTCAAAAAACTTTCTTTCTTGTGTTTGCCCAGCGTTCTGAAAATTTCAGTTGCATCTAGTAGCTGTAGCTTCAAGTAGTGTTTGTTGGCATTGAAAGCAAGCAAAGGCAAGTTAATCAGAAATACAAACCAGTGTCCCGTCAACAAAAACGAAAGGGAAATGAAAGCATGCAAAATGGCTTCTGGCGTAATCAATTTGTTCACTTTCGAGCATAATTCGATGGGGTTGATGTAATCAGCTTCTAGGTCCGCATACAAAATTGTAAAGTGAACTTGGGCAAATAGGTTCACACAGTTGAGCACAACCGCCATAACAAAAATCCACACACTCATGGCTTCGACTGCACTGGTAAAATTCGTTAAACAAAAGACTTATCTCAACAAAAGCGATCGTCTTTCTAGTCTATCGATGAATACTAGATCAATTTCGGTAGCGTTGCTCGCCTTAATCCCCTGTCAAATTTTTTTTTGGTATAGACAATGAAAAAAAGACGTTCGTGTATAACGATTATGATTTTTCGGGTTTATCGAAAGGTCACATGTGGGCTTCTCACTATGAGCTATGGATCTTTCGGAGTTTATTTTTCAAGCGCAACAGTAGTTTTATAGAGTGTGCAGTTCTTCTGGCCTGAAGCTTGTGAGAGTGATGAAATTTTTGGCAAAAAAATTGAAAAAAAAAAATAAAAGTCAAAAATAAAAGCTCCGATACGGGGAGTCGAACCCCGGTCTCCACGGTGAAAGCGTGATGTGATAGCCGTTACACTATATCGGATGGAGCTGTTTATTATTAAAAATTGAATTTATATATAGTTAATTAAAAACCACGTTATCTCTAACACACTGCGTTGAAGTATCCCACGGTATAAAGGTATGGAGATGAGTCCTCATTCTATTCTATTCAAAGGCCTGTTTACTTTCTATATATGCATTTTTAGATGTTGGACTCGACAACTCTCCAGGTTAGCCCACTGTTGCCTTCAACTGCAGAGTCTAGCGACGCAACAAACGATTTTGGGAATTTGCTGAAATCAGAGCCGTATTGTAGCAATGTCTTCCATGAACCCTCCTGTTGCTCAACAGCTCTCAAGAAGTTAATGCCGTTGATGGTATTCTCTGACTTCTTGAATAGGATCCCTTGAGCCCATCTTCCCACGACAGTCACCAAACCCTTATACTCATCGGTGTCGACGGTCAGAACAACAGATCGTGCCTTTTCCTGATCGGCACTGTTGTCATCCAACACTACAAAACCTGGACGTGTGGAGTCCAGTGGTTGCCAAAGTTCGAAAAAATCAAAGCCTTCTTTATCGTCTCCAAATGGGAACACTTGTCCTCTTTCTTCGACCAATCCACTCTCCCACGTTTTCCACAACGTCTTGATGACACCTCTGTGGGTGTTTTCCAGATTCAAGTGGACATTGGTGTCGAACTCAAAGTCAAAATCAACGGTATCAGTCTCGGCATCTTTCTTCCCCATTTTTGCGCTGGCAGGTGAGCCAGCAAACCCCCATTCAAAGGGAAACTCTTTTTCAGATGCGTTGGGCTGAACGAAGGGTCTCAACGAGATAAAATAGCCCTCATTTGATGCCGATGTCAAGGTGAGAGTTCTTTCGTTAGCAGGTGCCTGGCCAACCTGGAAAGTGTACCTTTTATTCAAAACGACCATTATGCTAGGTGATTGAAGACAACTTACTTGTTCTTAGGATCCGAGTTGTCTGTTCAAAGCGTAGTAGCCCTGGGCTTATAATTATACCCTATACTTTCGCCACAGCTCGAAAGATGCAAGTGGCGTACTTAGTGACAAAAAGACGTTCAAACGACGACTGCTCTGTCTGGTAACCAGCTATTACTTGCGCGACGGGAGACATACACCATAAGCTTGGCTCTTGGTGGCCTCTTGGCCTCTTTGGTTTAAGAAAGCTTCGGGGTGAAAATTCTGAATTACAGCTGGATTATCTCGCTAGAGCGTGTTGAGTCCGAACAAAAATCCGAGCTCACGACGTCCCAAACTGTTCACTTCCTGGATCTTGTCCGGACTCATTGCGCTTTCTACAAGTTCTCTCTTTTTCCTTTGCAGCTCCAGAATTCTATCTTCGACCGAATTTTTGACCAAAAGCTTGTGAACCTGCACAGCTCTGGTTTGACTAATTCTATAGCATCGGTCCATTGCTTGCTCTTCCACAAAGGGATTCCAGAATGGATCAACCAAGATGACATGGTTTGCACAAGTTAGCGTTAGTCCTGAATTTCCTGCTTTCATTGATATTAGCAATATTCTTCGGTTAGGATTTTTGTAAAATTCCTCAATGGTGCTAGCGCGTGCTTGTGCGTTCATGGATCCATCGTACCTTAGATGAGGAATGCCCAGTTCCTTACGAATGAAGTGTTGAAGTATATCAAAAAACGTAGTGAATTGAGAGAACACTATCACTTTTTCTTGTTCAGAAGAATCCAGCACTTTCCGAACAATATCCAAACACTGTAAAATCTTGACGGACGGTTGTAGAGAATCGAGCTTCACTTGATAGCCCTTCTTGAGTCGGTCTCTCTGAGCCCTCATCTCCACCTCATACTCCTCCTTCAGTCCTTGAACGGACAGGTTCTGGTTCACCGCTTGATCGTACAGCTTATATGTGACCACTGCGTTGTCGTCAACAATTCTATTGCACACCAGACAAGGCACTGCGTAGCCGCTGTTGACAATCTTCCTTGTATTTCCCTGAGAACGGATATCTTCGAAATACTGGTCTGCACAACCATCGCAAAGCATATGACCACATGGGGTGATAACTACTGCAGAATCTAATTCCATTTGTTCCATGCAGTAAGGGCACGTCATGTTTTCCAGACCTTCGATCACTGCGCTCTTACCAATACCAGGCATGCGTCGGGCCAGCTCAAATAGACGCAGCCAATCATTTTCGAAATTCTTTCCATTGGCCACTTTAGAAGTCTCACTTTTGTGTTCTCCCATAATGACGAGTTCTGAGTGACAGCAAGCTTGACGCAGTCTCAGCAACAAAGTTAGAATGCTTGAATAGTTTCCCTTGCTTCTGTTATTCATTAATTTTTCCGCCTTTTTCTGGTTTTTCTGCTCAAGATCCGTGTAGAAAGTCAACTCCTCGCCTTCAAGAGTCTGTTCCTCATTATTAATGATCTTCTCTGGAAGCTCAAGGATAGGTTTACCGTCGATTTGAGAATCTTTGGTTCTTCGTAACATAACCGCTCGTAACAGTACTTGTACTTTTTTAGTGGCTTGCTTACGGTCGTGACTATCGTAATCGTTGGAAACGCGCCCCAAAGGGTTCCCTATGTCCATCCTGAATCTTTGCTCTCTATTGTAAGGTGATATTCTTAAGAACCTTATCAGCGAGTAAAGTTCCATGATATTGTTTTGCACAGGGGTACCCGACAAAGCCCATCGATAAGTCGAAAACAATGCACAGCAAGCTTTCGAGGACTGTGTCTTTTTATTCTTGATATTTTGGGCTTCATCCAAGATGATTCTGTAGAAAATGGACTGGTCACAGAAAAAAGGTGACCAATATTCGTTTCGCTCTTTGAGCGAGTTGATGGCTTTGATATCAGGAACATCTACTACCGTTGGTTCTTCTGATTCTTGTGTAAGTCTAGCTGGCCAGTGTTTCTTCAGTTCGCTTGCTAGAGTTTGATACGAGACCAACACGACGTCGTATCTCAGCAAGCTGCGATAAGTTTGCACCTTGGCACCGCCGCTCCCGCCGAAGATGAGAACCTTAAGTTTAGTATTTTTATTAACTTTGGTTCTGACTTCAGCCTCCCAAACTCTCAAAACAGCGACGGGAGCTACAATCACGTTGGTTTTACAATTTTCATCACTCGACCTGTTAGCGATCATTAACGCAATAGCTTGGACTGTTTTTCCGAGACCCATATCATCAGCTAAAAGCCCACCTTTCTTGCTAGATTTTTCGACCTGCAGCAACCAATGTAGCCCTTGCCGTTGGTGCTTCATCAAATTTACCGTCAATTCCGGCGGTGTTAACTCCTCTCCTTCGATTTCTGCTTCAGTCGTTTTGAGTCCTTCCAATAACTTTTGCAAACTATCATTGTCTTGACTGTTGTAGATACTTGAGAGCTGAAATGAATTTGTCGACCGCTGCTCGTCTTGATGTTTTACAAGCTCTAATATGTCATTGTCATTATCCGCTTTGTTATCCACAGAAAGGAAATCATCGCCTCCCTTGTCGGTGCCGTGTGAAAAGTATTTCCTGTGAAGTTCTTCGGGAGATACGATAAAGTTCAATTTTCTCAGATAGTCAACAACAGCGGGCATCTTGACTCCGTGCCTTATCAATTCGGTAATTGCTCGTTCAACTTGGTGTTTTGTACTGGCACCGAACCGCTCCCCCCGGTCGCTGGTTCTTTTGAAACGCGCCACCACGTTTAGATAATGGGTCATCAAATTTTTGTTCTCAACTGATCTTACCGTGTTCTTTTGTATCAGGTTCATCGCAATTTCAATAGATCTGAAATATATGTCCGAGGACTGCGCAGTCGCCGAAGCCTCGGGAACTCTTTGAGTGGACTGTAGTTCATTTAGCATTTTATCGATAGCTGCCTTTCTTTGGATCATTGTGTGCCCATTTATAGCGCCATTTCTGTGAAGACGATCAATGTTTGATCGTTCGTCCATGAGCTTGGCCCTTTTTTCTACCATGTTCGAATTTATGCGGCTGCTCAGGGCGTTTTGGAGATCTAGCTGCGATTGTCGAAGCTTTGATCCGTGCCCGTTCAAAAACCTACCGTATCGCTCTGCAGCTTGTGTTTCCTTATTGTCGAGTTGATGGAGCTTCAATAACGTCTGTGATCTCCGCCCCTCGATATAGCGTATGTCTTTTTCGATTAAGGCGGTCTCCTCAGCCGATGATGCCGATTCCAGAAGGCCTTTAGTCTCTAATATAAGTCTCTCCCGTTTTTGCAGCTTCCGCTGCAATATGATTCTTGTATCTCGGCAAGTATTTTTTAACCGGGCAAATTCCTCATCACCCAACACTTTAACTTTGAGGTTCTTTTCATGAACTGCCCTTAACTTTGTGACATTATCATTAGCAGCTGCGAGACCATTTGCCGATGATGGGACTTGAACGATTCCCTGGGTTCTGTTTTTGCTAACAGACGATGGCTCGTCTTCTTCATCACTAAGCACAATGATGGGCGCCTGGTTCTCGTTGAAGGCGTTATCAGACGCAGATGGTGGTAGGAATTGTGGCCCCAGCTCGTCTTTATTATTTGCCAAAAGAGCCATTTCTTGTGAAGGAACACCGCCATTTAATCCGTTATCGTTTGCCAATCCATCACCTTTCGATAGCTCTCCTGTAGAGCGACGCTTGTATGTTGGACTACTTTCGCGTGATGTGAGACTGAGCGGCGAGACGTAGCCCGTTTTTTCGGTCGTATCTTCATTGATATTTTCTGGTCTTATTTGAGGCTCGTCAACATCTAGCTTTTGTCGCTTGAATAGTGACTCAATTGAGCTACCACTACTAATCGCATCTGGCACTTCCGGGCTCTGTACACCGTCGAAGCTCTGATTCCACTTTCTGGAACCCCTTATCAGGGGAAGAAGCAGTTTCTGCCCCTGCCGTTGCTGCTTCTGTGGCTGCTGTTCCTCGCTGATAGATGATCTTGCCTTGGATTCTTCTAAACGCGAACTACCGAAAGGTATCACACCGTTCGGTCTATCGTATGGCCTCTCATTTGCCTCTTGTTCATCGTTCTTTTGTTCTGGAGTCTCTGAGACCACTGGTTCCATCGATGAGACATCTGCTGATCCGTTCGAATGTTTCGATTCCTCAAAGTCATTTGTTTCGTGAAAGTCCTCTGCATTGTCAGAGTCTTCCTGCGTCAAATCTATCGCTGCTATACTCGACATATCACCGCTAGCTTAAGCCTCTCTTGAAAAGCTATCGTCCGTGAGAAGGGAAAGACTCAGTAGGTCGTTGGTTCGTGTTGTTTTATAATTGTCAGTGATGAGCATCACCACGATGGGCTGTTGTCAGTTGATTTTAAGTGTCATTGATTATATTGTATGATGACATCCACAAGTACTCGAGTACATAAATCTAGAAGATGTCTTACGGATGAGAAGCGAATACACTGGCTCGCAACAATCAGCGCGTCGTTATAGTTTATGCTTGAAGATAACTAGTATCTTCTCACCATTACCTGAGTATCTCGATAGTCGGGCAAGACATTTTCCACTGCTGTGTTTCGCTCTTTAGAACTTATAAAAACTATACACTTTTGTCGTGGCACTGATACACTGACATTGTGTTTTGAGCGATTATCCATGTTTTGTCGTGGATGTAGCTGCCATGTTTCGAATAGGCAGCTGTAGAACAAACTAGGGTAGAATGCAACCTTTTAATGAAGAACTTAAAAACAAGAACTAATGAAGTGCTTGTGTGGAAGAGTAATGAAGACACTCTTGATTCATAAAAAAAAAAAAGAGAGAAGGACGTGGGGGAGGGGGTAACACGCTGCCAAGCACTGGTGAATTGGAATGGTTCCTTGGTTTTCATCCCTTTGCAACAAACTTTTTTCCCAAAATTTAGAACCCGCATTGGTTTGGAAACTGTCTATCAGTGACGGGCTGGGGGAACAGACCGTTGTACATGAGACGTTGCAAATCCCATTCTATCGAGTTCTCGGTCTTGTATGTCCAGATAACCCAGCCGTTTCTGAGCTCAAAAGCGTCCAATTGGGCCTCGACGTACTTACGGGTGTTGGTCTTTCTCTCGTCCGACCATGAGCTGATGTCTTCGTTGTTTTGGCAAGAGCCAATGTAGCTGGAAGTTTCAGAGCCTTTGGTGAAAGTACCGTCGTAACGAGCACCAAAACCGACACCGTTGAGCCACTTTGTGCAGTCGGTGAGAGCTGCGGCCCATTCACCGCACACGGTCCAGTGAGCTTCAGACAAAGTGCCAGAACCCCACTCACATGCGACCGCGATTTTTTCGTCCATGGAACGCTGCAGTTCCGGGTTAGAGAAAACCTGGTAGTGGTGGTGGTCCAAAACAACGCCCCAGGCGTTGTCGGTAACCGTCAAAGTGGAATCCCAGTAGTGATAAGGTTGGAAAGCGTCGTGGATGACAACGATTTGATCGCTTGCAAGCTCGTTTCTGAGGTAATCGTATCCGAACTGGTAGTACTCCTTGAGCTTTTCCATGTCCAAGACAGGGCCTAGAGGCTCATTGATGAGCTCAATACCGATGACTGTGTCGAGAAACTCGGTCTGGGAGTACTTCTTGAGCATGTATTGAAGCACGCTCTTGGTGACCGCTAGGTTGCTGTCTTCCAAGAAGCCGTACGAGTCTCTAAGACCTGAGTTGTCGAACCCGTTTTGAGAGCCGGCAGCCCCGTGCAGGTCGACCCACACTTTGAGGTTGTTGTTGCGGGCCCATTGGATGGCTTGGTCTAGATAGTGCTCTTGTGAGCCCTTAACGTAAGGGTCTGAGTCGAGTTTCTGGAAAGCCCAGTAGCCGATTGGAATACGCACAAAGTTGAGACCTGCGTCGGCGATGTTTGCAAAGTCTTTTTCCGTGAACCACGACGACCAGTGCTGTTCCAGACGCGAACTGGCTTCGTCTTGGCCCAAAGCTTGCGAGAAATGGTATTCATCCGCTGGAATGCCTTCGTCGCTGTTTTCCTGGGTGCGGAACGTCTCGAACAAAGACGGCGTGATGAAGGGCTCGAGCACGAACCAGCCACCGATGTTGACACCTCTTAGCTTGGTGTTTTGGTAGTCGTAGAATCTTTTCTTATTCTGCTCATGCAAAAATTGAACGCTGTGGGGCGATTTGGGAGGCACCGGTTGGCTCACCACTGTGGCGATCGCCAAACATAGGCTGGAGATCCATGCGATAGCCAACATTTGAAATTGTGTTGATAGAGTGTGTTTTTACTGCTTAAAGGCGTGTAAAATCAAAAACTATTCAAAAACCTGTTTCTGTTGGAGTTTTAATAGCTGCTTTGTGAACACGAAGTAACAATGTCAGGAACAAAATTTTGGCCAAAACGACTGGGTCTTTTTACCAACTCCGAATCCTGAAACTTTTATTTTTCTTTTTTCTCGAGAAGCACAACGACGTGGAAGCTCAAAGGACAGACAGAGAGTTCAAGTCACTGACGCAACGCAACGCAACTTAACGCAACGTAACAAATGTAACAAATGTAAACGAACGAACAAAGAAATGAAGAAACTGAAAGAACGGTGCGAACTCGAAACTCAGAGGTGATGAGACTGAGAATTGAATGCGAAGTTTCGCGTTTAAAATTCGCGTTAATTCAGTAATTCCTAGCGTAAAACGACGAATTTGAAGGGAAAATTCGTAGATCGCTCGGTGCGTTTTACGAGCGGGGCTAGGTGTGTTTTGAGATAGGGAGAGATTGAGTGTGCAAACTATACGTGTCTCGGACCTTAGTTATCCCCCCAAGCTTTTATACTCCTCGTAACCATAGAGGCGATCGAATATTAATATCTTTGTAGCAAGTGCATCATGCGTCAAATAAATGAACATGGCCAGCATAGTGCCAGGGAGCGAGTACAATAAGTGCGTCTTAGCTGCTATGCAACCACGCACACGGCATCAGTTGGTTGCAGTTTCAGCAAGTGTAGCGAGTGGCAATGGCTGGGCCCCATTTCCGTGATTTCTTGCCAGGTTTGGCTTCACTTGAGATTCTACGCGACGCGAAAAATATTTCGCGTGGCAGGTCAATTTATCGCTCGAGCGACGAAAAAGAAAGAAGGATGAGGCGTGTGAGATGAGTACGATGAGCTATGAATAGGACAGCGATGATGGAACAAGAGTGACAGACAGCGATCTTGCAACTGAAGTGACAGAGAGCACTGCAATAGGCCAAAGATCTGGGATTCAGAGAATGAATGGTATTGACCGCTTCTTCCGACGAAAAGCGGCCGGCAGGATGTTTCAAGCAATACTCGGGCAAGACCGAACGGGAAGTAGAGGAGTACAGTTTCTTGGGGAGTGCGGCTTCTTGGTGTAAATATAGATCTTAGATGCGCAGTGAGTTTCTTTTGGCACTAAAAACGAAAAACAAGCATTCTAAGGGATGAGGACCTCTTGCGTCAGGATACCCAAAAAAAAAGTTGGTTCGTAGAGTGCACGATCCGTGAGGAGCTGCAACAACAAAATCAGCCATTGGGAATTTGACGGGCTTGACTGTGACCATGACCATGACCGCAACCGTGGCTTATCGATCTTGATAGACAAAACTAGGGCCACAAAACGCAGCCTTTTCTTGGGTTCAGACCTTCATTACGGCGGTGAGTGGTAGTCGTGCTCGAGATGGATGACGTAGCTTAGCACGGAACAGCTTTGTACGGAAAAGGAAAAGGACCAAATGAGATGAACCATGCAAAGAAGACGGTCCACATTCCTGCTTGTGGCATATGTTTCGTCTCACCATTGAAAAACCTGCATATCGCCCTCTAGCAACATGTTCCAAGCATTTCCGTCCATGACAGCCGGATTTTTCATTTCATTGCATTTCATTTTCCTCCCGTGGGGTTTGCATAGCACCAGAATTGAACGTAATCCATGAAAACCCGCCTTTGACAGTCGTTATTGATGTGAATTTCGCTTCCGCCTTTGACAGCCGTAGTAGATGTGAATTTCGATTCTGCATTTACCTCAAAAATAGGAATCCTCATCACTGCATAGATCCCCCCAGTTGTGAAACCTGAAATGTCTCGACACAAAGCACTTGGAATCCTCAATCTTTAAGCCTCGTCATCGTCGCCACTTTTTCCTTTCTCCTCTTCCTCTCCAGCATTATCGCGCTTTTCTGTTTCCCCATATACAGCGGTATCAGCGGCATCAGCGTCCTCCTTGTCCGCATGATCCTTTTCTTCTAGCTTAACTTCGTTTTCAGATTCATGATCAGCGTCGTCTCCATGCGCCTTGCCACTTCCTTCCGCGGTATCGTTGTCCAACTTGGCCTTCTTAGCTTCTTCTCCGTCTTCGTCTTCTTCGTCCTCTTCTTCTTCTTCCCGCTGCAATTTTTGTTTTTTCGCTCGCTCCTCCTCTTCGCGGAGCAATGACTCTTGCTCAAGTCTCTTCTTGAGTTGGTCCTTTCTTGACCATCCAGTGAATCGTATCTTATAGTTGGTAAAGCTCTCCACTGGTATGCTCGAATTCACCTGTTCCCATTCTAAAGCAGGGTACGAGACAGGTGCATTTTTACTGGTTTTTGGAGCTTCTGCTGATGCCTCAACAGAACTTTTGGAACTTGGAGCCGGTTCCGGATCTGGATGATCTTGAGACATTGGTCTTTCCGTCTGCAAAGTGAAATGTCTAACTTCATGCTCGATGCTCAAACTTCACATCACTTGTAGTGCTAAACAGTACTGGAAGCTTCAAATGACTTTTACAGGCCTGTGTATTCACCAAAGTCTTCCAACTAATAAGGATTTATCCGATATAGTGTAACGGCTATCACATCACGCTTTCACCGTGGAGACCGGGGTTCGACTCCCCGTATCGGAGTCGTTTTTTTCCATCTTTGAAATGGGTACATGTTTAATTTTTTGAATTTGGGCGGTGTGTAACACACTTAATGTTTCGTACTCCCAAACTGACATTGGCAAATAAGTATTCGATGCCACTCATAAAAGTCTCCTAGTCTATCCATTATTTCACCTTAACTATATACAACCCGCCTTTGGCACAGACCATGCAATCTTTGAGACCCACTTGTTTAAATCTAGTCACTGGTTTGCTAAAGGGCAGATGTCGAGAGAACAACTTATGAAAATGTGTCTTTCCAGCATCATCATGTGCGATGGAGTATAAAGTCAAATTCGTTCCTTCAAGCTTGACCATGTACAGCAACTTTTCAGCCTGTATGATAGGCCTTAGTATAACTTTAATATCCCTCATGTTGTGATTAGAATTGGTCTCGAACAGTGTTGCAAATTCATGGCGGTCATTAAAAAAGCTGGCAGCGCTTGAAGCTGAGCAAACGGCCGAGTTTAGGTCATATACTCGTACACCTCTTGTAGAATCAACGACTGTTAATTGATCTTGGTCATTTATTTTGCAGATCAAAGAAAGAGGCCCCGAACCTTGAATGGATTTCTGCACTGTGCGGAAGCTCCAACGATCGCCTTTTTTTCGAAGTCTTAGTATGCAAATATCGCGTCCCGCCTGAATAAGCAATTCTCCACGCTGTGTGAGTGCATTAGAAATGCCTTCCACCATTTTGTATGCCAAGCATACAATTTTATCCTTCTCAATGGAAAACACCAGAAGAGAGTCATGACAGGAAGTCTTTCCCATGAGAGAAACCAAAATCTTGTGATCATATGGCTTCTGCAGCATCAACAGACTACGAACCGTACCTGACTCAGGTAGGGAATACTCGTTCAGGATTTGCAGGGTGGCTGTATCTAGAATAGAGATTTTGCAAGCATTTTTGTGATCTTGAGAAGCTAAGACCATGAAGCGAGGATTCCCAAGCTCAATTATATGTGTTGCAATGCCTTTTATTCCCACTAATCGTCTTCGCGTCCAAACTGGATGCATGATAGAATTTAATCGAAGTGAAATAAACTTGTCATTGTCAGTCAAAACGATATACTCCTTTCCCCCCACAAACCTCATGCTCTTAATTCCGTAGCCAAGGTCGCACTCGTCAAACGCCTCGCTAGCAAGATTCAGAATCCAAACCTTATGCCTGTTGTAAAGAAATAAGAACGGGGTTTCCCCACCATCACTCTTTATGTCGCACAAGCGCAGTGGAACACCTTTTTCCAGTTGTATGGACTTTTTGACCTTGAACGATTTTTCTTGAAGCCTGTAAGATATTATTAGGAGAAGTCCAGTATCACAAGTTACAACGATCACCAGGGTGTTTTCGGGAAGTCGTTTCACACATAGGTCTTTTATGTTGAAGCATTCTGTCTCAAAAGATGCTTGCATCAAGCCATTGCGAAAAACTTGGATAGTACTTCCTTTTGAAAGTATTATATCCAAAGACGTCCAGTCCCGATCTGCCTCTTTTGATGCGAAAATTGACCATGTCCCTTTGCTGAGAGGCTGAGCGATCGAGCAGACCTCAGTTCGCGTGCCTTCACTCTCCAAGAATAGTTGACCAGCAACATTGAGATAAAGCAGATCGGAGGTGTTACTTCCAACCTCAGTGGCGCAACATATGTCAATCTTTCGCAGTTTCACACCACGCTTAGATATATAGCACAATTCTTCTTCTCTGTTTCTCTGAAATGTACTTGCGACAATTCCACGATCCGTCATCCAGAAGTCTCTCAGTCCAACGCCCTCGAAAGAGGCATCAATCTTGAGTATGGTCAACGTATCAACTGGCAACGTCTTCCGGAAACTTTCAACAAAGCCGCAGTACGGCGAATCTCCTCCACAGGCTACAACTTGAAGCGGTAGACCATCGAATTTTCGCTCGGTAACTACAGCATCGACGTAGGTTTGCTGTTCGCATGATATCCTGAAGCTCAGTTTACTCGATTTTGTGTCATAAACCCATATTCCGTGTTTAGAAATGAAAGCGAATTGAGTGGAACTTAGAGGTCGGCTCCAAAAGTCAAGGCCTCGAAGCTCTTGCGGGTAGTAAATGCGCAACAAACTCCAATGTACTGAAGAGGCCGATACTCGAGCATCAATCTCAGCATGATACACTCGTCCGGAATCTTCCTGTAACGACAAAATCAAAGATGCACCCACATGCAGTGCATAAATATTACGGAATATTGAACGGACCTTTATGCCATTACTCTCAAACACCTTTAGATCGTTACCAACAAAAAAAACTCGCCGTGACGTCACAACTACAGCAATCAACTGGCGGCTTTTTACAGGACAAAAACCCAGTATTTTCTCCGCACCGCTTCCTTGAGCAAGCAGCTTAACCATGCGTGCAACAGATGAGGTATGGCGTCTCTCTATATGAGGCGGCTGTGGTTCCATCGCGAACGGTGTTATAAGCTCCGGATCCAGGGTCCCATTAATGGCATTCTTTTTGAACACCAGAAAGTTTCTTTGCTGCACACTTACACATATTGCTTCCACAATCTCCGCGCTGGAACGATATATTTGTTGTCCGAAGACTAAAGAGTCTGCACCGAAGAGCTTGGAAGTTTCAATGCAAAACACCGAGTGTCCGTCTATGCACAAATGGAAGTTTCGGTAGATATTGTCGAAGAATATATCAGCGCGACGAATGTCAGTACAATTGTCAAGCTCGAGCCGTTTCCTTTGACTAATCTCGAAAGTAAGGGCCCTAAGCATCAAGATCTCACAATCCTTCTTCAACACAGCAAGATACTTTAAGTCCGAATCGCCTTGTATGCATTGAGCAACAGCTATTGCACCTTTCAAGTTCAAAGTCTTGTGGACCTTGATCGTCCTCTGAATTACATTGTAAAGGTACACGCCGTCTTCTTTTAAAATGAAAAGATCGTTGTTATTATCATCGTTGCTCAAACAGCAAATAAGAGCAGATTCATCGACAATTATATCATCTTCGATCGCCGATCCGACATGAACCATCAAGGGAAGACAGTGAGCTTCGGTGCTTGATGTAAATATTCAGTTCATTGTAAGAAATATCAATCTATAATAGATGATGAGTACGTCTGAAAGTACATCATGAGTCCACAAGTACATAGACTAATCTCACTTATTATAAAGTTGAAATCAACTCAGTAAACTCTTCCTTATTCATACACCATTGAAGACGAGAAACTGAGTTTCTGAATACATCCAGATACAGAAGAGATCTTGGAATCCATTTTGATACCAAATTGTAAAAACTTCCAGTTTTGTGAATGACCTGTTGCGCATATGCACCAGATCTAGAATGCAATTAATGACCTCGGCGGCTATTTTGGATAAACCATAAATATTGTGATACAAGCGTCGTTCTGGTCGAGGAGTATCATTTTTGATCTATCTGCGTGCGACAGTGCAGTTTTCCCATGTTGAGCTGTCTGTCAGATTTGAGAATAGAGTACTGTATCAACTCAATGAGATTACTTTAATACTACAGTATTGAGGTCGGAAGCACTAAATGGAATGAAAGGCTGTGCTTTTTCTCGGAAACAAGATTTCATTTAAAACTCATTACAAACGTGGCTTGCCCCGCGTATTGAAGGCGATTTTCTTGATGTGAAATTTCCAGGCCAGTACAAAGTTTTGTCTCTACAGACTATTCGATCTCACTGCTGATTTATAGTATTCAAAACCTGTTCAAAATGCTCTCAGATCCCGAACGCCCCGTTCTTAATGGTATCGTGTAATTTTTTGCGATCTTCTCTCTTGCGGGTATACCCGCCATGCAGTTTGGCACCTCCCTGAGGCCCTGAGTTTGGGCCAGCAGGGTAAGGTGCATGAACAGGAGCATAAAATGCTCCTTGATAAGGGCTGGGCGAATTCATGGGTGCTCCGTAGCCACCAGACACGTATTGTTGAGCAGCAGGCGGATACCCTACATTGGATGGCGGGTAATGTCTGCCAACAGGCGGATGTCCTGGCCCTGGAGGAGCGGGACCGTGACGGGCTTGCAAATAGTTCTGTTGGTATGGCTTAGGTGACATCGGCATAGAGGCTGGAATCGCCTTATGCATGTTCGCGTAACCCTGTGGATGATGGTTGTGAGCCAGAGGTGGACTTCTAGGGTACATGTTGCTTGGGGGGTGACTATTGTGAGCCGGAATTGGACTCGTTGGGTAGGCATTACCTGGGGGACGATGCTGGCGATGTTCGTGGGGTGCAGCAGACACATACACTGGGGCCGGAGACGGCGATTTCATTGTCTTTTGGTGTCCATTCGGGATTACGTGTTGAGGTGTCGTGTTTGCCGCAGATGGATAGGGCGCATGCTGAGCAGACTCAAAAGGCCTCGATTCTGGGGCTTGGAACTGAGGTTGAGAAATGCGATGTCCTGATCTATGCTCTACTTCGTTTGAATGCACGTTTCGCTGCTGAAAAGTATGTGCCGATGCAGGTGCGGGACCAGTCAGGGGACGCATCACTCCGCGTGAGCGCTCCCGTTGCTCAGGTACATTGAAACGTTCATCAATCGGTACCGGAGACTGAGGCGCTCTGGGCCTTAATTGGTCTGCTGGCGAAACCTCCAAGCCATGGGTCCCCCCATTTCGATACTTGACTTGAGGCATTGTCTCGTAATTTGAAAAAGCTTGCCTTTCTGATTGCGCCGAAGTAGGGGGCGGAGATCTGTAGAAAGCCTGCTTAAGTGCCGTTTGTTCATCTTTATGCGAAAAAGTTTGTGCAACAGGTATCGAAGTTGGCTCTTCCTGTGAATATGAGATTCCAGTGTCCCTTGGAAATGTGTCTGTTGATCCGCGCTCATTGTATGGTGAACTAGCTCCAGTAAGACGGTCGGCACTGCCGGTGTATTCTGTTGGCATCTGAGCGTGAGCTTTTCTGGGGGATGCAATTGGACTGGGTTCAGTTGACGTGGTGTGTGTTTCCTGATCATGAATGAGTTTTTTGTACACAGGGAGGCCTCCTGCCTGTGTGCCCGTCGTTGGCTCGCCTTGGCCTTTGTCAATTGGAAAGACAATCGGTGAGTTATCACTGGATAGTTTTGGGGACTCATGTCGAGAGCTGTGATGTGTATAATCGCTGCCCCGAATATCGGGCAACGGTTCCATATCGTCACTAGCCAATGCAAGAGGTGGAACGACGCTTGAGTTTGTGCTCTCTGCTAAGGTGTCCACCGAGTCTTTTGGGTTATCCTTATATCTGTCAAACATGGTCAAAGTTTCGAATGTTTCCGCATTAGTAGCCAAGCTTGTGGTAGATTGTGCCAGCGTCCGATTTGACCTGGACACCTGGTCATTTAATCTGTCGACCATCTCGTGCAAGTCTTCGAGGCCACCCTTTGTCTGCGACAGACGCTCATTCTTCTTTGGTGTGGGTGGAGAGGCGGACTGTTGCTCACTTTGCTCTGACTCGAAGTGTTGGTCTAGCTCCGGAATATCTACTTTAAAATCCTCGTGTTCCACCGTCGGGAGTTGATAGTTTTCAGGGTTTAGCATGCTGAATTGACTCAAAATCCTTGATTGTTGCCGTTTGCTGGGATTCTCACGAGAGTCGGCTATATTAGAATGTGTAGTGGATGGCACTTGTTTCTTCTCAGGTAGTGCCCGGAGACTTTGTGCCTCCACGGGCGCATTGGAATTGCTAGAAGAGGATGAGCTCGTCGAAGTGCTGATTTTACGAATCGTCTTCAAAGGATTCCATGAGGACGTTTTTTCTGTGACTGGTTTGATGGGACTACTGCTGGCCTTCAGGGATGAAGTCGACGTTGGACCATAGACAGCTTCAGATGGCGGTGAAGGTAGAACCTTTTGTTCCCGACCTTTCAAAGGTGCGTTCGAGTTATCTTCGGCCGCATTTTTCTGAAACTTTTCATACGCAGGTATCGCTTTTTGTGAGTGTTCAACATGTGGAGATTCCAACGCTGGAGACTTGGATAAGTTCAAGTCCTCTAAGGAATCTAAAGTCCTGAGCATCTTAAGTTCCAAATTGACATCGCTTTCTTCAAAAACGATCCACTTCTTGAACCCATCGAACTCGAACTCAACAATAATGGACCTCCCAAACAGTTTTCGCTTCTCCGATGTTTCTTCGTGAGAAAGAGAGGATAACCATGCCCAGATGAAGTAATCATTGATATCTACCCTTTTCACTTGCAGATGGTCCTTCACTGGCTTGTTAGCGCGATCTGCGTGAATACATTTTTGCGAAGCCCATCCCGCCTGAAATGTGGAGTGTTTCGTGGACATTTCCTTCATTAGTCTGCGAGATTCATTGGACATCTTATGGCTTATACCTTCGATGTTATGCTTTTTCTTGAATAGGGACTTCAAAAGAGCATAGTCCTCTCTGGCCTCGAATGCATCGTGATCACCAAAGTCGAAAAGTTCATTGCACCGTTCAATCAATTGCCAAGGTTTACTAGAGAATTTGTTAGTCTTAAGACTCACTATTGGAACTGTCAAAGGTGTCTCCGAACCATTCGTGATAGAATCTTTGGGCGGATAATTGTTGTTGAACAGGATGGTCTTTAACGTCATAGGTATGCTGGCGTCTTTTAAATCGTGCGGTACGAAACTGCGAATGAACGCCAGAAGTAGATGAAACATGGCGTTCGCAGCAGGTAGCCAGACTTCCAATCCTTCCTTGAAGGAGTTGGATCCTACCATTTTCAGTGATATGGCGTGGTCGAAATCGTAGTTCTCGGTCGATTTTTTATCGGTATCTTTACCAAATGCCCAAACAGCGAACATTTTGGAAATTTTCCGCGCACTCATTTTATTTCTCTTGGAGTTTGCAGCCATGGCTACTATCAAGTCGAAGAAATCATATACAATGGAGGCATGATCCGGCGATGACAGGCATTGTGGCATCAAATCTAAAAATGATTTCGGCGAAAACCCATCAGCCTCTTCTCTCACTTGAAACGCCCTATAAGCCTTCCAGGTGACAACTTGACCTTGGGGCAAACGACACCAGATGTACTTCAACGCTTGAAATAACGTCCAGGGGTCTGTGGAACGAATGAGTCGATCTAGTTTCGCTTCCTCCACGGCAATACCATTACCAAGCGGAAAAGCGCGATTCAAAAATTTTAGGAGCTTTTCGTTCGACTGTTCCGGCCGAAATGGTAAGAATAGGTACTCGATGTCCAGGGCATTACGCTTTAGCTCTTGCGAAACAAAGTGGATCAAGCTTTTGACACTACTTCGCGAAAACTCATGGTGAAACTCGAATTCCTCACCCTCCTCTTCGCTCGCATGGGCCGAATGTCGCTTAAGTTTTCTCCCTGGAGAACCGCCTCTTCCCAAATTCTTTGGGGGACTTGGAAGCGGTTTTGGAGACTCCATCTTTCCACTGGCGGTTGCTCTTGGACGCTTGAATTGTAAACACTTGGCTGTTTTATGATTTATTCCTGGAAAATACCAATGATATATTTATCGAAGAGTGTCTCTAGGTACGATTGTGACATTTGATCACCATTGGCGTCAGCGACAGTTATTCGCCGGATAAAGTTTAGGTTCAGTCCAGTCAATTGCCTTTGTCGATAAAAACACTCCATTAATACGCTACTGAAATGCCTCTTTTACGCCAAAAGTCACTAACAGCATGCCATTCTCCGATATCACGCTTGATGGCATTTACAACACTTTTGGGAGGTTGTTCAACCACCGTATGGCCCATATCGCGCAGCGATTGAACGGTGCTCTTGCCAAGCATTTTGAAACTTTCGACCTCGAGTTGGTCTGGCAGCAACTGGTGATGAACTCTTGGATACGCTATGGACTCGAGAAGAGGCATGTTGTACCAATATAATCTGGCCATTACATGAAAAATGCTCGGAGTGATTCGTGAGCCTCCAGACGCACCAATGACCAGGTCGGGCTTACCCAGTTCGTTCAAGACCACAACGGGCGACGAAGATGACAAGGGTCTTTTTCCGGGTTCGGCAAAATTGTACACAGATGGAGCTAGACCGAAGGCGTTCGACCGATGGGGTTGCGAAAAATCATCCATCTGATTGTTGAGCAAAATCCCAGTGGCAGGGTCGTGCACTAGAGATCCAAAGAGTAAGTTCACAGTGGAAGTGAGCGAGACTGCATTATTGAACTGGTCAACTACACTAAAGTGAGTAGTGCCATGAGGCTCCGTCAACTCATAGAGTGGGTCGTAAGCTGACCAGTTACCCATCGTTTTGAGGTCTTCGAAGTTGGCCTGAATGTTCGCGACAGCTGATTCGGTCCAATTAGTATCCAGCACCTTGGTGATACGTTCGGGCATTTGGCCCTGGGATGAAAAATCTCCCAAACGACTTCTCGCACTGGACATGTATTTCATGCATTCCACTAAGATGTAAGATTGCTCCGGGCTGTAGTCTCCACCTTTGGAGCTTTGAAAATGGTCCAAAATTTTGAGCGCAGAAAGTAATGCTGCGCCAGAACTCGAACCGCTACTTGTGAAGACTTCAAGGTTATTGTTCGGTATGTTAGACCATCCAGCACGAACTTTTGTGGACAAGGGCCTCGATACATTGACATAGTAGTTTTCCAAATCCTGAGCCGTGAGGATTCCCCTGCTCTCTTGAACCTTTGCAACGACCGATTTTGCAATTGGGTGACTGGAGTCGTAAAACGGAGCAGCAGACCCATTATTCGCTAATTCTTGCAAAGTTCGAGCGTACGCTGTTCTTTTCATGGTCTCACCAAACCGTAACGTCCGGTTTTTTGCCGGGTTCAAAACAAAGCTCCAGTCTTTGCTATGGTCTAAAAAGTAGGGTTCGTACATCTCCAGGACCGCTCCCAAAATTTCATTGACGGGCCAGCCTTGAAAACCAATTTCAACAACTGGCTCAATCAAATCTTTCCATTTGACGTTGCCACTACCACGCTGCACATAGAGCTCGTACAATCCTTGCAATTCACCAGGAACTGCAACTGCCAGGCCTCCGACCTGCGAGGCATTCGGATTCTGTGCAAACATGTTTTTGTGAGCTAGTTGTGGAGCTTGCTCTCGAAAATCTAAAAACAGCGGGCTCAAGTCCTTTTCCGGCTCATTTTTGTTTCCACCTACGAAAACAGCATACCCTCCACCACCAGCTCCGCTAGAGAAGAAATTCGTCATTCCAAGACAGAGTGCAACAGTCACTGCAGCATCAGCAGCGTTGGCGTGCTCATATTTTTGCAGGACACGCTCGATTGCCAAGCGATTACAGGTCTCTGAGTCTGAGCTTATCGCACCAGACTTGCCAACTCTCAAAACCTCAGTTGCGTTGGGACTCAGCGTTGGATCTCTGGGTAAAGGCTTTATGTCAATATTATGATCGGATTCGGTGATGAAGCAATGTTGCATGGCGGAAGTAAAACCAGCCAGCCATAGGACTCGCCAAACTGATGTTAAAGCAACCATGTCAAATTTGGCGAGCTATTGTTCAGAGATTATTTGGAGGTGAATCTTCTTTAGATGTGATTACATTTGAGATAGATAGTGGTTGAATGCTCGACTTTGGTACATGGAAGGGTATTCGAGTACAGGGCTTTCGACAGATATACTTGTACGGGTTATCTCGAGCTATCTGAACATCTCAGTTAAATGTGACGTTCAGCAGCGCGGTGGCTAGCTGGATAGAGTTAGCTTACCGTTGATGAGTCAACTCGGTACTGATTTCTATACCTTTAAACTCGAAAAGTTTCGATTTGTTCGTTACTATGTACATGAACCGTATATGTTTAGAATATGTGAAGAAGAAAAAACGACGATGCGATTTTTACTCCATGATACGAGTAACAAGACCGGTACCAACAGTCTTACCACCTTCTCTGATGTTGAAACGCTGTCCAGCCTCGAGTGGTGTTGGGTGCACCAATTCACACTCCATTTCGACGTTGTCGCCGGGCATGACCTGCATGGAATGGTCCTCGACGGCTTCAGGGAATTTCAAAACGACGGTAACGTCAGCAGTACGCACGTACATCTGAGGTCTGTAGTTCTCGCCAAAACCAGAGTGTCTACCACCTTCTTCTTTGGACAGGATGTACAAAGAGGCCAAAAACTTGGTGTGAGCTTTGACGGTACCTGGCTTGGCCAAGACCATACCTCTCTTCAACTGGTCTCTTCTGACACCACGTAGCAAAATACCGGCGTTGTCACCAGCCATGGCCTTGTCTAGCTCCTTTCTGAACATTTCGATACCGGTAACGGTGGTCTTCAAAGGCTGAGTGTTGTGGCCAACGATTTCCACTTCTTCACCCTTCTTGAAGTTACCTCTTTCGACTCTACCGGTGACAACAGTACCTCTACCAGAAATTGAGAAGATATCTTCGACGGGCATCAAAAATGGCTTTTCCAAGTCTCTTTGTGGGGTTGGAATGTGCTCGTCGACGGCGTCCAAAAGCTTCATAACAGCCTCTTCACCAATCTCGGGCTTTTTGCCCTCCAAAGCGCATAGAGCGGATCCCATGATAACTGGGGTGTTGTCACCATCAAAGCCGTATTGTGTCAAAAGCTCTCTCATTTCCATTTCCACCAATTCCAACATTTCTGGATCGTCCACAGTGTCGACCTTGTTGACAAAAACCACGATATCCTGAACACCCACTTGTCTGGCCAACAGCAAATGTTCTCTAGTTTGAGGCATCTGACCGTCAGTGGCTGCAACCACAATGATGGCACCGTCCATCTGGGCGGCACCAGTGATCATGTTTTTGATGTAATCGGCGTGGCCCGGACAGTCCACATGCGAGTAATGTCTTTTGTCAGTTTCGTATTCAACATGAGCAGTAGAGATCGTAATACCACGAGCTCTTTCTTCTGGAGCTTTGTCGATGGCAGCGTAGTCCAAAAAGTTCGCACCACCCTTCACGGCTAGCGTCTTGGTGATGGCAGCGGTCAAAGTCGTCTTACCATGGTCAACGTGGCCGATGGTACCGATGTTCAAATGTGGTTTGGAACGGTCAAAGGCGGCCGCGTAAGAGCGCACCGCGGACCGAGCGAATCCTCTGGAACCCGAGCGGGCCACCAGGCTGAAAACACGGGGCACTAGAAACATAGTCCAAGGGACGCGAGCGTGTTTTGATGAGTGTGGAGTCGATGGAGTTTGGGAAAAAGCTGTGAGTTTGACTATGGGAAACGTTTAGTTTTTATATATGTTGAAGTAAAAAAATTTTAGCCAGGAAAAATTTCGTACATAGTGATTATAATATGCAATTATCTAGTCGGATTACGAGTCAGAAAGCTAGTCAAATCTTTAGTCACAAAAGTCATTCAGAACGAAATTAATGTTATACATCTCAAATTACTATAACGACAGAATACAGACTTAACCTAGCTCATCGCACTGGCTGGAAAAGTACAACTTACAATTGCAACGGCCTTAGCGCCAAGTTTTTCTCTTCCCTTCTCTTCTCTGTCTTCTCGCTCACCATGCCGCGTTTTTTCTGTGATTACTGTCACTCGTACCTTACCCATGACACCCCAAGTGTTCGGAAAAGCCATCTACTGGGCAAAAACCATGTCCGACTAGCAGGCGACTATTACTGCAACAAGGCCCGACAAGTGCGACAGGACTGGCTGCCGAGAACTCAGAGGCCCAAACGCTTGCGGAAACGTGCGGCCAAACCATCTTTTCCAGAAAAAGGGCCACAACCTCGAAAATTCACACTCCATTGCGACACCAACCGTCAGAATCGATCTGCGCATCAATTTGACGCGATTCGGAATGAGCAACTTGAAACAGGGACTCAGGTGCTAGAAAAACTGTATGCGAAATCGCCAGGATACGCCAAAGTCTTCAGATCCGAGTGTCGTCTCGACACCGGAGAGTCCGTACAGATGGACAAGCTGCCGCAGAGAGCGAATCGTCGTCCGTTCCAAAATGGCGGCGATACCAACGCCAACGGGACGTCTGCTGCTGCCACTACGACCAGCAAGGCCTCGGCCCACGCTCTTCGCGCCCGCAACTTTGCACCGGATTACGCTTCTTCGCGAAGCCTGGCACTGCTGCCACCACCACCATCGCTTTCACAGTGGCCCTCGTGTCCACCACTACTGCTGGCAAGCGACAGAGCTGCCACCACCACGCTTAGGGACGTGACACGCAAGCTTGAGCGTCGTTGAGTCAAAAGATTCGAAACTTACTATTAATATTAATCATTACACATGCTGGTTTTCGTTTGAGTCTTCATTTTCGTTTTCGATCTCGATTTCGTTGTCGTTGTCGTTGTTGTCATTACCGTTAAAGATGTTTCCGTTTTTGCTGTTGTCGGTGTGTTGCATTTACCCCGAGTCTGCACTCTTTTCCAGATCTGACCGCCAGACAATTGCAACCTTTGAATCCACGGCTTCCGGTCGCAGAACGATCCCCACAGCCAACACTATAGTGCCCAGTATCAAAACGCTCACAACGCTCACTACAAACCACACAATCACAAACCCTGTGGTATCTTCCACGTCGCCCTGGCCGGCAAACGTATCCATCAGCGGTTTCAAAAAGCCTCCTTTCTCCACGCCGTGGTGTTCGCTGCACATTCTTTCCACTAGCTCTAATGCTACCATTTCTTAATTTTTGCCTAGTAACCTTGAGGGAGTATAAGCACCTATAGCTAATAATGATCTATGGCGCGAAATTGGATTTTTCTTGAGTTGATTTTTAACACGCTGATCAACAAAACCTGCGGGTGTTTTCTTTCCTAACAAGCTTTGACCATCAACTGTGTCGATCCAATGTTGAACTCCTACTCTTTGCTTCAATTACAAATCGTGCTACTTCAACTTCACTTCCCGTCTGCATCCCATCGCATGTATACATATCCTTTATATACCCACCGGTCTTCTGCAAGTTTGCAAGACATGCAACATCCGGTCGTACAGACTGGATTAGTTAGACGTACCGTGCCGAATCTGCGGTTATTTGTAATGCCATACTTTCCACTCCCTTGCCATTATACAGTTTCTACTACTGCATTGGGACTTAATAATTCATTACCATTCCCAATATGGGCGTGAGAGCGAAAAACTGACGGCTAACATGCAATCGCGCGGGTTGACGGTGCTACTTAGCGGACCCGTTCCACACAGCGTAGTAGGTAGAGACTGCGAGTATTATGATTTTTTTTTCCGATGGCCAACTTGAACGTTTGCGATCATCACCATCGTCGTCTGGACTAAATCCATAGGATTGCACAGTACACACTACAGGGTTTAAATCCGGCGATGGAAAGTGCGCGGAGAAAAGAGCAGACTAAGGGGTGGGATTGGATTATGGATGGACTAGCCTAGGAGAGTGGGAAAGAAAAAAATGTCGCGATGTAACTAACGACTGGGAGAATGGATAATGGCTGTTTTTGCCAGATAAGAAGACTTACTTAGGGGAGAGAGAGAGGCATTTAGCCCTTGGGCAAAAGAAAACCAAGCATATGGTAAAAACTGCTTGTGGATATGGAAAAGATGACTTAATTGTGGGTCACGTGACAACCTTGGTGGCTATTGCGTGAGAAAGGGGGAGATAATAGAATACAGTGTATGTTTGCATGGTAGAGCGGGTGTAAAGGTGTGGATGGAAGATGCATTACAAGTTCTGATTCGAAGTCTAGTAAGTCTACTAACTGGCACACACACACACACACACACACACTGACACTACTGCAAGGTGTCGTTTGGACTAGTAGTTTTTCCGCTCGGATACAAAAAAAGAACTCATCTTCCATTTCCGGAAAAACTATTTTCACTAAAAAACCAAAAAGGATCAAAGACGGAAAAATGCACGCTTATGTAACCGCATTATCGGCTCATAAGAATTAAAAAACCCAGTCACCCAACACCAACACCCATACACATAGAAGGGTCACGTGGACCAGATGAAATGCACTACTGCTACACTGACGCTAACCATTTCCATCCACCACGAACGTATTTGGGATTCTGGAGACTCCGTGGCACATCGCAGCGCGCGTTTATACAGATCTAGAAGAATCCCGTTCAGTGGTTTCTGGTACGGAAGTTTCACCACTTCGCACAATGCCTCCAGATCCAAAACCCCGGTTTTCAATCGCATCGCAATCAACACATCGATTCGCGCAGATGCTTGTGAATAGCACAATTGCAACATTTGCAAATTCAGGATCCGGCCCTGTGCAAAGACTCGTACAATTCCCATATCCACCAGTCTGGCAACGGCCTGCGCAAAAATATGGCTAGCTTCTTCTTCCTCCTGTTGTTGTGTCTGGCGTTGTGACTGACGTTTTAGAGTCGACCGTAAAACCTGCATTAGCGTGGGGTTTCGAAACGTATTGAGCATCGAAATCTCTCTCTTTCGCTGACAGATCAAGTACTCCGTCAACAAACGGCGATAATCGCTCAATGAGAACTGCTTTGATACAGGAACCAGCTCCACGATAGTCCCCGGATCGGCCTCGGAATGCTCGGAATGCCTGGCCACTACCGGCGATGCATTTACAATTTCAGCTTCGTTTCCAGACAAATTAACATCTTCAAATAGCACAGTATTGACAGAACCAAAATCCACAGGCGTGGGCAACAGTAGTTCGTGTGTGGCCCCGCATGGTCTATCCTCACCACTGATCTGCAATTCATTTTTGAACGCTTCACTCGCTAGCCATTGCACGAAATTATAGCTATTATTGGATGCCAAAACTTCATTGTTCGCCAGAGCTTGGTCCAGAGCCTCATCTTTGAACACCCAGGGCTCTGCTAGTATCTCTCGCCATTGCATTGTCATACGCCAAAATTCCACCTCTTGAAGCACACTTGTGCAGATCTCGATGCTTTCCACTTCCAGTTCCCGATAACTATTCATGGTCCCATGCAATCGTAGTTGCCATCCCCTGAGGTCTGCATTTGGCAGCCCATATTGTAAAATCCGACTTTTAGAGCATTTGCAATGCAGCAACGATGCCGTATCTGCCTTTTCCCGCGTGCAATCGTCAATCTTGAAAATTGCATGGTCTATTTCGCCAATGAACTTCCATTTCCAGGAAACCACACATCCTTGCACTATCAACTTCTGAACCGGATGGTTTCCAAGTAGCCAGAATGTGCTTCCATCTGGATAGTATCGTTGTATCTCTTTTTCCCACTTTTCAAACCCGCGATTAATGTCACCCACACAACATGGCACCCTCTTCTCAAACGTAGCAGAATGATTGAATAAAGCCGGTATATAGTAGTCCCAACGCTCTGTTTGATACGCTATATGATCCCAACGGGCCATTCCAAAGGGCAAGTCCTATACTTTTCCACTACCTCATCGGCCGTATCCGAAATGAATTATAGATAGATCTAAATGAGATGAGATACATGAATAAGTATCTATAAATTATCAACATTTATCTCAACAGCCGAAGAGTTTGAGCTTGAAGTTATGCTTCACAGTATCCGAAACTCATTGAAGAGCCTTTTTCAATTCAAAATCACAAGCTTTTGGGATTCAACGTAGTGTTTTCACGATTGTGTGTTTTGTTCTTGAAGAAATCACTACTTTGATAAGAGAGACTCGAAGATAATACCACCATGTCCAAACCTCCTGTAACATGCCATATTCTCGATACGACCAGTGGAAAACCAGCCGAAGGCGTCGTATGCTCGATCTATAAACTGGCAATCGACGATTCCTCTGACGATACACAAGTGTTGTGTGAAAATGCCGATGCTCCCTTTGCTTTGGCAAAAACCAACTCCGATGGACGAATCGCCAATTGGATTTTTGCACCGGAACCGTCCAAAAGACAGCTTTTGAAAAGCCTTGGAATCGTGGAGCAGGATTCGGAATCAGAACCGTTGGCCTGGGAATCCTTGGTTCCTGGATTTTACAAAATTAGATTCCAGGTATCAAAATACTATGCCCGTGAAGGCAAACCCTGTTTCTTCCCCCATGTGGATATTGCCTTCACGGTGACAGATGCAAGACACTACCATATTCCGCTTCTTCTCAGTAGCTACGGCTACACAACTTATCGTGGCAGCTGAGAAGAGAAGAACTGTCATGAGCCAAAACGGCGTGGAATAGGCCAAATTTTTAAAAACTTCAACACTCAAGAAGTGACACCACGAGTCTTCTATCTTTTCCATTTCCATGAATTTCAGCTTCTGGTGAAAGAAATCAGATCATCGAACTTCGCCAGTCCTAAGTTTCCAATAAAAAAAGCGGTCTGGAAGAAAGTTGAAGTTGACATCGACAAAAACGCTTTCAAAAACTTTCCGAGCCTACCAGAAGATTGGACAAGACTTCTGAAACTTAAAATCAAACTCCTAGCTTTTGTCGGCGGCTTGGGCTTCTTCCCATAGCCTTTGAAGTCTTGTCGCTACGTATGTCCGTATTCACCGTTCGATAGTATATCTTAAAGCCGTTATTGAACTTGATTTAATTGATGGTCCACTATTTTCGATTTACGATCAAACAAAGTCCTCTCAAAGACAAGAGAAGCATCGTCTTGGACTTTTATAGTCAAGCATCCAGCGAACAGCGCTTTCGAGCTATCACCTGGAATTTTCCGGGAATTTTTATCCGCTGTACTCCTAGAGTTAGAGCGCATTTCGTTCAGCTGTTCGAATTTATCTCATTCCAAGTCATCTTCGACCTACTTGGCTATTTATTCGGGCTATTAAAGCCATATTCCTACAGCTGGCTTCAAGATTCATCTCTCGCTGCTGTGAGCTAATAAAATAACACCATGGGGCTGTTATCTGTTGAGCAGAAATATAGCATCATCCTGATGGCCGAGAGGCATCCAAAATGGACCCAAGCGGAGCTAGCCCGGTGGGCATACGAGGCGTACCAATTATCGTCGCGTCCTTCGCAAGGTACCATTTCGCGACTTTTGGCTCGCAAAAGCATCTTCATGAATTCTAAGGAACATGAAAAGGGAGCCAACCGGTTGCGGACGCCCAACAACCTTTTGGTGCGACGTATTTTGCAAGAATGGGTCTCACAAAGCATATGGAATGGTATCCCTATCACTCCCCCGATTGTTCAAGATACCGCGCAGAGCGTATGGCACCGCATTCCAGCTGCGCACCGAGAGGGCAACGGTTCTTTTAGCTACAAATGGATCACCTATTTTTTATCGAAAATGGATCTGAACGTCACAAATCCAGACGAGGAATTGCCAAAACCACCCAAAGTTTGGACCTTCGAGGAACGAGACGCTCTAAAAGATTTGCTGGTCAAAGTTTCGCCAAAAGATCTGTTCACACTAGACGAAACGTTTTTGGCCTACAACTTGCCCATGGACAACGCACAGTACGAAACAGGCCAGGTTCAAAGAAAAATCGAGGTTTTAACAGTAATGCTTTGTGCCAATCTAGACGGTTCTGAAAAAATGAACCCATTGGTGATAGGCAGGTACGAGAATTACCGAAGCTTTCGAAGCCATTTCGCCAACGATCCCTCGGACGGCTCCTCTGCCACCTCGGTAGGGGCCAGAATGGCTCGCAAATTTTCTCTGACGTACCACAGCAATCGTAAGTCGTGGCTAACCAGCAATTTGTTTCACGATTGGCTAGCTTGGTGGGACAAAAGGCTCGTTGTAGATAACCGAACAATCTGCATAGTTCTGGATGATTCGTGCTCTCATCGCATAGTCAATCTGCGGCTTAAAAATATCAAGCTGGTTTACACTTCTGCTAACAGTCGCTTTCTACCCTTCAATTGGGGGGTCTTAGATGAGTTCAAAACGCATTACCGCGTACAGCAGTATGAAGCACTCATAGACTTACAAGAGAAGATTCAAAAGAAGTCAGGCGTGAAGAAAATACTGACGTATGACCAAAGTACATTGAACATGTCCAATGCATTCAAGCTAATTAAGAATTCATGGGATGCAATACCGGTGGATACGATTAAAGCCAACTGGAAAAGTTCAGGTATTTTACCGCAGCATATGATTCAACTCAATGAAAATGTTAGCATGGCTTTCAAGAAGAATGAAGCGTTAGAGAGAAAACTATATGAGGTGAGTGAGAAGTTTCATTGCGTTAAACAGTGGGATTACGATATTTTGCTGGATCTCAACATCGAGAATAAGAACACCAACTTTTTGAGTTCAGAGGAGCTAGTAGAGAGCGCAATTGTAGATGAATGGGAGCCAGAGCCCAAAGCAGGCTCTTATGAGGAGGACTATTCTGCTGCTGCGTTCAACCTGGAAACGTTCGCTCCTGTTGATGCTAGCTCGACGCATGATGCATTTGGCCATGTAACAAATATGGGGCCGAATACAAATCCAGAAAGCGACTTTTTCGTGAGCAGGGTGATCGACAAAACGGGTGATATATTCTCCAGTAGTGTGCTTCCGCCGGTCGATGGGCATGATCATATGGGACACGTTTCTGTTGTGCCCCCGCCTGCACCGGATAGTCATCTTTACTCCGCTCCACCCCCAGCACCAACTGCAAATGCTTATTTGGACGAAGTGTTTAGTGCCTTACCGGGAGAAGCACCATCAGCGACGACAGAGGCTACGCTGGCTAATCACGCCACTAATTCAATACCTGATAGCACCTCGCCAGCTTCTAATAGCTTGCCACCAAATGAGATAATGGCCATGAATGACCCAGATCTGAACTTGGGTGACGAATTCGATTTGACAAGGCACACAGGGGATTTTTCGAATCCCCAGGCTGCTGGCGATACCGAAGCTGCTTTCGGATCTCAACGTCTACTCATTATGACTACCCTACAGACTAATATTGATATTGCGAGATCAATGAGCAACATTTTGAAGCATGCCGAGTTTAGGGAGGTGGGACTATCGGAAACGGCTCTTAACGAGCTCAAATTTAGTTACAGAAACTGCCTGAAAAAGATTCATAAGGCAAAACTAGCCTTGAGTTCTCCCGACAAAAGACAGAGGGAGACCTTACTAGAGCGTCAACTGATGCAACAAGAGCATGCGCTTATGCGCCCAGGCACAAACCCCGCGACAAAACATGCTCCTCCGCCTAACGTCGATCCAACGCTCGGGGTAGGAGACAACAGTTTTTTCGGAGGGTTTCACTCTCCTGGATAAAGTTAGAGGAAAGTGATGCATGTAGAAATTTTCTAGTCTATCCTGATGAGTAAATTTGACATCGAGTAAATAATGCTTTTCGTAATCACTAAAATTCGAAGTCTTCAACATCAAACGCTTTACCTACTTCTCTCAATCTCAGGAAGTCATGAGCAAATTGTTTTGTCTCATCATCCAGAATCTTGAAGACGCCGGATTTCACATTGAAGTTGATGAAGTTTTCCTTTGTGATGTTTTCAAGAGACACCTGTAAACCGTCTATTTCCAACGCCGGAGGAATTTTTCGCACGATGTCAACGTGTTCTTCTCCCAATGTCGATCTCATCTCAAGTAGTTCCTTTATGAAAGCTGGTCTATCCATACTGTAATTTATCAGGTATTGCCACAACTCGGCATCTCCTGAGCTTTGCACAAATTGAATGGCCAGCTTGGGCGCATTCCCTTTATCTATGATCAACGAGAGCGCCTTTTTTGTTTCTCCGATCTTGCCCCATAGATATATCAGCTCGTTAGTGCAGTCATCTCTTGAAGCACAAAGCTCGATAGCGCTATCCACGTCGTAGTTTCTCTTGGACTTTAAAAAATCTAAGAGGCTATCGTGATCGAACTGAAGGTAAAGCGGGATCAAATCATTTTCGTAAGGCGCTGTCAAAATGGCTTCAGCCTTGGATGCTTCGCTGAGGAAAAGGAAAAGCAAAATGCGATATTTCTCCGAAGCCGAAAACTTGGTGATTATGAAGGAAATATCAACCATATGAGTTCCTTGCACTAGAAGATCAATTGGCTTTTTGAAAATATTTCTAGCAACCTCTAACCCCAGCGTGTTCAAAGATTCCTCTCTATCATGGTAGGGTAAAAGCACTATCTCCAACAATTGCCGCGCAAACATGGACAACACCTTCTGATCTCGAATTATATCCAAGGCCCTCAGGTCTTTCATTTTGATGAGGTGAGGGACAGCTTTAACATCTTTGTTCTCTGTGAGAAGTAGAAAAACAAGCTCCTCTCTGTATTCGTGGACGTGTTTGTCATTTTCTTCTATTAGCGCTTCTAAAAGGTTTTCGAAGCGTTGGCTTTCCCAAACTTCTCTTGGCCACTGGTGTGTGTAATGAGAAAACAGCGAGAGCTGGTGGTTCTCTAAGTAGAACTCGAGTATGCTATTGTAAATTTCTGAGCTCAATGGTGGATGGATTGGAAGTAAAGGAGCAATTTCACTGACTTTTCCATTTTCAATCAGCAACGTGGCGTATCTCCCCCACATAGTGATGAGATGCTGGAATTGATCTGAGTCTTCCTCCTCATTGGTTGCACTGGAGAAAATCTCGGTAATGGCAGAGGCTGCATCTTCCCAGTGTTTAGAATTGATCAGAGTATTGATGTAGCGTTCTCCAGTTTCCAGTCTTTCCTGCTTGCCAACAGCGTACGATCCAATATTCCAGGCATCGTAATCCCTTTTGTTTTCGACAAACCATTTATATCTCTCTAGCAAAGAGAGCTCGTGAACGGATATCGCATCGTGAGAACTTACCATGAAGTATTCCGTAGATTCTTTACCAATGTGCTTACCTAGATGGTAGTCGTTGACATTCAAATTCTGATAGTTTTTCGAAACAACCTCGTCACTATGAATCTCTTCGCCAGTGAACATATCGATGATTTTGAGCTGCGGATGGCTTGAGGTTGTTCCCGCGGTTTCTGGGGATGTGATTTCCAGACACAAGAGTTGATCATTTCGGAAGGACACAGCGCCTGCTAAGGTCATGGGCAAATAAAGGTAGTGATCATGCTCAATTTTTTTGTCCGGGATCGCTCTCAGACTAGATGCGGCACTGGAGAGAATGGATCCTAAATGATTTCCGTGAGTTGTCGAGTTTGCTATGGAGACTTTGAAGGTCCAAACATGACGTGCCCAGGCAACTATTATCCGATCTGTTTCTGGGAAATGCGCAGACGGCCAATACAGATCTGGTCTTGTGCCGTCTTCGTCTTTGGGAAACGGTATTTGTAGTAGCCTACTTTTCGACGTTATACTGTAAAAAGTGATGCCTGCATCGTTCATCCAGAATAAGACGTCATCCAACGTATGGATTCCGACTATTGGACCGTGTCCTTTATCGAGTACAACGTCGACCCTATTCCCTAACCAGTTCCTTTGAGACAGAATGACATCCCCTGCCATTCCTCCAGAAACGAAAGCTCTTGAAGTTTTATACTTTTCGTCTAATACCACCGCGTGAACGGGTCTTTTGAAATCGCACGCAAGCAGATCGGAACTATCTCGTACTGAACCAATGACAACAGTTCCGTCAATTGAAGAAGTGGCGAAAAGCTCTCCGTCCGTGTATATCGAGGTGATGGACGACCTGTGACATTTCAGAGTTCTTATTGAGGTAAAGTCGGGCTCTGTGAAATGTAACAGGCCAGCATGTGTAGCAAACGCAAACACTTTTTCGTGGAATTGGCATGCTGAAATGGTGTCTCTTGTGAAGAAGTTTTTGGATAATTGAGTGATTCTGGAATACTTCAACAACGGAGGTTCATCATCATCGTCGTCGTCATCGTCATCGTCGTCATCATCATCATCATCATCGTCGTCGTCGTCTTCTTCATCATCTTCTTCAATTTCTTCGTGTTCTTTATCGTCATCTACTTCAACTTCATTCTCGTCATCTTTCTCTGCCTCTTCCTGACCATTTTGATCCTCGATAATAGAGGTCACTCCACCATTGTGTTCAATCTTGACTTTTTCTTGAGAGCTTTGTTCCAGACTTTGGCCCTTTCCCAGTAATTCTTCATCAGATCCTTCTCTACCGTTTCCACTTCCGCCTTCATTGCCCGAGCTTTTGTGATTCGTTTCCGAAGAAGAGCCTCCGGTCTTTTCATCATTTGGAATTTGCTTGTTACATTCACCGATCTCATCTTCACGCTTACTTTCTCTACTTTTCTCTTCATTCCCATTCTCTGTTCGTTGGTACTGCCCTACCTTATTTTCGAATTCATTGTAAGGGCCGTGATTGTTCACTTTGTTCGAGGACTGGTCAGCCCTATTTATATCAGCGTTACTGGATTTCACCGGAATATGAGAATCAACGGCTTTCGCTGAAGCTTTGTGGTCTCGCCTGGCCATTTACGCTGCCATTTCTGCTAAACTTGGATTAGTTCAAGCTAGAAGAGTTTGAATTTGATTGTCAAATTTAAAATAATCATCACATTATAAAAGACAGCTCAACTAACTATTCATCAAGAGTTCAAGACTATCGAATGCTTCATGCCTAGGGCTAGGAAAGGAGCACTGATACAGTGCGATCCGTCTATCAGAGCACTCATCTTGCAAATGGACACTGATAGAAATAATATCATCTTAGAAGAGTTGGATGATACACATTTGTTAGTTGATCCGGCGAAAGTGGACTTTATCAAAGCTGAGCTCAACAGACTGATGTCACAGAATATTTACGATCCACTGGACGAAGAAGAAGAGGCGTGATCATACGGTTTTGTTCAGAAAACATTTCAAGGGCTTCTTCGATTAGTCGCTGCATTTATATATGTGTGTAGCTTGTATATTAAAAATATCTCGCATTAAGGCAAAGGCTGCTCTAGAGAGCTGGCCACTTTATTCACGAGGTCGACGAGCACATCAACATACATCAGTTCCGAGAATTCATTCTTATCGATTTTTCCGTCAGACGCCTGCTCAGCAACATTTTCGTAAAACGTGGAATACGAACGAGCTAACGACTCTTGAATCGCATCGATAAGATGAGATCTGATTTCCACGTCGCCGACAAAATTGCACATACGATCATGAATTCTGGGCAAGTTTGTCTCAATATTGACCCGCAACTGCTTGTTCTTGGCCACTAGATCTTCGTTATTGGCTAAACAATCGGCCACCACGTCCTTAACGGCCGCTTCAGTCAGCCCCTTGACAGCGCTTCGTAGCTCTATCGTAAGCTCTGAGCGTGCGTCGACCATGTCCCGAACCACTAGGGGCCCACCCTCAACGGCCAAATCGAATACTGATGTGTTGGAGACATTTCTTACCCCCCCAATGGCAAAAGCCCTCAAAAAGTCCATCAAGCCGGAAAAGTCCACGTACTTCTCGTTACAGACATACTGAATTTCAAATGCCTGTACTTGTTTGCGTAGCATTAACAAGTTCTTCAGATACGCCAGTCGTGGCTCTAGTGAATCTTCAGACTGTTTTACGAGCTGAAAGGCCGATCGTAATGACTCAATACAGTCATGCACAATGTGATGAGCAATGTTGTCAAAAATGGAGGAGTTGACCATCTGATAGATTCGCGAAAGCAAGGCCACTGCCCTCAAGACAGGAGGATAGCAACTGCGGACCTCATCAGCCTCTCCTTCAAGCTCAGAAATACTATCGAGAAACGAGGTTACAATAGCATTCTTGCTCTCTGCATTTGCAGGAATAGACTTACGGTGATTGATAATGAAGGCGTCCTTGGTGGGTTTAAAGTTCACTATGTTCAACTCGACATATTTTTGAGCACAGAATATTAACCTGTATTGGACGTCTTGTAAAAGCGGCTCAAATATTTTATCCAGGTAGACATTTTTGAATTGGTCCTGATACTCTTTGGAATCCTCCTCAAACTGATAAAATTTATTGAGTAAAGTGACGGAGTCGCACAAGACTGTGACTTCATTTTCCCTCAAAACTTTTTCTCGAACAGAATCATGAAGAGGTTCACAGAGGCGAAAGAGCCATCTGTTAAAATAGCTTTTCCCTTCTGCTTCTGGAAAGAACTGTGCTACCAAATCGTATTCATTGCGACAAAGCTGTGAAAAGAATAGTAGATTGTCTTGGATGTACTTTACCAAGGAGAAGTCACTATTCTCCGCGTTAAGCCCATTCACCTTGTCTCGTATCAGTGGTTGCAATAGCCTTGAACGGATTTGAGAATATTCTTGGTAACAATTCTGTAAGACGGCTTTCACGTCATCGCGATATCTGTTATTGCTGGTGGAAGCACATCTGTTTGAAAGCTCTTCAGAAACGGCATAAAAGTCTCCAGCACGCGATCTGAACTTATTGTAGAGGAGAGCTTCACGCGTGGCCAGCTCAGTTGTGGTCTCAAGAGACCTGGCCACCTCATTATAAAGAGTCTTTAGCGAATTGTTGAGATAGCTTGCCATCATGTTGCAGCATCGTAGCAAACATTGCTTGAATTTTATGCGGTATGTTTCGGAATCGGTGAAGTCTTGATGTTGCTCGAGGAACGAGAGAGAAGCGTCTATCTTGGTCAATTTTGAGCGGAAGGAGTCTCTCTTGACCGCGCTGGCAGAGCTGGAATGATGCAGCCAGCGTACAATCGGGTCTAAGGCGTCGAAGTACGACATGTAGTTGTCCAATGATGTGTGCAATTGCTCGAGCTTGTTAAAATCTTGGAACAATTGGCCCGTTGTGGTAGCGAAAGTTTCGGTTTTTGTTGAAACGCTTCCAAATTTGGCAATGGCAAGAGCCAGCTGGTTGTCAATGGCCTGTGTTTGATCTATGACCACTTGATATTCTGCGGTTCTGCTGTTGAGACTGGTGAGATACTTTTCGTATTTAGCGTAGTTGGGGCCACTACGAGTCCTCGGTTGCTGCTTGGCGAGCGATTCAGACTTTTGGGGATGTGAAGCCGGACTAATGTCCTGCAATTTACGCAGCAAATCTTGATCATCGAGGAGCGATGGTGTCTAAGGCACTTCTGGGTTAGTATAGATGGTTATTTGTTTTTTTGTAGGCTCACAATGACATACGGAATCAGAGACAGCAGATCCCTTGATGGCCAAAGTATTCGCCAAGGATCCGGACCTCGTTCGTGACGGCATTGGGACTGTTGAAAGCAGCGTCAACTCGGATGAGTGAAGGGTTTGAGAAGCAGATCACATTGAGTTAATGATTACTGTTGATTGCATGTAATAAGTGGGTTCTTGAGATGAGAAGGGCACTTTCGACGAAAATGTTGTGTGTCAGAGTTCAATAGCTATCGTGCCGTTTATTTTTCGATAAGGACGAGCTTTCGAAACTCAGTACTAATATGAGGGCTCTTTAACTATGCTGAACGTACAGTTTCCATACAATCTCGCCTATCTATAGTGGTTTTCCAAAATATCGTTACCAATACCATTCTGTTTGTCACGCTGCAAGGAGTATCGTCATAATTTTGCACAATTTTGTCACTGAGGAACATATGACCTATGAACAGAGAGTTGTTGCTATAATTCAGAAACATAAGCAGTTGCAGTACTTGTTTCTGCATGAAATAGTTGGTAGGATCATATATAACTTGTTGCCAACCAAAGTCACCTGTTCTCGAGAAATGACGTTTCGTACAAGGTGAAGCGGAGTATGCTAATCGAAGTTATCAGCCGAGATTAGGTAAGGAAAAAAAAACCCGAGCGATGTTCGGCTCATAAGTCTTGTGAGTCGGCTCATAAAAAGAGAGAATGAGAGATACCAGCCGGCGGATCTTTTGTATATATAAACAGGGTCCTTGAAGCCAAGAAAAGATCAGACTTTTTGGTACTCACTATGATATTCTTTGGTTCTTTATACACCAGTGCTCAACTTATTCCCGTCAGTTTGTTATTCTTGTACTGAACATGAACTCGAAGTTTTCGTCAGAAACTGGTTCAATACAATCAGAGAGCCAACTTCATGACGAAAAAGAATTCTCGGGCGTCAATTCGCTCAACAGCGACAACTTGACACAGCAACAGAGCCAGCCCGCTCATGGCCAAAGTGACGATGCTACCGAATTGCAAAAAATCCTGACGCAGAACAAAAAAGGTGTGGAAAAAACTTTATCCCGTTTCGAGTGCGATATCCACAGTTTGGGCCCAGTAGAGCCAGGAATCGATCTGGAAAAAGTAGAAACAATACCGGCCCCCAACTCGACTCTCAATGCAGACGACAAATGGAAATATCCAGTCGACAAAGATAGTGGGCTCCGGATCGTCGAGTTCGTGGAGGATGACCGGGACGACCCACGTAACTGGACAACGACTATGAAGTGGAAGTACACTGTTTTGCTCGGCATTATATGTTTTGACGTTGCTATGATGTCTGCGGTTATCACGGGAGACTTGGAAGCCCCCAAGTATGAACTCCACTGCTCCACAGAGGTCATGTGTCTTTGTGTGTCGCTCATGGTGTGGGGATTTGGCCTGGGACCTTTGTTATTTGCGCCGCTGTCTGAAGAGCTGGGACGCAATCCCGTCTACCGAGTAACTCTATTTGCTGCTGTTGTTTTTATCGTGCCCTGTGGCGCGGCGAAAAATATCGGTACGCTTTTAGCTTTCAGATTTTTGGACGGACTTGCATTCAGTGCTCCCATGTGCTTGATCGGCGGTTCTCTCAGTGACATGTGGAGAAGCAGCGAACGTGGGGTGGCCATGTCCATCTTCTCTGCTGCTCCCTTTTTGGGGCCTGTCATGGGTCCCATTGTCGGGTCCCTCCTAAGTGTAAAATGCTCCTGGAGATGGGTTTATTGGTTCATGTTGATCTTCAGCGCGTGCTTGTACGCTGTGGTAGTAATGTTCCTGCCAGAAACTCACCACCAAAAAATTCTAAGAGCCAGAGCCAAAAAGCTCCGCAAAGTGACCAACGATCCTACCTACAGAGCAATCAGCGAGATCAAAATCCGCTCGATCAAAGAAATTACCTCTGAGACTCTGCTTCGTCCAATGGTGCTTCTCATGGAATTAATTGTGTTCCTCATCACCATGTACATGACTGTCATTTACGGTCTCTTGTACATGTTTTTCTTTGCTTTCCCAGTCGTGTTCTCAGAAGGTAAACACTTTGGTCCTATCAAAACAAGTCTCATGTTTATTCCGGTTGGTGCCGGAGTTCTTCTCGCCACAGGGATTTCACCACTTCTTAACAAAGATTATGTGAAAAGGGCCCAAAAGTACCTCGACAGAGGCGAGGTGCCACCAGCCGAACTCAGATTGATCCCCATGATGATCGGGTGCTGGTTCGTCCCCATTGGGCTGTTCGCTTTTGCCTGGTCGTCTTTCCCTCGCATCTCATGGGCCGGTCCTTGCTTCAGCGGGCTTGCGTGTGGCTTTGGATTTTTGATGCTTTACAACCCGGCAAACAATTACATTGTCGATTCATATCAGCATTACGCAGCATCGGGTCTTGCAGCTAAGACCTTTGTCAGATCCATGTGGGGTGGCGCGGTGGCATTATTCACCATCCAGATGTACCACAGGCTAAATTACCAATGGGCGACCACTTTAATGGCTTTCATAGCACTTGCGTGCTGTGCCATCCCATACCTATTCTACTTTTTTGGCGCTAAGATCAGACAAAGATCTAAATATGCCTACTCGCCCGTATTGCACACAGGAAAGACAGACGCAGAAGCCAGGGCTTAGTAGCCGAATTCTGAATTTTTGACAGAATAATGTTTAAATGATATTAATGTACAGTCTATTACGCCTCCGAACGATAAATAAAATGAGTGTGTCCTTTTCAAACTGTCATATATGTGTTGTGCTTTGTACATGTATGGTTGAGCTCTCTTCACGAAACAGAGCGGAGTGATGCAGAAGCGTACACTCCGTCTACTGAGAAAGCTCACAGATGCGGTGCGGTGCAGTGATAAAGAAACATGTGCTATATGTTTCCACACGTCCTCGAACGTATGTGCATCTATTTTCTCTCCATTTCCTCCCTAATCCGAGCCTTTTCAGCTTCGATGTCTATCCCATATTCTTCTGCAATCTTCTTTTCGAGACGCAGTCTTTTTTCAAGTCTTTCCTTCTTCATTCTTGCCAGCTCAGCTTTTATTTCGTAAGGTTCCTTAGGTATCTTGTTTAAGGTCTCAGGATCAGGCCAAAACCCTGGCACATTCAACTTCTTGTCAGTATCTATACCAATGTAGTACATCACTGCTACCGGTGATAATAGACAAAATGCAAAGCGAAAAACCTCAAGTTGAGACCTCGTGTACTTGAAAGGAATCTTCATCCTGAACAACTTGTTCGCTTCTCGAAAGGGGGATTTTTACCAAAATTGTTATAAGAGGAGTATCTACTCGTTACAGATAGATCAAATTATCACGATTCACACGGTGGCCAGCACTTTTTCGATCTCTAGTCTTGTAAAAGTTGTTCGAATTGTAAGTCAAACCTGAGAAGAGAGATGTTCTTTAAATTACAGGTATATTTTCCAAGATTGAAAAATTTCAGAATACCTGTCAAAAAAGTCATCTCATCGAATCACACTTTTATTTCGAGAAACCATCATATGTCTGAGTTCAAGAGAGCCAAGTTGAACATGGCTAAGCAAATCTGTACTCATTCTGGCTCCTTCCATGCTGATGAAGCACTAGCAGTATACATGCTGAGAATTCTGCCCGAATTCAAAGATGCTAAAGTTGTAAGATCAAGAGACCCTTCGATGTGGGAACAAAGCGATATAGTAGTTGATGTGAGCGGCAAGTACGACGCAACAAAGGGTCTATTCGATCACCACCAGCGTGAATTCGACGAAACCTTCAGCGAAGACTACAAAACTAAGCTATCCAGTGCGGGATTGGTTTACAAGCATTTTGGCCAAGACATCATCAAGACCTTGCAACCTCAACTGACGGAGTCGCAGGTGGAATTCTTGTACCAGAAGGTGTACCGGGACTTCATTGAGTCCCTGGACGCCAACGACAACGGAATCAGTAACTTCGACAGCGAAGAGCTCGGAGTGAAACCTAAATTTCACGACAAAAACATCACAATCCCCGGCATTGTGTCGGGCATGAACCCACGCTGGAACGAGGATAACAGCGATGCTGTGTTCGATGCGTGCTTTTTCAAGGCTTCGGATTTCATCGGCGGCGTGTTCAGCAACCTTGTCAAGGGCTATGGCGAGTCCTGGATTCCAGCCAAAACTTTGGTGGAAGAGGCCATTGATACCAGATTTGACGTGGATCCCTCGGGAAAGATCATTGTGCTGAAACAGTTCTGTCCGTGGAAGGAGCATTTGTATACGATCGAAAAAGAGCGTGACATCCAGAACCAGATTCTGTTTGTCTTGTTTGCGGATTCTTCTGGAAAATGGAGAGTTTCCACTGTCTCGCTATCTGCCACATCATTCAAGTTTAGAAAGGGTTTACCCGAGCCATTGAGAGGCCTGAGAGACCAGGAATTGAGTGACAAGACTGGCTTGCCAGGTTGCATTTTCATCCACGCCGCAGGATTCATTGGCGGTGCCTCGTCGAAAGAAACTGTTTTAAAGCTTGCCCAAATGAGTCTCTGAAGTGGTGATCGGGGTTTTTGAGGACTTTGATATTTCGTAATGTTTGTCATTTCTTGAGCTTCCCGGTCGTTAGCACTGGCATTTTGCCAAGCTCTCGCAGGAAGACCTTGGGCTGCTGCCAAAGTAAATGTATCTCGACAATGGATCTGGATTTGTTCACCAACCGATTCGATCCCTTTATTTATAAGTTCAAAATTGCTGTTTTGATGTTTCGATGATATGAGTCGCCGGATCTTCTTGGCATAAAGTCATTATTATTCTATGCGTCAATTCTGTCTACCAACATTTAAGAAACTTCAAAGAATTAAAGAACAAGACGCCAAACCCAGGCCTCTTATACGCCCAGTCTACTGATAATACTCTCGTTGTAATCATAGAGTGGTTTTCGCTGATTGTATTCCATTAAGAAGCAGCTTCCCCATCGAGAACGGCACAACGACACAATTCGAAAAATACCATTTTTCCAAGACTATTTTCCTAAACTTCAAATGTTTGTAGGCAAAAAGCTCAAAACCTCATGTAGAAATCTCTATTTAAACTCATTAAAACACTGTACATGGCTCTGCTGTCCTGTAAATTTCCAATGGGCAGCACAAGTCATTTTTGAACTCGACCGTCAACCAGGCGTCGATCCAATTATCTCTGTTGAGTAGGATGACAAAAACAAAAAGGTGGAAAAACTCAAATTTCTCGTGTGGTTAGTTCATCATTTTCCAGCGGCTTGGACTGCGCATCTTAGCGTTCGATTCGTCTCTTCTAACGTCTGAACGGTTATGTCAAGCCATTCCGTATACAGTGCTAAGCAAGGGGACGGTTCGTCTTCAAGAAGGGCATAAAAGTTTTGAAAACAGCGAAATCGCATACATAAGTCTCAAATATACAAGCCAATTCGGTATCAGCGCTCGATTAGCTCGAGCACCAAGCGGCTACTTGACACTTGGGCCAGCTAGGGTAGTGTAATTGAGAAGTTCAAGAAGAACTCTGAGCAAGCTTCTTCAGGAAAATCACGACACTTATCGTGCATATACTTTGATACAGATCATATAACAGTTTATCCAGACACACTGTTAAATACCCTGAAGAGAACTTGTGGTGGTGAAAATAAGAATAGGAGGACTAAAGATTTCGTCGGTCAACCATGAAAACTCTGAGATGGTCGGGCAGAGGCCGCAAATCGTCCTCAGCCACGTCAGACAACGCACAAAATGAGAGCCCGAGAGAAGCTTCTGCTGCAGGCCTCAGAAAAGACAATTACGCCTCAAACCAATCGCCTTCGTCACATTCACCATCGATCGTGAAACGGCCCACGGTCTTTGGAAAGACTATAACGTCGTCGCCATCGCTATATCTTTCAGAAAGTAGCAGCAAATCGTCGCGGAGTATTGTGTCCCACAGAGAACCAGAGGACATCAAAAATGAAGCCGCCGATTACGCAGCAAGCTCGCACGATGATAGCTCGACAATGGCCGATGAGCCTTCCGTTTTATCTTCCCAGTCGACTGCTGTCACTATAAAGACACCGTCGACCGTGAGGACAGGTCCTTCACCATCCTTGAACGGTGAGAATTACGACAGCCATACCTTCAAGATTGGCTGGGTCAACAAGGCCGCAGCTTCTCCAACCGCAGGCAATCGTGAGAGCAGAGTGTACGGCAATGGTGCGTCGCTAGACCCACAACTCCAAGCAAAAAAGCTCATATCTTACAGAATTCACAGAGCTGCACTTCGAGGTCCAGTGCTCAGCCTTTACAAAAGCGGAATCGGTAACGTCAAGTATTTTGATCCCACTATGCCACCGCCTTCCCATTTGGCAGATAATTTGTATTCAGACCCAGGTTACTCCCCTACTGCAGCTTCCCCTCATCAGCAGAGCCTGAATATGAATGATAACAACAGCACGCAAGAAAGACAACAAAAAGACTTAGTTTACTTGAGTTCAGACTACCCACATCCAAACCTGAAGCTCGACAAAGACGGACGACTGCTCTCAGGCTCTAATGAAAGTATTTGCCACATGGTATTATTCTTCCCGCCTCTCAGCGACGAAGACACAAGAAAAATAGTTGATGTTCTTCTCATTCTTCCTCTAATTGACAGGTTTGGAACAATTTTGTCTATTTTTCAGCTCTTTGGCGTAACTTTTACCAGGCATCGGGTTAAATTGGTCAATTCTGCCAGACAGCATCACCAAATTAGTGCCAAAGCTGATTCTCTGATGACAGAAAGGCTAGCACTGGTGGTAAAGGTTGTGTTGGATGTTTTTTCTGGTTTCCTCTTGGACGATAAGCTCTTTTCTCAAATTGTCAACCTGGTCGACGTAATATCCCTTCACGATGATGAGATATCGACAAATTTGAAAATGGCTATTGTTGAGCGACAGAACACCCTGAATCAACTGTGTTCTTTCTCGAGGCAAAAAGTCAATTTGACTGAATTGAAGCAGCTTACATCTGTTGAGAGCTTTTTGAAAAGTGACCTGGACGAATTTGTCACAGGCGTTCATCAAATAAACTTGAAGTTCCTCAAGGAATGGAGTCCGCAAAGAGATTACTCTCTTCTTTATGAGTCAAATTACAATGAAAAACATATTAGAATGAACCCAACAATCTTCAAAAACTCTGAGAATGTTCACTATCTTGGAAGACTCATGATATCTCATTTATTCACAGATCCTTCCGAGTACTCACCAAAGAAAACGGCTGATATTTTGGCCGCGTGGGTCCAGCTGGGTTGCAGATTTGAAAAAATAGGTGATATGGTGTCTTGGTTAGCAATTGCCACTATCATTTGCTCAATTCCTGTTCTACGACTTGTTTCGACGTGGCAATATGTGACAGAGCAAACACTCAGGGTCATCTTTAAGGACTGGGTCCCGACTATTGTGCAACTGGATAGACGTAAGATTGCTTCGAAATCTAGCAATAGCGTCTTCATCCTGGCACCTCCAAATTTGAACAGTGCATCAACGAGAGAAAACGTTATTCCATATTTCGGAGATTTGTCAATAACCGCGAGTGATCTTCCACCAGACACAAAATACAAGTATCTCGAAAAGAAGATACATCGAACCAAAAACGCTTTTTTTAAATGGCAGCAGCGCATAGAACAAGCTAAACGAAATGACAAGGAAGCACCTTCAAGTCCAACCCCTAGGTTGGACAATTACGTCAAATGTACGACAAAAATCTATCAATTTTGGCGATTTCATCTAGATCAAGAACCTATGAACATCGATGATATCATGAGCTTGAGTTTAGCAATGGAACCGCCTCGCATCGATCAAAAGGAGTACTCAGCAACCAGTTCAAGAAGAAGTGCCTTGCTAACGGGAAGTTACCTTCCAATGCTCTTCAATCAATTGTTACCAAACTACTCATTGTTCCCCCGCGACTCTTTGATTGGTGCAGCCGGAATTGCCCCTAGCGGGGCACCTAGTGGCTCTCAAAGCACTAGCTTGCAGAAATCAGCCATCACCAGCCCAATGAGCCCAGAGCATGACCAAAGCGGAATAACTGGTGTTGAGAATATCGATGAACCTTTAACAAAAGAACTCTCATCGAAGGTGTCCAACAAACAAAAGCTTCTCAAGCTGATCAGAGATGCGTTCAATATTGATATGGACATGTTTCATGTCTCAGATGATGTTGTCTTTAAGGCCGTTGATGATATCGACGGTAGATCTAGACCCGCAAGCGTCGTCATCGAAACTCCCAAACGATTGTCTCAGCACTCTTCGATAAATACAACTCGTGATTCTCAGGACCTAGCACGACTAAGCTCCACGATGGAAACACTAGACTTTTTCAGTACAATGGGCAAGTCGTCTGGTTCCATTAATGAATCACATATTCAAGTCGTGCTCAAATCTGCCACGCTAGAAAAGCTTTTCGATGTCCTGATTTTGACCACTAGCGTTTTCTCGAGGGTGGTTGATACTGACGACTTAGAAAATTATCTGTCACATGAACGCCGGCGCCAAAGCATCCGCGCTCAAACTCCGGATCATGCCTCCGTGGGTCCACTTGATTTTGCCTTCATTAGGCTGCTAATGGACAATGACGTTTTCACTGAAACCTTCTTCAACACCTATAAAAGCTTTACAACTACCACGGTCGTTCTCGAAAACTTGGCTAAGCGGTTTATTGGAGCCGTTAGCGGTGCTGTGTCCATTTCTCGTATCATGAATAATGGGAGGCAAAAGTATTCGGGTGGCGCTAGCTCAAATAGGTTCTCGGGTTTTCTCGACGCTACGAACAGTAATACCAAATTTCCAGCATGGGACCTAAAGATCACAGAAGATGATGAAATCAGTTTAGCTTATGTTGCTAAAATACAGATTGGGGCCATGGAGTCATTTCTCCATTTAGTTAGTCTGCATTACTCGGACTTCACGGACTGCTTAACAAACAATACGACTTTCCTTGATATTTTGAAAATCATGGACCAAGAGATCAATGATGAATGGACCAAAAGACTTGATGCCTTTGCAAAAAGCAGATACGGTCAGCCGGATTTCAGAGATGAAACAAGTGAAATTGAAAACCTCCACGCCACTTTGAAAACTCTTTTCAAAAGGCTAAAGTCTGGCTATCAAAAACAATTATACCGACCTTTAGGTATCACTAAAGTGCAGAGGACAACAAGGGGTTATCTTAAAGAAATCAAGACCCTCGCCATGCAAGACTTACTGGAAAATTCAACTGATATCACTTCTCGAAACCGGTTTTTCAAGGATTTCGAAAAATTGGTATATGATGATTACAATGGACTGTCAAAGTGGATGTATGAATTAGATGAGTTTATCAGTGATCGCATGTCCCTTGTCTCTAATCAAGACTGGGTGGATGTCTCAGAAATACTGGAACTATTTTCAAACAGGTCGCTGGTTTCTCTTTATCAGTATCCCCTTCATTCTATTTCCCAGGCGATTGTGCAGTCAGCTGGTTCTTACTTGGACGACCTGGAAGTTGTAAACGTTTTCACTTGGTTAACGACTTTATCAACGGAGGAAGGCGATCTCCTTTTTGACCAATTCCCTGCTTCGGTTCAGCTAATCGTCAAACTGCATAGATCTGTGTCAAACTACTTGATATTTCAAATTTCCAACCCTCAACAGTCTGCGGAGAGCAGAACTAACACATGCGCTGTCATTTTGCAGCTTTTGAATCTGACGCACTGGAAAAATTCATCCATGGACCTATTTCATGATGGAAAAAGCGACAGTTGCAGCACTGCAATTTCTCCTCATGTTCCGTCTTTTCTAGAAAGCTGTTTGTGCAATGCTTTAATTGCCCCAGAATCGAGATATTTTGAAATGTTCTGGAAGGAAGCCTATGGAAAACTTTCGGGGTCCAATGCATCTGAAATCAAAGATATATCCGCTGCATTGGAACAGACGGGTAGCCAAATCAAGAATTTTGTGGAATTTGATGAGTCTTTAGTCTCAAAATCAAAAAATTTGACACCTTGCCCTGGCTGGTTAATAACTCGACTCCTGGAGATTTCTCAGTTTGTTCCGAACATGAGCATTGAAAACTCAAGAATGATTAACTTTGATAAGAGAAGGTTCGTGAACAACGTAATCACAAATTTCAGAGAAATGCTTCCATATTCTTCAACTCAACAAGAAGATCTAAGGAATGATGAAACTATCTTTCAAGACATCGTGGACGGCGGTAAAGTTTATAGAAAAGTCGCCAAAGAAACCGCGGCAACGGAAGCAAGAGCCAGCAAATATCAAGCCGCGGGGCTCTTTAACAGTGTCATCATCGCAGAGGTTGAGAAAATCAAACGCGATCAAAAGAAATTGACTCAACTCAACATTCAGAACAACGACAGTAAGCGGAAGAACCTCCTCGAGCAAGCGGTGAAACACAGGAATAGATTGAGCACATCTGCATCGACACGGGATATTGGCAGTGAGCTTGTATCTCGCGAACCAAGCTCTCCCGTTGATCATTCTCCTATGAAGCGGAGCTCATACGCACCTAGTCCAACTCAAAGAAGCTCCGTCATTTCAAATTCCTCTTCTCATAGTAACGGTAGTATGGGTAAGAAATTGGGTGGCTTCTTCAAAAGGCCTTTTTCAATTGGTGGCTTCTCCAGTTCTTCCTCTGCACACGGTTTGAATGCCATTTTGCTGAGCGGGGTCCAGCCAAATGGTTCGATATCGCCTTACGAACTTCCCGACATTACATCAAGTGTGTTCAAGGATAGTAAGCCAGTGTATTCGATCAGGACTTTTGAGATTAAATCTTGCATCCCAGTAAACGGCATCAACAAGCTCCCTCATACCGACCACAGTCTCAAGATCACAATGGAGAATGGAGCAGAGCATATTCTTCAAGCCACAAGTCATCATGACATGATGGAATGGCTAAGATTGATAAATTTATCCAAGAGGTATTCTTTCCATTCTCAGGAATACAAAGGTAAAACATCAAACAAGATTTTCGGGGTTCCAATTGAAGACGTCTGTGAACGTGAAGGCAGTATAATACCTAATATTGTCGTCAAACTATTGGAGGAAATCGAGCTTCGCGGCCTTGATGAAATGGGTCTGTATAGAGTTCCAGGATCCGTGGGTAGTATAAATGCCTTGAAAGCAGCTTTTGATGAAGAAGGCGCTGTGAGCAACACCTTCACATTAGAAGATGACAGATGGTTTGAAATCAACACCATAGCTGGCTGTTTCAAGCTATATCTAAGAGAACTTCCAGATTCACTGTTCACGAAACAAAAGCTAGGGGATTTTGTTATCCTTGCACTTCAGCACAAAGCTAACGAAATAGACTATGAACAATTCAAGGAAGGAGTTCGTGATGCGCTGAAGACTTTGCCCCTGTACAACTTCCATATGATGAAAAGGACATTTGAACACTTGAATCGTGTGGATCAACATGTTGAAAATAATCGCATGGACGCAACAAATCTCGCCATTGTCTTTTCGATGAGTTTCCTCGATCAAGAAGATTTGGCCGCAAGTATGGGACCAACCTTGGGTGCTCTACAAGCACTTTTGCAATCATTCATTCGGAAACCAGATGATTTTTTTTAGAATTCGCATTTCATCGCTGGCATTACGCGGCCTTGAAACCTTAACTTAAACAATGCCCACATTGGTGCATAGCATTAGCATGTAAAATAGGTAATGACGGACAATCAGCCTTTTAATCGTTTTCAGGAAAAAGTATTTAACATATGAACAACATCTTGTTGTACACAACCGGTTTAAAGTATTTACATGTCGAGACTAAAGTATTTATAGATTGAAAGGACTTAGTTTCTTGAGTTTTTGAAATCGCTTCTGCGGACGATCTTTATGTTCTTGTTGCTCTTGAGCTCTTTCGCAGCTTCTTGCAGTTTTTTTTCGTTGTCCTGCATAGTCTTTCTCCTCTCTGCTTGTAGTCTTGCTTTCTCCATGTTTTCTTTGAAAGTCTCGATCATTCCTTTTGCAGGCGTTCCAGGAGTTGGCTCATGTCTGACAACTTCTGCGATGTTCAGTTTCTGCCTAAACCATTTGTTTCTTAAAGTTAAAGTTTGCAAAACAGAGCAGGCTCCATTAACCGCAAAATACAACACCACACCCGATGCAAGATTCATGGTTGCAGGGATAGACAGTAAAGGCAGAATTGTGAAGACATTTTTCATCATTGGTGAAAATTGCTGGGCTCCAGTTTCACCGCCGAGCCTCGTGAACGAGATGAATACGGAAGCGGTGATGATCTGAAGTCCCAAGTATGGATCTGCCAGCGAAAGATCTGGAAACCAGGCCATACCTTGGTTGACAAAGCCATCCACAGGGTAGTTAGCCATTTGCCTGATACCGGAGAAGAATCCAAGGGCAAGCGGAACTTGAAGGATGGGAGCTGCCAAATACCTGTTTTTGATGCCGTTTTCTGTCAGTAGCTTTTTCCTTTTCATTGCCACGCGCTGGCCCTCCACCATATCGGTAGCAGCCATCAGTTCTGCATTTATGGCGTCTAACTCAGGCTTGATTTTGGAGTTCCGTGCCATAGTATCAGATGATTTGACGTAAAGAGGAAACATCAAAAGACGCACCAAAACCGTGGTGGTAACAATGGTACCCCACCATGGTAAACCCGAATACACATGAATTTGCTCCATGATGTTTTGGATCAGTTCTGGTGGCCACCACCACGACTTTGCCATACCTATACTGCTCAGATAACCAACATGGTTTGAGGCTTCCCCAACTAATTGTGGGATCTGATCACTGACAGATAAGCCAGCGTCCACGATTGATGACGAGGTATCGTCAAATGAAGGTAATTGTGTCTGGATTTCCGATTTCGAGATAGCTGGTTCGGAAGAATTCGACGAATTGAAACGCACAAATGAGGCCCCAGCAAATTTGTAGTTTGAGGATCTTAAAGTTGTCTTTATAGTTGGGCTCAGACACTATTTCAACGAGTATCATGTTTTGTTAGTAGAGTTGGGATATAACAAAAGGTAGGTCTAAAACCATCATTTTTCAACCAAAATCATTCAAAATTTCACTTACAAGTTGAGCACTTCGAGTAGTGCAAATACGAAGCATTTTAACTACAAAATTTGGAGCTTGGCTATACCTTTTCTGCTCTCAAAATATCGAATTTCTTGTCAAATTCCGTATTTTTTCACTTGGAAAGTTATTTCAATAATATTCATAAATGTCGATGTTGATGTTCAGAGGGCATCACCAATTCTTGTCAAGCCAAAACTATTGATCTGCAGCGAATTATAGGGGCTGAAGTAACTGCTAGAGTAACTTTCAACGCTATAAGCGGATTATAATCGAACTTTTGGTAATTTTTGGAGTCTAAAACGGTGCTGTGACCATCGAAATAACGCTTTTCGTTTTGTCGATCTGGTAATCTGATGAGCCATTGAATAAGAGACATTTGTAGGCTGGATAAATTTCGATACCGATTTTGCATTCAGCGCGAGTTGTGAATGAGATATAGCCATGTTTTGAGATATGCGGCTCGAAATCCCGGTTTGGACTCAGCAACGAGACAGAAGCTCATTGCCCAATGCCTTAATTTGGACTTTGACCATTTGTTACAGAGTGTTAAGAAATTACCACTAGATAAACTGGACGAAAGCTTTCTGCACTTATTTCTAGCCAAAAGTGTCCAAAACGCCCATGTCCCGTCTGTAGATTATCTGTGGTACCGGTTTGTGATGGGACGTAAGGTCTTAGCAGTGAGGCCTTCGTTGCTGTGTGCCATTGGAACGCTGGCCCTCAATGGAAACAAGCCATTTTTGCCATCCCAACTGTGTGACCATTTCGATTATTTCTACGGTCAGGAAATCGGTTTTGAAGAAACTCGATTTGAGCTGCTTCGCATCAAAGTCGAAAGTTTTGCCAAGAGTAATTGTGGGCCCGCCACTACGTTCCGCGAAAAGTGGAAGGTATTTTTACAAGACATTGACGGCTGTGTCAATCCTGCATGTGTGTTCCGAGTCCGTGATTTTCCGCATCTATCGCAGTCGGTTCGGGATGCCGACCCGGAGCTGCTGGAGAAATTGTTGTTTAGCGAGAACAAAATCCCAATCAAGAACGCCACCACATTACCCTTGCTGCTGAACATGATCCTGCTTGATGACTCTTTGGACATCGATTTCAAAATCAGACTTTTCTACAATTTCTACGAATCCCATCGCACCCTAAGTTACAACGACTCCATCAGCATACTGTTGCACTATCTACAAGGAGACTTTTACCGAACCACCAAGCTCATGCAATATTTGACAAAAAACTGTCTTCTGATTCCATCGCTGGGAGCTAAGAGTCTTTTTGCTGCCGCAAATGCACAGCATTCTCTCCAAGGGTAAACAAGTCAGTTTTTGTCGCAGCTACTTACCGTTGAAGGCAGAAGTTACATCTTTCGCTGGGCATTCTACTACTTTTATCTTTCCGTTCCAATCTCTTACTTCCGTGTGTGTCTCTCTCTCTCTTTCTGTAAGTGTATTCGCTTAGTTGACCTGTCTATTCGCTCAAGCGTCTGAAAGTGACCATCAACTTCGCCAACAAATACCGTACGTAGACGAACAGACTTATAATCTAGTAAAAGGTTCTGATCTAACCGATCCATGCTTATCGTGTAAAAACTCCAGATCAAGCTGTTTATCTATGTATCGTCGCTCGATAAATATCGAAGCCTGAATAGAAAGTTTAAAAGAACACCAAGATGTACAACTAACGACCTTTCAAAGCTTCGGAAGCCAAACATCATTACTGCTCAACGTATCATCGACAATTGAGGTCGAAATCAACACAGTTTCGCCAACTATCTACAAGTGTCGGTAGTCAAATGACAGCTTGCCAACAGAAAGGTATCAACTTCCTTAGAGGGTGGATCACTCATGAGTTGCTGCCACGAGAGGAAATCTTGAAAGCTACATCAGCACTTTTAACTCCAGAGACCAGAGAATATGACGATGATAGTGAAAACAAACATCCTCTGGCATATGGTTCGGACCCAGGTTCAGAATGGGTAAGAAACGCTGTATGCAACCTGAGCAACAAAGCTTTCCAGTTGGAAAACGATGAGAAGATCAAAAGCCGTGCCGAGTATATCAATTTGACGTCCGGGGCGTCTTACGGCATGTTAAACCTATTGCTGCAAACCACGCTTCCTCATACAGGCTACACAAGACAGGCATTTGTGGTGACACCCACGTATTTTTTGATCAACGAAGCGTTCATCGACGCTGGATTTGGCGGGAAAATCACTGCAATCCGCGAAGAGGGCAACGGTCTGGATTTGCAAAAGCTCCAGGAACGTTTGAAGCATTTTGACAAGCTCCACGAGCATGAAGATCGCCGAGATCATCAACAGGTCGTCAACGCGCCACATTTGAAGCCCAAAAAACTCTACCGGTACGTTATATACCTGATCCCCACTTATTCCAATCCCAGTGGCAAGACCTACTCTCTGGAGTTCCGGGAGAAACTTATCGAGCTTGCCCGTCAACACGACATGTTAATCATTACCGATGACGTCTACGACTTTTTGGACTACGAACAGCCAACTGATCAGCTTCCAAAGCCAGTGTTAAGGTTTACGTACCTCGATAGAGCCACTTTTCAGGGCTCTAGCCAAGATTTCGGTAATACCATCGTCAACACCACATTTTCCAAACTGATTGCGCCGGGCTTGCGGTTCGGGTATCAGGAGAGTGTTAATGGAAACTTGACAGTACAATTGGCCGCGGGCGGAGCCAACAAGTCCGGTGGTACACCTTCCCAACTCAATTCCATGATTGTTGGGACAATGATTCAAAATGGTGACTGTGCCAAGCTTGTCCAACGGACCCGGGTCGTCTTGGGTGAAAGATGCCAGGTTCTTTACGACAGCATCAAGAAGTATCTACCGCGCAAAACCGAATATGAGCTTCAGAAAGGTGGGTATTTTTCGTGGTGCACCCTTCCTGAAGGCTACGACTCCAAGGAAATTTGCCAATTGTTGGCTACTAAACACCATGTGTCCATACCTGATGGTTCTCGTTTTGAGGTCGTGGGAAACCTTGTAGGCTGGGAGAGAAGCAGTGTCAGACTGAGTGTGAGTTACCTAAGTTCTCAAGAAATTGAAAAGGCCGTCCGTCTGTGGGGTCAAGTGGCCAGAGACTACGCTCAAAAACATGATCTAGAGTTCTAAAAGCCTCCAGCAATACGTTACAAGAATAAAACTACTCATGATTCCAAAATTCAGTTGAAAGAACGCTTTTAAATAATAGTTCATGTGTATAATATAGTAAGTTCAATCACTGGAAGAATTTCGACACTTGTTGAACAAAATACTCAGCTCAGGCCCAAAACTATCGTCGCAACAAGAATAAGAAGGCGACACTTGTCATTGAGAAGCGATGACCAGAGTAGTTTAGTTCGTGGGAGTTTATTTTGAGATCGGGCATTTGAAATATTCAAAGATTATAAGGAAATGTCGAACGACCCGTTCGTCGATTATTCCCAGCTTTTATCGCACCTTTTGACAGACGAAGGTGATCTGAATGACGGTGTGGTCTCTTTCCTGTACCATTTGTTTCCAGGAGACCTTTTTGTAAGAGCTATGTCGCTGTTGGACTCTAGAGACATGTTTATCTACTTGTTCGACAAAGCGCAAGGCACTTGCAAGCACAGCGAAAGTACTGAAACCGAACCCGATCGTGATCCATCCTTGTCTACGTCGCACAATTCAGAGGATAGAGTCGTGAAAAAGGGCTTGGAACAAAATCAAAGAGACTTTACTCCGGAAACAACCGAACCTCTCTACTTACAAACTGCAGTGGATCGAAAGCTCGACGCAAACAGTGTTCAAAATGAAACTACGAACTCCCGTGAATCAACGGCGCCGCCATCAACCAGCAATGTTTCATCCGGCATCGAAGAAAAAAATATGGTTGAAGCGCTATACGATCCTGCGCATAAGATTATGAACAGATTGGTGGTCAAACAAAACAACGAGCAGACATCACCTATATGTGTGGATCTTGAACGATGGTTTTGCTCTTGCGAAGAATTCAACGCCCAATTTCTTCAAAATGTTGTCAATTGCACCAGCGCAGGTCCTACCGATCAAAGTACGCTCTACTCTCGAGCAGTACAAGACCTCGACACCAAGCATTCACCGCCACGATCGGACAGGTTCGCCCAATTGCCCCACAATCCGACCGATCAAGTTCAACGCTACTTTCGTCACGAAATGGCGATGTGTCCTCATCTATTGGCATTTGGCATCCTTCTTCAAACATCCACTCGTATCCTCGCCTACTTTACCCATACAAATATGACGGTTTACCTGATCACAGTGCAAAACTTGGACGAGTGGTTAAATTTGCATTTGAATGTGGTAGACTAAGGCTAAAAAAACCAAAATTTGCGCAAAATGTCAATCGCAAATGTGGCTTGCCAACAGGCTATCTGAGGTATGAAGCAGCAAGCATCTGGAGTTGTTTTACTACTCAAACTTGGAGCGACTGATGTGTATCGCTTTTCACGGAAGAGTGCAATAAGGCCCAATATTTCAAAATTTTCCAATATCAAAGCCTAAAGCTCATAATCAAGTTCAACAACTAATTGACAGTTTCCTGAAGGACAAGACGACCACTGTCCTTAATATTGGGATTGTATTCGAACCGACAATTGTCTAAGTGTTTTCAGACACCAACAAACCCCGAGGTTCCTAGCTTTTTTCGTTATCAAAAGGCCCATTTATTTTAATCGGAGCTCATCAGTTGCATAAGTTAGAGCTGCGTCTCGATGTCGAGCAACTTACCGAAAGATAGCCAAGATGGCTCGTACTCCATGTACCCACCTACATCACCAGCCGTTCCATCAGCTAGCATGCAATATCAAATGGGCGCATACGGGAGTCCTAACAATTTTGCAGCACAGTATGGTTACGGCTATCCCATGCCAATGGACATGTATGCGGGCCAAGGTGCTCCATTTATGGGGTACGGGATGAATCCGAACATGATGTACTTTGTGGGGGGAAACAACGGTGGCAATCATGGTGTGCCTCCTCCTAGTGGGCAAAAGAGAAAGTACTACTCTAACAAAAATGAGAATGGGAATAAGAGCAACGACAACCAGTACTACGGAAGTAGCACAAACAAAAGTGGCTCAATTTCTGGAGCCTCCACAAACGCTCATGCATCAGCAAACGGCGCTTCCAAAAGTGTGCCCATCACCATCAAAAATCAGTATAAATTTGAAATTGGTAACAGCAACTCTGTCAGCACCGTTGATCTAGAGCTAAAATACCCTTTTTTCGTTAACGCAGATGCCAAAACTTTTCGTCAGGCTCAGGGCGCCAGAGCCAAGATCACTCTCGCTGCCCTGAACAAAAAATTTGGCCAAAATATGATTATTCCAGGCTCTGGGGTTGAAAAGCAAATTAGCGGAGACGTCAGTGTCGCCGATACGGATGTCAATGTTGATGCTGATGGTGACGTTGACGTCGAAAATGGACAGGATACCACAGAGCAATTTCAAACAGCACCTGCTACAGCGCCGTCTTTCCAGCCAGAGCTCGAATCCACACCCAAGGTTGTTCCTACTGTCGAGTCCAAAGACAAGCTAGCCCAACCTGTTGAAGCTCCAGCTGTTGCAGCACCCGCCAAGAGTGTGAAATCATGGTCAGCAGTGGCGTTAGGTGCTGCAGGTACCAGCGGAACCTCCAAGTCCGCCACAGGTGCGGACAAGAAGGATAAAAAATACGTACCCCCCACGATTAAAAGTCTCGAACCCGTGGGTGTCGTTGCATTGAGGGTCTGTTTCGATCCAGAGTACGTCAAATATACAACTGATAATTTGAAAGCTGCAGGAACGGCCGTGCAGGCCGTCGCCGCTAGGGGTATCGTAAATTCTGGCAACATTTGTTTCATGAGCTCGATCCTACAAATTCTCTTAGTCTGCCAACCTTTTGTGACTCTACTAAATATGATGAGCGCCAAGACGGCTGCCAAAATGGGACCAACTGGCTTTTCTCTGTTGGACGCGTGCCTCGAACTATATCGAAAATTCGACAAACAAACTTTAGACAGAGAAAGGGCAGCCAGAGCCGAGAACGGCACATCGGAACTGTCCGCATCTGTAGCGGATGCCATAAATCCAGAAGGTTTCTATAAAACTTTGTCCAAGCTACCCAAATTCAAGGATCTAAGGTGGGGTCACCAGGAAGATGCGGAAGAGTTCCTGACCCATCTACTCGACCAATTACACGAGGAATTTGTGCAATCTATCTGCATGCTCTCGGAGAGCGATATATCAAAATTGATCAAGAGTCTCAATGATGAACATTCAAAGGTTGTTCTTATTAGAAACTTGACTTCCTACAAAGATGCCGACTTCATCAAGAATCCTTCGACCGAGCTAAAGAGTTTGCTTGAAAGGTATGGTGCCGGGTCTGATGACACGGAGGAAGATCCAGAAAAGGGCTGGCAGGAAGTGAGCAGCACAAGCAAGAAAGGCAAAAAGACCAAGACAGCTGCCAAGAGAACCGTAATTGTCGAGCCTTCTCCAATTTCCGTCATCTTCGGAGGTCAATTTCGCTCCGTCTTGGACGTTCCGCAAAACAAAGAGCCTCAATCAATCACTTTAGATCCATTCCAGACCATTCAACTCGACATTTCCGACCCTGCTGTTGAAGATCTGGCGAGTGCATTCCGCAAGTTCAGCGAATCGGAACAGATTCCCTTCAAGACCACTACAGGAAACAGCGTAGAGGCAAAGAAGCAAACTTTCATTGATAAACTTCCGCAGGTCCTTCTAATACAGCTCAAAAGGTTCTCGTTTATCAACAACACAGACAAATCTAAGATCGTAAATTACAATGCATACAGTGGCCGAGTGGAGAAGATTCGGAGGAGGATTAATTATGGCCATGAACTCACGATACCGACCGAATCTATAGCGACGAATACGACTCTTTACAAGCCAGGTGGGTCAACTTACAAACTGATAGGCGTGGTATACCACCACGGTCTAAGTCCAAGTAGCGGTCACTACACTTGCGATGTTTTCAACGAAAACCTCGGTAAGTGGTACAGAATAGATGACATTAGTTTGCAGGAACTGGACGAAATGGATGCTGTCTCTGGGGGAGAAGAGGAAAACGACTCAAGGACTGCCTACATACTGTTGTACCAAAAGTTGTAATGTGTTTTTGAATAGAATGTGTAATGAATGAATTATAGAAGACTGAGACATGGGGTGGACGGAAGTGCCGTACCTTACGGGGTTTAAGTCGATGTGATGGCTGCGGAACGAATTTTGATTGCATTCGGCCTGGTTCAGTGATGTCTGAACTTTCGCGGCTCGAGATTTGAGCCAGTGCATGAAGAGGAGTATCTCACAATAGACGCTATCGTCTTTTGATGTCTTATTACGCAGCTTGAGCCCAAATGATAATGTCATAGTACTAAAAGGTGTTTATAGTATGCCTTCCTTGTGAAGAGATGTCAACTCTGAACACACACAACACAATGAAACGAAACGCACAAGCAAACGAAATCGTGAGCAGAGGTTTGTTCACTTCGAAAATGAACAAATTTGATCGGAGAGCTGAATGCAAAGATCGAATAACAAAGTGTTATCGATTGCCTTGGAAATGCACTGATTAAGAGCTAAATGTGCTTGGCGAAAAAACCCACCTCTAGCAACCTCTCACAGATGATCCCTGAATTCTCCCGAAGAGTTCTCAATCGCTGCAGATAAAGGCAAGACTGGCTTTAGTGTAAAAGCATTTATGACCAATGCATCGATAACGCATGAAGAAAGTTTTGCCTGCAATGATTGTTATGTCTACCAACCGTTGTATTTGGCAACCTGACACCTCCTTGCAAATGCATTGTCTAGACGACGTCAGGATTGTAACTAATAGCGATAAACATGTAACCCGTGTCTTACTGCTAATGGCTGCACACGCTAAAAAAACAGGCATTTTCTCGATTTTGAGGTTTGCTGCTATTGACAGTATCACGATCAAGATCTAAAAGTCGACCTCTAGATCGTTGAGATAGCGAATATCTATGAATTGCATTGCTTTAAGGGGAATGAGCCGCTTCTTCTTCACTCACGAATCTGAATTGTTCTTGCATGAGATCTGCCTTCAATTTACTGGTGAGGTGACCGTTGATGTCAAGGGATACGTGTAGCTCTTTGTGTGACGGTAAATTCCTCACCAGTGCAGGGAAATTATCTAGATACATGATGCATGTTGCCAAGACCAGAGTATGTACCTAGTCTTGGATACCAATGGACTGGAAAAGTCACCAAATGTCAAAATATTGAAGAAAAATAATGGCCACTAATGGACAATTTTGAGAAATATGCACATATTTTGGGCTTTTTAGCAGTGTATAGATAGCTGTCGATTGTGGTGTTCTCTATTGAGAAAGTTTGTCTTTAGAAGCACCCTGCCGGCAAAAATAAAGGTCCAAAACGAGAAAGACCTTACTCAATCTTAGCGTATATTTAACCCATATATAATCTATTTCAAAAATAGCAATGATGGCTCTCTAGCAGTCGAGTTACCACTACTGAATGAGATCGTATTTCTCTACAGGGCAGAGTACCAGTGGTGTCATTGTCAGAGTCATTATTCAATTATCAACAGAAAACGACACTTCCGTACAAACGTACCAAGGCCGATCTTCCAGTGACGGCCTCATTATACAGGACAAGAACAAGGTTGAAGTACTTGGCCTACAGTCAATCTGGCCTCTCCATTCCTCTGTGTTCTTTATAGGGTTTTGGATTGATTAGAATAACGTTGTATGTTATATATTCATACGACATAATCGAGAATTTTCTGTAAAGCCTGTGTGTCAGTAAAATACATCAATACAGGTGCCAGCACGAATGATGAATTCAAAATCATCATGTAAGGATGTAGGTTTTACTTTGATGCGACTCTTGAACAGAGCTTTGACAGAGGTTTTTATCGCTGTCTAGGCCATTTGGGTATGGGAGGAGGCTATGTGACAGCACGAACGAAAAAAGATGCGTTTCCATCTTACTGGTATGATGGTTGAGAAGTGAAAAAATGGTATTGTTCGTTGCTTCTTATATCAACAAAGCGACCACTGCGGCAAGACCAGCCACACGTCCCACAGTAGCCTTATTGGCGGCCCCCGTGAGTGTCGAGACACCAGCAGTTGTGATGGAACCGGCTACCGTTGAGGATCCAGCAGAGGCAGATACACCTGTGATAAACGAGGTTACTGGGCCGCTAGAACCAGAGGAGATAACAGCAGTCTGTGTTACTGACCCGGAAGGACCGGTTGAGACCAAAACCGTTGTTACTGGGAGTCCAGGACTACCAGGTGACCCGGCAATCACCGAAGTAACTGGGCCAGCCGAACCTTGAGTGACTACAGCGGTTCGAGTTACAGGACCCGCGGCGCCTGTAGAGACTAAAACGGTTGTAACCGGTGTGCCGGGACTTCCGGAACCTTCGGGATTACCAGAGCTGCCAGGAGACCCACCAATAACCGAAGTGACAGGACCTTCTTGTCCCGAGGAAATCACAGCGGTTTGTGTCACTGGACCAGACGGACCGGACGAAACGATAACGGTGGTCGTTACACCACCAGTATACGTACCTCCAGCACCAGCACCAGCACCAGGACTACCACCATTCGTCGCTGCTGCACCGCTCGTCAACGTCAAAGTCGTTGGACCGGAGACAGTGTAGGTTGCTCCGTATGTAGTGATGGTTGTTGGTGATGGTACGAACGTCGTAACAGCAACGCCCGTCGCGACTGTGGCAGTAGACTTAGTGAGCACACTGGTGATAGTGCATGGACAGTCTGTAATTGTTAGCGTTGTGGGTCCAGTAACGGTGTATGTTGCGCCGTTCGTGGTGATTTTGGTCGCTGCTGGGCAATAAGTAGTCAAAATGGAGACCACTGAGAGCTGTGTAACCGTTACGGATGCCCCAGTTGCTTCTGTACCTGTTTGTGCTGGTGCAGTCCTTGAAACGGTGGCCGTCAGCGTGGTTGGTGAGGAAACCGTGTATGTCTCTCCGTACGAGGTGAATACGGTTGGCGATGGGCAGTAGGTGGTAAAGACAGTGACGGCACTGGACTGGGTGGTGGTCACCACGGATTGTTCCGATCCCGTTGCGATTGAAGAGTTGCGGAAGTACTGAGCATTGGCACCTACGCCCAGGAGTGTGGCAACGGTAATGCTGGCGAATCGCATTGCTTTTAGAGATTCGACAACAAAAAACTTAGCGAGCGTAGAGGTACTTTTACCCAGCGAAAACAGCCAGAAAGAACAATTTAGAAAACCATTAGCTTTCCGGTCTGATTGGCAATTTCTGGGGCCTCCTAGGGCGTAAATATATACCCATTTTTCCCAGTTTCCCAATCTTCCATCAATCTGACCTGGTGTGTAAATTGGACTCTACCCATACCATCGATCCCATGGATGAGAGCCTTATTGATCCAACATCGGCCATAGCTCCGTTTAAAGCAGCCCCGCTGTGTTACGCGCGGTTACCGCATGCACAGCTATCGCTTAAGTGGGATCTGGTGATCGTTCTACAGGCTTGCCTGCAAGTTCCTGCACAAGTAAGGCTGAAAGAACTATGGTCGTCTTTACCGTTAACGGTAAAAGTGTAGACTGTCGGTGTACAAACGGACAGGACGTTATTCAGACGTTGGCGATAGAGACCTGTGGAGACCTGGCTAGGGAGTTTAAGGTCAAAAGAGGCGATATCAAAAAAATAGTCAAATGGGAAATGTGCGCGGGCTGCTTGCAGTTGGATGTTGCTGTGGAAGCAGACGCAAAGATCCAAGACTAGAATAAGGAAATCAGATGGTAGCTGGACTATCTTTGACTCCTCATGCGGTATTGATATTGGTGAAAATGCAGGAAGTGCCTAGCGTGCGTTAAGGTGCAGCTAGCGTGCATATGCACGCATGAGAACAATGGATTAATTATGAGAGGCACAGGCAAGTACCAAAAGGAAGCAACGGGTAGTGATGGTTAGCCTGAGTGCAGGTGCAATGCTAAAGTTACAGTTAAGCAGCGGGTCAAGTGGTGTTTTGAAGGTCGGCGCTCAACATATCTCCAAATGTTGTGATGATGGCGGTGCCAAGCATTTTTGGCACTGGCATGCATGAGATCCGTGCGATGATCAGATGTCCGTGCAATGACCTGAACTCCTTTGCTCAGCCAATGTGTGCTTCTAGAGCAAAGTCTCTTGTTAGCTATCCTTTGCAGCTTTCAAGATCACTATCAGCCATTTGCATCTTTAGGTTATGAAAGCGTGTGGGGTGTGTGTAAGTGTGTATCTGTGTGTGTGGGGGGTGCATGTAGAGCACTCGTTGTTGTCTATACTGCTTCTCCCTCTCCCTCTCCCTCACTGTCGTACAGTACTGCTGTATCTTTTGGAGTCTCTTCCTTGTCTGCAGCTTCGTGCAAGTCGGTCAGTCTAGGTGTAAATGGTAAAGTGGACCATTCATTCGGTGAGAGTCTGGATCGCTTGGCTTCTTGCGAAAAGAAAGAGGAATAGCTATCCTCATGTCCACTTGAGGGCCTCGCCTGCGTTGTATTCTGTTTTTCCCGATCAGAAACTGCATCTGGGCCCTCTGGTTCCTTGGCGTTTTGCGCACCACCGTTCTGTTGTGCGCATGGTTCGCCTGGCAGCACCTGTCCTTGACTGACGTGCGTCTTTGCGTCCAGTTGCTTGATGGGGCTTTTGTTATCATGCATTAACGGTACGATAACATCACCATCCGGTCCTATACTGAGATCTTGCACCATTGCTATTCTGTGCTTGCTAGGAACCCGATTCCAAGGCCTGGACCGATCCCATTCCAAGAAAATCCCAATCCGTCGCTTCAAAAACACCTCCCACACCTGGTCCTTGCTCCCGACGCCGAGGTTCGCCACCAACGCACTTCGTAGTACCTGGACCGCCTTGCGTTTGCTACTTCTGACCAAAAATGGAGATTCTTCAGTGTAGGATTGGAACTGCGCGGTCCAGGATTCATTGGAATTATTATGCGACCCACTCGTTGTGTATCCTGTGTTCATGGCATCGTTGAACATCACAATGGCTGTCTTGTAGCGTTGAGCGTACTTGGTCATCGCTGTGAACAGCGTAATAAGACTCTTGTTCTTAAACTGATGGACAGAATCAATAGCTTGGGAGGATGAGGTACTGTGTAAGTAGCTTGATACTACTTTGGATAGTCCTCTAATCACAATCAGTTCGTATTTCCTTTCCTGCTCATAGATCTCTCCTCGACTCTGCTCTGCCAGTTGTTGGAAGTAAAACACATATTGTGTAAACTTGTCGAATTTGACATGGTCCAAGCCTTCAAGATCATATAGTGGCGTTGTATGGTGTGCATCAATCCATAGCGTCGAGCGATTTGTCTGGAGAGCTCCTTTTGCCAAGTTTGTGCCGATTTCAGCTATACCCATCCCAGGTAGACCAAATACTTCATAGATGCATTTAGGTTGGAATCCTTTCAAAACTTGGTCCAGCGCCTCATAACCACTTAAGAATGGCTCTGGTTGCTCGACTATCAGCTGTGACAGCGAAACGCCCAAGGACATCGCTGCTTGTAGCGATGAATTGAGTTTGATTTTGAGTTTCGATGAGATGAGATGAGATGGTTGAAGAAAGCCGATTTTTGAGCCTGATTTTAAAGACGTGGTCAAACAGCTAGTTAGAATGTAAATGCGGTGTTATTCTACACCAGTGCCGTACTTTGTATGCTATTTAATGTTACAATTAGGTTACGTTTGTCAATAGTTGTTGTGTGTGCTGAAGGTAGCGTGAAAGTCTATGCAGTTTGCAGTCCCTTCATTAAAGCCAGAGACTATGATGAAACGAGTTTTGAAATTGGCTGGCTGGCTTGCTTGCATCCATCGTCTTCGGTCCTGCAATCTGCAATGGCTCTTTAGCTCATTTCACTCCGTTAAGGGCCAGTTGACTTGACCTACAAAAAGTAGTCCATTTGAGGCTTCTTGGTCGGTATTATTGCGTTACCTACATCGTCCTGAGCAGGTACAGCTTCGAAAATCATATAGTTCCTGTCCAGCGTGTCCTCGATGCGCAGGACCGCTGCCACGTTCCCGCAACGGTAACAATAATTCGGCGCAGACCATACGGTGACGAGCCCGCCGTCAAACATTTCCTTGTAGCCCTCCATCACAAGCTGGTGCGCACGCGCGATGAGCTCAAAGTCGTTGGTATGCAAAAACTGGTCCACCTCGTTCTTCCCAAAGAGGAATCCAGCTCCTCGCGGGGACAAAGACCAAGTACTCACCTCGTCCGGATCACTCCATAGTAAGTCACACATTGCGCCCTCATGCGGTACCTCCTGTTTGCGGTCAATAGCACGGATTTGATTGATCGTGGTCACATCAGGTGAAAGACCGCCGTGTACGCAGAAAACCCTCCCATTTATGATTGCCCCTAAGGACAGGTAGTCGAAAACTTCACAACAGTATCTCCAAACGTTGCTGTTACCGTATTTCCGCACAATCTCGTCATAAAACCCGTAAACTTTGGTGATTTGTCGAGTTTCATGATTGCCACGAATCATGGTAATACGATCCGGATATCGCAGCTTGTAAGTCAATAAAAGTAAAAAACTCTCCAGCGAATAGAATCCACGATCCACAAAGTCTCCCAAGAATATATATTTGTTGTTTTCCACACCTCCGCTCTTGTCGAACAAAGTCAAGAGATCGTGCAGTTGTCCGTGGATATCCCCACAAATCGTCACTGGAGTATCCACATGCGTTACATTGGCCTCGTTCATAAGCAGTTCTTGCGCTCGCATACATAGCTCAAACACCGTCTCTTCTGAGACGTGTTTGCCCTGTCTGAGCAGAGCGATGGTCTCATCAAGTTTCATCTGATTCCACCAAAAACCAACGTAAAAGTTACTCACAGACCTTTGGATTCCTTCGTCTCTTATAAAAGTGAACCCGCGGATTACGATGCAATGGTGTTTAGACCTATTTGAAAAGTCCTTAGTGGCTTTTTTCGGAGGTGAAGCTTGAGTTCTTGACACTTTTTTCAACCTCATCGCTTGAAATTTTTCAGAGCTAGTATTTAAATAGGTAATTAATTATCAAGAAAGCCGATGTGATGTGATGATGTTTATCGAGAATTTCAAGACCAAAGTACACTTTTTACGCGAATTGAGAAGCGGCTCAAGGGATTACGGGCAGAAATGGTGGACCAGATGAAACTGCTGAAATGGGGGAATCCAAGACTTTTTTCGGACTCACTTTGCGACTACTACCCGACGAGTTATGACGATTTGAACGCGTGGCTGGCGCGCGATCGCGAACTCCCGCTTGAAGTACCCATAGCTGGTCCCACACAGGTGGACTTGCTCGATGCTGTTCTCTACAGGAAAAAGGACGGTGAGCTCGATCTGGAGCACAAATTGCGGGCCGAATACGCTCTGTTTCAGGCCACTTCTGGGAATTTGAAGGCAGAACAACAAAATCAAGCGAGTTTGAAAAACAAGAGTGAGATTCTGAGTCTGATTCGAGAATTAGGATCTGTGGCTTTGAATGAGGATAACCTTGAAAAACTTTGGCGCGTCCAACGCGATTCTGAAGATGGTGAAGAAGACGCCATTCCTAGCCCATCTGCAAGCCGAAATCTGCAACAGAAGCAATTGGACGAAGTGACCTCTTACTTATTGTCGAGTGCACTCCAGCGTGACATCAATCTCAAACCACCTCGAGAAGTGGCTCCCCACGATGATGTTGCGTTCGTCAAACAGTGCATTGACGCCCTGATGAATGTGGTGAATAAACAACCCACAGACTTGCCAGAGGGCAAAGCTCCGCAGACAAACGACGACACCACCACCGCATTAAAAGATTTGCAACTGGCCCACAGCTTCCTGACCAAAAAATTCGAAAATGATAGAAATGAGTATCTTCACAGCATAGAAAAACTAAACAGGACTCACAAAGAACTGGTTCAAGAAAACACAACACATATTTCCAAGATTTCGGACCTAGAGGATAAATGCAAGAGCTTGGAGCATCAGAAGGACATTTTGACAAGGCACGTGGAAGGCTTGACCACATCTATTACACCCACTACAATCTTGGCATCTCCTCTCTCAAGTCCCGGCTCTGCAACAGGCAACGGAAACTCATATTCGATTGGCGCAATGAGAGCGGAGTTCAAGAAAATTCTCACAGAAACCCGCCTAAAACACGAGGAGGAGCTCGATCGTGAACTATCTTTGCGCAGGACACTGGAGAAAGAACTGGGGCGATAGAGCCAAGGAACTTTATTTACAAAAAATTCACCGTCTCGAGAAGAAGCGCTAGCGCTCTTATTTTGTAATTATATATGGAGAGAAGCTTGTTATTTGTAAAGGTAAGGCGGCAGTGAGATAGAGTATATTCCTATGCATTTGGTCAATTTAGCTGCTTTTTGTCCACCGTTTCGTGACTACAATTTGCGGAATTCACTCAACACAGGGTAGATAGCCTCAAACGCTTGATAAATCTCTTCTCTCTGTTTCGCACCGGTGAGCACAATCTTCCCAGAGACGAAAATCAGCAGCACAATTTTGGGCTTAACCATTCTGTAGATAAGACCGGGGAAGAGTTCGGGTTCATAAGAAGAAAAAGTACCGTGAGAGAAGGCGAGACCTTCAAGACGTATAGGAAATTTCACATCACACGATCCAACGATGTTTTGAATTTTAAAGTCAGTGAATTTGGCACTGAATCCAATTTTCTGTATAATCCGTGCGTACTTTCTGCTTGCCAGTTTTGAGTCGTCTTCAGATTTGGCACCAATGACAACCATCTTACCGGACGCAAATATTAGCGCCGTGGTCTTGGGTTCTCTAATACGCATAATCACGGCTGCAAACCGTTTTGGGTTGTACTCTGCATTTCTTGCGTGCAATGCAACTGTTTTCAGGTCCAGTCGACAGTCCAAGTTCACTGTAGCTACAATATTCTGTAGCGTGGGTACAATACCAGACGTTGTAGCACTTTGACCGTCGTCATCTTCAGTCTTTGATACATTACCGTTTGAGTTCTTTTCCTGAGATTCCCATACAGATCGCGTGCTGGGGTCAAATACAATCTTGTTAGCCTCCTGGAAATCCTTGAGGCGGTTTTCTTCCGACATCGTGACTAGTCAGAACGTATCAGCGAGCCTTTTCTGATCCCACCGGGTTGTTTCCTGGTTGTTCTGTACTTGTTGATGATGGTGATGAGCATCTAATTTATATATAAATTTGAGTTTATAGCTTTTAAAGTTAAAGTTAACGATTCCAAATGACTTTTAAGGTCAAAAATCTAGCGACTTGAAGCGTCAGTGTTATCCTAAGAGTTTCAATCGTGTCGAAAACTGTGTGCTACGATCTTGTAGCTTCAAAACGCGCCTTCAAACTGCTTCATTGAAGCTCTGAACGCCTCTTTAAGTATATATGTGTCTTGAGTTAGATTCTGAGATAGTTTTACATTTCAAGTAAGGTTTTCCCGCAGAAAGCATGGATTTCAAGACTCTGTATCAACTGAGTCATGAATATGCGGATTACGCGCACAAAATGCGACCCTTCTTGGCCTCTGACGCCCACGTTAAACAATACAAAATGCTGATATACCACGCGGTAAATGCGCTAAAGTTGATCAAGTCAAGCCACCAGCTTAGTGCCGAACGAGACGTGATAGTCACACTGGAGCTCTGCGACTTACTTGTGCAGGAAACTCATGATTTAGACTTGGCTGAAATGTACTTGTCAAGCGTTCACGAACGCCTTTACGGGACCACCCTACTTCACGAAAAAATGCTTATTACCTCTGCCCTTGTACAAGTTGCAAAGGCAAGAAATTCTGCAAAATACTTCAAAGACGCTCTACGGCTGGTAACGGGGGCTCTTGCCGACCTGGAAATGTCAAATTCACGCTGGCTTCTGTATTTTCAATTACAACGCATCGAAATCATTGTGGCAACCACACCTTCCGATCCTAAAATATCCAAACTCTACCATACGCTTATCGCCAGTTGTGAGGTAGCTCCGGATATGCAGCTCTTTGTCATATGCTCTTATGTTTGTTACCAACTCAGTCAAAACCAAATTATCGATGAGGAGCACCTCGGCACTCTTCGCTCATTTCCAGACGCGAAGCTTCCCGTACAACTAAAACTCTGGAGGAAACTTGTTGAGCTGCTGGTCCTGATCTATCGCGATCTCAACATAACCACAAAACTTGCCGAGTTCAAGGATCTGATCACGACTCACAAGAAAAAACTGACTGATTCCACTTTTCATCTGCATCTCGACGAGTCGGTTTCAGTTTCGATTGATACACCTATCGCGCGCTATAAAGATTTCAAAAATATCATTTTGCTGTTCCAGAGTGTGAGCTACTTGACGAACTGTTACGATAAAAAGGCCAACTTTTCATTAAGGTTCTTACCTAAAATTCGAATAGCTGCTGAGGAGCTCAAACAGCAATCAGAAGCAGTTAATTCGGAGCTGGTACACAGTCGAAAGAGTTTTTACAAGCTCATAAGCGATCTTTGTACATATTACATTTGTTTGGAAAGCCTAATATTGACGGGAAGCTGTGCTGACATCGAGGATGAATCAGACTACTCAAAACTAGTTATCGCAATGAAGGCTCAGTTGACTCATGATACGGAGCGTGCTTTAGATAAGTTCGCTGATCTTCAACACCCTAAAGCTGCGCTCGAGTTTCGAATGATTGGCCTCTGCTCGACATTTACCATCCGAATAGCCGCTATGAGTAGAGCTGGAGGTACTGTTTCTTTCCCTGACTACCAGGCAGTAACTGAACTATGGAAAAGCATCACCTCATTGTGCAGCTCGCATGATTTCCACCAAAACCATATATGGGATTGTACCATGGTAATTTTGTGGATATGCAGTCACTTCCAACCATTCACAACTGCAAAACTATCCAAGGAGGATGATCCGGGGTTTTTGAAAAAACTCGCATTTTACTTCTCTGCTAACAGCTTTGCTCGTACTGCTAAAAATGAATGTGGCGGCCCCATTCAAAACCCTGAACATGGGCCTAACTTAAAAAAATCACTTCTCTTACACTTCCTTTTGAATTATTTGGCCAGCGCCGTTCTCGTTAATGATCTGGAGGAAAAATGCATGATAACAAACACCTGCTTTCATCTAGGAAAGCAACAGCATATGCCATTGATGGAGTACACATCTGGTTTGTCGCATCTATTGAATTGCGGATTAGCCATGAAAAGCAAGGATGTCTCTATCACTAGAAACAGGTTAAAAGAGGTCGTCGCTAATCTACTCAACGAAGGGTTCCAACAACAGAGCACCGTTGCTGCTAGCTAATATTTATCATAATAATCGTTTTTATGGCCGGAGGTATTTAAACTGCAAGTTACTACTCAATTGCTATCTTTCAATGACGCAGAACGTCTCATGTTATAAGCAACACCAGCCTGTTCTGATTTCATACTACTCTCACTATCTTTGATGTGACCACGGTCATCCAAATCGACAGTGCCCGCACTTTGGAAAAGCGAAACGTCGCCGACCAGTAGTCCCAGTGTGTCTAACACTTGCTCAGGATCCGTCAAATGAGCTTTAGCAACAGTCTTCTTTGAAGCGGAACCCACTGTCACGGGGTAAAAACCGTAATGCCCACATTCGTTCTTATCATTGGGGAATTTCTTCTCCCAAACTTTCTCGATATCATTCAGTTGCGAGAACATGTCTTCGTCAGTGAAGTCATCACCCAAACACAAGATAAATTCTGGCAACCGATCTTTCGATATAGTTTCGTCAATCTTGAAGCCCTCGTCATCATACAGTTGCTTTTCCCCCAGAGGATGCCAGACTAACCTTTTCACAATCTCACCTTTGTTCACGAACTTAGGGCGAACTTCGACATTGGCTTTGCCTTCCATGACTTCCAGTCCAAGATCACTGGCAAATCCGTCAAGAGTCGCCTTCAGTTTTGCGGCGTAGAACTCACCTTGTTCAGGATCTGCTCTCCTATAATGCCAAGTAAGAGCGACTTTTTTCTTTTCAACAAAAGATCCTGGTGTCTGCACCGTAATCTGATCCATGACATCATTTACCTTTTCTTGCCACGACATATCGAATTTGGTGGTCAGGTTGACCCATTCCTCTGCCGCGACATCTTTCATGAAACATCCGTGTTCGGCACTCAAGCCCAACTGAGGCATACGCGATCCCAACCATTTTGAGAGGAACTTTTGATCTCTACCGGAGATGATCCAAATTTGATTATTAGGATCAGCTGCCAACTTTGATAGTATGCGGAAAAGTTTGGAGCTAGGGATAGCTGCTGCTGGATCTTGTACAATCGGGGTCAAGGTCCCATCGTAATCGAAAAGAAACAACCGACGCTTGGTGGAACGATAGGTACGCAACAACAATGGACGGTTGAGAGCGGGAGTTATCTTACTATCTTCCGAGTCCTTTTTCTCAGCGATAGCGACCATTCTCTTGAGAAAGTTGGCATTCCAATCTTGCGTCGTAGGCACTCTAGACCACAGCTTATCCTCTAACGTGGCTTTTTCTTGCGATGTCATCGACAAGGCTTTTTTAATTGCCTTAGAAACTGCAACGGAATCCCAAGGATTGACAAGAATTGCGTTCTTCAACACAGTGCTGGTTCCGGAGAATTCGCTTAGTATAAGAGGGTTAGCGTAACAGTTCACCTTTGATGACCTGCTTTTCACGGTGACGTACTCCAGAGCAGTTGTATTCATGCCGTCTCTGACGCTAGTGATTAGACAAAGATCAGCTGCCCTCAACAAGGAGTAGTAGACGTCTTCGGGAATGCGCATATGGTAATGTTGCACTGGTGCAAAATTCAAAGTTCCGTATTGAGAATTGATAGAGTTGACAAGGTCATTAACTTGTTGTTCGAGCTTCAAGGCGTTATCAGCGGACGTTGGTCTGCTCACCTGGATCAACACGACTTTATTTCTCCATTCTGGATACATTGCCAAAAAGGCCTCGAATGCCTGCAATTTTTGGACCACTCCTCGCACTGTGTCGAGTCTGTCTCTTCCGAAAATGATTTTCTTGCCCTCATAAGCAGCCTTGATCGTTTCCACTTTGGCGTCAATGTCGGGGGTGAATGCCTTGCGCAAGATGAGCTCGGTGTTGACACCCGTCGGCAACGAGTCGACGACAACGTCACCACCATACGCACTGATAAGCCATTCGTCTCTGCCCTTAATGTTTGTCTTGTTTTTCGTAGAAGTCGAATCCAAAAGTCTTTTGCATCCCGATACAAAATGGCGGGCGAAACCGTCGTTTTGGAAACAAACGCGGTCGCTTCCAAGAATACCATCCAGCAATTGCTTACGTTTGGATAAACACCTGAAATATTCGTTACTGGGCCAAGGTGCGTGGTGGAAGTATGCTATGACAGCATCTTCAAACCGCATGCGCAAAAGCTGGGGCAAAAGCATGAGATAATAATCGTGAACCCAAATGATGTCTCCGGGTCTATAAATTTGAGCCACTTTGGCAGCGTAGGCTTCGTTGAATTTGACGTAGTCGTACCACCAAGTATTCTCTTGTTGACCGTCTGAAGGGGCATTCAAGATATAATGAAGTGCTGGCCATACTACTTTTTCAGCGTATGCACGCCAGCGGCCTTGGTCTCTACGTAAGAGCCACACAGGGTGCACGGTCATCTTGTTCTGCGAATCCTCTTGACTTTGTAATTTCTCAGCCATAGTCCGCTTCTGTTCTTTAGACAGATACAAAGGGTCCTCATTGAGTTCTTGGGAGTTGTATTTGGAGTCTTCCGTGGCCTCCTCGCTGGTTTTCTGCAGATCTGTGGGTGCAATGTACGAAAACGCATTGCCGGGGTCAATTTCGCCCGTCCATCCTACGACATGTTCCTCCCAATCTGGGGAATCCCGCAAAAGGTACAATGAAGAATGGAGAGCACTATTGCCACTTATGGGCTCCATAATCCACTCGTCAGAAGGATCATCGCCCCGCGATGCCGAGTATTTGTCGTTGCGGCCGATACGGTAAGGAAGCTGGGGGACACAGTTAATGATCCGACCCGACACGACGGGGCCGGCGGGCTTCTTCTCAGGGGACTCGAACTGGTCTGGGCCACTGGGTTTTTCGCTCATTAGACCTTTGCAGCGCTATTGGGCTTTGGTTATTTGGGTTTAGTATCAATTGTTGTTCTTGACTTGACTTTGCCAACTTTGGTTTGCTACACAAGCAACACAAGCAACCCCTTTCAATCTTTCCCTTTGAGCTTTTCATTCTTCGCTGAGGCTCAGGTGATCGGTATTTTTTTTTTTTCGTTCTGAGTACTCGGGCAAAAAAAGAAACAAAGACAACAGAGAGAAAGAAAATGAAACTCGATTTTTTCCAAAGTGTCACGTGAAATGAAGGGTCATGTGAATTTGCTTACCTAATCGAAAAATGCCACGTGATTTCTGTAGTACATCATGGTCGACGAAACGCGTTTTTGTGGATTAAACATACACTCTCTTTCACCATACTTCAAAAACACGATTGGTCAAAAGGTAGAGCTTGGCGAGGATATCTTGTGAGTTCTGCTGCATCGGCAGCTGTGGCGAATCCAGCAGGGCCGGTTTGGTGTTTTGAACGCCTTGGTTGAGCTGCGAAATACACTGGAGATTGGCGTGAACGCGCTTAAGATATTGGGCTGTAATGTTTTGTTGTTGTTCCACTGAAAACTGCGCCGGATTGGCATTCATCTGATTGATTCGTGCTAGAAGCACGCTGTTGATGTGCAGAAGTAGTTGAACTTTGTACTGCGCGTGTATGTGGTCGTTGTTCATGGCGCTTAATGGAGGATTATAGCTGTGGTTCGTAAAGGAAAGTCAGATGCTTTGAGACGCCGATGAATATAAGAAATTAATTATATTGATAAGATGAAATAAAACCGTTGATAGTGATTTGTAACGGTTTTTTGGTAGAGTGTAAGGTTTAATAGGGGCAGACACGGGATTGGAATTTCCTGGCATGTATTTTCAATAGCCTTGGTGCTTGGAATTGAGGGAAGGGAAGTTAGAATTTTCAGTGAAAATGATGTCACTTTGTACGTAAAATGTGTTTGGACACGATTCTTATTGCTGTGGAGAAAGGTCAAACGGGACGTAAAAGCAGATTCCTTCAGCGAGCAAGTATTTCCAGTACCTTCTGCTTTCCGCTTTTGGATCCATTGGAGCTTTTTAAAAACGTAATCCGTTGCTAAAGTGTAGCACGTGACCTAATGGACGTCTCGAAAGTCACTACGAAAGCATTGTGCAAGACTTGTAATGATGGGACATGGTTCCAAAAATTTGGGCCGTCTTGTAATGTAAAAACAGTGCGATAGGAGCTGCTGTTACGCGTTTACGGTGACCTTGAAAACTACATGTGTGACATTATTATAGACGCGTTGATGCTTTCCATCAAAGTTAGACGTAGTTTCCTTGATTATAGCCTGGTTTTGTATCTCGAGGCCCCGGTCAAAAGCATGAATCTTCTTGAGTCACTGCACTTTTCATTTTTTCACTTGACGGAATTCATGTTTTGGTGAAAAAGACGATTTTTCAAGAGAGATGAGTACGTTAACGTCAGCGACAGAATTGAAAACAAATTAGCTTCCAGCACCCAAGCCCAAAGGCTTCATAGAAAAATGATGGCCACTCAACCTCAATGGAATGAATAACCCAGGGTATGGGATGGTTGTTGCACCACGACACTCCAGAGACTCAATCCGAGTCTCACAAGGAGCCGAACAAATGATACAGGTGGAAAAAAGCTCTTGACACTTGAGAGCATCAGAAATTGGCTGCACCTAGGGGATCAATTCAAAGCTCGAGGCTGTATGTTTACCAATCTGACGCTGTCACCGATCACGTGAGGAGGTGTAAGAGGTGGAACGGACAATCAGCTAGGAGTGTTAAATCTGAGCGAACGATACAATCGAGAGTGTCGACTTTTAGCAGACTTAAGTGCTTCTGCTCTTATTTGTTCAGACGCGCTTGTACTTATTTTTCAGCCGAGAGTCTCAGTTGTTCAGGTGTTTCAGTCTTCTCTACTAGCGTCGGTAATAAAGTGTTCAGCAGTGCTTTTAGCCGTCTGTACTCTTCGCAATTGAGAGCGTCAGCGATCATTTTTCATGCTCGTAGATACGCATACGAATCACAACTGAGAGCGTTAGCGAACAATTGTTCATGTGTGCTTGTCGCCTTATGCTTATAGCCATCTTTACTACTCTCAATTGTTCATGCTTATGGCCTTCTCTTCTATTCACAACTGATCGCTGACGCCATAAGTTGCTCTGCAGTGGTGTTGCTGAATGTTGGTAAATGAGGAGAAAACATAAAAATTGGGAATTGGGGTGAGAGTTGTGGATTCGGAGTTCAGCAGTTGTTATTATTAAAGGAAGTGATGAGGGGCCAGAATGCGAAGAAAGAATAACATTGGGAGCTATTAGGTGTGAAATGATTGTATAATCAGGTTTTGAAGGTCATTTTAAGCGGAGAGTTGGATATGAATGATTTTTACGCTACGAGTCAAGATTGCCGAGTTGTTGAAGTTGCAGAATGCGCAAGTAAATGCAGTCTGTTCAAGGTAAACTCTGTGGCCGACAAAGTTGTTCAGCGGGTTTCCAAATGATGAAAAAGATTCTATATACGAATGTTTAAATGAAAAATATATATTAACAATTGTCGAATTTCTCATTTTGACGCCAAAGATCCACGAAAGCAGATCTACTTCCAATTCTTTTTATTTCGTCGGCTTCAATGTAATGATTTGATTTTGTACAAGAAGTGCAAAGTAGTCTGTTCTCGGGATCTATGTAATATATAACATTATAATACGGAGGATATAACTTATATTTTTCACTTAATTGGATTTTATATTCTTGGATGGGTATATCAATTTTTTGAAATTTTTATTTTTAGAATAGTGTCGTTTCCAATGATATTATATTTCAAATCGGGAATTTCGTTAGCATAACACACTAAAATTTCAGAATGGTTTCTATCGTAATCATTTTGGTTCACGTATTTGATTTCGTTTTCTCTAATCTGTTTTTCATAATTGAAAGCTAATCTAGTGTCTTTTAAATAATATTTGTCATTTTTCACGACCAAATACTGGGATGCGCAATCATCGTTTCCTTTATGGATGATATCATTTTTTATGTCATTTTCATTGTTTATTTCTTTAATTTTTACATTAACGTTTTCTGGTACATTTTTTTGGTTTGGGTATTTGAAGACTTTTACGGGGTTCATAGTTTATTTCAGGGTATTGATAGTATAGTCGTTTATCATGTTGAAAGTTCTGAACATTTAAGTTCCATATTTAATTGATATTTGGGTCTAATTTTGAGCAGTATATAAACTATATAGATTTGGAGCCACGTGATGCAGAAAAATGAATATCGCGTTATTTTCGCGTATGCGCTTATGGGGAACAAGCATGAATGAAAAACTGGGTGCGTCGGCGATGGCTACAAGCACTACTGAACAAGTGAGAGCGTAAGCGATCAGTTGTGAATAGCATCGATGAATATTAGCATACATGAACAACTGAGAGCGTCAGCGATTAGTTGTGAATAAATCAGATGGCTACAAGCATTACTGAACCAGTGAGAGCGTCAGCGATCAGTTGTAAATAGCATTGATGAGAGTTTGCATAGTCAAAGCGAAACCGTCAGCTTTCACTTGCAATACTCTTCATGGCTCCTGCATAGAGAGCATCATCAATTAATCGTAAACAAAGTAGTTAAGCCCTAACCATCGTAAGGCTTCAAGCACCTCTGAACAACTGAGAGCGTCAGCGATCAGTTGTGATTAGCATTGATGAATATTAGCACAGTCAGAGTGAGAGCATCAGCATTGATGAATATGAGCATAGTTAGAGTGAGAGTAGTAGAATTCACCAAGAGAATTGTTGGCCAATTAATCGCTGACACTGTCATTCTAACTATGCTGGCCAATTAATCGCTGACGCTCTCATTCTAACTATGCTAATATTCATCAATGCTGTTCACAATTGGTCGCTGACGCTCTCACTTTAATTATGCTAATATTCGTCAATGCTATTGACGCTCTCAGTTGTTTAGTAGTGCTTGTAGACATCACTCTAACTATGCAAATATTCAGCAATGCTATTCACAACTGATCGCTGACGCTCTCAGTTTTTCTACAAGACTCTATAACCTCTGCTATTCACAACCAGTCGCTTATGCTCTCAGTTGTTCAATCGTGCTTTTAGCCATCACTCTAACTATGCAAATATTCATCAATGTTATTCACAACTGATCGCTGACGCTCTCAGTTTTTCTACAAGACTCTATAACCTCTTTTACTCTCAATTGATCGCTAAAGCTTTCATTTGTTCATGCTTATGGCCATCTCTACTACTCTCATGTGTTTATGCTTATCATAGCCTCTTCTAATGACGCTCTCAGTTGTGGAGCTACTCTTGTAGCCCTCTCTACTAATCCCGACTGATCGCTAACGCTCTCAGTTACTCTACAATACTCACTAGCCTCTTCTCGTCCAAATCGAGAGCGTTAGCTATTAACTTTTCATGCTTGTGACCTTCTCTACTTTTCTCAAGTGTATGCTTATAGCTTTATCTACTACTCACAACTGATCACTGACGCTCTCAGTTGTTTATGCTTATAGTCTTCTCTATTACTCTCAATCACATATATTTGTAGCGTTATCTACGAGTCACAACTGAGAGCGTCAGCGACCAGTTGTTCTATACTATCCACTAGCCTCTACTAACTGATCGCTAACGCTATCAGTTGTTAAGCCATGCTCATCGCCACCTCTACTATTCACAACTGATCGCTGACGCTCTCAGTTGTAGAACTACGCTTATAGCCATCTCTACTAATCACAATTGACCGCTGACGCTCTAAGTTGTTCTACACTACTCATAAACCTCTTCTACTCTTAGTTGCTAAACTATGCTTGTAGCCATCTCCCGTTGTTCTACAATAATCAGTAACCTCTGCTACTCCCAATTGATCGCTAACGCTCTCAATTGTTCACGCTTGTAGCCTTCTCTACTGATCGCTATTACTCTCACTTGTTAAATTATGCTTTTAGCCGCCTCTGCTATTCCCAACTGACTGCTGATGCTCTCACTTGACCTAAGATACTTCCAGTAGCATCTACTAATTCAGGAGCTTATCGCCAACACTTTCAGCAGCTCAGCTGTACTTGAAGCATCGACTTCCCTTGACTACTAATCGCTGCCTCTCATTTCATGCTTATAGACATTTCTACTATCCCCACCTGATCGCTGACGCTTTCAAGAAGTCTTATACTCCAACGGATCGCTAGCGCTCTCAATTACATTCGTGGCCACCTCTACTACTCCCAACTGATCGCTAGCACTCTCAGTTGTTTCAAGTCACCACTATTAATCGCAACTTACCGCTGAAGCTCTCAGTTGTGTAACTGCGTTTATAGCCTTCTCTACTGCGCTAATACTCTCAATTCTTCATACCACCTAAACTCTTCACGACTGTTCGCTGATGCTCTCGATATTTCATGCTTGTAGCCATCTCTACTACTCTCACTTATTCATGCTTATAGCTTTATCTACGAATCACAACTGTTTGCTGACGCTCTGAGTTGTGGAACTAAGCTGAAACTTATTTCTACCACTTCCAACTGCTCTACAATACCCAGTAGCCTGTAGTACTCTCTTTTGATTGCTAACGCTTTCAATTGTTCCTAGTCACCACCACTAATCAAAACTGACCGCTGAAGCTCCCAGTTGTCTTACAATACTCAGTAGCCTCCACTACTCTCAATTGAGAGCGTTAGCGATCAATTTTTCATGCTTGTAGCCTTCTCTACTTATCACAACCGATCGCCGAAGCTTTCCGTCGTCCTGAAATACCAAGGTTTCCCTATTAGTTTCAATTCATAGCTACCGCTCTCGGTTACTCAACAATACTCAGTAACCTCTACTACTCACGATTGATCACTAGCGCTCTCGATTGTTCATGCTTATAGTTTTTACTGATCACAACTGATCGCTAACGCTCTCGGTTGTTCATTATTTTAGCCATCTTTACTACTCCCAACTAATCGCTGACGCTCTCAATTGTATATGCTTATAGCCACTTCTTCTACGCTATCGCTCTAAATTATTCATACCGACTATACTATTCACAACTGATCGCTGACGCTCTCAGTTGTTCTACAATACTCAGGGAGCTCAAGTCCTATCAAGTGTTTATGCTAATAGCCACCTTTACTACTCCCAACTGATCGCTGATGTTCCCAACTTTTCTACAATACCTAGTAGCCTCTACCATTCACAACTGATCGCTAACGCTCTCAGTTGTGGAACTACGCTTAGAGCCATCTCTACTATTCACAATTTATCGCTGACGCTCTCAATTGTTTTACCATGCTTGTAGCCATCTCTACTAAATACAACTGATCGCTAACGCTCTCAGTAGTTCAACTGTTCCAGAGGCCATTCTCTTTTTCACGATTGATCGCTAACGCTCTCAGTTGGTCAGCTGTATTTGGAGTAACCTCCACTTCGACTATGCTTGGAGTAGCCAATGCTCTCGACTGTTCAGCTGTGCTTTTAGCCATGACTTCCACTCACAACTGATCGCTGACGCTCTCAGTTATTCGTGCTTTTGCTTCTAATCACAACTGATCGCTAACGCTCTCAGTTGTTCATGCTTATAGCCATCTCTACTACTCTCAGTGATCAGCACTGTTCACGACTACTGCGAGTCCGGGGAGTCGCGATTCCAGTACCTTTATACGACAAAGAAGCGGGTCTATTTCGCGACTCCGGTAACTGTATACGGAAAAAAGCCACGTGACTCTTACGAATTTGCCGTTGCACGCTTAATTCTGAAATTTATCATGTAATTTGCCGGACTCACAGCCGGATTCATATCAGGGTCACTCCATACGTGAGACTCTGGCGGAAGTGGACTCTAGGTGGAGTCATGGACTCATGAATAACTGACAGTTATTCATGCCTATAGCGTTATCTACGAGTCACAACTGAGAGCGTCGACGGTCAGTTGTGATTAGTAGATATGGCTACAAGCATCAATTGAGCAACTGACCGCTGACGCTCTAAGTTGTTCTACAATACTCAGAAACCTTTTCTACTCTCAGTTGCCAAACTATGCTTGTAACACTCTCCCGTTGCTCTACAATAATCAGTAACCTCTGCTACTCACAATTGATCGCTAACGCTCTCAATTGTTCACGCTTGTAGCCATCTCTACAATTTCCAACCGACCGCTGACGCTCTCAGTTGTTCTACAATACTCACTAGCCTCTACTAACTGATCGCTAACGCTCTCACTTGTTAAGCCATGCTCATCGCCATCTCTACTATTCACAACTGATCGCTAACGCTCTCAGTTGTTCAGTTGTGCTTATAGCCGTGCTTATAGCCGTCTCTACTATTTTCAGCCCACCTCTTCCGTCCATCCCGTCTTCCATAAACTCCTTTCCGTCTTCTACAAACCCCCCACTAAGAAACCCTCGTACACCATGCACACCATGCACGCCATGCACGCTAAAAAAAATACACAGCCAAAATCCGCATAGCCCACTGGCTCAGTAAAAAGTCGGCCCAGTAGCTCGTGAGACTTTTCCCACTGGCTCTCTGCCCAGTGGCTCGGCCAGTACCGCGTTACAGTGAAAAAGAATGATACGGACTGCATAACACCGAGTGACAAACTTGAAACCAAGAAAAGAAGTAGAAGACGATGAAGAAGAAGACGATGAAGAAGAAGACGGACCGGACATGAAAAGATGACGGATGAGATGGGATGAGATGTTGATTGATTTGATTGAAGAGAAAGATGAGAAAGATGATCTGAAAATAGTTAAACTTTATTTCGTATTTTTTTGTAGATGTTCAAGTAACAAGAAAACGAGACGGAAAGGAAAGGAAAGGAAAGGTGGAAGGTTTCTTAGCTAGATCTTTAGCAAAAGTTTTGGAAAATCATTTTGTGTGTTTGTAGTAGTGCTGTGAGCTACTGTTGTTTGGAATAGAACAGCTTTTTCACATTACGCTGTGTAGTGCAAACAAGACTGCATCAAACAAATAAACACACGAATATATATATATAGATAGACGTGGAAAAAGTGAACCGCGCGAAAGAGAGAGACGAGAGAGACAAGTAAAGTTGGTTGTTTTACATCCCACACACTCACCCCACACACACCCCGCTCTCACAATGCACAGCTCGCTCCGCTCGCTGTGCTTGGTGTTCACTCTGCCTTGGGAATTTATCAAACGTGTTTATCGCGGAGGTCTCAACACCCGTAACATCCCAGCGTTTGTTTTCAATTTCGCTCTCAACTTCTTCCCCGTGTTCCTATGGCTATGCGTCTTCAAAAATGCAGGTCTTATCCCAACCAACTGGCGTCCCAAAATTCACAACAAAGCAGCCTTTTTCGCAGACAATTTCATGTTCGGAGACCTGGCAGGTGAACTTAGGGCCCAATTCGGCTCCGACGAAGCCCAACTGTTGACCCCGCTATCGTGGCTTGCAGCTGCCCTGTTTGCCCTGCTGGCTTGCACCTTGCTGCCCATATCGCTGTGGTATTATCTGTACTACTGCAAACGGTGCCAAACGAACATTTTGGACCCCTACGCTCACTTGTTCCACCGTGGGTACCGGTTCTCGCCCACCAACCGCCGTGTGCTGCTGCCCTTCCTGTATCTGCTGCTCGCGTTCGTGGGACTCAATTCCGTTAACCTGCTGGCCTGGCAACGCGAATCCAATTTTACCAAATACAAGGACATCCTGGCCTGGGTCTCGTACGTGCTGTTGCATCTCATCGCACCAATCCTCACCGCCGTGTACTTGTACGTTTTCCAGCCACCTGGAACGCTCAAGGCCTTTTCATTGGCCATGGGCGCTCAAAACATCTGTGGTGTACTAACCCATCTATCCGTGCCCATGGCCCCACCCTGGTTCATTCATATGTACGGCATCCGCGACAGAGAGCATGTCTCTTATGACCAACCGGGCTACGCCGCGGGTCTCACCCGTGTGGACTCCCATTTGGGCACTCATCTCAACTCCAAAGGTTTCCACAAATCCCCCATCGTTTTCGGTGCAGTGCCATCTTTGCATTCTGCCATGGCAGTTCAATGTTTCTTGTTTTTGATCACTCGTGCCACCGCTACTAAGGCCAGACCCCCCATTGTCGTGGATACGGACTTGGACACCACACTAGCCGGACCTTCCCCTCTGGTATCTGCAACCACGTCGAAACGCTCACAGTCAGACCCAGAACGGGCCTCTTCTCTTGATCCAAACTGGGATCCGGAATCCATCGAGCTCGACTCTTTGTCGAAATTCTCTGACAATTCAGGCACCCCCTCTTCATCCACTGCCATGCCCTCGTTCCATTACGGCACTCCCGTGCCCTTGGGAGCCCTCAATTCGAAGCTATTGACCATTTTCCATATGGGTCTGCTTCCTCGATTCCTAGGTACCATGTTTCCAATCCTGCAGTGGTGGAGCACCATGTACCTCGACCATCATTTCCGATTCGATCTCTTTGTCGGCCTGTGCTACGCGGTCACCAGTCATCTGCTCGTGAACGCTTTATACTTGCAACCTCGAGTTTTGAAAAAATGGTGCGACATACGTATGGACACCGCACCAGATACCCGTAAAGAGGCCAAGACTATGGGAATGCGTGTATTTGAAGATACAGACGTCGAATGGTTTTTCGATCCCTTTGCATGAAGTTCACAGACCTTGTTCGTTTTCCAACGTTTACATAAATTTAAAAAGAGCATTACTATATTTGAGAATACCCAGCTGCGGGAGAAATACATGGTTGGTTCTTCCCAGTTATTTTTTGTCGCGAATATTTGGCATTGAACAACGAAGGGGAATTTTTTCCCCAGAATGTCTTCCAAGGCGACTTGTCACTGTATGTGAATGTGATTTTTCAAGTATTTCGCTCGGCGTGGTATCCAAAACGTTCCTGGATTCACCGTGTCGTCCGTCCTCTCTCTTATAACTTTCCAGTGTCATTCAATTCTTTTTCTTCTGTACATTACAACTCATTCTAATTTACAAACGTTTCCCGCCCGGTACCAGCATCGATATCGTATTCCCACTTAGCAGCATTTTTCCTGCATGTCTTTTTATCTCTTGATCGTGGTTGTATTCGATCACATCTTCTAAAACTACGTTAACAAAGTCGTCGTAGCCCACCAAAGTGCCTGCAAACTCGCGGTGCGATGTTAGCATGACCCATACGGGTTGACCCACGGTTTTGTCGATGATTTCAAGCGGGAGAATCTCGGCAATTGACATGTGTAGGATTAAATGGTTGCGAGACTGTTCTGATGAGTGGTGTTCAAGCTGCAATTGGCGTTAAGTTCTGGGTTGATGATTCCTATAAGGTCAATCAATATAGAGAAAAATTATGGTGGTGATGATGATGATGAGAGTTGTCGTCGTTGATGATATAGAGTGTTTTCAACGCGTACACAAGGAAAACCATGGTGTTTGTGATTGTAATACAAACTTATGCAAATAGGGGAGCTGTGAGATGAAAACCATGGAGGTTACGATGTTGTTGATACGAGAAATTCCCAAAAGTGATTATTTTCGTTGCTAGGTCACGTGCTTTATATTAACAGATGGATAAAAATAGTGGCCAAAAGGGAAACGTAGCCTTGAGTCTTCGATATAGTAAGGAAGACCATAACAAGGATGCAAGAAGATTTGTGAGACTCCTCCTTCCTCAACGTTTGAAAAATTTCAGTCTTTATAACGTTTCGTCGCATATGATATGAGTGTGACCCATTCTTCAAACGGTCATTAGTCCCAATTGCAACATCAACACAGAAGCACAATGTACCACTACCACCATATGTGCATTCAATCGAAGTCATACAACGATACTTTGATTTTTTGAAAACACGCGACCTGGAACTTAGAAGCCTTTCGTATAAAGTGCTTCTTTCTGCCAACTAATTTGTCACAGCTCAAACACCAAAACCAACCACTTTGATCAAGAGTTGTTGTTTCGAACCCAACAATCTATTGCTCATAGCTCCCAGTACAACGCTCCTGACCATAATGAGCTCCACACTGCCGCTGCACATGTACATCCGCCCTTTGCTGGTCGAAGATTCTCATGAAATAAGTGAGCTTGAAAGTAGGGGATTCCCACCAGAAGAGAGAGCGTCTCGTGAGACAACTGAGTTCCGTTTGAGAGTGTGTCCCGAATTGTGCTCGGGGCTTTTCATCCGGGACGTGGATGGCGTCGAAGTCAAGGGCGAAAAGCTGATTGGCCACATCATGGGCACCAAGATCCCCGCTTCGTCCGATGGCTCGAAGATTACTTTGGAAAGCATGATTCAGGTTCACGACGAGGCTTCCAGCACTGTGGGTATCCACTCGGTGGTTATTGCACCCGAGCACCAGAAAAAGAATCTGGCCACTTTGCTGCTCACAGACTACATTCAAAAGCTCAGTAACCAGGAAGTGGGTCAAAGAATAGCTATCATAGCGCACGAGCCCTTGGTTCCCTTTTATGAACGCATCGGCTTTCAACTACAAGGTGAGAACGTCCAAGTCAAGTCCGATCCTGCTTTTGGCAAGTCCAAATGGTGCGATATGGTTCGTGAGCTGGTCAAAGAGGAGTACGAGAATTAGTGTCTCGAACCAATACTTGAGATCCAAAGACCACGAAAAAACATCAGCACGAATGCCCTATGATATGTCCACCAAAAGCTGTTGTTGAAAAGCGCCCCAGCGGACCAAGAAGCCTTGTTGCGGAAGAACGCATGTTGCGCGACCTGTAGCATCAAAGCTTTACACACCCGGGGCTACTGTGCTGGTCGCTGGTGTGGACTAATTACTTGTTTTTTTGCATAGCCACTAAGCCTTGCTGCTGTTACCACACTACGTATAATATACTTCGACTACGTCGGTTCCAAAGGCCCCAAGTCTAGCCAATAATTAGCCTTGAACTTCTCTGTTTTCCGTATACCACTATTTCCGCAACGCTTCTAAAATTCTGTCTGGTCTATGGCCTACCCCTGCTCCATCTGATCTTAAAGCCCCCACTTATCCGAAGTTGGCTCCGCAACGGGAGTCTCAACGTCAGTTTCGTCAGTTTTGGCAGCAATTGCTTCTTGCCGTACGGCTTGCTATGTTGCAATTGCCCTTTAGCACATGAGCAAGAACTAGCAATAGGAAACCCGCACAACAGCTGAAACAACGCCTATATAAAGGGAGCAAACAGCCATTAGCCATGAGTCCCTTCATTGATAAGTGTACCATATTATACAAATCTCATAAATTTAACAGCCCAGTGTAAAACTGCTTAAAATACCAAGAAATGCTACAACAGACTATTAGAGGAACCAGAGCACTCCAGACATTGTCTTTGCGTGCTACCAGAAGCATTTCTGGTGCGAGCTCGAGCAACCCTAAGTCCAAAACTCCAAAAAGCCCTTCGCAGGAACAGCTGGACGCAAATAAGAAGAAGCTAGAAGATCTTGAAAAAAAATCGGGCTCTGTGGGAGGAGGAAAGTACGAGAGACCCAGCCGTGAAGAGCTCAAGAAAAAGGGCACGGATGCGCAAATCGAGCAGCAGAGACCCGACGATGGAGTCTACTAGGTTGTAGGTTGTTGTTGCCTGTGTTGCTGCGTACCAATGAGCATTTCAAATCTTCCAAGGGAGGCCAAGGGAGGCCACGGGAGGCCGTCTGGAAGAGCCCTATTATTTATGAAATTGTTATGAAATACGCATGTTGTTTATTATAAGCTACGATCAATATTCTTTGGAGTGTTTGAGTGAATGTGAGTGTTGAGTTCGAATGAGAGGTGTTTGTCTATAAAGTGGTATTAAATGATTACAGGGTGGAATTGGCCAAATGCTAACCTTAAAGAAAAAGACATGATACGAACACAATAAGACCCGGAGTCGCTGACAGCACGTTGCCATACTTGGCTATAAAACGTTAAATCTACCTGTTCACACCACAGCCTGGTTTTTTTGTTGTTTTGTCCGCGCCAGACTTGTTGTCACTACCAACGTCTTCAAAGTGTCATATTTCATAAAAATGGTAACTGGCGAAAAAAGAGTCGTATTATAGTCTGAAAAACTGGCTTTTGAGAGTTTCAACGCGATAAACCCTGATTTACACTCGCTGGTACGCAAAGCTGAGACGAGTTCTTATGAAAAACTCTTGGATTAACTGACACGTTAAAAGAATCACGTGACATTTTCGATCCAATATAAATATGTCACTACTTACGCACGGTTTCCATATAGCTAAGAACACAAATTACTGCTGACCTGAATTCGAATTCAGATATAACACTTACACACACACAGTCAGCTAGCTCACGATTACTCTCTTCTTATAACGAAACCGCAACTTTACCTCGAGAGAGGACGAAGGTATGCCGCATAGGAAGGCTGATCAACCGAAGTGCAAATCTACAACGCAACTTATACACATCGCAGATGAATTTGTCAAACAAGACGACGGGAAAAACCAGGACATGGAAACGCTCTTGCAAGAGTGTATTGACACCCTAGTCAACTACCAGGAGGAGTGTAAAAAACTCCGAAAAAGGAGCTCACAGAGCCAACAAAGCTCAGAGCGCAGTAACGAGAGCATTTTCGAAACCTACGAAGCCGCATATGTTTATTACAAGATCGTATCGCAGCTGGTGCTCAACAAGATCCCAGAATTGCCCGAATTCATGCATGCCAAAAATCACGCCGAAACGCAGCGTGAGAAAGGCCTTATCGACCTGTACAACATGCTCGTCAAGACATTGCTTACTGACGAGAAATTCGCCGAAATCCGCAAGTTTATAAAGGAACATTCGACTTCAGAAACTCCGGCTGCAGCCAAAAAAAAACAAATAGCAGCTATGTCCAACACGGACTCGGCATGGACCAACGGTCAAAGTGTCAGCCCGTCACGTCTTTCAACGCTCATGAGCAACCACAAAGTGCTTCTTATTGATCTAAGACCGCGCATCAAGTTCATCGAATCTCATATCAAATCGGAAACCATTACATGCATTGAGCCAATCTCATTCAAAAACACCTATTCAGACATCGAGCTCACCAGGAGATCTCTCATAACATCTCCTGCTCGTGAAATTTCCCTATTCAAAGAGCGGGACTCTTTCGACTACATCGTCATATACACGGACGAGCTTGATAAAACGCATTTTTCTCAACAACAACAAGCCAGTCTGGTGGAGCTACTGGTACAAAGGTCTTTTGAAAAGCCTTTGCATGACGCAAAAGTCCTCACTTTACAAGGGGGGTTTGAAGGGTGGATCAAAAATGGAGGAGAATACGAAGGTTCGCATCATAAAGAGGACCGCGAATACGCTATGGAATATTCAATTCCTCCTCTGAAACCCCAAAAAGCTTCTCTGATGAAACCCGCACCCGCACCCTTGTCTTCGACTTTCTCTCTCACCACAGACGTGAACGGCTCAATTGGGTCTGAAGACAGACCAAGCCCCCAAATATTGTTCCCCGATCAGCGGCCTTCAAGCTTGCAGCGAACTCCTAGCTTCAGAGATAGGCTTTCTAGTATGTCACCCATTTCTAGGACAATGAGCCCGTCCCAAAATGCCGAACCAATTATGCATAATAATTCGACAATTTATCCCGAGACACCGCAATTAATGCCATCGCCAAGCAACAGATCGCTCCCACAAATCAACTTCGAACGCGGACAATTCAATTCTCATCTCAAAAGCTTATCTCCACCCCTTCTTAACGGCACTCCACTGGAAAACGGTTACGGTAGGGCTTTGATGAGATCGACAGCTGGAGCGAACGGAAATGGCATATACAAATCCGCAGGTGATAATGACGACCAGGTTATTTTCAACAAACCGGTGTCAGGGTTCTGTGTTGGTCTAGTGAATCTTGGAAATTCGTGCTACATGAATTGCATAATTCAGTGTCTGTTGGGAACTAACGAGTTAGCCCAGATTTTTTTGGACGATTCTTACAAGAACCATATTAATTTGAACAGCAAGCTGGGCTCAAAGGGTGTTTTAGCCAAATATTTTTCACAATTGATTCACACCATGCGTCAAAAGGCTGTCCCAGCATCAACCGCAGGCCAAAAAAATCTTATCAAAGGAGATGAGAAAAACGCAGTCCAACCCATCAATTTTAAGGTAGCAAGCGGATCCATCAATCCTTTGTTTAAAGGTTCATCTCAACAAGATTGTCAAGAATTTTGTCAGTTCCTGCTAGATGGTCTACACGAAGATTTGAACCAGTGTGGTGGTAACCCATCTTTGAAAGAGTTGTCCGAGGAAGCAGAAAAAATCAGAGAAAAGCTTTGCATGAGGATTGCCAGCTCGATTGAATGGGAAAGGTATTTGACCACGGACTTCAGTGTCATTGTCGATCTTTTCCAAGGTCAATATGCATCCCAACTTAAGTGCAAGGTTTGCGGTCGTACTTCCACCACGTACCAGCCTTTCTCAGTACTCTCAGTTCCCGTCCCGCGGGGTTCGCGTTGCGACATCATCGACTGCTTCAAAGAGTTTACCAAAATCGAAACTTTAGAGAAGGATGAGCAATGGTCTTGTCCTCAATGCAAAATCAAACAGCCTTCGACAAAAAAAATTACGATAACGCGGCTGCCCAGGAACTTAATCATTCACCTAAAGAGATTCGATAATCTTTTGAACAAGAACAATATTTTTGTGTCGTATCCAAACGTCTTGAATTTGACACCGTTTTGGGCTAATGATTTTGACGGCAAACTCCCACCTGGTGTGACGGAGTTACCAACTCGGGGCCAGATACCTCCGTTCAATTACAACTTGTATGGAGTGGCCTGTCACTTCGGAACCCTGTACGGTGGGCACTATACGTCGTACGTCAACAAAAGCTCTCCTTATGGATGGTGCTATTTTGACGACACCAGCTGGAGAAAGGTCAAGAATGACCACGAGTACATCACGACCAATGCGTACGTTTTATTCTACCACCGCACTCCAACTTCATCGCTTTAGCTTGGAACGCAGGAAACTTTCATAACGAATTAATGATCTGAATTCAGGAACTGGTTCATATATATATACTTTGTTCATAAAGGAACTAACGGTACAGGACCTAGCGAGGCATGCGTTCAGTTTCGAAACGAATTGATCTGAGCCGACTACTGCCAGTCATCGTCGTCCTCATCACTACCATCTAGCGGTTGCTGACTACCAGAAACCTTGTCCGTCTTGGCCTCTTTCACGCCTTCACTTGCGGCGTCTTTGGTCAAGTCTGGCTTGTCATCTTCGTCCTCGTCATCCCAACTTACTGGAGCGCCTTCGTTGGTGGACTCTTTTTGAAGAAGAGATTTCCTTTGGTTTTCCATGTCCAGAATCTTTTGTTTCTGGACGAAATACACTTCCCAAAAGCGGGCATAAGTGACATGCTCTGGTACCAGACTATTCATGGTTTGTGAGAGTGTCTCATCTACCTTCAACAGGTCGGATATTTCCGAGGTATGTTTATCGACGTCAAAGCCACCAGTTTTATCGTCTTCAGATTTCTCCCCGCTGTAGTTCAAGTAGATGTTCTTGTCACTGGACAAAAGCTTCAATTCGGCTTCTGTCCTGTTCCCAGCCACTGGAGGAGTGGAAGCCTTGCCCCTGGAAGATACTGGCAAATCTCCCTTTTTAGCCTTATCCGCTTCCACATCGTTTCCACCGCGCAAACCGAGCGTACCGGAGACGTTTGACCAAAATGAAGGGTTCGACACTTTTTGCCAGTAGTTATGGGCCATGTTTTCCACGTTGTGAATTTGGTGATCCAAAGAGTCCAGTGCATCTTGAGCCCTTTCCGAAATGTGTGCATCCAATGGTATGTTCAGTTCTAAAGCCCGCTCTTCGTTCTGAATGAATTTCTTCACCGCATCTGCTGTCTTCTGGTACTGCCTATCGATGCTCCCTTCAAACTTCTCAAAAGCTTCCTCAGTGGTTTTGTCATTGTGCAATTGACCATCGGTTGGTCCAGGACCATTGTTGGCTGCTTGCTCCTCGTAGAAGAACTCCATCTTGAGTCAACTTTTACTTGAAGATGAGTTTAAGCTCAAGTTGATGATTATATCTTCAGTTTAATGATATTCGTTATAACTTCGAAGACTACAAGAACTACTTGATCAACAAGAAAACAAGTTCAAAGGGCCAGAATCGCCTGACGAGTTTGTCGCGACAGATACCACTCTTCTTGGGTACATTGATTAGTATTTTTGAAGCGATGTCGTTGGTCACTCCGTTGTATTTTAGTGCAGTTCAACCTAACTTTTATAGAGGGTCCCAACCGAGAGAAATCAACATACCGTTTCTAGTAACTTTGGGATTGAAGTATATCGTGTCACTCACGCCAAACCCATTGACGGAAGATCCATGTATGGAGGAGTTTTGCCGAGAAAAGGGCATCGAGAACGTTTTTATCGAATGCAGCGATGAGAAAGCACCCAAGGACAAGTCGAAAACTAAAGTGAAACGCAAGAAAAAGGCCGTTCCTATCGATTACGATACCGTGGTGCAATGTGTACAGTTTCTGGCTGACAAAAACCATTATCCATGCTATATTCACTGCACTAACGGAGAATTGGTGACATCGCTAGTGGTGGCATGTATGCGAAAACTGTCGTATTGGAGCACGGTGTCGATATTCAACGAGTTTCTGACGTATAATTCGAGTATCAATATCCATGAGCGTGGGTTTATCGAGAACTTCAATCTCGAAATCGATATAAGGGACCTAGACATGAAAGATAAAGTTTCGTGGATGATCGTACGATCCAGTAACGTTTCCGATGCCAGCCACAGAGATGGAAACAGTGTCGACGGAACACAGCACGCGGGCGCCCACAACTCCATCAAATGCATCGGAAGTTTTCCAGGCATGCTTCCGCGTCTCAATTTTCACGGAGTGAGCAGTTAAAGACACGACAAATGCGGATATGCAACGGCTCGTTGGACCGTCAGATGCACTTCGTCCATCAATTGTGACATCGCAAAGACGATTTCACGGCCTCGCCTGTTGAGGAAGTTGGAGGTCAATGCTCATAGACGAATTTCCCAGGCTGACTTTGAACTTTTGAATACGATCGAGCATTTTGAAGGAGAGAGGCCCATAACATCCAGCAATGTAGTATGGCAGACTTTCATCAACTGTTGTCAAGAGACGAGCTACTCGCACGATCATTTGAATACTTGACAAAATTGACAACGTTGGTTGGTAGGAAATGCAATTCCAGCCAAACGGCTCAGAATTCAATCAGCAGTGGGGCACAGCACTCAAGATACACTTGCTGGGCTTGACCTGGCTTGACCTGGCCTGACCTGGGCTTGACCTGGCTTGACCTGGCTTGACTCAACCCAATGTCAATGCTACTAAGACGTACTCGAGTACGCTATCAAATCTCCAGTAGATCACATGTGGTGTTCAACTTGAACTAGCAGAACAGATGTCCTGCTAACAAAAGACCTTGAACCCAACTAGACCAAGATGATGTCTAAGACATCGTTCGAGCCGTTTCGTGACTATGAAGAGAACACACTCCGAAGCTGCTCAACAGCTACCTGAAGACTTCAAAGAACGACACATTGACGAGTTCAACAAGGGCTGCGAAGCTATTCTCGAAATCGATCCTTCTCTCTACGATGCCATTCTGAGAAAGGATTTCCAGTTGTTTCTCAAGAAGAAACAGCCTGACATGACTTTGAACTACCATTTTGTGAATCTCGCAAGCAGCATATTGGCCCAGCAGATTAGTGGAGCTGCTGCGAACAGTATCAAAAAAAAGATCATCAACCGGTTCGACCATTTTCCTAGCTACCATGAAACAGCAGAGTTATTCAAGCAGAGCAGATCTCAAGAACTTCGAGAGTGCGGTCTCTCGGCACGCAAAGTACAATATTTGGAATCGTTGGCAAACTTTTTTAATGACAAGGCAGAGGAGATCAAAGCGCTGCTTACCAAGGAAAGCGACATCATTGCGTCTGAGCTGGTATCAAATATCAAGGGTATTGGTCCCTGGAGTGCCAAAATGTTTCTGGTAACAAGTATGGAGCGTTTGGATATTTTCGCGGCTGACGACCTGGGAATCGCTCGCGGATGCTCAAAATACTTGGACGCACGCCCAGAGGTAGTAAAAGAACTTATGAGCAAACGTGGTCCTGTTATCAAACGCAGCAAGATCAAGCATGTCAAGAAGAACTGGAAGGTTTACGACGAGGATATTGTGGAAAAATGCGGTGAACGTTTTGCACCTTACCGAACCATCTTCATGTTTTTGATGTGGAGAGTGTCAGACACTAACGTAGAGGTAATGGCCAAACGAGAAGATGAATTTACGGCTGCGAAATCATAATAAATAAAGGTGTATGATTGACGAATTATGTACAAGAGCAGAAGGGGGCTTCTATTTGGCCGCTTTGGCCGCCTCTGTTATGATTTTACTAGCGGCCTTGGGTGGTGCTTTGATAGAAAGGCCTCCTATCAAAAACCTCATGGGCACTCTGGCTTTACGCAGCTGCGCAGCGAAGATCAGAGCATTGGTCAACAACGCCATCGCTCCAGCTTGATGCAGAGATCCTAGAGATATGGGCACCAGGTATAACAAGGTAAAAATCCCGAGAGTCACTTGCAACGTGGCCACGCCCATCATGGCATGCATGGATCTCACAGCATTCTGTGGTATGATGTTTTTCCTCTTATTGACCCACATATGCATTGCAAATACGCCGAAAAATGCCGTTGTTGCCAGGATTCTGTGATTGAGCTGAACAGTAGCAGGGTTTTCTAGCATGTTTCTCCAGAATAAATCGCCTGAATCTTCTTTCCTTGCAAAAGTTTTATCAAACAACTCTCTTTTGCTTGGGATCCAGTCATCGCCCATGTGAGGGAAAGTGTTGTAGATAAGACCTGCATCCAACCCGGCAACCATACCACCGCTCATAGCAGTGACGAAAACCAAAGCTAGTAGGCCCAGTGAAGTTTTTCTCAAAGGATTTAAGGCAGGGTTGTCCAACTTGGCAATTTGTTCGAGCGCCTTTTTAGGATCCTTGACCCATTTAGCTTCCTTCAAGATCTCCATTCCAGTCCACAACATACCCAAATATAGCAAGAATGCAGTGGTGAGATGGGTGGTAAGTCTGTATTGAGAAACTGTGGGCTTAGATTTACGCTCCTTCAACTCTTCAGCATCTAGACCCGATTTAACCATCCACCATCCAATGAATCCTTGCAAGCCCAAGAGCGAAGCCAGGGCAAACAAGCGTCCATTAACTCTTGGTGATGTCTTTCTGGCAACGGCAAAGTAAACTGCGGGTAGAACGAATACGGCCCCTATGGCACGACCCCACAATCTGTGGATCCATTCCATGAAATAGATGAACTTGAATTCATCCAGGTTAATATGAGAATTGAGCTGTTGAAACTCCGGAGATTCTCTGTATTTGGCAAACTCTTCTAGCCATTCTTGCTCATTCATAGGAGGCAGCGTTCCTGCTACCGGTCTCCATTCGGTGATGCTCAATCCTGATTCTGTTAGCCTTGTAAGCCCACCCAGCACGACAATCCCAAAAACGAGTCCTGATGTTCCGATTAGCCAATAGCCCACTTGTTTTGACGAGTTGATCAGCCTCTTACTGGGTTGTTTCTTCACCGTCGTTGCAACCTGATTGAGCAAGTTGCTCGAAGAGAACTCTCTGCGAAGTGGGAACCTACTTTGAATGCCTTTTTTACATGATAGTCCTGTCATGTTTCGAAATGTAAGTGGTATTGTGCTCATCGCAGATCTTGGGAAATGAGGTATTCCTGCTCTCGCGCCGGTGCGCGTTAGCGGAATGGCCGTCCTCAAAAGCTGCTTCAACATATTATTGAAGTAGATGGGATGTTGACTCCTGTAGCTTGCGCTTCTCCCTGTAGCCTTCTTCTTCCTGCAGCCTTCTGAGCGCTGCTTTAATTGATGAGTGAGAGCTTTATACTTTCAAGATCCAATTTTTTATCATCTCGGTTTTTACGGCCCTTTCGTTTAAGGACGAAAATGCCGAACATGTCAGTTGACATATACCTCTTTGGCTCGTCAAGTGAGTAGGGACATCGGGAAAAACCATAGCGTGGAGAACCTAAAATGGATACCAAGAACGGTAGAAATGGATTATATCGGGTTTACCAAATACGCTTAGACACCATCTTGTATCGTGACACGTTCTTAAGACTGCGTTTGGAATCGTGTTGTACACGCTTCTCAACCAGACTAGACGGAAGCCTTGATTGATTTTGGCTGACGTCGTCGCATCCAGACGTATGGACTTGCATCCTTGTTTTCTCATCAATCTTTCCATACCCACTTGACGGCAGTCCTGGAACATACATTGCTTCGTTAACGGCAAAAGTGCAGACTCCGTTGTGAGCCTGTAACGCTTGAGACCATTTACTCAAAGCGAGATGTAGAACAAACTCGGAAAGTAGTAAACACACAAAGCTCATAGCGACGATGGAAAAGGTGCGGATGACCGAATTTGATATTTCACTGAGTCCCACCCCCAGAGCAGGCCTAATCATAACAACGAAAAGAACCACCAAGGCAGGTACTGGAAGTCCAAGCCGGGACTGAAACCTTTGGAGATTATGAGTGTGATCGGCACATAATATTTTCAAAAATGTTCCGTACATTTGAGGTCTCACGCGATTGAACTTTGTAATGTATGCATGCTTAACCCAGTCAACAAAGATCTCACTTCCTATCACGGTGATAACCGGGCCACACAGAGAGCGCACGAATGTGGAGGACGCTGAGCTCCAGGACCAAGAATATGGACAATCAGTGGAAAAAGACGACATTGACGCGATCAGGTTTCTAATACCAATTATAGTTAGAAGAATCACCATTTGGAATCTTTCTATGATGTCTGCTATTGTAATTTGGAAAAGACCTTCTTTGTCAAAACGTTTGAAGACGCTGGCCTTGATCTCGGCAAATTGCATAGATAGCAGCAGCGTCACAAGCGAGTTGGAGTATGAATTCACGGCCACATTGAGCGCAATTGTTTCATACATGAGAATGAACCCATGGAAGGTTAGATATGCCATAGCGCATATATAAAGAGCCAGTGTCTGAAGCGCTGCCGACCCTTTTTTGTAGCGGTTCCTGGAGCCCACGACCAAAAGTAGACTTTGTCCAAAAGACGATAACATTTTGTCGCACATATCTAGGACACCAAACATCATATACAGTTTCATAGCGCTCTGGCCCTTGATTCTATGATATACTTGCGAGGTGTCTACTCTCAGAAGGATGCCGGACGCACAGGTCATCACGAGCAGCATAATGAACTCTTTTCGAGTTTGCTGCACTTTCCTTTCGCCGAAACAGCTATAGATCAGACGTGCAGGAAATACTGTGAAGTAGTACAGAAAACAGTTCAAACACGCTAGAAGCGAGAATGCCATCAGCTTCTCCATGTGCGCAAAGAGTCGGAGCATGTTCAAGATCTGTTCCAGTTCATGTTTGGCTTCTTCTTCATCCTTTTGTTCGGCTTTCTCGAAAGCCTCTTTATCTTTACGCTCATCGCCGGTAGAGGGTATGTCTCGCCTGCAATCTGTGGGCTCGAGTTCGGCCAGCAAAAGCTCCCGAATGAACTTGAATCTGTCTGGTCGTCTTAATTTTCGATTCTTACCGACCTTAGGAGCCATAACGTCATGAACCCGGGCCCTCGCTTTGGCCCAATGTTCTCTGTATCTTCCTACATAAGTGTGGGTGCGTATGTGCTTGGATTGGCGTTTTCTACCTAATAATGGGATCGATCTGGACTATAAACTATCACATGATGCTAGGGTCAGCGATGTCAAACTTCGAGCGCTGCTTTTTAACCCAGAGACCCAGAACGAATAGTTTGGTGAATTGAAGGTATATCTCTTTGCATATGCTAAATCTTACATGGCGGATTCATAGACCCCACAATCTTCTGTGGTTTTTGTTCAAGGTTGTAAACCACTCTACCTGATTCGACTTCTTCCGTACTGATACTTTCCGCAGTTTTGGTCAAACGTGGTGAGTTTGCTACTTATAACTAGTGAGGCTATAGATATATCATCCTGCTTATCTTTGGCTAAGTGTTCGCACGTTCTGTATAGAAAGCTTTGTGTTTTTAGCAACTATCGGAAAAACAGCCGCGGAGAGTAAAAATTTAAGAGGGAACCACGAAATAGTCAGCCTTTTATACTTTTTTTTGAGGTACCCCTGAAAAATGACTTTGTTTACATGTCAATCATGCACTCTTTTTAATTCCCATCGCCCAGAAGTATTTAAGCGATGGTAAATGGTAATGAGTTAAGAATCTGACATCTCAAGACCAGAATATCGACCAAAAGAGCACTAGTCTTACTTTTTTGAGGTCTAGTTCAAGCTCTGCCAGGTCTAGGGTTCAATTTGATACCAAACATGTGTACAAAGAGACTCATCCGATCCAAAAATTAGCCGCTGTTGTAGAAAGCTTTCGATAAAGGTAAGAAGGCATCTGCAAAGCATGATTTCCAGTATCTTTGACTAGTTGTCGATGATTAAGAGTTTTAAGTGAATTATAGCAGTTGCCGAACGGACTTCGGTTATGAAGGACGCTCCCAAACAAGTTTGCAACGAGATGGACATCTCAGTGGATGAGTTCGGGTTGATTTTAGTTTGGTGGGTGTATAACGGTGCCAAAATCAACAGCAATGGAAATTGGAATGCTAATTGAAGGAACAGTCGAAACTGGAGGGATGTAACAAGTCGATGGAGCCACTAATGTCCTTTGCATATAAACAAAAACCGCCCAAAATCATTATCAAGTCTGTCAAGCATGAAATAATCTAGTTTCACTCTGGTGAACTGCAGTGCGACAGTCAGCTATTGCCATTGTTTCTGCAGTAACTTGAATTTAGGAGTTCTGGGAGTTGGTCGTCAAATCTCTGAACAAATTTTGTGAACCTAAAAAGCTGAGAGCTTCGTCACAGCCATGTCATTCATTCATGATTCACATTGCTTTATGACGGTGCTGGCCTTCGACAAGTTTCTAGTTTTCTCAAACGTTCAATGCTGATCCTCTTCGCTGAGGTGCTACCGAAAGTTCACAATACTCAAAATAACATTAATACTTCCTGACGGTTCAGCTACCACTCGAAAACTTCAAAATCAAGAACTTGTGTCCACTTCTTGCTGTTACCTCCGTTGAGCAGCACTGCAGTGATCCAGCGTATTCCAAACCACCTCTAGGTTTGTCCAGCCACGGTGCATTGATTTTGGTGGCAGTATAAGTCCAAATTAGAATCTAATTCTTACCACCAGACCGAAATCAAAAGACAGAAGGTTCAGACCATACTCAAACCCGTTTCGACCCCAAGTTCTCAAAAGAAGTGATAGCCGTTTCCATGACTAGCATAGAGGACATCAAAAGGCTTGTGCTAAAGCCCTTTCAGAATCATCGCCAATTAAGCATCAAGGAAGCAGATACAATATCATTGGAAGTTCTGGACCTACTTAGCCAGTCTGACTGCAAAGATCGGCAGACGCTCGAGTACTTGGCTAATTTCCTCACGATCGAGACATACCACGACTTGATAGAAGAACGAAATCTCAACAAGAAGTGTGGGTATCCCACATGCACTCGCAGCCAAAATCGTGTCCGCGATCCATACGGCGGGAATACGATAGCAACCCGTTTTCTGCAAGAAAACAATCCATACGCCTATCTCTCGCACTACTGCAGCAAGTTTCACTACCGCTGCTCCCAATTCTACGAGGTTCAGCTCACAGACGAGGCTCTGTTCGTACGCATAGGCGTCCACCTCGATGATGAGGTTCAAGGAAACTCACCACCAAAGCTGCAGAAGATTTCACTACTTGAAGAACTCATCCAGGGCGAGGATCTAGCCCAAGAAGATCTAATATCAATTGTCAGTGGTATAGGGCAACTACATATAAAGAGCGACGAAGCACTAGGAGGGGATGATAAAGAAGAGCTTGAAAAAGATCTAAGTGAGTGGCTATCGGAAGTCAAGATCGTGGAAAACAAAGACCCTCATCCTATGGGAGACCTTTTCAAGGACGAAAGCTGAATATGGCAAATGCAAACTAACAATCATGAAGGGGTTACTCATTAACAGATACAAATTTATGAGCCCTCAAAATCGAGGGTAGATTCTGCTTCTCAAAAAACGGGGTGACAAAGGGCAAGTCGTTTACTAGCATCTTCGTGAAGCGCCGTTTACGATTTTGATACATTATTTCAGTCTTTTGAGCGAAGAATTGGTATTCATTTCGAAAGACTCTTTCCCGCTTATATTCATCGAAATATTTGGTTCGCCGGTCACTCTCGATGCTTAGATGATCTAGGGATTCTTTAATTGGATCAAGCCACTCACGCACTGCTTTTTCACTAGCGTTGATCGTTGCATGTTTGGTTCTGCTCGCAGCTTTGGAGACGTTATCAAGGTGTTTTTCGGGGCTTCCTTTTAATATAGAGCCATTTTCTAACAAGTGCTCCCAAACAGCTTCATGCCATACCCACCTACTGTTCGCATGACAAGCGTTCCAGTAATCAAGGTTTTTCTGACCCTTCCGTTTCTCCAGACGAATGATGCGACCAAGTTCTTTCGACTGCCGCTTTCCCTTGTTGATTGCAGATCTAATGAACCAGATCCGAGCCTTGCCGGCAGAAGTATAGTTAATAGATACTTTTGGGGGACCAGAGGCTAGTTTGTATTCTATCCGATGCAATTTCTGGAGGTATCGTTCATGCAAAGCTAAAGGAAGCACAAGATTTGACTTGAACTCTTTAGCGATGTACATAGGCAGAAGAAAATGTCGCTGCTTCTCAGTAACATAGTCGTGCAATATCTTGGCATTTCGCACATCTTCAGGATTTTGTTGTGCGGCCTCTGGTGCTGCGCTTAGAGGAAGCGGCTGCTTCTTTCCATTACCTGATGTTTTTCGTGAATAGATCGTCAAAAGATCCCATATTTTCTCGGTTTTTGATTTCAAGAGAAGCTTATTTAAGGCTTTCAAATCTCGCAGAAGTTTGTAGATACTCCAGCTGGATTTGTCGTGTCTGTGCTTCGTCAAAGTTGTCTTTACTGTGGTTCTGGCTCTCAATTGTAGATGTTCGGAGCATATATTCCGGGATATGTTTCGGAGCGTATATCGATACCAGTGTAGGACATAAACTCTGTGGTGTGACAATCGTGAGAAATGGAGAACCATTATATACGCCTATTAGACCCAGGTAGTCTATGTTCCACCACCAACGCTTTGGCAAGTCGATGAGGCCAGATCGTGGTAGATGAGTTCAAGTTTCCATCTTTTAATTATACCGCCAGAATAACCAAAGGTGCTCTACGGACCACACTGTAAGGACTTTGGCGAGGATCGGGATACTGCTAGTATCGTTGTCATCATACTTATCCTTTCCAAAATCCCATTAGTGTACACATATGCAGTATAAAGCTAGAAAAACTAGGCTCAATTCAATTATATAAAATATTAATTTCAGCGTCTAGTTAACCAAAGCAGAGGCAGTAGCAGACTCGTACTTCCAGTTAGGAGGCAAGACAGAGACGGTTCTGTAGTATCTAGCCAATCTGTGAATTCTAGATTCGATCAAAATCAATCTGAACTTGGCGTCCTTGTCCTTTCTGTTTCTTTCCAAGTGCTTTCTGACGGAGACAGCCTTCTTGATCAAGTAGTACAAGTCTTCTGGGATCTCTGGGGCCAAACCGTTGGACTTCAAGATTCTCATGATCTTGTTACCGGTGACAACACGGGCCTGGGTGACACCGTGAGCATCTCTCAACAAGACACCGATCTGGGATGGAGTCAAACCCTTTCTGGCGTACTTGGTGATCTGCTCGACAACGGAGTCTGGAGAAGACTTGAACCAGGCTGGAGCGTTTCTGCTGTATGGAATGGCAGAAGAGGAAATACCTTTACCCTGTAAAAGAATAGCCTGTTAGTATGGAGAAAGAGACGACATAATAACCGGAAATTAAGCGTCAGACCCAGAGAGGGCAAAGTAGAGTGCATATAGCGTCTACTTAGAAAATTGGCTGTCTTGAGTCTGTAATGACCCATAGCCGCTTTTCAAATAAGGAGTCACCCAGCCCGCACATCTAATAAAAGACCGAAAACGTACACGTTTGGTCCATCAAGATGTGCACCGGAATGGTTTTAGAAGCTCTCCATCCACTGGATGAGAAAGCTTCGAAACCCATCGCTGTGATCCGACAAATCGCTTGAAAGAAGTGCTGAAATCTCCAGATTTCATTGTTCCTCTTTAAAGCAGATTTTCATTCCATTGGTTCAATAAATGCACTTCTCAAGCTGTTCGAAACGACCAGCTCAAAAGAAGTCGAGGAAGACGTACCTTAGAGTGCATACGACCCATCTTGACTGTATTATTTGATTGATGTTATGAGACAAAGAAAGTTGGCGATTCTTAGAGGTAATGGATGAATATCAAACCAAGAATTCTTATAGCCTGGTTACTGAAACTTTTCAAAATCGTCTCGCTGGAGCGTCGGCTTATTTTGCGTGGGTCTTCTTTGGACCAGCTGGTCCAAAGAATTTTTCAATTTGTTTTGGGATTTTATAAAATCAAGGGTGCACGGATGTTGCAGAGAAAAACAGTCATGAGTGGACAACTCGTTTATTATGACATATAAATTCTGAGGTCATGTGTACTGACATTCGAACAGCAAGGAAGAATGCGAATCTGCTACTTTCCAGACATTCAGAAACGTTTCGAATAAACAGTACTGATCAAAACGTAATTAGCACTTACGGAAAAAGAGTTTAGTGTTTAGCTTTCGGTACTTTATAAACATATATCACTTTATACGTAGGAAATGAAAATAAAATGCCCCATCTCAAATCAAGTTTCAAGGTACTCCTATGGCGTATGGGGCTGCTCCGAACTGTCGACTGCTCGACTTGATTTTCAGAATAAGGTAACGAGTTGAAATTGCCTTACTCCGGGAATTATCAAGAAATAAAAGAAAGTCACGTGCTCAACTGACAATAGACGTCACAGCGTCAAGTTGACATACCATTAACCAGCTAGCAGCCTAATCAGTAGCCTCTAATATTTGAGTAGTTATGTGAAGCTTGAAGTCTTGAATGGTTTGTCATGTTAACGGTTTCACCCACTATGTTTTCAGAGATAATATCTGGGGTGAAAATGTCACCGGGGCAGTAAGGCGGACACGTAACTCCACCAAGCAATTAAGCAGCTGCTCGATACAGACTCTCTGAACTGCTTTTCCTCGAAAGAGTTAATAGTCAGCTTTCAAACAGAGCAATTTTCACGATTCTATCTGTTCTCTAAGCTCATCGATTTCGTCGTCGTCTTCCAAACCAGTCGAAATCTCAATTACCTTGCTCACTCCACAAGTGTTCCTTATCAGTTCTAGGGCTCCCGCGTATAGCATCTTCCATTCTTGTGAGACCACAGTTGCAGGCTTCCAATATAAAAGAACAAGTGGGGTTTGCTTTCGTCCATCAGAGGTTGTCATAGGATAGCACAATAATACATAGCGAGGAGTGGTATCTGGGAGTGCACCGCCAAGAGACTCTAAAGAATCGATATCCTCGTAATCCTCGTCCTCGTCAACAGTTATTTCATAAGAAGGTTTTGGTTCAATCTTGAGAATTAGAGCTTTGACCGAGTCGGATCTTCCAGTTTCCAGACGAAATCTATTGATATGCGTCTTCACTGGTGTGCTAATGTTGTAAAGTGATGCCATTGCGATGTATCTTGTGTGTTTATCAGCGAGTAACTACTTGTTGTATCAGACAGTCAGTGTAAATGATAATAACGTTCTAATAAACCCTATTAGAACCTTCTTGAAGTATCTGAAGCCAAGCTCCCACGATAACAAAAATAAAGCCAACGAGATATATACACTGACTATCTCTCCTCGATCTGTAAAATGTAATGGAACAGTTCTTTTCTTGGTAAACTAGCAGTTTGACTTGATGAATATAACGCCCAGCATAGACAGGCCTATATATATACTATCACAGTAAGGGTGCTAGGGCCATCCGTAAACGCCGCCACCATCACCACCCATTTCAGTCATGTCAAAAAATGATAACAATAAGCGTATATTTGGTTCATGGACCGCTCGAATCAATTCAAAGGTCGTTCTATAGATTCATTTATTTCTTTAACAAGGTGCAAGACGAATGCGATCAAATGGAATCAATTCTGAATTTTTCCTTTGCATGGTACACCATCCTCCCATTGTCCTTTCGCAGAGTATCAAACTTGTGTGGATTGTAGCTTAACCATCACTCCATGAAATACCTGTCGTCTTTGCAGTCCGCTGGCGTAAGTCTAATGACTTCTTCAATATCCCAGTTGTGAGGCTTGCCATTGCGTGAAACACTGCTTTTACCAGTGCTTACCTTGAGGAAAAGTTTCTCGCCAACTTCATTGACGTGGCGCAATAAATAGTCGAGATCTTCCTTAGTCAATGCAGATGATATGCAGAATCTCACACGGGACTCGATCAAGGGCGTCGCAGGATATGCAACGACCACCACCGCAATCTTTCTTTGCAGCATCATTCTCGAAAAAGCAGGCATCTTGGAGGGGGCATACAAGAGCATGGGTACAACTGGAGATTCAGCTACACCGTAAACAATGAAACCTAGTCTTTTCAAGGCTAAGCGTAAGTATCTTGAGTTGAAAGTGATACGTTGTAGTCTTTCTAGACCTTCACCAGGGTTTAGGTCTCCCGCAATGATTCTCAACGAGGTACAGGTCTGTGCCAAGACTGGAGGTGGAACAGATTCGCCGTAGTTGGTCGTGGTCAAATCACATCTTAGTCTATCGACTATGTCTTTGCTGGCTGCAATGTAACCACCAGCAGCTCCAAAGGACTTGGTAAATGTACCCATCATGATGTCCACATTTGAAGGACTGATATTGAAGTAGTCGCATACACCACGGCCACGAGCACCGATGGCACCAATCGAGTGTGCCTCATCCACGAAAAGATAACATTTGTATTTGTTTTTGAGCTCCACAAGCTTAGGCAAGTGGCACATGGTACCCTCCATTGAGTACAGACCCTCGACGCAGATAAATATCTTCTTCCAGGGCCTATGAGTCTTGGGCTGCCCGCTAACAATCTGTTCCTTGATCAGTTTCTCCAAATTTTCCATGTTGTTATGCTTGAAAGCCTTGACAGTAGCACCAGAGAGACGAACGCCTGTTCTGATGGAAGTATGGTTGAGCTCATCTGAGATGACCAAACATTTAGGATCCAATATAGAATTGAAAAAATTGGCATTACTACCGTAACCTTGAGAGAAGATCATCGCGTCTTCTTTTCCAACAAAGCTTGCAACCAATTTTTCAGTTTCAAGGTGAAGATCAGACGTCCCAAGCTGCGTTCTGGGACCACCAGCGCAAACACCGTACTTGTCGACACTTTCCAACGCTGCAGCCGTGCAAGGCCCCTCGCTCTGGGCAAAACCCAAGTAATTGTACGAGGACAAGTTCAAACACATCGTTGTAGTACCAGGGTAGGTGTAGTAGCTATTAAGGTCGTGCGAAATACGGTCGATGCAGGAGATAAATCTACCAGGAACGCCGGCCGTAGGTCTCGAGAAACAATCGTCAATACGCAACTTCAATCGTCTAACGTAGAAACTTTCAAATTTAGAGAACCACGGTGCCAAACCATCTTTTTCCATAATATCCTGATGACGCTCTTTCTGAAATGTTAATCCCAAAAAATCGTGGACATGGCCCAAAATAATGAGAATCAGATAATTCAAGTAGGTAATAACCACAACATAGTACGGTGGGGTGTCTGGTGTGGGTTCTTGAAGCGGTTCTCCCTGCCGACTACTAGTTTCATGAAGGTATTCTTTGGAGGTCAAAGGTCCGTATTCATTGGCTCTTTTGTCCTCCAATGACTGCACAGCTGGTTCAATTAGAGGAACTCTAGTGTTGGAGATTGAGCTCATTGCAGCCCACGGAAGATTTGGCTCGATAACTCGGAGTTGTTTTCGATTTTATGTATACATTCGTGGTAGGCAGTTTGTTGATATTACTGTTAACTCAAAATGAATGCCGCCAAATTGCGAGTACATGGAACAGCATCACGAGTACTTTGGACATCGAAGCCGATGCCGAACTGGTATCAGCTTCTGTAGAAAACGGATACCTCTCTAAGCATTGAGCTCTTATTTCGAGTTGTAAATGGTCTCAATTGTCGGTTTTGTATGTATTCTATTGAGATTCTTAGTTCTTGGTCTCACCTATCTCGTACTCTCCTGGAGACACAAGCTGCAAGAAATGGTTACAATCTGGGGTTTCCGCGGGGACGTGTGATACCACCAGCACGATTCCGGGCCATTGTTTGAGAAACTCAAAGCATTTGTGCATTGGTTCCTCGTCCATCGCCGAAAAGGCTTCGTCCAATATTAGAAGCTGAGGCATCTTCAATAGTGCTCGCACGAAAAGCACAAGCTTTTGATCACTAACGGAAATATCACCATACGTGGCGTCTTGCAGACTTTGTAGCCCAAAATAATCGACGTAGGCCTCAAGTGTCAAACGTTGTCGTTCGTCCAGGTTTCTGTAACATGCCAGGAAATTATTGGACGAATTCTCTTGGAATCCCGTAGCCAGCGCCTCTCTAACACTCAATTCTCTACTCTGGGACTTGTTGAAAATCGCGTGGAGTTCAGGCGAAGACATCCCGATTTTCTTGTTGATTGTGAAGTAGTCTGTTGACCCGGTTCTGCGGGGAACACCGCCCTCCACAATTTTTGAATTCCATGACTGCGGGTGGTCGGCAGTCAAAAGGGAAAGCAGGGTGGACTTTCCCGTGCCATTGTTGCCTCGTATATGCCACTTGGACCTCGGGGGGACTTTCCAGTGCAGATCTTTCAATATTGGAACACCTCTATAAGAAACCGAAAGTCCATTAAGTTCAATGTCCGCGGGAATCTTCACCATGTCATGCTGGGACTTTGCGGCCAAAGGATGGAAGGAAATCAAGTCTTGAATTGTGTAACGAGAGTTTGGCCTTTGGGCGTTTTTTGCCAAATTGTAATGGTTTTTGATGGCATCGATTCGATCACCAAGATGATGTATATCGCCCTGGAAAACAATCCCAGTCTCATCTACGTAGCACACATGCGTACACCAGCTTGGAAATTCATCTTGGTGTCGCAGACCGATCACTATGGGCGTTCTTGTATACTGACCAATGAACGTAGAAATGATGGAAGTTGCAGTAGGATCAAGACCCAAGAACGGATCTTCGAGAAGAACCAAATCCGGCTCCTTCAACAAACTGCGGGCTAAGCGTGCCCTTCGCATTTGGCCGTTGCTGAGGCCCATAGCCCACCTGTCTTCCAGTTCCTCAAGTTTTAGGTCTTTGATCAAAGAGGCATATAATTCTGGATCATACGCTTTGTTAGTCTTGGAAACCTCGTAGCTCACCGCCATTGAGCCCATTGAGTTATCTTTGATGAATTTACCGCATGTTTGGTCGAAATCGTCTTTGAAGTATTCGTACCTAGCACTTAGGTGAGCAGTTGGCATAACACCGGTGAACTTGACGAATTCAACTCTAGGCACACCCTCACGGACTTGTCCATATTTGAGCGAAAGCGGTGGTTCGGCTAGGTACTTGTTGCCTATGACATCCATGAACTTCGATCTTTCAGATCCCCAGACTACCCATTTTTCTCCAGGCTTGATCTCAAAGCGCTCTACGGCTTTCGGGAAAACAGTTGGTGCACTTTTTTGTAGGGAAAATTTGAACAGGGCGTTCTTGATCTGTAAGACGAATCCCTTCATGACTTGCCCTCTATCGTGGCACCAGAAAGACGCATCTGGTTGAACAACCTTTCAGTACGAATTATAATTTAAAAGATCTAATATTATTCTACATTATTTCAGTAATTCGGGCACCACCGAGATGCCATGCTTATTTTAGTTTTGAATGCTCATGTTGCCAATCATACACATGGAAGTATCGTCTTCATGAATGACCTGGCCTTCCCGTTTGCAAATGGGGTATTAAGTGAACCATTTATAACTGGAGTTTTGATTACAAGTAGTCGTGGACCCAAACAGTATTGATGGCGTTGTACTTGTCTTTTTGATCAGGAGTGAACGTTACAAGTTGGCCCTTTTCAAAAACCTTGTTGAAGGAGTAAGGCTTATTGTGCCGCTCATACCTTGCACAATAGTAGTAACCCTTACAACGCTGGTCCGGTTTACCCCAGGCACCTTTCTTTTCTGCAGGTATGATGCCAGCCAGCATTTTGATAGGCCCACTGTAGCTGCTTTTCATCTCCTCGAAACTGGAGAATTTGGAGGACATATGCAAACCTTCAGAATCCCAGTCTTGTTTTGAGACATCGAACTTACAGTTTTGGGCACCACCATTCAACCATAGCAAGCCGTGATCTGGGTCTAGATGAGAAATTGTGATACTGCAGACTTCACTTTTGCGTTGTTTAATCTGCTTATCAACCTTGGGATCGTTGATTACTGTACCAGATGCCCCTGGTCGCGATGTGTGGAACGAGTAATCATGACCGGAGACGTAGAAACCCAGCCAAAAGAACTCCTTGTCACCGTAACTACAACCGCCCAGTTTTGGGGTCATATGCATCATCAGTGAGATCATGAGTGCTGAAATGTGAGAATTTTTGTGAACGACAACCAATCCCGAATCCATTTGATGTTTCTTGATTTCAAAAAAATAGTCTTTGAAAGTGAGCTCCTTTGGGTTCAGAAGGCTTTCGCACTGTTCTTCAACGTAATCACTGATAATTGCAGGAAAATGGTCAAAGAAATAACCTTCTAGTAAACTGGGTGGCAGTGTCTCGATCATGGCGGGACACTTTTTCTCAGCGATAGTTTCTTCAAGGAATCGGTCCTTGAAGAATAATGCGCCGGTGTTGACGTAGTCAGTTTCGTCAAAGAAAAAATTCATATCAACGTAGTTAATAGCATCTGTGTCGACAAAGGCATATTCTTCAAATAGGTTGAGTCCGGTTGCCAGCCACTTGTTTTTGAACCGCTCGAACGAGTCTATAACCAAAGGATGCAAAGTCGGAGAAACATCGACAAACCAAACGTTTTGCTTGACGTTTTTTCCGTGCTTGTAATCGGTGTGCGGAAAGTTAATGTCGTCCGATTGTGCTAGTTTGTGGATTGTATCAATTGTTTCTCTCGCAATGTCGCCCTTTGTCACAACCTGGATGGGCAGCTCGTTACCGGTGAACCGGAAATGAGCAATGAGCTTTGAGGCGAGCTCTAATTGCCCATCGCCAAAGCTGAGAACAATACCTCTGGGGGCGACGGTGGAGCTCATGTGATTCCAGTTCCACAAGAATGAATGCTTTTCATCATAAACGTATTTGACGGCCCTAGTGGTGGCCTCTTCGTTGTTGTTGTGGTTTATGACGGGGAGATAGCCCTTTTCCAAGGTCTGACCCTGTGGATTTATGATTTTTGGGATGATGTTGTCGAACGAAGTAGCGTTGAAAGGAGCCACAAAGGGCCACATACGCTGCTCAAAGTCCCATTGTAGGTTAGGCCCCAGGGAAGAGTCAGTCTGCTCCATTGTGCGAAACATTTTGGCCATGTCAACTTCTTCGGCTGCTTCCGACACGAAACATGTGTCGTACATTCTCATGCGTTCTGTACCGAGCGACATAGCGAACTCACGTCTATGGTCCATCAACGCTTCTCTGGTGGCATCGTCCACGTCGTCTTCGAGCGAGAGGGAGTCGTCGTTAATGATGAAGTCCCACTTAGTGTAGTCATTGCTCCAGTTGGGAGTCAAAGTGTACACTTTATGGAAGTAGAAGTAGCATTGGGCTTCTTTTGATAGGTCCCCGAACTGCTTGAAACGGTGACCGCGGCCCAGGAAGTCCCAGGACTCTTTGTAGCGGCGATGCATGTCGCCATTGAAGGTTGGGATGAGTTCCAAGGGCGACAGTTTGGTGCCCTCGATGGGCTGTGCTGTGATGGAGGGGTCGATGCGGTGATAATCGACAACGGACACTCCATTGGGCGATAGCATTAGCGGTTTGGGCCTAGCATCCGGTCTGTACTGCGAGAGCTTTGAGTACTGGCCCAATTTCGTAGCCTGGATGTAGATGATCATGGCTGCGACAATAGCCAGCACGGGGACTATAGTTTTGATGGCCATGCGGGCCGACGGCAGCGGTAGCTGATGTTTGCGCAGAATGTGCAAAAGCCGGCGAATCATGGTGAATGAGTGGGTTCAAACGTTGGACAAATTCACGGAGGAGGGAAATCGCACAGCAAAAAAAAACGAGTCTTTTCTGGGATTCGCAGCTAGGGCCGGGAAGTGCTTCTGGTGGATCAGCAGTATTCAGTGATTTCAACCTTTATTTTGACCTTGGCCCACTTAATTTTTCAGAAAAAACTGTAAATGAGTCAGTGAGAGTCAGTCAAATACAGGAAAACCAAACAAGTTTTACTGGAGTGGTAGACAACTAAAGGGCGTTTTCTTTGATTCGGAGTGGGAATGGAGTAAACTAGCAGCCCGCTCGTTGTTTGATGAGTTTCGAAAGCTATTCTTGCAAGCTTCTTGAAAAAAAGAAAAAAGAATATAAAATTGCAGAGATAATGAAATCTCTTTTGGTATTCTTCAAAGGCCTAGTCGAAAAAACGAGCAACGGCGTTCTTGGCTGCGTCTAACACCCTTTTTTTTAACTTCTTTTAGTCTCCTTGCGTGTATGCGTTTCAAAATCTTGTGCTCATCGCCTGTGGCCTTAAGCTCTTTTGTTTTTTATATGTTTCCCATGCATGGCTTGAATATATTACTCGCAGTGTGTGCCAATCAAAATTTCTATGCAACACAACACGCCATGTGCGGGTCGCTGCTAAAGAAAAGGCTAGCCTCTCGCGATTTGACGTGAGCCAAGCCTGAAGGCACTGATAGGAAAGTCAGTGTTTTGAACTTTGTTGATAGGGCGTCGGACACTTTCTGAAGCTTTCCGATAATAGCTCATTCATTTTTTTTTTCAATTTTACGCGTTTTTTCTCCCTCTGGAGAGCTATCCTAACGCTTCTAACGACTGTGTCGGAACTTTTAAAGGAAAAGCTGAGGAGTGGCTATTGACAACCGGACCGATAGCGTTCATAAAGTCGCAGCTAGTTAGGGCTTTTGACGTTTGGCCTTCAGCTTTTCTGGCTTTTCTGGCTTTTCTGGCTTTTCTGGCATTTCTGGCCTTTTTTTTCCCCTTTTCAGATCTCACCGTGTTACCAACTGTCTGAAAGTTTACGAGTCCTGTGCCCTGGTGCAGATTAGCTGTAGGTTTATGCAGCTATAAGCATGAAGAGAGTAAGACGTTTGTACGAATTGAATACATGGAGACGAGGAGAAAGATTGGCAGAGGTGATGAGGGATGAGGAATCAGAATAGGAAAAATAAGCTACCACAGCCGTGTAGAGATCGCCAGCGTGGTTGATGTTTGTCGGATGTGAGAGACAAACAACTTCACAAAGGGGTTCTGCACTTTCTTGATGGTCTAGAATCTAATTTGAACCGGTGGTTGCCAAGTGGCTGCATGTAATCTACGAGAAAAGGTCTTATTTGAAAGAAAGGCTCATAGCGGGGTGGATCCGACCGGTAGCGTGTGTGTGTGTGTGTGTGTGTGTGTGTGTGTGTGTGTGTGTGTGTGTGTGTTTGTGTGTGTGTCTGGAGTGATGCTCATCTCTCGTCTTTCATCTCTATTTTTACCCTGGGTTCTGCGCTCTCAAATACGAGAATAAGTTCTCATGCAACAGGCTGTTGTAACGGGGCAACGAGCGACCGCGAAAAAAGTGACTTCCCTAAAAGGGGCAGAAGAAGTAACTGAGCGGTGGGGAGATAAAACGTCGATCCGTGCGTCAGCACTGCGGCCAAGCTTTTTTTTGAAACGGGACATTGAAAACTAAGACATTGGGTGAGATTTAGTGTGTATAGGAAGGAAGAGTGAGATATAATTAGCGAAATGATGAGTTGCGTACATAATGACAAAGACAAGTAGCGGTGTGGGGGAAAATAAAATACGTGAAATCGACAACGTTTCAGCACCTAAAGCGAAAGTGTTTGTGGGTGGTTCCGTGACTATGGGAAAGAATGATGATGCGGTAGCCTTGTTGCCCGTTGATTAGCTATGGTTTGCGGTTATTTTTATATATATATATATATATATATATATATTTATTTATGACTCACGTGATCTACTCATTACCCTGCTCAGGTTTCGGGAGATGTATTCATAGACGATAAGCGGAAAGCTCTCTGGATTAGGATAAATACAGGAGTCAACGGTGGTCCCGAAAACCGGAGTCAGTAGTGGCTAGGGGACAGGAGTCAGAAGCAGTACGAATGAACAATGTTAGAGTAGTGGTCATAACGATATTATCTCTCTTACCAGAATTACAATATGACTAGCATACAATATCTTTTTGACTGTTGATAGACTCAGAACTGAATATCCGGTGTGCAATGGCACGATTACAATTCCACGTAACGTAAATGAAGAGTGAGCTTTTTGTTTCTTTCATCATTCAGCCGATGGCTCGTTATCCTGTGTCGTGTACAGAAGATTGTTGATTCAGTTGCGTATACGGTTATTTTTGTTCACAACGATTTGTCAAAAGTGTGTACACATGTGAAGATCCCACAGACGACACTCGGGGGCTCTTTTCGTTTGATCTTTCCACTTCACTGGTCATTTTGGTCGCTAATGAGCCTGTGATTGTTATTCCAAGGCTCTTGACTTTTTTACCACACACACACACGTCGCAGTCGTCGCATTACGGGACCGGAACCCTAGAGATCACAACACTAGAAGCTCAGCAGACGTCTACAATACTGAGCATCACCCATTTAGCTCAAGTTTTTTTTTTGTTGGGTTTCAATTTGATGCTAGCCGCCGAGCCCAAAATCACAAAGTACGGAAAATTCAAGTAAGGGATTTTTTGAGGATCACGTGACTATAGCTTTGCATGTGACCTTCGTTTGCCCTCTTTCCTTCTCTCTTCTCACGTCACACGATCGTTTTCAAATAACGAAACTCACCTTCACCCGTTTGTCTCTCTATTTCAGTTTCTCTTCCTCCCCTTTGATTCTCTCACAAGTGAATAAGGAAAGAAAAAAAAATTCTCGACTCACGCTAAGCAACAGCAACAACATATCAGTCACTGTTTCTTTGCGACACCGCTGCTTCAATTGAAATCATGGACGAGGACTACGACGTTATAGTGCTCGGAACGGGGCTCACAGAATGTATCCTTTCCGGCCTACTTTCTGTGGACGGCAAGAAAGTGCTCCACATCGACAGACAAGACCATTATGGCGGCGAAAGTGCCTCGGTGGCGCTTTCACAGCTGTACCAAAAGTTCAAGCAGAATCCTGTGAGTAAAGAAGACATGGAGGCGAAGTTTGGTAGAGACCGCGACTGGAGCGTGGATTTGATCCCCAAGTTTTTAATGGCAGACGGCGAACTCACGAAAATCTTGGTGCACACCGATGTCACCCGTTACATCGATTTCAAGCAAGTTACGGGGTCCTACGTCTACAACAAGGGCAAAGTCTATAAGGTCCCCGCAAACGAGATGGAGGCGATTTCATCGCCCCTCATGGGCATTTTCGAAAAAAGGCGCATGAAACGGTTCTTGGAGTGGATCGGTGAGTACCAAGAAGACAACTTAAATACACACCAAGGTCTGGACCTCGACAAAAATACCATGGACGAGGTTTACTACAAGTTTGGGCTCGGAAGTTCAACCAAAGATTTTATCGGCCACTCCATGGCGCTGTGGACCAATGAAGACTATCTGGAACAGCCTGCAAGACCTTCATTTGAGAGAATCTTGCTGTACTTACAGAGTGTTGCTCGTTACGGCAAATCGCCATACCTGTACCCTCTGTACGGCCTAGGAGAGCTGCCCCAAGGCTTTGCTCGTTTGTCAGCCATTTACGGTGGGACATACATGCTTAACACCCCAGTCGAGAAAGTGTTGTATGGCGATGACGGGAAATTCGAAGGAGTTGTCACGAAAGAGGGCACTGCCAAGGCGCCAATCGTAATCGCAGACCCTACCTATTTCCCCGAAAAATGCAAATCCACCGGCCAGAAGGTGATAAGAGCCATCTGCGTGCTAAACCATTCTGTGCCTAACACCAATAATGCAGACTCCGCGCAGATCATCATTCCACAGTCCCAAGTGGGCAGGAAGAACGACATTTACATTGCTGTGGTGTCTGACTCCCACAACGTGGCTTCCAAGGGCCATTACTTGGCGATTGTTTCCACCATAATTGAGACCGATAAGCCACATGTTGAACTCGAGCCAGCTTTCAAGCTTCTGGGAGCCATCGAAGAGAGATTCATGGGGATTGCCGAGATTTTCGAGCCCAAGGAAAGCGGCGCTGCTGACAGCGTTTATTTGTCCAGATCCTACGACTCTTCTTCTCATTTTGAGTCTATGACCGACGACGTCAAGGACATCTACTTCAGAGTCACCGGTCATCCTTTGGTATTGAAAAAAAGATCCGACGATAACGAAGAACAGGAGTAAGTGTGTTTTGGAAGTACGTAGTAACGGCGAACTTGAAGAGATTTTTTATTATGTGTCTTTGAAATCTACCATCTAGAAGTCGAGATACTACGCGACAGAGTATTTCTTGATCAATATGGTATCTGACATCTTTGACTGTCTCTGCTCTATATGTGTCTTGGAACATTGAACAAAATCACGAAGATACAAAAAATGGACAACAGCTTGCGGGAGAAAACTGAAAAAGGCTACTGAATCATAACTTCGATAAGTATAAAATAGAAGTTGGCTTAATAGCTGGTCAATGAAAGTTGATTTTGCGTTGCTGCTCGAAATTCCAAGACGTTCACGTGACCACTTATATTAATTTTGTAGTACTAATTCACATATTCTAATATTTTCGTCAAGAGAAAGAAGGCATCAAGTTTGATAATCCTACTACGATTTGACACTATAGCAAGAATTATCTAGCTCCAAATGCTGTTTTTCTCTTTTTTCAAGACCTTGGTGGACCAAGAAGTTACCGTTGAGGTATGTTATGGCAGATCATGCGCGTTTTATTGGCGTTGATGAGCTTTACTAACAGAAAACTCACATTACAGCTGAAAAATGACATAGAACTGAAGGGGACTTTAAAGTCAGTGGACCAGTTTTTGAATTTGAAGCTGGATAACATATCCTGCTCGGACGAAGCAAAGTACCCGCATTTATCATCGGTAAGGAATATCTTCATCAGAGGCTCTACCGTCAGATACGTGTATCTCGATAAAAACATGGTGGACACGAACCTGCTGCAGGATGCTGCAAGAAGAGAAGCGATAGGCTCGAAGAAATGAAATGGTCGAGAGCAAGCGAACAATCGCTTCTTGAGCCGTAACGTACCACGCGAATATGTACAATATAGGGAACAGACGTGCCAAAAATTGAAATAAAAGAACTAACAAACAAACAAACAAACAAGTAAATCAAAGAATGCGAAATGGAAGAGACCAGTTTAGGAGGTATGCCCCGGGCTGAGAAGTCTTGGCATACACTGAGTGGTTTTGAGCGCCCTGGGTCACAATGTAGGTGCAGGGGTTTTCCGGTCACAATTGGCCCTGGTATGGCCCGTAGTGTTGCAATAAGAGCATGAAATCTTGTTTTTCTTCTTCTTTTTCTTTGTCGTCGCTGGTTTTGCGGATTCGGAGCTCGCTTCTGTTGGCGTTTGCGAGCCGATGCCCTGAAGAAGCGGCAGAAGTACGTATTGGGTTCCGTCGACCGCGACAGTCTTTAGTCCCTGTTGCAGCTCAATGTCGAGCTGAGCAGCGTCCAAGCGCAGCGGAGACGTCGCGACAGAACTGCTAGACGGCCTTGATTCTCGATCTGCCTGTAAAAGAGCGTCAAACTGTTGCTTCAACGATTCTAATTTCCGCAGCCGTTCTGGTTTGTTCTGGTGCTTGGAGACCCTTTGCGCAAGAATAGATCTTGCCAAGGCATCGACGGCCTCTGAGATCTGTTTCGGATCTGCCGACGTGCTCATCGAAGGAAGAGAAACAACGATCAAGGGATTACGAAAGAAGAGACGGTCTACTCTGGGATGCTCTTTATTTATACATAGCATGAGACTCAATTGTTAATACTACTAGTACTAGCACTTCTACTACTACAAACAAGTATCATTACTCACGACAAAAATGGATAGAGCCAACACATCGTAAATAACGAGATCAATAACTTTTGCTTCTCGTGATAAGTGCTACCGTGTTTCTCGCTTTGATCTTCATACATTTTCCTCTTAATTAGCCTCGAACACTTGTGATGATCGTGATTTGTCCTGTCATCCCGTATTCCTGCATTGAAACAGCATTTACTGTTCTTCTTTTCGAAACCGAATCCCACTGGTCTGCCTAAGTCTACTTTTTTCTGAGATTTCGTTCACTGTAATGGTCGGTGGTGGAACTGGTGGTCCCGGAATATCCAGCCTGGGTTCGAACCCTGCGGCTGGACGAGTTTGCGTTAAAGGCGTCGTGTTAAGGCATGGCGCCTGCGGCTTGATGAGATTACAACTAGTTACGAGTTTCAGACGTGCCCTGGTAATTATCGATCCTTGCGGGCTGTCTAGGGTATAACGCGAGAAGTCCGTTGTATGCCTAGTTACGGCAAAGGTAGACGTGGATGGCTGTCAAAGGCCAAAACCCGTCTCTAGTGCTTCTAATCGCTGAAGGGGAGTTTAATCCAGCACAGCAGAAGCAACCCGTGATGGAGGCGACTGGGATGACACTTGTCCTCGGTGGTGATTCAAATTGGGTCACCAAACTGGTGGGTCTTGATCCGTTCCTTCGGAATGTGGACCATCTGGAACCGCACCAATAAACTTTTTTTTGGGCAAGCAGATAACATAGCGTTGAGAAGTAGTCGTTGTTTAATGAAAGCGAAAGACCGTAGTTCTTTGATGCTGAAATAAGCTTTGATTTAAGAACCACATAGTCACGTGCTTTATCCGTACACTGTTACTGAAATTTAGTATTTTTTTTTCTTTTTCTTTTCCAGATAGAAAGTACTCGTGAGTACCCGTGAGTACCAACCACACTGGACTCATGGGTTTTGAATGTAACAATAATCATTATACACGAACATGTCTGTTCTGTTGTCTCTCACTACATATGAAAAAAAAATATAACTAGAACAGGTCATTTCTAGAGAAGGGTTGACCACTTTAACACCTATATCAACTCACAAAACAAAGCTCAGCGGCAATGGACCGTACCGTCTATGAGGCCTGTGCCGAGCAGGTGGAGCAGTACGGTCGCAAAGTGAGTGCGGACGAGATCCTGTCACAGAAGGTCAACAACATGGTGCCCATTCCGTTCAAGTCCAGGGAAGACCTGGAATTAGCCGCCATGGCCGATAAGCAAGAAGGTGTGTTTTCGGGGGATCTGATGCCGCAGATAGATCTCAAGGTGCTGCATTACTATGCCACGCAGCTCATCGTGCAGAAATATCCCCATTTGGTCAACAGCTTTGACGAAACGGCACTCATAACGTTCGGGCTCTTGGTCGAGAAATGGGTCAATGACTACCTCAAACAACAGGAGCAGGGTCGCTCAGTGCCTGCCGAACTCATTTCTAAGAACACCAACTACAGACAGTCGCCATCGGATATTTGAGGAAAAAGTAAGGTGAGATTGGGAAAAAAAGAAGAAATGGCGGACGGAAGCTCTAAACCAGCAGGTAAAGGTAAAGAGCAGCTGAACAAAAGATACCACAACGAAATATGATAAAAGAGGGGTCCCGTGTAGTGTGGGGTTCTCAGTTGTTGGCTTAATTGTCACGAAGGACGGAAGTCACTCATAATCGATCCCGTGCTTCCTCAATGTTCTTCTGTACGACACGACTACTCTCACTTCACACGAATTGATTTTTTTTTCCTCTTTCCCATATTCTACACAGCTGGTGGAAGAAAAAATAATTCAGAGCAGCTAGCTTGGCTCATCGCATTAGGTTTCCACAGCTGATCACCGGCCAAACAGGAACAAGAGAACAAGGTTTCCCCCCACACACCTCTAGTTGATTACAACAGGTCTTTCCAGTAACACAAGTGTCGAAAACCTGTTCACAATGGCCAGAAAAAGAAACTTCAAGAAGGGCAACAAGAAAACGTTTGGGGCCAGAGACGATTCCAATGCGCAGAAGAACTGGACTGAGCTGCAAAAGGAGAACGAAAAATGGGAGAAATACTACAAAGACCTCGGTTTGATCCCAGAAGACCAATGGGACGAATTTAAGAAAACGTGTCAGGCCCAGCTACCTCTCACATTCAGAATCACCGGATCCAGAAAACATGCTCACGAAGTTCTGTCTCTTTTCGAAGAACAGCATTTGCCCAATCTCACCAATTGCGAGTTCGAAGGTGAAGTCATCAAGGCGCCAACAAGACTGCCATGGTACCCAGAAAACCTAGCTTGGCAATTGGACGTTTCCAAGCAGGTGATTAGGAAAAACGAGCAGTTTTCGAAAGTACAGAGATTTCTGGTGGTGGAAAATGCCGTTGGTAACATTTCTAGACAAGAGGCAGTTTCTATGATTCCTCCTATTGTCTTGGACGTCCAACCCGAACATGCAGTGCTCGATATGTGTGCTGCTCCAGGCTCCAAAACTGCTCAACTGATCGAAGCCCTTCATGCCAATGAAGACGAACCCAGTGGGTTTGTTGTCGCAAACGACGCGGATCACAGAAGATCTCATATGCTGGTGCATCAGTTGAAAAGACTCAACAGCGCCAACCTCGTTGTGGTCAACCACGATGCCCAATTCTTCCCTCGTGTCAAGACGGATAAGGACTCCAACCAGTTTTTGAAGTTCGACAGAGTGCTTTGTGACGTTCCGTGTTCAGGTGACGGTACTATGCGTAAAAATGTGAATGTCTGGAGAGATTGGTGTACGGGCTCTGGATTAGGTCTGCACACTGTTCAGCTAAACATCTTGAAAAGAGGTCTTAATCTACTGAAGAAAGGCGGCAAACTGGTATACTCAACTTGCTCCATGAACCCCATCGAGAATGAGGCTGTCGTTGCCGGTGCTCTTAGACACTTTGGTGATAAAATCAAGCTAATTGACTGCCAGGACAAACTACCAGGTCTAGTAAGAAGTAAAGGAATCAGTGAATGGCCCGTCATCGACAAAAATTATGTGAAGAAGGAAAAAGGCGACGAAGGTACTCACGACACATGGTTTCCACCAACCCCGGAAGAAGCGGAAGCGTTTTCTCTTGATCGCTGCATAAGAGTTTATCCTCATCAACAAAACACTGGAGGATTTTTCATCACCGTCTTTGAAAAGATTGATGGAGAGGCCGAAGAGAAACCTAAGCGTGCTGGAACAGACGAGCCAAAAGAAGAACTTGTCACTGAGAAAAAACAAAAGACTGAAACAGGTGTTGCCGCCCCTGCTCCAGTAAAAAAGGAAAAACTTCCGAGAGACGCCAATGAAGAGCCATTCGTTTTCTTGGATCCAAAGCATCCTGAACTTGAAAAATGCTGGTCCTTTTATGGAATTGACGACAAATTTGATAAATCATCTTGTCTTGTAAGAAATGCTGCAGGGGAACCAACTCGTGTCATATATTACGCGAGCTCCTCTCTCAGAAACATCATTGAAGCTAACGATGATAGATTGAAATTGATTTATTCTGGTGTTAAGCTTTTCGTGTCTCAAAGGTCTGACATTGAGTGCTCTTGGAGAATTCAAAATGAGGCCTTGCAGATCATGAAACATCACATGAACCCAAGCAGAGTTGCTGACGTTAACATGGAGTGTCTAAAGATGTTGTTGATGGAGTCCTTCCCAAAATTCGAAGATATGGAAGAAAGTCACATTGATGACAACTTTTTGAGAAAAATGAAATCTCTCTCCGCTGGCTGTGCCTTTGTTAACGTTAATAGGGGCGAGGACAAGGAAAGCCTGTTCATGCCTTTGTGGAATGGAAGTAAATGCGTCAATTTGATGGTTTGCAAAGAAAATACACAAGAATTGTTGCATCGCCTTTTCGGCGACGAAGCTGCACTAAAACAGGCTGCAAATGCAAAAGAGAACCAGAAAGCCGCAGCTGCAAAAACCGAGGAGACTACAAATCAGGTTGCAGAAGAAGCAACTCCTGCTCCTGAAGAATCAGCCCCAGCTGCTGAAGAAGCAACTTCCGCTGCCAAAGAATGATCGTTGTTTGACCATTGGAAATGAATAGTAGCACATCTGTAGATCTATAAAGGATATTAAGCTATTGGTCTAATTACATGGACAAATGGCTGTACGAAACACGCTTCTTAGTTCTGGCCGAGAGTGTAAATGGCAAACGACCTTTGTAACTGTCTGCGGACACTGATTTTTTGAGCACCAACGAAGCTGTCCACAGTCACCTTAATAGCTCTATCAAGATCCCAAGATGATACAAACTCAGAAAGTCTCATCTTGGCAAAAGATTCCGCTATCCTAAGAATGGACTCTAAGTGACGCACAGTAATAGGGAATGATCCCGTTGTTATACTTTCACGTCTAAGATCCGCATAAACTCTGCTGACTTTGTCCATGTCCATCTGATGTAGCTTGGGAAAGACTTTGGTTCTTGCATAGTGGATATACTTCATCAAGGTTTCCTGTGGAATAGGAGAAATTTCTCCCTCTCGCTTTCTTTCCCTCTGTAAACGTCTTTGTCTTGCGGAAACAGGTTCTTCACCACCATCCATCCCTCCCTCATCCTCACCGTTGAAGTTTTCATCTAGAGGATGAGACCTGACATGGGAATCCACCACAAAACGGGCCAACCTCTCGTCTTTTTCCTCATCGACTAAGTCTCTCACAACGCACAGGATGTCGAAACGAGACAAAATTGGTTCAGTTAAGTCGACATTCTGTGCTAGAGGTAAAGATGAATTGTAACGACCTCCGTTCGGATTAGCAGCCGCAATAATAGCACACCGCGCCTGTAACGTCGTTACAATACCTGCTTTCGAAATGGATATGTTCTGTTGTTCCATAGCTTCGTGAATGGAAGTTCTGTCCTGGTCGTTCATTTTATCGAACTCATCTATCAAACACACACCTTTATCCGCAAGCACAAGAGCACCACCCTCCAGAGTCCATTCTTTTGTGATGGGGTCTTTGCGCACCGATGCTGTCAAACCAACTGCCGATGCACCTTGACCGGTTGCAAAGACGGCCCTATGTGCCGTTTTCTCGACGTACTTCAGAATCTGCGATTTGGCAGTACCAGGGTCACCCAGAAGCAACACGTTGATATCACCACGAATTGAGTGCTTACCATTAACATTTTTTGGAACACCAGCGAATAATGAGCATGCCACAGCGGTCTTGATATCTTTGTGTCCGTAAATTGAAGGTGCCATTGAGGATATGATTTTATCCACCACCCCACGGTCACTGGAGATGCGTCTGAATTCTCGCTCCTCTTCTTCGGTCCAGCCAAAGACGTCCAGTCCTTCCTCGTCATCACCATACCTTTGTCCACCTTCCTTTCTCTTGACAGAATTTGCTTCGATAACAGTGGCAAACACTGGGAATCCATTTCTCGCATTGAGGTTACCATCATAGGTGTTTTTGTAAACACCAGTGACCTCGACTTCCCCACCTGGTTTGGCAATATCCACAAGGTCCCATAATAATATGACTTCGCGATGTCTTGGTAGTCTTCCCGCCGGTACTGTACCAGGAGCCTCCTGCAAAGTTATGCGCTGGTAATTTCTGTACAAGGTCTTTTCAACATTTGTCCTAAAAGGTCCGCGCGACCTGCAGTTTGTGCAAAACGAGATTTTTATTTCCTCGTTAGAGTCTTGAAAGTAAGGACCCAAAACTGCACCACATTTCAAGCAATTGAACTTAACGTATTTCAATTGAGGGAACACACCTGTTCTTCTCGTAACAACACCGCTTACGCGCACCAAAGAATTGAGATTGGCTTCTCTCAGGTCTCGCAAGTTTAATACTGTTGGGAAATCAGAAATTCGAACGTGAATCTCGGCATGAATTCTTGCGTAATCTGGATAATGCAATTGAATAGCGTCCATCGCCACCACATCGAAGATTTTAAGCATCTCTTCAGGGCATTTGGCCAAAAACAGCGCTAAAATGGCTTTGGATTCTGCCAGGTGCCGATAATTGACTTCCAAAGACTCCGAGTTGACTTCACCAAGAGTTCTGATTCTAGCACCATATACAGATCTTCCGGATTCATCGGTGTATTCCAGCAGAAAAGATTTTAATTCACGAGCAATGGTTCGTGCCACATTCGGTTGAGTGATCCATTCGGTATAGCTCGATGCCTTCACGTCACTTAGCGATTCAAGTGTAAGTTCTTCTGCCAACGGATCTATGTCTATATCCGAAAGTAGATCGTCGTCATCTTCGTATTGTCGCCTTCTGCGACGTCTTTGGATGGGCATTCCCATTTCATCGAGGTTCGCATTGTCCATGTCTTCGTCGTCGTCCATGTACGCTTCATTTCGCAGAAGTCGGTCTCTTTCGTTCAGTTGTGCGTCGATTCTCCGTCTAGCAGAAATATCCAACTCGCTTTGATCCCGATCATCCACTCCAGCGTCTTCGTAAACGTCCCGTCTCGCGTCAGACCCATAATCCTGATACATGTCATCACCCATCAAGTCTTCCTCATCTAATTGCTCTTCTATCTCGTCTAGATCTTGGTTTTGATCCACCTCTTCTCCATCTGGATTTTCGAAATCAATCTCTTCTGGGGAGCCCAAAGGCGAGGATCTTCCTACTAAGGGAGCCTGGGGTGACGAAGGCGGTACCGCGTGTTCGTCGTCACTGCTATCATCATCTTCTGGTCTTCTTCTCCGGCGATCCATTGGTTTCTCTTGCAAGTTTGGTGAAGTTGGTGATGTCTTGTTCAGATTTGAGTTGAGCTGTGTCTTATGTATATTAATTTACCAATTATGGCTAATTGCCGTGAGAAGTGAGAATAGGGCGATCTTCTCAAACTTTACTGACATCGACGAGAGAAGTACGAAAGAAGCGTCTAGAAAGATTGAGACTATTTTATTAATCTTTGAGAGATTGAGCTGTGGTCATGGGCTTTTTGTAGATATGTAAAAGTGTGTTTTTTGAGGTTTTAAAATTGTCACAGCGACAAACCTAATATTTAGAATATAAGAGTCTTGGTGAACCAGGAAGCTGGTGAGAATTGATATTAAGCCTCTAAAAGCGGGGAAAATCATATGGTGGCTTTCATTGTCACTTTGATCCTATTATATGTGCGTTTAGATTTCACAAGTAAGTTTTGGATTGAACGAGTGGTATTCAACGTTTAGTTTGAGAAAGTAATGTGTCAAAGCAGCTGATTTATGGGCTGAATTTGATATAGCGTGAGACTGCAATGGGATAACAATGGCTTAAAATGACTCTAAACTGGCGGACCCGATTGTGTTGACCCAAAATCATCCTGCCTTTTCAGAAGGCAAAGCTCCATGGAAATTACCACAAATAAGATACAACAATTGAGCTTTGGTAAGCCCAAAGTCCACCGTGGCCTTCCAGTGAGCTGCAAATCTCATACACGTTTGTCTCTTATCACTATTTCCCTGGTTGTCTCCTGCTCAATAACACCTGTCATGTGATCGATCATATGTCTACACCAGCGTCACCAAAAGAGACCACCAGACTTCCATATTTCGATGGATGCTAGCCATCAAGACTAGCTCCAGAGAGGCACTCTAACCTTTTTTCTACTTTGAATTTGAGGGTGTATAATCTGCCACACGAACCATGACCTGAAAATCAACTTCGATAAAATCGGACACACACGCACGTTCTTGAACTCCATTTGAACCAGTCGAAAATAACACAAATCACCTAACATTGAAGAACGAACCGGCTTTGATTCGGCTTTAAAAGATTACCAAAATTCATGCAAAAAGATTCATTGGTGTTGACTGTGTCAACTTGCATATTTTCCCGCAGATTCATTATTTCCAGTGACCGTGTCTACAGGAGAGTCCTGAAATTACTGGTTTTCCATTTGAAATGGTATGAAGCACCTAGATTCATTCATTGAGATCGATCTGGGAATACAACGAAACCAAAAGTAAGCTCAAAAACCCAATTCTCACAATAAACCGAAAACGCGAAACAAAAATACCGACACCAAGTAAATTCAAACACCAAAACTCCACAATAGTTCATGTACCAATTCTCAGTTCTCAAACCTTCTAGGTTTGCCATTACGCGTTACTGTCGTCAACCTCTTCTCTTCATCAGGTGACCATATTCTGTCAATAAAGTGATATTGAATATGAAATAGCCCAGTGGTTAGCCCAAAATGTCAACCGAACCATTCGAAAAGGACGCCATTGAAGCCCTCAGTTCAATTCCTTGATCTCCAGTTTGACCACCATCGTAATCTTGACACTCAGAAATGTCTGATATAAGTGCTTCGGAATATATCGAGCAGCAAAATGCCTTGGAAGATGAGGCCCGTGAACTGATGCCATGGAGTCCAAGTAAATGCACATATGTCGATGGCGGCCTACGACAACCCGTATTCGCATGTTTAGATTGTGGAGAAATTGGTGTTTGCTACTCTTGCTCGATTCAATGCCATGCAGAATGCGAGTTAATCGAGTTATTCACCAAGAGAGGGTTTACCTGCGACTGTGGAACTGAGAGACAAACGACCAAAAAGAGCTCTAATAGCGATTATTGGTGCCAATTGCGCAAAAATACCACGCAAGATATCCCCAGCGCGTCAAATACGTACGGTCCCAACTTCAAAGGGTATTTCTGCGACTGTCACAAGCAGTACGATCCGGAAACTGATTCTACAATGATCCAGTGTGCGCTGGGCTTGGAATGCAACGAGGACTGGTACCATTGTTCCTGCATATTGAAAACTCGAGGACCTAAAGATGATGAAGAAAAAATACAACTGGATCCAACGGACCAGACACCGATCGCATTTCCAAAACTGGAATCCTTCGAAGCTTTTATTTGCTGGAAATGTGTGTCGCGCTATGAATCTGTGTTTCGAGACTTGCTGGCTCACCCAAAGTCGGAAGATTTGATAGCTCATAAGGTTCCCCACCAGGGTCCTAAAACTGTACCCGGTGAGGTCAAATCTGAGGTCGATACTTCCGAAAGTGAAAACCTACGGAAAAGAAAGATCGATGACAGTGAAGAAAGTGAGTTACTCTCTGTGATGCTTTTACCGGGTTACAAGAATGTCTTGCAGAATTTGCGAACCGAACTAGAAGAGTCGAGCAAACTTTATGTTTTCTTGTCGGATATCGCACCTTTCTTGACGGAAGAGGACCCTACTTACGAGCCTCCAAATGACTCTGATGATGATACCTCCACATTTGAGCTGGGAACGCAGGCGTTGTGCTCAACTGTGGATAAAGACATTGCCGCAGCCGGCTTGAAGGCGATGGATGGTATCAAACAGAAACTGAGCGAATTCTTGCGGCCCTTTGCAGAATCAAAACAAGTGGTAAGGGAGGAGGATATTCGCAATTTCTTCAAATTACAAAAAGAGGAAGACAGACAGTAAACTTATTAATTCAACCCCTGCTCTGGGAACTATGGTTCCCATATTAGGGCCTTAGTCTTGACATAGTTATCTGAATCTGATGACCATAAAAGAGCATTCATTCCACTATAATCATTGTTAAATGCCGTATTGATGTGCAGGATTGCAACATGTAGCTCTGCTGCTATTTTGAAAATCGATTTTGAGTCGGAAGAGTACAAATATGCGGCGGAGCCAATGTGTTCTCGGTTAACATTGCTGAAAACGCTCTGAAGCGAATCGAACTTTTCCAAGGAGGCAATGGGACCGTAAAATTCCTTCTGTACTATCTTCATCTCTTGAGTGACATTGCTCAGAACCGTGGGGCGGAAGAATCCTGCTCCTAGACTTTCAGCTTTCACGCCTCCACACAAGACACAGGCTCCTTTATCTTTCGCATCTTCAATCAATTCTGAAAGCTTCTGGGTTTCGTTTGGATCACTCAATGGTCCATAAGTGACTTTGTGAGCAAAGGGGTCCCCCAAACAACTGGTAGACTCCACAAGTGACACAAGTTTCCGCGCAAACTCATCATAAATAGAAGCATGGACGAAAACTCGACTTATACGACTGCCTTCTTGGTCAGACAACCTGAATCGACACTGGATTAAATCTTGTACTGCTTTCTGGACGTTTGCGGTGTCAGAAACAATAAAGGGAACCTCATCTCTTGAATATAGAGATATCTTTTCGAGACTTCCTGAGCCACGGCCTTCATTCAAGATGTTTTTCCCCATATAGTGCGGACCGATGTACACAAGTCTGTGGACGGCCTTATTTTTGAGCAACAGTTTCTCAAAAGTTGGTCTTTGTGTAGAGGGAAGTACATTGCAGACTCCATTGGGTAGTCCAGCTTGAGTGCATAGGTATGCCAACGCCAGCGATGTCAAAGGTGTTTCCTGGGCTGGTTGTACCACACATGTGTTTCCCGTGGCAATCGTTGCAGCTATGTTTCTGGAAACTGCTGCTGGAAAAGACCAATGAGGCAGAAAAGCCAGTACGCCCACCGGTTGATTGACCTGCAATGTCACTCGCGGATGCGGTGACAATACCATTTCCGAATTTGCTGACGGTCTTGATGCTTCTTTGGAAAAAAACTGGAACCAGCTAGCAGCGTTGGTAATGTCAATCATTGAGCTTTGGAACGCTTTCCCGCTTTCCAAGCTCAGCAAGCGGGCGAGGTCCAAGCTATGCTCTTGAATTAAGTCGTATATATCAGTCAAAATTTGGGATCTTTCAGCTGTTGAAAGACGGTGGTAACTTTTAAAAGCTGTTTTCGCAGCTTTGATAGCATCTTGACAGTCCTTAATACCACAATTTGTCACTTTGCATAATTCTTCAGATGTTGATGCGTTTTTGACAGTGTATTGTTCGCCCTTTCTCCAGTGTCCGTTAATCAACGCACTAGTTCTCAGAATCGAACAATCATCGATAGAGCTAGATATTGATCGCCTAAAACCCTTGCTTAAAATAATACTTAAATCACGAATGTGAGGCATCTTGTGAAGGGCTTTAGTGTGTGGAAACTGTGAGTTTTAGCCTTGTAGGCTTTTCTTTCAGAATTTAAACTGACATTCAATTTTAAGGTAAGGTATACTGACACCTTTTTATATCGGGCAGCATCTCTTCTTTCTCGAAATAATGGTGAAGAGCACGATGACAGTGAAAAATGTAGAAACTGGAATTCCTGGAGGGGCACAATGAATCAAATTAGTTGATATTACTCGAGATATTTACAGATATGTTTTCCTGGGTTTATTCGTTTCTCTTTTCTTCTTGAGCATCGATTATGTCAAATTCTGACTTCCACACAGAGTTTCCTTCCGGTAGTGAGACATCTGAGAAGAGCTTATTAAAGATTTGGTCATACCAAGCGGCAGGAAGAGGCTCCAAACCTTCCTTTACATGGTCTGGAAGTTCAGCCCAATCGTTTAGATTGTCTTTGGGGAAAATAATGGTCTTTGCTCCGGACCTTTTGGCAGCAACGGCCTTTTCGCGAAGCCCACCAATACGCAAAACTTTTCCGGTCAGTGTCAGTTCGCCGGTCATAGCAACGGTTGGATCAAGCTGCTTGTTTAATGCTAACGAAAGAAGAGAAGAGGCCATGGTGACACCTGCGCTTGGTCCGTCTTTGGGCGTTGCTCCTTCAGGACAGTGCAAATGGATGGCTGCCTTCTCAAAAAATCGGTTATCGGGGAAAGTCTTGCTCAAAAACATCCTTGCAAATGAGTAAGCAAGTCTGGATGATTCCTTCATGACGTCGCCCAGCTGGCCAGTACGTTCCAACGAGGGCTGGGATTTTGAACTGATGGGCTGTTCGAGAACAGACTCCACGTACATCGCACAGCCACCCATACTTGTCCACGCTAGACCCATAACAACACCGGGTGGTGTTGTTTCGTATAGTCGGTCGGACGTGTAAACCGGAGGACCAACATAGTCTTTCAAGTTGTTGGGATTGATGTCGATTTGTATACTTTTAGGCACAGTCACGGCCTCCTCGCTGTCTTGAGTCTTCTTGACTGTCAATTTTGCGTCTTGCTCGGACAGAGATTCAGTAAACCCAACGGTCTCCTCCTTCCTGTCTTTCACAGCATCCCCTTTACTCGCAACATTGGCCGGTGGCTCATCGAGACTCATTTGTTTTACAACGTTCAGCGCTGCTTTCCTGTAGACCTTCTCAATATGCTTCTTTAGATTCCGTACACCGCTCTCTCTGCAGTAAAGCTTCATCAGGGAAATAACAGCTTCCTCGGTCAAATTGACGTTTGCGTTGGCAAGCCCAGCATCGCGCTTCGCGCTAGGCGATAAGTACTGTTCAGCAATTTTGATTTTTTCTTCAGCCACATATCCGGTCAATTCAATCACTTCCATTCTGTCCAGCAAGGGCCTTGGGATGGTGTCGAGGGTGTTTGCTGTGCAAACGAACAGAACTTTAGATAAATCCATGGGGATGTCCAAATAGTTGTCCAGAAAAGTATTGTTTTGTTCAGGGTCCAATAGTTCTAGGAGCGCAGCAGAAGGATCACCGTGAACACCGCCGTGACCAATTTTATCAATCTCGTCGATCAAAATGAGTGGGTTTTGCGTCTCGCATTTTTTCAGTGCTTGGATTACTCTACCAGGCAGAGCTCCAATGTAAGTTCTCCTGTGACCCTTGATTTCGGCAATGTCAGTCATACCACCAACAGAGAACCTAAAAAATTGACGGTTCAAAGAGCGAGCGATAGACTTACCAATCGATGTTTTACCAACACCTGGAGGACCAACAAAACATATTATTTTTCCATCAACTTTCCCTAAAAGCTTACCAACTGCAATGAATTCCAGGATTCTGTCCTTAACGTCTTTGAGTCCGTAGTGATCTTCGTCTAAAATTTGCTTAGCCAATGGTATAGAGTATTGCTCTTTGGAGGTGACACCCCATGGGAGGGTTGTAATCCAGTCTAAGTAGTTCCGGATAACACCAAACTCAGACATAGACGTTTCAAGGGTAGCCAATTTGGTAACCTCGTCATCAAACACTTTTTGAACGTTTTCTGGTAGCTGTAGTTTCTCCAGTCTTTTCTTGAAAGTCTCGATTAATTTATCCCTTCCATCGTCAATCCCAAGTTCACGTTTAATTCCCTTTAGTTGTTCCATTAGGTAATATTCGCGTTGTCTTTTCTGTATTTTAGTCTCAACGTCCTTGGAGATCTTATTCTGCAATTCTGCGTTCATTAGCTCCTTCTTCAGCACAACCAGCGATTTCTCCAATCTTTGCTCAATATCCAATGACTCCAGAATTTCCTGTAATTCCTCTTCTTCCCCTGCCGAAACGGCTGCGGCAAAGTCAGCTAATCGCGCAGGTTCCTCAAATATGTTAGTTGTAGCGGACTGGATGGATGCTGAAAAAGTGGCGATCTGCTCCCTGAACATGGTATTCAGCTGAGAAATCTCTTTGAACACTTTGAGTATTTCGGAGGTTAATGCGTTTATAACGGGGGACTTCCTGTCAAATTCTTTATCTTCAAGATTTGACACATTTACTAGGGATATATCATACTCTTTCAGAAACTCGGTAGGATTTGTTTCCTCCTCGATGATATCTAGATTGTCTATCGAACTCGTTTTAGTCTGAAGGCTTTGGACTTCGTTATCTCCTTCTTTGTTGACAGAAAGTGATTCGGAACTATTGGAGTTCGACGATGCAGGAGTGCCAGAATTAGCCTTGGCACCAGTGGGCGGAAGTAGCTCATCTATTTTGATTCTTCTGTGTGGGTAAAGAAGTGCCGTCATCGTCTCAGCGCCAGATTTTTCATCTTTGCTGGGAAATGCGCTGGTAATCTGTGCAAAAACACCTGTTTCGTAGACCTCGTTAGTGTTGTGAATAACGTCGGTGTCCACATTGGAGTCTTTTAATAGAAAAGCACCGATGTAGGGTTGCTGGCGTTCCAGCATTTCTTTGATGGCCGTCATAACTCTGCTGTCAGAAATCACAACGGCTTTGTAGAAGCCTGGAAAGAGCGGACGTCTGGAAATTGGCAGTGCCAGCATTTGTGGATAAATCTCCGGTAGCTTGGGTTTTTTTGAAGAATGTTTTGTATCGCTCCCGCGTTCAGAGCCATCATCGCCTCCATTTCCGTCACTTCCTGATGGGGCACCCCCCATTGAGCTTGTGCTAGAGACGGCAGATGCGCCAGAATCACTAGATTTTGAGATTTCGGTGTCTTTTTTTGGAGTCTGGGAATCTGGCGATCCCTTATCTTTTGAATCATTGTCATCCTTTTCGGATGTTTTGGGATCCACGGGGGGCTTCTGATCGCTTTTTCCGTCACTTTTCAGCGACAGTTCGTGTAACCACTGAGATTCTAGTCGTTTCAGCTCGCCACCGATCTTTGGGTCCTCAACTTGTTTTCGATAGGCCTCCCAATGCAGATTACCAATACTCGATGTTTCTCGAGCATTCAAGAGCGCTTGCGAACTGACTGTTGACGCCAGCCTTGCTTGTACACCAAAACCACGCCTGTAGAATCGCCTCAAGGCTTCTAAACTCCTGGTACGAAGCATATCGGTGTGCTTTAAGGCTTTTTTGGCGATGATGGGTGGCAACGATTGGTATTCCTAGTTCGCCTTTTATAGTTTACTTTATATTACGCATATATTGATGGATCTCTCATAATGAAGTAGTAGCCATTGAATCACGTGACCTATGATTTTAGTTGATGAGAGAAACAGACAGAGAAAGAGAAAACGACGACGGAGTCAAAAGACCAGGAAGGTTTGAGATCATGAAACACTTTGGTTAGCACTAGTTTGTTTCCAATACAGTATTGACGTTAGTTTTGGTCTTTTCCCTGGTTCGAAACTTATATTTTTGGTGCAGTTCCGTGAACATCGTGACAGTTTATGCTTCCAATGGGATAAATGCTTTTTCGAGCATGCCAGGTTGGGAATATCGGATGTGAGCAACTGAGGAAGATTGTTTCTTGAAGCTCATGGATCCATTTGTATCGGGCAGGCACTTATCTTAGGATTTTCTTGCCAGGAAAACAACAGCATACGCGGCCTTTGTCTCGATATTTATGATTTTTGATGGCAAAGATTGGATCCAAATTCACAGATGTAAAAGTAGGCCGAGACTGCAAGTGAAAGATGAGAGTTTTTAGAGATGCTTTCAGCGATTGTTTGGTTCTTTTTTCACCCCACTCAAGTTGCGCAGATCTCCACGCAAATTGGTACAACCATCAAAAGCGTTGTATCCTGGAACAAAGCAAAAAACACGTTCCCGCAACACTTGTTCCTAGCATGCACTCTTTCAAAACACCAAGATGAGTACGAAGCAGTCCCACGGCTCTGTGAGCTTTTCCATCACACGCTATCATATCCCCATCCTGGTTCCACTCCTCTTCACATATACAGTTGAGCATCAGCTTCAATGTATTCGTTGTCCTTCCCACCCGTTTTTGCGTTATCTTGTGCATCGAATTCTTCCCTTTGAGCTTCCTCCTGCATCGATGCTGTGTCGCCGTTTGCTGCTCCAGCAGAAGGCGATTCCTCGTCTGACACACCGTCCCGTCTCAGATATGTCATTTGGTTTTTCAAAGCTTGTTGCTGTCGGTATTTTGCGAGGTAGATCTTGAGAACCTCTGCGTAGTTTTCGAATCCCAGGGCATTCAACGACGTCAGTACGTCTTCGCCATTAATGGTCTTACGCTTGTCCTGCGTGCATCTATCATTAGCTTCGCTTGTAACGAAGGAAATGAACTCTGACACACACTCTTGCATGCATTCTTTGGCGTCTTTTGAAACCTTAGCAGAAACTGGCAGTGTGTTTTTCATTAGTCGTCCCACATTGTTGATTGGTAGCCATCGATCCTGTTCTCGCAGCTCCGCCACAAACTGGTTGTGAAGTTCTTGTCTTTCTGCCTCCTTGTCCATTTTAGCATATAAAAGAGTCCCGAATTTGATCAAACCAACGCTACAGTGCTCAGTTGAAGGTTCTTTGACTTCACATTTCAGTTACTGGAGGTTAAGATATATATATCTTGAAATATGGCTATGATATTATTGATTTAATAATGAGATGAGCTAGAATTCGAGAAACTGGGAACTTTGACTGGTTTGATAGTAGAAGCTAGCAGTTCAATTGAGTCTTCATATCATGGCCAAGCAATCCGAGGAGTCCCCTCCTCAAACTATCTTACAAAAATCGACCGAAGGAGTCACTTTGCTGATGTTTACGCAGTTATTTGGTAAAGTCGTCACATTTCTGCTAAATACACTCCTGGTAAGATACTTGTCGCCAAAAGTTTTTGGGATCAATGCATTTCTGGAGTTTCTGCTCTCAACAGTTTTGTTTTTCAGTCGGGAAGCGGTTAGACTGTCAGCTTTGAGAATCAAATCTCCCACGCCTTCAAATTCCAATGTTCAGGAAGACGATGGACAGGCAGAAGATGCAGATAAGACGGTTCTACAAATAGCTATCAACTTTTCCTATATTTCGATGCTGATCGGACTTCCTCTCTCGCTCGTGCTAATTGGGTGGCAGTACAGTAATTTGAATGAGTATTTCCTTTCGCTGCCGTATTTCAAGCTGGCCATTGCGATCATATGGCTCAGTATTCTGCTGGAACTCTGCAGCGAGCCCTTTTTCATTGTGAATCAGCTTATGTTGAACTACAAAGTCAGAAGCCAGTTCGAAAGTATCGGTGTCCTTGCAGCGTGTGTGGCCAACTTCGCCATAGTGTACGTTTACGAAAATAAGATCAATGGTTCCGGGGCTTCGTTGCATGATACTACCAAGCAAGAAGGAATTGCCATTTTTGCGTTTGCCGTCAGCAAGCTCGCTCATTCAACAGCGCTCCTGTGCGGCTACAGCTACGACTACTTTACTCGTCTCTCGAGGGAAAACAAATTTCGCATATGGCCTACCAAGATCCAATTGTCGAGCAAAACGCAACCCTTCTATTTTCAAAGCGACATTGTGCAGCATTTCAGAAAGGTTTATCTGCAATTGTGCTTCAAACATTTGCTTACAGAGGGTGACAAGCTGATAATCAATTCTATGTGCACGGTTGAGGAGCAAGGAATTTATTCGCTGCTCTCTAATTACGGTTCGCTGCTAACGAGATTAGTTTTCTCGCCTATTGAAGAGTCTCTGAGACTTTTCCTAGCGCGACTATTGTCAGTGACTTCCTCCAAAAATGTAAAGCTTTCGATGGAGGTACTTGTGAATTTGACCAAATTCTACTTGTATTTGTCGCTTCTCATAGTGGTTTTCGGACCCATCAATTCTCCATTTCTACTACAGTTCCTCATCGGCAGTAAGTGGTCCAGCACTAGTGTTCTGGACACCATCCGAATCTATTGTCTGTATCTGCCCTTTCTTTCCATCAATGGCATATTCGAGGCCTTTTTCCAAAGTGTTGCTACCGGGGAAGACATTCTAAGACAGTCCTACTTCATGATGGCCTTTTCGTGCGTGTTTCTGGCCAGCTGCTGGGTATCAATTGGCCACTACAAGATGTCGTTAGAGGGTCTGATCGTGAGTAACATTATGAACATGATTTTACGAATTGCGTTTTGCGGATGGTTCATTGGAAAGTTCTACAAGAGTCTTCATTCAGATTCTAACATGCACAATTCCTCCTTCCTGCTGAACTTCCGTAACTTCAAAGTGGTTTCCTTCGTGGCAGCTATCATCGCAGTCTCGAATTTCTGCATTTTCGGTGTTGTCAAAACATTCGAGCAGTTCTTCCTGAACGTCGCAATGGCTCTGGTACTGCTCGCATTGATCATCTACAAAGAAAAGGACAGCTTGAACGCTTACCTGAGGCAGAACAAGAACGACACCAAACATGTCTAGATAAAAGTTGTGTATTATTGAAATTTCAGCATCTTAGCAGCTATCCAAACCGAAAGTAGATCACAATGACTCAAATACCAGACAAAAAGCATTCAAATGTGCGGTTTGTAACCTTCAATGTCAATGGGTTACGTACCTTTTTCCATTACCATCCTTTCAGTGGTATGAACAGCTCTTTGGCAAGAGTCTTTGACCACTTCCAATCGGATATTATCACATTTCAAGAGCTCAAGACAGATCAACTAGCCTTAACGAAGTGGGGGAAAACTCGCAATTTCCATTCATTCATATCTATTCCTACCAAGCGACGTGGCTACTCCGGAGTTGGCTGTTGGGTACGCATTGTTAGTCCCGATGACCCTCTTTTTGACGTTCTGCAAGTAGTCAAGGCTGAAGAGGGCATCACAGGCTACTTGAAGGTCAAAGTTGGCAAAAACAGTGTTAGGTACCGAGATGATAGCTCAATTGGGATTGGTGGATATGATTCATTGGGAATTGAGAACGAAACAGAGGCTCTTTCGCTTGATTGCGAAGGACGGTGCGTTATGGTGGAATTGAAATGCAACATGGTAGTCATAAGCACGTACTGTCCGGCCAATTCGATGCAAACGGACGACGGCGAAGAGTTTAGATTGAAATTCCTCAAAGTCCTGTTCAGACGGATACGCAACTTTCATGCCATGGGGAAAACAGTGGTTTTGATGGGCGATATCAACGTATGTCGAGATCTTATTGACCAGGCAGAGGCTCTGAAGAGCTGGAGAATTACGGTGAGTGATCTCACCAAAGGCTCAGAGGTGGAATCTTCCCATATGGAAGCCGTCAAGGATTTTATTTATGCACCGTCAAGACCAGCCAGACGGCTTTTGAACGAAATGTTAGCAGACTCAAAACTATCACATTTAGCAGCGTCAGGAACACTGCTAGACACGACTAGACACTGTCAAGGAAATGATAGACTGAAAATGTACACGGTATGGAATACTCTAAAAAATTCTAGGCCCATCAACTACGGCTCCAGGATCGACTACATTTTGGTAACTTCTAAAATGAAAGACGATATCGAGAAAGCCGATATATGGCCCCAGATAATGGGTTCTGATCATTGTCCTGTGTTTGCTGATATACATCCGCGCAGCGCTAGCGACAAAGATGACACAACTACCCGTGGCGTGCCACCTTTCGAGGCCAGGTTTAGACACAACCTGAATAATCGAGATATCACTAGCATGTTCCGGCAAAGTGCAGCACCGCAACAGACAGATAATCCAAAGTCTCAATCATCTCTGCGAGTGAAAAAATCAGACACTGAGCTTCAAACCAAAAAGAAGCAGGAGTCAATCAGAACAGCTTTGAAAGTTCCTGCGAATATGAAAAACGTGGATTCTGACGTTCAGAACAAGTCACAGTCCGTATCGCCGGCCAAAAAGTCCAACTCCTTTTACACAATGCTGAATGGAATGCTTGATGGCCCTCCCTTGTGCAAACACGGCGAAGAAGCGATTTTAAGAACTTCAAAAACAGATAACAGCCGTGGCAAGAAATTTTGGGTCTGTCCCAAGCCCAAAGGGGACCCTACTGATGAAGGTGCAAATTGTGATTTCTTCCAATGGAAGTAGCATCTTTACTTCGAGTCCGAGGACAAAAATTAACGCAAGTTCGGGAAAATATTATCAATTGTCCATGGATCCATCCTCGATCTCATTGGAAACTGCTGCCTTGTGCCATAAAACGTCATCGTCAGAAATTTCCAGATTGCCAATGGCATTCGTAGTCTGCAAAATAAGAGCCAGAACTGGAACTTCCGTTAATTCTTCAGAGGAAATGAATGTTGACACGGCCGATTCAAAGGTTGCAGCGTCCTTGATAAAGACTTTTACATACGCAAGGTTTCCGTCTTGCTTTAAGAAATAGTATTCGCATGCCTCTCCGAAAAGGCCATGACACTTTTTCAAACTGTTGTTGATGAATTGACGCCACGTCATTTCATCGAACGCCAATTCCTTGTCGGTCTCGACGTTTTGAGATGTTCTAGTTGAGAAAGACAGGTAAGTAAGTGAATTATTCGAAATGCTAAAATCGACTTTACCAAAGGCTATAAACTTACAGCTTGAGCTTATAAAAGACCCATTCTCTTGAACGCTTGCCACATTGCACTTGGCTACTCATAAAAGGTACTTCTAGAGCTTTAATCTTTGGATGATCTGGGATAAAACTGATCTTTGACGAGATGAGCGTTATAAGATATGAATTTATTGTATTTTGAACATTCGTAGTTCGCTATTTATGAAAGATCGTCAAATCCACAACAATCGTTGAGAGACGCGTCCGTGAGGCAAGTCCTGTTCATGGCATCAAGACTTTTTATAATCTGACGGCTTCGGGGCTTTGCCAAACCCAGTTGAGCTAATTCCATTCGCGTTAAAACTGTTCTCATTCTGTTAGGTGCATTCTTTCAACTGTTAGTGGTTTCGTCAGCACGAACTTCATTGTCAGGCTCATCAACTTCATCACGGTAGGGTCTTGCTGTATCATTGCTTTGTTCTTCTTCTGTCGGAATGTCGTAATTTTCATCGTCGTGAAGAAAACTCGTTAGGTCATTCGCATCCTCATCGTGGCCGGCCAACAATTCATCGGCCTCGTCCAGAAATTGGTCGCGATTCAGCGAAAAGTAGGTTGGGCCGCCTGTGTTTCCTGACAGTCTAGAACGTAGTCGCTGCCACGTATTTTGAGCTGCCCGTGTGGACAATTGCTTGGCAGTCACAAGACCAGAAAAAGCTAACACACCGACCTTGACAATCGAATTCACAACTTTGTCAAGTCCGTTCTGTTCAATTAGCTCCTCGTCTCCCAATCTAATTTCCCCAAAACGAGAAAGACCACCGTTGCGTTTCACACCACGGTCGTACACAAACCAAGCGGCAGTGATGAAAACGAAAATTGGAATGATTATAATAGCGACCAAACGGCCGTTAGTAACCCTATGACGTCTTCTGAATTCCTCTTCGAAGCCTGGGCATGCATGACTACGAGAGGACTTGTCCAATTCCAATCCACCTTGACATGTTGACAGCGGTATTTTCCTGTAGCCCGTGGGTTCGAAATATTCGATAAGGTCATCGTACTTCTCGCACATTTCGTCCCCGTCTAAAGGTTCCGTACCCTCAACAAGCTTACATGTGCCATCGGCTGCTTTGAAGAAGTTGTAGTCGCATTCAAAATCCATTCGAGTACAAGCACACGTTTTCGCAATCCTCATCATTTCATCAAGAGGAGCAGCTCCGTTGTAACACTTATCATTCACTTTTTGCAAGTATTCTGCTTTATGACCAAAGAGGCATTCTCCAAAACTACGATAAACGTAGTCGCCACTCTGTAGATTACACTGACGTTCGAAGGCATTCGTAAAGTCAACGGTATAAGTGCGCGTTTGTTTGCCCGTCACTTTGGAAGATTTTCCAATGATGAGGAATCGCATGGCTGAATCTTGGGGTGTAGTTACCAGATCTTCCACATACACTTCTTCATCAGAAAACTTATGATCAATCCATGATTCTCCAGAATCAACTGAATAAATCAATGAATCTGTTTTAGTGCGATCTTTGACCAAAACTATTATACTTCCTCGATCTCCGTACTCCCATTGGTATACGCCCTTTTTGATCTCTTTCCAAGTGAAGCCACCGTCCACACTGATGAATGTGGAACATTCGTCGACAGGCAACAAATATTCTCCTACATTTCCGACCCCTATAACAAAGCCGAGGGCCGAGCCTGAAGAGTAGGTGTCCCTTTGATCAGTTCTTTCAGTATATCCATGAAGATTCAAAGAGCAGGATTTCTTATTTTTTGGATTGCATTTGTATTTTTTGCCTTCTGAGTCCTTAATTGGTGGCTCTAGGTAAGTCCAATCAGCACCATCATTGAACGATATCTTCGATTTCAGACGCTTTTGAGCTTTAGAGTCAGATTCCAACTCCTCGACATTATCAACGGTGTTAATCAGTATTATACCTTCAAGACCCTCGAGCTTTTCGAAATCAACAAATCCTTTGGGCCCCCTATTGACCGCACGCTCTAGAGTTACAAAGGAAGTTCCATTGGAGTTGGATTTCATAAGCGCTCCAAATTCTTGGCCTTCATTCATGTGGGTAGTAAGATGAAAAAAAATGGCGCCTTTTTGTGATCCTAGCACTGTGTAAGCCTGCTGTTTGTCAGTGCCTAATCCAGCAGGCAGTTTGGCTTCAGCAAAACTTTGACCATCAATAGTCACAAATGCTCTTAGTTCTTGATCTTCATGAGGGATAGCGACCACGGTGTATTCTCCAACGGATACAAAGCCGAGAGCATGTTCAAAAACTGTTTGGGGCTCACTCTCAAAAAAATCAACGCTGGTTACTAAGCTATGTCCTCTAGATCCGGGCTCACTAATGGAACACAGTAGCATATCCGGATCAGAAGGCTCTTCATACAACGAACCGACAAAATCGCAGTTCCTTGCACCACTTTTGAGCTCCGTGAAAATATTCCCCCCATCTCTGGTAATGTACGCGACTACATGGCAATGTGGGTCTAGAAAGCTCTCACAACCTTTGCCTCCATAATAAATGAAAGTGTCTGGGTCCTTCGCGTGGAATGATAAAGGAAATCCAAGTTGCTTCGACTCCGGCAATTTGAACATTTGGAAGGTTCTTGCTCGATCATTTGTGATATGCAATTGGTTGTCCGCCCCGAAGATGTAGGCACTGGTGTTGAAGTAAGGGTTGAAAATAACTTCAGTGACTTTGCTCATGAGCTTCTTCAAGCTTCTCCCACTATCATAAGAGACGTAAACCTCATTTTTAGTATCTCTGAAAAGAACAGTCTCATCAGAAATGGTGTTGAAGTACTGGTACGATTTAAGTTCGGATTGAAGAGTATTCTCAAACACGACCACTGGCTCTGTTCTATCCGAATCGGTAAGTCCGTCGCAATTGATTTCCTTTGGATCTATGGCCAATGGATCATCGCATTTGTTTCCCCTCTGAAGTTTCTTGGGGGGCAACTTTAGCTTTTCGCCTTTCTTCACAGCTCTGCAACTCTGCGATTGCTCAAGAGATCCGAAATCCAACTCGCAGTCACCGCTAGGTCCGAGGTAAAATTCAGGTGAGCATTCATAATCAGCTTCAGTACATTGGCAAACCTCTTCCTCAAACTCAAGATCCCTGTATGTTTCTCGGATTAGACATTCCGCGTCATACTTTCTTCTGGTGTACTTGCGCCTTGTTCCATCAATACAGTTACCACCGTTTGAATACCAGTCATCCATATCATCTTCCCCACACTTCTTCTCATCAAAGAGGTCAGAGAAGTCAAGGGAGTAAAGCCAGGATTTTGCTAAATTCTTAAAGTCCATACCTTGCATTATGAACCTCGTGCCAGACCCGTCTATCGTTGTGGCTGAAAAGCTTCCAATCGCCACTTGCTCTTTCAATTGATACTCGACCCAGGTTTCACCTTGGTCTAGGGAATAGTAAAACTCTGCGGCTGGGTCTCCGTCCGAGTCTGGTGTGAATGGAAATGCAACCATGATGTTACCGTAATCGCCATATTGAATAGCCACAGGAAAATCAAAAGCTTTTTTCCATGTTTCGCCACCATCGTTTGTTATGAAAGTTTGCATGTTTGGTCCCATACCGGGAGTGGCTTTTTCCTCTCCCACAAATCCTACCAAATAGTGCAGTCCCGGCAAAACAAGGCTTGGTTCGTTGCCAAACATCATGGAGGGCATAAGGAGTGCCGAAAGAGAGCAATTTGTGGGATCATCGGTATCACAGTCGAACTCGTCATTGACATCGTCCACACGCAGATTGGACCAAGACCACCCGCCGTCGAAAGATATTTTCGTGGTGACAGTAGGTTGATTACCCGTGCGGTCGAAAAAGTCAGTAAAAGAGCACACGAGGACGCCTTCTAAACCACTGACATCAGAAACCATGTGAATTCCTGCATGGTCGGTGGGAAAAGCAGACACTGGGGAAAATTTGAGGCCTTCTGAGTCCGATAGTACAAGACCGTGTCCTGGATATTTGAGGCCCCTTAACCCAGACAAGAGCATCAACCTGTTGGAGTGCTTGGATAGTGGCGATACGTAAAACGAACCCCTAAAACCGGTTGGGAGCAGTGCTTTCTCGAAGTTTTGACCGTCTCGCGAGATCCAGAGTGCTTGTGACGAGTCACTGTTGTAACGGTCTTCGACTGTCGAGATTACAACATAGTTAGACGTGACGCTTACCTCGCGAACATCGCTATTTTGAAATTGCTCGAGCTCTTCAAATTGCGCACCACCATTTTTCGAAACAATTACCTTCTGAGTGGGAGGTCCCTCATCCGCGTACGATGCGTCACAAAGAATATTGTGGAAAGTGTCTTCCCTTCCGGCAAATCCTGAATATTGACAATTGATAGTCTCGAAGCTCTTTTCGGACAGCTGGATCTCTTTGAAGTTTTTCAAGTCGCTCGTCACAAACCCGTTAGACGTGCAGATTTTATCACATATCGTTATTATCACCAACAGGTCGCTTTCCGCAAGGCCGTTAGATTGCACATTCACGTTGAGGTAACTATCTCTCTTGAAGGACGGGAATGGCACATTGAGGCGAGACCAGAAATCTCCCTGATCTGTTGTCATGTAAAGATTTTTTTTATCCTCGCCCCCGAAAATAAATGCGCGATTTGCCTTGTAGTTTGGATCAACCTGAACAAAAGAAGCACTGCGACCCACAGTTTTGATTTCACTCCAATTTTCTCCGTTGTCTTTAGAAATCTTAGGAACGCCAACGGAGCCCATGGCTAGTATTACGGGAGAGTCCTCAAACGACTGAAATCTCGTCACGCCTGACCATTTCGACTTTTTAACCTTGGGGCTCCAATCTGCTACCGCAGTATAAGCCCACAAGAGCAACAAAAGGCCTTGCATCAACGCCATAATCGAGGCTCACAATGAGATTTGTTTGGATAGAACACCCACACTGCAATTAAGACTTGGAATGAGGGTTTTGTAGGGTCTGTTTGCCTCTTCTTGTTTCCTTTTAACTGAGGTGTTCTAAGGAAGCTCAACTGCTGTAGTCTTGTTTGGCAATTTCGGGTTTTGATTTTAAGGCCTTGAGATAGAAGTCATGTGATTTTGAGAGAGCACTTTCATCACGTGAAAAGGTCAGCTGATCAAAAATGAAAAAAAATATTATCGTTTTTGGGAAAACTGTCATCTGAAATCACGGGATGAGAGAAAATTGAAAGTCTATCATTTACGTTAACATTGTCATTCCGGAAGTTTTAAAGAATCAGTCACTACCACGATGATAAGTTTCAATCTTGGTGGTGAGATCCCAAGACCTCGTATTTGAAGTGCTAGTTCTTTGTTATCACACCCAATGCTTTGAAGATCATGTTTTCTCGGCTTGGAGACTTTACAGTATTCGAAAACCACATCAAAAACCATTATCTCCTGTAACAGGGGTATGGTCTTGAATCAGAATAAGGATCAGGAAAGCAAGAGAAGTGGAAGAATTGGAACCATCGGCTAGAGCTTTTTGAATTTTGCTGAGTGTTCTGTGGTTTTATGCACTCGCGTAACGAACCATTTTCGAATGAAAGTTCAATTGGGGCTCTAGTTGGCATTAAGCAACTTCAAAAGATGAACAGGTTAAGCCATTATAATCTTTAGAAGGGGCTTCGTTGAGCTAAAGAGCTTCGTGAACTCAAAAATAGATGTGAAAAGGGAATCTGGCTGTTTTAGACATTCTGACGCAGTCCGGCGCAGTTTATTGTCAGAGATTCAGTCGACATAACTTCATGGAGACTTGCATTCAAAAAGCGGCCGACTACTGAATAGGTTTTCAAGGGCACAAAGCCTTGTGCTGACACTTTTGTTGCCAAAGCATAGTTCATTATATGACATCTAGGCCCGCCATGCGAGCCTAAAGTGATCATCTCGTCGTTGCAGCAAAACCGTACGCCAAAACCACAGATTTACCTTTGACTTTCAGAAGCCAATGTGGGGAAAATGCAGCAGTCTCAACAATGCGGAAAGCTGCAATAGTTTCAAGTCCGTATTGGGCATTTGGTTTCAACTTTTGGTTTGAGGCTCTGTCCCCTGACGTACTTCACGTGTGTGCCTCAAGAAGCGGAACTTACATAAAACAGCTCTACCAAGCGAGTTTGGTTCCCTGCTTTGCTGATGCATACGTCGGGCGCGTGTTTGTGCTTCGTTCGTCGTACTTCGAAATTCGCCTTTCCGACCACGTCCACCAGCCATGGGCAAGAAAATTGTGTTCAACATCTCCTCGGAGTTCCAGCTCCAGCAACTGCTTGGTGAAGGAGCGTATGGCATTGTGTGTAGTGCACGGCATTTGCCCACAGGTCAAATGGTAGCCATCAAGAAAATCGAACCCTTTGACAGAACTTTGTTCTGCCTACGCACACTAAGAGAGATCAAACTTCTACGGTGTTTTCAGCATGAAAATATCATATCGATCTTCGATATCCAAAGACCAGCATCTTTTGAAAGTTTCAACGAGGTGTATATCATTCAAGAGTTGATGGATACGGACCTGCACAGGGTGATTGCAACGCAAACGCTATCCGACGATCATATCCAGTATTTCATATACCAGATCCTTCGCGGGCTCAAATGCTTGCATGCCGCAGATGTGATCCACCGAGATCTGAAGCCTTCGAACCTGCTTGTTAATGCCAATTGTGACGTTAAGCTTTGCGATTTCGGTCTTGCCCGATGTGCAGGAACAGGTACAATTGGATCGAAAAGTGGCGATTGCGGCCAGATGACAGAATATGTGGCCACACGTTGGTATCGAGCACCAGAAGTGATGCTGACGGCAGCGGAATACACATTTGCCATGGATGTGTGGTCTTGTGGATGCATTCTAGCCGAGCTTTTGATGCGTCGGCCATTGTTTCCCGGAAAAGATTACCGTCATCAGTTGCTGCTGATTTTCCAAGTGATAGGTACGCCCAGCGCGAAAGATCTTGAATGTGTTCGCTCGACTCGAGCCTTGCAGTATTTGCGATCATTACCATATTATCCGAAAAAACAATCCTTCGAAGAGCTCCTTTCCACAACGAATCGTCAAGCCATTGATTTGCTGGAACAAATGCTGATCTTTGATCCACGTCGAAGGATCACCGCAGCAGAAGCGTTGAAACACCCTTATTTGAGCTCATATCATGACCCACAAGATGAACCTGCGACCACAAAAGTAGATCCAAAACTGTTTCGCTTCGACGATTGCAAGGATCGGTTGGGAGCTGGTGATTTGAAGCGGTTGTTGTGGGACGAGATATTTGGCCGTGCAGCGTAAGCGTATGGATATCAGGATCTGCGTACGTGTGAGCTTTGATTGGATTTAATTACGATGTTGAGTCGAACTGCTTGGATTTGAGAAGACAAATGAGTTCAAGGTCATGTCGATTTGCGCTGCTTGCAACTCTGATTGAACAAGTACCTTTGTGTACTAAAGGACAAATTTGGTAGGTGCTAGCAGGTGCGGATGGTTATACGAGTGTGTGCAATAAACGGAACCGTGTGTTACACTGTCGGAAGCAGGCTGTGACAGCGATTTAGAACAAGAAAAAAGTTAGCGTCCTGCACTTTTTCGCAAACATAGTAGACAAAGAATGCTGAAAATCTGCATATAAGCGCGTGGTGGAAATTCACACTCTGGGGTGCTCATTACGGTGTTATCTTACCATTTTTCAAACTCAGGACAATTCTGGCCATCAGTGAAGTAGTTGTTCATTGCAAGCTAGGTGCGCGCTCGAGGCAATTAGCACACATGGGTGTTGGTGATTAGTCTAAGATTCGCTTTAAGTTTTGTTGGAAACTGTGAAATACGTGTCATGTTAATCATATCATTGCTGTCTGTGTTATTATCTGGGGATTATCATTTGAAAGTGGGCAGTCAATACAAAAGACGCTTGCTTGGCCAGCAGATACTCTTCATGGTTGTGATGCAAATTACGAGAATCTCGAGAATGGATGAAACCTTGTATTTCTAAACTAGGACAATTGGTGCTACTTTGAAGCATGTAAGAAATGGAGATGAGCAGCTACTTGAGCGATATATAAGCGGTACAGCTAGTTTAACTTCAACTTTTTCTCAGAGGTGCATGGCATCTGAGGGTATGAGGGACGTAAGTGAGAAACTCTATCGGCCAGAGACTACGGTATTCAACCTTCGATCTTGAAGATCTTGTTCATGGCTTCAGTGTCATCTTCGTTAATCTGTCTGTTGGCTCTGTCCATGGTTTCTCTGTCTTCACCAGTTTGGAATCTCCACTGGATGTACTCAGATGGGGTCTTGTCCAAGTGAGATTCAATGTGAGCGAAAGCATGCTGCTTAATGTAAGCGATACGACAGTTTTCGTGAGTGTAAACCTCACCAACAGTTGGCAATAGTTCACCGGTCAACACGTTGATCAAAGTGGACTTACCGGCACCGTTAGGACCAATAACAGCAATTCTCGAAGACAAAGAACATTGGAAAGAAATGTCCTGAATTTGAGGCTTGGCGGTACCTGGGTATTGGAAAGTCATGTTGGAAACCTTGACAATAGCCTTTTGCTTGGTCTTGACACCTTCCAAGAAACCTGGCTCTGGGAATCTGAACTCCAAGTCGGAGGCTCCCAATTCGTAGTAAGATTGAGCAGTTGGGCACTTCTTGACGAATTCAGACATGTTACCCTTGTACTTTCTTAGCTTCAAACCTTCGTAATGGATAATGTATTGAGTAACATTGTCCAAGAAACCGGAGTCGTGATGCGTATTAGGTATAGGTTGGTTTGCTGATCATATGTTATAGATAATATTTTGATTATTGTAGTCACGTGACTACCGACATTCAACGGTCAATTTTTCAAAAAAACTGGCTTGATTCCATAGGGATGCGATATCACCGGTTCCGGGTGTGTGCACGATCCCTTTGTGGAAGCACATTTCTGACTTTCAGCGAGTGTTATTGTTAAAAGATGAAGAGACCAAAAATCTATCATTTCGTACGCGTGATAAGGCACTCTCTCCACTCAACTCTACTCTCTCATATTCCATGGCTTTCTCACCACCATAAACGCATCTTTACCGTATATCAAAGAACCTATGACAAACACCCTCTTTCCTTCTAATACTATACTATCCCATTCCTGATTTTTAACCCCCAACATCACTCTGTACGAACCTCATTTTTTCCATCAAATTCTCCAAAATTTACACCAAACATAATACCATTCTTCCAAGATCATTTCTACCACCATACGAACTACATTCCCTCTTTCTCTTTATCTACATTCATAATACCGTGTTCTCCATTGGCTTTATCTTCTCTCTCATTACGTACGGCACTCTTCTCTTCGCTATATCTTTCACTTAAAAGAATAACGACGATCCTCGAACCTGTCGTCATGATAAAACTGGTGAAATTAATGAAAATATATATCTTTAAATCCATAACTCGAGCAAACCACCCGCTAAGTGCAAGTGATGGAGATGTAAAAAAAGTATATAAAGCGAGCATTTTCAGGTCTAAATGGTGTTGGCAATATGAGAAACCTTTAGTAGATTTATTTGTAGCTAAAGTTAAACAACATTAGAAACTGCCAGGTTTCTAAACTTCAAGGTTTCTGTTGAAAACACTTACGCACTTACACACTAACACTCACTCACTCACTCACATACCAAAACTTTTATTTAAAGATGATTCCAGGTCCTCATTACGATTTCTACACTGACAAAAAACTCAGCTTGGTCTTGGCTCCATTTTCCGGCGGTCAAGGAAGATCTGGTGTGGAAGACGGCCCCAAATACATGCTTAAGCACGGTCTATCAAGCCAGCTGCAAGATTTGGGATGGAAAGTGGGCATTCGTGAACCGCTAGCAGGCGTGGACTACGAAAAACGTAACGAACAGGACAAAGACGACGTTTTTCAAAACCTAAAAAGACCACAATTGGTAGGAGAAGTCACGCAAAAGATCCACAACAGTGTGCGTGAGGCTCTGGACAACGGCGAAATGCCAATCACTTTGGGTGGAGACCATTCCATTGCCATCGGCACCGTTTCTGGCGTGTTTGAAAAGCACCCAGACGCCTGTTTGCTGTGGATCGACGCCCACGCAGATATCAACACGCCATCGACCACGGATTCCGGCAACTTGCACGGGTGTCCCGTGTCGTTTCTGATGGGTTTGGACTCCGAGAACACTCCTCCTTCGCTCAAATGGGTGCCAAACTGCGTCAAACCCAACAAGATCGCTTACATCGGCCTCAGAGACGTGGACGAAGGCGAAAGAAAAATCTTGAAAGAACACAACATCAAGGCCTACTCCATGTACCATGTGGACCGCTACGGCATTAACGGTGTTATCGAAATGGCACTACAGGCCATCAACCCTGACGGCAGCAGCCCAATCCATCTCTCCTACGATGTGGACGCTGTGGACCCCATGTACGTTCCTGCCACTGGCACCCCGGTGAGAGGCGGTTTAACGTTGAGAGAGAGTTTGTTTCTAACCGAAAGAATAGCAGAAACCGGTAGACTTGTTGCCCTCGACGTGGTGGAGTGCAACCCTGCTCTTGCCGCACACGACAGTCACGTTCTCGACACCATTTCTGCCGGTTGTGCCATTGCCAGATGCGCACTTGGCGAAACTCTATTGTAAAAACCCTACTAGCAAATATTCCACTACATCATAGCATATTCACTGTCAAAGTGACCTAAAAATAATAAGAAGATCAAGAATTCAAGTTTGAACTAGTAGATTGCAAGTCTAGCTAGCATACAGATTCGATAAAATTGAAAATCGTAGTAGTCCTCCACGGAAATGAAAAACGACACAGAGCTTTGACTCAAGAGAATTACATTAAGAGGCCAAATAGCGTAGGATTCAAAAGACCAGCATCAACGTCTGTTGGCTGCTGGTCAGTCTCTTAAATCTTTTGGTACGTCTCTTCAGTTTATAGATCTTAGTATTGGAAAATTTTTGGTGTAAATTAAAATCTTATGAAATTGAAAGAGCTAGCTCATCGCTTCAAGAAAGTCGACGAATCTGATCGCTAATCCTTGGGAAAAGATGGCCAGTGAAGATTTGAAAAGTGTCGCTGATGCTGGTGTCGCTAACGATGGTAACGAGGCCCAAAACGCGGGTGAAATCGGAGCTCAGGACGTTGATATGATGGCCAATGAACAAAACTCGCAAGACGAGGAAGATGAAGAAGAACTTGACAAAGAGAAGATCAAACTACTTACAAGCGCCACATCCGAAGACGGGAAATGTGCTTCATTCCAGATCTCCGAGGAAGACCACACCCTGGGCAATGCCTTGCGGTACATAATCATGAAAAACCCAGACGTCGAGTTTTGCGGGTACTCGATACCTCATCCCAGTGAAAACCTTTTGAATCTCCGGATCCAGACATACGGCGAGTCCACAGCGGTGGAGGTGCTACACAAGGGACTACAGGACCTGATGGACTTGTGCGACGCCGTGGAGGACAAGTTCACGCAGCGCATCCGTGAGATGTGAAAACCATATATTGAGGTATATATATATATTGTATAGTATCTGGAGTTCTTTCAAAGAAGCTCTGGGAAAGCATATTTTGGGCCAGCCAACCAAGAGTCGGTCCAGCTGAAATCACAAGAACTACGTCTCAAGACATGAAAAGACAAATGCCGGGTTCGCTACGCAATTTGACGACGAATTTCATACTCAATTGAGGAAAGACAAAAAAGGGAAAAATCCCCAAGCACCACAAACCATACAAACCATCCATCCAACTGGGAAAATACTTCAAAGCTGCTGCTCCCAAGGCTTATAACAACACCAAATTCACCTATATCCATCACGATCACGTTGCCCAGGAATACGATTTCGATGTTATCATTTTTTCCATTTCGTGTCGCCATCGATGTTTATCAAAAAAGTTTCTTTTTGTTTTCTTAATTTTTTCCCAGCGTCAAATTTTCAGACTATATAAAGAGCTCATCGATGAGCATCGAGGACCTGTAACGATCTATTCTGTTTATCAGTTTCGATCTTAAGATACTCAAGAATCTCTCTTTAAAGACCATAAACTATATCCAAAGATGACTTACGGCGGTAGAGACCAACAGTACAACAGAGACAACTACAGCTCTCGTGGAGGTGATTTCCGTGGGGGAAGATCCTCTGACAGAAACTCGTGGAACAGAGACGGTGGCTACTCTAACGGCGGAGGTCGTGGTGGCTACCAACGTGGTGGTGGCTACACCGAACCACAGGAGCTGATTGCTCCTAACTGGGACGAAGAATTGCCAAACTTGCCAAAATTCGAAAAGAACTTCTACGTGGAACACGAAACTGTTCGTGACCGTTCCGACGAAGAAGTGGCTGCTTTCAGAAAGGCCAACGAAATGACCATTTACGGTAAAAACATTCCAAAGCCAATCACCAACTTCGACGAAGCTGGATTCCCAGACTACGTGTTGACAGAAGTGAAAGCTGAGGGTTTCGAAAAACCCACCGGTATCCAATGCCAAGGTTGGCCTATGGCTCTCTCTGGTAGAGACATGATTGGTGTTGCCGCCACCGGTTCCGGTAAGACCTTGTCTTACTGTCTACCTGGTATCGTGCACATCAACGCCCAGCCTTTGCTATCACCAGGTGATGGTCCAATTGTCTTGGTGTTGTCTCCAACCAGAGAATTGGCCGTTCAAATCCAAACGGAGTGCTCCAAGTTCGGCAAAACTTCCAGAATCAGAAACACTTGTGTTTACGGTGGTGTTCCAAAGGGTCAACAGATCAGAGACTTGACCAGAGGTGCCGAAATCGTCATTGCTACCCCAGGTAGATTGATCGACATGTTGGAAATCAACAAGACTAACTTGAAGAGAGTCACCTACTTGGTGCTTGACGAAGCAGACAGAATGTTGGATATGGGTTTCGAACCCCAAATCAGAAAGATTGTCGACCAGATTAGACCTGACAGACAAACTCTGATGTGGTCCGCTACCTGGCCTAAGGAAGTGCAACAATTGGCTGCCGATTACTTGCACGATCCTATTCAGGTCAACGTCGGTTCTTTGGAATTGGCTGCTTCCCACACTATCAAGCAAATCGTCGAAGTCGTCAGTGAGATGGACAAGCGTGATCGTTTGATGAAATACCTAGAGATGGCCTCCGAGGACAAGGACTCGAAGATCTTGATTTTCGCTTCCACCAAGAGAGCTTGTGACGATGTCACCAGATATCTAAGAGAGGACGGATGGCCAGCTTTGGCCATCCATGGTGACAAAGCTCAAAACGAGCGTGACTGGGTTTTACAGGAGTTCAGAACAGGAAGATCTCCTATCATGGTGGCAACTGATGTTGCCGCTAGAGGTATTGGTATGTGATTATTTTTTTTTTTGAGCATTTTTTTTGCATGTTTGTCGAACCCTCGGTTCAAGTTTCAGCGGGTCTGTTAACTTACACCTTTGGGTTTGCAAACACCTACATCTAACGAATGATTTACAGGAACAGAGAAGACACATGAAGTCATATCCCTTTGGTCTTTCAAAGGAAAATTCATGTTGTAATGACTATAAGCGGGAATTGGAGTTATGATAACATCCGCTACACAATGGTTTGAAGATGATCTTAATACTGCTTCTTTTTTTCACGGGTTTGAAATTGAGTTAGAGGCATGAACGGATGGGCAGCTGAAGGTTCATTTTATTATGAACTTGTATATGAATGGAGAATGACGCGCGAAATATGGAGATGTTGCAAGAATTTACTGATCTTGTAGCTTCGTTGAAATGAAAAGCTCAGTAGACTAATGAGGTCACTTTGCGCGCTGTGTTCTTTTTTTGTCTGGCTGCCAGTGCTGCTTCTTGTAAAAGAAAGCGCCTGCATTATCTTTGACTTATGTGTGTAGTATTTTGTCATACGTATTGATTCCTCTCGAGCCTGCCGGTCTCGCCACACGTTTGGTACAAACTGTCAGGACTTGAGGCGAGCTTATGCTCGACTTTTTAATCGAACATCATACGCTTAGGTCTATTTTTCTGCCTGTGATCGCTGTGCGCCCATTGAAGGGCTGTAGGAACAACAGCTTTCAAAACACAATACTAACAACTCAACCAGACGTCAAGGGTATCAATTTCGTCATCAACTTCGATATGCCAGGTAACATCGAAGACTATGTGCACAGAATCGGTAGAACCGGTAGAGCCGGTGCCAGCGGTACAGCTGTCTCATTCTTCACTGATGCTAACAAGGGTCTAGGTGCTCAATTGATCAGCATCATGAGAGAAGCCAACCAAGAGGTGTCTCCAGAATTGAGCAGATTTGACAGAAGACAGCACGGCGGTCACCCAAGATATGGCCGTGGTGGTTTTGGAGGTCGCGGCCGTGGTCGTGGCGGTTACGGTGGCCGTGGCGGTCGCGGTGGCCGTGGTGGTTACGGTGGTAACAGACAGAGTGACGGTGGATGGGGAAGCAGAGGTGGTAACAGAAACATGGGTTATTAAACTGTTTCCGATCGGTCGCACTGAATCGTGCTTGTACACTATTTTAGATTATATACAATATAGATATTTGTATCCAAACCAGCATTGCTCTTGGAAGAGGTCAAATAATTTTGTTCGACAATCGGGAGGTGGTGGACGCACATCACCACTCTTCGTCCCATGCATCGTCTTGTTCGTCGTCGTCGTTGTCGTCAAAACTTTTCAAGGTTTCTTCCTTCTTGGAAACCATGGAGCTTTTAACGTTAGTTTTTGAAGTGCCTCTTATTTTACTCGCCCTAGATTTCGAACTAGGTTGCACCTTAGTTTGAAGATTTGCAGGCTTGTCCCATGAGTCCCAGTCGTCATCTTCTAGTTCGTCATTCCAAGACTTCACTACCTTAACGGTTCCATTAGATTTACTCTCCAGAGGAGGTGTGATTGTTTCATTTTGTTCAGCGCTGAGTTCGTCATCCCATTCATCTGTGCCGTCCCAACCTGCGTCATCCGCTGCCCACTCAGAGCTGTCCGCAAAGGCGCTAGGTAAAGCGCTTTCATTCTCTGTAGTCACTGGAGGTGTAGAAAGCCTCAATGTTTCCATAAACTGTCGCACGACGTTACTTTCCTCTTGAACCCCAGCGGCGCCAAAATCTATGTCAATATGTTCACTGTCGGCTGTAGGTATTTTGTCAGCTTCGATTTCCAGTTTAGACAAGTAAACCCGAAACAAGCTTTTAGCTTTGCTTCTGACCTGTGCGTTTTTGTCGAGCAAACCCGGAGCGATAACTGTAAGAACTTTATTAGCTATTGTTTCCGTGTCGAATAAATCTAAGGAAGTTTCCAGGCCATAAAGTGCCGCCAGTCTAGGCTTCACCTGTGGATCTTTAAGGGATTTTGTGAACGCCGTGGCCAGGATTCCCGACCTGTTGTTGGATGGTGACAGCTTCTTGGATAGACCAGATATTGTAAGTATTGTCCAAGTCCTAATTTCGACATCTCCGTCAACCTGTGTTTTGGCCAAATGTCTCAAAAGATCATTATTCAGTTGACGCTCGGTGATCATTGAAACGATGTCTGGAATTCTTTTTAGCGTTTGGATTCTCATTGTGACATCTGTATCGGCCAAACCTTGCACGAAATGAGGGAAGATGCGGTCAGACACTTCAGAGTTGGTGAGCTTGGTTACGTAGCTGGAAAAGTACACCAAAAGCAAGAACCGGACTTGTCGGTCGGGTTGTTTGAAGTTTTCAAACAGAATTGGCTTGACGTACTTGTCAAATGTCGGTTTTGAGTCTGTTATTGGTTTGCTTGAGCACGTAAGCTCAAGAAGTGTGGCAACAAAAGATGCAGTATTAGCGGTGGCCGTAGAACCGGGCTGGGTATGCTGTCCTCCCAGTATGGTTTTGATACATTGTGCTATCTCGGGAATCAGGTAGTGCTCCACGAAACCAGGCGTACAGTTCCTGAGAGCGCTAGTGTCCTCCATGATCTTACGTTGCAGGTCTATCATGGCTACGATTTTGCCCTTGGGATCCTTGATGTGGAATTCTTTGAGATCTTGATAAATGGCGATCAACGCCGATTGAAAAGGTCGTGTGTTGGCAGCACGCGACTTGAATTGTGCCAAAGTGAGCCTTCCCTGTTCCATGCTAGACAGAATTGGCTTCCAATCATTCGGTAGTGGGTTGTAAAGGTTGGATATGAATTTGGCGAGTAAAATGGCGTCTGCGTTCGCGGACGACGTTGGTGGCACCTGGGCGTTTGTGTTGGCCATCAGGGATGCGTAGGACCCAGCATACTGTTTGAGACGTTGCAGCTCGGATATTTTAGAGCACAGTTCGAGGCCAAAAAGTCGCCATTCGCCTCGTTCGTTGACGAAAACTGTTCCTGCCGATAAAGTGGCCAGCACAACCTGGGCTTGGTTGTGCAGACAATCCAAAGTTTCTGCCAATTGGAAAACACCTAAACTCAATGCTTGAACACTCAGACCTTGTGTATTGAGCGGTGTGACTCTTTCAGTAACGACATAGCTAGTCGCACTGTTGGTTTCCAGGACATCCAGCACTTTGACAAGACCGGGAAGCTTCAAAATTTTGAAATGACGAATAGCGTTGGCTATCAGAGCCTCCAATACAGCGTTGTTGGTGTTTCTTTGGAAGCTGAAAACCGTTACTGGGAGCGAATCTGACTTTCGATGGCCATCGATGGCTTCCCAGATGGGAGTGGAAAGAGTTGATTCTGAGGCAAGGGAATATGGGAATTGGAGCCCAGAAATCGATTTAAATAGGAAATTCATCCAGCCGATTGCAATTCCAACGTTTCCAGACTCTCAAGACCAGCAGCAACGGTCTTTTCACCTTGAAAAATGCTTGAATTTTGATTAAAATCGAAATCTCAAATGATGATAATAATAATATCAAATCAATTAACACAGGTAAATACACACTACTGGCCAAAACAGCCATTTCAAGCCCTTTGAAACTGAACTGTACACTTCCCGAACGTACGGTCCATCATATGTAGATAAATATAGGCGTCTGTAACCAAAGTGCCATGCTTACATGCCACGACTCTTGTTTGTTTTGTCTTGTTCTGTCCAAGTTTTCTATCAAATGACAGTCTGTTTGGCTGTTCAGGATGATTTGTTGACGAAAAAGTAGACAATGGCAGCCACGACAACCAGGATGGCAATCACAAACACGCCGTTGCCCTCTCCGCCCGTTGTGGCAGACGCTGGTTCGGCCTCCTTCTTGAAAACAGGCTCGCTTTCCGTGTCGAGGTCTCCTACATATAGATCGGCCAGCATTTTGACAGCGTCGTCGGAGTGACCGATATCGGCGAAAGGACCCGTTGCATCTTGGCCACCGAGATCTAGCAGTACTTCCTCACCACCTGGATGCTCGTCCATGAACTTGGTGCAATCGTACACTTTGCCATCGATAATCATCCACAGGTCGTCCTGCGAGTTGTGTTCAGCGATTTCCTTGTAAGACAGCAGTTTGGCCATGTTTTTGAGAGCTGAAAATTTCTATATGTATGAAAACAACTATATACAATTGCGACAAGCCTAAATTAGCACGCCAAACAGTCGATAAGTTGTTGTTTTACGTCTTTTAAAACTTGAGATTCTTCGAGCAGATCAATTTCAATTATTTGTCGTTAAGCTTTAAATACTGAAATTTTTTTGTTGAGACGACGTCAGTAAAAGAACGGACCACACCGAGAAATGCGGTGGCCAGATAACGACACGAAACGGGATTCTTGGTGGAGTGAATTCAGGATTCAATCAAGCTTTTCAAGGCGAACTCTTATTGTAAATGCTGCTCTCTTTTGAATTTCCCTATGTCGAGAAATATATAGTGTTAATGTACATTAAAAAAGATTGAGATGGGGACCAGTCTTGAAGTTGAAGGCGAAGCCTTTTTACCATTGGAAAGCGATGCCCTTGGATTTGAGCTTTTGCTCTCTTTCGATGTGTCTTTCCTGAGCCCGTTGCTTGAGTTCTGCGCTGGTCTTCTTAACAGGCGTTTGTTGCAACGCCCGCTGCTTGTATCGGTACAGCTTTTCGATTTTCTTGCCCTTGGGAAGAGCCACCACTTGCAGCAAATGGCCCATCAGCAGATAATTGTGCATGGTCTCTTGGGCCACAACAGCGTCCTCTTTGTTGACAAACTCCACGAACCCGTAATGTCTGCTGTTCCCGGTTTTCTTGTTGCGTGCCAGCCGCACCTCTTTCAGATCTCCGAACTGTGCGAAATACCGTGCCAATTCACGCTCGTGAAATCCCTTGGGTAGTCTGCTCACGTAAATGATTCCTGAAAGATTTTCGGTCTTCTGGGCGCCCTTTTGCTTGTTCTGGTCCTTTTTCGACTGTCCAAGCTTCTTGAAGTCTAGTTTTTTCACCGTGTGCTCGCCAGTGATCTTGGCTTCGTTCGCAAGTGCCAAATCGCCATTTTCTTCATCGGAACTCGCATCTTCGGCCTCCGACAAACCTTCCAATTCGCTCTCGGAGGAGCTCGAGTTTTCAAGCTCCAACTGCTCTTCGGGCTTCTCCACGGGCGCAGGAGCCTTTTCCACCTGTTTTCTCGTTGATTTGGCCATTGCAAGTGATGATAATGCTGGTGTTTGGTCGATCAGATGGTAGGCGATGAGCTAGTCTTTTAACGATGCGATGAGATGAGATTGAGATTATAGCTTATAAAATTTTTTTTTGGGAAAGATGTGAGAGTAGGGTCATGTGAAATGCGCGTGGCCTGTAGTGTTCGTACATAGTGCTATTTTATGTGATAGTCATGTGGATGTTAAATCCCAAAATTGCTATTTACGTATTTGGTGATATGTTTTCTTGATCATGTGCGTGAGCAAGTCACATGACAGATCGGCAACTAACACACTTATACTAAAGAATAGAGGACACCAGCAACTCACCCTTCAATGTATTTCAAATTCATTCCTAGTTTACTTGCTTTCACCTATCAGCCTTTACCGGTGAGCTTTTTTTCCGTTTTCGTTTTCCCTCAGCTTCAAAAGCCAGGTCAAAAAGTTCATTCTTACGAACAAACTTTTGAGCTCTAAAAGATGGTTGTGGTCGCTAACGCTACTTGCGATGCCATTCGGTGGTTGCTGAAGCCCATTTTATTGTCATTTCTTGATTTCTAAGCTCAAAAAAATGCCCACAGACATTTATCAAAACCGGTCATGAAACGTCTTTCCTCCATGAGTCAATTCAACTGATCTCCAAAGCAGCCTGTAGCCACTATTCACTGCTCCAGAGGAAACGCCATATCATAAATCTGTTTGAAAGTCTTGTTCAAAGGCAAACCCACAACGTTGAAAAAATCGCCGTTTATCTTGCTGATCATCGCTCCACCAAAGCTTTGCACTTTGAATCCGCCAGCCACATCCAATGCGTCTTTGGAGTCCACGTAATCGTTCACAATTGCCAGCGGAAATTCCGGATCGAAGTAAAGCTCGGATGTCTCTTCGAATTGCGAGAACTTGTAATCATCCGGACCCTGCCACTTGATCAAACTCACACTTGTGGTTACTCGCAAAGGCGAGTCACTATCTCGGAAACCGAGTAGGTTGTCCAATTGTTTTTCCGACTCCTGCGGCTTTTCGTAGATCTTGTTGTCACCATCGATCACAATCGTGTCTGCACAAATAACGATTTTAGGTTTCTGGTTGGAAACCAGCTCATTGTGCTCTTTGATCAAGTCCTTGACAATCCCTAATCCCTTTTCCCTGCTAGTATCATGGACATAGCCCACCGGGTTGTCCACATACAATGCTTTATCAAGATTCTCTTCAAAACTGGGCTTCATCAATCGAACGTTAGAGAAGCCCATCACTTGTGAGACTATTTCATGGCGCCGTGGCGAAGACGACGCCAAAACTATCTCGAATCTTTCGCTGATATCACGCACAACTTGCGACATTACGCTTTGAGTTCGAACTTTTGTTGAAGTTCCTCAAGTGTATGTTAAGAGTTAACCTAGTTTATCGATTTTAAAAAGAGTATTTTACATCTTGTGACGCAAATGATCACTTCTCGGTTCCAAGACATTAAACCCCAATGGATTAACCTCACTATTCCGCATCCTGCTAGTGATCGTTGACTTGCGCCTCGCGGGTGAGCCGATTGTCAACTTCGCTTGTAAATTGATCATCGCGATGACATCGTATAATTCATAATCGCGCGCAATTGCCATTGAGACCACCTGGCTTTTCACATAGGTTGCACCTGCTCCAAGACTAGCTTGTCTGTAATACGGTAGATTTTTTCTGCCTTCTTTCCGCTTTCGTCTTCAGATTTTTCGATATCTGGTGTAGCTTCAGAGTTCTCGTTACTAACACTGTCATTGTCGTCGTCCTCATCATCTTCATCATTCGATCCGTCGGCTCTAGCCTCGGCGGCTGCCGCTGCTGTAGGGAAGACCAATTCGGTACCCACGAGTTTTTGCCAGCTTCCCTCGTACACTTTATCGCCAATTCTTACCAGAGGAGCGTTCGTTTCTAAACCGGAATACTGTAGACTTGCACTAGGTTCAATCTCGGCGTTTTCCTTGAGATTCTCACTGGGCACATCAACGCTGAAATACACATCTTCGTAACGGTCTGAGTCCGACTCTGGTCGAGACGCATCGTGCAATGCAGTTGCGTTAGTGTGCGTGGTGACAGCTTGCGCATTTTTTTTCTCGGCCATCTCGAGTCTGGCTTTGATATCCGCATCCGAACCGGCCTCAAATCCGTATTGGAAGTCCCAATGCATTTCTTCGCCGTCAGCCAAAAACTCCGTGTTACCGTTCATGGTAAGATGCCATTTTCTATTTTCAAAGGGCACCTCAACCAATTCTTCACCGCTGATGTTGCCTGTGATCAGCTCGAATTTGTCTAGCGAGCAGCTTCCACTTCTTAAGGTGGTTCCATCTGCATCGATCGCTTCACGAGCGTTATCAAATCCTAATAAGTTCATCCCAAGCGCGATCTTGGTCGCCGCATGTGTCATGATCAAAATGGTTTCGACGCTGGGGAACTCCGATTCGACCCTAGATATAAACTTGGGCCAAAATTCACGACACCTGTTGAAAATGTCTTGTTCGGTCTCGCCTTTCCCACTTGGAATCACAGTAGGGTCCCAGCTAGGACTCAGTTTCCCAGGAAAAAAGTTGTTCAAAATGGCATAAGATGCAGGTTCTGGGATCACCTTTCGGTCTGGCTTGTACCATTCTCCCACACCACGTTCAACATGGATTGGGAGTTCCAAAAGATCCGCGATGGGTTCGCAAGTTTGCAAACAACGATAAAAAGGTGACGAAAACAGCAGTTCCGGCTGGTTTTCTATAGACATGATGTAATGTGCTAACTCTTTGGCTTGTTTGACACCGTGCTCAGCCAATGGCACATCGCTGTCTACACCCGTTGGAGGAGGCGGATACGGTCCCTGAGGTAACCAATTCGATCTATATCCATGCTGTTTAAAAAGGCTCGTTAGTAACTCAAAAATGACTTCAAAAAGACCCCAAAAGACTCTCCAGAGAGCCAATTCTTCATACTCTAGCTATATATATAGTTTTGACGGCCATTAAGTCGTTAATTGGTCTTTTAACTACTGTTTTTATTAGTTTTGAAGCTTTTGGATCAATTGAAGAGTAGCTCATCTAATTCATCAAAGTTGATAAAGTTAGGTCAACTTAAAGCTAAAATCATCAAAAACATCAAGAACTCAACCTTCCAAAAGCCTCAAAGCTCTTGACCAACCATATCTTCATTCTCTACAATGGGTCCAATACCAGCCAAGAGAATCAAGACTTTGTCGGTAGCTCGCCCGATCATTCATGGGAATTCTGCTAAGAAGATGGGCGATGTAAAACCTCCAAACGCTCCAGTGGAACACTCACATATATGGACGATCTTTGTCAAGGGACCCAACGGCGAAGATCTGTCGGATATCATCAAAAATGTGGTTTTCAAACTGCATGAGACGTACCCAAACCCAGTACGAACTGTGGAAGCTCCGCCATTTGAACTAACAGAAACCGGATGGGGTGAATTCGAAATCAATGTCAAAATCCATTTTGTAGACGCCGCAGGCGAAAAGCCGGTGAGTTTCTACCATCATCTGAGGCTGCACGAATACCGCGACCCGCTCAAAACTCTAGTCAAAGGCGAAACATCTACCTCTACCAAGAACGCAGATGTGGAATCGATATTTTACGATGAAATTGTCTTCAATGAACCAAACGAGGACTTCTTCAAGATACTGATGGCCAAACCGGGATACCTTCTTCCTTCCAATAAATCTGATAAGGTTGTTTTCTCGAAACAGCTGGAAAGAGAAGAGATAGACCGCATTAAAATTGGTATCGGAAAGGTTGACGAGGAAATAGACGTGCTCCGAGAAAAACTGGCAACACTCACCAAGACTTGATCTATTTCGTACCTACAACAACAAAATTTGGCATCTACCGGGTCGTCAATGATTTATCAGTTTCTCATTACATGTTATGTGTATACTTGCATGTATATGCTACAGGGGAGAACAGTCGTTGAACTCTGATCACCACTCATTTGGGGGTAAGAGGTTTCCACGAATCCATGGTCAGATTGTCCAACGTGGGTTTCTTAGTTGGGCGTGGTGGAGGCACTTTCGCAGCACTCGCAGATTCCTTTTCTCTATTCTCCACTTCCTCAGATGCCACTTTGGGCACGTCGTCGGGAGTTTCCTTGTTATCGTCAGACACAGGTGAGGAAGACACAACGGATGATGATGGTGCTGGTGATGCCACTCGAGAGCTCTGAGCGCTCGAGCTCTTAGGTGTAAGGATCGAAGCGCTGTAGCCTGGTGGAAAAACCGTTTTTCTAGAAGGCGGAGGCGGGGGTACAATGGAAGTGCCTTTTGCTGTATCAGGAGCCCGACTCTGCATTCCTCTATCTGAACTTAATGCAGTAGATGTTTGGGTCGATTGTGTAGAATGCGTGCGTGGTGCAGGTGGTGGAGGTGGGGGAATCCGTGCCCGACCCAACGACGCGGAAGATAGCGATGTAACAGGTAATTCTTTTTTAACGGGTTGCAACGGCACAGACTGGACAGAAGTGAGATCTGAAGATGACGAAGTTGATGGTGTAGGAGATGTCGACTTGAAGTGGCCCTTGTTTTCATTGTTGAGGTCCAATAGATTGACAGCTGACCAGTCGTTTGAGCCTGGTTCTGTCGTCCTTGTGACACGATTCTTCTCCTCGTACTCGGTGTCGACGAGGGCCGCACTTACAGTACCAGAGGTCTCGGGATGAGCCTGCTTATACTCGAGATAGAGCTTTTTGGTCAAGTCTGCTTTGATTTCTTCGTCGATGAAGTTAACCTGTGCCCGATAAGCGGCGTAAACGGGCTTGTGATCACTGGCTAGAAGCTGAGCATCCGAGTAAGCCAAAGGACGGAGATTATCACCCTTATATATGATTCTGTCAGTCCAGGATGGTGTTCTTGCTTTTTCTGAAGTATCGTAATTGTTTGTACCATGATCATACTTGTAAGTGGGAGGAAATTTAACTGTTGGCTCCTTGAAGCCCTTGAATACGACGCCCGCGTTTATTTCTTGAGTCAATTGATCGTGAAGGAGAAGATTGTCAGGAAAGTTATTGCCAGAAGCCGCACTCAGCTCCCGCCTAACCTCTTCATTTGGTAGGGCTACCCTATAGTTCATGTCTCCGTGCCAAAATATGGCATCGTGATTAGGAATTTGCCTTGAGCGAGTGAAGCTTATGCCTTTGTTGATGCTGTCATAGTCATTTCTTCTCTCATCTACATTATTAGAACCCGCAGCCAAATGAGTATTGACGAAGCAAAATGAGGTGCTTCCGTAAGTGAATCTGATAGAGACAGCGCCTTTATTACCGGTCATACCTCCCAGACCTGTTTTCTTTGAGGCACCCTCAACTCCTTTGACGTTGTTAACCTTGTCGGACTTTACGAAGAAAAGAATGAGCAGCGAAGACATCTGCTCCGCCCTCAACAACAGATATTTGTCATTGTACTGATTTAGGCAATCGTTGACGATGTTTTGCCAAAAGGAACTTTTAGAGTAATCAGCATTTAAAATTGATCCAGCGCTCAGCTCTATAACTTCTTGCATGCCCAATACCACAACGTCAGGCTTGAACTTGTCACCGATTGGGAATAGCCAATTCGATACATCAACTTTCCGTGTTAGACCGTTAACATTATACGTACCAACAAAGATGTTGATACTCGACGAAGTCGTGAATTGATCCCGTGCCTTGTTAAGTTGAGTGGTCACATACTCATTGATGGGGTCGAACAGTGCAACAGCACGCTGGCTCGATAGCCTACCTAGCAATGTATCGATATTGACCTGCTTGTTTTTGTCCATGAAGTTGTTGATGTACATGCGGCTGACAGACTTGGTTGCATCAGAAAGCACACCGGCAAATGACATTTTACCCTTCCGGGAAAAAGATGACTTCAGTGCGTTGGTACCTGTGTAAATTTGAGAGACCTGGTCCCCATGATCGGCCCACAAAGTGTTGTGTTTGATGAAAAGGTCACTGTCCGTGAAGGCAGTTCCTTGTGATGTAGACATTAGATGGAAGTCATTGAGAAAGAGAGCGAATGCATACCGGGAGATAAATTGCTGAATCAAATTTGTTCTGTCCAAACAGTCAAGACAATTTGTTCTGAAAATGCCGTGCTGTTCTGAAAGAACCTTGTGCTCTCGGACATCATACGAGAAATAACCACTCTCTAAAAGAAACTGGGTGACTAGAGGTTTGATTCGCGCTGCTGCAGCAAATCCCTCTTGAGCAGTTTCCCTATGAAAATCAAATTCGGTGAAAAAGATATCTTTGTTGAGCTTATGGGTTTTGGACTTTGCAACATGCTCTTTGTAGCGCCTGGAGAGTTCTATCTCGTTCGTTTTGGTCGAGAGCAAGTTCACCACATGTACGGGACCGTATTTGTCTACCAAACGCGAAAAGTGATCGTCGAAGATAGATTGCGTCGCTTCCAGGGACCTGGTGATCTGAACCTTGGGATTGATCAAAGCAGTGTCCTGCTCCCAGAAAATTGGAATACTACCTCGGATTTGAGTGAAGGCATAACAATATTCGCGGGAGTACATAATGAGTTCTGTCTCGACGAAATTCGCGACATTGGCTTCATCATCTACACCACGCGCGTTATAACGAGTGCCTGCTCTTTTCCAGCTCTGTTTGGATATCACCGTAAGAGACACTTTGAGTTGTTTGATGTAAGTCACAAAAGTTTCAGCAAAACCGCGAATCACTGTTGTGAGAAAACCTTCATCATCGAGGATCCTTCTTGACGTATCATCAAGGTGATTTCTGAAAGTAATGGTTTCTTGCATCAGAAACGAGTTCCACATGTATTCTTCTTGGTAATTATCGAAACTGAGCGAATGTGCGCCCATGCCTCTTTTCTGCAGGATCGAAGTTAGATCAAAGTTCGAGCTGTAATAGAATGAGCCATTGGAAAGCAATTTACGCAGTTCATGACAAGGATGGCCGGGAACCGATGGAGATTGGTCTCCAATCGAACCAGGAGTTGAACTTCCATTCCCTCTGTAATCATCTTCGCTGGTCACTGGGTACCCGTTTGAGTCCAGCTCCACGAAATCCCAGCGTGAATCGTTCAGACAGAAGAAGTCTACCGCATAGATCTTATTAACTGTTTCCTTCGGCACCGGTTGTGCCACTTTAGTCTTTCCTGTGATAGTACATATGAAGATCAATCCTTCAAGTTCGATAAGACCAATGAAACCGTGGACCTCGTGAGAAGTCATTCTCTGGTATGACGGCCCAACCCTTGTTTTTGGCAGCAGCTCGATCGCGCAAAGCGGTTTGTTACGATCTTCTTCATTTTCCACTGAGTTGAATATTAAAGCATATCCTTCTGATGCAAGAGCTATCTTCCTCTCGGCGCCCCTTTGAACCAGAATTTGCATACTGAGCCAGTGAAAGGCCACCAGGCTTTATGGTGAATATGATTGATTCTATGCCAAGATGGGCTTCACTATTCAGCGGAACTAGCTGGAGTTGTGGAGACTGGATAGCGTTAGAGGTCCCCTTTACGAAATTTTTCAAAATTGTTAATATTCAGCTAAAGTCACATAAGGACAAGATGATTTATGGAAACTGAAGAACTGACACGGTCGATGGATGGATATTCTGACGAACAGCGCTGGCCTTACCGCTTCTATGTTTAATTCATCAGTTGGCATTGAATAGATTTGTAGTGCTCGAAGCTGCTTTAGTTAATGCTCGTTTTTTGAAGTTGATATATGTTTTTGCATAGTCTTCTCGTTGGTAAACTTGGAAGCTCAAAGAGCTACAGACTGCAACGTCAGATAGCTTTGCGATGAATAATGGAGGTTTTGAAATCAGATCTTTCAGTTCCTGGTGCATGTGTATGAAATTCAATGTTAAAAATGGCGTTTATGTAAATTTTGATTATTGGTTTCTACCCTACCAATGATTTTTCGTGACGTCGAGTAAGACATCTTGAATCACATCAGATTCATGGTCGAAATCAACAATTCTATGGAGCAAACTGAAGCCAAGTAAAGTGTTGGCGTCGATTCACTCATATTCATAAATACTTAACTTTTTTGTCGTGTGTACAGCTCTTTTCACTCCCGAACTAAGCGGAAGCAGAAGAGGCCTTAGATGCAGGTTCTGGCAAAGCCACATCGCCTGATTGGACGATGGTGTTGATGACGGAGAGAATAGCCTTTATGGAAGCATCGCCAACATCCTCAGAGACACCCACACCCCATTTGTAGGCGTTTTCGTTGTCGACCTCACGTCTGTACATGAGGTGGATGAACGAAGCAGCTTGGGTGGAAGAGCCGGATCCCAAAGAGTGCTCTGTGTAGTTGGAAACACTGAATCTAAGGTTGAAGAGGTTCGACATGGCATCCACAAGAGACGAAATTGGACCGTTACCAGATCCTTGAATGTCGTAGATGTTACCCTTGATTTGCACTTGTCCGTTCAAGACTCTGCGTTCTTTGTCCAACTTCGTAACTTCGTAATCGACAAGAGTGACTTCTCCAATCGTGCCGCTGTAGTTGTAGGTATTCTTGAAGAGGTCTGTGATTTCTTGGCCCTTTAGTTCTCTTCCTAGAGAGTCGGCTTTGGTTTGCACCAAAGTGGAAAATTCGATCTGCATATTTCTTGGTAGGTCAAGTCCGAGGGATCTGAGAATAACCCAGGCAGCACCACCCTTACCAGATTGCGAGTTGACTCTGATGACGGCTTCGTAATCTCTGCCGATATCCTTTGGATCCAAAGGTAGGTAAGGAATCTTCCATTCTTCGTCACCGTTGGCACGTCTCTTTTCCTGTAGAGCAAAACCCTTTTTGATAGCATCCTGGTGAGAGCCGGAGAACGCACAAACAACCAAGTCACCACCGTATGGAGCTCTTTGAGAAATTGGAATCTTGTTGCAACGTTCCACAACTTCGACAACCGAGTTCAAGTCCGAAAAGTCCAATTCTGGGTTGACACCTTGGGTGTACATGTTCAAAGCCACAGTAACCAAGTCAACATTACCAGTACGTTCACCGTTACCAAATAGACAGCCTTCAACACGGTCGGCACCTGCCATGACACCTAGCTCTGAGGCGGCAACACCGCAGCCACGGTCGTTGTGTGCATGAGTAGAGATACAGACCTTCTCACGCTCGGAAATGTGAGTTGAGAAATATTCGATTTGATCGGCGTAGTTGTTAGGAGAAGCCATTTCCACAGTAGCAGGAAGGTTAAAAATGATTGGGTTTTCGACCGTTGGTTCCCAAGCAGCCTTTACAGCTTCGCAGACTTCCACAGCAAAGGCGGGATCTGTGTCACTGAAAGTTTCTGGAGAAAACTGGTACGTCCATTGGGTAGCCTGTTGTGCAGGGTCGTCCTTGGTAAGTTTGCGTACGAGCTTGGTGGCTTCCACGGCTTTGGCCACGGCTTCCTCCTGGGACATGTTGAAGACAATTTCGCGGAACATGTCACTGGTGGCTAGATAAACGTGAATAGTAGCTTTTGGAGCTCCAGAGAGTGCCTCGACGGTTCTCTTGATGAGATGTTCACGCGACTGCACTAGACACTGGATGCTGACATCTTCTGGGGCGTGTTCAACCGCATAGCGGGTGAAATCGAAATCGGTCTGCGAAGCGGAGGGGAACGACACTTCGATTTCCTTGAATCCGATTTCTAAAAGTTTGTGAAAGTACTCCTTTTTCTGTTCCACCGACATGGGATCCGGGAGAGCCTGGTTTCCGTCTCTGAGATCCGTTGACAGCCAACGTGGAGCTTTTGTGATTCGTTGATCGGGCCATTTTCTGTTGGGCAGATTTACCGCTGGGAAGGGCTTGTATTTGATGGATGGGTCTTTGAGCATGTTTTTGTAGCCAAGTTTCACCGGCGGAAGCGCCTTGGAGCTGCTTTTAGCAAGCGCTACAAACGTTTTTTTGAACATCTTGAATGCAAAACACTCGTTCTAGTTAGCAAAGGGTATAACTGACGAAACGTGTCGTGGAAAATATGCCTAGAAGCTAGTTGTAGAATGCTTATAATCGCAGGTAAGAAGTATAATCCAGTTCTAAGTTTTCTTGAGTATCCAGGCGATATTTGGAAGTTTAAATAGTTTCACGAACTTGTGAAGACGAAAGAGTCATCGGGTCAGTTGATCATGATCTTTAGCATTTCTTTATAGATTCCTTTTCTTCTATAATTTAAAATTTTTCAGTCACTTTAGTCAAGGTTGGCATCGGAGTGAGCCAAGAAATGAGCCTGAAGATGACAGGAAGGGATAAAATGATATGAAGATCAAGTAAGAAGAAGTTCAGATCGATGTTCTTTACTATGTCGGATAAGGGTCTTCTAGTCGCCGAGGATTCAGGAATGAAATTGAGCTTCTGGTGGGCTTCTAAATTGAAGAATGATATTATATTTTTGTTCAAGGGCAACTAACTTGGTCCTAAAATGAAACAACTCCGGGATTCTATATGTTCTATCTTGTTTTTTTTTCGATCGGCACGCTATACCTGTCGCCAGGGTCCTCAAGTCGACATTGACTCTGGAAAATAGGGCACTTTTACTGTTTAGTATGGCAGTTAAGAGAGTGCCCTCGACAATCCTCCGATCTGCAAGATGAACAAACAGAGTTTAGTTACGGCACGTACATTGGGGTTGGTAAACTCAGATAGGAAGTAGTAAGGTATAGAAGTGATGACTAAATAAATTATCAAGGTTATCAAAAAATCATTCATCATTGGAGTGATGGTGTTAAAGCTTTATCGCTAGAGAGAGAGAGAGAGAGAGAGAGAGAGAGAGAAAACCTTACCTTGCAATTAGGGCCTTAAATTTCAAGAATATTATTGCCATGTGTCACGTGAGAAGTGTGAGAAGCTTGCATCCCGAAATAATCGTGTCAAGTCAATGTGTGCTTTGATTGCAATTGAATTGTCTTTTGTCTTCGCTGAGCTGTGTCCGAGTTACGGTTGCGGAAATGGGCCAATTGCTAGTTCAGATTTTTTAGAAACTATCAAAAATAGTCGTTGATCTCGTTTCACCACCAGTGCCAAAGATCTCTCCCTACTGTCCCAAAACGATCCACAATCAATATCGGAAGCTTTATACTGGATAATAACAGTGGTACCATTGAAACAAGTATCATTAATTGATGCTGAGCACGTTGAGTTGAAGATGTCGCAATTGTTAACAGTTATGCTGTCACAGGTTCACGTAATTGTTGAGGCTCTCAAGAGTCAGGTTAGCGAAAAGGATTTAGTCTTTGCACTAGCGTATGGGCCCTTATTTCTGCACAAGTATCTCTCACTCCCTTAGATGCAGAACCTCTTATCACTTTGTCGCTAGTTTGAAGCTTCATCGAACAAATGACTTTGCGCCACTGCAGTTTCCTTCCAAAAACACAATAAAACCTCGTCTCATGACAGTTGGAAGAGAAAGCCGTGATTGATCCCATTTTTCAAGAACGGAAAGCCGGACGCTTTTGAAAGATCACTTTATAACGTTTGTTCTCCTGCGAAGACCAGATTGTGGATTTGCACCTTTTGAAAAATTCACCAAAAGAGTACAGTCAACTACCGCCATATTCTCGATAACGACTGCCTCATCTATAGACGTGTAACAGTGGTCAAAAGCTTACTTGTCCGCTGTCACCTTTTCAAAGAAGTGACGCCTTGTGTGTGGTCTATGATCACGTGCTTGAGAACTTCTGCCAAGAGCTTGGCCAAGTTTCGGACTTTGACGACGTTTGTCAAGTTTTAAACGTCCATGAAAGTATGCACCACTTCTGAAATTGCAACCATGTTTGTATCCGTAAGTGTAGCTTGCCAAAGTTTGTATTTAACCTCCAAACAAATCTTGTATTTCAACACTTACATAATTAAAATGAGCTGAATGTCAGTTTATACATGTTTTGACTGACGCTACAACAACTTACAGATGGCACCAGACATCAACAGGAATCTTGAATTTAAGAAAACCTTTCCTGCTCATTTGATAAATGAGAGCGCAGTGGTTGTGACGCCGAGTTTTTAGGCTAATATGACCTGAGCTGATTAGAAAGTATTATGGATTATTTTGATATGCAAACAGATGCTAAAATATGCAAGATATACGGGCCCCAAATAATATTTTATCAGGGCGGGTTTATTGAGGAGCCCGAACTTCCGGAACTGCTTCTGCGAAATTTGAACTTGTGCACGAGTTTTTTGCCCGTGTGTTTGAGCTTAGCCGGTTTGAAGCCAGCGCCTGTAGCGGTTGTGATGGAAAAAGATGAGGAAGCAGTGGACGGAGCGCTAATTGTATTGCTGGAGCGCTCTGCGGTGGTGGAGTTGGCCGTGGAGGTAGATGGATGCGAAACTGGGTGGGATGCTAGAGGAGAGCCGCGTGGCGGAAACAGCGACGCCGGGTTGGATGTGGGAGAAGATACAGACCTTGAAACGCTGCCCAGGGTGTTTGCACGGGAGCACAGGTCATTTTGTTGATGGCTGCCGCGGTGTGCGGCAGGAGACTCGATTTCCGGGAGCTTTGAGGGGACCCGGTTGAGCGCTGTGCTGATATCATGCTCGATATTCTGGACCGCTAGCAGCTTGTCTACCAGATCTGCATCTTCTTCGTGATCTTGTTCTTCTTCTTCTTCTTCAACGGCGAAATCGTCGATGTAGGAAGACCGCAGGTCGAGAACGGCCGTGTCAGGCGACAACAACGACGGTGACTGTGACTGTGACTGTGACTGTGACTGTGATTGTGATTGTGACTGTGGATTTGGATGTGGGAACGACATATTCAAATGCAGTTGTCGGCTGCTGGTTTGGGAGTGATGGCTGTTCTGGTCTTGACTGGTAGTTTCAAGGTAGGAGTGAGAACGACGACAAGTAGCGGGCCGTGAACAACGACGCTGCATGTGGCCGAATTTGGAGTAGGCGTCCTGCAATAGCCACAGGACGTGTTTGCGGGCTGCTTCGATGCTGGAACGCGGCGGCACCGTGTGGGCGAGAGCGTTTTCGTCAAACGTCTGTCGGATGGCCTGTGGCAGATTACACTCGCGTGGGGAGTCTGTTTGGATGTACAGAGTGTACACGTCGCGGGTCCACGACGCCAGGGCGTCCCGTGGGACGCCCTGGACGTAGGGGTCTGTTGCCAGCAGGAAACTCAGGTTTTCGTCGCAGTGGGACCGTTTGAAAAACGCCACGAACGCATCGCACGCTGCGTTTTCGTGGTGCGGGCTGCGGGCTGCTTCCAGGAGCGTTTCCAGCTGATGATGTTGGTTTTCCGGGAGACACATTTTTCTGCCGATCTTAACTTCCCTGTGTGTGTGCTTCTTTCTTTCTTTCTTTCTTTCTTTCTCTCCTGCCTCTTTTCCTCCTGCTGTCTATCTCAGTATCTCTACCGTTATGCGATGCAAAAAAACCCAAAATCGCTTCTTGTTCCGCTTCTTCTTCCACTTCTTCCGTATCCTGTATCCTTCCACGTCCTACTATCGATCCTTCTGCAACGCTGTTGCAATCCGTGTCTTCAGACTATGTCTGTTTTGTCTGTTTTTGTCTGCTGTTATAGTCTCTGCGATGATGCTATTTTATCTTTTTCACAGTATATTATGCTTATGGTGCCGATGATGGTGCTGAAAAATTCCTGGCTACAACAAAATAACAAAATATATACTGGGCATACTATACTATACTATCTACAATAACAGAACTAACAGCATGTGTATCAAACAACACAGCGCGATAATGAATGAGAACTGTGAGGAATGGAAAGATCAACACCGCCGTTTTTTTTTTGTATACAATCGCGAACGGAGGTAAATAGTAGTGAAGATATGTAGCGGAAAGATGTAAAGCGGAGAGTAAATGCCCTGGAAGAGATGAAAGACGGTCTGCTTGCCTGTTTGCAACTCTAGTGTGAGTGGGTGTGAGTGAGACTGTGGGTGTGATAGTGATTCCCCGTGAGTGCAGTCAATGAGTCAGTAGTATCGGACGGCTGCGGTAGACTTAGATAGAGATGTTTGTTGACGTCTAAGATGAGCCGAGAGAGAGACTCTATAATGCAAGTAAGGAAAGCATCGTGGCGTTCGTTGGCAGGTGGATTGCGGAATTTGCTGCGTGTGTGTGCGTGTCGCTACAGTGGGAGCCGTGTGTGTGAGAGTGCGTTTGTGAGTGTTTTTGGGATGTGCCACGCCATATAAAGTGGTGTGAAAAAAGATTGAGAGAGACGTAGTGAGACGTAGTGAGACGTAGGAGTCAGAGGACGGAAAACAGTTTAAGCGGAGGTTCGGCGATTGGGTGTTTGTCTTGTGAAAAGGAGGGAAAAGGAGCCAGAGATACAGACTCAGACAGATACGGGCTTTTCGTGGTGGTGGTGGTGGTGGTGGTAGTTGTGGTGATAATACGTTTAGGAGGAGTTTAGAACACTCAGAATGGATAGTGGGTAATTAAGAAATTAAGAAAAAATTATATGTTTGTTTGTTATTCAGATGAATAACAACGTAACGGGTTCAAGAGGGAAAAGTTGATTGCCATGGTAGCGTAGTGGCGAAGCTGGACCATGGTAGTTCAGTGGCGGAGCTCGACCAGCATGGTGGTGGTAAAAATAGGTTAAATGGAATCTGGCGCTGTCGCGGCCCTGGAGCACGTGAGACTATTCCTTACAAGAGTGTCACTATCCCATACAAGAAAAACATATTTTCAACTGGTGACAGTGGTATTTTCAATTGATGGTGACAACTATCTTGGCTGTTTGAAGCGGATATTGTAGACGGGCCACTGGGTTAGCAAGTACACGGTACAGCCTTTTGGCTGCCTCGATCCCCAAGACAAAGTCAAATCTCCTGCTTTTTTGATAGGATGTATTGAAGTGGCATACAAACTGTGATGAGACCAGATTAGTCGAAATTGCCAGATCAACGTATTCCTCCTAAAAACCTTAACGAGACGCCGTTTTGACAAAGCTGTCCGGTCACCACAGACCGCGATTAGCGGCGCTCAATTCTGGAGTTTTCCAGAATTATATCGGGACATTCTTTTCACAGCTCAATCCCAATTATCAACATTAGAAAGCTCCTGTTAATTATTATCTTGTTGTCCAACCGTTGTAGAAAAAAAATAAGACCGTGGTGTGTAGCTTGGTGTGTAGATATTTCCACAACAGTGACTATGAAGTTTCGAGACCGGCCACAAATATCCTATTTTATATCAGTCCCTCAACGATCCCACAAATCATTGCCGTTCCACTGTTAAAAGCTTCCATCTCGTTCGCTATAAACACTTTAAATCATTTTTCGCATTTGTATCCATGTATCCAATATCAACCCAATGTCCCATATTATTTCCAAAACGTAAAATTACACACCCATCATCATCAAACAAAAACCACCTTCAACTAAAACCACCTTCACCAAACTCAACGTCTCCTCCATCTCTTTCGAACCATCCCACTAATCAACCCACCTACGCCATCGAAAACCCTCCACGTTTCGAATTCGCAGTCTCCTTAAATCCTCGATATATCAATCATTGTCTTGGTATCCTTCTCCCTACCTGGAATTACAAAAAGACATCTTGGAAAGCCTGAAAAACGCGGCCGGAAGAGAACCAAGCTGCCCCATTTCCAACGGACCAGGCTGACGACTGCTGAGTGTCATTTGGCAGGTTTACAACAGCTTCAGGAATAGACCGGCAAATCGACAAAACAGAGTAGCTAGTATCTTCAAGACAAAGGTCGATATCGAATCTTTACATTCATACCCACACAACTAAGACGTCTTTACAATTGCATAAACACATTTATCACGTGACTATCCTGATGGCGGCTAATAAAGGTTTTCAGAAACATCAACTTCTACTCGCCACTTTCATCTCATAATGAATAACACGAAAAATGCGGCCACCAAGCCATTCACCTCTAAACACGAGCCACGAATTTATTCACCTCTAAACACAGACCACTCACCGCTTTTTTCGACGAAACTCACTCACTTCGCCCCAACTAAAGCGCCCGAATCAACACGTCTTTCCCAAAAAAAGGTGGCTATATTGAAATGGTCAATCACACCAAATAACAACAAACGCTCGTTTCGGGGAACGCCGAAATCGTGAGAATATAGGAAGCTTCAAACTTGCTTGTCAATAGCGTTCTACATGGGTTGTTTCTTCTTTTCAGAACAGGATAACTGTTCAGATTCCAAGCAGGTCCCAACGGGTCCTAACGGGTCCTAACGGGTAACGAGTCCCAACGGGTCCCAACCCATGTTACAACCCGATTTCATGATCCGGATACTTTTGCCCTTCTGCATCACGTGGTAGACAGCTATCAAAGTCATTGTACCAAAAAAGTGTGGCGCGAAAAAAGAGGGCACGTGACAGAATACCAGTCACCTGCTGGACCATTTGTTAGGTCCCGCTTTTTCACAGCTCATCTTCACTACTACATGATGAATGAGAATCATCTACTTCAAGAGTAGAACTAATAACTTCTCTGCAGCAACTGGCATTTTGAAGCTGCTTCCGCGGCAATCAAAACACGAACATTCTCTGCAGCTTCTTACTGAATCGACTGTCACCAGAAGTTCTGGTCTTTCAGCGATGAATTTCGACAAAAATGAGGAGTTCAACAACCTCTTCGGCGAAGAAAAGGATGTTTTCAAAAACTCTGATAACCCGCTTCAGTTCCACCCGGGAGATACGAATGTGACGCCGAACATCCTGCTAGAGCAGCTTGCATACGTGGACAACTTTATGCCGGATTTCGAAGGGGACCTGGCGTCTTTCGGCGGTCCTGCACACGGAACTTCTGACATGCCAAGCGCAGGACTGGGTCTCGACGAACGTCTTGCGGCAGAGCTGAGTGCGTTTGCAGACGAAACCTTTATTTTTCCAGACGAGGACAAACCCGTCGACGCAGGCGACAACGGCGCGGACAATGATGATAATGATAACCGCAATAACGCCTTTGATCGTCCGTCTCACAACGACGCAGATCGTGGACCGGAAGCCTCATCTTCTGCTTCTGCTTCTGCATCCGCTTCGGCGTCCAATCAAAATCTTCACGGCCTCACAAACGGCGAAAGGGACCTTTCAAGACCGGACGCGTCAGATCTGTCGTCGTTTCAAAATCGGAGCTCAAAGTTCTTGTCGCAGCGTCGTAACAATTTCCTGGCCTCGCAGCATGATACACGCCTCCGGTTTTCCTCTAAAAATCGTCAACGCGAAACTACGAGATCTCCTGCAGAGGATCATGGCGGTTTCACTAACGTTGACATAACCGAAGGCCCTTCTCACCAAAACGGACAACAAGGACTTGCATACATTAATTCTCCTCTCAACAATCTGCTCTCTGATTCCAATCCTCAGACTGTTGAAATGATTTCAAATGGCTCAAACACACCTTCATTTCCATCGCAGGCGTACCGCCAAACTGGCAACTTTCCACTTGAGAATCACAGAGAGCCCTCACCAGAGTCTAGAGTACCGTCACACATTCACATGCCCAATTACTCGTCAATACCGACGCGAACCCTTCTGACTTTACTACCGAAAGCCAGGGTACCGACGGGAGCTCGGAATGCCCTAACGGCAGCCGGTTTGCAATCTGAAGAGATAGATTCAATTGCTGCTATTATGGCTTATCACCAGTTGAACAACAATTCTGATTTTTCCAGTGATCTTTCGCTTGCCGCTATTAGAAACTTACTTTCGAACGAAGTTGGAGCCAATTTTCTGCTGCCGTTTCTCACTGGTGATAATCAACCAGCACAAATGAATGAGCTTTCTTCAGCAGCAAGCACGCGGGTCGAGTCTGCTGCTAAAGCCAGTTCTAACTCTCCTGTAAACGACAGAAATATTGGAAACCCTGCTGATAAGCTTCTCTGCAATTTCTTTAATATCGATGGCGGCAAAACTAGTGCCAATCTTAATGAAACTGGAACTAATCGCGGAAATTCTACGAGCCATACACCCAGACACTCAATCACATCCTCTGCTGTCGAAAATGAGCCTGTGGTCTCGGGACAAGAGCAGAAGATCACAAAACAGCCAAATCGCGAGAGAAGCGATAGTAGTGTAAGCCTTACTGAAAAACGTACGAAGACCAATCCCAAACGCAAGTTGAAGGAACAGGAAATGGAGGGGTCGATTCAAGAGCTGAGTGAACTGGCTTTGAATCTTCAGCAGAGAATACAAACTCTAGAGATGGAAAACAGGCTTTTGAAAAATTTGGTGACTGAAAGAGGTGAGCTCACGGGCGTTGAAGAAGTTGAAAACGTCCGCCGCGAGCTCCTTCGCAAAATAAAAGAAGACAACAGTCGTGGACCGGTAAAGAAGGAGTAACCGAGGCTGGGTTTAAGTTACTTATGTACCTTAGTGTAAAAATTAATTAATGAAGTTTACTCTCTTTGACTTGCAGTTCGATCACCCCAGCACTGCAAGGATTACTATTAGTACGACCACAACGATAACGACCAGAAATATTATACCGCATCTATTTCTTTTGCGTTGGGACCGCTCAGCCTTACCCAGTTGTTCGTTGGCTCGCTGTAAATTTCCCGACAGGCCGGATATGTTGTTGTCTATGGTGTCGACATCTTCGCCCTGCTCTCGTACCAGCGATCCCAACTGGTGGAATATCGCGTTGACCTCTTGGACTGCCGAGTGTATTCGTCCGATCTCCTCAGACCTTTCTTGCTGAATGAGAGTATGAAAATTAAGCTCTTCTTCTGGAAGTCGATTCTGCGACTGCACCTGTTGCTGCAACTGGCGTTGGCCGTGTTGATGATTTTGTCCTTGCAGCAACGGCGTTGTGTCTGTGCTTTCTGCAACGGGCATTGAAACGTATCCCGAATCCCTAGATGCAGAATTTGTCCTGACCGGTCTAACCTGGATAGGATGCCGCGATTTATTCCCATAATATTGTCTTCTACTAAGCAGAAGCTCGTCTTTCAGTCCAGCAAAGTCAGAAGCCAGTTTCCCGTTCGAACCTTTATGTTTCAGCGAGCTTTCGATCTCATCTCGCAGCGTTTCGCAATGTGGGATTACCTCCGTTTCTATAGAGTAACGAAGGTCCTGAGAGTCCCGTTTTGAGCCCAAAAGCTCACTTTTTCTCTTTAGATGGTTGATCTGGCTTGAAAAGTCTGCGAAAAGTCTATTCAAAGCTCCATCTTGTTGACTTCCTGCGGTGGCAGGTTTTGACATGTAGTCTGCAAACGACATGGCCTAAATCCTTCAAAAATGATGCAAAATTCCCCGGAAAAAAAGCGTTGGGTTCCTCCACGAAGTTGCAAATGCTAAGAAAAGCTTACAAGACCGGTTTTTACAGATTTAAGACTTGTTTCCAACCGGTTTTCGACTGTCCTCCTGTTTTTCCCTTACATTCACACAAATTTCATTAATTTCATGAGTCGCGTAAAGATGGTGATAATTTGATATATCCTGAAAAAAATGGTTACGCGTTTCGTGGACTATTGAAACTCAAACAACACCAAATCTCCCATTGACTTCTGGTCCAACCTTTTGCCACAACAATTCAAGAACGCTATCTTGAGAGGCACGAACATGAGTTCAAATAGCAGGCTGGAATCGCTAAAACGGCTTCAAAGAGCTCGTCAAAACAAGTCTTCTTCAAAGGAACTTTACGATGCAGATGAAGATCTGGAAGATTCAAAGGTTTACGATCTTATAGATGAGGACGAATTTCGAAGCCGGAAGCGCGAAGAGCTACTGAAAGATGACTTTGTGGTGGACGACGACGGCGTCGGATACGTGGATCGCGGTGTAGATGAGTGGGACGACCGATATCGTGAGAGGGAACACTACTCATCGGAAGAAGACGAGGATGAAGGAGAGGGCATGGGACAGCGCTCCAATAAACGAAACAAGAAAACGGGAGCCAAAAGAGGTGAAAAGTCAGAAAATGGAGCTATCAGTGACTTGATTGCGGCGCAACACGTCAAAAAACCGAAAAAAACGGCTGTCCAGATGGGACCATCGAAAAAATTCACTGCAGATGGGTTTGACGACATCTTGTTGGAATTCGAGAACGCTAAGGACGCCAGTACGGCGAAACACACCGCTTTCAAAAAAACGGTTTCGACGACCGGGTCTCCAAATTCCACCGTCAAAAGAACATCTGTAGAATCATCAAATCATCCTACCGTGAAAAGACCTAAATTCGAAAAGGCCGAACCTTCACATACCACTGATAACTCGTCCCCACTAAGGTCTATGAACCCGAGATCCAAATACGTTGATGACACAGAATTACAAGCTATGATTGATGATGTTCAAAGCTCTCCTACGATTTTGAAAACCAAGAGCGTCACAGTGGTAGATCCAATCAATAATACAGGGAAGAATGTCAACAACGTCAAGGAAGAGGATTACGACGAGGAGGACAGCGACGAGGAGGAGATTCAGTTTAGCAGGAGAACAATTCGAAATGCTGCTGCTGCGAAAAGAGCTAATTTCAATGCCAGCTCCAACATACCGTCTTCTCCCTTCATGACTGCGCCGGGCACTCCCGCAACTTCGAGCCAATCGCTTCCCGATGACTCCAGGCCTAGCACATCGCAGTCACTAACCAAGAAATACACCCGCGATGACGTCGTCGACCAATCGTCGAACTCATTCAATCTATTCTGGTTTGATTATGCAGAGGTCGACAACACGCTCTTGCTTTTTGGAAAAACCGTCACACGCGCGAACGAGTCTATATCCGCAATGATACAAGTCAAAAACCTCTACAGAGAGCTTTATTTTCTACCAAGAGAGGGCAAGACAGCTTCCGAGGTCCATGAAGAGATAGTTCCTCTGCTTCTTGAAAAATATGGACTTGACAACATACGGGCCAAGCCAGAGAAAAAAAAGTACGCTTTCGAACTGCCGGGTATTCCCCATGAAACTGAATACTTGAAAGTTTTATTGCCTTACCAAACCCCAAAAAGCAGAGGGGTCATTATTCCAAGCGATCTCGAGGGTGACACATTTTTTCATGTATTTGGCGGTAATACCAACATTTTTGAGAGCTTCGTTGTTCAAAGAAAAGTAATGGGACCGTGCTGGCTGGAAATAAAAAGCGGAGATTTTTCTGCGCTGTCCAATGCATCCAATTGTTCGCTGGAAGTTCAGGTTTCCGTTCCATCGATGGTGACACCCTTGGCAGACAAACATGCACCAGACTTGAATTGTGTCGCTATTGCGGTACAGAGTGTTATGAATGCAAAAGAAAATAAACAGGAGGTGGTAAGTGTCACCCTATCACACTATGACAATCTTCCTCAGGATGTGCCTATACCAGAAGATCTGGCTCCAAATTCCACATGTACTTTGGTGCGACCACCAATGGGCTCCAGCTTTCCTACCGGATTGATGCACCTCGGAAACAAGTCATTGCAGGGTCAATTAAGGTTATTCAACAACGAAAAGGCACTTTTGAGCTGCTTCTGCGCAATGATGAGGTCTTCTGATCCTGACGTAATAATCGGTCACCGATTGGAGAATACTTCCCTGGATATAATTGCGCATAGATGCTTAGAATTGAAGATTCCTACATTTAGCTGTCTAGGGCGCAGGGTCAGAAAATCGTGGCCCGAAAAGTTTGGAAGGAATCCAAGTATGAACCAATTTTATATCCGTGAAATGTTTGCAGGCCGCTTGCTCTGTGACATATCTAATGAGATGGGCCAATCGCTGACGCCCAAATGTCAAAGTTGGGATCTGTCCGAAATGTACCAGGTTACCTGTCAAAAAGAACACAAATCGGTGGAAGTGAATTTCCAAAACCCACAATACCAAACTGACGTCAATTCTATGCTGTTCGCTCTCCAAGAAAATGTGTCTGCCGCCAACATTTCCGCCGAGATTGCATTCAGAATACAGATACTGTCACTTACGAAACAACTGACAACGCTGGCAGGAAATGCCTGGTCTCAAACGCTGGGCGGTACCAGAGCAGGGCGGAACGAATATATTTTGCTTCACGAATTTGCCCGTAATAACTTCATTGTTCCCGACAAGGAGACCAGGCAAACGAGAAATCAGCGTCAACAGAAGTTGCGCGAAGAAGCGGGAGAGGAAGCTGGCGAGGAATTGCAAGTGAGCTCTAAGAAAAGCAAATATCAAGGTGGGTTGGTGTTTGAACCCGAGAAGGGCCTGCATAAGAATTACGTTCTAGTAATGGACTTCAATTCTCTTTACCCTTCCATCATCCAGGAGTTCAACATTTGCTTCACAACTGTAAAACGCGATCCTAACAATATAGAAGAGCTTCCAGACGTGCCGGATGGGCTCAGTAAACAAGGCGTTCTCCCGCGGCTGCTAGCTTACTTGGTTGATAGAAGAAAAGAGGTCAAGAAGATACTCAAGGCGGAAACTGATCCTCACAAACGTGTACAGTGTGATATCAGGCAACAAGCACTCAAATTAACGGCGAACTCCATGTATGGGTGCTTAGGTTACGTCAACAGTCGGTTTTACGCCAAACCGCTAGCGATGCTAGTCACTAATAAGGGAAGAGAGATTCTGATGAATACAAGACAACTAGCGGAAAGTATGGCGCTTGCTGTAATATATGGTGATACAGATTCGGTCATGATCGACACGGGCACCGACGTCTACGCAGATGCTATCAAAATCGGCGAAAGCTTCAAAAGAATGGTCAATGAAAGGTACCGGCTACTGGAGATTGACATAGATAATGTCTTCAAAAAGCTTTTGCTGCATGCCAAGAAGAAATACGCCGCTTTAACGGTTTCTTTCGATAACCACGGCAAGGAACAAACTACTCTGGAAGTAAAAGGTTTGGATATGCGGCGTCGTGAATTCTGTCCTTTGTCGAAAGAAGTGTCGGTTCATGTTCTTGAGACAATTCTCTCTGACAAAGATCCAGAGACAGCATTATCGGACGTGTATGAATACCTTGAAGGCGTAAGAGATCAAATTGAGAGCAACTCGATTCGTGTTGATAAGTACAAAATCAACACCAGGTTATCAAAGGACCCCAAAGCTTATCCGGGAGGTAAAAACATGCCTGCTGTACAGGTAGCACTTCGAATGAGAGAAAGCGGACGCGTGGTGAAAGCGGGAAGTGTAATCACATTCGTCATAACAAAACAGGAAGACGCGGGTGATAGCGACTCTCAATTATCCCCTGCTGAGCGAGCGCGGGTGCTGAACGAAGTCATGGTCAAGAGTAACAATCTGCGGCCCGATCCACAGTACTACTTGGAAAAACAGATATTCTCTCCGGTAGAGCGACTGCTAGAGCGGATCGAGAGTTTTGACATTGTGAGATTAAGTCAGTCTCTGGGACTCGACAGCAGGAAGTACATAAACCGCGCAGGAGCGAATGGTGAGCTGAATGGAAACAGTGCAGATAATTTGCAACCGCTGGATAGTGCCTTATCGGATGAGGAAAGGTTTAAGGACGTTACCCCCTTGACTCTAAGTTGTCCAGGCTGCGACCACAAATTTGCCTTTGGCGGCATTGTGGCATCAATGCACTATCTAATGACTTTCAACGGGTTACAATGCGCACATTGCAATCATCAATTCTCACCCATTCAGCTAAGTTCCCAGTTTGAGAGTGACATCCGTAAACATATTTCAAGGTACTACACTGGATACTTGAAATGTGACGATAGCACCTGCGGAGTCGTTACGAGGCAGATTTCTGTCTTCGGTAAAAGGTGTTTGAACGAGGATTGCATGGGAGTTATGGGTTATTGTTACACAGACAAACAATTGTACAACCAGCTACAATATTTCGCCTCGCTCTTCAACGTCGACAAGAACAAGAGAGAGCTTTTGAAGCCACTTTATAGACCAGGAGACCCCGACGCAGCGGAGAAAAAGTTACCAACATCACAGGTCTTAGCTCTGGGCGAACAAAATCGGGAATTGTTTCAAACAATGGAGTCAGTGGTCCAAAAATACTTGAGCAACTGCGCACGAAGTTTTGTCGACATGGGCTCGATATTTGACTTTATGAACCCCGAGTGAAATTTGGAACTTTTCGCAGCTGATAGAGAACTTGCGGACCCGATATCTATTACGCTACATCATCAATAATACTTATCACGTTTTGGAGCAGCCAGTCGGCCTCATTCGCCAATATCCTCAAACCAATCCTGTGGCCTTTCGTCAATGAATTGCTTCATTATGGATTTGCATTTTGCGTCGTCCACGACACGCACCTCACACCCGCGTTCTGCTAGGTACTGCTCACCATTTCCTTTAAAATTGATGTTTTCACCCACGACACACCGTGGAATTCCATACAAAAGGATGGCACCTGTGCACATATCACAAGGCGACAGGGTAGTGTACAGAGTGCATTTTTTATAAACTGATCCTTTCAAACGTCCACAGTTTTCTAGAGTGGAAATCTCACCATGCAGAGTTGCACTACCTTTCTGGAATCGCATGTTGTGCCCGGAACCAAGGATGTTACCATCTTCATCGATCAAGCATCCACCGATGGGAACACCACCTTCTTCGAAACCCTTTTGAGCTTCTTCATATGCCACTTTCATGCCAAGTGAGTCCCATTTTTCCATGTTTATTCCCATTGCTGCCTTGATATGGTATTTCTCGAAGGCAGACGCTCAGCTTATCTCGAATGAAGAGAACAATGAATGCCTTCGTTGTATATCAAATTTTCGCAGCTGGAGAGAGATACGGGATTTAGAAGAATACATCATTCCTTTCTTTTCCTGACGCTGACATGCCATGCCTCTTCATGTGAGCCGCTGAGTGAGCCATGATTCCAAGTCAACGTCCAATGCGCAGACGTTTTTCTCAGAGACGCGAGCTTTCACAAATGATTAAAGCTGCAATAGTGTTTCTTCGCTGAGTTGTTTGAAGCATCATTTGAACGAGTTTCGATAGCAGCCATACGGGATTTTGAAACGAAAATCTTTCCAAATATGCTTGTGGCCCGGTCCACCATCATCTCGTTCTCATTTGGCGATTCGCGGACAAAGCATGAACACAAATATCGCTCACTCACAAGGAAACCCAATTTTCACCATTCCTACTGAAGTTATTAGCATGTTGACGGGAATTCAGACGCAAATGCCTATGGAGTTGCACCTGCGCACTCATAAGCCATATACACATCCCATCAAACGTCTCTTTCGCAACAAAGCGAAGAACAAGTTCAATGAAGTCTTTATTGTTTGCCTTCACTATTCTCTACAATCTGCATGAAATGCGAAATACAAGCCTAAACTTCACATGAGACTTATCCCAAAACTCATCCAGAGACCCAGCTCCATCACTCTCAGCTGCCCTCTTCTCGATCTTCTTCCTGGACGGATTCTCAACACGATTCAATCATGGAATTCAAGCGTGTCATCGAATTTCACCGTAAATCTGCGTTTTGAAAAGCACTTCCAAGGACAAAACCCTGACGAATGAAACTTGCCACTAACAATACCATTTCAATCACAAGCAGTCTCGCTCACACCTGGAGTGGTTCGAGCGAGTTGTTGTTTTATCACTTGTTTTATTTATGACACTTGACTATATTATATCTTCCTCGAGAATCATATCTAAACTTAACTAGTTTAACAACCCTTACAAGATAGACAATCTAGGTTCAAATACCCACCGCTACCTGTTGGATCCAACGAGCGTTACCAGTTCGCTCTCCGACCACTCTTTTGAGAGTCCAACTACTAAATGGCGGGAGGATCTGGATCAAATAGCCATGTTGATACGTTATCAACAAACATCAGTATTCCACAACAACAAGATCAGAGAAGAAGACAATCCATTCTACTTTTATCTGAATCTATCGCTAGCAGAAGGTCATCCAAAGTCTCCAGGGATGTCGGTGCCGCTTTGAAACTAGAGAGTGCTGGTCATAGTCCCAAATTAGGGAGTAGTATGGACTCAAGAGTGCTTATCGATGCAGGGTCTCCGAACTTCAAGACTCGAAAAAGAGGTCAACAAGAAGAAATCATCAATAGTCTGCGTGCCAACTATCTGAATGATTACATGCAGCCAAGAAAAGTCGAAGCGGGCTCCACAGTCTCGGATCATCCCGCTCAACCTGAAGATAGCCATTTCATCGATACTTTAGGATCGCAAGAAACTCCTGAAATCCCAGAACGCGACCTTAATCTGGAGAGTCAAGGTGGACACATCACTAGAGAGCTATATCTCATGACCTCACCGAATAATGGTCTGAAGAGAACGATGTCTGCAAGTAATCTCGAAATCGCAGATCAAAATTCAAGACCTGGAACCACAGCAAGTGCACTGAACGTACCTGGTGGATTTCGTCGAGAATTCATCGTTCAGCAACACAAAAATGGTAAGGACACCAAACCGTCAGCGGGAAGCGATAGTGGAACCTGTCTTTCTGACGACATCGAGTCTCAATCAACCGATCCCAATAACCTAGACAAAGTCCCCTTTTTGACAAGGAATTTTCTGGAGTTTCTCTACGTGTACGGTCATTTTGCCGGTGAAACATTCAAGGAAGACTTGTATCCCGAGGATAAGTCCGGGTCTCCCGACATAGATGAACGGAGTCCTTTGTTGACGAGGGGAGCAAATTCAGTCCCCGCTAAGAGGCTGGTTCCAGAATCTGCCAAGGGCACAACTTCCACTGCGAAAGCTTTTCTTCTCATGATCAAATCCTTTATCGGAACAGGCGTTTTGTTTCTTCCAGCTGCTTTTGCAAATGGAGGTTTGGTGTTTTCTGCTGTAATGCTGACATTTTTTGGATGCTACTCGTTTTGGTGCTACTACATTTTGATTGAGTCCAAAATAAGTGCCAAGGTTTCATCCTTTGGTGACATTGGGCAAACTTTGTATGGGCCCTGGATGAAGTTCATCATTCTTTTATCCTTGGTTTTGACTCAACTGGGATTTTCAGGTGCCTACGTCATCTTTACGGCCAAAAACTTGTTGGCTTTCATCGATAGTGTATTTCATTGGCCCAAAGTCACCATAATTCATCTGCTGATTCTCCAGCTAATAGTTTTCGTGCCACTGTCATTTATCAGAAGCATATCCAAATTGTCATTGCCATCTTTGGCTGCCAACTTTTTTGTCATGGGAGGTATTTTGATCGTCATAGGATTGACCGGGAAGCATCTCTTCATTGATCTCGGTGGAAAACCCGCGGATGGCATCACAATGATATTTGATCCCAATCGGTGGACTTTATTTGCGGGCACTGCCATTTTTGCCTTTGAAGGTATCGGCTTGATAATACCCGTGCAGAGTTCGATGAAGCATCCTGAGAAATTTCCTTTGGTCTTGGGTTTGGTAATAACTACTGCCACGGTTCTTTTCGTTGCGGTTGCCACTTTGGGATACCTCAGTTACGGCAAAGATATCCAAACCGTCATTTTATTAAATCTTCCCCAAGACAACATTTTGGTGAACTTGATTCAATTCTTTTATTGTTTAGCTATAATGCTATCCACTCCCTTACAGTTGTTCCCAGCATTTGCTATTGTGGAAAGTAAGGTATTTCCCAAGTTCACCAAGATCTACGTCAGACGTAACAACCGAACAAATGTTCAGTACAAACAGAACTCAGGGAAACTCGACTGGCGTGTGAAGTGGCTCAAGAACTCGGTACGGTCTGTTATTGTAGCGGCCACGGTAATGGCTGCTTACTGCGGTGCTGACAACCTGGACCAATTTGTTTCGATCGTTGGCTCGTTTGCATGCATCCCATTGGTTTATATCTATCCTCCGCTATTACACCTGCGAAGTTGCAGCAAGCCTAAATGTCAGGGCGCCAAGAGTTTCTGGGAAAAATGGCCTGTTTTGCTCGACTACACACTAATTGTCTTCGGGACAATTGGCATGGTATACACCTCATACCAAAGCATCATGACATGAGTTCATGGCAGCTTGTGCGACCGAAGGTTCATCTGCTGGTAGATATTGAACCGGGACAATTAATGAAAGTAGTGGTTCGATGATGAATTTTAAGCTCCCGCATGAAACTTTTTAAAAGCTGCCTACTCAATCGTCATTTTGATGGGATGATACGCATTTGAGATTAAAGACACAAAGCGGTAGAACTATTTCAAATACTATAGGTCCCCATTCACTGCTACCTCTCATTCTCGCAATCTTGATGTTATCCCGTCGTCAGTCACGTGGTCGCGTGACACTCAACGTACTACGTGATTTAAGTTTGGCAGCTGTTTACTTCGCATTTCAAAGCATATCACGGCTTCAGAGCATTTTGCCATGTCTCGAATTAGAGCGTAATATAATAAACTATAAAGTAAACTGTTCTTCTTCAAAACGCGATCCAACTTCCGAAAAATATTTTCTAACGGAAAGAGGCAAAAACAGCCGGAAAATTTCAGAACGACATACATGATTACAACAAAAATAACAACGATCAAAAGCACGCTTTTCAACGACAAATTCCAATTCTCGTGTCGTCACTGTCGCTCAAGATCCAATATCATCTTTATACTGTCATTAACAAAAAATCACGAAACACGTGACCGATGAACTTTTATGAAAATTGTCTAATTGAAGGATTCAGCAGATGTTAAAGACTAGGACTTTAAAGTCAACAGAATCAGCATCTCTAAAGACTCGATAGCGGCTATAATGTCTCGCAGCTTCTACGGCGAAAGTGCCGGTGGCTCAAAATCCACGGAAGCGCCTTTGGTTCCCGATTTCGTGACTCCTACAGACCTTACAACAACAACTTTATCCACGGGCAATAACATTTACAATTCGAAGACTTTGGACGAGTTGTTTAGCAACTGGCGTGGTAATGCTGTGCATAAATACCAGATTTACAAGTCCGAACTTGAAACACAGAAAAGTGCGGTTGCAAACGAGTACGAAAGCCTCAGAAAACACGTCTCTGAACAAATCTTGACAGACGAGTACGAAAACACGGAACTGCTAGTTCCAACTGGTGTGCTGGCCTTGGGTGCCTTCTTCAGCGGAAGAGTGCTCAGCAATCCCAAGAACTGGAAGGCCTCCACGTCCTTCACGAGCCGCTTGCTGACGAGTATTCCCAGCAGAGTTCTTCTGCCCTGGACACTAGCAGGTGCGGTGTTTTCTCAACTCACGCCAGTGACTTGGTCCCATAGCCTGCGTTCTGTGGAAAGCGATATTCTACCAGAAGAATGGGTTTCACAGTACCATCAATTGCGGGATTCCTTGCATACAGAAGGTCTTGGCAGAAAATGGAGGGAACTTAATGACGATTTGAACGGATACTTGCAACAGAGGGTACGCAGTGGTCGTGAATTTTTGATCAACAGGCAGAATAACAAGTCTTAGCCAGTATGTTAAGATGAAATGAGTGTTTGGTGCGCGAAACCAATCATCTCAGCTGTTAATATTCGATTTATGTAAAAACAACGTCAAAAGGAGCATATACAGGCGATTAAAACCGTACAAGTACGTTGGACAGATGTTCTTCGTACCACACATGTCAGCTTGCAACCGCGTGGAGAGATCCAAGGAGTTAATTGGCAGAGTTCCAATCTGATAGTAATATCGAGCGCGAACTCTCTCCATTATCTCCGTTTGAAGAATTGACCGAATACTTCAAAACAGTAGATACTATCTTGAAGCCAATGCTTGAATCCGAAACGTGGCGTGAGATTTCATGTACGCGCAGGGGTCTGTCCGAAGTGGAAGTGCCGAGATGGACTATGTCGCTTTGCCTTCATATAGTTGAGCAACTACGGTTTTCAGACCTTCTCCTAAAGATGGGCTTCTAGATCTGAGCAAAAAGCCATGTACGTGAACACTCAGAATTATTTTTCTGGGATAGAGCATAATCGACAAAGAATTGACTAGAATCAGCTTGAATCTCTCAATCAAAGGTGTAGAGTATTCCCTCGTGCGTCACTAGAAGCGCGAACTCTTCTCATGGGTTCAATGCGATTGCTCAATAACGGCCCAAGTTTTAGTCGACGCCAATTTTTCACCAGCATTCGCATAGCTAAGAAGCTTCCAGTCTCTAGTCTTTTCTGAACAAAATTTCAGTATTTCTTTCTCGAGCTATGAGCTGGATAGTCGCCGAATTCGTATCTTTCTTCTCGCGGAGCATACGAAGGCCTCTGAGACTCTAGATCGTAATGCACTTCATGATAATAAGTACTTTTGGGCTCCATGATCGGCTGGTAAATCACCATAGGAGCACTGTAAGGTGCTGATTGTGGAATTGGTCGTTGAGCAGAACGTCGTTGCTTCGAGCGTGGCGAGCAGAAAAAACAAAATTCATAACATCCACCAACTCCCTGTGCACAGCATCGCAGTAGAGAGCCCAAAATCCATAATCCTATTATGCAGGCTATGACTATTCCCACGATTGCCAAAATTTTCCATGTTTTGTTGCTCAATGAGGGAAACCAGGAGACATTACGACTAATAAGCTTTCCAGGTCTTGGGTAGCTTATAGCCATTCCTTAGAAGACCCAATACGATACTTGGACGATGAGTTTAGGGCTTCGATCTAGGGCTTGGATCACATCAAAGTTGATAAATTGTAAACACTTTGAACACTTCGCATCATGACATACGTCTCTCGATTCTGACTGGTGAGATCTGGAACTTGCAAGATCTAGAGCGGATAGAGCATCCCGGTGACCATCACATAGCGACAATATAGTCCGACCCTCTTCATTTAAGCATTTCAGGAAACGGGAATCATTTTGATGCTTTTGTCGAAAGATGGGGTTGAATAATGCGCTTCTCAGGTAGCTGATTTGCTTTCCGCTGATGACACGATGATCTGAGACATAACGTAGCGGAGTAGTCGTGTGAAATTGTATCGAGGAAACCTCGCCATGAAAGCCACCTTTGACCTTAGTTGATCTCTGACGCTCGAATTCGCAGAAACACCATGCATTTTGATGCATGATAGTTTTTCTATCCTTGGAACATCGACTTGGCTTACTATTTTTCACTCCTCTAGCCATCCTTTGCGGCCCGGCATCACCATGTAGTGCCGTGCAGGATCTTCAAATTTTTGGGCTGTCAGATGCGTTTGGGCCGATACTGCTGCTCCCTGTTTGAACTGCAATAAGAGACGAAATCTGGAGTCTTTATGATTCTAGTTGAAAATCTCAGAATCGATTCTGTGCACGATGTTTGCTCGAACGAAAAGAGTGATTTTCGTCCTGTTTCGGAAAACAAGAGGCCCAAGAGGCAGAAGAGTCCGTTTTACCTGTCTTACGTCTCATTTGACTAAACTAATAAAACTCTTTTCCCACTCAGGTATTAAGCCATTGCGGAGCCTGTGCGCGATCTATCTTGACCAACCCGGTGTCGAATGCCTCTATCAACAGTTCTACCAAAATACGCCCACCTCTGCTGCCAGTAAATCTCCGATATTCCTCTGAAACAGACGCCAGGTTCCAATTCATTATTCGACGTAGACACCCGATTACCGTCCCGGTCCTGTGCCGTCCCATTCCACAACAGACCAACAATGGATAGTTTTGGGCTTTCACTATAGTTTCGAGAGCTGCCACGATGCTATGTTCCGTCAGCCCATCCCATGGATTATCGTCTTCTCCACCTTCTGGATTGATCGTAGCAAACTGCAATTGCACGGAATGCGCATCGCAGAATTCCAATAACGTATCCTGTGGTTCTTCATTTGCTAGCCAAATAATGGTTTTCAATTGCAAGTCAAGCAAAAAGGGGAAATTCACAGGCGAAGGCTGGCCTGACCGGTAGAGATACCTCTCCACAGGACAGAAATTGAGAGGCGGAACAATGCGTTGCAATGGTGCTCGTCTTACTTGAACCACGCCATGTCCGACCTCGGTTTCTTCGTTGATGTAGGGGTGATCGTCTTCCTCGTTGGTGTCCATATCAAAGAGGTCAGCAAAAGAGCACTAAGCAAGCGTAGCGTAGCGTGTGAGGATTGGGCAATGGTCAATGGATGTTACTTAGGTTTGGTTATAGACGTGATACTTTTGAATTTGTCTAAAAGAATGGCACGTGATGCAATTTAGGATCGTGGGGTCACGTTTATAGCTAAATAAGACTAAAGAGAAATGCAGTGCTGAGAGGGTAGAAGTTGGGACCAGAAAAAACCACCTACTACATGTTGTGTTTAGAAAGCTGTAGCGCCAAGAAAAGTGATCTTTGATTCCACTTATCGTATACAATGACAATATAGACGATACAATTTTTTCGAAAGGGTGGGTCACTCGTGTTCAAACTCATCATTTTGATTTATTTGTCATTAAGCTCAGGTATCATGTTGTATTCCTGCCATAATTCATGGACAAAGTTGACCTTAAAGATAATCTTTGATTCTGTCGTCGGTCACGTGGTAGAAGATTCACATCTGTAAAACCTTCTTGAATGGATTTTTCTGAGGGAAATATCATGATGCATGCCCTCAAACAAAAATACAGGGCCTTAAACGTATTTCAATATTAGATATCCCTTCCACCGTTTTCTCGTCTCCAAAAATGCAGGTGTCTGGCATTTCACAATTAGGCTCGAGGACTTGTCTCTTTGTACGATACGAAGCGTTAAACCTCTTTAATTATAGCTAATTTTGAGATTCAATATTCAAATTCAATGATATACAATACCGTGGACCTAGTGGAACCAAAGCTAACAAGTTCGTGTTTGCTCTCGAAAATCAGTGGATATGGTCAGTAAAGTAGCCAAGCGGAAAGCTGAAGTTTCAAGCTCCACTTCAAAGTTTTCAGATACAATTTCTGCCAGCTGGAACGCCTACTACAAGCAAGTTTCTGAAAACCTGCATCTACGGCTGATCGACAGTTTTCTCGTGGTTTTGGTAGCTGCAGGCATTGTGCAATTCCTGTTCGCGTGTGTTATTGGTGACAGTTTTCCTCTGAATGCCTTTTTGGCTGGGTTTTGTGCTTGCGTAGGCCAGTTTGTTCTTCTGGTCAGTTTGCGAATGCAATGGGTAGAACCATTTCCCGGGGTTAGTCGTGATCGTGCGTTTGTTGAGTTCGTGGGCGGATCTCTGGTTCTGCACTTTCTGAGCTTGCATTTCGTCAATTGAGTTAAAGAGGCAAATTCTTTCAAGAGTCTTGTCCTATTCAAAAAATAGGAACTCTAGAAAACTCACTGTCCGCCTTAGTTCTCTCGACCAAAGGAGTCGTATAGAATTGAGGCGGTTGACCTGGTTGATCAGGTTAACAACGCAGAATTCACTACTTGGCATCATTTTCAAGTGGTATGTGCCCTAAATAAAAAAAGGGCCTCGGCTACGGAGCCCTAAGGCTCGTTGGAGCTTGATTGGCAATCAATCCCATCGAACGCGGGTGTTGAGACAGTTGAAAGGACCGGGGCTCCAACTCTGGTGACTGGAGAGACGTCACCTATCAAAGTTACAATTTCTGCTCTGAGCTGTGAATAGTCTAAGATTTACATGTGACACCACTATTGAATACCTTTTTCCCCTTCCGTCCCATCAGCTCTTCTCGAGCGTGTACCCCCTTCATATACTTCTAATTGTACATTTTTCAACTATGTGACTGCTACATCGCTTTTCAAAAAGTCAGTTTAAGCTATAATGCAACACCCGCCTGACTTTTCCTTCGGCTTGGTCTTATCCTGTCTCGTTTCTACGCGTCCCTGCGCAGCCCCGCGTTTATTATCGATGGAGCTCTCCTTGGCTCCGCGACTAATAGCGTCATTAGGTGCACCATTGACGCCAAGAGCAGGTGAACCTGCGTTAGCTGAGTCTTCATCGAGCTCTGTTGATCCTGAAGTGATGCCATTGGCGGCGACTCCTTGTCCTACAGCACCAGTTTGTTGTTCGCGGGCTTTTTTCTCCAGCTCCTCCTTTTCGGCTAGATTGTAAACCCCACCATTGTCTCTGACAAGTCGCACAAGACCGTAAAATGACTCCTCAACATTTATGGCCTGTTTGGCAGAGGTCTCCATGAATGGGGCGCTAAACTGCTTGGCAAGGCTCATACCTTCTTCGTACGAGACCTGACGTTCGTCCTCCAAATCGCTTTTGTTTCCTACCAAAAATACCGGCACATAGTCAGCATCTTTAACTCTCAAGATTTGTTGGTAGTAAGTCATAAGTTCGTCAAAGGAAGTCCGCGAAGTAACAGAGTACACCAACAGAAACCCTTCTCCGGTACGCATGTATTGTTCTCGCATAGCAGAGTACTCCTCTTGGCCAGCTGTGTCTAGGATATCCAAGATGGAGACTTTGTCGTCTATCACCACTTGTTTGCGGTACGAGTCCTCAATTGTAGGATCATATTCGTCCACGAAATGCGATTGAATCAATTGGATGGTGAGTGCGGATTTACCCACACCACCGCCACCAACAACGACAAGTTTGTATTCCCTAATGTTGTTCTGCGAACTTTTGGTTAGTCATCTTTTGAGAAGGGAGCTAAGAGGATAATAAATTGGAAATAAAGGCCCCGAGATCTCGGCAAATGCGTATATTAACGCTACCATATTGCCGGCTACCATTGGTATCTCTGAGCGTCTGAATTTTCCGTAAACGCTTGACAGCATCACTCGAAGACAAAACCGCCGATTCATCATCAAAAAATGGCGTTTGAAAGCTCAGAAAAACCACAATCAAGCCATTTTGCAACGCAAACACAAACATACTTTGCTGAGTGACATTTGGAGCTTCAATTACTTCTTTACAGCAACGTGAAAGTGAATCAAAAACCGTTTACAAGTGTGTATCCTGATATTAAAGTGGTCCTTGAAACAATCTTTAATTTTTAAAATATTTCAACCAGGTATCACATCGCACGAGGAATATAGTTAACAGTTGCCAAGACTAAAACTCACACTGACGTTGAAGATCAATTGACAATTGTTAGTTTGCTTGCTTGTCGCTTTGATGTTCCGCTCAACAACTGGTAAGTTAATTTCACATTCGTAAAGGTGAAGTTTTGGAACTCTCGAGAATTTGACGAAAAATGGTGAAAATTGACAAGAACTCTTCCGACCCCACTCTTGATAAGTCTTGCAGTTCTTTCCAACAGCACCGAGCAATTGAGTCGTCCTCAAACAATCAAAAGATCATGCGCCACCATTTTTGGTGACTCACATTAAGATTGGAACAAAAGTCTCTCTCAAGGTAATTATTATCTTCAAGTGAAAAAGTGGATTTTTCAGCGTACAGTTTTGACAATGATCCTCATGAGCAGGAGCGAGATCTCAATTCACGCTTTGGTCGGGTCCCCACTTTTTTTGTAGCTCCTGTTTCCTTTACTTGCAGTCGTTGCAATACCATTTACCCTTGGGTAGAGTCTCGAGGCCAATGCAGGGCAGATGGAACCATTCCAATATGCAATTGTCGCCATCACAACCAACCATCTCACCGTAGGCCACCTGGTGGCAGTAGCAGTAGAGGGCCTCGCCATATTCGTTTGTTTTGGATCTTTGGGAGTAGTCGTCCTTGGTGTGGGGCTTACGCTTGCGCCGTTTGAGTTCCGAGGCTCCCGCTGCACCACCACCGCCACCAGCGTTGCGAGAAAGGCCCTGTTGCGATGCTGAACCCTGGTTAGCAGTGCCCAAATGGCTCTGGTGGTGGTGATGATGATTATGGTGTGCCCCAGCGGCGGTAGCAGCACCAGCAGAAGCAGGACCAGGGACATTACTATTACTCGAGCCAGTAGCACCCACCGTTCTCTTTCTGCGGCTGTCGGAAGCGACCGGGGTCTCGTAGTGTGAGCTGGGACCGTTGTTAGCAACGTTTCCGTCGGTAGTGATTTCACCACTGTTGGCGCCTCCGTGACCTGTGGAACCGGTTTCGGGATGGGAGATCGTGCCCTGTGGTCCAGTTCTTCGAGCTGCCATGGCCTCGCGCCGAGACTCGCTCTTGAGCGCTTGTGACGACTTGCTATTGGTTTTGGAATCGATTTTGGCCATGAGTTCGTAATGCAAATGCATTGCCGGATGGTCGTCGTTGCCCAATCTGATCTTAGGTGGGATTTCTGTGTTTTTGATGGCCACTTCGTACGCCAGTTCTAGACGTGCTGTGAGCCTGCTGAGCGACTCATACGCCAGTGCTGAAACGTGCATTTTCTCTTCCAGCGATGGCATCAGCTCCTGAAAAAGTCCGTTCATGTTTTGTAGGGACTCAGCACCCGATTCTTCGTGCAAAAACTGGTGTATCGTGCCATTCAACTCTGGAACTGTATGGATACACTTGGCATCGATTTCTCGAAGCAGTGTCATATAACGGGAGACCTCCAAAGGCATTTCTTCGAGAACATCGCTGACCTCGTTCAGCCCGGGAAACAAATTAGCAGGCGCTGCCATGATCAGAGCACTTGACTGGAGTGAGAAAAAGAGCGACGATTGGTGTTAAAGCACTCCCTTGAAGGTGTTGATGATTTGATTTCGATATACTTTTATATCTTGAGAACCAGAGTCTTGTCTATTAGGGAAATCTACTAGACCCAAACCATATGAGTCACGTGTAAGATTTTATATTACGAAACCGCCTTTTACGTTTCTGGATTATGTAATGATTTTCTTCTTTTCCTTCTTTTATGTGTCAGCTGATGTTTTAAAACATGTATATATCTTGTTGTTCTCTCCACTGTTCATCAAACGGTTGTTTGGCCGAGCGGTCTAAGGCGCCTGATTCAAGAAGTTCGCTTCTTAACACTGTTAAACAGTGGAATTCTCAGGTATCGTAAGATGCAAGAGTTCGAATCTCTTAGCAACCATTATTTTTTTTGAAATTCTGAAATATCGGTAAAGCAAGCATTACATACGGTGCCTTAGCAACTTAAGCTAATTTTGTTGCTCAGGTATGTAAAGAATATCCAAGAAACTCTCCCTTTACCACTTCTACCCTCAAGATCCCAAACCTTACGGTACTGAAGTGCACACGTCTGTACCTCAAACTCCTTCTTGTTGATAAACCCCAATTTTTGCGCATCATGAGTGTGTATTTGAGCGTTCTGTTCGGAGTGCTTACCTTCGAAATGGCATGTCTGTTCGCCTTGGTTCTACCGCTGCATTATAAACTTCGCAAGGCATTGGTCACCAGCTATTTCCGGTTTATGAGCTACACGCAAGTGAAGACAGTGATCTTCATCGTGATGGGGCTTGTAGGCTTGCTTTTCGTGGATTCGTGGAAACGGTCTCAGATATCGGTTTTTCTCCACCATCACCCAGCCTCATCTGGAGCAGACCCTAACGGCGTGGGGAACGTTACACCGGTCCAAGCGCTGGCTTCCAGAGCTTACAACCAAAGAAACATCTACATTTCAGGGTTCATACTATATTTTTGGTTCTGCATTCCTGTGGTGATCAGCGTCGTGAGAAGACTGGTCAAGTACGAAACTCTGATCCGGGAAAAACCCAATACAGACGCCAAAGAGTCGTCTGACAACGACGAGATTTCAGCGCTTCGCAAAGAACTCAAGGAGAAAAATGCGTCTATCAGTGCTCTGCGTACCCAAAAGGCAAATTTAGAAGCGCACTACGACAAGACCGTGGTTCCCAAGTCAGACAAGGAGTCTCCTGAGGAGAAAAAGAGCAACTGAATAGAATTCGAAAGTAAAAAACGAAACGGAAATTGATGGCGAAATTAGCATTTGCTTCAAAGTTCCTCTAGTTTGTTTTGTTTCTACATAGTGCTTTATAGTGTGAATATCTAACAAAAATGAAAAAAGTAGCCTCTAGTGGACAAGCTGTTATGGTTGTTGTCTCCAAAATCAGTGCTCAATTCCAGATTTCCACGTCTCATTCAAATGCTCACCAAGAATGGTCCCCTGGATGTGTGCAACGTCTTCAGAATCGCTTGCACTGAGATCATGGCCCACCCGGTCGATCACATCCCAATAACTTTGTAGAGCTATTTCAAGCTCGCTGACGCTGCTCACTCCTAGAACTGTCGGTCCCCGGTCAACCCATCTACTGAGAGCGTATTTCGTTGCCAAAGTTGCCAAATCTTTACCCTGAGCTGCTGCATATTGAGCTGCTTTTTCAGCACGTTCACGCAGCTCTGTAGAACAAGGATGAAATTGCAGCGTTTTTTGAGCACGCAGAAGAGACATGCTCAAGATGGACCCATTTTCAACTACTTTGACCCGCGCTTCATTCTTAAAATGCTCAAATTCATCTTCCAAAATCGTGTTTTGCAAGTTCAAGTTAGCATATGAAAGTACAGCATCGAGAGGCCCAATCTCGGCGATTTTAAGACTTTGTAGGGCTATGGAAAGCAGAAATTTCACAGGGTATCCGCTGATACCAAAATTGTGGATGATGCCACCGTTTTTGAGCGCACGAAGCTCTTTCAAGGCTTCTAGAATTTGCTTGGAGTCCACGAATTCAACGTCGTGCAGGAATATCACGTCGATATAGTCAGTTTTCAATCGTTCGCAAGACCTAAGCACACTTTTTCTCACGCTGGATCTCGAGTAATCAAATTCGTCAAGTCTTATGCGGCCCACTTTGGAACATATAAAATAGGTGTCTCTAGGGTATTCTGCTCTCAAATGTTCCAATGCTCTACCATACAAACTCTCACTTTCTCCGTAATATGGCGACGTATCTATAGCTCTTATTCCACGCTCAAAGGCATACCGTATCATTTCTGTCAGGGGGATGGACTCTGGATCATCATTATATTGAGTGTTGAGAGTCGCTCCGCCGAGAATCAAGCTTGGAAGTCCCTCTATTGGCGTGCCCTTCACGATTTTGTTTACAGGGCCAATTGATCGATTAACTACCATTGATCCCACCTTTCAAGTTAGAAGCTTGTAACTACTACTTCAATTATCATGTCATCAGCTAGCTGTATTCGAGATTCGGTTTTCTAATTTAGGTGAATATGAACCTTAAAGAAAAACCGGTTTTTCGAGATCTCGACTTTAGACTCGAACCACCACTTTTCATACCACCAAGTTACTTGGTATCAACTCAAACAAGCAATGTCATACTACAATAGATACAGAGGTCAGCGAAACTTCGCACCTCAAGCAGAACCTGGTGGAAACATGGAAGAACCTGATGCGATATTTGAATTGGGCAAGAACAAAAGAGTAACGGTTCGTCAGTTTAGGAACATCAATCTGATCGATATTCGTGAGTACTATGCGGATGGAGCGTCGGGAGAAATGAAACCGGGCAAGAAGGGAATCTCATTGACGGAAGAAGTGTACGACGAACTGCTGAAGCATCGACAGAATATTGACGATGCGTTGCGGAGATTCGGTTCCAAACGGCCTAGAACGAAAACCGTCAACGTACTTTCAGACAGTGAAGAAACCAATGTGGACGTAGAGACACCTGGGAAAGCCTCCTCGAACCGGGAAAAATCCAGCCAAAAATCCGAAAACAATGGAGAAAGACCAAAGGCAAGAAAAGAACGCAAGCGGAAAGAACCTGCACCACCACAGGCGCAACCGGACGAAAAAAGACGCAGAAACGATGAACTGGAGTTCAATGCGCAGCTGGTGGTCCCCTCCAATGCCAAGCCTGCTTCTAGTCCGGTTGAGGAAACAGCCAAGAGCGCCAAAACTCCAAAGACCAAAGCTACCAACAACCCGAGACTTGACGATATGCCAGTCGCAGCACATACAACACAGACATCACAGACAAACAACCCAAGACTAGACGATCATTTGCATAAACTCACGCCTCCTGTTCAAGCCGCGAAAAACGAGTCTGATCTAGACTCGAGCGACGAAGATTTTGCACAGGCCTTGGAATCGGAATTCAACAAGGATGACGATGATGACGAAGAAGATGATGACGACGACGGCGAGCGTACCGCGCTCAATGACCACACGGATGGAAACATCAGCGAAGAATCGTGAAAAGCCAGGATTTTGTTTTCTACGCATTTTTTTCGTCATTACAAAATTCGAAAGCCCCCTTTCAACCCCCACCAGGAGTGCCACTCTATATACTGCATTTACACAGATACCATAACGCAGAGTTCTGCGATTGAGATCGACCGAGTCGTTCTTTTTACAGATGGACGGGATGTTTTTGTTCTGTGCACAACAAACGGACCACGAATTAGGCAGTTCAAGGCGTGTTACAATAAAAAAACAACCCGTCGTGTTTACTCAACACGAAATACCTTACAGAGATGGCCGACTTATCGCGGTTCAAGAAGCATAAAGAGCCACGCTAAAGGCACTTAAAGAACAAGAATCTGACTGTCTAGCTACCAGGCCATGTTGGAAAGAGTCTCCATTGCCGTACAAGCCATGAAAACAGTGCGAACAGTGCGAACTGCTCAAAAATTCACTTCAAATCTCTCAGTAGCCATACTGCAACTTCATTTTTCAATAAGTAGTTCTTGTTAATATACTTCAAGATATTTGACGTTTTTGGCAAAGAAACCATGAACGCGCCAAACCAAACAGAACAGAATGAAACCAGCTGAGCATTCATCACTTGCACGCAAAACAAGACACTAGTAACATCTTCTAGCTTTCTAAAACTGTATTCTTGTCTTTTCATCTGTCTAAAATCTGGTGATGTCACTACTCACGAATTGGGTTTAAATTACCATATTTTAGAAGCAAAGACGGCATTTTACAAACTTCAACCGCTTTCCACAGTCAAAACCACCCATTTACACTTTAAAAGACATCGTTTGAACGCTGGACACGGTATCCAAAGTTCTCGAGTTGCTGTAACTTTACTTTGTGTAAAGCAAAAGCCCCAAGGCTATGTCAGAGTCAAAGGAACTCGAAAGCGCGCCCTTGTTGGGCACCAACAGAGGTGGATCAAAGTCTAACAAGACCAAAAAGAACTCCAAAAGACGGAAACGGAAGTCTGCTTTCAAAGGTCCCGGAAATGGTGCAAGCCATGATAGGTCCCATGCTGGTCTTCAGGACCATGATGACCATCGTCTGTCGTCAGCAAACGATTTCGATAAGACAGATTCATGGGGCATTCTGCACGAGGGCACCGATGAGGAAACGTCCAACACTAGAGGATCTTCAGACGTCAATCTAGCATCGATGCAGCATCCGAGGTCGTATTTCGATCACAGACCATCCATAGCTGTTATGGAGGCGATCAATTCGTCCGGCAGTGTCCGCAAACCCCGGAGAACGAGCTCTTCACGAGGAAATCCCGCCGGATCTGTCAATAGTTCTTCGCAAAATGTGTCAAACAAGAAACAAAACTCCAGAAACTCAAACGCGCCTTTACTATCCGCGCAAGAAGCAGAGCGCTGGGCAAAATACGTTGCCAAACACAATAAAAAGCCGGATGCCCAACTGAGAGGAGACGATGTAGTTATCGATGTCGATGCTTTGATGGACCACGTGATCCGTTCCAACAACAGCCAGTCTTCGAGCAAATCGTCTTCGGTAAACCCTTCAGAAGATGGCTACCACTCGAGACCGTCTTCGCGGCGCAGCTCGAATGACTCTTCGATCAACGATGTATGTTTACCGATCGACGACGAGGACACCGCAGGAACCAAGGTATGGCCTGACGTTGCGGTTCTGGAAGAATACTCGAAAGACGAAACAGAAAGGCTCAGGAGCCAAGCTGTACAGGACGCTGAAAATTTCCATTTCCAGTACGATGACGAAGATGAAGATTTCGACGATAACCATAATACTGATGGAGTATTGTTTTCTAAGCCAATTGTCACTAACATCGACGTACCAGAGCTTGGGAATACCAGAATTAATGAAGCAGAGCACTTGGAGTCAGGACGTTTGAGACCAAGAAAAATAACGCCTTGGCATTTGCGTCGCAAAGGCAACAATATACCTGGATTTAGCGGACAAACCGATGCCAAAAATGTCAGCCTTGTAACCAAAAATGAAGCACAACATCAAGAGGACGTTTTGGTCGGTAATCGGATACAATACCCACCCCATATTGTGTCCAACAACCCAGAGCATTTCAGGTTCACTTATTTCAGAGAGGACTTGGACTCGACGATCCATTCCCCAACTATTTCCGGATTGCTACAACCAGGACAAAAATTCGACGAGCTTTTTGTTGCCTCAGTCTATTCGTCTGCCAGCAACGGCAGTAACACTGAAAATGCTGCAAATGCTAATCCTGGGGTCACTCCTGGCGAGACGAAAAGTAGTACGCCACAACAGCAACAAACACTTTTGCAACGCTTATCTACAACGCAGTCGGGAAGTGTGGATATGTTCGATTGTGAGCCTTTCTGGCTGGACGTTTCGAATCCTACTGAGGAAGAGATGAAAGTCCTGAGTAAAGCATTCGGAATTCATCCGTTGACAACAGAAGACATTTTTCTTGGAGAGGTGCGTGAGAAGGTCGAGCTTTTCAAGGACTACTACTTGGTATGTTTCAGAAGTTTCGATATCGTCGCCGAGCGTCATACCCGTCACAAGAAAATGCATCAGCACGATTCCACGGCATATAATTCTCCGGACCCTGATCACGCAGAGAGCTCTAAAGGATGGCTGCCCAAGTTTTTCAAGTCTCGGAGACGTTCTTCAACCAATAAAACAGCCTCGAGCACAAATTCCAGTTATAGAAGTAAAGCAAGGAAGCAAATGGAAGAAAACGAAAAGTACAAGCGCAAATCGGGAGACAGGAGAAAACCACGCGGTGGTGAGCTAGAGCCATTGAATGTTTACATCATTGTATTCCGCACCGGGGTTTTGACGTTCCACTTTGCCCCAACCCCGCACCCAATAAACGTGAGAAGAAGAGCAAGACTTTTGAAGGACTACCTGAATGTCACTGCAGACTGGATCGCATATGCTCTCATTGACGATATTACTGACGCCTTCGCACCGATGATCGAGATTATCGAAGACGAGGTGCACGACATTGAGGAATCGATTCTCAAGATGCATCAGTCCGACGATTCGTCCTCTGACGACGATGACTCACAGGATGAGAACGAAGCTTACGACCGCAACTACGCCAGTATTGAGCGCTACCCGAGAAGAGGGAGTGCTGTAGGAGACGGCACCAGTCTCTCTACAAGAACGAGATCTACTCGGTCGTCGAGCTCCACTTCCAGCATCGACACAAATATCATCGGTTGGAAACGTAAAGGGGACATGTTGAGACGCATTGGTGAGTGCAGAAAACGGGTCATGAGTATAGTGCGTTTATTGGGCTCCAAGGCTGACGTTATCAAAGGTTTCTCGAAGCGGTGCAACGAGCAATGGGAAGTGGCGCCCCGTTCTGAGATCGGCATGTATCTTGGCGATATTCAGGACCACATCGTGACCATGGTTTCGTCTCTGAACCACTACGAGAAGCTATTGAGCCGTTCTCACTCAAATTATCTGGCTCAAATTAATATCGACATGACAAAAGTCAACAATGACATGAACGACGTGTTAGGCAAGATCACCATTCTTGGTACCGTCGTGCTGCCCATGAACATCATCACCGGTCTATGGGGTATGAATGTTCTCGTTCCTGGCCAGGACAACCATTCACTCACTTGGTTCACCTGTATTACCACGACCATGCTGATATTTGCATACACAGCGTACGTTTATACAAAGAAGCGTTTTGGATTCTAATTGGAAACCAGACATTAACCCTATACACCTTCAATCTCTACAATCGTCTAAATAATCTTTGATGGTTCACGATGACTTTCTCGTTCAACAACTGTCTTGGCTCGCTGTCGTCTAGTCACGTTAATGATTTGTAAGGCATTGTTCATAGCTCATCGCATTCCCACCTTTGATTATAAAAACCAAGCTGTAAGCACACAGTTAAAGCTCTAGTAGAACTCTCTTGAAGCTGCTCTTCATTGTTTGTTCGAATCTGTTAGGTCGCAAACACTTTTTAAGTTTTACCTTCTCGAGACGATGACGGTTTCTGCACCTGATGAAAGGTTCGAGGCCACTTATGCTGTTGAAATGCATTGCGAAAGTTGCGTGAAAGACATCACATCGTGTCTTTCGTCGATTCCCGGTATTTCGCTGGGATTCCATGTTCCTGAAAAGCTGTTGGAAGTCACCGGCACGGTAGCTCCATCCGTCATAATATCGAAACTCCAAGACTGTGGCAGAGATGCGATTATAAGAGGCACAGGGAAACCAGATAGCGCTGCGGTTTCCATCTTGGAGACTTTCGAGCCCATAGCGTCCAACGACACGCCTGTGAGAGGGTTGGCCCGTATAGTCAACGTTGGGCCATCGAAGACGTGGTTTGACATTACCTTGAACGGCGTCGAAAAGCCAGGGAAATACTATGCATCCATCAGAAACAACGGAGACATTTCACAAGGTGCCAAGTCCACGGGTGGAAGCTTTTATGAGTTTTCGGTTCCTATCGAGTGCAATTCGAAAAGTGACTTTGGAGAGAACTTATACAGCGGACAAGCATTTTTAAGCTCTTCGTTGCAGATATGGGAACTCGTAGGACGTAGCTTCATGGTGAGTGCGGATCCAAAAAATAGGCCGGGTGCAGGTTCCGAATTCTGTGGTGTTATTGCACGCAGTGCGGGTGTGTGGCAGAACGACAAACAAGTGTGTGCTTGTAGTGGAAAGACCATTTGGGAGGAACGGAAAGAAGCCTTGCGGCAGAATATCACCAAGTAGAGGGAGGGACGGGAGGGAGAGTAGAGGATAGAGGAGAGAATGGGGGGTTTTGAGTTAACGAAAATTTGGGTAGGAAGCTCTTCATTTTTTGAGGAGAAAAACTGTTGCTTTTAACCTGTACATGACATCAACATACATACTGTATTTATCAGAAATAATGCTCTGAGCAAGGAAAGAAGTCCATGAACGGGTCAATTGCTAGACCGTGGAGTGTATCTTGGCGGGGGTCAAAAACCTAGGTAAAATGGGAGGAGAAGCTGTTTTTTTGTTATTTGGTTCTTTTCTTTTTTCTCGGTGGGATCCCGCAGTAGTGTCTCGCGCCATTAGGCCTCTGCTACAGCACCAGCGCCTTTAGCGCCGACCTTCTTGCCGGCTTTTTGGTTCTCAACCTGCTTGGAGGTATCCGTCTTCTTGTACGGCGCCTTGTCGTTAATCTTTTTGGCCTGCTCATCCACGATTTCTTCGTCCGCCAGGCTTGCTTGCTGCTTGTCGGCTTTCACGTCGTTGCCCACGCCCTGTTTGGTATCTTTGGCGCTAGGCGTTTTCGACTTTTGGTATTCTTGTTCGTGTTCTTCTAGGTTTTTCACTTCTTGTTGCATGGCCACCTCGTTGTTGAACTGTTCTTTCGGCACTTTGGGAGCGCCCTGGGGCTTACTGGCTTGCATTTCGGAGCTTTTGGAAACGGCTTGCTGGTCAGCACCCTGAGCTGGTGCTTGTCCCGCTTGCAAAGCCATTTTTTGAGCTGCATCTAACAGTCCACCTGTTTCGCTTGATTTCCCACCAAAATCCAGCTCGTTTGACCCGTCTTCGAGCTCAAATTCAGGCTGTGGTCTTTTGCTGTCCAGCACTAGCGTATGAACTGCGAAAAACACCGCTCCCAGCAGAAGAGCATAAATTATAGCCTTTTTCATAGGTGTGGTCAAATACGAGCCCTTTCCCTTCCCACCATTGTTCTGTCCACGGTAACGAGGCAGCAAATCGGCCTTACGCCGAACTCCTCCTTGCATTTTTGTTATGGGTTGTTGTTAAGAATAATGATCTACCCAGAAGATAAACCAGATGTCCACCGTTCCACTCGAAGTACGAGGAAGTTCTTCAAAATATGGTTAAGTTGTGTGTTTATAATTTGATATTTGATGTCTTTGATGTTGATGTCTGTAATTAAAATAGCGACAGATTTTCCAGTAGGGGTCCATACTGGTCACATGACTGGTGATGTCAGTTTAGTATTGAATTTGATATAGGTGGTAATTGGTTTTTGGAATGGTGAACTTGACGAAAAAAGCTTGGGAACGAATAGATTGGAAAGGTTCAGGTGTCTGGGAATTGCTGTAGTGAAAATGTGGGACTCTTTTTATTGTTGGATCCACCTCTGAAATCTGGTGTCTGGTTGGTGACAAAGTGATATGGGGCACGTGACACGTGTCAGCGTCAGAATTTAGCTTTGAGCACCCAAACTATGAGCTTGCTAGCGCTCATGATTCAGCGGTCAACGAATTGTATTAGAGAGTATTATAATATTACTCGAATTGCTATTGTTGTGAAAAGTATTCACTCACACCGATGATGAACCCATTTTCAGATTTGCAAAAAAGGGCATACTTTACCCAACCTAGAAAACTATGTTCTGTTACACTCAAAACATAACGAAGAGATAAACTCACCAGCTACATAGTTCAATAATAGTCACTCAATTTCAATGTAACATATAATCTCTGAAATGAAATATTTGTCGTACTACGGCATTTCAGAGACTCATTAGAGTCCCACAACGAATATAAACGTTTCAGAGATAAAATTGTGTGATGTTGAAAAATGCGGGAATGGTTCTTGAATAGTCGATTGTCCTCATGGTGTCTTTTGATAGGCGATGTCAGTGATCAGTGTTGTAAAACTACAGTGGTAGTCGTTGACTCTGGTCACGTGACCCACTGCTTAAATGTTTAGATAAACTGCACTTGAGATCATTTGAGAAGAAAAGAAGTGAAAAAGGACTCTTAAGGTGACAATAAATGTTAGGCTACTCGTGAATTTCGCGCACTTGCAGTTGAAATGTAACATGAAAAGAAACTACGAGACTTAGTCACGTGATTTTGGACCCACAAGTGTAATTACAACATTGATCGGTGCGATTTCAAAGCTTCTAGACCTTTTGGCTACTTTAACAGCTACCGCTAAAGTACATTTACTGCTTCCCCACTCTCGATGGCCCCGTTTCGAAAAGCCTTCGAAATGTGAAACTCTTATTCCCATTGAGTCACGTGATCCACCACAAGAATAACTAACACCCCCGACCTAATGATCTTGAAATTTGCACCGAGCATTCCATAATTCCATCAAAAGCCCTAACTGCATTTCCGGCTTTCCCTAACTCATGGAAATGGTGCAAGCTAATGGAATCGAGGAAAAGCAGTAACACCACGTGACCCTTGTACTACCCAGCAACACGTTTTCTCAGCCATCAACCCATCTCCTTCAGCTTTACGAATTTAAAGCGTTCTTCATGAGCCTTTCATAAGCTTTTGAACGTCACTTGAGCGTGGCTTTCATTTGAATTAACCCTTATATCAATTAACTGAACAACTTCTTTTCTAACGGTTCGAACACATGATATCCTTCGAGGGCTGCGGTACTCTTAAGATTCTGGTTTCGGCACAACAATAGCCCAACTCAACTCTTTGCAAACTGAGTGAGCTGCTAAACCCACAGGGCTGACGAGAGATGACAGGTAAAAATCCGTACATAGTGATTATCTTTCTCAAGCAAAAATTCTGCGACACTAAAAGTATTTTCATGGTTTTTACTTTCGAACATAATGTTGCGTGATATCGTTATTGTACCATGTGTATCCAAACAGCTTAATAGAGTGCCCGTGTATGTGCCAACCCGAACCTGATCCTGCCATGGATTTTTTAGACTTCATGTCACGTGCGGCAGACTAGAAAAATTAAGGCTTTATCAATATACAACCAAGGTGTTGTAGCTCACTGCGTAAAGAAGCATGTCAAAAGTAACGTGGTTGTTACCGAGATGACAGACTGCTCAAGTTGAATCCCTCAAAAAACACTGTCACCTGTAGCTCACAAATACTTGTTGTTAAGGAAACGGGAATTGCGTTACCATCGCTTTGTACGAGGATCCAAAAGCAGACTACTAACAATACGTACAATAGCCAAATCGTGCATTACTAACCTTTCAAGTTACCAACAACCTCCGAGTTCCCTCGACAAGTCGCGCAAAGATCCTCTGCTAGCTAAAAAAATGCTACGTTTCAATATCACGTGACCTCTCCGAACCCAGTGGTGTCAGCGTTAATTAAAGGTGATATATATACATGTCAACTAGACATTCTTCACCCATCAAGGCAATGAGCGATACGCAACCGTCTTTCAAGGCCGCGCTAATCACCACTTGTCTGTAGATGTCACTACGTCCTCGAAATCTTGCTGGCTACACAACTTTTCCTCCCGCTTGTAGCTTTGTAGCTATCGATGTTTACGAACGTTTGCATTGCATTGCACTGCACCATAATGCCAAGTCCCGGCTTGCAAATCTCTGCAGAATCCTCTTCTCCAAACCCACAAAAAATCCCAAACTCGCCGAAAAGTCCGAGAGTTTTCCTCAATGCGCACTTTCAACCCGACCCGACCCTACTACAAGACTCAACGGCTGTCTTCCAAATCCCGAACAAGTCGTAAATTGAAAATCCTTCGGAATTTTCAAAACAAAACGCACACCGAACGTTTCCACGCGATTTGGTTCGGCCGTTACCAGTCCAGTTCCACACTTTCTCGACCGCCAGCCAGCCAAAAAGCCAAAAAGCCAACCAGCCAACCAGCCAGCCAAAAAGCAAGGAAGCCAGCCACCCTATTAAACCTCCGATCGCCGTTTGTTGTACCCAAATCAACCAGCGTCACATGCGGAGGGTGTCTCGGCAACCAACCTAACAGCCGTGGCTCCACTAAACATCAACAACAATAGAAAGCCAGGTTAGTCATAGAACCAAGATACTACAAGAAACTACAAGAAACTGCCAAAAACTACAAAAAAACTGCAAGAAACTGCAAACCAAAACCCAAGCACCGTAACGAATCATCTCGTAACTCAGTGGAACCGTTGTTGATCTCACTTTCAAGTCTCACCGGTGAGTGCTGTTTCTTGTTGTTGTTGTTGTTGTTCTCCGGTTGGTTTTGACAGATAATAAGTTTATCAATAAAACCTATTTATAAGGTTTTGAAGTTGTTGTTCAGACAACTACACCATCGGAAAGAAAAGATAGCCACAAACACGGCTTATTGTGGGTTGTATTGGTGTATGGAAAGCCCACAACACTAGCACCCGTCAAGAACTTTATTCGGGAGTCGAAAAACGGCTTTCTCAGACTTTGATTTGCTTCAAATTTGCACGTTTGTGCGTCCTTTATCAGCATTAAAACAAGAAAAACAGTTTTACCTCATTTCACAAACAAGAAGCTGCTCTAGTAAATCCAGCTGCTGTATATCCATGACCCAGCAGGACTTGCAAGGCAGGCTGGAGGCCTACTCAAACAACCCGCTGGATATTCACGGCGGAAATGGTCCCAATCAACGCAATATAGTAGAAAGCAGCAGCAGCAGTCACAGCTCGAGAAACGCAGGCTCCAACACCGCTAGTGCAATGGATAGCACAATCTTGGGGTCCTCGGGCAACACTCCAGATTCGGCATCGAACTCGTTCCGCAAAAGAGCCACATCCCACAAACAAGGAAGTCCCACCGCCGTGACAGACTTGCTAGCCATGCTGGACGACCAGCATGCACTCCACAACACGCTGCATCTCACAGACGCTTTGGAGTCCCAGCTGCCGACGGATACGCAACTCGCCACCCACTCTTCCAGTTCAAAATCCAATTCCATTTCGCATCCGAACCCGTATTCAAATTCAAACTCGGTGTCCAATTCCTCGGGTCTTTCACCGCATCGTATTTTGCAGGATTCCACACTGTTTGGCCCGGACGATGACCCGCTAGCTATCCTGTCTCGCTCGTTGGAACAGAACCCCGCATCAACTTTCAAAGGCCTCGATAGCCCCAACTCTCGCCACCCAACGATTTCATCGCCCACCTCCCTTCATGCTAATCAGCAATCCTGTATCAATCCAAACCTACTCAGTAATGTGAACTCTCAATTTGTTGACTCCGGATACCCGATCGATCGCACCTCACCGCCCGATCACCAGGTCGATGATGATTCTAACTCGCTTTTCGACGATTTCAATTTTAATAGAAGAATGAGTGAGCTTGCTTCCTCACGCAATCCTGCAAGACCAGAACTATACAATCGAAACTCTATTTCCTACAGTACGGATGCTTGGAATTTACCGAGCTCGACATCGACCAAGGGTCCTTCCAGTAAGCCGCAAAGGGCTGTTTTGCCATCATCCTCCGGTACAGTTCGGCCTTTAAGCACAGACAAGCGTTCTGAATCGCTGCGACCCTTGAGTCTCTCAACTTCACCCTTCAGGATAGATAACGAACTCACAAAGTTTTTAGAGGACTACAATTTGAGTTACTCCGTTTCGAAACCAACCAAAACAAGGGCTGGATCCTTCAACAGCGCAAGTAATGCCAGAAGATCATCAGCGTCAGAGCCTCAACATAGAGTCCAAAAACAGCGTGCTTCCATGTCCCTGGTGGACGGCAGCAATCAAGATCTGATAGCAAAACTTTATGGCGATGTTAAGGCACCGAGACCCAGACTCACAAGTCTCTCATGGGAGAACGCTATCATGTCGGATGATGAAGACGACGAGAGTGGGAATCGAGAGACAGGGGCCATTAAAGAAGACGCCTCGAGCCGAATCCTAGAAGGAGATGGACAAACGAAATATAGTTCTACTGTGGGTGACATTGAAGCGATAGGGGAAGACGATGACCAAATGACACGACTCCAGTCTCCACATTTGGACTCCGCGACGGATTTCCTTTCTCACAGTTTAAAACCAACTTTGACTTCTAGTGATGCAAAGTTTGTACATCCAAATTTGCTAATGAACAGTCACCACGCCCCATATCTAGACGCTTCGGACATGAGTTCAAAATCTGCCACGTCGTCTGGTATTTCAAATCCATTGCACAATTCAATAACCAATTCCCCAACGCCCTCGTCGTATCGGTCCAGCAGCAACAGCGGCACATACAACTGCAACCAAGCTTCTGGCAAGCCCAGGAAACGGCAGTCCTTTTCCAAGATGACACGCACCAGTAAATCGACTTCACCATTTGATGAGGACGAAAAGCCGTTCAAGTGTGGGGATTGCACTAAGGCCTTCCGCAGAAGCGAGCATCTCAAAAGACATATACGTTCAGTTCATTCAACTGAACGTCCTTTCCACTGTCCCTACTGTGATAAGAAGTTCAGCAGAAGTGATAACTTGTCGCAGCATCTAAAGACTCACAAGAAACATGGCGATTTCTAGGTGAGCATGGGTATATCAACGGATAAAAGTTCAAAAACTTGTCTATCTCAATTCAAATAATATAAAGCATGTTGACCATGTTATAATCTGTAGATTGAACTTGAAGATAACTACATATTGTAGTGGTGAGTTCTTTGTCGTCTTCTCGAGTTTGGCTTAATAGTATAAAATTATGACAGACGGTTAAATATTGAACCTAGCGAGTTTGGTAAGACAGTTGAAGAGACAGAAAGACACAATTAGATGGATGAAGAAGGCCAGCGTGCCGCCGCCTCTACTCATTCGCACTTATTTCCAACTTTGATTAGTCGTGAGAGTACCGAGGACCGAGATGTACACGATCGAGCGACAGATACCGAAGTCTCCAGCTTCAAATCCTACCATCATATCATAGAACTACATCAAAATACCATAGAGAGAGCCTTGAGACCATTAATAACGTTTACTGAGATCTCTGGAACCAGGAAGACATTTGGCAGATTCAATTTAGTGGGAAGAATAGGAAGAGGCCAGTATGGAGACGTTTACAAGGCGAAATCCTCTAGTGGGGAAGACGTAGCAGTCAAATGCATCTCTAAAAAGCCAAAAAAAACCCAGCAGTTCTCCATGAATCAAGTTCTGAGACACATACGACGTCAGGAATCGCTAGGTAGAAAAATCGATAATAGTGATGAGGCTATCTTGGAGATGAACATTCATAGAATACGATGGGAATTGTTCGTAGCGAGCCGTTTGAAAGATAAGAACATATTGAATGTTTTGGAAATCATAGACTCACCTTCAAGTCCGCAGATTTGGATTGTGCTGCCTTGGGCCACACTCGGAGAGCTAAGATGGAAACGGCATAATAAACAAGATTCTATAGATCAGTGGGACAACTTATTGAAACGCAAGACTAATCCGAAAGAGGTGGCCGAATACGTTCTTCGCAATCTATGCGGAGGTTTGCTGTATCTATTGGAACAGGGATGTGTTCACAGAGACATCAAACCATCAAATATTTTGGTGGACGGCCAGAATGCCAACGTAATGCTCTCGGATTTTGGCAATTCGTTGGTAACCCCAGATAAACTCCCCTTTAATGACAAACGAACAAGAATCGCGTACCAAGAAGAGCTTCGCAAAATTGCAGGGACGCCCGCTTTCATTGCTCCCGAGCTGTGCAATTTCACTGCAAAAGACACACTAATAGATGGGCCCCAGCTAGACATTTGGTCCTTAGGCGTCACCATTTTCTGTCTGCTGGAGAATCGACTTCCATTCAGTGGAGAAAACGAATTCGACACATATCATAAGATCGTCAATGAAAGGCTACCACAATCTAATGATGTTTTACACGATCTGATCAACTCTCAATTGCTGGAGAAAAATCCATCTAGAAGGATTACGATCCAGGAGCTCAGTAAGTTCTTCAACGCTCCTAGAAAGGATGAAAGACTGAAGCGCTTTGTATCCAAATTCAAGAAGCTGAGTATAAAAAGGAAGAAAAAGAGCAAGCCTGTTGGGAGCCAAGATAGCGATAATTGGGTCCCAATTGCGGGTGATGATGTTCAGGAAATCGATTCTGATTTATCCTCAGCTGGAGAATCCTTCGATGAGCCCATGCTGGTCGCAGACTTTGTAGGCAGCGCGAAAACTACCACGAAGACATCAGTATCAGAGGTTGAGGAAAATGGAGCATCCGACTCACCCAAGAGTGCAGCTGTGGGAAACAATCGTGAAAGCAGTGGACTTTCGGTACGTACACGTACTTCCGAAGTCCAGTTGAGCGACAAAAGCATTTCGCCTATCAAAATAGACACGCCGCTCAAGAATTTTATCCGAACGCACAATACGCCAGAGAAGATTCTTGAAGATAGCCACACCAGGGGTCATCAGCGGAACGACAGCTCTCCGTCGCATGGAAATGGGCATATCATGGCCTCGAAGGGGACGTTAAATTTCACGAAATATCTGCAATCCCAATCACCTTCAAAGACAGGCCATTCTAGAGACCGCGACAGCGATTACAATTCCTTCGAAGATATTCGCAAGTATCTGAGCTATGCCGAAAGTTGAACGAATTGAATTTCATTTGGTGACATACGTTTGGGTATAGGTTGGGTGCGAAAAAAGCGTAGAAGATGGACTTAGGAATAATCAATTGAGAGAGTCGGCTACCAATTGATTTTTTCGTTAACCATGTTATGCGGCTCCTCTTATGGATGCCTTCACTGCCATCTCGTAATGCGCCGGTTTCCAAAACGCTATGCAGATGATGCTCGAGCGTATTCGACTTTTTTTTTACGTTTCTTCGGCCCAAAATCGCTCGAACCCTGCAAATGCACCTTCCGAATCATCAGTGCGTCTCAGCGTTGAATCGTGCGAGGGTCTCCTCGCCTCCAATTCCTGAAATTACTCCAAAGAAGCATTCAAAGAGTACATTCAAGAGCGCTCGCTTTACAGCGTTCATTACTGATAAAAACAAAGACACTGCTTCGAAAACACTTCAAATTGAAACCAAACAAAGTCATAGCGAGGAATCCAAGCCCATTCATATCATTGAGCGTTCAAGCAGTCCATCTCGCCAAAAATTTCGATGTGTAATGCCTCGAGATTGCAAATTTATGGTAAAATTATACGCTCGAGCCGAATTTTTGAACAAACTGCGATTCCAGAGAAAGACGGCAAATCAACCATTCCTGTCCAGATAGATACGCTTAATACCACGCATTTTAAACGCCATTCTCGACCCAGATCTCTTGTCACAATTGAACGTTCACCGTTTGTAGTGCTTAGCTAGCTAAAATGGTCAAAGGTATACAAAGATAGCCTTGACACATACAAGCTGAGGTTCTGACTTCGTAACAACTCAAGGTAGAAGATCGTGGGAGTCATGAGTAATTCTGGAAGCTTGGGCTTATCCAAAAAGGCCAAGACCACCGGCCTGGTCCTTGGATTACGCGAAAGTGGGAGCTTCTTGAAGAACATCAAGTTACTGAAGGGCAAGAGCCGAAAGAACTCCCAGGATGCCGGTAAAAACAGGAACGAAGCTTGCGAAATGAGTGGGAATCATGAAATCAACCCACCTTCGAATCTTGGAGCTGAGTGTGAAACTCAATTGCTTCGTGTGAGCTCTACAGAAGAGTCCTCGCTTTCGGCAGACGATATCTTCGGAGAAAGAGACTGCATTTCACCAGTGGTAAGAAATGCCCCAGAGTCACAAACTGGATCACCATTTCAAACTACATTCGGGTGTGACGCTACTCGCAAACCGTTTCTCAAACTTGGGCAACACAATTCTTTGGCAGCGACAGCTTCCTCTGCAACACTAAGAAAAGATGATAACGGGCCACTAGTTCGTGGGAAACTGACCAGACATCAACAACATGGAGTTAAAAAAGATCCAGTGATGTCGAGTCAGAACTCAAGAGGCAAATTAAGAAGAATCCATTCGATGTTTGCATCCCAAAAAGAAGTATCACAGTCGTACGATGATCCAGAACCCAGGACTTTGGACCCTTCGGAGGACAATGACTCGCCCAGACTACCCACATTTGACTCCCAGCTGGAAAATAGCGGGATTTCTCATTATTACGATGATAAATCTGACGACCATTTTCCTCGCATTGACGTAGATACCTTGGTTGGTATCATGGATGGACGTTTCAATACACACTACGATACCGTTCATATTGTTGATTGCAGGTTTGAATACGAATACCAGGGTGGTCATATAGGACAAGCCATCAACATCAATACCCGAGACGCTTTGGAATCGCATTTTTTTAGAGACACAAACCAAATTGCAAATCATGAACAGCCCCCACTCATGGTTTTCCACTGTGAGTTTAGTTCATATCGTGGCCCAATAATGGCATCCCATCTTAGAAACTGTGATCGCATGCTAAACCACGAAAACTACCCAAAGCTGCATTATCCAGATATTCTCATCGTTAGAGGAGGATACAAGTCCTTTTTTGACCGATACAGCACTCGATGCTACCCACGTTGTTACATAGGCATGGATTCGCTGGAGCATGTCGCATTGTGCGAAAGCGAAATGGAGAAGTTCCGCAAGGACCGCAAAAAGATTGTCACTCGCGCAAATTCCACTGATTCGTTGAGTAAAGTCAAGTCGTCTTCGCAGCCAATGTTGACCAGGCGAAATGCTAGCACAAGGTTAAGCTGTCAGTCTACAATTTCTGGCTTGGGAGGTAGAACAGATCATAATTTTCCCTCCTACTACACTACCAGAAGCAGCCTGTCCTTCAAACACGAAGCACCACCAAAACTATCTTTTTCAAATTATTGCAGCAGCTCTGAGAGTCGAAGCCCAAGCAGTGTCTGTAGCAGTAACGGGAGTACTGGATTGCTCTCCCTGGATGAACTACAAGATGATGCTGGAAGCACAGATCTGGACAACATTAGTTTTGAAGAGTCTGGTGTCCATCCCCAGCAACAACGAGCTGACCCCGCATTTCCTGTGACGAACGCGAAAAGATCTCTATTTGGCTCGATTTTAAAGGAAGAAGAAGGAGAAGCGGCCTCTATTCACAGCCCATCATTGCATTATTCAAGAAACTAGCATTATCATTTTTATAGCTCGCTATAACGAAATACCATTCATAGTACTCTGCTCCTGACATTTTGGCCCGGACTTGTCAGATTTTTGTTTTTACTAACGAGAGCATCTATGTCAATTGCGATACTATAATCTATATTTCAAGTCCCCTTATACCTATGTCTCCCCTGCCAACGCTTTGGTTTAAGTTCGAATTCCATCGCGAAGGTGGCCATACGACTGCCACGGCCTTCCCAAGCACCAACCCTGTCGATATGGGGCCGAAGTCATTTGAATCTGTTGTATGAAAGGCATTGTCGCCTTCGGCCCAGATGTGGCTTTTCGGAATAGTAACGAGTGCTCTAGGATAAGGATGGCGCGTCTGTATAGTATCGTACTGTACACCTTTTACCCGTTTGCAGTAAACCCTTTCTGGATTTGAGGGCGACTTGAATAGGACTACATCATTGTGTCGTATTTTCGCGGGATTCTTGATACCCCATTTCCATAAAAGCACCCAATCGGTATGTCCATTATCACTGGGATTTAAAGTTGGCCTCATTGATATGCCCTCTATTTTCGCTACATAGCATACGTTTTCGTTGAAGGTCAATACTACGGGGATCCAAGAAACTGCTATTAGCGTCGTCCTGAAGTTCAGTCCAAAGCGGCCAAGTTTTTCCATTGTCTAGAGAGTATTAAAAAGGTATCATGGACGATCAACCATCCATTGAGGGTCAGTTCAGTTACCAAAGTTTAGAGCTGTCTGAATATAGACTAATAAGTTTTCGATTTGATAATAAACTCGTAAAAAGTGCTATCACCACTTTGATCGTCTTCGACGAGTTGGCCTCTGACAGCCTCTAAAGACGTGGCTAACGACTTACAACAGTGACAGTCTCGAGAGGCCATTGCAGCTAAACACGGACCCTATGAAAAAAGTTTGACCACGGTTCAGCAGCTTGAAACGAAATAATCATTGCTGAAATCCACTTAATACTTGATGTAAGCACACCGTGCATGTTAGCTTTTAGACCATATTTATGGGTGTCTGAGGCCGACCCGTTAATGGCGCCATCAGATATCACCTTCTTATTATGCTTGTGATACAACTATCAATTACAATTGGTCGGGAGAGCTGTTCGCTTTTGGTTTCTGGGGACCCCCGCATTCAAAAAGTCACATCCCACACGCCGGAAGGCCCTTTTCTGTCGTATCTTTCTCTTGTGATATAGAAGCTCTCGTTGGTGTGTCCGAAGCCCTGTTTAGCAACGATCTGTGCGCCTAAGAATGGAAGCTCGCTGTAACCGTGTTTTTTCCACTCTGGGAAATAATCTGGATATTTGGCCAACCTAATGAGGGTTGGTATTTGAACATAGTCCACGTTATTTGAGAACAGGGCCTTGGCTTTCTTCTTGTTCGTTGCTTGATTATAATGATCTTGTTCTCTGGTAGTCTTTTCAACAGTAGGCTCTTCAATTACGTGGTCTTTCAAAAGCTGTTGAAGAAGCGCCTCTTTAAAACCAGAGATTTCGGTGGTGCCACCAATTACAACAATATTTTCCCAAATCGCTCTCAACTTGTGAAAATCATCAATCTTCGCAAGCACACGTCCCACAACAGCGGAAATTTCCGAAATAAGCTCCTCGCAGCCCTTGAATCTCTGCTTTCCTACCACGACTTGCTGACCGTTGCGGTCGACAAAAGTATTAGTCTCTTGTTCGCTGTTCGATGCCTGCTGGTCTTCTTTACCCTTTTCGTTTTCTTCAAGCAGCTCTCTTGTGTCCCTGTCGCTAGTTACAAGCGCTGCCACATCGAGTGCACCGTCGTCCTCCTCGTTTTGAAAGTTTAGTTTGGACGTATTTTTCGCATCTTCACTCAACACCTCGTAAATGGGCGACCGTTTTAGATCCTCGATCTGCTCCGGACTCCACTGCGGCAGCAGCTTGGCCAGCTCTTGATTTATAGAATCACCACCATGCTTTACCTTGCCAGAAAGATGCGTCAACTGAATGTAGTCCATGATTGGCGTCACATCCGTCTTGTTTGCATGAACATCAATGACCACACAGTTTTGCAGCGACCCAAGGGCATACGAACAGGCCAGATTCGAAGACAAAAACATGAAATTGTTTATCTGTAACTGCTCGAACACCAATTGTGTAATTCTTTCGACTTGGAAATGTGTCCACGAAGGATGGCTCACCAAAAGCATTGGGATGTTGGAGAGCTCCATGTCAAACACCTCTGGGCTTGCACCAAAACGCGATCGTTGCGCCAGGTACGATTTGTACACCAATTCGAGGAAGAACAAAAAGCCATCCAAATCCGCTATTTGGCCGTCCAAAAGTGGTTTGACCTCTTGATTTCCCTCTTTTTCAGCCGTGTATTTGCCATCGCCGGTTTTGTAAACAGAAATCGGGATCTTATACTGCGGAGGATACAACGTTTCCTCTCTCATACCGAACTGGACCAAAGCATGTTGCGAGCTTGGATAGATTATCTACACTCTTGATGTTAGTAAAAACACAGACAATTGTCAGAAGCAGAGCACTTCGTTCTTGTGTGGTACTTACAAAGTAGCTATCTTGTCGAAAAGGTGCCATATTGGATGGCTTTTATAGGTTTTGAGTTGGTGAAGTTGTCAACTCTTGAAGTTGAAATAAGATTATTTTAAGACACTTTCAAGAATAAAGATAAACAGATCTCAACACCATCAATACATTCCTTCTGAAGAAGAGAGTTGACTAATGAATTCCAGCATTGTAAGCCATAATGGGGCAAGGACATTGAGCAACACCACCAGACTTCCACAGGACATTAACGAAAGAGCGCTTTCATTACTGCAGAAAAGTCGTCAGCAGAGACTTCTTTTGCATAGAAATGAAGACAGGAGACGATATGTAGCATCGGAAGAACCTTCAAGAATCGAAAGTCCTCTTCCAGCGGTCGCCAAAATACGGAGGCGGAAAAGTGCGACGAAAAGGTACCGTCCCAGTGATCAGGCGCTGCAGGAAATCCGAAAATATCAACGCAGTACAGATCTTCTAATATCCAAGATGCCGTTTGCTCGTCTCGTTAAGGAGGTTACGGATCAGTTTACTACCGAGGAGCAGCAGCTGAGATGGCAAACCATGGCCATTATGGCACTTCAAGAGGCGAGCGAGGCGTATTTAGTGGGACTTTTGGAACACACCAACTTGTTGGCCCTTCACGCGAAAAGAATCACTATAATGAGAAAAGACATGCAACTGGCACGCAGGATTCGTGGCCAGTACATCTGAAGAACCACTTGGCTCGAGAAGGAAGGCAGGTGTATTCCCAATGAGTATAATAACAAACTACACAATACTACGGAATTTTCTCAAATTCGCGATCGGTCTCCTCGAGCACTGCTCTATTAGCTTTAGTCTCGTGGCAGTAGCTGGATGTAATTATGTGGGATGATTCCATGGCGATATTGTGGGTCAACGTTTGCAGTGTCCAAAACTTCGCCAATAAACCAGTCATCGTCCAGCTTCTCCGTCAACAGTAGAAAATCGCCTGCGCGGAAGTTGACTATCATCTGCTCGTTGGCTTCCATGAAAGTATAAAGCGCTTTGGCATGTTGGATCACCTCCTCACCTTTACTGTCGTATCTCGGCAGCTCGACGTACTGGTCCCCATCCAGGACGCGCTTTGTTGTTGAAACAGCCCTACTCTGTTCTGTAGGTTGTCTTTGTTGATGGAACGGAATCAAAGGTTTGTTTTGTGGGGATCTTCGGCTGCTTATGCTTTCGTTGTCGTTTTCTTCCATGGATCCTTTTCTCATCGCGTCCAGGGCCTGCTTGAATGGATTTGAATCGGGCTCCGCTGTCACCATAGATTTACGCCTTTGAGCGGAGGAAGGGGCGATGGGTCCATGCGAGTTGGTATGAATCCTTGTCGTCTCCATACTACTGGATCTTGAGCTTCCGTTGAGACTCGTATTATGAGAGGAGTTGAATACTTGAGAGCGTGTTTTCGATTTTCTTCGGTTTTCGGAATTCCAGGATTTAGCAAATCTTCTGGAGTCATCTATGCTATGGGCGAGAGAAGATATCGAAGTGTTCATAGATTCAATGCTTGTTCTGCGTCTCGAGTGTGTTGTGAAGTCTGTTGGGTTCGATGAATCATTTGAGGACTCCGAAGTGGTATAAGCAGCGACCGTGCTGTTGCGGCCTGCATCCTCCGTGTGGTCTGTAGATAGTTTCACAGATTTTGGAGGCTTGAGGTGTTCATCATTAGGACTCTCTTCATCCCCAGTGCCAAGAGGTGGTCGCGAGGTCGATTGCGTGACATCAGGCTTGTCACCAAAGTGTGCCGATAAGCGGCTTCTTTGTAATTGCGAAGAAAGCTGTCGTACGTTCTGTACATGGCTATTGGAAGTTCTGGAGCTGCTTACTCTGGGCCTGTCACTCTTAGTAGATGAATCCAATGCAGATGTCTTTATACGCCCTGTACCATGATTGTACGCAAAAGTTGCGATATCTTGGTTTGCTGTAAATTTCGCAACCCGCTGGGTAAGACTTTCCATGTTGGTCTGCTCTTGGATTGCCGTTTCTGAGCATTGTTTTGCAAACTGCTCTAACTTCACTTGGATGAACTCTATGCGCGTTTTTTCGAGTTCTTGCAGCTCGAGGCTGAGAATTGACCATTCGTGCAGCCAGTGCTTGCTAGAGGCTCTGTATTCCTGCTTCAAAACGTCCATTTTCGACTGCAGCTCCCCTACAATGCTGGTCCATTTGAGATATTGTCTGTCGTTCTGATCCGAATCTCGCTTTCCAAGATAATTATCCCTGTTGAGCTGACAGTCCCGCAGTTCGATACTAGCTTTATTCAATTTTTCCTTAATTACTTCGCAAAGCTGACGTTTAGTGATTTTGTCGTTGCAAAGGCTGCGAACTTTGATATCGATGGTCTTGTACCTGGCTTGGATCTGCTGGACGAACTGTTTGAGCTCTGTATATCCATCCTTGTGTATTTCCACTGCTGCTTTTGAATGTGACTGACTCAAACGTTCCTGCGTAGACAGTAAGCCCTTAAACGTCTCACCAAGCTTTCCATAATCAGGGTTGCTTTGCAATCCACCGCTCAAGCGTTTGCTAATTGCACCCAATCTTCGGGCGTAATCCTTTTCAAGTTTACTTCTCTCCTCGTAGAATACAACCAAATTATCGCAGGACTCAATCCCATTGCTAATGTGGTCTAATAGAATTCGAGCACCAGCATCCTGGTCATCCCAAAAGCTTGATCCGTATGTGTAGTCTTGCGTCATCAAAGCTTTATTTCCACGAAGTACCTGAGGTATTATGGCGGCAACACGGATTGGCAATGATAACGATAGGGTGTTTTCAAGTTAACTGCGGATACGGTTACTGGTATTGAATTGTAAAGCCAAAGTCTAGTTTGTTCAATATGCTGGGACAGTTTGCTTGATATTTACCTTTGGCCCAAAAAGGCATTCTTTCTTTGCCTTTTCTCAAAACAGCTATCGGTATCCATATCCGGTAAGTCACCTGATTCGGCGGCTAAGACGATCTGAAGACCTTGTCATCACGAGAAGTTGAGAGGAATCAACAAGTCGATGTCTTGGGTTCTGTTCGTTGGACCTTATAGTAAGATTGAGCATTTGAAGCTTTTCAAATGGGATATTTTCGAACTTAATCTTTCCGGAACATTCGTAGTTGACACTTTTGCATGTTGATCCTTCAAGAGAGTTGAAACATGGAAATCAAAGCCTACAAATGTTGTCCACAAACTTGCCATACAGAAATTTGCGCTTAGGTAGTTGGTAAACCGATGAAGGGCGCATGTATGTTTTACCAATCCAGAAAGAAAGGTGCTTAAAGAATTGTGAAATGCTATGACTTTCAAAAGTCTTATCCTGGACCTCTCTTCTAAAATTCGAGCATCGCGACCGGCTAGACTTCTGGAAAAGGCGAAGTGGGCTAGTTTCCAGTCATCATACTCATAGATACTGCTGTTTGTTCGGTTCAGCCCAAAACTTCGACATCTTTCTGTACTTCATAGTTTCGCTAGGTGACGTTGTAAAAGCTCGCTTTTTGCTTCGCCAATCCAAGCGATTCTCAGATACAACCCCAAGCCAGCTGTGGATGCTTTAAGTGGTTGAATACCCATTCTTTCTTTCAGAAGTCACAAACTCTAGTCCTTGATGGTTTTTTTTCCTATATTATAAAAATCCTGGGCGGCAAATATTTAACCTGCCACTTCTACACTTGAGAAAGATGAATTATTCAAGAAAAACACCACAAATCTTGTCTCCTTATATCTTCCAAGCTCTTCTGGTAATTCAGAAGTTGCCCCAGTTTTTACAAGGGCCTTTAGACAGATTTTCGATCACCGCTCATCTGATGATAGCAAGGGGGTCAGAGCTTCAACAATGGGGGAAAAATCGCCCTGGGTGAAAGATTTTATGGTTCTGAGCTGATCAAAACTTGTAAGCAAGATCTGCAAATGGGTATTTGCTCTTTTCAGCTGAGTCCAAGATTTGGCAGTAAGACCCTGAAGATTCTCAAGACGTGAAATAAGCACGATACCATTTTTGTATTCGGCTTAGTTCTCGATGCAAGATTTCTGGTTCATAAATAATATAGAACAGCTTGCAAGAGAAGCTGGGGAAACAGCATCGTTGATTTGGTTTTCAGTGAAGCGACCCCTACGTCTCTTCGAAAGTCTTTGAAAGAAAATGATTCCAAAAGGGCTAACTATGAACTCCTTCTTCGCAAAACCTCAAGCGCTCGTGAGATTTAAAAACTACCGCCAAGCTATTGATTGCCGAACAGCTGAAATCATCAACAATCATTCACAAGGTCTGCATACTCGCAAAACTGTTAATGCCCCTAAAAAAGGCCCGGATAACTCGCGCTTTTGTATGCAATTATTACTAACACCGAAGGATGAGCACCGAAACAATGCGCTTCAAACTGCTGTCAGCTTCAAACATACCACTATTACTCCAAACTCTGCTATCCTCGAAATTCGACTCGCCGGCCGCCGTAACTACTACATTATCGCTGCTACAAAACACCAAGACTCTAGAAACAATGCTTCACACACAAGTTCATTCACGTCACTTCCAAGAGCTCCTCCTACTTCTCCCGCCATAGGATAGCACGAATTGTCTCGATACCAAGCGTGGGGGTCCATGACATGTTCTGCAATTGAAGTTCCTGCTATAGAAGACGGCATCTATCCTGCAGCGAAAATGACGTTGTTGTTATTTTTTCACGCGACAATTTCCCACATCCAGCACGACTACTCTATTCGGTTAAAGGTTACAGTTTGGGGAAATGAAGGACTTGTTTTCCATTTCAGGAAAAGCTGGTTTTGCTAGTCCGTCCGTTGCTTCCACACATCATGACCTTTTATATTAAGGGCGCTGGTATTCTTTGACCCTGAATTAAAAGTTAAATGGCCTTTGCCCGAACATAACACACTAGAAAAGTTTGAAAAACACATCCCAGGCCTTTAAGTGAAAGACAACTAATTGAAAGAATTAGAGCTGTTTTTTGAGAGCAGATACCAGCTGAAGAGATCTGAATTCCAGCTCTTTTTTCCACATTTTTTTAACATTTTAGGAGGATTTTTCGACGTTTTTCATTCTTGCAAAACCGCCCCTGAGCATCACACAAACCTGAGAAAAAAAGAGCGATGTCTTTGATTTCTGCTGCTGCTGACCTCAACGACACGAGCTCCACCACGTCCGCTGGCTCAGCAAGAGAATCCAAGGTGTACCGCAAAAATGGTAAAGCACTTTCAAAGGAGGCAATTTACAGGGCCAAGCAAAAGTATGGGGTCTATCAATCACCAGCTAGAAGCACTGGGTCCGGCGTAACTGACGCTAAGCAGGCCTCCGATACTGCTGCCAACCTTGCAAACAACAACAGGACTACGATTGAGGCGTACAAACGTCTCGTTGTCGACTCCAATGCTTCAAGGGCTGCCACTGCGGTCTCAGGGCGTTCAAGAACGTCCAGTGTGTCATCCGCAACCACAGCAGTCTCTGACAAGAGATCTACTAGTGCGGCGACCAAGGCACTAGCGGCCAAACCTGTGGAAGTTCCAGTGGTGGCTAGTAAGCCCGCAATGGATATGTCCAAAGTTCTTTCTGGAGCTGAAGCTGCAGCCGGTAAACGCATGAACGTGCGTTCAAATCCTGAAAAAATAGTGTATGTCACCACGAAGGACGCAACGAAGGCTGCAGAACGCAGTTTCTCGTTCACTCCAGATATCATGGACAAGATCTCCACTAAGAGCCAGCTTGAAGCGGAAGCTGAGGTCGAAGCAGACCCTCACAAATACGCCTCGCGTGCGGCCTACGCTGTTCGTGATTTTGATCCCAACGAAATTACCGAAAAGGAGCTTTTGGAACGTGAAAAGAAGAAGCAGGAATATTTCGGTATGCTAACTTCGCCACAGGTTCTAGCCCTTGCCAAAAGCAACGCTCAGCAAAGCTTACTGTCAATTGAAAAGTCTGCACCAGGCAGTCTGTTCAGAAACGAAGACTTCAACAGGTTGGCTGTCGCTCTGGCTCAGAAAAACAATGCTCAAAGATCAGAAAACACCGGAAAAATCAATTTGGGTGGAGGCTTGTGGTTGAGCCCCTCTGATGTTGACAACATTGCTCAAGGACTCATTACTCCTGTTTTGGATGAGGTTGACAGTAGGGCTTTGCAGCAGAGAGCCATTGATGAAGATATCAAGCAAAGAAAGATTGACTACAAGGAGCAGAACACTGCTTGGACAGAACTGCAGCGTAACAAGATTGCAAATGACAAGATGTACTCTAGGGAGACCCGCTTGAGACACAAACGTGAAACTGAAGGGTTGCACGCGAGAGCTGAGAGAAAGTTCGAAGTCTTGACTACTTCGAAAGATGCTGAGGTTGCAGAAACTGAAAAAGCTTTGGAAGAGGCCGCAAGTAATTTCGCCGCTTTCCAGAAAAAGATGGAACAAGAACTCAAGGATGAGGAAATTCGTTGTCAAACTGAGCTTGCTAACCTTGCCTCTGAGCAGAAGGACGGTATTGCTATTGCCCGCAAAGAACAAGATGCGGAAATTCAGCCATACATTGATGACCTCAAGGCTGCGGAAGCAGAGCACGAAAGACTCGTCACCGAGCGTGACAATTTGACCCAAGCTATCGCAGACTTACGTACGTCGATTGAGAACCACAAGACGAAAATTGAAGAGCTTGATCAGCAGCTGGTCAAATCTAAAGCAGACCACGAAGAGGAGGAACAGAAGCTCCAAAATTTGTCCACCGAAAAGGATGAATTTGCAGGGAAAATTGACTCTCATTACGTGCTTCTAACGGGAAAAGCGAAGGAACAGGCTCATCAATCCTCCGAAGAATCTCGCTTGAGGCAATTAGAGGTTGACGCTATGATCAATGAACGTCAAGGCGAGCTAAATGCTGCGGAGCTACGTTTGAAAAATGAAAAATTGTCCCTGCTTGAAGCCATGAGAAGCGTTACTCACTTGAAGGGCGACAAGAAGCTTGATGAGGAAAAGGTCAAGGCACTTTTGGGAGAAACATCTGAGGAGTTTATTACTCGGCAGAAGGAGGCTGAAAAGGTTACGGAGGAGACCGAGTCTGCTAAAGAAAGCTTATCTGACGAGGATTGTAAGAAGGACTCGAAAGCATCTTTAGAAGACAAGGGCGAGAACGTTAAAGCTTCGGAAAAGGACATGGGTAAAGAAGAGACCGAAGCCACGCCTAAAAAGGTTACTAAGTCACCAAATGCCCGTCCAAGTATGGTCGATGCAGTCCTGCCCCCTGATTTCAAGCCGGAGATTAAACCAAAAAAACAAACACCTGCTAGCAGTCCCTCTAAAAAGGCCAATTTAGCCACTCAACCAGAATCCCCACAGAATGGCGTGAAGAGATCAGGATCCCTGAAGAAAAAACTACTTGGTTTTGTCCAAAAAGACTCCTCAAAACCTGCAACTGAATCGGCCAAACCGGTAGCGAAAGTCAGCGCTAAGCCTGCGACGGCCACCACTAGCAAAAAGATTGCTGAGGAACCTATCGAAAAGCCAAAAGCTGAGGAAAAGACTGGAGAATCGAAAATTTCTTCGAAATCCAAACACGACGGCGACGCGGTGGCGAAAACCGTTAAAGAAGGAGAAGACGAGTCTTCAAAGGAAGCCTCTAAGAAGCTGCCCGAGACTTCCAAAACAACCAATCCTGAAAATATCACCGAGGACGCCACACCGCTAGAAGCTCTGGAATCTAGAGCCTCTGCAAAGGACGTTGATACTATTGAAAATTCTGACGATGAACTGGAAGCTCCAGATTCCAGCGAAGCAGCAGAGAATGACAACGCTGTCGACGCTGAGAAAAAGGGTAGTCTTTTCAAAGAAGTCTTTTGAAACTGGGCGTCCCTTGTGTTAAAATTTAACTTAAACTGAATATGTAACAATAACACTTTGAAATCACATCAAGCTACTATCACTAGCTTAACCTTCTTGACAAATCATGATAACATTAGTACATGAATTGATCTCTCGAGCACATATACAAGAATTAAATGGTCAAATTAGAAACTAATGGATTCGTAACGGGCATGCCTTGCGTTCAAACTAAGCAATGACTTCCGCTTGATGTGGGGCAGGTACCAATTTATCATACTTGTAGTATCCTTCGAACGAGGTTACCTGGTGGAAGTATTTGGAGTATTTGTAGCGGCCTCCTAGGTAAAAGTCGATGGAGATGATGATAAAAATGACACCGAACCAAAAGGCCAGTAGCCATTCGAAACAAGCACTTCTAGAGTTATCTTGAATGGCACCGAATGCGATGGCCCATGCCAGGGCAGCGGCCAGCCAGATTACCTTGGCGATACCACTGATGGTGTACTTGTTGAAGCGGTGTCCAACCCAGTGGTTCCACCGGGTTTCTACAAGCTTGTCTTCTGGATTTGCCAGTGGATGTAGTTGAGCGTAATGTCTGCCCATCATGAAATATTCAGCGATATTGCAGCACACAGACAGGAACATAAAGGCGCAAAATAGCCCAACCATGGTGATATGGACGCGGTGGTAGTGTGCTGTGGAAAAAATCGAGCACATCAGTAAACATATCTCGCCTGCTGCACCAAGTGCAAAACTGGCCCAAATGCAGTTACGTTCGTGACGTGTGTAGTAAGGTGGCATCAAGAACTTGGCGGATCGCAGCATATCGCCGTAATTGGACTTGACAGTATCCTGGGACGCAGAGACAGAGCCATGGTCGGCTACAGCGGTTGTGGTGAATGCAGTTCGCTGGAAAGGCCACCGGCCACTCCGTTGAAAATATTCGCACGCTATCGTGATGCAATAACCTAGGCCTTGCCAGCCTACACATGAAATGAACAGAGGCCGCAGGTTTGTGGCTCCGATATCCGAAATATACACTGGGAATTGTTCTGTATTCATAAACCAGTAGATTGGGTGTCCCTGGCCTGCCCAACATATCAGCATTGCAATCAGCATTCCGTACCATGGAATGAATGCTATCCAAGGCACTATGAAAAAGTAGTTCCCAGGCTTGTATTTGTTCATTTTGATCCGGACGTATTTTCTTGATTTGGCCTCGCCGGTATGCCTAGCCTTCTTGCCTGCTTAGGAAGCCTTCTTCTCTTCACTTCCGTCTTTTCCAATTTCTTAAATGCAAACTGGTTTTCTCTCAGCGGAAGGCTGCCGATGATAAATCCACGTCCAAGCCATTTTGTCGGAATTTTTCAGACATATCTTACACTACGTCTTCTACGGTTTAAGTCGTCCGAGCAAGTCCGCTGCCCGCTTCGTCAACGGATTCTTGTTTCTTGTTCTTGCTACTACCAATGCATCGCGATATCGCAGAAAGGCTTCCGTGTAGATGCTGTCGTCTCAAAAATAGCTGCACGAATTTGGCAGATGCCTAAGTCAAGGTGTATTTTCAAGTACGTTGTTGTTTGCTTGTTCCGTGGATAACCAACCGGCCTAGTTCAAAGCCCTAAGAGACGGCATCTTGCTCTTAAAAAACAAAAAAGCCACTGATACCTGCAGACTATGCGTCTATAAAGAAGAATTCGCTGCACAATTCGGCAAAGGGGAATACCGGGAGCATTGAGGCTGCAGCGGAGGATTGCTCAATACGGGAGGAGTTACGTATTGTTCAGACGTCGAAAAAAAATATTGACTTCGAGTTTTGACTAGTCAATTGGGTAGATGACGCTGTCGTTGCCTAATAGGTTGAATTCCGCTTTCGGCGAGGTGCATATGCAGTGTTTTTCCTTCACTGTTTCTTTTTTTTGCGATATTTTTAAAGCAGTGACGTAAAGGGGAGATTTTTCTGTATCACATGACTTTCGTTGGAAGGGAGCTTGGACAGAGCTGTTTCCAGTTTGTTTCCCGTTTGTTTCCAAGAGCCGTTGTTTCCAGAGTGACTGGGTTTTCGAATATTTGTGAAAACAACCTGATTCGGCTCGGCTCGGCTCGGCTCCTCTACTCACAGGATGGGGGAACGGGTGGTAGGGCTTAGGTAGCTTATTTTCGGTCACGAGTCGACCTACCCGTGATATCCACGGTGATCATCTCCACAGCTTGCGCGGGTAGACGTATTTGGTCCCTGTCACTATGCTAGCAAAAGTTGGCCAAAGTCTTAATCGATTAAAAATTGTGCTGAACTATACATTACGTCTAGTATTAGCTACTATCTGAATAGCGGATATTATTCTTGCTCACTCACTGCAGGAATTCTGATCACTGGAAGAATCTTCATCAAAAGAATCTTCATCAAAAGAATCATCCGACATATCGTCTAGCACCCAGCTGACCTCCTCGATCGATGTAATATGTTTGAGCTTCTCACAAATTCCAAAACACTTTAGGCGGTTTCGTAAGATCATTGTGCGCTCAAGATTTGCGCTGGATAGCGAAAATCGCCCTTCGATAGCCCTCCTACTGATGGAAAAGCACCGTTCGACGTTAGCAGTGGACAACTTGGTATAGTAGAAAGACAACGCCAAGGAGGACAACCGTGGAAATTTCTCTCTGTTGGCCATCCAATAGTGGATAAAATCGAAGCGAGAATCAAGGGGTTCTTGATTGTACCTTTCCCATTCCAGTAGTGTTCCGCGCTCAGGTGGTGAACTTTTCAATGTTCCAGCGAACTCGTTGAATGATTTGAGCTTCTTCTTGAGCCTCCTCTCTTTAGTAGGACATGACGTTCTTGCGTCAATATCGGCGACATCTGTTGGTATCTTCAACTTATGTTGATCAAAATAGTATTTGACATAGCTCGATGCTTTGCTGACTATAAGCTCTTTTGCCTCCGTATCAAGAATTTTGGATATTGATTGAATTTTCATGTCTGGCCTCAATATGTGTGCAACCCAGTATCCTATCTGTTCAATGGCAGAATTATAGTATTCTTCAAAAAGGTACCTTGTCTCAACAATGGTTGACAAAATACTTGACCGTTGATCTTCCTCCACTACCTCGAGGTGCCTGAGCTGAATGCCTGCAATTTTCAGATTCTCATCGGAAACATCACCTTTTGAAATTAGAGCGCATGCTTCAAAGTACCTGTGAAGCAAAGTGTAAAACTGTATGCCATTGGGGAGGTTGTTCAGCGCGTCATCTTGCATATCCATTGTTAAACTGGAAAATACACGGGTAAGCTTGAGAAACAGTTTCAAAGGATGAATCTCTGCTGGTTCATAAATGAAAAGTCTACTGTCATCTCTCTTGAGCTGAAACCTTTTATATGTGTAGCTCTTGAGGTAGAATTCCTTGAGAGAGTCTGTGAGATTCAAGAAGGACGACAATTGCTTATGGCGGAATATAAACCGCGTTTCATCATGTTTTGAAGTTGCTTTGCCAGCGTACTTTTTGAAGTGATCACCAAGAAAACTGTTGTATTTGATCTTCGAAGTTAGTTCATCAATTCTTTGAAGGAGCTTCGCATTGTCTTTCTCGAACTTTTCAACAATATGCTTGAACATTACGTTGAGCACATGTTTCAAGCAACGAATTCTTATGATTCCTCCTTCCGCATTAACTCCATCCCCAACTAGCTCGGGCTCGATTTTGTCAAGCATTGCCAGGTTGTCTGTAGCATTGTCTATCGTAACACTCGCGACTTTATGTTTGAGCGAATATTGGTCCAGTGTATCATCTAGGACCTGACTCAAATATTCTCCTGTGTGACGGGAAGCGCTCAAGTCATGGAATTCGATGATGTGGGTATTGTGGAAACCTCTGCATATGACGTCCTCTCTTCGAGAGTTTTGATCAAGACGATCCAAATTCGGGCAAAATGATACCGAAATAGCGAGATAGCTCTTGCTAACAGCCGAGGACCATATATCCAGTAGGATGTTTACTTTTGTGGTGTTTTCCAAACTGAACCTTAGCTGTTTATCGAAGTTGTCGTGATAGTTGGTGATTTCTTTCACCAGTGTCTTGCGAGAAAAAACGAATTGGTCCTTATTTTTCCCAGCGGCAACACCGAATAATTCGCGAAAGGACTGACTCTCTACTAAACTGAAGGGTACCAAATTTTCAACGAATAAATTTAGTTCCTTGATCATTGTGGAATTTTTTTTGTAGAATTCAATGAGGCTTGCGCATAACTGAAAAGGTTTACGAGCTTCAGAAAGTACGTGCTGCTTGGGTTGTATTTTTGAGTAAAAGCTGTCATAGTCAGATCTGTGATTTGTTTGAAGGTGCTTCAACATATTAGCAGAAGTGAGGTTTGTGGTGAAGCTGAACACTTTACGACAGTGATCATATTTGCACTGCGCAAAAGGTTCGTTCCCGCTGTGCTTCGTGAACCAAATCCTGAAAGGAGATGTTGACAGCCAGTTCTTGAATTTCTCGGCAACTACCTTGTCGGAAACTGTTCGAAATGATTCATTGATTTCATTCGGTATTTTGCAAGGATTCATAGAATATTCATCAAAGTCAATGGAATATTGATTTGTGAAAGTAGCTTCCACTTGCTTCATCTTCCGCTGCATATCATCTTGAGGATCCTCTTCGAACGACTGATAGCTACAGTCACTTTCAGATGCCTCAGTCGTGGAATCATGATAGAATTCTTCCCGCTCTAAAGTCGAGTTGTGATGCGCATTTTTATATCTCAAGTTTGTAGCTCGGCACCTGCTAATTTTTCGTAAACTAGGAAATGAAGGCCTCATTAAGTTGAACTGCTGAAGCTGCTGGCCGAAGAACTCATTTGGCTGAAAATGCGAATTATCTTCGGAAGCAATATCGCTTGATTCTTCTGCCAATTCGACGCAATCCATTTGGTATTCATCGATGTGCACCTCAACAAAGTCATCGCCTACCGAGCTGTTCCCTTCATCATCTGAACTGGCCCGTTTACCAGCTACACTGTTAGGATTCAGAGGACAGCTTTGATTTACAGAAGAACTGCTTTTCATCGAGGCATGCTCGTTCAGGTTGGAATCATTGTCAGCTAACGCGTTACTCGCTTGATCCAGAGTATCACAAGTGCTTGGTAAAGGCCTCGGCAAAAGAGTCTCTGCTTTCGAAAAGCATTGCTCTTTTTTTCCGTCCAGTGTTTCGTTTTCGCATCCTTTGTTTAGTTCTTGATAGTTCACTCTATCTCTTTCTCTGAGGTGGTTACCGGAGATAAAGGACACTCCTGCGTCCGCTGATCCGCTGGACATGCGTCGAGTACGTCAGAAAGAGCATGTAGATCAGAATGTTTGCTTCAATTCTCAAAGTTGTACGTAAATGAAAATCTTGTTTATGATGAAAACAAATCTACCCGCGGAGGCTACTCGTGCTTTGTTTACTTTTCGAAGGCTACTCGTGAAAATACTCGTCATTATTTACGTTCTACTCGCAGTGGCTACCCGCGTTCGTCCCCAGTCCTGCTCTACTCTTTACTCTCTACTCTCCTCGCTTCAACCAAATAGAATTGGTTTCTTTGTTGGCACCTCTCTCATCAAGTAGAAGACGAACAAGAATGAACCCGAACACGGTCGTGTTTGGTAAGCTCTTCAAGTTATACTCTGAATCAATCGTCTACCACTGACCAATTGAGGGCTCAGACCATGGGCGCTCCGCCATAATACTCATCATACTTTTTCAAACGTAGCAGTGGAGTTTCACTCATTATCTATGGCCTTGTTAAATCTTGGGTTCATCTGAGCCTTTTATACCTATTTGAGCTTAATGCTCACTAAGGGGACAGACAAGAATGGTATGGATTCTAAGCTTATCCCATACACATTGTAGCGGCTGTTTTCAAGGTCCTAGGGCATTTCACGCTGCATGCACACGTCTTCACACTCCGGTGGGAAATCTTCTACCCACTTTTGGCCTGACACCTTTTCGAAAAGTTCCATTTTGCATATGAAGTATTTCCTGGGTTCAATTTGATCTTCAAGCCTCCCATGACGCTTTTCCAGTGTTGAAAACCACTCGAACTTTAGTTTGCGCCAGATTTTCATGCGCTGATCTGACAATAGCTATCTGAAGGATTTTATACTGTCACAAAATCGCCTTTTCCGCCTTTATTACGATGCCATCGTGACTCTTAAAGCCATTCAGACTTGATTCAGTGCCTACCAGCCGCCCTCAAGGCGTCCATGGCTCATATAACTTGAGGACTTCGGCTCTGAGTAGTAGAAATGTGTTTTCGCGTTGTCTCGATCAAGGGCCTTGCCTATTGAGATACCAAAGGCTTCTAAGATTGGAACTTGCATATCATCGCCAGTGCTTTGGGATTGGTATCTTCACAGCGGCCAAATATGTTCCTGGTTTGCGCGAGCGTTATCTTGGTCACTTCAGCGTCAGATGGAAACTGTATGTAGGCGCTTGTACTGATGAAGGCTGTTGGGCGACTTATACTCGACAGCGGTGTATCCTGAAAGCTGACAAGTGTGTACTCGTGGGAGTTAAAGCAGACGTGCTTTTCAGGGAGAGCGTAGAAGTGCAGACCATATTTTGAGTATTCACTCTATGCTCATACCAATCGAATATTTAATGATTTCTTTGACAATCTCTCCATCTTTGTTAGTCGGACGGGTAGCTCTGACAGCTTCAGAAAACTACCGTCATCGGGCTCATACTAAAGCTCGACAAAACAGTGTACCCAAAGAAATCAGCCAGGTTGCGAGTAAACCGTCGTTGTTTGATTTAATGTCGTGAAAAGCCAAGCTGCCTTTGATCGGAGATCTCTAAAAGAGTTGAACAATGGCATGAACAACATTAATGAAATAGAGGGTATGAAGTCAGTTAGGCATACTTTAATGTGGGTGACTCTACGGAGGATACAATTGTCAGCTCATGTATACTGACTGTCGGGAAAGTTGACGGCTTGGCGTACAAACGAAGTTCATGTCAGGCTGTCGGTCAAGACTGTTTGATGTCGGGTTATGGTCTATATTACCATGAGCTTCAAAAAACCACCTCCCGCTGCGAGATCGAGAATTCATTTACGCATCAACGAACAATTGACCGCGGTTGTAGAGACATTGTGCTCAAAGAGTGCATTTGTGAAGCGTTGCAAACTCAAACCTTCACATCATTGCGAGAAAGCTCTTGTCTGTAGAGGTAAATTCTATTCTGTGAACTGCTGTTGCGACACGCCCTTCGATTGAAAACTTCTCCAAACTCAATGAGCACAGCATGCAGGATTGGAAACAGAAATTTCCAAACAGCAGTCCTAATTGCTACAATTGCATTAGCGGTTTGCATTCACTTTCTTAAGATGTGATATCTCCTCGTCTCGAGGTCAAGTCTGTGTGTGTGAATATAGCTGGATTGTGATGTAACTTGAACTCTTGGAATCACAAGCTCGATTGGACTGCGAATAGTTGGAACCTGTTCTTCTGGCGCTCATTCTGCGCCGAGTTTGGGCATCGATTTTGAGGGCTTCGACCAAAAGATTACCGTTCGTGGCTGTAGTTCTATGAACTATGAAATCGCCAAATTACATTAAGCGCATGAAACGATACTCTAGATTGCCCACCAAGTGAAGTCAGAACCTTGTTTTGTACAGATTGAATTCCCAAATCCCTCTTTCATACATTTCCCGAACCTTTGCTACTTTTCTCTTAGCCTTTCTTCTTTACGCAATTCAGATGGTGTAAATTAAGGCATCGCGTCAATCTTTCCTTATTATCATAACTACAAATACAGCACACAGTTCGCGTCTGAAGACAAGACTAAACAATAGACTTTGAAACAACCATGGCAGAGGAATCTTTAGAACGGCTGGACCAAGAGATTACGCTCCATTTACAGCAGATAGACTCGAATATAAGTCACTGTTTCAACACAATCACCCAAGATATCATCCCGCATGTTTCGCAATATGGCAATGTGTGCGATCAGGTCATGGATAGCTGTAACTGGCTGAAGACAATGTTTCAGGAGGCCGGTAATCTACAGATCGAAGCGGTGGATGGATCAGAGACGTTTGTGGCAGCTCAAGGCGCCGCAAATCCTCAAAACAAAGAAGAGTCCAGCGGACAAAGTTCGCTTCAAACACTGTTTCCGGGTCGCCCGCGATTGGGCCCTGACTCTTCCAGTATCATGGCCCCTCCAGTGCCGGTACTTGCTGCTGAAAACGAACGTTCCCGTCCCGATCCCACTACAACAGTGACCACCACAACCGGGAAGCTTTTACAATTGCCAGACTCTAGCGACGAAGAGCGCGACCGAAGGTCTATGAATGACTACCATACGGCTCCCGTTGATAAAACAGACGATGCAGGACATTCGTCACGGGTGTCAACAGCGCCAGACCCGGATGGTAGCACCGTCCAGCGCCAAAGGCGGAAACGCAAGCTGTCGTTGCTGTTGCAGCAGCAATATGGCTCTAGCTCCAGCAGCGTGGCACCCTCGCCTGCTCAATTGAAACGGCCCATTTCGTCGAACCTAGACAGTTCACCCATTCGCAACAAGGACTCGTCGCTACAGGTCGAAAGCACCAAGCAGAATCCTGCACACCCAGACACCATAATTTACTTTCCTACAAAAGACGACGACGACGCTGTCGTCGATAACGATAATGAAATTACTGGCACGTGAGTTCTCAATCATTTCATGCATGTGAATAACACGTGTACATGTATTCTGAGCATTAATTTGCAAGCGTGCTTAATCGAAGTCTCAAATTCAGTTGTTACCACTTCATCACAGTATCATTGACCGTTGCGTAACTTCAAGCACCGAGCCTGTGAAGAAAGTGTTAGCTGGCCAACCCAGACTTTTACTCAAACCACTTGGCAACAAGAGCAAATGGGCAACGTGATGTCTGCAAGTTTTGCACCTGAGTGCACAGAACTGAAGCACGAATACGACAACTGCTTTAATCAATGGTACAGCGAGAAATTTCTCAAGGGACTATCGATGGAAAATGAGTGTAGCAAACAGTGGTATGCTTACACGACTTGCGTAGAGGCCGCGTTGGTGAAACAGGGTATCAAGCCTGCGCTGGACGAGGCACGCGAAGAGGCACCTTTTGAAAATGGCGGCGAGCCTACCGACCGCTCCTAGAAATGGTGAGTATTTTTTGCATCTGTAAATAGCCCAACAGAGGGGGGGGAGAAGACGACATACATGGATCTGGCTTCGCACAGGACGTTTGTGAAACGGAGGAGAAAGGAGAAATACTGCGGATATACTTTTAGAGTCTCCTGTAAATAGGAAATCGGGACTCTAGTAATGGGCGCTTTCTACAACCTTTCAACCTTACCCTATTCTTCTTTCTCTCACTATCTCTCTCTGCAGAAGGCCGTGGTATCGCTTCATACGAACGAGCCTCTGGTGTCTGGATCACCACACTTTGCAATCACAAGACCTATATACTAATAAGACCCGGTGTAGCATTGTCCAAAATACCTGTTTAAATATCCCAGTTCCCTCCTTACTTACTTATCTCCTTACCTTTCTCTCATCATAAGCTGATATCTCATCTTACTCACTATATACGAGTTTGTCTTGACATTATTGAATTTTACCAAATTTCTAAAATTTTTGCCACCGCTCTTAGCTAAAAACTACTGGAAATGCCATACAACAGATTCCTTCCATCATACCTGGAAAGACGGTCAAAACTGCCAAACTAATTGAAAAATAGACTCTTTCACGGACGTTTTTAAAGTCGTTGAACTGTTTTTTTCTCTTCAAATTATCAGCTTTTTTCGCAGGTTTTCTCTCAGGGTTTTTTTTCCTTCCTTTTAAGATTTTCTACAAATAATTGGACGTCTTTCTCCTTTTAAGAATCTCAACTTCCAATCCACAATATCTTCCCGAAAGGTCAAGACTATCAAGTCGTTATTGTCCAATCTTGATAACAATACTGCACAATGTCTACACAATTCAAGAAGGCTAATCATAGCAAGCAACCGCACAGCAATTCCAAGAAGCTAGATCCACAACTTAAGTTCAAATTGGACACTCTTACAGAGCTTTTTCCAGACTGGACAAATGACGACCTTATTGATTTGGTACAGGAGTACGATGATCTCGAAACCATCATAGACAAGATCACATCTGGTGCAGCCACAAAATGGGATGAGGTCAAGAAACCGTCTAAGAAGGAAAGACAGCAACAACAGCAACAACAGCAACAACAACAGCAGCAGCAGCAGCAGCAGCAGCAACAACAACAACAACAACAACAACACAACACAAATGCGGCCACAAACTCGGACGGCACAAGTGGCACAACTCATAATTCGCATAACAACAACAATTTCAGCACTCATAATCACACTGGCCAGCATTCAGGGGCTTCTGGCGACGCTGCTGATCACTCGCATTCCAAGTATTCGAAACATAACAGAGAATCTGGCTCCAGGCACCACAGCAAGAAAAACGTGGGCAGAGAACGTGGCGGCGCCAAAGCCGTGACAGCAAGCTCAGCAGCTTCAATTTCCGCATCAGCCGTTCAACCGGAGCATCTCAAGCCGGCTGTTTCTGCTGCCAAAATCGCGTCGTCGTCCACATCTTGGGCTGCAATGGCTGGCGACAAGAAAGCTGCAAAGCAACAAAATGCCAACGTTTCACACACGGCTGTCTCTAACAAGACTCAGTCGGAAAACTCGGAGTCTCCAAAGACTGCTCCAGGGTTACCAGAAGGCACTCAAGAATCGCAACAGCAAGAGTTGCTAAATCACGAAGAAAGCAACGATCAGGATGCTACGGCTGCCGCCGTCGCTGCTAGCAGTGTTCCAATAGAGGATCTTGAAAAGCCCAAGAAAATGACTTGGGCTGCCATTGCCACTCCTAAACCTAAACCTGGTGCTTTGAAGAAACGCGAACCATTGGAGGAGCTTGAAGATTTGAAGAAAGAAGCTGCCCAAATATCGTCAGACGTCCCCAGTGAAGAACCACAAGTAGTGGCTCCCGTTGCCGAGGAGCCAGCTCAAGAACCAATCACAGAAACGGAAGAGCCATCAGAGCCTGTTCCTGAAGCTCAAGAGGTATTCGAACAACCTCAGCAACCCCAGGAGCAAGAAGAGATAACAAACAGTACTGAAACCGACAAGGCACCAGAGGCCGAAGTTTCTGAAGAAGCCCCAGGTGTTCCAGTTAAGCCAGAGACCACATCTTACCCTTCACAGGAACAACAGCAACAGCAACAGGAAACACCCGCTACTTACGGAGGTGAAGCTTCTGTTCGTGCTCCTTCTTCGTCCGAACAGACATTCTACCAACCACAGTCGCAACAGCAATACACATCTCAGACTCCTCAACAAACTCCTCAACCTTTGCAGCAACAAAATGCTGCTGCCGCCGCTGCTGCCGCTCAACAGCAGTACTACATGTACCAGAACCAATTCCCAGGTTACTCCTACCCCGGTATGTTCGATAATCAAAGTTATCCTGCGGGCTACGGTCAACAATATGTGCCACAAAGTCAAGGCGCCTCTCAATCTCAACCATCATCTGGTCAGCAAACGCAGTCACAGACCCATGCGGGACAGTATGGCATTCCACCTACATACAGCGGTGCCAGCAGAGATATGGCTGCAGCTTCTCCAATTGCTGCTCAAGTTCAATTGCAACAGCAACAGCAGCAACAACAACAACAACAACAACAACAACCCTATGGAGGCTCATTCATGCCATACTACCACTTTTACCAGCAGTCGTTCCCTTACGGACAACCTCAATATGGCATGGCCGGTCAGTACCCTTACCAGGTTCCAAAAGCTTACGGCAACTACATGAGCCAATACCAGCCTCAGCAGCCAGGAGAGACATCTTCTTCGCAATCTCAGCAAGGCGAAGAAGCTCAGCAGGGCTCGCAACAGGGTCAGGCAGCAGGAGCTTCTCAAGGACAAGCTCAAAGCTCCGGAAGCCAAGGTCAAGCACATGTAAGTGCTCAGCAACAGGCTCAGCTACAGCAATACTACCAGTTCCAGCAACAGCAACAGCAACAGCAGGCAGCTGCCGCTGCTGCCGCTGCCCAACAAGGTGTTCCTTACGGCTACTCAGGCTACGATTTCTCTTCGCAAGCCACCAGAGGTTTCTACTGATTGAATAATTGAGGAATTACTAGCTTGATTGGACAAGTAGAATTATCATGTGTAAATAAAAAGTAAACTAATGAAAGTTTTGCCCTTACGGAAAGAAGGGCCGAATTTGTACTGCATGATTGGATTAACTTAGGTGATTTTGACTCGATGGTGCTAGTTCGTATGAACACATATGGAAGGCAGAATTCTTAAGTTCTTTCGGTAGGCGGCGAACTTGTTCTATAACTTATAAAATGGAGTCTCTCAAATCCAGTTTGTAGAGAATTTGAGGAGATGTTAAGCAAAAATGTGGCAATAGTCACCGGGGCAACGCGCGGGATAGGAAGGGCCATCGTAGAGCGATTATCGAAGGAAGGGATGAGTTGTATTATGGTGGGCTCAAGGATAGAAAGCTTCGAGCCTATGTCTAAAAACCCGCCAACTCTTCTAAATCAAGAGCAGTGGCATCGTGGACTGGCAATTGATTTTGCACAATGGCCTAAATGGATTGATGAAAATCAGTTTCGCGGGATCCACTTTTCCGAAAAGATGGAATCTAATGAACATCAGGCGGTAACTGGGAGCTGGCCCTTATTAAAACTGGAACCCGGGTACGAATTAGCTCTGCTTGTGAATGTTGCAGGAATTACTCAGGCGTCTCCATCAGTGTTGTGCAGTCCCTTGGAGATGCAAAAATTGATGAATATTAATTTCTTCAGTGCTGTGAGCATGTGCAACGCAGCACTGCGATCTATGATCCGGTCTCGCAAACGGCAAAGTCGTGCGCCGTGCATCCTGAATGTTTCCTCTGTCTTGGGGGAGTCCAGTGTCGATCCCGTGGCTGGCACCTCCGTGTATAGTGCGACCAAAGCTGCATTGGCTCAATATTCGCGGGTTTTGGCTGCCGAGGTGGCTGGTACAGGCATCAGAGTGCATTGCGTCTCGCCTTCTCTAGTTCCTGACACAGACATGATCCAGAATTTGAACGACCAGGCGCGAGAGAGGCTTTTCGCTCATTTCGGTGACAAACCCGACACGCACATTCAAACTAAAGACGAAATCGCAGCAAAAGTATGGCAACTTTATGAGGAATCATGACCAAGGATGTAGAAGATGCAAGACATCGTCAGAGGAACTTCCCACAAGGAGCCTGACTTTACCATGATGAGAAAAAAAAAAAAAGCAAGTGGGAAGACGGGTTCAAAAAGAACGAAACTTCAGGACAACGACCGAAGCTATCCCAGCGCCAATTAAGATATGGAGAATACAACTCTCCTATGTTAAACCCTAGTGCATTACGTTATGACATTTCGGACCGCCGTCTTCAATTTCATGAGTACACTAGAGCGCACGTGATCACTCGACGAGTACACTTGACGCCGCTTACTTAAGCAGCTCATCGCCTAATATATCCATCAATATTACCGAAATTTTCTTTTTCCTTCAGTCGTGGTGAAGAAGATGAGCCTAAAAAATTTTCAGACTATAAAAGGCGACGATGACCATCGGGTTAAGATTTGACCGATGTCAAAAACAAGAACTTTTGGATTTGTTTACTTGTTTGTTTGTTGACTTGTTCAAAACTTGAAAGACTAGTGCCACAATGCTTATTTACAAGGATATTATCTCTGGTGACGAATTGTTGTCTGACGCTTACGACCTACAATTGGTCGACGGTGTTATCTATGAAGCCAACTGTGACATGGTCAAGGTTGGTGGCGACAACGTCGACATTGGTGCCAACCCTTCCGCTGAGGCCGGTGACGACGATGTCGAGGACGGTTCCGAAGTGGTCAATAACGTTGTGCACTCTTTCCGTCTACAACAGACCGCCTTCGACAAGAAGTCGTTCTTGACCTACATCAAGGGCTACATGAAGGAGATCAAGAACAAGCTGCAAGAAACCAACCCAGACCAGGTGACCGTTTTCGAAAAGGGTGCCCAGGCCTACGTCAAGAAGGTTATTGGCTCTTTCAAGGACTGGGAGTTCTTCACCGGTGAGTCCATGAACCCAGACGGTATGTTGGTGCTTCTAAACTACCGTGAGGACGGTACCACTCCTTTCGTGGCCATCTGGAAGCACGGTGTTCTAGAGGAAAAGATCTAAGGGGCGTCAAAGCTCAAGGGCAGATCGTGGACACTTTAATAGCTACGAGGTGTAATCAGAATGTAGTGACTCTAGTAATATATTATTTCTTTGAGGAAAAAGCATGCTGGAACAGGCGGAAACAGGCGGAAACAGGTGCCGGATAAATGAGGGTGCTGGCCAGGAAAACTCATGAGACAGTTGACATTGCTGAATCTAGGCGCCATCAACAGCGTTCGAATTGGTTCCACTTCTTGCCCGTGGAAATTTACGCAGTTGTCTTAACTATTACAGCTGGCGTTCGTAGTTAGTGTTTCGGTTATAATGTAATTTAGATCTCAGCCATTGTTTATAAACTACAAAATCACCAAAACCCGAAGAAGAGTTGATTCCTGTTTGTTCAAGTGTACCCATCCATTGACAACCATGAGTTCTCCTGCAGTGTCTGCAACGTATACTCTGCCAGGAGTAATGCACTACCTGCAAACGGAGTTCACCAGAAATGAACGGGATCGTCTGGGCTGGGAGCTGGAAAGAAGCGAAATGAAGACCCGTATCGCGCAGCTTGAAGGCGAAAATAGAACTCTCAGATATGAGCTGGCAAAATTCAAGGACGCAGACATTAGTGGGGGTAGGACTGCGGTCGATGCCTCTATTCAAGAGCCGCTCTTGTTGAAGTCCAAGCTCGCAGTTCAGGAAAATGTTAAAGAAATAGTTTATCTTCTAAGGAGTCCCAATGTTACAGAACATCTCCAAGGCTTGCGTGATTCTAGTGATGCGGTGCATAGACTTGAAAATTTGAATTTAAGTGCCAAGACTTCACAAACTTCAAGTCCTGTGATACAACAGGGGTCCCTAACGCAAGCGGAGGTTAATCTTCAGCGAGACCACGGCTCAACACAGCTGCGTCAAGCAGCCGTCGCTTCTTTTTCCCCGGATGAACCAACTTTCCAACCTGTGCGTGTCGATGCTGACGTAACAGAAGATAGTTCTTACGAGGTAGGTTCGGAATCAGGCACCATCGTCCCTGAGCAAGCACCTGTACATAGGCCAAGAGCCTCCTCTCTTTTCTCTTCTAGTCCTGGAAGTCCGGTAATCAATGCAGTTTTGCGTTGTAAGCGTCTGAGATATCACCTAGCTGGAATTGAAAACCTCATCATTTCTCAATACAACATGCTTTCGTATGCAAGAGACGGCCTATTGAAACATTGGATGATAGAGCCAAACTTGAATTGCAATGAAAAACTGACGAAGAGTTTCCACGGCCTTGGACCTATGGTTTTGGACATGTTTTGGCTAGATAATCAAACCTTTCTCACTATAGATAACTTTGGGTTAAAAGTTTGGCAAACCTCTGAGAGTGCCCCGCTCTCCACACTTGATGTTTTCAACGACGAGTCTCTTGTCAGCTTTCCAGACATACAAAGCGTCAATTTCAAAAACAAGTGGTTGATGCTAACGACCAATAATGCCGTCCATATTTGGGAGTTGTCGATAAGTGCCGAATCAATCAAAATTGTAAGCGAGAATACACTGGACAAGCTGGGAGTGCTACTTGATTCCATCCTTGGTATGACCGAAAAATCATTAATAATTTTCAAGCAGGACCCATACGAACTTGTTATCTACACGTTCCAGAACGAAGTTCTGCAAACGATAAGTCTGCAGGACGACATCACAGCAGCTTTTCAGGATGTGAGTACTATTGACGATTCTTGTCGTCGCTTGTTGTTGAACAAGCGGAGCTCAAAGTTACTGATCCAGCTAGGGGACTTCATTGCAGTATACTCTTTTGACCGTAGGAAAGTTGTTCTAGCCGCGCGTTTAGAATTGATTCCAACGAGCATTGTGTTTCGCTCCACTAAAGACGATGTAATTCTGGCGTTTGATGACGGCACCATCGAAATCAGGAATGTAGCCAGTTTTTCAAAAGTCTTGAAAACTTACAATCATTATGATGACGAGACCGAATACGAAGATGAAAGTGTTCCAAAATCAGAGAAGAAATCCGACGATAGCACACTCGCAAAACTGCGGCAAAGCGGGCACAAGGGATTGATCATCGATACCGCAGATATAGACTCTACCACCGTCATCATCTCCGGCGGGGATGATGGCATGATCAGAATGGAGAGGATCACAGATAACACTTAAGATCTTATTTCGGAAGATGCACTCAAATACTTCACAATTGCATTCGCTGGATTTCATTTCTCAGATTTAGATTTGAAAGAGCCGCTTTTCAAAATCATTTTCAAAGCCGAAACACCGAGACAGGACCATGAACATCTCATTAACCGTTTGCTTAACGTACACTCGGAGCTTTGTGCCTCTTCTGAAGGTTGAATACCAGCATCAGTACTGCTTGCGGCAGTTGTGGTCACAGCTAAGCTGGATACTCGCTTCTGAATTGCACAGCTCTACTCAAAATCGGCTGACTACACACAGGTTAGTAGAATAGGCGGCGTTTCAAGCGGCAGCCGTAAGACGAAGCTTATGCACTCGGCCTCGCCAGTGTGATATGATATAACGTAAGCTGCTAGAATGAGTATAAGGAGTCTGTTGGTAACATTTAGTTGGATTGAACGGACTCATTGAACCGGGAAATTATCACCTTGCGACTGAAAGAAACCAAGCAATTGTGATGTCCAAAACAAAGGACCTGCAGTCATTTCTAGCGTAGGGTGTCGCCTAAATGGGAGTGTTTCCCTTACCTCACGAAACAACCATCGGCAAAGCTGGAAAAGACCGCATCTTTAAGAGAACTTATAGCCTTGCTTTGCATAATATTTAGAAGACATCCTCAGTGCATCGGCTGCCTGGATTCCGACGACAGTCAAGGAGATGCGTGTGTTGGTTCATCGATTTTCTACGTAAGAAATGCCTCTATCTATAATTTAACTCGAAGTTAAGCATACATCTTTCTTGAAGTCAACACCGATTTTGACTGATTGATAGAGTGTTGTAGCGTGAAACTGGAGCTGAGAATGGCTACCACCATTCCATCCCTTTGCAAAGTCGATGCCGGCTTACAAAATTACGAGAATCTGGCAAAAACTGGCAGTGTTGTTGATCTTTACTTCAACGAAAAATCCAAATCAAGCTACTCGAGAAGCGCTCTGAGCGACTATTCCAACACCCTTCAGCTTGCTGGGGGGGAATACATATGCTATCAGCTCTCAGCTGAGTACTCTGTACTATCATTGTACTCTTTGGGTGATGCTTCTGCTGGTAGAACTTTGAAAGCCCATCTTCCACAGCAGCTTTTCCATATGCATCACACCTTTACCATCAGGGAAAACGGGAATCTCTTGGTGATAGAGATGATCTTAAGCGATGGCTTATACCTTATTGTTAGTTTGCCCGTGAATTGCCTACTTGATAGAATCACCGACATTCCTGAGAATTGGTTTGTGGCGGTGAATCCGTACGATTTCACGGTAAGAAAACCCCAGTACGTTCATTCCGTTTCAGAGGACTTAACGGTCGTTTTCCTTGAGGATGGTGGTCTCTTGGGCCTAAGGAGAAGGTTGAACGAGAAAGGTCAACTCGATATGGCGCCAATATTGTTCAATGACAACAGTTACTTGCTAGGTTTGAGCAGACTTTTCTTTTCTAAAGAGAAAACCTCGCAAGATAGTAACGTTGTTAGCTGTCTTCTATACCGAGAGCGGTTTCTGATTACCTTAACTCAGGGTTGCAGGCTAAAAATATGGGATCTCGAAAGGCAAGCTGTGATATTTGAGAAGCACCTTGCATCCGAGCAAAAAAATGTTAACAGGATGTATGAAACATTAGGACAGTTTCTCTCCCTATTTGAAGACAAGCTTGCAATATTTCTGCCATTTGAAAATGGCCTCTTTCAGCTATGGGATTTGCGGTTAGACAGCAACGGTGGGCTGCTGTTGAGTCCCGGTAGCATTTACCCTTGCAACCTCACATCATCTGCCATTTGGTCACTAGTGGATATGAAGCTTACCAAGCCTCTTGAAGGTTTAGGGCAAAATGGCTTCGTCAACATCGTGGTACTTTGGAAAAGTAATAGGATTATGAAATTGCAAGTCTTGAATATTTTAGAGAACAACCTGCCGATGCATCAATGGCTGGATGCTACGAATCAGTCGATCGGTGACCTTCGTACGGATCTTTCCTTCGAAAGTGACTTCAACGCAGCTGACAGGCTATTGATTCTCAAGTCTTCCTACAACTCGGAGCTTTTGAAGCAAGCTGAAAAAGTGCTAGGGGAAAACCAAGTACTGATTTCTCCTAACCAAAGTGAAAACGATGAATATTTTCTCAATCTAGAGTCAGTTCTGAAAGATCTAAAGAAACAAAACGATGAGCCATCTTCCCTCACACTTTATCAAAATGGTATAATTCTCGTCAATTCACTGTCTCTGTATTCTCATGCTCTCTACAGAGTGACCACATCACTAGAAAGCAGCTATTACAGCCTGAGAAAGGAGGAAAACTCAGGTGACGCTTTAAACAGATTTCTAGGAACAGTCGAGGGTTTTGCAGCAACACTGCCGACGCATGTTCTTACAAACATATCATCTGCTTTGGTGGAGGCTGTGACTTCTCATTTCCCACATCAAATACCCCTCAAAGAAGTGTTTTCGAGCTTGTTTTCGCAACATTTAGCAGGCTCGTTTCACATCGCTAACCTAAAAAAACTATTTGAAGATCTGAATCAGTTTGATGTAACAGTTGTCTTGCAAAGTTTTTTTGATAACATGCTGCAGCGGTCTGAACTAGATCACGCCTTGGTTGATTCTGTTTATCCGAACTCACTCATGAACGTGGCTATTCTGGAAAGCACTCATCAGGCCGTTCTGATTCAAAATTCTTTTATTTGCAAAATCGCTCTGATCTTTGCGTTCATGGAATTCGAAAACACGACCCTCCAATTGCGCTTCCAAGAGCAACTAGAAACCTTGCTAGAATTTCACTACAAGCAGCAGTTGTGGATTCAACTTTACCGATTGGACAAAAATCTTTTGGCGTCTGAAATGTTGGCCAGAACCAGCAAGTTTGGAAAAGGTCACAGAATCAGTTCATATGCCGAGTGGTCTTCGGCTCAGGCAGTCATCCTCAAAGAGCTCTACAGCATGGCTGTTTCTCCTAATCCTCTTTTTATCGAGAGTTTTGATGCGTTCATAGTCTCAGGAACACGCAGCTCTCAAATGAGTATTCTCTTTTTGACCACAATCCAAAAAAGCTTTTATATCCATTCTAATGTTGCACACGAGTTTATGTTGGGGCTGGCATTTTTCGTTTGTGGGGTGTATGATCAAGCTTTCGAGTTTCTTAAAAAACACCCTTATCCCGATGCTCTACCCAAAGAGATGCCGGATCGTCTTTTCATGCCACTTCAGAAAGATGGTCATCTATGGCGCGACGTTGTTGGCTCTTTCAAATTGCCCAACAAGCATGCGGCGTATTATTTCCATCTCTCAAAGCTTTTCTCGATTGCAAAGAGCTATGATTACGCCCTAAGGTGTGCCAAAAAGTCGATCAAATTGTCTGCTGAAAATACGAATGAGGAAGACACACAAGATGTCAAAAGTGCTCAACTTTTACAATACCTTGACATTCTTATTGTATTTTGTGATTACGAAGAGATTCTTGACGTTCTTCGGTGCAGCCCAGATATAAACCCAGAAAGCGTGAAAGCATCTTACTATGGAAGGTTAGTATCAAGCCATATGCATAAGGAAGCATTTTTGTCTACGCTGCTGAACCTTTGTGCCAAATCAGAAGGACTTTACTTGACAACTCAAGATTATAACCTGATAGACAAGATATTACGTCAGGATATTGCAACAGGTAGTTGGATAGCTTTCAAGAGAGTCTATGCTTTCAGGTTAGTTAATGGCCAGGCCCGTTCTGCTGCTGAGGCGTTGTATGACTATGTCATTGTCGGTGATGATAAGGATATCAAAAAAAGATGTTTGCTACTTATCGTTAACATCATGAATACGTTTTCAGCCAAAAAAGACAGATGGTTCATCGCAGGCGGCCAATTGATTACAATTGATTACTTGAGGCAAGGACTAGATAAACTAGACAACCACAAAACGAACGTATCCGCTCATTAGTTACTTTACAGGATGTATAATAATTTAGACCGATGTGGAGAGAGAAGAACCGTACAGTCCCATCAACCGCGATTCATAGTGTTACCGCTACCCTTGGCATGAGTTTCCTTGAACTCATCCCAGTCCCGAGCTTTGTAAGTCTGTTCATCCTGCCAGTCTTGATTGTCTTCGTCATGCTCGGGCACCTGCTCTTCACCGCCCTGAAGGACACGTCCATTTTCAAACTCTTGATCAAGGAATTCCTCCACTGACATTGTGGGACCATATTGGCCGAATCCAAAAACTTTCTTGTTGAGCTGGGCTTTCTGATCTACAAGCGTGAAATTGCGAAGCACTTTGCCAGTTTTAGATATCAGTGGCTTGTTAAGTGCTTCTAACTTCTCGGTATATTGCAGAGGGCTCGTTTTCTCTCCCGCGATCGCGCTGGCGTCGTTTGCAGGAGGTAAATCTGGACTTGCGACAAAATTAGAGAGCAGCTCGATTTCGAAGAGTACCTGCTCTGTCTCGTGTACAGCTTTTGATGCAATCTGTTGCAGCTTAGTCTTCAGCAAGTCCCTGACTAGTTCATCATCGCCTGCAGATGTATCCTTAATTCTTCTCGATTCCAAGGCATTGAGCTTGGACTCTAGCTCTTTATCGTGCTGAAAAGCCTCGATTTTCTGTTGTCTCTTTAGCTGCGCGGATGATAGATCTTTTGCGTCACTTGGTTGTGGATATAGGTCCTCAAGTTTCGGGTCGTAGGGATCGTCCATACTATCAAGTTTTTTGGATAGCCCTTTACTGAGAATTCCATAGTTCTGTAAGGATATTAACAACTGCATGTACAGCTGTACCGACTTGCGAAGAAATTTGAGCCTTATGCGATTCCTGCTTTTTACGTCGTCCAACTGAAATGCTTGCTTTTTAGAGAGAAGCCATGCTAGGTGATAGTCAATCGCCAGTAGAGGCATCGAAGAAGTGCTAACGTCTTCGAGCCCTTCATTATCACTGAAAAGCGCCAGTTTGGAAAATACCAAGTTTTTTATTTCCAGAAACTGTGCGATGTTGCTTGTTAAAAGTTCTTGAAATTCTTGAGAGTCTTGTCTCAACCCACTTGCAGCAATTTGGGTTTCTACCTGATTCACCAGCTGGTGAAACTGGTCTTTCACGGACGACATTGTTGGTGCTAGAAGCCGTTATACGTGGGAGTTTCCCGCAAGGTTCAAAAGAATCTACCTATGTCAAGTAACCAAATTCATTAATTTTACCGACTACAAAAAAGATACATAAACACCTAAAAATCCATCTTTACTGTTCACCTGTTTTCTTGGAATTGCAGGCCACAATCCTTACCTTGTCGACCACAACGGTGTTACCTTGAGCATCCTCTGTTTGTTCAAGTTTTACGCTGCAATTCTTTATAATGAATGTCCACACATCATCGCAGAAACGATATGTGTCTAGATGACCTTTGAATGTGAGCTTACTCTGTGTCTTATCCTTAAGGGTCTCGGCCACAACCCTATCGAATGTGCCTAGCACCTTCATTGCGAGTGAGGCTTCGATGCGACCATCGCTAATCAGGGTATCGAGTGCGTCCACCAATGTGGAACCCACAGTGCTTCGACGATAGAGCTCGTAGAAACCAGAAGTGCTCATCGCAAGCCAAGGAAAAGACGATCAAGTTTCCTCCAGCACTCGGATGAATATATAGGTAGCTCGAACAGATGAAGCCCGGCACTGGTTTGTAGCGCTGATTATCTTAAAGCGCATGTCACTGGCAAAAGTAGTATGTAGATAAGTTGTTATTTGAAGGCATCGAATTGAAGTCGTGTGTAGTGATGTTGGTAAGAAGTGTGAAGTTGTTGATTCTCTGAACTATGCCTTCGAAGTTCTTTATAGCGGTTCATGAAGTTATGGACAATGATATTGGTGAGCAACTGTTGCTTGTCTTTCTTTCCAGCAAAACCGAATCTTCAAATGTCATCCTGCTACGGGATGGAGCGAAGCTCGTTAAAAATTATAAAGAAGTAAACTCGAAATCTCGAAGTTTTGATAGTTCTTGTTGATTTTGAAGAAAGAGGTAAGCAATCGTGGTGCGATCAAGCTGTGTCCGCTTGAGACGGCTACTTTGAACATTCATAATTTTTGTTATTGTCAGGTGTCACGTGACACGTGACTGTATAAGTTTCTCGAATTACTGCTAGTAAGTCGACGAGTTACTAAGCAGCTGTAACACCGCTTCGTTATTGCAGACCCAACTAATCTAAATCTCTTTCTCTCTCGTGTTTTGAAGTCATATTTGAGTCACGTGATTCTCTATGCCCTAGTTTAAATTAAGCCTACATAATAAGAATATGGAATTCAGTGAAATGAATGACAAGACCGATGAGCTAGATCTGAAAGGCAACTGCTGTGACCATTAGATACGATTAATAGCTAGACGCTTCTATACAGCACACTAGAAATGTCTAGTACCATTTTCTACAAATTTCGGTCTCAAAATGGGTCGTCCAGAATTTTGTTCGATGGTACTGGTATAACAGTATTCGATTTGAAGCGAGATATTATCCAGGACAATCGATTGGGTGATGGCACTGATTTTCAACTGCGTTTGTACAATCCAGATAGCGGAGAGGAACTCGAGGATGACTCGCAGGTCATCTCACGGTCATCGAACGTTGAAGCTCGGCGATCTCCAGCTATTAAGGTGAATGGGCTCAATGGACGTATATCTCTGGGTAATGCCGTTAGATACGTGACTGGTAAACCAAGGGTCACCAAGACCGGTAGCAGCGCACCTGCAGTCACAAGCCAGGCGATTAGTACGAAGGGCATGAATGAAGAAGACGCTATCGCCAGCATGTTTGCCAATCAGGAAAGTCAATGGCAGCAAACCCAACAAGATATGGCGGGTGCAACACCAGTATTCCACAAGACCGGCAATGTAGCTGGCCAAGATGAAGGGCCTCCGCCACCTGGCTATATGTGCTACCGATGCGGTGGCAAGGACCATTGGATCAAAAACTGTCCTACAAATTCAGACCCTAACTTTGAGGGCAAGCGCATACGGCGGACCACAGGTATTCCTAAAAAGTTTCTCAAATCAGTGGATGTGGATCCCTCTACTATGACCCCTGAGGAAATGGCTCAACGGCGCATCATGGTCACGGACGATGGAAGTTTTGTGGTTCAAGTCGCGGATCAGCATTCGTGGGAAGATTATCAGAGAAAACAACAGTCGCGCGCCATGAACCAAAATGACATGATATGGGATAAGGGTCACTTTCCAGATCTACCGGACGATCTGAAATGCCCCATAACTGGTGGACTGTTAAAAAATCCCGTTAAAACTAGTAAATGTTGCGGCAAAGATTTCTCGCGGCAAGCTTTGGAAGACATGCTGGTAGAAAATGATTTTACATGTCCTGCTTGCAACCAAGGTGATATTTTACTAGACTCGCTAGCCCCAGACGAAGACAAAAAGAAAGAAGTTGAAAAGTTTTTGGACGAGCATAGCGTCAAACGTAAAAACAACGGCGAAGACGCAGAAACATCAAAAAAGCCAAAATTGGCCATGCCCGTCCCGCCTTTTGGTATGCCCTTCCCCATGTTTCCAATGCCGTTCGTACCCACCATGAATCCTGCCAAGAAATGATTTTTTAATATATGTTGCATATGTAGGGGTTTGAAGTTATATCTGCATTTACTGCTGACCATCACAGAAGCAGATGACAGCATATTTACCACTCGAAGACCACCATGATGCAGGTTCGGTCTTTTTCTCAGCTTCCCACAAAGAACATAGCTTTTCGTCGGTACCGGGAGCCAATCCAACAACGACATCCGCTTTACATGTTCTCAAACTTAATGTTTTCACACCGTTCTTGGCTAAAGGCCCGATAGCAGTCTTCCATTCGGTGGTGCGAGGCCATTTCCTATCACCCGTCAATTTCCTGTAGTTCAAGTCACCTTTAAATATTACCAGATCACTGTGCAAGAGCTTGCTGTGAATTTGAGCTCCACCATATTTGGTCTCAGATGGATCAATATGACTGTAGTCCAAGTCTAAGGTCCAGAAGGGATCTTCGGTAAATGCGAGTTGACCGGAAGCGACATGTTGCTTGAGGGTCTTGACTAGAAATAGCAATGAATCCCGACCACTTTGAGCATCACCTTCAAGGGCTGTCAAGTCGAAAAAATCTGGGGAACTCATGTCTTCTAGTAATAACTCATAGTCCTTGATCATGCAATCACTCACCATATATGGGATATCCTTAGCGTGGAAAATGCATTTTTTTGCAATGCCAGTGTCAAGTAAGAAAAGTGCTAACATCAGATCGGCATAGACTTCGAAACCAGAGTTGTCGAGAACAAAGTCAACCTGCTTTGATTTGGACGAGTTCAATTGAGCCCAAGCCTTGCTGGTGTCGTTGACCAAGATCTTGGATTCAGAGGCCTTTCTTGCTTCTTCACCTTGTAATGACTTGATGTCCTCTAAGGTCGCGTTGGTCAAGAGAGAGAGATCCGTGGCATTGCCCCACAGTGAGATCTCGATAAACTCTTTGAATAGAATTTCAAGTGTTTCGGAGTCCGCCTGCTTCAACTGAGATTCCAGTTTACGGTACCGCGTGGCTAGCTCCACAACGCCAACCATAGATTTCTGGAAAGTGGACTGCTTTAGCCTGTTGAAGATGTCGAAATGAGCCCAAGACTTGTAGCTGCGAAACAAAACATTGACCCGGCGATACAGGTAGATCTCACAGAAAAGCCATCCACCTGTTTGCCAGGTTTGTGGTGTCGAACTAATAACGTCATTGAAGGACTCTGGGACCTGTGCAATACTTATTTCCTCCGGCGTGAAGGCCCTTATCGGTTTGTCGGATTTTATCTCCTGCCTTAATAAAACCAATTGGTCCTTGATTGTCTGGCCATCTCTGAATGCATCAGAGCTAGGTTCGATAGTGCTCAGTTCTGTCTCCATATCTTCAATGGCATTACCCACGATGATTGGCCATCTTGAACTAGCAGTATAAGCACCAAAGGTGCCCTCATCGTTGTTTTTGAAAGTCTCTGGCAAGCTCATGGTTATTGTGGTAGAAAACAGTCAATTTGTCTTCGAGGGTCGAGGTTAAACAAAGACAAGCCGCGACGAGTAGAATCGTCAATATAAATATACCTTAGATTCCATCTCTATCCGTCCCTGATGATTTCCCCATTGAGTTTGTTCCGTAGGGGAAAACACCCGAGCGAGATGAGTAATAGTCGTGACGACACTCGACCTTCTGGCCATTTGTTTGAGTGGCTATTGGAGGACTTTGTCTTACGCTCTAGACCAGAGCCTCTTGTTTTCGAATTGGCTTCGAATCAAATTAGAGCGTTATGTTGTTTTCCAGCTTGTTCATTGGTAAGCTTTTCGGGAAAAGTCCACCATACGTATCCTTCCAGCGACACAGCTCAAGTGGTCAAATACCGAAAGCTCCTTGTACTTGAAGGATTAAAGATTCTTGATTATAGCTTTCAGACGAAGATTTGGCGGTTCTTTGAAATATTCTCATGTTAGAGTAACTGTTGTGATTGCTTCACGTGCCTATCAACGCAGAATTGTCACTAGGGTAAATACTAACCTCTATGTCCGGTGTAAAAAAATGTCCACGCTTTCAGATCGAAATCCGTTTCGATAAAGATCAGGTATTTATAAGATCTCGAAAAGGGTTTGAGCGGGGGCTTTAACGTATCATTTTGATCAAACCAGAATAATATAGGAATGATCACATCTATAATGATAACGTCAAATTAATGCCCGAGTGATCGTACACACGTGACAGGTGACAGCGTCAGTATTTCCAGAATAGCTAAACAGCTGTTTACACCGCTAAAAAACCTGCTTCCTGAAGAACGGCAGGAATAGTTTATTATGAAATAAAAACACGCGGCTGCTTAGAAAACCACTGATCTGAAGGTTGCGGGCTCTTGCAGCTTCCCCAGTTTAAGGTGATTTCGAAAACCATGACCAAACCAGCGAGCCATTTTAACGCTTGGCACGAGAGATTCTGCTAGGTCCGGTAGAGTATCAATTGTGAATTGAAAGCAATGAAAGGTAAGACGTTTATTTTGCAAAAATGTAAAGCTTTCGGGTTCAAACAAGTTCATGCAGGACTTCTCAACTTTTAACTGGAGCTTCCCTAGATTGATATAGCTTCTGGCTGCATCGAGCTCTAAAGTGTAGACCACTCTGCTGCAAGACTATGCAGATAAATATATTAATGTTTTGTTCAGGAAGGCTTGCATTAGAAGATTTAAATTAAAGACGAGCGTCACAATGTGCATGATCAAACCATGTGTCCAAACACACTTCGATTATATGTATGTCGTTTTTCGTGATGGATTTTCAACTTGAATAAATACGGCACCTTTCTTAACCCCGATTTCTTACCACATTGGGAAACGAGGTAACTATCTACGAACGAGTCCTCTCGAACATTACCTCGTTCCCAGGTTCAGGGCATGTCAGTATCATGCGTCATTATCAATTAATTATTCATCACTGGGAATTACCGTGACATTTTAGAATCTATAAAACTAGTGGCGCCTTCGAGAATCCTAATGAGGTTCGGACTTGCTTAAGTGGCGGTTCTAACCAAAACTCCCATTGTTTACAAGTCATCACTCCGGTCGATCTCTTTGCACTGTCAAAACTATTTTTGAAATCTTAGCGTCCGATCCACCACTTGATGTTCGGGCACGTGAAGAGACGACAGCGACAAAATTTTAATCAAGTGGGCAAAATTACAGCGACGACTAATAGTCGCTAGTAACTTGTGACTCAAAATTGACCCAAGAGCTACATTTGCACTGGTGTTGAAAAATCTGGGGTTTTCATTAAGGAAACTGAACCTCTAGCGTTTCACGGAGCATTAACATTCCAAACTTGAGATAAATTGAAATTTCGTTTAGAGGCTCACCTAGCGGGGCTTGTCCCACTGCATATGATCGATGTGTGGACGGCTATGACAAATTCGAAAAGAATCCCTTTATAGACGAATTAAGTTAGTGCCGACCCATAATTTATTGACTATGCGAAAAAATCCAATCACTATAGACGAAACTACGAATTTCTACCGCATTTGGAAATTGTGTACAAGCTCGGTCACTTCTAACGTAATTATCCCATCAGACACATTTGCATAATGATAAAAACCATCTGCCAATGAAATCCCTATCTGCGCGCTTTATACTCACTCAAACTCTAACGCTGGCTGCTCTCTAGTGAGCCATAAGTCGCATTGCTGCCACACGCTGTCACGGGCCAGATCACTTCACACTAATGTGTCGCTGACATTCATTAGCCCAGCGGAACTTTTTCATGCCATACAGTAGCAAACATACACCCATCAAACGACGATTTTTTCTGAGATAAGTGATCTTATGCAAAGCAATCGTATATGCGACCATGTGAGCGGTACTCTCAGCCAGCGCCGGAGTTAGGTTCAATCTGTGCTTACTCCCACCCCCGCCCTCAACCACTTCTTAGCAACCTTCTCGTGTATAATGCAAACAATCAATCACGTTTCACACCAAAAACGTTGATCGACACCTAATCAAACCTAACCTAACCTAACCTAACCTCTTACGTCAGCGCCCTCCGCTCCTAACCGCTGTATTTTCCTATCTTTTTGCGCTTCCTCGACTTCCGCTCTCGGCTTCCTGACTTCCTGTATGCCTGGGAAGCCTCCAGGTCATGTGACTGATAAATTTTTTCATCAAGAACGTCATTTTTCAAATCATAAGCTTTCCTTCCACTATCACCAGCAAAACCCATCACGAGAGGGCAAAGTATAGTGCCAAAAACTGCTGATTCCTTCGTCAAACCACGCAAGCGGCACACTTTGTCTGCGAAGAAAACCCCAGAAGCCCGTGCACTAGCTCTTCTAACCAATTCAATCTTTGGAAGAGAAACCAGACACGGTTGGAGGCTGGCGGAGAGACAGGAAAAAAAAACAACCCAGCAAAACAACTCAGAATCTCCCACCACCAATACCACCACCACCACCACCAACACCACGCGCAATTGAAGTGGTCCCATTGCGTAGTAATTTTTTTTTTTTACAGCAATGCGCCATCGCCCTACAGCCCAAACCCTATATAAGCACCACCATCTCACTCCCTCTTTCCATAACGACCTATACACTTCCTTTAAATTATTCTTATTCACCACTCAACAACTAATCATATAAACTAAAAATGGGTGTTCTACAAGTTCTAAAGAGAAAGTCCGGTGTCATTGTCGGCGAAGATGTCAAAGCTTTGTTCGACTACGCTACCGAGCACAAGTTCGCCATCCCAGCCATCAACGTCACCACTTCCTCCACCGTCATCGCTGCCTTGGAGGCCGCCAGAGACAACAAGTCTCCTATCATCTTGCAGACCTCCAACGGTGGTGCTGCCTACTTCGCCGGTAAGGGTGTCTCCAACGACGGCCAAAAGGCCTCCATCGAGGGTGCCATCGCCGCTGCTCACTACATCAGAGCCGTTGCCCCATCCTACGGTATCCCAGTCGTCCTTCACTCCGACCACTGTGCCAAGAAGCTATTGCCATGGTTCGACGGTATGCTAGCGGCCGACGAAGCCTACTTCAAGCAACACGGTGAGCCTTTGTTCTCCTCTCACATGTTGGATCTTTCCGAAGAGTCTGACGACGAGAACATCGCCACGTGTGTTAAGTATTTCACCAGAATGGCCAAGATGCAACAATGGCTAGAAATGGAAATCGGTATCACCGGTGGTGAAGAAGACGGTGTCAACAACGAACACGTCTCTCGTGAAGACTTGTACACCAAGCCTCAAACCGTCTTCGCTGTCCACGAAGCTCTAGCTCCTATCTCTCCAAACTTCTCGATCGCCGCTGCCTTCGGAAACGTTCATGGAGTTTACGCCCCGGGTAACGTCCAGTTGAGACCTGAGATCTTGGGTGACTTCCAGAAGTACGCTGCTGAGAAGGTTAAGGCTCCAGCTGCCTCCAAGCCATTGTACTTGGTCTTCCACGGTGGTTCCGGTTCTTCTCAGAAGGACTTCAACACCGCCATCGAGAACGGTGCCGTCAAGGTCAACGTTGACACTGACTGTCAATTCGCCTACTTGGAAGGTATTAGAGACTACGTCTTGAAGAACAAGGACTACCTAATGACCCCAGTCGGTAACCCAGAAGGCGCTGACAAGCCAAACAAGAAGAAGTACGACCCAAGAGTGTGGGTTAGAGAAGGTGAGAAGACCATGTCCAAGAGAATCACTGAAGCCTTGGAAGTTTTCCACACTGTCAACCAATTGTAAGTTGAGTCGATTAGCTTGACCTAAGTAGACAAGTATTTTTATGTTTAACGCGAGTACGTCAGATTGATATTGATTAGGAAGGTGTGAAAACGTCAATTGGAGATTTAGCTGAAAATTAGATGTAAATCAATAAAGCTTGAGCCGACGACGTCGCACTATGGCAGCGACTTCTGTCAAAGAAAACACGTATGGCTTAATTTGAAGCACCACGCAGGGTTTTCATCAATTGCTTTGTAGCCTACTGGTTTTAAAGCACCTGACCGTCAACTAATTTAATATTTGAAAGTACCAATAGGTTGAACTAGCCAAGACGCACCGCGTACACCTTACTTGAAGGTGAACAAGCACAATCATAATTGAATCATTACCGGGCTTGCTCATAAATGTTGCGGCACCACATGCTCTGATGCAAGTTTTGTCGGAGACTTTTATTACTGTGATCTGCAATGCAGAAAAACACCGTCTACCTGCGAAATTGTACTAAACTCTAAAAATCATCTTTTGTCTCGATGAGCTCTACTCAAAGTGCTTTGTTGAGGGTAAAACTCACATCTGACAAGTTTAAGTTCAGACTTACCCATGTTTCGAATTTTGCGTTCAATGTGTTTTGACAAACGACATGATTATCTACTGCGTGAGCGTGAAACTAAGTCGACACATGCTTCAAGTATCGGAACCGCTGATTGAGGTTCGAATATGCCCGAGACACTATTTGTTACCTTGCAGCTAGAAGTTGGGTATATGTGGTTATTTCGATCTAAAAGATGGGCACTAGGACACGCTGCTGAAACTATACTGAAACACGGACGAGACAACGACATATCTTAGTGGTAAAGGATGCAAAGTGGGAACAGCTCATCGAAACTAGACTAAAACTGGAATAGAATGAAAAGTTTGTTATAAAAACGAGAGTTTTCCAGCCCATGGCAAGAAGAACGGATGACACTTGTACAACATCAAGCAGCAATATGCCAGACGCGACAGACTTCCTCGGAGGTTTTGTCGCAGGGACACAGTTCATGATGGCTAATGGCGAAAGACGTGCCATCGAAACAATATCCGTGGGCGACCAGTTGATGAAAGATGATGGAACATCTGTAGAAGTCACTGCTGTGCCTCGTAAGGTCACCGAAACTGTAACGATTGATCAAGCTACAAAGCATACCGCGCATAAGAAAGATCCGACTCGCTCACCTCCATGGGGAGTCTTCAAATTCACTTGCGCAAAACGTCAGTCATTCAAATTTGCGACTTTTCAAGTCAAGAAAGACTATGAAAAAAAAATCGGCAAAAGAATCGTCAGTATTCACATAGAGGTGCTTACACGAACCAGAGATGGGCGAGAGATTACTTTAGTCAAGACTAGAGACAAGATCTTTAGGCCTCGCGGTGATGAGGCTGTGGCAGCGCAATACATTGCTGAAAAAATGGATCCGTACCCGGATAATGTGATATATTGGGATTGTGAACTGGCTGATTTGGAATACTTGACCGCTGCACCAAAAACCTCAACTTATTTAAGCTTTTATCCGCTCGTTTTTGAAAAGCCTGTTTTGCTGCCATGGTTAGAGGAGCATTTTAAGCGTGACGTATCAGGCAAAGACTTGGAAGGTATGGCATGGTTACTTGGATTTTGGGTTGGGAATGGTTTCAAAAGAGGTCCAATATTTGCGTTGCACTCTGAAGATCTTGATGTGAGTGGCCGCTTGAATCTAAATGCCAAATTGTGGGGCATGGATTTGATTATCAAGAAGGTAGGTCCAAGCGATAGCAAGAAGGCTAACGGTTACCTGCACACCTACAGTGGGACCCAACGCAACTTGTATCACCAGAGTCCAATTTGTGAAGTTTTGTCTGGGTTAGGATTTTGGGAAAATGGACGTAGAGGAGCAGCTAAAAAAGTTCCAGACTTTGTCAGAATTGATCAAAGAATCGTTCGGGAAGCCTTTTTGGCTGGTTTAATTGATTCTGATGGCTCCACACGCATTCAGGATAATAAAATAAGGGTAAAAATCGTGACAGTGCTACCTCCGGTTCGGGATGCAATCAACTCTATAGCGCGCTCATTAGGTTTGAATGTGACTGTCTACTTTTATCACGAACGAGTGCACAGGCTGGGATACCACGAGAGTGATGCGTGGACATTCAATATCCTTGGAGGTCTTAATCAAGACATTTTGCAGAGTATTTTGAATCGGTGCTCCTGTGAAAGGAAAAAAAACCCGCCAATTCAATACACCAGAACTAGGGATGTTGAGGAGTTTGAGGATCAAGGTGATCAGGAAAATCAAGAAGATCAAGATGATCAAGAGGATTCCACTGTATCAAACTCTATTATGGACGATCCAGAAACTGCAGAGTTGGAAAATGTTACTCCAGACTCTTACTTCGAGGAGCAACAAGGTACTACTGATGGGGACGTTTTTTTGAACCCAAATAGAGTAAATTTTAAAACAGGGAGCACTGTTGAGCAGGAAGTAATTGGTTTGATATGCTCTCATGATTGTCACCTTTTGACCTCCGATCAAATAGTTGTGGGAAGTTCGAAGTTGATGACCGAAGGGAGCGATGTCCGAGTGGGAGCCGTCACGACTTGCGAATCGTGTGAAAGCACGTCGTCGGACCATTGGTATCCATTGCCATGGGACAGGTTGACGTACCGGCGCCTATGCCGACAATGTTCACGCAGCTTGAGCGAGCTGTTGTTGAAATGCTACAAACATGACTGCAATCACATTCTGAAAAGGTCTCATCTTGCTTCATTCAGAAGATCAGGGACTGCCAAAATAAGGAGACAAATCAGAGGAAACCAGGTTGCAGAAGGATACCCTTGCACCAAATGCGGAGATGGAATTTACCTAAAAGTTCGTAAAAACGACAGGTCACAACAGTAATGACAGCGCGAAGCTGAATTCTCCATACTCGCAGAAGGGTCTCATTGCTAGTCAATTGCACAACTTCTGGCTGATATTGCTATCTCAGAATCCCGAAGACGAGGCGACTATTGAACCAACTCAAATCGTATGATCAATAGATTTCATAACTTACTTTTATCAAAAACCGCAGAAATGTGAGGAAAGTTCACAGCTTACTGTGAACGAAAGAAATAACAAAAGGAAGTGGGCATTAGCGACCAATTCGTCATTTCTTCTTAAAATGTTTTATGCTATAGACTCCTCATCGCCGACACTTTCAATCGACCGAACAAATAAATTAGGTCATCTCCACACTTCGGAAAATGTCCATGGAGTTTTCGCCCCTCATAACGTCCAGTTTAGACCTGGGGTTTTGGGTGAATTTCAGAAGTACGCTGTTGAGAAATGTAAGGCTCCAGCTGTTTCCAAGCTATTGTACTTGGTCTTCCACTCAAAAAGTCCTCATTGCTGGGTGGCTTAATTAATTTCCTACAGAATTGCAACCTTAGAACGCTCAATAAAGCATCTTCTCTTTTATTGATATGATTTATTTCTTCATGTGTTCCAGGGAAGTTGTAGGAGCTTGTCTCTCAATCGTTCTTGCTGCCGTTCTTACTTTTGTGAAGACAAGAACCTGATGTGCCATAATGCCACTTAACATCATCAAAACTAATCATATCCTGACTTCGAAAATATTGAGCAAACATTTGGGCACATGTCGAAAGCTTCTAATTCATATGCTCGAGCAACTCATCTGTGCCACTAGTGTACTGAAACAGATATTTTATTAGCGGACTAAGTTAACCAATGAATTATATAGAAGGATGCCAATAACGTGCTGCAACAATTGATAGAAATTAGTGACACGCTAGCTCAATGATAGAAGGATGTGTCACTCGTGCTATCAAATACAACTAGCAGATATCGTTTGAGCTTATCTTGAAAAATTGAAAGAAGGATGCTCAAACCGTGCTGCTAGAAACACAGGAATTTTCTGGTTAATCTGATAACCCAAACCAGTGTTTACTGTTGTACTTCATAAAAGAAACTTACCCATTATCTCATCTACCCTGGATGCAAAATCGGTATCAAAAATTGTGTCATAGCTCTTACGGGACTCAAGGCTATCAGACAAGCTGGTTGCACGAGCCTCAGCGTGTAGCTTGAGAAGTTTCAGCAAGTTACACTTTTCGCGGTACATGTTAACTGCATACTTCACCAGTGAACCAACTTGTGAACTCTTTTGGCTCAAGTTAACGGAGTGAAGCTGCTTATGAGCAATGCCAACGTCAAGCCAAATAACAGCATTGTCTTTGACATCTAGAACCATCGGAATATTGAATTTGGTTGAGGAGACTATATCAAATTTCTGTTCCACTGTTTTGGGCTCGAAGAAATCGCCACTAACACCATCTCTAAGCATGAATCCCGCCTTTGCCTTAAAAGTGTTGAAAGGTTGACCAGTGTAGGAGTTGAGCGTCACACCAATATAGCGCATGCCAGGACGTTGGGTTCTCACAGCATCCAAATCAATGTCAATAAACTCAGCTGCACCATTTGGTGCGTCGGTTACATCACCTGAGTGGGTGATCCCAGCACCCTTCAATCTATTGTATGCAACGACGCCTAGGTTTTCGTAGTCTTCTCCAAGTTTAAGGATGGACAAATCAACATCTACCCGTGAGGGCTTTTGTTCGGAGCATTCAGGTATGTTCTCCCAATACAGAAATAACCTAATGACTTTAGCACATTTGTCAAACCTGATTTTTGACCCTCGTGCTAGCGTTTTCAGTGATTCGGATACACATCGCATACCGGTGGGGATCATAAAGTCCTCCAGTTTTGGGTCAACGTACACAATTCCCAAAGAACCCAAAAGTTTGAATCTGCTGATGAGTGTAGCGTCTATCTCATTCCCCAGCTGGTGGCATTTTTCGTCTGAAAGAGTGAGTCTTTTGTCTTCATCCTCGACAAGCATTTTGGTCGCACGGCCCTTCGGCATATAGACTCGAATAGGCGACTTTTCGCTCCGATAACGAAAATGCGTTGACAGATTCAAGAGAAGTGGAGTTGCAATCCTTGCGGTGACTTTGAGAAACTCTTGGACGAGTACTTCTTGCTCTGGTGGTGAGGAGATCCGCAATAAATGATCCAGTCTCCTAGCAAAGTCCCCAGGTCTACTCTTTAATGTGTTCAAAACCTTTTCTAGTTCGGTTTTCATATTTCTGGAATCTTGGTCAGTTCCTATTGCAGTTAACGAGCATTCAATAGTTCTGTTGAAAGTCTTGATGGATTTTGGATCTGACCTTATAGTGTGAACGAGACTAGTGGCTTGAGGATATCGTTTGGCGTATGCGTTCACATGTAAGTATTTGGTAAGGACAAGCCATAACCCACGAAACCTTAGCATATCTTCCAATGCCGAACCGCTGTCCATTTTGTTTAACATTGACATTAAAAACTTGCGCTGCGAATTAGACAGCTTAAAGCGTGTATGTTGCGTAAGAGATACATCTGACCCTGAAAGTGCCGCAGCGAGACGCAATACATCTGTGGCGGTATTGATGAAGATGGAAAACATTTTCATTAACTTATCATTGAAGGAACCTGCTCGTTTCACAGCATAGGCGATGACAACCATCAAGTTTTCTTTATTAGGAATGGTTTTCGGTAATGCCGAGCACCAAGATTCATTTCGATTGATAACTCCCTTGATAAACGATTTATCGGATCCACTTGTAGAAGTAGGTGTGCTAAGCAAGTTTTGGAATATCTCCAAAATTACTTCCTCGCCTACAATGTCTAATACGACCGCTTTCTTGTGGTTTATTAGCTTTTGGCGTTCGATGGGGTCCTGATTCTCAGCATCGGAATAAATTGTACCAAAAAATGAACCGTTGTATTCATCCGAGGACCAATGTCCGTATACCGCGTAATAGAGCAAGTAGCTATAGTCGTCAAGTCTCTTATGCACAGCCTCAACTAACGTGGTTCTATCTGGAATGCTTTCTGGAAATTTTCGAAACAGGGGCACATATGTCTTATCTGCTCCAACTGCTCCTCTTAACGCCTCCCAGGTAGTAGATCTGAACACCTGTAAGGAAGATATGGAAAGCGATTTCAGATATTTCAATGCGCTTTCAGAGAAAGAATACCCCAGATCTGCTATTTCTGCAGCGAATGTGAATACCATATCATCATTGCATAGCTGCGATAAATCTTCATCTAACTGCTCATCAACTTTAAAAAGTGCCCTTCGATGAGATAACAGCTTCGCAGAGATTCCCCAATTCATGGACGCAAAAATCCTAAGACATGTAAAGTCTTTACTTACAGTGTCATTGGAAAAGTCAGAAGAGCTTCAGGCTCACAAAATGAAAATCTGAATCGCTTAAGTCTTTGTCAAATCCCCTCCTTTTATAAGTCTGAGTAGGAACGATTGAGTCACAGAGAGAGTTGTCAATAAGGCATGATGAGCAATATAACAAGAATTTCACCTGCAGTTTGAACCATCTTCACCACACATTTTCTAGGGTGCCGAATTGCAAGTCTAGGTTACTTCAAATGGTGACTCACAAGCCAGAAAAGTTTGAACTCTCTCTCAACGGTTCATTTACGTTCTTTCGAAAATTAGCAATGTAATGCCAAACCTTCATGCTCAACAATTAAAGACTGCGCTAGATGATACAAGTCGCAGGGACTCGAATACAGATGGTGAGTAATGCGTTTAATGAAAATTAGCCGTGAAGAGTCATCCCGAGACGCTATCCGTCTCTCAGTGGTACCATGCAATGGGGCCCAATTGTCACAATTTCAGATTCGTGGAGTTTACTGAAATTCTTGAGCGAAGGGTAGCGTGAGCCTGTTTAGCTAAAGATATATTGACCTTCTGGTTCGTAATGTGAGCCTAGAGAGCTTTTTGGCGCGTGAACCAATAAACTCACTCAGCGAAATATTATATGCCGCGCCAGCACCGCGTGTGTTTTTAGGCCAGTGCTCATAGGATTCTGTCACTCAAAACCAAGGTGTCGTCGTCATTCAAAGTTGGCAATTCTCAAGAAATTTCTTAAGCGGACAATCCAAGATCAACATCCACCGATTCCTGAAAAAGCTATTTCAAATGGCCGCGCTAATAGGTATACAGGGATTTTGCGACTGTCTGGAATCGTGAACGATGTCCTTGCGTCGAATGTGACGATGGAATTGACGCCAAGATGGGTAAAGTATAAAAATCGGAGCAGTAAACGGGATCTCGCAGAAGAATTAAACAGCTAGGTGCTTGCCCAACTGCGTAACAACTCTCGCCACCTCAAAATCCTCATGAAAAGATTAACTTCATCTAACATTTGAACTGTGTTGTGATTTACACTCCACGTACTGTAAAATAGTTGAGAACGTTAAAGCTCATTTACTAAATGTAAATGTTGTCAACAAATGAGCACACGGACAGTTAGTGTTAACGGTTGCACTTGCGCCCATCGCCAATTGGAAAGGGCCAGCTGTTTCGAACGATGATAATATACGTCAAGCCGTCTCTACTCTTTACAAACATGAAAGTGGAAATTAAGTGACTTCTAGGATCACACCTTCTAGCTCCCTTTCAAGGTTCCTGCTTGGCTTTAAGTCGTAATTTTTCAGTCTTTTAAGACTGTGCCTTAGTCTCCATGCACAAGGGCTACCTATGGAAAGTTCTCCAAAGTCAGATAAGCGGCTTTTTGGCTCCTTACTGTGCAGATAGGTTTAATAAACCATGAAGTAGAACTCACTGATATCTTTGAAAATTCCATACTGTCAGCCGGTCGTAATTAGAGCACTCGGTCTACGGATATTCAAGTTGAGCTACCTTTCCTGTCTATAGCGGAACATAGGAGCAATTAAGAATGTGAGATGAGATTGGAATACGTATTGAAAGTATTTCATGATTTCGCCTGCAATCCTTTTTAAAGCCATCGCGCTCGATGTTTGAGGAAAATGAAATGGTTCTGAATTTAACTAAATGCTCTTCCATAAATTTCGCCAGATATGTGCTGTTATGCTATGCCGCATCAATCGCTCACGAAAAACAGAAATGCGACTGTGCATATGTTTCCAAGCCTGTCATCAGCGCTATACGATTTCGTAACAAGAGGGCCAGAAACACTTTTACAAGCTGTTATCCAATCCAATCTTGAAGTTGTATAACTTTACCCTATACCAAGTAATACAGTACAATTCTCTTTATTCTTGCAACTTGATGTGTAGCGTGACAGATTCGTCATCAAGAAATAACGGCCACGTGACGCAATGACAACTACAGAATCTACTTGATAGCTCAGAAATTTGAACAACTCCTGGTTGCTGATGGTCTTTTAGCCCTGAAGTCAATAGCGTTGTTCAGTACTACGAGCTCTGGTGGCGCCACTTCTACAATGGGACCAATTGTTGTGACTGCGAACCGAGTCCGGCCGACAGCATTCTTCTGTCACAAATGATGCGATGACTTTCAAGCCTGTCCGACACAGTTTCTATAACAGTAAATAGAGCTTTAAGAAATACGTCTAGGGGCTCAAGCTACTAGTAGTACTTTTGAATAATTCATTGTTTATGTCAGGACTTCCACATCAGGCCTATGTACTTTTTTATATTAAAGAAGTTTAAAGCTACATTAGGTCCTAAACAAACACAGTGCAAGCCGTTGGAAAAATATACGACCTGACATCCGCTAAGAGACAGTCCAATGATTTTGATACTAGCATCTTTCCTATTCACTAGTTAACATCAGGCGCTTCTTCACATTCGATTTCGCACTTTACTTCACAAACTCTTATTCTCGTAAACCCGAACCAGTCATCTTTTAATGTACAAAATATATCAAAACTAGATACAATATTTTAACCACCGAAACCGTACAAGGTTCTACCTTGTCTCTTCAATGCGTAAACAACGTCCAGCGAAGTGACGGTCTTTCTCTTGGCGTGTTCAGTGTAGGTGACAGCGTCTCTGATGACCGATTCCAAGAAAGATTTGAGCACAGCTCTGACTTCTTCGTAAATAAGACCGGAAATACGCTTGACACCACCTCTTCTGGCAAGTCTTCTGATAGCAGGTTTGGTGATACCTTGAATGTTGTCCCTTAGAATTTTTCTGTGACGCTTGGCACCACCTTTACCTAGACCTTTACCACCTTTTCCTCTACCGGACATTTTCTGATTGTTATTTGTGTGTGTTGTTGAATATGACTATTCTTGGTATGATAAACTGTTCGAAATCAGGTCTTGTTAAAATTTGCCACCTCTTTATATACAATCCCGTTTACATGAAACAGTCAGCACATCTCACCTCATTGCCTCACTACCCGTCCACTTCAACTACCTCCTGGTTTTCTTTCCGTCTTGTTGGCCCCAAACCTTCGCCCTTCAAGCGCGAACATCCTGGTCCTGCCTCTATATGGGGTAATTACACATGATATAATTAAGTGCAGACCAAGATATACGCATTATTACACTTAGTATTATTGGATAGGCGTGAATATTGTGGGCTGGACATGCAAGAAATATATTATTTTTGAGCGTTGCGTTACCCGCAGGGAAGATAATAAATATCACACCCGGACCTGTTTATACGCGCGAAATTAAGTTTTTTCTAAATCTGCTGGTTTTCGGGCGTAGTTGAGACAGTGTTTTACTATGGTTTAACGCACTCAAGAGGATAGATACTGATTTACCGCAAAAAGGTCTCAGGCCTGAAATTTTTAGTATATAAGGAGCTACTTTGAAAAGCCAAAACTTTTTCTCACAACTAACTTCTTCTATAACCAAACACAACTCAATCATAAAGTAACTAAAATGGCTAGAACCAAGCAAACCGCTAGAAAGTCGACTGGTGGTAAGGCCCCAAGAAAGCAATTGGCTTCCAAGGCCGCCAGAAAATCTGCCCCATCCACCGGTGGTGTCAAGAAGCCTCACAGATATAAGCCAGGTACCGTCGCTCTAAGAGAAATCAGAAGATTCCAGAAATCTACCGAACTCTTGATCAGAAAGCTACCTTTCCAAAGACTTGTACGTGAAATCGCTCAGGACTTCAAGACCGACTTGAGATTCCAGTCGTCTGCCATCGGTGCTCTTCAAGAATCCGTCGAAGCCTACTTGGTCTCGTTGTTCGAAGACACCAACTTGGCTGCTATCCACGCCAAGCGTGTCACCATTCAAAAGAAGGACATTAAGTTGGCCAGAAGATTGAGAGGTGAGAGATCTTAAGCCGCTGGTTTGTGGTGCGTTTAGGGTTTTTTCTTAGCTCATCGGGTTTTTGTCACAACGAGGCGAGTTGGCAGGATATATAAAATGCAGTTGCCCTCGTTCTCAATAGGTTTTTATTAAATTGTATAATAGGTTTTATTCAATCAATGCTTTACGAAACGACATGGAAATCACGGTCGAGATGACACTGTGAGGACTAACGGTATACGTTCAAAACACCTATACTGAGTGAGCGAGAAGCTTTTTCGTTGAGCGCGTGTACCACCAATTTTGAGTAAAGAAGTTTGTACACTTTTCATTTTTTGGGCTACAATTCAATACGAGGCCCAACATGCAACTTATCCCGGTATCTCTCAACCGTCATATCGCAATTGAGAATAAACTGCGGTGCTTTCGTGACTACTTCCCAATTAACAACATATAAGTTTCAGTCTCTTGACGCCTCTTAATTTGACATCTTGCATTAAATCAAATTCAGTCCTCTCTATTCGCACACTGAAAAACTTGCCAGATCTGCAAACCGGTATGACAGATCTTCTGGAAACGTCCCAGTTTATCACAAAGATTTGTGGGCTCCAAAGTGCTGACGCAGCTCAAGTGGCAATTGATGCTAGCTCAGTTTTGCTTGGAATCATATGTGTGCCAAATCGCAAGCGAACTGTTGATCCAGAGGAGGCCAAAGAAATCTCCAGTAAGGTGAGGGCAGCACGCAAGGAAAGACAACGAAGGGGGTTGGTTGGCCCCTATCTAGTTGGGGTTTTCCGCAATCAAAGCGTGCAGGATGTAAAGAAGATAAAATGTGACTATGGAGTAGATATTGTCCAGTTGCATGGTAGTGAGGATTGGAGGGAATACAAAAAGGAGCTCCAGGATACGCTTATAATCAAAAGATTTATTTTCCCGAATGACTGTTCTCAAGTTGAAGAGCTCTCTCTTGTCGAGAATCCTGGTTGTTTGCCACTCTTCGATTCAGAAGCTGGCGGGACGGGTGAACAGCTAGATTGGAGTTCGATATCCAATTGGAGCGAACAAACGGGTGCCAAATTCATCCTGGCTGGCGGCCTTACACCTCAAAATGTGAGAAGGGCCACTCAGCTGAATGGAGTACGGGGCGTCGACGTTAGCGGAGGAGTCGAGACAGATGGTATCAAAGACAACGATAAGATACGTCTCTTCATCAGTGAAGCGTCAAAATGATGGATGGTTATACAATGTTGGTCGCCGTTGCCGTGTTTGTTAAACTCACATAAGAAATAATAAGGTCAACTACACTATTTAAGCAGAGCCAGAGATAAAGAACCACTTGTCAATGGACTTGTCGATTGGCGCGTCTTCCTTGACATCTTTGGCTGGAACCGCTTGAGCAGCAGCCTGAGAGAAGGTCGAGGTACCCGACAACGTGGTGTTGGTCAACTCAATGTCTTTAGACTCAGCAGCTTTGCCTTGAATCAAATTCTTCCAAGCTTCGCTGCATTCTCTGATGACGTCCAAAGCGTACTTCTTGTTCTTAGCCTCACCCGAGAAAGCAAACTGGTTTTCTGGCTTTCCGTCTGGGATCTTGTAAATTCTGAACCATTCGTTGGTGGCTCTCAATAAGCCAGGGAAGTACTTTTCGACGTCTTCAATATCGTTCAACTTGGCAGCCAATGGGTCGTTGATATCAATCACAATGATCTTCCAGTCTGTTTCACCTTCGTCCAAAAGGGCCATGACACCAAGGGCCTTGACCTGTTTGACTTGGCCGGTGTAACCGATGGTTTCACCGATTTCCAAGACGTCCAAAGGATCGTTGTCACCAGCAGCCTTGGTCTCTGGGTGCACAGAGCTTGGGTCTTCCCATGTTTGTGGGAAAGCACCGTAGTTATGGATGTAGCCGTGGTGAGGGAAACAGTTTCTCACGAATCTAAGCTTTCCCTTCTTGGTGTCCTGAATAATTGGATTCAAGGTCTCCTCTTTGCTGATCTCAAGCTTGGCGTTGGTCCAACGTGGGATTTCAACAACCATGTTGAAAATTTGGTTAGCCTCATCAGCGTATAGAGGAATGTCGTGGAAAGACGAGATTGGCTGACCATCTTTCTCGATGAAGACTTTGTAGTCCAAGGTGTTTTTGGCACCGATTTGTCTAGCAGTGTAAGTCATTTTTCAATTGAGGTATTGATGCTATCTTTAAGCGTACAAATGCTGTTCTAGAAAAATGTTGTGTTGTTTGTCTTGCTACCTTCAAGTGTTGAATCCTTACTTATTTATATATGGTAAAAAAATAGTGATTTGTCTTACCTCCCACGTGATATTAGTGCCTCGTCTTAGTTGCCTGCATATTCGCCTAGTCGATTTGGCTCTTTCATCCAAAGGCTATCCCGCCAGGTTCAAGGTTTGCACGCATTGTTCCCAATTCAACGTATGCACGATTTAGTTCTTTGAGTATATTGAAATGAAGGTTTATATGCGGTGTCATATAATGGGGTTGTCCAGCAAGCCCAATCGCAAATGTTGAAGTGCTTGAAGTTGTGCAAACAAAGTTGTCATGGAGAGTGTTCCTAGGTGAAGAAAAAGCTTGAAGGAGTGAGAGTATCATCGCACCTGCGACCTATCAAAGGAGACTTATCCCGAATACTGACCTGATATCAAGAGCACACGTTTCGAACATCGTCAAATAAAAGGTGAGGACCGGTTTTTGAGCTGAAGTGCGCTAGACGTGAGCGACCTGAACTGTTGCTGGCTTTTTAGCAATTTCCTGCAGTTCGATCGGAGAAGACGTAGACGAGGTTCCATCTGCAGATGCACTTGCCTCGGCCCGTCCCGAAGGACGCTCCGTATCGTGGCCAGTGTCGTCAGTCGTTTGTCCAACTGTTGTGCCCTGATAATAGCGATGAAAGGCTTCACTGAAGTCTGCAGAGTACCGCTCTTGATCGTTGTCATCTCTTGTGACTGCCGAGGGCGGTTCCTGGGGGTAGTCTGCGACGTCTGCCGTATCAATAGGTGGCGGAGGTGTTGTGTTGTCGGTTTTGGAACTGAGATGGAAGTTGCCTTCGTTATCGTAGTACCCCAAATCATTTTCATTTGCAGTGGCCGTATAGGGAGGTACATAGTCCTGGGTAGAACTCCGATATTGTCTTTCGGACTGTCGATATGAAGGAGGGGTAAACCATGCTGTACCGATAATTGGTCGCTGCCCTAGCTTCATTCTTCTTCCATTGATTCTGATGGCAGCCAAGCCTAGAGTGGCCAAGGCAAACAGGAAGAATACCACAAGGACCCATCTGGCCCACACCCATTCGTTTCCGCAGCTAAAGCCGTAACAATAGCTGTCACTGTCAGACGAAGACCGTGAAGCCAGTCTTGGTGCTACAAGGACGGGGTTTCCCACATGAGAAGTAGAGCGAGGAGTATTGATGTACATTATCTCGAAACGAGGCGAGGTACTTAGATTTTCCTCACCAAGCTTCAAGTGTTTCCGTGGTTTGCTGAGCGTCTAGTCATCTCCCTTGGATTACATATAATCCCAATTATGATATAGTCAAATCAGGAAACTTCGTAAAAAAGTACCATGGACATCGACAAGTTGATGTTGATCTTTCGTGATGGACCGGTTGTGGATTAGAAAACTGACGGGCGATGGACGTGCTGAAATTGACCGGTGTCTTTGCAACTATCAAATGTATTCAGTGCTTGATAGCTTTGCTGGCTCCTAATATACAGTTCGATACATCCACCGCACTATTTTTGAAGAAATTCGCTAGCCAAGAAGATATCAACAATTGGTGGAATGCACGATTCTGGAACAAGTTAGTGGGATGGGACGCTGTGTATTTCTTGAAAAATGCCATGCAGCCAAATTCGCAGCCAGAGTATGAGCACGAAAACGCGTTTTCTCCATTGTGGAGTCAGATGGTAAGAGAGGCGTGTCATGGTGATCTGAGCTTTTATCATGTTCTCAAAACTGGCGTTCTTCTCGAAAACAGCATACACCTAGGCTCGGCAATCTTGCTGTACTTTCTCACTCTAAAAACTTTCAAAACAAACACACTAGGTACGCGGGAGCGCCGCCATTTAGCGTTCAAAAGTGCGGTGCTTTTCATTGCGGGCAGTGGCTCGGGATTCTTTTTGGGTCTGTATTCTGAGCCTCTCTCGGCATTTCTAACCTTTTTGGGACTCCTAAGTCGCGAAATATCTGTGAAATATGATCTACATGGCAATCTGGTGGTGCCATGGTATAAATGGCCCGTATACACACTTCTCTCTGCAACTTGTTTCACAGCCGCATTTGCAGTCAGACCGAATTGCATCCTTCTGGGTCTTTTCTACATCTTTGACCTGTACAAACTTTTGGTATCAAGGAACTATGGTAAAGCACTCTTCATGCCATTTTTGAGTGGCCTCAGCATGTTCAGTTTCTTCATCTATTATCATTACTACGCTCCCTATCAGACATATTGTCCTTCTAGAGGGGCGTGGTGCTCAAAAAAAATCTTGAATCTTCCTCTCAGCTATCAATCAATCTACAACTTCATTCAAGGTCAATATTGGAATAACGGTTTCTTGCGTTACTGGACGCTGAACAACGTTCCAAACTTTATTATCGGCCTACCGAACGTCATTACCTTATGGTTTTCTGCCATTTACTTTTCCCACCAATATCCCTGTTCGAATCTCAAACCTTTGGTGCTCATAACAAGACTACTGTTAATCATTTTGGTTCTTTTCGCGCATATTCAGATCATCAACAGGGTCTCATCTTTCATACCTCTTCATTTGTGGTACATTGCACATCGTCACAACCGCCTAAATTCTATGAAGGGAAAGAATATCAAGGGCGACGACAGACTTGTTAGACTTTACGTCATTTGGATAATATTTTGGCTTCCTCTTCAAACTGCGCTGTTTGCCTCTTTTCTTCCTCCAGCGTGAATAACTTGGCGTAGTGCTTTCGAGGTTCATAAAAGTCATCTTTATCGCGATATTTACACTCACATCGCGCCTTCCAATACGCGATGTGAGGGAGGTGACCAGGACGATAAAATATTGGCTTGGTTGCACGGTGCACACCTTCTCGAGAAACAAACATCTCGACCAGTTTCATCAGTTGAATAACGTCTTTATCCGTTCAATATGTATTTACAGTTTTATAGAATTCGAATTTTGCAGCGATCATCATTTCCTTCTGGTGACGATGCTGTTGGTCAGAAATTCAAGCGCCGAGCGAGCGTCTGACTCAGGCAAAGCATTACGAAGATTCGCAAGTGCGCGGTCTCTATATTCGTGGGCCAATTCCCGCGTCTTCCCCACGCCGTCATGTGTAGCGACCGCCTCAGCTGTTCTTTCCACATCACCCGGTTGTGAGAAGTTGCGCTGAATGAGAGGACCCAAAGAACTGTCCTCCTTCCAGGCATAAAGGACCGGGGCTGTAGCTATTCCGAGTTGTAGATCCGCACCAGCAGGCTTTCCCAATTCTTTGGCGGAAACAGTGAAATCCAGCATGTCATCAATAAGTTGGAAGCAAATTCCCAAATTTTTCCCAAAGTTGTAGCATTCCTCAATGATAGGGTCCTTGGCACCAGATAGTATTGCAGCAGCTCTGGATGATTTCGAGATCAAGGCCGCAGTTTTGAGATAAGTCTTGTGAAGATAATACTCGAATGCTGTAGTGACCATGGCCTGAGATAGCTGCTGGTTAGAATCAACAGGAACACGATATTCGTGAACATTGCTGGTCAATTTTGTGGAAGGTGGAGGAATCTTCTGGCTTCCATTAGCGATCGTTGTAAGATCACTGTCAATCGCTGTATTCTTTAACTGCATGAATTCACCTTCGACAAGATTAGCAATACTATTGGATACAAGCTCGACCACTTCAGGATTCCTTAAACGCGATATGGAAACAGTAGCTCTACCGAGCAAGAAATCACCAGCCAAAACAGCCATTTTATTCGTGAAAGCCACATTGCCGCTAGCCCGGCCCCTTCTTGTGTCCGAATAGTCGATTACGTCGTCATGCAGCAGGGATGCTGTATGGATCATTTCGACAATTTCGGCCAGTCTCCTTTGCTTCGGAAGAATTCCTCGCTCTCTGTCAAATTCTTTAGGTAAAGGCTCAGGACCTTTTGTCAAAGGATTGAGTGGCTTGATACCATGCAAGATGTGAAGAGGGGATAAGCTCTTTGCGGGATGCTCGAAAAGGAGCGATTGTGGTGGTTTAGAGTAAACAGGATCCTCTGGAACGTCTGCATAGTCCACTTTTATACGATTGCGCTCCTCCAATGGAATTTCCGCCAATGCTCTAGATATCAAAAGCACCAGCATCGGTCTGACCTTTTTACCTTCAGCCTCGAAATAATAGCCTGTTACTCTGTTCAAAGTTGGATGGCCCGACCCCATCAAGGCCACAATGTTTTTAGCCAGTGTGTTCATTTCTTGCGACACCAATGACACCGGGTTGTTAAGCAAGCTTCGAGGCGTCACCAGCCTTGCAGCGGTCGCCAAAGCTGTGGCGAACGATGACTTGAATCGCACATCATTTGGAATTCGTATTCTAGTGCTCCAAGTAGCGCGGACGTTCAGCATTGTGTCCTTGCTCCTCAGCTTTCCCCTTCATTGAATTAAATATGTTCATTCAATTTTTTTATTATAGTGACAAGACCTCGTTGAACTACCTAACCAACAAAATTCGAGGAGCGCGATGTCTGACGCCAACTCCTTTCCCGGGCTACCTCAGGTTTTTAACTTCATCAAGAATATATTTTCACACGCTCTTCGAAGTTCAGATAATGTCCCCCAGCATGTTGGTTTGATCATGGATGGTAATCGGCGGTGGGCAAAACGAAAGCATGTCGAGATAAAGGAAGGACACAATGCCGGCTTTCATAGCATGGGCCGAGCTCTCGAGCTCTGTTACGAGGCCGGTGTGAAAACTGCGACAGTCTTTGCCTTTTCAATAGAGAATTACAAAAGAAGTGCGGCAGAGGTAGACTCACTGATGAACTTGGCCAGAAGTGGCATTAAGCAGGTTGTTCAAAACGGAGATATGGCTGAAAAATTCGGAATAAGAATTAAGATTATTGGAGACCGCCGGCTTTTATCTGATGATGTGATGCGCGAAGTTGAAACCGCTGAAGAAATTACGAAAAATAACAAAAGAGCGGTGCTGAACATTTGCTTTCCTTATACAGGGCGCGATGAGCTTTTGCATAGCATCAAAACTAACGTTAATAGAGCCTTGGCTGAAGAGATCGAAGGAAGCGAAATCGATGAGGATCAGATCGATGAGTACTTGTACACAGCGGGATCACCGCCCCTGGACCTATTAATCAGAACGAGCGGTGTGACACGTTTGAGTGACTTCTTACTTTGGCAAGTGAGCCGAAGAGGAGTAGCTATCGAGTTCGTTGATTGCCTATGGCCTGATTTTGGGTCTCGCCAAATGGCATGGATCCTGCTCAAATATGCATATAATCGAAGCTCCCGCGCCCATGCACATGACCTCGATTTCGAAGAAGAAACCGATGGCGGTGTAACGACAAACCGTGACAAAAAGAAGAACTAGACCTTTACTACAATACAAAGAACTACCTGGCATTTTCTGAATATCGAACTCTGCTCAGCACCCAAATTTGGCCTCCCTATAAAGCTGTCAGGACGAAGATGAAATCAATCAATGTAATTTATTATTTACGTAGTATGCGTTAAAGTTGGGCCAGTAAGGCACAACACTATTTTCTTCAACAGAACCTAGCTCTTGTTGATACCTTGTGCCTTTTCAAACTCAGCCTTGAACTTGTCGGCGTTCTCCTTGTTACCAAATCTGATGGCGAAAGTGAAAGCTTCTGGGCCTCCCTCAGCAACGTCAGCAGTACACGTGTAGACCCAAGATCTGTCAGAACCCACGTTTGGTGCCAAGACGTATTCTGGAGCGATGATGTGGTTGGCACAAACCTTCAAAGTCTTGTCTCTTCTCATCAATAATCTAACCTTCTTGGTCTCCTTGTTTTGCAAAAACTTCACATCACCTGTGCCTCTCTCCTTCCACTCTTTGTTCTCGGAATCGTATCTGAAAAGTTTAGCTCTGACCTTGAATAGTACCTCTTCGTCTTCTTCCAAGGTCTTGACATCCACTTTCTCCAAAGTCACAACAGGCTCGAAATGCACATCTGGCGACTCAGGAGCCTCTTCTTCTTCTTTGGTGGCTTTTTCAGTGTCCTTGGAAACTTTTGTTTCGTCTTCTCCATCTTTAGTATCTTCCTCCTTCTTTTCAGCTTTCTTGCCGCCAAACATTGAGAAGACAGCAGAAGTAGGTGGCTGAGGAGCCACCTCAGAAGTTGTTTCAATCTTTTTCTCCTCGGACATTGTTAGTGGTGAATTAGCTCTCGTCTTACTGACCAGTATAGGACTTGTTTAAATCTAAACACCATCATACACGTTAAGTTTCGAAAATTTTCTTACTGTAGGTTTAATAAAAGATACTCAAAAACAGATCATCATATGCTACGTCGACCGCGTTCATTTTCCCTAGTTTCTAGATATTTGGGGTTGGACGAAATTAGAATTCTTATACAAGTAAAGTTTCTAGTTGGAAATACACTGCCTTATACGTGCCGTCTACCATTCAGGCTTCTACGAAACTTGCTTCAAGAGAACTCTAAGAACTTTAAGACATGGCTGATGAGTCCAAGACCGGTCCGAAACACCATCAGCGGACGAACTCGCTAGACCAGTTTACCGACCCTTTTTCGACTGCAGAGATCTATTATGGGCCAGCAAACGATCCCAGTAAGAAACATTACAAGGGCTTCAATCGCACAAGGACTATGAGCGTTTTGGGAAATTCTTCAAAATTTAAAACAAGAGATTTCACCTCAGCACTGCCCGTCACAAGACGTGGTTCAGAGGACGACAGCTATTTAAGCTCTAAGGGACGAAGAAAGTTCTTTATCGAAGACGTTGATGCTACTTTAGAACAATTGCTAAGTGGCGAAGACACTGACCGTAACTACCAGATCACGATCGAGGATACCGGACCCAAGACAATCCGTATCGGAACTGCGAACTCAAACGGATACAAAAAACTCAGCATCAAGGGTACCTATATGCTCTCTAACCTTCTTCAAGAACTGACGCTTGCCAAAAGCTTTGGAAGGAAACAGGTCGTTTTAGATGAAGCGAGGCTGAACGAAAATCCGGTGAACAGACTAGAAAGACTCATTGTCACTCAATTTTGGAAATCCTTGACTCGAAGGATCGACCTTAATAACGTGGCGCGAATTGCTGCTGATACCAAAATTGATACTCCCGCAGCCAAGGTACCTCGGATTTATGTACCCTACAACTGTCCCGATCAGTACGAATTTTACATTCAGGCGTCCCAGATGAATCCTACTTCAAACCTGGACGTGGAATACCTGCCCAAAGACATCACTCCTGAATACGTGAAATCTATCAACGGCCGCCCGGGGCTCTTGGCTCTAGCTATGGAAAAACACATGGACCCAGCCACAGGTGAAGAGGTGATGTTCAGCTACCCTTACGCTGTTCCTGGAGGTAGGTTCAATGAGTTATATGGCTGGGACTCTTATATGATGGCGCTCGGACTCCTCGAGGGTAGCAAAATTGACGTTGCCAGAGGAATGCTTGAGCACTTCATTTTTGAGATCGATCATTACGGTAAAATTCTTAATGCGAATAGAAGCTACTACTTGTGCAGATCTCAACCTCCATTCCTCACTGACATGGCCTTGAAAGTATTTGAAAAAATGGGCGGAAGGAGCAATCCAGACGCCATTTCATTGCTGAAGCGCGCGTTTGCAGCTGCAGTGAAAGAGTACAAAACAGTCTGGATGGCACCACCCAGGCTTGATAAAAGCACGGGATTGTCATGTTACCACCCTGACGGCCTTGGAATACCACCTGAGACTGAACCTGGCCATTTCGACGCTGTTCTCAAACCCTTCGCCGAGAAGAATAAGGTCACGTTGGAGGAATTTAGAGACCTTTACAATGACGGTGCGGTTCTGGAACCAGAGCTGGACGAGTACTTTCTACACGATAGAGGGGTTCGGGAGTCAGGACATGATACTACTTACAGATTCGATGGCGTTTGTGGGTTTCTTGCAACGATCGACTTGAACTCTCTCCTTTACAAGTACGAAGTCGATATCGCAGACCACATTGAGAAGTTTCATGATGGCGCTTTCACGGATCTATTAGGTGAGAAGACAGAAGTCTCGTATTGGAAAGAGCAAGCTGCGAAAAGAAAAGAAAGGATAAACAGGTACCTATGGGATGAGGAGACCGGGTTTTTTTACGATTATCACATCAAGTTCAAGGAGAAAATCACATACGAATCTGCCACGACATTGTGGGCCTTGTGGGCAGGTGTAGCAACGAAAGAGCAGGCTGCCAGAATGGTACACCTCGCAATACCCAAACTAGAAATGCTAGGTGGCCTTGTTTCTTGCACCGAACAATCCAGAGGAGAGGTTTCAATAGAGAGACCCACTCGGCAGTGGGACTTTCCTTTCGGGTGGGCACCTCACCAAATTCTTGCTTGGAAGGGGCTTTCAAAGTACGGTTTTGAAGGTGAGACTAGACGACTGGCTTACAGGTGGCTCTTTTTAATGACAAAGGCATTCGTTGACTACAACGGAATTGTAGTCGAAAAATATGATGTTACCAAAGGAACCGACCCACATAGAGTGGAAGCAGAGTATGGAAACCAAGGAGCAGACTTCAAAGGGGTAGCTACAGAGGGCTTTGGTTGGGTCAATGCGAGCTTTGTATTAGGATTGAAGTTTATGGATACACAAGCAAGAAGGGCTCTAGCTTCCTGTATAGACCCTGACTCATTTTTCGAAAATCTGAGAACAGATCAGCGGAAGCAGTATGGCTTATCCTGAATTTCCACTGCAAAAGCGACTTTTAAAACAATGTCGAGCACCTATACATATTTTAAATTGATGAATCTACTATACTATTAAACTTCCGTGTCGTTTTTTCGGATTTTTAGACTTTTTGATAATTCTATTAAAAAACCTCTTAGTTTAAGAGAAATTAAAAGGATTATTTAACGGTCATATGAGCAAATTTTGGCCAAATACGCAAACATTATTTGTTGTACATTAATTATAGGTGTATTACATTAAATAATTAAAATTTTACTACAAAATTAAACTCAAATTAATGTTTTCATCTTCCGAAAAGGGTTTCTCTTTTATATGTGGTAATTTTAAGGAATCGGAAAATTGATTTTTTAGAAGTTAGTCGAGGATAGTTGAAATGTCAGTGAGAGCATCAAAACACGTATGGCCCGTAGATCATACGCACCAACCGAGTTAAGAGAGTTCGAACTAGTGGGAATAGTATGTCTGGCAGCGGGTTACGCAAATTTTTGGACACCAGGTTGCTTCATCGAAATAGTGTTTTTTTATGTTTCTTTCATACTGAATAGCTACGCTGTTAGTTTCTTGAAAGTTATTAAATATTCCCCTAACATGAAAAACACTTGATTCACATGCCTGAAGACTTGAATTACCTGAGAAGCTTACCGACACGGCTTGTAACTGCATTTCAAAGTTCACAAAAGCTTAATATGCTCAGTGGACAATAGGCAATGGGCTTAAGACCGTCCTGCACGTAGAGATACCTTGGAAAGAAAGGCGCACGTGACGAGCTAGCCAGTAAATGATTTTTCTTTCAATTTACTTATTTTTTATGTACCGTTTTAATAAGCTTTATTTGAAACGTTTGACCCTATTAATTTGGCCATTCACACACTCGCTCTTGATTCTTACAACTAAGATCCAGCCCATATATAATTCTAGACAGTAAAATGACTAAACTATCATGTCTTGCCGACGTGTGCATGGTGCCGGTACGTCTAAAAAGTTGATATTATTTTGGAATCTTGTTTCCTTTGACTAACACCTGTTACACAGCTTGGAACTGAAACCGCTAGTGTCTCTGATTTCGTAGCTGCAGTCGAGAGAAAAATTCGCGAAAGCCACTTAAAAAGCACTCTGCACAGTGCCGGTACTACGATTGAAGGACCATGGGATGAAGTCACCGGTCTCATTGGTGAGCTTCATGAGTACGCTCATAAACTCGGTTACGTTAGGGTTCACACTGACATTAGAATTGGAACAAGAACTGACAAAGCTCAGACGGCCGCAGAGAAGGTGGATACAGTACTAGAAAAGTTGAAGTCGTCGAGAGGCTAAAAGCTTCTCTTTGTTAGAATCAATAACGTTGATCTTTTGGTCAAAAATACTGTTTGCAACATATCTAATATACAAAACCCGAAATAATATTACACTTAAAACAAATCAAAACCCGTTTTGATCAGCCTACTGCTGTTAAAGCAATTTTGCTCTAAGCTTGAGTGGAAGAAGAGTACTTTGTGACCGCTCTTGTACCTTCAGAGACGGCGTGTTTGGCCAATTCACCTGGCAAAATCAATCTAACTGCTGTTTGGATCTCTCTGGCGGAAATGGTCGATTTTTTGTTGTAAGCAGCAAGCTTGGAGGCTTCGGAAGCGATTCTCTCAAAAATGTCGTTCACAAAGGAGTTCAAAATGGACATAGATTTTTGGGAGATACCAGTGTCTGGGTGTGTCTGTTTTAGCACCTTGTAGATGTAAGAGGAGTAAGTTTCCTTTCTGACCTTGACTCTCTTCTTATTGCTGTCAGTGGAAGAAGCGGTTTTCTTGGCAGCTGGCTTCTTCTCGGCTGGTGCTTTAGAGGCGGGCTTTTTTTCTGCTTTTGGAGACATATTTGTTGTTAACGTGTTATTGAACTTAAGTTTCGTGTTACAGCAACAGATTTGGTGAACACTTTATTACTACTATGTAGCCATTCCAATGAGCTTCAAATGGCGTCCATTTATACACATTATGAAGTTTTTTTTGAGTATGGGTAAAAGCTTTAATCAAGCTTGCGTAAACGCTCCGATACTCTCGATTTGATGTTGCGTGTGTACTGTGATGCGGTTGACAAGTTCGGCTTAAGGAACAAGAATTAGCGCGTAAAGCGCGAACATTTTGGTCTGTGATCTGTTCTGAAATATACTTAGACAGGTCATTTTCACCCCTTAATTATCTTTAATTCAAGAAACGGTATATCATGGGCCACTTCACGTTCCATAATATTCGCATCAGTAAACGGTCACACGACAGCGGTACAGGATATTCGCTTCTTTGCGCGAAAAATACAGTCCATCTAAATGATGTGTGGAAATGCCCAAGTCCGAGCTATAGTTGAATACATTCGGTCACTTGCATACTGGGGAGATTCGTTGTCATCCGGACAAAAAGCACTCAGGTATATAAGCAAGGACGAAAGAGTGTTGGCCGCTGCTACTTGAAGTACCAAATATTACAAGGTTTTCGTAATAGTTCAACAAACAATCAACAACACATATACAAAATGTCCGGTGGTAAAGGTGGTAAAGCTGGTTCCGCTGCTAAAGCTTCTCAATCTAGATCTGCCAAAGCTGGCTTGACTTTTCCAGTAGGTAGAGTTCACAGACTCTTGAGAAGAGGAAACTACGCTCAAAGAGTGGGATCTGGTGCTCCAGTATATTTGACAGCTGTATTGGAATACTTGGCTGCCGAAATTTTGGAATTGGCCGGTAACGCTGCTAGAGATAACAAGAAGACCAGAATCATCCCTCGTCACTTGCAATTGGCTATCAGAAACGATGACGAACTAAACAAGCTACTGGGAAACGTCACCATCGCACAAGGTGGTGTTTTGCCAAATATTCATCAAAACTTACTTCCAAAGAAGTCTGCCAAGCCAGACAAAGCCTCTCAAGAATTGTAAGCTTGATAATTTAGTCGCCAGTAAGGTGCTGTTATATATCGGGGTCTTTGACTTCTGCTCAAGCAGTAGCAAGTCATTTGTATTATAAATTTCTGGATATCAGGTTATTTCCATCATTTGTACATAGTTATCGTACCGTGTATTCAAATAAAGTTTAGGTTTGTGAAAATAACCCACGAAGTGAGTGTGAACTCTTCAACTTCATTTGGCTTCGGAAAAGAGGTCCACAACTATATTTATGAGTGATACCAGGACTTCAACGCCGACTAATACAATGATGATGAATTCCAAATATTCTTCATGTGAATGTCCCAGCTGCTCTTTAAGCATTTGCAGCAAATCTGAGATTACTTCCAGCCTTTGATTCAAAAGTGCCACCCGCTGATTGATCTCCAAGTATCCTCTTGTGGCATGGTAGATAGGCTCCAGCTGAGGTTCAGACCACATTATTTCTGGGGAGTCAAGTACCGATCCATGTAAGTTGATGTTTATGCGAAGAATGAATAGCTCCCCGATACTTTTCATGATGTCTTCTTTGCTCATCGACACCTTACCGCTAGACGCTATTTGCTGCGGTATGTCTTGGGTATCCTCTATTGTGTTATCGACCAGTTCCTCGAATAGCGATATTTTCACGCTCTGTGCAATTGCGTGAGAGATGGATAATTTGATCATATAGTTTGAACCGTCTCTTAGCGTAATAAAATCATTGTAGATTCGCGGCTGGTAACTCTGAGTGATATAGTAGTTGAACTCCTCGACTTGCACATCCTCCTCTGCTAGTTTTTCCTTTTCGAACTTTTCGATGTCATTTAAAAACGCTTTCTCTTCTCGCTCTGTGAACCCCCACATCACTATAACGCCATACTCAAAAATAAACAGATCCGGCTGTTTGTCGCTTACGTTGATTTCTCCGCCCTGGTCATCGAGCCGTATGACATCTTCATCTGCAAACCTCTTGTCTCCTCTCCAGTCTGTGTAAATGAAAGGAGTAAATAGGCACTCATCAAAAAGTTTTGGATGTGTGTGGTGCAGTTTTTTGCAGTCTTTGAGCCATCGTATGACCTCCCTCATATTATAAGAACTTGCCGTGCAGTATCCGCTCACCCTTGGGAGCAAATGTCTTTGACCTTTTCCGAGCTTTTCTGCATCTCGTCGGGCCGGTGTATCTGTGATCCTATTAACCTGAGAATAGACATCTCGATCTGTAGCGTCCAAATACTCATCTTTCGGACTGTTGAAGGGCTCTTCAGGTAAAAGCTTAAGCTTCTGTGCTGTTCTTGATGTTCTCTGAGCTCCCACGCGTGCTCCTTTAGAGCTTCCACCTGTATTATCGCGAGTTGTAGGTCCTTGAGACTTTTGAGCATCGTTTCGTTGACTGACATCTCGTCCCGACTTGGCCAACAACGGTTGTTGTTCAACATATGACATTTTGGTTCATTCACTACCAAGAGGCTGTTCTCGACTAAGTCCAGACGCAAGGTGCGTTAGGCAATTTGAATCTTTTCGTCTTTCTTTTCAATGAAGTCATCTAAATGGTAATTGTTGAAACTATTCTATTATTTATTATTATATCAAATAATATTAAATCTATAGCTACAGGTTCTTTCTTCATTACTCTGGAAGACATACAAGGACGTTATAAGGGCGATGTCAGAGGACTCTGATCGCAAGCGATCATTCGAGGAACTGCAGGAAAGTAACCAGGTTTTAGGACTGGCTGTCCAGCGAACAAGATTAGCTGTCAAAAGATTAAGATTGGAATATGGCTCGTTGCTCGAGCGCCTTGAAAGCAGGATAAATAAAGACCCAGAGTTGTGCTATGAAGATCCATTACCATCGTTAGAAAGTTTCAGAATGCAGATTTTAGAGGACACGCCCAAATCCAAGACGAAGAGAAAAAAGGGAAAGGAACGGGACCCTAATCTTCCAAAGAGACCAACGAATGCATACCTACTTTTCTGCGAGATGAACAAAGAATCCATGAAACAGAATGCAGGACCTAATGACGTTTCTAAAGCCTTGACGGATGCATGGAAGGCGCTGGACGAAGACGGAAGAAAGCCCTACTACAAGTTATATAGCGAAGATCGCGCCCGGTACCAGAAAGAAATGCAGGCTTATGCCAAGAACAAGACTACGAGTGACAAGCGGCCGAAGAAAGAAGAAGACGACGACGAAGAGGAAGATGCGGAAGACGACGACGACACCGACGGCACCCAGCCTGACGTGGACGCTTCTGCCGATACCCCAATTGCATGATGAAGACAAACCGCAACACCAGGCACTTAAAGAGCGCAAGAAAGAAAATAATGTAGGCCGATTTTCTTTTTGCCTGGAGGTAATCTACCTCCAGTATTGTAACTTACCTATTTGACAATTGTACACTAAATACTAAAAACCGTTTATTCAGATTCTTCTTTTTTTGTTCTTGGCACGATAGAAGCCGCTATCATCCTTTTCGTGTCTTCTTTTCTCTTTTGATCTAGCGTGTTTCTTGAGCTTCCTCCTTGCCGCAGCCTCTGGGGCCGTGACAGCTAGAGCAGCTCGTCTAGCTCTTCTCTCATTCCTACGACGGGCAATTTCCTGCTTGACGCGAGAGTAGGCTATACTGAAATCAGAAACCGAGAGCTTGTTTTGCAATAATTCTATGCACTCCTGCGACATTGTTTGCAGCTCTTGAACTTGTTCATCGATAATCCTTCTGTCATCTTCCAAGTACATGAACAAAGGCAGGATAATCGCTGCTGCCACACTTTTCAACTCGGTCTCATTCATCATTTCCACAATGAAGCCAAATAGCTGTATCGATGCCTTTTTGGATACAAAGGTTTCGCGGAAGTTCTCTTCATCTCTTAGAATGGAACCTAATCTTGCCAATGAGAAATCAATGGACGTTTCATACTTCGCATCCTCATTTTCCTTGGAGATGAATGCTGTCTTATCAGCCACCCATTTTCTCAAAATCACAACCAAAATCGTCACGGCAGTCGAAGCCAGAGACTCAGATACGGAAGGGGCACCGAGCTGGTGAAAAATGCGGTACGCGATCTTCTGCAGCTCAGCTGGTGGAAGAGGAACTCCACTTTCCTCCCTCTTTTGTATATATTTCTTTACCATTCTACCGCTGATCAACCTTACCCATGGATGAGGATACAACAGAGAGTCTATTGTACTTGACCACATGCCAATATCCTCACTTATGATTTCATCTTGTTCAAGCTCCACATATCTGTCTAAGACGTTCAAAGCCGTGTAAATTAAATTCCACTCAACGCTTGATCCAGCAGTACCGCTGGATATGATCTTTTTAGCTTTAGAAATGGCAAACGAATCCAGGCCCTTGCCATCACCGAGGGCTAAGGCGTCCATATGAATCTTGTAAATTTTCAATCCGAGCTCAACAAAGGTTGGGTCATCGTGCTTTAGCCATGCCAGGATGTATTTCTCCAAAGGGCCCACATTGGATTTTCCTAACCTGGCCAACAGGTTCTTTAGAAGGGTTGAACCCATTTCACGACAACGTGGTGAAGTATCATTGGCAGCGACATTGGACAACGACAAGAAAAACGATGAGGATATACGCAATAGCAAGTCCATTCCCGATTTATTCACAATCAAATTGATGAGTTCCATGACTGATTGGCGGCCTTCTTGAGATGGGTATTCGAGATTAGAAACCAAAAACTTGAATTGCTTTTCTAGTCTTCCCCGACTTTGATCATACTCCATCAAAAACTGATAATAAACACTTCGAGAGACGTCTCTGATTTCCTTTGAGTGGTTTGTTATCATTATCTCCGCAATTGCGTCGACGACATCATAAAGCTCAGGTAGCACAATGTGCTTGAGAACTAGAGATTTGACAAAGTTGAAGGCCAGTCCTTGTTTGTTGGGCTCATTGAGATCAGGCTTGATTCTACCCAAAATGAAACTCAAAGCTGTATCTTTCAGCTCAATATCCTTATGCCTAATCAATGAGGATAGAAATTTGAGGCTTACTTGACAGAGATCACTGGAAGTAGATGGTGAGTCTCGAACCACTGTCAAAACTTTCCTAGCACAATTCTTGAAAATACCTTCATGTTCCTCGGTAAACTTCAACTTCACCAAAATTATTAAGACACGCAAGGCGCTGATAAGAACTTCCTCCTCGTCGGAGTCTAGTGCTTCTTGTAGAAGGGGAATGAAATTTTCCAGATAAGCAGCCTCTAGTAGACCCCCGTTCTTCACTAGGATTGTCTTCAGGAGATCAAGCGCGAATTTTCTCAAAACGGCGCTATTGGATTTATTTTCCGTCTGTACTTTATCGTTTCTGGCACTTAGATTGATCAGGAAAAAGGTATTAGATTTTTGACGTCCTCTCCCGTTACCGGCATCCTTCACTTGTGTCGTTGATTGCGTGAATATTTCATAGCAGAGAACCAACGCATCAGTAGAAGAGCTTGCCACGTTGTGATTAAGGCCGAGTGAGTATCTTCTCATCAATTCATTGAGTTTGCGTTGGTTTTTTAGACCCAAGTTTTCCGTCAATAAGGCCTTTATTGGATGCAATAGATGCCCAAATGCGGTCAGTGAAATATTGGAAGCGATAATTTCCGCAGTATCATAGCTTTTATTGAATTTGATCTCCTTCAATTTCGAAGTATAACCCTCCGCATCTTTCTCTTGACCAGCAGTCCCAAAGGTGTCCTCCATGATTACTTCAACAATCATCCTCGCAGTTGCATCCAAATCTCCCGGTCCCAGTTTGGGCGATAGGGCCGACAGGATAGAGTGTATGGTATAACTCAACACATGTATCTGAGACCCTCTTCTAAGCGCACTTTTCAACTCCTTGAGAATGAAAGTTAAGTATTCATGCCCAAGGATCACCGAAACACTTGCAAGATTCTTTCGCACCGCTTCTCGCAGTTCCTCTGAGCGACTTCTGAGTACTTGACAGACGCTGCTCAACACTCCAGGTAAAAGAATGGAGCGCGCAGTAACGTCTAGACCCAAAATCAAGCTCACGAGAGCCTCACAGAGCGGAATTCTCGCTACAATTGTCTCTTCGTCCCTTGTGTTCAAAATTTTTAGAAGCTTGGGAAAAACTTCCTCTTTCACGAAAGTATCAGGATCTGATAGAGTCGTAGGGAGCTTTTTGATCGTGACAATTTCTCCTTCAGTTCTGGCAGCATTCATGGAGCTGCTCAACGCTTTGGAACAGTGCACCACGAGCGATACAATTTCTTTTAAAAATTGAGGTTTGGAGTCTAGCGAACTGATTAATCTTCTCATCAGGGCCTTGTATTGGCTCCAAGTTACAAAGTGAGAGAGAAGTCCAATAGCCGAGATTGTCTCGTTGCATATGTTCCGATATCTTTCATCTGTACAATAGACGTATCGTTCGATCATGGGTATCAGAAAATGTGCGATACTGTCCGCCGCCAAAGTAGAAGCACTCTCACCCAGTCTTTTAATTGCCCGCTGACGACGGTGCAATTGGATGTGATTGATGTTAGCAAAGAAGTTTGCTTCTTGGTCGCCATCATACAGCAAGACCTTCATATCATCGAGTTCTGAGTAGTAACCGGAATGACCAACGATGTAGGCGATAACCGAGATATACTCAGCTTGAACGTCAACATTTTTGTGGCGTAAACCAACTTTCACCTCAGGCAATAAATCGGTCGCAATGAGCTTGACAGCTGCCCGGGCATCGTCAATAGAGGTCTTGGCATTGACATAGTCCACGAAACGCTTCAATGTATGAGACGCATTGGTCCTAAGGGCAAGCTCTTCTTCATTTTTGATGTAATACAGACATGTGTTCAGTACTGGAATCCACTCTGTTTCATTTAGTAACATACAGTCGCCATCATCTAATCTCTTGAATGTAGGCAAGACAGTTTCGAAATCGTATGTTTCCATGCGTTTTACGGAATAGGAGTTCAAGTCGCTCAGCAAATCAGCAACCCGTTGTAGATCTTTGAAAATGCGCGCCATAGCTTGGAATACAGCATTAACGGAAATTCGCAATTCTCGCTCACCAGACGTTCGATATAATATCGAACATGACTTATAGAGGCTCTCAATATCACTCCAGTCGCAAATATAGTCTTCTAACAAAAGTGAAGTGGAATGCATGATTTTAACGGCATCCGACTTGCGAATTCCTTTTAGCCCTCTTTCCAGTATACATGCGAGAGAGTTTATGAGATATTTCTTCGTCTCATTATCGTGCACGTAACCAGCATCTATCAGATTCAAAAGTAAATCTAGAGATATTGTGACGGTCTCTTGACTGTTGATCACGTCTAGGACGTTAGGAAGTGCCTTGAGGCATGAAGAAGCTACGACCGAAACCAGATCGACGTACTCGCTCTCTTCCGTAGGGTTTTTTATTAGTTGATTGGAAAAATTCAAAACCATGGCCAGCACCGATTCCTTTGCGTTACGTCTCGAGAGGATCTCCATTAGCGCATCTGCGATGGAGCACTGGTGGTAATACAAAAATTTGTAAAACCGTGAATTTGTGGCCCATATAGATATCAGAGTCATTAGGGAGGATGGCTTCTGAAGGTTCTCATCGGCGAACTTCAGTAACCTGGGTTCCACCATTAGCTTGTGTATTTTCGGAACGTGCTCAGTCCAGTCTACAAGTTCTCCAACGGTTGAGAATATGCTCAAAACTAACTTCATAGATAGTTGTCTGACATTAGTAGCTTGCTTTAACATGTAATCTTTATCAGCCCTGCCACTTGATACTTTGTTCGCGACACAGATAGCGTAAAGTACAGGGTCCATCAGAGTAGTCGTCGCCTTTGGATAGCGAGAGCCCAGAGCACTCACTGCTGCTTGACCGAGCGTAACGAAACCTGTCATTCTTCTCAGCGATAAACTGCTTATTTCTGTGGAATCCACATTGTGACCGTTCTGGAAAAAGGGTTGATAGTTCAAGCCTTGACTAGTGAGCTTTAGAAAGTCAACAACATATCTTTCAGCCAAACTTGGCAGTAGGGTTATGACCGCTGTCTTTCTACTTTTCTTCAGCCCACTGGTCACCGGCGTTTGGGCTCGGCCAAAAAGTATACGCAAAACAATGGGCATCACAAACTTTTCGTCGTGTGCGTCAACTAAAGGCTTTTCATCGTTTGACAAAAGATTCAAGCACTCATCTTTGAAGGCATTGTCATCAAGCAGGTTCTTCAAGCTATCTCGATATTTGATAACAGCTTTATCCTTGTACGCTAGAATGCCGTCCAGTGCCATCTTTTGAATTTCTGTAGTTCTACTGCCGAGCAAATCCATGAGCCTTGTATAAACATCGTCAGACTTGAAAATAGCCTTTATGTTTTTGAACTTTCCGATTAGCTGCAAAAGAAGTTTCCGGTCCGCTTCTGACCAAGTACTTGGTGCGCTTTGCTCGTTCTCAAAGTCCTCTTCCGTAAGTTCGCTGCTTGTGTTGTCTCTTTTGAGAAAATATGGAACAATATCTCTTGAATGACGTTCAGCCAGCTGGGGAATCAGTAGAAGACCTTTCAATGCTTGATTGCGGATGAGACCGGGATAAGTTAAATCGCTTCTAGCTTCCTTTGAAAGTGTAATGATCGAGGAGTCAACGAGTGAATAGGACCTAAAGATTTCCTTACAGCCAAGCAATGCATCATTTAACCTCGTAACACTGACAGACCACCCATATTCTTCGAAAAGCCCTTCTTCGCTATCTGGTGTGTAATATTCGAGCTCAAAATTACTGTCTAACGCGTCCACAAATTTCAGGAACAGCTTCCATGTAAGCTCATGATCTTTTTCGAATATCTCTGGCAGAATTTGATAGACGCCTTCCCACGCTGGTGAGAATCTAACCGTGAGGCTACCGAAAAGATAGTTGAGGAAGACGTGGCAGAGCAAAACATCCGGTTCACTCCGTGCAAACTCGTCCCCCGCTGCCTTGAGTCGCATGGTCACGTCCCGCGCAGTCTGAAGGTTGCGTGGTATTTCCTCTATCAATTTACAGTCATTGAATACCTGAGGAACATCCCGGCCTTGAGTTTCCATGATTTTGACAATGAGTTTCAGAGTCTCATATCTTATCTTATCTTCTGGCAGGCTTAAGTTGCTAGAGAGTGTTACCAGTACGTCCTGAACATCCTCAATTGGAAGAGCCTCATTTGCAGCCGCCAGTAGATCTATTGTGCGATGAATACCCTCGACGCATAGCTTACTATCTTGCACTTTTTCAACATTGAAAAGTGCTAGGTTCAGTATGTTTTTCAACTGGTCGTTATTCTTGAAAGTCACCACTTGCAAGGTAGTCCCAATGACGTCCTTCTCAAAATCATCCAAAGAATGTTTGTTCAATAGCGATGATACAACAGGTGCCAGAGCTGATAGGTCGTAGCTATCGCCGAATTTCAATAGCTGCAGCTTCCAGAAAAGTTCATATAGAGAACCGCGCTGCCCCACGTCCGATTGTGCTATCTCTGAAAGCAAGCATTCAACGCATTCCTTTGGAATTGATGGTCCTAGGGTTCTGAGAAGAGCCTGATCCCCTCTGAGCTCCTCAAAGAAGAGTGCGATTTTTTTGGATTGGGAACGCCAAGACATGTTTATAAACCTTTGTAATAACTTGGCACCCCCAAACGAAAGAACTCTGTCTTTGTCGTATTTCAGCGCCAATCTGAAAAAACTCAAGAAGTGATCGTTAAACCTTTCCAAGTAGATTGAGAAGAACAACCTATGGCACTGTGCCAGATCAGGTAGCGAAGCATTTCTCAGTATAAAGCAGAATAGAAGAGCCAGATCCTCAGAAGCTATGGTGTCGGCACTCGTATGTCCAACGACTTTGTTAACACAGGCGATGACATTTGACCAAGAAGGAGTCTTTCTACCGCTTTCAGCGAAGGACAGCGACGTAAGTAACCTAACGGTGGGATTTATTTTCACTGAAGGAGCTTCTAAGTATGCATCAATCACAGCCAGTGTTATATCATATACCTGTGACGCGTTTTCCATGGACGCATGCCTCACAACATTTAATATGACATCAGCCATGAGGGAAATGCAGCGTGAATTTTCTTCACTGTGAAGCGCGGCTTTTATTAGAGTTCCCATCATGAGCTCAAACTTGGAGTGCAGAGACTCGCCTTTTGAAATGAGCGCCTCCGTGTATAGCACCCGAAGACCATCATAAATACTCTCGTCTTCAGCTGCTCGAAGTTGCTCGAATGTATGATGAACAAAATGCTCCAAGCTTTTTTGTCTCGTTTTCCTGACTAGGAACGAAAGAACTTCCGCCGAAAATCGTGAGAGGTATTCTTTTTTGTGCGATAATATGGGGAACAATAGGTTGAAAGTAGGAAGAAGGTCCTGAGCCAAAATTCGCGAAAGATACTTGTAGATGTAAGCGACGCAGTTGAAAACCCATTCGAATACATTAGACGATTCAAACTTTATAGCTGCATCGAGTAGACTTGTAAGCATGCGCATTGCTCTTTCGTAGAACTTCATAAAGTCTGGGCCCAGATCGTGACAAAATTGAGACAAGAGGTCCAATAACGGCTGAAGAGAGTTTTCATCGTGCATAGAAATCTTATCATGCAAATGGTTGAAAATCTGTTCTTCGTGGAACAAAATTTGTGGAAGAGTTTGAACCAAAGGCCTAACGTCATCTGTAAAGGCCGAAAAACCAGCGCTCAAATTGATGTCCTCCCAGTGCTCGAAAGAAGCTAAGAAATGAGAAGTCTCCACATGGTCGTGTACACGCTTGCTCAGATCCCTTGCCGGTTCGATACGCAGATTATCGATTTTATCCTTGAAGGATGAGTATCTATACCGTTTAGACGTTTTTGACGCCACTTTTGGGACCTTCACCATCTCCAAAGCAAGGTTTTGATCGACAGCGTTTGCAAATGTAGCGCCAGCTGAACAGTAGGGTCTGCGGAAGTGCACAGAAATGCTTTGGCTTGATGATCTATCTCGAACTTAGCTCATCGCATCTATAGCTCAGCGGAAAATTTTTATTAAGATATTTACCAGATGGTCAAAACGTACGAAAGGACAATTTAGCCGCCTGAAGCGAGCCCTAACCGCTGGAACAAGATATCTAACCGAAGCGAGGGCCACGCCATCAGGTCCGTATTATCGTATTGTCTATTGAAGTATGTAATCATGCCACGGCAAACTTGCTATATAATGAGGATTTGCTCGCTATATCGATCTGCCCAAAGTTATTATCTTGTTGAAGCTCCACACAACCCATGTTGGCCAGAGAAAGAAGCTCAAAAAACGCTTTGCTGGCATCCTTTTTTGTTGGTGAATCACCCTCTTGACTCAAGGTCATACAGTTTGAAAAAGTTATTGTATCAGTATCGATAAAACGCGTTTTTAGTCGCTCAGCCATTTGATCAAGGTCTCTCGAGACATATTCTCCTGTAGATAGACGAACATTTGTGGAGTGCTTGTTAACCTCCTGAGATGTTGCTTGAAAGCTTGAGTCTTGCTCTATGTCTATTGAGCTTCTGGTCCCGTTTACCATCTCGTCGTCTGCCTCTGCTTCCACGTTTTCTATATTTTGGTCCCCTTCCCATAGAGTTGCCAAATCATCCTCGTTATCTTCATGCAGTGGGCGCTCAGCATCAGGACTGGATAGCATATCGGTGCCCAATCCGAGGGACTCGTCAAACTGCGGGTCTTCCTCGACGGGCTCAGGTGCCATTTGCGATACCCGTGGCTTTTTGACATTCTGGTAGGAGAGAAGGCTTTCCAAAACTGCTTCCGGTAAAAAGTCCATTTTATCTGCAATTTGGACCCACAGCCTCTTTGGCGGTCTGATCTGTTCGCGTGGGCGTTCTGCGTGGTTGTCAGTGATTAGCAAACTCAAATTCGCATCTGGATTCTTTACCGCTTCATCTCGAAGCTCTGTGTCACGATCGACTGTGACTGGCTTCATTTGCGAGAGATCCTGACTGCTATTTTCGGCTTCAAGGGGCGATGAAACTGTTGCTGCGAAGGGTTCTAGTTCTTCTTCGCGTTGTACTTCAGAATCCATTGCTGCGTCACCCACATCCTTCTCCAGCCCCAGATCAAAGTCAAACTCGGTGTGTTCGTGTTCATATTCTTCGCCCGCAGCCCTTCTGCCTAATTCGAGAGATCTGTCGGTACCTGGCTCGCCCGGGTTGGCCACAGATTGATCTTGAATACCCAGATCCCAGTCTAGATGGTCGTCGACGGGAAAATCGTCTTCTTGAATGTTTGCACTACCTGTCGTTTGGTTGGATTTATTGATAGTAGTATTGGTGCCCTCACCGACTGCCCTCGTATCTGTATCGTCTATATCAAAGTCCAGATCCAGGACTGATGACTGGTTATGGCCCAATTCATCGCCAAGTGGGCCATTTCTTCCGACTTCGATCGATGAGTCCCAAGGTGCCGCTCCTTGGACATGCCTCTGCATTGATCTCTCATACTCCATGAACCCCCGTGGAATGGACTGGTCGTTCAAAAATTCCAAGCCTGGAACCTGCAAAACCTCTCTTTCTGTAACTGCATCTTGCAAAAGATACTGACTTGGGTGGGGCAGTGTGGTGCGTTCAATTTGAAGTGTCATGTTTGTAGGAACTGACTTGAAAAGTGTTGTCATTCTGGTTAGTGTGTCCTTGATATCATTGAGCAGTAGCGAGGTTTTCTTCGAGTATACGCGGACAATACCATGCAGCAGTTCACCTGAGGCACGCAATGTGATAGGCTCGACGTCTTCGCTATCAAGTGAACAACCAGCGACACGAGCAATCTCTTCTACGGATTTGATGATATTTGTGTGCTGAGAGACGCTCTTGGATAGTGAGTGCGACATATTGGAAGCCAGCCAAATCTGAGCAAGGGAGCCATTGTTGGTGGTTAAGTTGATGAAAGTAGGAGCTTTTGCAGTTATATCGGCGACCATCGTTGAATTTAGCGAGAAAAAGCTGTTGTTATTATTCTTAGGTTGCGAGCAAATGTCCTTAGTAGCCGAAAGTAATCAACAGGCTCAAGTTGGTGATCTAAACCAAAGGGGCGACGAACTCTTCTCGATTCGGTGGTGTCGGAGGGTGTGAGTAGGTGGTAAGAGAAGGGATAAGTTCAACAAAGAACTCGACCGGTGTCTTCAAGATTGTTTTCGCGTTTTCCTGATAGCCTAAAAGAAAGTGAGTTGAAATTTAACGCGTTTGTCACTTGACTGGATATCTACACCGATCACGGGATAAACACGAGCGCGTGCGTCTCAGTCACTTCATACGGAGTATTGAAAAAAGGGCTATACGTATAAAGATACATGGGTGTTGACTTAACAAAGCTATATGGTCGTTATTGAATGGTAAACGCTCATGTATTGTGTTTCTTGAGAACTAGAATATGAATTGGCGGAATCGGGCTTGAGCTGCGAGGCCGATTGACGTGTGTATGTTTACGGGACGAGATCTTGACAAAAAGATTTTCCGTGTGCTTCGTATCGTTTATTTAAGAGCGGCCTGTAGCACCTCCAAAACCTCGAGTTGTATGGCAGCTTCAGCGGCAACCTTCTCGTCGGAAGACGAAACATTCTTGTTGGCCTCAGAGATCAGAGATCTGACATTTTCGGAGGAGAAAGAGTCCAGTGGGAACGCTTCGACGGAGTTCACCGATAGAGTAGAGTCTGGCTGAACAGTGGCAAAACCGCCGGAAACGAAAAACTTCTTGGATGAGCCACCCTCGAATACCTCCACAACACCTGGGGAGAGCTGTTCAACAGTGGGCACGTGATTGGCAAGAATACCAACTTGGCCGGATTGAGCTGGTAGATTCACCTGGGTGACCTTGGAGCCTGCGAATAGAGTTTCGTGAGGTAGAGCAAATTGTAGCTTCAAAAAGTCGTTTGCAGCCTCAGCGTAGGTACGCTTGGACACTAGATTGACCGACCTGGCGATACTTCTTGCGCTAGTTAGACGGAACATGTTGTGAAATGCTAGCGGATTGCTGATGTTTAATTGCTGAACTTTGTGTACCTAGTCTACCGGCCTCTGGTCACCGATTTCAAATACTTAATATTCAACAGTTGTTGTCAACTGATTAGAGAAGGGATACTGTCGGTTTCCTCTTGGAAACAACGAAAATTTTCTGATAAATTTCCTAATATCACTATGTACTAAATGCTTGATGTATTATTGAATTTTGTTCGGTAACTGATTGGCCCTAACACGCCCCGCTAGTTTTTTTAATGGTCACATGTCTTAGAGATGTACACGTGACAGAAAGACACCCTCTAAAATCACGTGTACAAGACTCTTGTACTCATGATATACTGAGTACTCATAATAATAGCACATACTAAGAGCTGATGCTATGTAGGTCTCCGTCAAGAACAGAAGCCATGAGGCTATCAAGACCGAATTCGCTGTAACCTCAAAGACCAGCAGCAAAGCTTGCAACTTTGTAATGCCAGACTCCACAGCTCCTCCAGCTGAACAGCGCTACCAGAATAAGCTCACTAAATGCTTTGACGATATCATGAGAACTGCTGCAGAAATGCTGGTACAACAGCAGATCAAGAGTATTCAGCTGAGCTCTGATATTGCTGCGGGATTCACACAGTCACAGCATAAACTGCTAGGAGAAAAGGTGCACACATTTCACTCGGTTTTGGACGATTTAGATCTGACCCTTACGACAGCCAAAAACTGTGTGGATAAGTTTGCAGCGGAATCCGCAGCGCGCAAAGAAAAACTACTCGAAGAACAGAGGGAGCAGCAGATGCTACAAGCCAAGCTAAAACAGGAGCAGGAGGACCAAAAGAGACTTGAAGAGGCGCAAAAAGCATCGAACTCCACGCCTTTCAGCCATAATGAGTATCCAGAATCTACGCCGACAACGTTTCTCAACGAGCTTTCAAAGTCCAGTCTCAGCGGCCCGAATCGTAATGCGAAGGAGGTCACTACCATCAGTGCAGGCCAAAATGATGCTAGCGACAGCAAAATTCCTACTGGTGGTAGCAGTCGTAACACAACCGGAGGCAATGATGGCTATTCCACGGGCCTGAACGATTTAAATGATCTAGATCTTTCCATGTTTGGTGGTATTGAGCAAAACGATTTGGGACTGACGGGCTTTGACGAAGTTCCAATGACTACTAATAATGACAAAACTTTGAACAACGAAAGTAATTTGAGCGGTTCTGTGCCCCCTGGGGGTGACGATGGTTCTAATCGGATGCTCGGGAATGACCCGAACTCAAACAACACAGACAGCTATTTGACGCTGAACGATTTCAATGACCTCGGGCTCGACTGGAATAATTCAGATGGTCAGAGTGGACTGGATATGAGCGAGTTCAACATATGAGCACGTATGCATCACATAAGACATTCGAAGGCAAGGCACGGGCCAATGGATTTGTGCTAGCGCTTTCGAGACCTTGAAAAAAGAAAAAAGTAAGTCAAACTATCTACCACTGCTTCAATACACATACTGTAATTAAGAATTGTTGTCAAACATCACTACCATAACTGTAACATTATCAGTTGTACCCTGTTTTAACGCCGTCCGAACCAAAACCTTGGCAGCCTCGTTGGCGTCATCAATACCCTTGATAACGTCGCAGGCCTCCTGATCCTCAAGCACGTCCCACAATCCATCGCATGCTATGATGAGGAACTGATCTGTTGTTGTTATTTCCACGCTCGTGGTGAACGGGTTGCCCACGACCAGACTATCAAAAAACTTGTCACCCAGGGAGCGTGTGACTGCTAGCATTCCGTTAACACGACTTCTCATGACAAGACCTCCTGCTGCTTCAACTCTTTGCATCTCCAGTATGTCGGACGCTTTGTGGTCGTAGGTCAATCTCACACTATGGCCGTTACGACACAGAACAATTCTCGTATCTCCTACGTTGGCCGTGTAAAGCATTCGCTTATGCTGGTCCAACTCTATTTTCTCGTTAGGCAGATTTTCAGGCACTTCCCAACGCAACACGCCAACAGCTGCTGTGCATCCACTGTTACCTCCCAAATCCGAATTTATGCGCTCATCAGCGTAAGAAAATGCGTCGTTGAGCACCTCTCTGACATCTCTACTCTCATCGTCCATTATATCCTTTTCTAGTACCGAATGTAAATGTGCTCCGCACCACTTCGAAGCCTGGGAACCAGCATGTCCATCGAAAACTCCAAAATAACCCCAGTCTAGCCTCGACCCAAAGTTCTCCACGTACGTGTGAACATCTTCCATGGTCTTACGGAACTTTGAGTTTTGATTTTCGGCCACTCCTACCGAATATGAACGGTTGTAAGGACGTCCCTGTTGTTCTTCGCCAGCTTTTTCTGTACTGGGATCATGTTTAGGACCATCTGTCTTTGACATTTTCGAGTGGGTAGTGCTAATGATCTGAGAGGACAATGCAAACACTGAACTCTGGATCACTGCTGATGTTTGTTGTGCCAAAACGCAATACGCAATGGCTCGTTTTGTCGGAAATCTGTTAAATCATTATTAAGTGGACTTCAAGAAATCTAAATTAAAATGAACATCTTCAAATTTGAATATAAATTTAGACATTCCAAGAACGAACCGATCTATAAATCTACAAAAAACTGAACACAGCTAGACACGTAAAAGTCAGCTTTCAGAATAGAATCAAGTAGGCAACAAAAATTGGGAATTATCGATATAGATATATTCGAATCTTGCCTTTGCAAAGCGTGGTAAAATCATGATTATTTCAAACGATCAAGTAGCTCATGATTATCGGCAAAAAACGAACTTGCATGATCAGTCTTGGCGTCAAATTTTGATAATCGCTAAAATTAGCACAGAGACCTCTCAAAAGTATCGTAAGAATGGTGTTTCTTAACTCTAGACAGATGCAACTACAAATACAGACTTTCCAGGTTTTCCTCGACCTTGTTTTTCAGGATCCGTTCCTTGGCCTGTTTGAAGTCCTCGGCAGTCACCTGCATTCTTCTTTCCCGCAGCGCGAGAAGACCGGCCTCTGTGCACATGGCCTTGATATCGGCTCCTGAAAGATCGTCTTTCGAGGTGACGAGGTTTTCGAGGTCCACGTCAGGAGCCAAATTCATCTTCGATGTGTGGATAGTTAGAATCTTGCGTTTAGTGCCGATATCTGGGTTTTCAAATAGGATTTTTCTGTCGATTCTGCCTGGTCTGATCAACGCGGGATCCAAGCTTTCGATCCTGTTGGTAGCCATTATAACCTTCACGTCGCCTCTGTCGTCAAAACCGTCCAGCTGGTTTAGCAACTCCAACATTGTTCTTTGAATCTCTCTCTCACCACCACTATTGGACTCGTACCGCTTTGTACCAATGGCGTCAATCTCGTCTATGAAAACAATGCTGGGGGCATTGTCAGCGGCAGCCTTGAAAATTTGTCGACAAAGTCTCGGACCGTCACCGAGATATTTCTGTATCAACTCCGAGCCCACGATTCTCAAAAATGTGGCAGAAGTCTGATTGGCCACAGCCTTGGCCAACAAAGTCTTACCCGTACCTGGAGCACCATACAATATAACACCCTTGGGAGGCTTTATACCCATTTCTTCGTAGAGCTCCGGATGTGTTAGAGGAAGCTCTACTGCTTCTTTGATTTCTTGAACCTGAGACTCCAGTCCTCCAATGTCACTGTAGTTTTCCGTTGGCGATTTGTTGATTTTCATTACGGATACCATTGGATCGGTGTCGTCTTGAAGAACACCAACGATGGACATGGTTTTGTGATGCAAAAGAACAGAACAGCCTGGCTCCAGCAGTTCTTTATCGACGAACGACAGAATCGACACGTAGAAATCCGGTGTGGTAGGACTGGTCACGATAGCGTGGTCATCATCGATAATTTCCTCCAAGGTTCCTACGGACAGTGGTGTACCACGGATTTCCTCCAGCTGTTTTTTTTCCTCTTCCTGCTTCTTTTCGAACGGCTTCAAGATCTCCGAGTTCGTCACAAACTCTTCTTCCAAAAGTAGATGATCTTTGATTCTTTCCATGCGTAGTAGTTTCAACCTACAACGAGTGCTGGGATACACACTAGGAAGTTTCTCAGCCGTAGCTGGGCCCTTTCTTCTTTTACGTCCGATTTTCGATTGCACAGATGGCTCATACTTGGGCTTTTGCTTATCCTTTTTCTTCTTGTCTTTACCGTAAGTTGACGCACCTTGACCCTTTATAACAGCGTAACTCGAGTTAGTATTAAGCTGTTGCAAAATTTAAAAAGGCTGTTCACGAGTCGCAATTCCTCCAGCCCATGAAAGCTAGCAACATACCATTTTGAATTGATGATGGTATCAATAGTCTTGGTTTAGTGTGAAGTGGCCGGTATATCGACAAGTTATTTGCCACCATGACAAAAATGGTTTTAAGCTTTGAACATGTATAATTGAACTCTTTCGTCAAGGGCGATCGCTATAACAGTGATGTTCAAGATATATAAAGAAACGAGTAATGTAGATAGATATAAGGCTAAGATCAAATGAGTACCGATTAGAGATCGGAACACGAATTTGATGTTGTAGAAGCAGCTCTTCTGGGGAGACATAGCGCTGGCTGGAATTATCTCCTCGTACTTTCTTGGATTTTGACGATTTCCTGTTAAAATTGACGTGCAGCTACTATCCTTTTGCCAAATGTTGATAGCTTGCTTACCCTTCGCCAGCTTTAAGTTTTGATCCAGTGCACTAGTGAAACTGTGCTGTCTAGCTCCACAATAACGCTCTCTGGCTTTCTTTACGAATTGGAGCAAAACAGGACTAATTTCACCACCGGCATTTTACTATCCAGTTGCGCATGAATCTTAAAGATAAGCCTGTAAAACCCAAATCAACATAAGACCTGTAAGACCCAAACAACATAAGATCTTTTGTCAGAATGTCGTTCACACTAAGCAGCACAAATGCTCGCCAAGGCTTGAAGATCTATTGAAAAGTTTCAAAAAAAATAACGACAACTGCAGGATTCGAACCTGCGCGGGCAGAGCCCAAAAGATTTCTAATCTTACGCCTTAACCACTCGGCCAAATTGCCTCGATTGAAAACATCAAAAGCTGTTAAAGACTAGTCCTTAGATTGAAGTCACGAAGATGCTTTTGAATAGACTCATGAGCGGTTGGCCTCTCAGCCAGGTGCTTGTTTCAAACTCCCGCTGGCCGATGCCTTCGTTCTCCAGATTTGTATAGTTTGCTAGTGAGCTTAAGGAATAAATAATTAATAAATAGCTGTACAGTTAACAAATGTCCCATCCAGCGAGGCGCACTCGCTGGAAGTTACCGAAACTTGGAATTCATCGATGTCATCCGCAGAACGTAGAGCATCCTGTACGCTTTGGAAACACCAAGAGGGGCTTGCTCCACTCAAAAGCGCCGGGCCTTCAGTCAAAGTTGTAGTCTCAACCATCGCGACAATCCCTGCGGCATTAAGTCTGTCACGTACAGCAATAGTCATGGGAACTCGTGATAAGTACACCTTTACCTTCCGTTTCCTTAGATTTGTGACAATCTCATACAAGATCTGAGCAGCGGAAGAGTCTAAATGCGTCATCCCATCCAAATCCAAAATCATATGCCTGGTTTGCTCTTTATCACGAACGCGAGGACTAGCAGGATGCGCATTTACAGATCCATAGTTTTCCAATCGAGTTAGTCTTGTTTTGAGATCTTCAGTATTGGTAAAAATCAGCGGCTCGGGAATTTTAACAATCAAGCATCCTTCAACATGCTCAAGCTGGCTAAGTCCAAGACTTTCTCGGTATGCAGGATCCCCAAAGTCGTCAGCGTTGACAAACCGATTGGTGCCGGATATCCTCGCCAAAATCTGAATCCTAGAGCTAGTGGATTGCTTGATAGCCCGAATCACCGAATAACCACACCCCACGGTGATACCGGCTTCTACCGAGTAGAAAAATGTAGTAAGAACTGTAATGGCAAAGGTAATGAGCTCATTATACCCCTTACACGTATAGTGGAACCGAAGGTCAGCGGGTGCTTCCTCAAAAAGCGAGATTCCGACCACTGTAGTGATCACCGAAAGAATGCACACCGGAATGTAATGTATTAGGCCAAGCAAAAATTTGGACGTGATTAAAGTTATAGCACCCATGAACACACCCGACATGGCACTTACAGCACCTGAGTAAGCATTGATCTTGGATCGCCCATATCCTCCAAAAGACGGCAATGCCCCAAAAAGAGAACCAACCAAGTTCAAGCTTCCTAATGCAACGAGTTCGCGGTTCGATGACACGGCTAAGTCGTTTGCTGATCCCAAAGACTTGGCCGCAGTGGTAGACTCAAAAAATCCGAGTAAGGCGACCATAAAGCTGGCGTGAAATAGATCATTGTAGTATTTCAGATTCTTTTTGGCTAACGGATTTCTTAAGGTTCCACCGCTTTCAGTATTTATATCGCCGACTACTTCAATACCGTATCGGTGCTTGAAGTCATGGAGATACGACACCAGTGTGACCAGGACCACAACTAATAGAATGTCGGGTACGAAAATAACTTTCTTATACCGTTTCGAAAGTCTCTTCTTCAGATACTTCAAAAGCATGAAAAATGCAAAAGCGACTGCGCTTAAAACCGCTGTGGGATAGTGATAGTTTGCTGGGGCATAGTTAAGAAGAAATTTGATTTTCTGGTAGGGGGCATGGTAGTGACCAGGGGCTTCTTGATACACCTTCTTGAGTCTCAATTCAGTGATCAGTGAGTTCAGTACCATCACGAGTCCCACAGCACTTATAAAACCGCGCAAAAGTGCTCTGCTCAACACGCCGTCCAGAAACCCAAATCTCATGAGTCCGGATAATAAAAGCACTGCACCGCTGCTGAATGTGAGGATGATACATAAGTTTATCACACCAATTCCTGGATCATGCTTGGACAGTTTTTCAATCGCTTGTCCAACCACCAAAGAAATAGCACTTTCGGGACCCACAATCATCTGAGGCACAGATCCGAAGATTGCATACATGAAGGGTGTAACGGCTAGTGCAGTAAGTCCACAAGAAGGTGGAACATGCGCAATGGACGTTGAGTATGACATAGCTAGAGGTATCTGGAAAGAAGCCAACGAGGCACCGGCTAGCACGTCTCTAAAGAGCTTTGACGAATTGTAAGACGGGAGCCATGTGAAACAGGGAAGATAGTATGATGCACAATTCCAAAGAGTCAGTGGTTGCTGGCTTCCTGGAAAGCCCGATTGCACAGCTGTTCTTGTACTTTCTTTTGCAGGACCCAAAATCTCTATACTTGACCGCGAAGGCCTGGGACTTTGCACCTCTGGAGCTCCTCCTTCAGCTCCCGAACTGCCTTGATGTCCCAAAGCACCATCTGAAAGTGATGTGTCATAGGTGCGGGCCCTCGAAATAGCGTGATTGGAGAGCAGAGGCTTGTTGACGTCCCTCATCCAGCTCAACCTGATACTTGACGTCCAAGCTTGTCAACTTCATACCGGATTCTCTGTATTTTAAGTTCAGCATTTTACTTTACCAGATAGATATTCAGTAGTCCAAACATCTACACGTGCTTGTAGCGGATGGTGTATTTCTCGACAAATCTAGCTTGACCCGCCTCCCGTTTTAAACAGTCGAGCAGGTCAAGACGCTAAACTCCACAGGAATCTGTTTGTTTGAAACTTGAGAACTCTCGCCCTCAACTTCATGTGTCCATCGTTGTTTTTATGGATTGGATCAAGATTTCGTTCAAATACTTCAAGATCAGGTATATAAATTCCACAGCTATGTCAGAAAAGATCATCTTGAAATACTCAAAAGGATGAGGTCTGTTGAAAAACGCCTTGTTTTCCCCGCCCATTGCTTCGCATTTACGAGTATTGTTGATCGCGACCGGCTGACACCATCGGTGCTTGAATATTGATTCCGAGGTCTTCTACACGACATTATTTGCCCTGGCTCAGTTTCGCGGTGAGCTCAGGTACAATTTCATTGAGGTCTCCGACTAGACCGTAATCGGCTGTTTGGAAAATGGGCGCGTCTTGGTCGTTGTTGATTGCGACAATGACTTTTGAGTCTTTCATACCAGCTAAGTGCTGAATGGCTCCAGAGATACCCAATCCGATGTACAAGTCAGGGGCAACAACCTTACCGGTTTGACCTATTTGCAACGAGTTGTCACAAAATCCTGAGTCTACAGCGGCTCTGGTAGCACCAATGGCAGCGCCCAAAGCGTCCGCTAACGGCGTGACAAGGCTGTCAAAGGTCTCTTTGTTTTTCAAACCACGCCCGCCTGAGACAACTTTCGAAGCAGAACCCAAATCCGGTCTAGCACTTTTCACCAACATTTCACCTTCCCACTTGATTGCTAGATCTGAAGGTTGGCCCACTTTTGGAGCCTCTGAAATGGGAGCATTGGACGCTTCACCAGCCGTAACAGGAAACGAGGAGGCCCTGACACTTATGAGTTTCTTGTCTTGAGAGCATTTGACGGTGGCGAGAGCATTGCCTGCGTAAATTGGTCTAACGAAAGTGGTTGAATCCACGATCTTGGTAATGTCACAGATTGGCTGATAGTCTAATAAAGCTCCCAGGCGAGGAAGAATGCTTTTCCCCACGGCAGAGCCAGCTACCACGAAGTGTGTGTATTCAGGATCTTTTAGCAATTCCAGCGCCAACGGGGTCACTTTTTCAGCGAAATAATGGTCGTAAGCTTGGTCTTGAGCAACAAAGATCTGTTTTAATGAAGCCGATCCAGAGTTTTTTTGAAGCTCTTCAGCGGCTTTACCAGATGCAGATCCTGCCAAGAGAGCAGTGACAGGATTACGTAGTTGGGACGCAGCTGCCAGAGCACTCAACGAAGACTGGGCTATTTTTCCATCTTTACTCGACTCTACAAAAACCAGAGTCGAGGCTAGCCTGTAATTCGCCACTTTTCCCAAGAGCCTTGCTTGGGAATTTACTGGAAGTTTTCCGAGAGCTGCGAACATCGTGGGAATCTGACTTTAGAAGGTTGGCGAAGTTTGAATTTGGGCATTTCATTCAAATGTGGGCGAGGCCTGCACCTCTGCTTGAATATCTAATTTAATGAAGAAATCAATTTTGTCACATGACCCGAATGCCATAGAAGATGGGTGTCATAACACTTAGTTATCCCTCTGAAGATAGAATGGACAAATGGTCTCAACAGCATGTGTGTTTTGCCTTAGAGCATCTCAAAATTTGTTCAAGTTTGGAAAAATCAAAAATTTTTAGTTGTTTTCGTAATTTTTCAGGAATTTAGCGGTTTCAATATTTTAAATCATTGAAGGTGAGTGTAGTTTAGCGACTGGCAACTCGTTTCATTAAATTCGGATACTGTGCAATAGCCTTGTAGGGGAGTATACAGTAACGCCAAGATTTAAATGCTGAGTGCCTTAACTGTTTTTTGTCGTGTTAACGCCAAAAAAAAATAAAGACATTTACTGACGTCCATCAAGGCTGACTTGAAGGAGTTTCATTGTCGCAGAGCGTGCATGTGACATGCGTGCGGGATTGATGTCTTATTGTCAGGTTTCGAGTACCTGAGGTGACCGCGAGGAACAAGCTAATAATGTAATGGAAGCGACAGCCGAGTATAGGTTACTGATCGGGTTATTTGAGTCTTTGAACAAAGAGAAGTCGATACCCTAGCGTCAGCCATTTGATAGATCAACGGAAGATTTAGTGCCGAGCATCATTCCACAGTTTGCAAAGAGAAGTAGGTCGCGCATTCTGTTCAACAAGATTTTTCAGGTTGTGCATTAGAAGTCAGGCGTCTCGCATGATACGTTGATCTTTAACGCAGAGGTCATTGAGGAAGGCAATTTTGAAGATCAAACTTCAGCCAACTCTGAGCTTGAGCGGTAAAATCACATGCTCTCTCAACCCTTCTTTCTCTCGATAAAAAGAGGCAAACTTTCTAATTGCTCAGCTGGCTGCACACTTCGAGTGGCAGATTCGATTACACGTCATTCTGAATGCTCGATATCATCGATCGCTGGTGTCGAAACCGTGAAGAAGTCACTGAATGGTTTAAGACGCCGCTTTCAATTTAAGCACGTGACCAATCCATTGGACTCGATCACGGATTCGATTGTTGGACAAGTTAGCCTGCTAGTCAATTGCGCAGGCGTATACTCCAGCTTTCACAACAACCACGAAGCCAGAAGCCTACCATGCTCGACATCAACGTTTTAGCTGACAAGATTCTGGATTTTCTGGCGGAGAAAATAGAAACGAACTATTGCGTGGCGGTAATCATTGTTGGACCCCCGGGTTCTGGGAAAACAACCATAAGCGAATGCGTCTGTGAAGAGATCAATAAGAGATACCAGCAACACCTAAGAAATCAGCAGTCGTACCGACCCCATCCACAAGGTTCTTCAAGAGATTCTTTAGAAATCGAGCGGCTTTGTCAAGACATACCAATACTCGATTCAGTAGAGCGCAGGAAGCTCGAAAGCGGATGTTTTGAAAATGTTGAAAACTCGCATTATACCCCACACCAATTCAAAGACGACGATGAAGATCATTCCACTGTGGTGGTTGGACGAGGTGGTCTTCCAAACAGTATAAGAATCTCTTCCAAAAAAGCATCATGCAACCCAAGAGAAGAAGAAATCAAAATTGCGCAAATTGTGCCCATGGATGGTTTCCATCTGTCAAGAGCTCACCTTGATCATTTCCAAGACTCAATCGAGGCACATGTGCGTAGAGGCTCACCGCCAACTTTCGACAGCAACAATTACCTCCAGCTGAGCAAGATTTTAGCCAAAAGCTGTAGTGTCAAACCCCATTTTTCGAAGAATCTAAAAGCTGGCAGTGGGCTCTTTGACAAAATATCAGCCTCCTTTAGCAATGAAAATCCTTCAATTTCTGTTCCCGGGTTCGATCACGCTTTAAAAGATCCTTCTACAGACCAGCATTGTATCACTGCATTCACACGGATAATAGTATTGGAGGGCCTGTATTTACTTTTGAATGAAGAGAACTGGAGAAATGTATACCCAGTTTTCAAAAAGACAGATGCCGTTTTGGTGTGGAGACTTGACCTAGACATTGAACAATTAGAGGACAGGGTAGCAAAGAGACATGTTGCCAGCGGGCTCGCTCCAAATCTCGCCGCAGGTGTTGATAGGTTCAGAGTGAATGATCTCATTAACGCGGTAAAAATTAGGGAGCAAAGCTTGGATGCTGAGGACATCGAAGTTCTGTCCACCGCTTAAATTCAGCTATTGTCCATTGCTTGCGCTCGCAATAAAATGGACATTTTGTAGCGATAACTTGACTACCAACCAGTCTGAAGTATTCTCTCTTGCGCTCAATATTTCGAAAAGTAATGAGGTACAGACGGGCCATCATGAAAGGTGCCATAAGTTGCTCCACTCGTCGAGACCGCTTTGCACGTTAGTTACCACGAACTTGGAACATTGCCGCCGACATACTTTCGCCTTGAATGCCTTCCCACTGCATCACAGATGTATGAACATGTTAGAATGCGGCTTGAAAGCCTTCGAGTAATTTTCGGCGACGATCAACATCTGTTGAACACTAGCGCTATAGAAAAATCGCGTTGCCACACTTGCACACCTCTTTGTTCGTCAATAAGGGCTCACTCATTGGAATTCTAAATACAGACCAAAATATCTGAGCCGGTGAGGCTGCTGAACGGGGTCATAGGTTCAAAAGGGTCAATGTCAACGTAAGATTTCGAGGCCAGCTGGAGAAGCGAAAGGAAGGCATTGGCCGCCATTTTCCTCGTGACCGAGGGGAGACTGTTGGATTCATCGGTGATCGACTCTTCGGTACCTAATTTGCTGGGAATAATATCTTCGAACAAAAGCTTCTTAGCGAAAGGAGGATGGGACCTAGTTGTTTTACCAGCAAAAGACGCGCGCTCGAAGATGTAGTCAAAGAATCTGCGACTTTGATTGTCAAGAACTTGATTCTGCGTGTGCGCCCTGAGACCGGTGTCTGCTGATTCAGGTTGCTCGGAGCTTTCATCAATGTCTTCAACACTTTGCAGGGTGCCGTTTCGGTGCGCGCCTCTTTCACTATGCATGCGTCTTAACTCCTCAATCTGGTCCCTCGAGCCCGCTTCTGTTCTGCTAGAGCTTCTTCCAAAGCTGGAGGGTGGAAGCTGCAAATCAATGCGCATGAAATCTTCTTCAACTTCATCGAAAGCTTCCTCTTCATTGATATGCTCCCCGTTCTCATTAATCTCCTGAAGGTCCGGTAAATCAATAGATTGCATATTTTCTTCGCTGCCACTTCTTTGGAGTATTGCCGGCCCCATTTTTCTTCCTCTTTCTGCACTTGCAACGCTGCTATTTGATCTTGAAGGAGGTAATGACCGCATTTTTTGTCGGCCGCGCTCGATCTCGTCCACGCTAGACGTGCCGTGCTCAAGAGAAGATGCGTCAGCATCAGTTGCCCAAAGTAATTTTACGTAGCAAAGTCGAAGAAAATCTGGCCCATCGTCTTTTAGTAGCGTACTTTTCCACTGGGTGGGATAAGATACCAGTTTCATTGGTCTTGCCATCGATTCCATGATCGAAAGGTATTTGTCGTTATTCTCTCGAAGAGCACCGTTACCTAAACCTGTACATTCGTCAATTTTGAGGCGAATCAGATCAGGATTGCCATGACTGATTTTTCGTTTCTTGTTTGGATGCAGATCAGACTGCTGCTGCTGCAGAAGCGACAAGTTTCCATTAGATCTTTCATTGTTCTCCTGACCAGAGGGAAGCATATCAAGATCTGGCAGCTCCTCGAAATCAGTCAATCCTGCTGGTTCTCTATCGAAAAGAAGATCGAAGTTCTCTTGATCAGACGGATCGGGGCTGTTTACGCTTCTGGCCTTCGTTGAACCCATTTCTGTCTCGCTGAGCACATCATCGAAATCCAAATTCAAGTCCGCGTCGAGGGATGAAAACTCTGAGTGATTCAAATAGTCTCGGTTGTGAGAGTAGCGTGCTTCTAAAGGACCGACATTGGGTCCTGTCTCATAGCTGTAGCCGTTTTGCAGTTCTTCCAACATATCCCGCTTGTGAATGAGGCTTGCAGATGAGTCTCTTTGATGTTTGTCCCCAAAGAGAAACGAATAGTCTCGTACCTGATTAATATCAAAATTAGGATCATCCGCCAGAAGCGCGTTGTTGAAGCGTCTTTCTTTGCCAGTTCCACGAGCTTCTGCCGACTGCATTTCTTGAAACTCTCTCAGATTTCGATATTCATGCACACCATCGAATATGGTGTTATTTTGATTCGCGCTTGTGATTGGCAACAATACAGATTTTCTTGCAGTTTGGAATAACTGGCGATAAAGCTGTGTTTTAATGCTGTTGACGTCTGCCAACACATAATCAGTTTTTCTGCTGTAACAAACGGTCACTCCGTAAAGTAAACTCGATGCGGATTTCAGTGTATACTCGGACTTGTTCATCAATAGAGACTCACAGGTTTTGGGGATTGAAATTGACAAAATATCTTTTTTCTTGATGCCAATAGTGTTGATGTTGCGCGAACCCCCTAACGTTGACAGCAACCACACTGTCGTGACACCCGAGTATGCCTCAGGGAGACCGTTTACGCGTTGTACACGTATCCCGCGCTGGCCAGGTGCACTCATTTATATTCGCGTATTGACAATAAAGATGTTTATTGCTGTTCACTCCAGGTCAAAGGCGCTTTAGAAAGAGATCCAAAATTTAGCCGCGCAGGTCCTTTTTCAATATTTACGCGACTTTTTCAAATCGTTACCCGGATATTAAAACTATACTTATATACGGAAGAGGTGTTAACAATGCTTTAGAATGAGCGTGTATGTCAAGCTGAATCTAAAGATGAGCTTGGACAGTAAACGCATGAAACCAGCTTGAAACAACACAAGCCGCGTTTATAGACCTTGAATCACAACACAACGCGTCTTACTGCTTGATCTGACCGCAATGGGTGACCCACAGATGGTTTTCATGAGTCCCCAAACGGAAAACCTGGACTACTTATACAGTTTGGTGGATAAGGTATCACAACAGATGACAGAGAACAAGAATAAACGAGCAGAGCTTTTAAGGGAGATTGACGTGCTAGTCAATGAAGTGAACCGCACTTCTTCGAAAAAAGCGCCGCGGGATACGAATTGGGCTGTAATTTCGAATTTTTTGAAACAGCGAAATATACAGGTGGATGACACAGCGATGACACAGTCTAATAGATCCGAGGCCTTTGAAGTGGAAAAACTGCAAAAACAGAACCAGATTCTGAAGGCGATGCTGGAAGAAAAACGCGGCAACAATAACGAGATGCTGGCGCTATTGAAAGTCCACGAGGGTTGCTTATCAGACGTGGTTAGTTTGCTGCGACGCGATGTGCTTTCGTACCACCAGGGACTAATATCCAAATGTCGCGAGCTTTATGAAGACCGAATATGCGTCCTTGAAGACGAGGAGTTCAAACAGTACATGAGGAACGTATCTGACGTTCAGGAACTGTTGGATATGTCCGAAATTTTTCGTCTACTATTGCGGATGACCGAAAGCAGCGAAAGCAAGGAAACATCTATTTAGCTCACGAGAATGATATTTACTTCACGTAAATAGCAGCTGCATTGAATTGATACCACACGCACCTTACACCAGATTTGTTAGGGCGGGTGTATGAAACAATGACTAACATGATCTCAAAGTTTGGGTAGAGCGTTTTACATGATTATCAATTCCATCTTCGGGCGCAAGTGGTTTAGTGGTAAAATCCAACGTTGCCATCGTTGGGCCCCCGGTTCGATTCCGGGCTTGCGCATTTTTTTGTTATTTTTTGGATGCTTGACGAAAAATAATTTGTTAATTGAAACAACCTAATCTGCTAAGATGGAATAAGATGAGAGTATCTCAACAAGTGATAAGAATGGTTGCATTACAAGGAATCTGATGGGCTCGAGCAAGGGTAACGACCCACTGCACTACAATGCCGCTGCTTAATGATGACCCCCAGCCGTTCTCACCATTGTAGTCGCACAAATTCCAAGACAAGAAAAAGTCGTGCAGGAATACTTCTCTTTGATGTGTCCAGGGCATCTCTCTACTTCTCTCTCTCTTTCTCTCTCTTACTCTATTTTCTCAACGCTGAACAACCCCAAAACCTCCTCCCACAGTCAATTCACATTATCCAGTCCCACCCAGCACCTCCGGCTGCACCTTGTACGCACCCTGTCTGTTCTCTACACCCAGCAACAGTTACTATCTCATTTTTTCGGAAAACTTTTTTTTCCTGGTATTTTCCCACAAGGCCCAGTAGGGTTCGCTTTCTCGCTAGCGAATGAACGACGTCCAAAGTATCAACTACTCCTGTGATAGAGTGTAGAATTGCACCCGAAATTAACTGCATCGGACATAGAGAATTGCAGGGCGACTTGGCGCGAAAGCTGCGAGTTTTCAACTTAAAGCTGGGTGCACATTTACAAACTTCACCCACAGACAGACCCTGGCATCCGCTTCAGTGCACCAAGTGGGTGGATATTACTGAACCATCGTGTGGACACAGCGTGCTCATGGCCATAATATATAATGGTGAGGCCGATGAGCATATTTGAGAACATTAATCTACAGAAACCTTCGAGTAGACTGTGTGACTCGCAACAACATCAATTACGATAACATCGAACAAGTAGGTTGATTCTGCACAACTCAAGTCAGCTCAGCTTATCCAGCCTAAAACTAAGCTTAACGTGCTCAGGCCTAGTTCTTCCAAATTTGATAGGCACGTGATAACTCGAAATCCGAAAAATTTCGAGAACGAGATTGAAAACGATCTTTACGTAAGCGTGGGGGGAAAAGAAACTCATCGCGTAATCGAGTACATCAAGCTATACTCATCGCGCTCACACACACACACACATACACACACCCCAGAACTCAAATATGACCAGCAGTAGCAAGGTTTTCAACGTTTCCGTGTTCTTTGTTGTGTTCAGAGAATGTCTGGAAGCAGTGGTGATTGTTTCTGTTCTTTTGTCGTTTTTGAAGCAGTCCGTTGGTGCCCAGGACATCAAGGTCTACAAGAGGCTGCGTAGACAGGTGTGGTTCGGAGTAGCACTTGGTTTGTTCCTGTGTTTAGCCATTGGTGGTGGTTTCATCGGTGCTTACTACAGCCTGCAGAATGATATCTTTGGTAGCGCAGAAGATCTGTGGGAAGGTATTTTCTGTATGATTGCAACTGTCATGATTTCGATCATGGGTATTGCAATGCTGCGGATCAACAAGTTGCAGGCCAAATGGAGAGTCAAGATTGCGCGTGCCTTGCTAGACGTGCCAGAACGCAAGAGAGACCGTTTCAAGATCGGTCATCTGACCAGACACTACGCAATGTTCCTGCTACCGTTCATCACGGTGCTGAGAGAAGGTTTGGAAGCCGTTGTATTCGTGGCCGGTGCTGGTATTACAACTCAGGGCTCCCGTGCATCTGCTTATCCACTACCTGTCGTGGTCGGTTTGATTGCCGGTTCTCTAGTGGGTTTCATTCTTTACTACGGTACTTCCAAGTCCTCGATGCAAGTCTTTCTGGTCGCTTCCACTTGTATTCTGTATCTGATCAGTGCCGGTCTGTTCTCCAGAGGCGCCTGGTATTTCGAAAACTACAGATTCAACAAGGCCTCCGGTGGTGACGCTTCAGAAGGTGGTGACGGTAACGGTTCCTACAACATCAGAAAGGCCGTGTATCACGTTAACTGCTGTAATCCAGAATTGGATAACGGTTGGGATGTTTTCAACGCCCTGTTGGGATGGCAAAATACTGGTTACCTGTCGTCGATGTTGTGCTACAACATTTACTGGCTATGTCTGATCATTGTCGTCGGCTTGATGATGTACGAAGAGAAAAGAGGCCACTTGCCATTCTGCAAGAACCTCAAGCTCCGCATGTTGATGCCAACATACTGGCTCAAAAACAAGAAGAAGAATGAGATGACCGACCGTGAGCGTGAAGACCTTTTCCAGAGAGTTGAGCAACTACAATTCAATGAGCAGGGTGAGCTAGCTCAACAGGAAAAGGGTCAAGTCGTGAAGACCGAAACCCCTGATCATTCTGACTCCAACGCTTCTTCATCCGCCAAGAAGGAAGGAAACATGGTAACCGTCCAGTCCAAATAATCATACACATAGTTTCAGCAAGTCTGCATGTAATATATAAATATGGATAGCTTACTTGACCGTTTTTGATAGATTTACATGGCATCTCACATTACATCAAAGGGTCGAAATACTTGTATTAGAAAGGTAGCAAAGTTTCAATGCGCAAGCTCGATATGCTGCTTGTTCTACCATCTTCAGCGGCTCCTGGCAAACTCTTAGATAAAAATAAAAAGTGTAGACTAACTCGCAAAATAGTAGAGCTTTATGCGAAGCCGAGCTTTAAAAAAAGAGCTTCCCGCAAAGTCATTTTCAAGGCCGCTGGCGCGGTGGTGGCCTTCCAAAGTTGCTAGCTACTAACTTGATGCTGACTCTTGAGTTTCCTATTTCTGTCGCTGTTGATAGTCTCGATGTAATTCCGGTTTCCTGCTACCAGGATGCAGGGCACAAAGGAAGAGCAGGCTAAATCTCAGGCTTCTTGGCATGAGTCAAGAAGTTGACTGGTCTCTTGTATTTCTGCTGTCGTGCAGTTTTACAATATGAATCAAGATAGGCAGAGGTCATCAACTTGTCTGCGACGGCTGAGATTTTTCAAGGTATCTTTTACTTCTGCAGATGTAGTTGATCTTTCAGGGCTCAAAGTTCAGGCAGTAGGCTGACTGTCCTGCTCATGAAAGGACCTGAATGTGAAGATCGCCTGATATGATCCTGCACCCAATTTTCCTGGTCCCATCCGAAGCCAAGGGCCCGCTGTGACTTCCATATGACTTCAGCGGAGCAGACTAGAGAGATTTTGAGCGTCAGTCTCTGATTTTTGAATCGAAAGAACGACCCTTTTGGTTTTAAAGCTAGAGTTAAAATGACATGCATTATGGCCCCGGAACATGAATTTAGAAGCTTTTCTTGAAGAGAGGAAGTAAAGCCAGCGAATATTTGTTCTGACAAGATGAGACGAGATATGCGTTCAGTTTACGATTATGAGCTGTTGGATTTCCTCATGCTATGGTTTTTTCGACCATAGGACCTTACCAAAGGGCATAGGGGAAATAAGTTATTGCAGAAACCTGAAGTTCTGAGTATCTCATGTGTGAGCTGACATTTCAGAATGCAATACGACCGAGAGTCGAGTTGGTGCAAAAGCGCCTTTTCACTTCGATTTGTCGATCACACCAGTTTTCAACCTCTGAAGCAGAACTTTGACGACCTCTAGCTCCTCGACCCACGATTTTTTCGATCCTTATGCGTATCTCCAGCATTTCATGAAAAATTGTAATTTCCCCCACCATTTGACCTCCATTTTCCTTCCCAACTTCTCGGGCTGCTCATCTTCCCCTCCTTGTATTTGCCCCAAAGTTTCGCAACGGCGAGTTTCCTTACCACCTTCTCTGGCTCACACAATGCGTGATGTGTGGCATCCACTTCTACAACATCGGCTGATAAGTCGTACTCATCTAGTTCTTATCCACAGGCATCACTGCTTAGTATACAGGGTAACAGCCATTCATCTGTTAGTTATACCCACACACTTGCATGTTCTTGCCGTTCATAGGCTCATTACACTAGCGAAAAAGAACTCCTACTACGGGACCAACGGGGATTTCATCAGCAGCAGCAACTGGGACTTTTTTCGTCAAGAATTCGAATATAATCACAGTGCTAAAGTGAAATATCTGTTTACGCCGAGATCTTGTCGAGCTTGTAACCAAAATCTGCCCCGAAAGCTGGGTTTTTATCGTAGCGTTTCCGCACTCATTATCGTTCAGATTTCATACCGGTGTGTGTGACCATTGTGTCGGCTAAGGCTTGTTACTAAAACTCCGGTGTCTTGATAAGCTTGACGGTTTGCTGAATTTTATTAGTTATTGGTTTAAATAACGAATTTTTGTCAAATTAAACTAATCTTGGCAACCGAATTTATTCACCGTCAAAAGACAGTAAAAGTGGAACCAAAAGACTCTTTATAAGGTCCGTTACAGGTCAAGAAGAGGTGCAGCTTTGACTTTAAAGTATCGAGTTTGTTGTTTAGCCCATTTTGCAGCGTTTCAACGGTTTTTTTTTCAGACAGAGCCTACTTTTGAGAGCTTTTCAAGGAAAGGAAACAGTAATCCTTCAAATTTGAATAAAAGTCGTTTGGCATGGCTCAAGCCACTGGAATACAAACTGCTTCCAAGACAATAATAGTATAGACACTCGAACTGAGCGTGTGGTTGTTTTTCTAGCCTAAAAATCCAAGAACGAAAAAAATGGTGCTTGTCAACGGTATCAAGTATGCGTGCGAAAGATGCATCCGGGGCCATAGGGTGACGACTTGTAACCACACAGATCAACCTCTGATGATGATCAAACCCAAAGGACGTCCTTCTACGACATGCTCGCATTGCAAAGAACTCCGGAAAAACAAAAATGCAAATCCTTCGGGTTCGTGCACCTGTGGGAGACAAGAGAAAAAACGACTGGCCCAAAAGGTCAAAGAAGAAGCACGTAGCAGTGGAAAAGGTACTAAAGACGTCAACTGCGATTGCATAGAGTCCGACAAATGCTCATGCCATCGCACTCGAAAAACACATCGTCGCATGGGGTCGTCCAAAACGAAGGGCACTGCAGGATCGTCTGTTTCCATAACTTCTGGCGATTCACCCACGCTTTCTGCTGTTGACGGGCCGGAGGTCATAGGTAGAGTAGGGAAAAACCAAGGACTCAGTTCGATCCCGTCTTTCCACTCGTCTCAATCACTAGATCGAGATTTTAGCCTCGGTCAAAGCCCGCCATTCTCTCCGTCTTTGTACAATAATAGCGCTAACAATTGGGAAACAAGCTCGATTACCAGCTCTTTGTTGTCGGAGTCCAGGCTAAATTTAGTCGACCGTGGCTACTCGGCGTCTGTTCCAATACCTGAAGAGCAAGGCCCAGATGGAGAAAAAACCACTCTTAAGGGCAACAAGTCTCGAGGAGACGAGCTAGCAACATCAATAGACAAAGTCCCAGAGACTCATAATCATCATAGTGGATTCGAAAGCTTTGGGTTTCAAAATCGCATCGGATGGGCTCAAAACGATACTAAACATGGCAACATGGATTTGTTTGCCGATACTTCGGAATTCGGCAACACTAATTACCGAACTTTGAAGCAGCATCACCACACCAAAGGTCCAGGACATCCTTCAATGGATAAAGTATGGATTCCCGAGTCTCCGCACTCCACCGCTATAACTTCTCGGTCAACATCATTTCATCGCGAAGTACCGAAAACGTTAACTTCAAGACCTTCTATCGATAGCGCTAGCTCTGATTTCTCAAGATTTACGATCAGCGGGACTGGATACAAAGAGAGACCTGTTGCATCTATAACACAAAGTCAGCAGCCGCAGCAGCCATATATCACAGCGCGACAACTGCAATCGCAACATAGCTTTTTGGGTACTGACGCTCTACATCCTACATCATTTGATATGAAGGACGAGAACTCGCAAAGCGTGGAAGTTTTGTCTCTAACTCCCAGCTTTATGGATATTCCAGACAACTCCAATTTGTATTCTGCCACTTCCAACCCATTTCTGAACTCACAAGGAGGAGCCGAAATACGGCAGCGTTCCGTCAGTATTCACAGAAATCACCGTTATGACCAGTTTTCGAAACAGCAAACAAGTAGTCGAAGTCACTTGTCGCTCAGTGATGCCGATCATACCATGAAAAATGACCAGTCATTTTCAAATCCTTCCAGGCGTGAAGGTGTCAACACTGACCCGACAGTCCCGCCAAGAGTACCTGTGAAAGATTCCCCGCCCACCTACAACGATGCAGCTGCCACCATGAGCCCGCCTAGGAACGGACTGATGACACGGCCGATGGAGCCAGCTTCAAGCTTTACTTCTGATTTTGACGACATTCTGGGATACAACACTAATGATGACACGCATTCACTTCTTTCAAGGCCATCGATAAATTTGGATCTCACCACAAATACAAATGCAGATAATTTGTCCATGAGTCAGAACGCTCAACTCTCTCCTACATTATTTTCCGAGACCGTTGGCGACTTCAGCTTCAACGACATCGACAAATTGATGTCTGACCCTTGAGAGGCTGGCTCTTTCACTCAAGCAACAATACTTCAGTTCATTGGGAGTCTTCGGAAAGTATGGTGAGTTTGACTGGGGAGGCCTTCTCCATTCGATTTTCAACGTTTAAACGGCTTGTCAGACCTGTGAGATGTAAGTTTTATACAGCTAGCTATGACAATAAGTACACCGTAATAACTAATAAGTATAGTATGAATCGTTATGCATTAAGGATGTGCACCATGAAGCTTCACCTTTTCCAGTTTTGTTGTCATTTCATCCACATTGTACTTCTTTGTTTCTATTGAGTTAGGATTTTCATCGTTCAAATATGTGGATAAACGCTCGTCATGAACTTCAAGAATGCTTTTTTGGTCATTACACTGCAGGGAAGAGAGCCGCAAAATATACTCGAGCAAAGCTATAGAGCTGCTCACTTCAGTCTTTCCATTTTTTTGTATGCTGCTTGTGTCATCTTCGTCTGTATCATCGGAGTCTGATTCCTCGGACTCATTTGAGGCTTCATACTCACCAAATGCAAGCCATTCGATGTCTTCGGTGGAAATACCCTGATCATCGGCGAATGGACTTTTGAGATTTTTATCAATTTTCAGGACAAGCACTGGTGAGTTACGCTCCTCTAGTTTCAGCAGCTTACCGGAAGCTGTGAAAAATAACCTTACAATTTGCCATATATCAAATTGCAGTTCTTTCACTTTTTCTTCTGTGTCGTCGTGATAAAGGCCGTCGTCAAAACTTTCTTTGATTCTTAAGAAATAGTCGTATTCTCTATCTTTATTTTCCCTTCTCCAAACGCTGAAAAGAGCTTTTCTCATGTCCTCCTTCCATGTAACACGAGCTTTCGAATCAGCAGAGGTAAGATTTTGAAACACTGAAAATAAGGTCAATTCAAAAGTTGGTCCTAATTGAACATTTTTATTATCAGCTTCGAAAAGATCATTACTCCTAGCGACGTAGTTCGATGCCTGTAGTAAACGTCCTGGAGAAATCTGTTGTGGTAAAGCAGTGCTCAACTTAGCGCCAGAGGTTGTTAAAGAAAGATTGATCACCGGTATGACCTCCTCGATTCTTTCCAGTAAATCGAGAATATACTTTTCCACAGCCTTGATTGAGTCTCGCTCGTTTTTCTTCACGTTAAAATTGCCAGTTATGGCACTTATTCGTGCATCGAATTGGTCGATCTCTTCCTTCAGGTCTCGTGTGAGTTTCAGCGTGCTTCCGAGACCCGTGTTACCCTTTGCTGCCACTAGTCTTATTAGATCGATGGCAGCTGAAACAATCTCTATTCTGGTTTCCAGCTTCTCCCGTAGTCTTTTGAGCCTAGAAGCATCCTCTTCCGGAATTTTTTGCACGAAAGTAGCAACTGTTTTGATGGCATAACTCGATGCAATAGATATACCCGATCTGATAGCGAAGGTCACGGCTTGGCTGCCAGCTTTGGCTAAAATCTCATCCATTGGTACAACGAGTTGATAGTATTACCCATATCAAGCAACACATGGTGAAGATATCGTGAAACATCGCTAACTCAGACAGCCTTTAATAAGGAATTGTTCGTTGAAGATGGTTAGTCGTCTAATGTGAGATGTATTGGAAGACATAGCTGATGTCTTGGAACTGGGCTTCGTTCTGCAGCAAGTGATCGTTTGTGGACTTCAAAGCTTCATGATTAAGATGATTCCAAGTAGTTGGATCACCGTAAAGCATTGTTGTGGGTTTGATCATCTGTTTACAATTATGACATCTTTTGCACTGGTAAGTTTCATGTGTGTCACAGACGGTGTCATTTCTCAGATGAAACAGTTGTTTCAAGCTCTCAGCGCTAAACAGCCTCTCAACGTCTTCCTTTTCGTCCACGACACAAGAGCTCAAACTCATTTTCATGGACTGACGCTGGTAAATTTTCTCCTCAATCGAACCGGTAGATATGAACCTGTAAATGAAACAATCTTTCTTTTGACCGTCTCTCCAAACACGAGCCAGTGCCTGCTGGTCTGCGGCCGGATTCCAGTCCGGATCCATCAGAATAAGTCTATTTGCGCCGATAAGATTGATACCACAGCCACCAGCTTTGGAACTCAAAAGAAATATGAATTCTTGACCTTCTGGATCGTTGAAACGATCCACAAGTTTTTGACGTTTGTTTATATTCATAGTTCCGTCAAGCCGCACGACAGCATAATTGCTGGCTCTGCACATGCGCTCTATCAAATCAAGAGTTTGAGTGTAATTAGAGATCAGCACTATCTTGTCATCAGACTCCTTTTTGATCTTATGCAGAAAGCGCTTCAGAACCGAGAACTTGCCTGAAAACCAGGTTTGTACTTCGCTACTGCCGCGTTTTGCTATGGTTGAGTTTTGGTAGTCATCGGGTATCAAGTCTTGCGATCCTTCAATATCTTCAGGGAGCTGTAGCAAGTCTGGATGGTTGCAGAGCTTTTTTAGCATTCCAATGTGCTTTAATGGCTGCTCTCCTTTGTTCGAGCCCTTTTCACCATCTTTATTCTTGATTTGGGACTCTCGCAACTTGATCATCTGTTCATAAACGTTCTTTTGAAAAGGTTTCAGATTCACGAATATAACATGCTCGTATTTGCAAGGCAGATATTTTGACAAAATGTCGTTAGTACGCCGTATGATGAATTTAGACACTATGTTGGATAGTTCTTGTAATTTTTTGTCACCTTTCTCGATCTCCGCAGGGTCGGCCTCGGCATCCCTACCTTGCAGAATGGGAAGCTCGAAGTTTCTTCTAAACTCATTCCTCGAGCCCAACAAGCCTGGATTTGAAAAGTTTAGTAATGCAAAGTACTCTGAGAGATCATTCTGAATTGGAGTACCTGATAAAATGACACGCCTGGGGCAGTCGATGCTGTTAAGTGACGTAAACGTCAAGGATTCTGCATTTTTTAGACGATGACCTTCGTCTGCTAGTAACAAACCCACGTTAGCATTCCGCAAAAACGTAACGTTACGCCGAAGGGTTTCATAGGAAATAATGAGCACAGGCTTGACTACATTTCTGCCCTGTGCGGAAGCCCACAAGCGAACTGCATCTGCAACCGTTCCATTGTTCAATGAGCTTTTCCTTCCGTCGATTGGCAAAGCGGGACAAATCCCCTTTCCCAGCCATTTAACTAGTTCATTGGCCCAGTTGTTCACTAGTGAAGAAGGGCACACGATTATGCATTTTTCAGTTGTTCTTTTGCCCTGCGGTCCTTGCCGCAGCAATGTCCAGAGTAGGGCAATACATTGAAGAGTTTTCCCTAATCCCATCTCGTCCGCCATAATACAACCATATGCGCCTCTGTTTTGCGCGGTAACAATGGCGCTTTGTTCCGGATCATCGACATTTGAATGCTCACCCGTCTCAGGCACTAAAGAAGGGACGGGAGTCGAAGCAGATGATGACGTATTATCACCTGTAATAGCTCGATCGGCTTGTTTCAATACACTTTGCTGATCCAGAAAGTCTTTCATCACCAAACCCGTAACACAACGATATAAGAATCTGACACCTTCGACCTGGTGAGGACGTAAAACCTTAGCTAGTAGCGGATCGATAACGACGGGAACGCTTGCAAACTCTTTTTGCTCCACATTCGTACGTCCCAGAAGTTCCGCTAATGTCTTATTGGGCAGTCCATTTGACAGCTTTTTGCGATTGATTTGTGAGGCAAAGGTCGGAGTGCTCGGAAGTGGGATATCTTGCTTTATGTGTGCTTCAGGTTTTTTCTTTCCCTTCTGAGACTTTGTATCCTCAGTAACTGTAGGATTCATTTGCTCTTGAATAATCTGCGGAGTTTGTCCATCAACACTAGGGTCGTAAAGCACAATTGCAAGCTCATCGTAGGGATCGTGAAGTGGTCTGGGCTCCAAAACGATTTTTGGTTTTGTTCCTAGGGAAAGGGAGAAATTATGTCGAGACACATATCCTTTGATCGGGACAGTAAACGATCTTTTGAGTGTGTACTCGATGTTTCGCAGACGGTCTGAATCCTGAGATAAGCGACAGGCAGAAAGGGCGTCAACGCGTTTTTTCTGTGATTGTGTAGGGGCGTCTTGGTACAAGTCTTCGTCAGCATCTGCCACAAGGTCATTTTCCAATAAGCCGGGCTCTGCATAGGTTGCGGGTCTATTTCTCTTTCGAGTGGTGCGGCGAGCACCAGCGGCAACGTTGGGTGAAATTGATTTGAGTGGCACTTTGAAAGGTTTGGCTAGAACGGCATGAGCAGCGTCGATATTCAGCGGCTTTGGACGCATCGAAGGTCTCTGGCCAGCTCCAATACCATTCGGCGGTCTATCAGGAAGCTTGTGTCTGGCCATAGCTTACTCCAAGGCTGGGGAAAGGGCGACGATTGGTGGTAAGATGAGCTCAAAGAGATTTATGTGCTTTTACGCGTCTTTTTGTTGATGATATGATTAAATGAGAACTCACACACTACGTGCTTAGTGATATGTGACGCCAAATATCGAACTTACGAGTTTTGATCTCTAAAAAAAGCTTCTAATAATAATAATGATAATAAAAATACAAGTCATGAGAGAATCATTTACGCTCTCTTGGAAAGGTGGTTGGCAATGTAACTTGATTGACGAAAGTTTGACAATTCTCTTGTAACGTTTGAGATTATGTGTCACGTGACTCTGTAGTCCGATACTCGAGTACGGTGCACACTTTCTACTATTGTCAAAGTTCAAGCAGCAAGCCTAAAATCACAGAATATGTTCAGCAATAACTACATCCTCCGTTTTGGTATAACAACAATTATCCAAATTTTTCATCACTGATAAACAGGCGCGAATAATGTTTTTTTTGGCCTTTGCTCACTTGCCTGCTTGCTTGCTTGCTTGCTTGGCAATAGGAACTTATAATGTAGTTCGTTTAGAGTGACATCGGTCTTAATTCATCATGACGTGGGGCTGGCTGGCGGGCAGCCGCGGACTTTACAACAACGCGATCGTTCATGCAAGTAAGTCACACGACGCATACAACGAGTGTTTATTGGCAGAGTGCGCGAGTGCGCGAGTGCGCTCGATTAGGACGGTTACTTTGTTGAATCCATAGGTCTCTTTGGTTTGCGTGCATTGCATGAACGTAACTGTTAAGATTTGCTGTTGTTGGTCGGGCGTCAAAAGGCGTGTTGTGATAGCAGTTGTAATGGCTGGTGCGACGATCGATCGGCAGCATCGGATACTTCTATGGTCGCAGTCAGAAGGGACGAGAGCTGTGTGAAGAAAGGGATCGAGAAAGGACAAATTGAGAAAGGACGGATCGAGAAAAGATGGATCGGGAAAAGATGGATCCTAACGGTGCAGCAAATCTATCGTGCCCATTGTGAGTTTCACGGAGGATTTACCGTGGTAACAGATTTGGGAAGTGAAGCGAATAGAAGTAATAACGTCATGGTATGGTATGGTATGGTACGGCAGCAGCAGACGACCAGTCCAGGGCCGCCGTACGAGACGACCATACCAATTCTTGTATTTTTTATTGAAAGGCATCTTTTTCCATAAAACTGAAGGAAGCGTTCAAATGCATATACGCGTAAATGGGTAGTAGAAAGAGTCTAATTCGAGACGATACATGTAGTTTGGACGCTTTCTCTTGGTCCCAAAAATAAAAAAAAGACCTAGTAAAAGTAGTTTTTACAACAGCTTTGGGGGTCACGTGACCCACCCTCTAAAAAGACGTTTTTTTTATTGTAAGACAAACCGAGAGGCCGGGGCAGCCGTTCAGTTCTAACTGAGCCATTGCTCAAAAAAAACAATACGAACCGATACAAACAAGCTTCACAAGCACACGACTACATTCTAAAGCATTCTGCAGAAACTGCTGCTAAAAAAACAAAACAATACCGAATTCTCAACTTTTCAGCGCTGTCTCCGCATACATGGTTTAATATTATAATTACATGAACGGTGAACGGCAAACTGGCCTTGAAACCAAAGTCACTATTGACGAATCGGTAATTTCTGCCTGTAAATCTGCTTTCTCTTGCGCGACGCCTTAGGTTTTCGTTCCACAGATGCAGTTCTGATGGCGTTTCTCGTGGAGTTCTTCCCCGCTACCGTTCGTGTCTTTCCTGCCCGGTTAAAACTCATTCTCGAGCGGCGAGGGTCTTCTGCTGTCGTTTTCGGGACCAACCCTGGTTTCAATTCGGTTTTGGTTTTTTCTGTTCTCTAATTTGTCGCGGCGTAGCAACGCCCGCAATCCGGTGTGTGGCCTTACTTAGCCTTACTTAGCCTTCTTGGTTTGTTTGTTTGTTTGTTCGTTCTTTAGTTCTTTAGTTCTTTCGTTCGTTCGTTCGTTCATTTGTTCGTAAATCCGGTGTCGTTTGTTTAGTTGCAGATAGGCGGTGTTTAAAACGCGATTGATTGCAGCGGCTAGACCACCTAAAAACTCATGTTTCGAAAAAAAAACGTAGCGCTAGTTCCAGGTTCTAACGACACCCGCTAATGCGGATGTGTAGCAAGCAGCTTCTATCATAACGAGTTTCTTGTTACTAAGAGAGACCACGGTACCTAACAGAGACCTTAATCACGTTGTACTAAGCTGTCGTCGATCCAGGATGAAAAACTTAATTACACCATGCCAACCAACCCACAGCGGAAAGGTTCCAGAAGCAGTTTGATCCGCGTTTTCACGCCCATTTTTGGCCATTCTCTTTTGGCCATTCTTCTTTTCGGACTTTCTTACTGCGATGATTCGCCTCAAACTTTTTGCTTAGTTTCAATTTTCTTCAGTTTCATTATCTGGTCAAGAATGTCAGTTACTGTACGACACCGGGTTTCGACGACTTTTCTCCGGTAGCTCTTGAAAGATGCAGTGTTACTACGGGTAGGCTGATCCAGGTCTCGACACACCGATACACGCAAGACCCACGACCCACGGCACACAACTTAGGGAACAGTTTTTTTTGCTAAAGCTACGCTAGAGGCTACGCTAAGCCACGCCTTTTCGGACCTAAGAGCCTACCCACGCTCCAGCACGCTCCAGCACGCTCCTGCACGCTCCTGCAAGCTGTCATGGTAACAGCCTGTGGAACATCCTTGACGTGATTCTCTTTCCGCTAGTAGAATAGCTAACGCACTGGAACGGAAATTTGATCATGATGTAAGTGCAAGCGGACTTTTGGCTTTTGGCTTTTGGTTTTTGGTTTGTTTGTTTTTTCTTATTCAGCAAGCAGGTCTGGAAGCAGGTCTGGAAGAGAAGGATTATCGCCTGAACCACCGTTGCCATTGTTAGTGCTGCGGGGGTCGCTGGGACGGAAAAGATCTGAATCTGCAGAAAACTAGTAGAAACGGTGGGAAAAAACTGACGAAACAAACAAAGAGTTTTGTCTGGGAAGTGCAGCAAAGCCAATAGTTACCACCAGGAATGTGGACTTTCCGGGCCGGTTCTTTTCTCCGAGACGAAAGCAGCAGCAGCAGCAGCAGCAGCAGCAGCAACGGTGGTGAAGCAAGGACCGGACGTAAACGAAAACGAAGAATAGCTGGACTTACCAAGAGACCAAGTTCCAAAATTTAAACTTCAAACCGTTAAAATCATTCTGCTCTATTTCAAGCTGATTCGTTTGTTACTAATATTTACAATTCCCTGCTCGTTTTTGGTTTGTTCAGAGCTTTCATCCCGTCTCGTCCCGTCTCGTCCCTCTCTCATCGCCCATTCATTGAGATTCCGTCCTGCAAGAAAAAAAAGTGAAAAATTCAAAAAACTCAAATTTCATGCTTTCCCACAATGGGCCCCCTCACAACTTTGCCAGAAACCAATGGTAACGAAACTCGCTGTGTGCCCAAAACTGTGGTTTACTAGCACAGCCCACAGCCCACACACACACGTTTGAGCGACGCACCATGCAGAGTGCACCCTGTGAGACCCATTCAGCTTTGCCTGGTAGTCCATAACAGCCAGTGAAGCTAACAAAAGATACACAGGGAAACGGCAAATAAAGAAAAAAAAATCATCCCATTAGCACCAGAAATGCATGCAAAAGGCACTGGTGCACTTGATGACGGGATCGGTACGCGATATCGGAGTCGTTTTCAGGATGTTCGCGGGCCAGCTGCAAAAAAATTCAATAAAAAAAACATCACAACAATAATGGCAACGAGAGCGAGGGCAGGCAGCACAGGCAGCACAGCACAGGCAGAGGCGTTTGACGTACGATGTACGACGTACGCCGTAACGTAGCCCAGTGGATGTGAATGTAAGCACCCAGTTTAGCACCCATTTTGAACTCGAAGAAAGCGAAAAGAGGAAAAAAAAAGAGGCTCTAAAAAAACCCAGAGAGAGAGATAGGAAGAAAAAAAAAAGGAACCCATATTTGGTCAAAAACTCAGCACCAGTCGCGACCGACCTCCGCTTTTGCCATGCTGCGGGCGGATGATGTATCTTTTGCATAGTTGTTGTTGGCATTGTTTTCCGTTCGGAGTATGCGAATGTGAATAATTGGTTGAGGCAAATTCGAAAGTATAAGAGTGGGTAGGACACCGAGGCAAAGTGGACGATTCTTCGAGCGTGAGCGTGATTACGGGGCTGTCGGACAGGAAGACGGAGCACAACAACAGCACTGCTACAGAACTACTACCACAGTCATCATCATCATCATCATCATCATCGTTCTTACGATCGTTATTATTATTTTTCGTATACGACAGGAAAACGAACAAAAAAAAAAAACGGACAACCCATATATTTTCTCTTGACTTGAGAAACCTCGTCCTATCTTTTTGTTTGTTTGCTAATCATTTGTCGATTTCCCAACCTTGATTTTTTTCCACGTTTTCCCGCATTGCATTTGATTTGATATCTTTCTTGTCAACTATATCGATATTGTCATTATCGCCGTTAGCATTTCACACACACACACACACAAATCGTCACTATGTTTCCCATTGCCATTGAAAATGGCCGGCATCACTCGCTTCCGCCTCTGTTGTTACCAGATATATCACGATTGAGCAACGCTGCTGCTGTTGCTGCTGCTGCTTCTGCCACTGCTACCGCTACTAATGCTCATCATCATCATCATCATAATCATCATGTCCATCATTCTGCAGCTAGTGCTACTGGTGGGAACAACTCAACGACGACAACCGTGATTCCTGCTCATGCACGTGCTTGGCTCTACGGTCCGCCGCCGCCCGGAACTGCCGGCGGCGTCGGCGAAAACGCAACGTTTTACCGCCATCACGTGCCGCGGCTGCAGCCACACCCCGTGGTGGCGGGCAGTGGCGGGCTAGAATCGCTCGCACGGCTTGCGGTTGCACACGAAGAAGTACCGCAGAAGCTGCGGCCGCTGCAGCCTCTTGCGGCGCCGTCTGCGAAGGCAGACGCAGAGGTGGTGCCTATGGCCCGCAGTCGGTCCCGCAACAGTCCGCCTGATGCAGAAACATCAGGCACCAAGACTGCCGCGGCCCTACGCGGCTCTAAGAGACAGCGTGCAGGACCTTCCTGCGATACCTGCAGGCTTAAGAAGATCAAGTGCAACGCCCACATACAAACACTATGGCAACACAAGTCTTTGATCATGTTCAACGGCGACCGCTCGGAGTCGCTGCACGTGGAGCTCACTATGGACGAAATCCGTACACACGTGTTGTCGCTGACTCAGCCATACGGTCACGTGCATGGCGCGGTGCGCCAGCACGTGGACTCCGTGGAACGCGACGACAGCGAAGACTCTTCAAATCCGGACTCGGACTTTCAGCAGCAGCAGCGAGGAGTACTCATCCGTCACGTGGACAAGCTCATTTTATTTAAACCTTGCACTTCGTGTGCCAAGACTGCCGCAAAGGGCACTTGCAATTTTGGCAAGGGCTACACTCGTGCGGATATTGCGGTTTTCACGCGGCTGTGTCGTAAACTAGGCACCCGCGCTCAACTTTCGGATTTTTCCGTTACGGACTACCGCGACGCAGGGTACTGATGTGTTGCGTGACAGACATTATATAGGCATTATGTGGGGGGACATTTTTTGAATATGAAGGATGATCTCGGTTATAGCCCACTATTTTATAGAAATTGTAGCATAATATTAATTTTTCTTTCCCGGTTTTTCAAAAACCGCTGTCGTCCGCGAGCCCTTTTGATATCACTATGTACTCCTCTTGTCATCTGTCACCTCTCTCGACAATTCACTTTCACTTTTGGCCCATAAGTTTCGATCCTAAAGCCGTTCGTGATAATGCCGAAAACGCAACTCACTCCTCTCCACTCCCGGGTCCCACACCTTCGTTTTTTCGCACCCATTTTTTATCCAGAATGTTGTGTCCATTGACGACGGTTACCTGTTGTTAAATTATTAAGAATGGAACAACCGTCTAGAGCTCTAATCTACTCTAAATGCTGCAATGAATTATTTCCACCGAAACTTCGATACCGTTGCAATTTCCTTTCAGCTTGATCTTTTTGCCTGAAAATAGCAGGACGTTTCTCAAGTTGCCAGACACAACACAACCGTCCGAAAATCTACTCGATTGTTTGGTGAACCGTAGCTATGGATCGTTCCATCACATGAGCAGACAAGAAATTCGTCACTGTGCCAACACACTATGCCTAATAAGACGATATTGCCTTAGTAACGGTCACTCAGGGACAACGATGTCATTTGGCGCAGGATGCATAAGAACAGACGCATCTCGAAAAGGCTAAGGATTCACGGACGGAACCGGATGAGAACGAAGGCTTTTTCGGTTGTTTCTCATACATTTTTTTTTTCCAAAGTGTCAAAGCGGCGCAGATGGAAAGACCCACTGCCGCACTTAAGAAAAATCTCGACAACGAATCTAGAACACTTCTACACACACGATTACTAACCTCCTCATTCGCGATTTGCATGCCGAATAACGCAAAACGAAATTAAGCGGAATGCAACTGTTTTTTTTTTCCGAGATTTACTCCGGTCTCAAGGACTTTCCTTAGCGTTTAATGATGTTCCCGTCATGGTTCCCGTTATGGTTTCCGTCTTGTCGAAAAGCGGAATGACAGGAAAAATCCGTCTGATGACGGGTGATGGTGGTGGAGGAGGACCTTGGAAGCTCGGTTTGTGGCTTTCGATATGCACGAAGCTCGGCAATGTACGGGCCAAGCTAGAGAGAACTCAAAACGATGGAATTATTCTTCTTGCATCTCTACTTCAAAGCACTTGACGTCAGTTCTAGAAGCGCCCCGCATAGCGTGCTTACTGCCAGAGTGGTTATGAATAGCTTTTTCCAGTCGGATTCTTGGTCCTCGGTTTTGAACTGTTGGTAGAAGAAAATCGCTGTGTGCGCCAAACCGACCATAATGCGGGTCCAGTAAATCACAACCGTGAACAAATGTGGAATCAAGAATTCCAATGGCAGTAAAATCAGGTTGACCAGTGCAAGCGGGATCCAAATCGCCATCGAGTAGCCGTACAGACTTATCAGTTCTATCAGTCCAAACTCACTTTTCACCTTGAGAACAAATCTAGCCAAAATGTGAACTAGTGCTGGGCTGAAAGCCGTGTAGGAGATTGCAAATACCATGTAGGGGGTTACGAGGCGGCCAGCAGACGTAGCCTTAGTGGAGCGGCCCACAACAAAGCTCACCAAAAAGTTGAATAGACTCCGAACATAAAAATGCGCTGCTGCTGCTGTCATTGTTACCCACACGGGCGAATAAAGATCGGGCTCAAAACGGCCGCCGTCCGTTTGGATTTTGCGGGCTTTCAACGCGGTTAATAGTCTCGATCTGAAAGTATCTGTGTCTATTTGGTATAGCGCAGCGTATTGCCCCGAAGAACTCGAATTCGTTTTCACATTGTTAGCATCTGCAGGAAGCACTGGCGGTGGCGAATTTGGACGCTGGAAAGCCGCGCCGTAATCGCCTGTTTCGAGCGAATCGCTGAAATTGTCGTCAACGTCATCCAGAAATGGGTTTGGGCTATCCATTGGTGAATTTATGCTTGTTGTTCGTCAACTTGATCGACATCAATGCTTTAGCATATCTTGGGACAATTTACGAATATGCGCTGCTGTTCGTATATTGTGATGATGTTTCAACATAGTCAAAAAGGAAAAGATTCAGGAGCTTTTACCTTAGTTTCAACAGCATTTTAAAAATCTAACGTATTTTTATATGTTGTTAGCTGTTTTGGGGTGTGTTTTTATGTCCTTCTGTCGAAGTTTCTTCTCGAGATTTATTAATTTTAATTTTTTGTTTAGGTAATGAACTTTCAAGGCTGTTTAGTTGAAAAACAGTGAACAAAGCCTTACACATGTCACACAACCAAAACATGTTGGTGAACCTTGATTAGTTAGATCCCTGTGCAATTTTGAATATTTGGTAACAATTTTTTTAAATTTTGAGGGCCTACCACCGGCGTCAAAAGTTTGGAATTCTTTTAGGGAAAATCGAGTCGTCGTTTTATTGTTGTCTTGATGCGGTAGCTGTCCTTGTAATCTGAATTTTCCAAAGCGCTGTGTGCTAAGGTTTCTGCCTGTTTGAGGACCGAGTTGAACGCATTAAGACTCTCTTTGTCACGTGATCCCTCAGAACCACAACTATAGACATCATACTAGAACGCTAAAATGACTTCAAAAGACCGCCAATAACTCTCTTTCAAACCATGCATTCATGACGGAAGGATCAAGAATAATCATGCAACGTAAACCATTATTTTTCCAAAAATAAAAAAAATTGCGCAAGCCCGGAATCGAACCGGGGGCCCAACGATGGCAACGTTGGATTTTACCACTAAACCACTTGCGCTTGTTTTTGAAGAGGAAGGGTCTGAGACTTGGTATGATCACTCTATATTCTACATGTCATTCTGAAAGATGTATACCATTCATTTTATATGAATAATTTGACATTCACTTAAAAGCCTACAGGTAGGTCCTTTCCAAATGGTGAAATTTCTCCTCTCTGAAAGTTCATAATGAATCCTTTATCTCGTCGATTGATTTTTTGCCTACGTCAAAGTGTGTCACAGTCGGTGCTTTTTGAAAAAGACTGCCTTTTCACACAGCGAAAATTGACTAAATTCGAAAAAAAATCTCAAAAGTCACTAGAGTAGCTCAATTAAAAGCACATTTCATAAAAACTCCTGGTAAAGCATAATCTTGTCCTTTGCCCGGCTTGCATGTAGTGCAAATTTTCGATACCCAAAAACAGGTCACGTGGACACGGCGCATGTTGGGTATAATTTTGTTTTCACGTCAACACGGTGAGTTCCACTTGTTATGAGGGCCGTATCTCAATTAATCTACGGCACATTGCACAGTCGCATAAATCTCTTGAGATGAACACCCGATCAAAATGACAGAATGATTATTACTAACGCCGGTAGATCATGTGACCAGTGTCAGCGACAGACCGGATAGAAGTGACATTGGAAGAAACATATATCCAGTGTGCTGTTGCTGTTTGTAGGATGCTAAACTGTGATCACGGAGACGACATGGGAGCTAGTTGTTAAATGTGTTCAAACGAAAACATATTTGTAGCTGACTATTGGCCTATATTATCACTCTTGGTGTTGCTTCCCATGAAAAACAGTTGTGTTACCCAAATTTTCGATGGTTAAGCTCTTCGCTATATTCATGCTCTTTCTTCACTGCTTTGCAAGTCTGGTCTCTAGCTTTTTACTTGTCCGGTTGCAGAACACCGAGCGTGCCATTCACTTCTTTCTCTACTCAATCCTCTAGTTGATCTTCCAGTCTCTTGAATATATATTAGTTATACACCATAGCTGGAAAATTCAAATCATCAAGACAGCTAGCTCATCGCATCATGGAAAACTGCTGGTTTGGATGCTCAAGAGGTTGATGAGTTCTCTAAGTTTCGAAACTAGGATTCTCAAAGTAGATCCCAAATCCATACGATTCTCTAGAACCGCTCACATCGATGGGTCGCTTCCAATAATCTCAGATGTGGAAACCGAGAGAAATCTTATAGAAGCTGCTAAAATCATTCGCGAATCCAACAATACGGTAGGTTTCCCGACAGAAACTGTGTATGGTCTTGGTGGCTCATCTCTGAACGATCAATCGGTGCTGAACATATATAAGGCCAAAAACAGACCTAGCGATAACCCTCTAATAAGTCATGTCTCGTCCATCGATCAGCTGAATCGAAAAATATACGGACAGCAACAAGTTGACGACGTTTTACAGAATATCCCAACGATTTATCGTGGTCTCACAGAAAAATTGTGGCCTGGACCTCTCACAATTCTGTTACCTGTGCCGAAAGTTTCTACACTATCCAAGCTAACGACTGCAGATCAGCCTACGTTTGCGGTCAGAATTCCATCCAATCCGGTTGCTAGAGCTTTGATTGCTCTTAGTGACACTCCAATTGCAGCACCTTCTGCCAATCGCTCGACCCGTCCGTCCCCAACATTGGCATCGCATGTCTATCACGACTTAAATGGTCGCATACCTTTAATTCTCGATGGTGGTCCCTGCACAGTTGGTGTTGAAAGTACAGTAGTTGACGGTTTAGTCAACCCACCGCTCCTATTACGACCTGGAGGTTTCACTTGGGAGCAGATCAGGGAAATGGGAGGAGATGACTGGATCGATTGTAAATTCGAGAATAATAAAACAGTGGCAGCTGGAGAAAAAGTGCGAACACCAGGCATGAAGTATAGACATTACTCACCACAAGCCAAAGTGGTTCTTTTTGCTCCACAGGCAAATGATGGTGAATTGCCACATCGCCTTGATAGGGTCAAATCCGTCATTGAAAGACATGCCCAAGACGCTCGAAAATACGCTATTCTTTCAACGTTAGTTTTTCCTGACGACTTGATCTCCGATACACGTTGCATTCACAAGTCATTGGGAAAAGCCAGCTCAGAAATACAAACAAACCTTTTTGCAGCACTACGAGAGGTAGATGAGATGGACGATATTGATCTTATTTTCGTTGAAGGAATTAGCGAAGAAGGCGAAGGGCTGGCCGTAATGAACAGACTTAAAAAAGCTGCAAGTAACAATGTAACTCTATTTTAAAATGATTTTGTTTTTGAAATGCTTTTATTTAAACAACAGAGTAATAGTAAGGATCATTGACCCTTTGCTTTCTGTGATACCATTTCCGAAGTTCATCCGCAATGAATACGGTGCTGCTGAGAGTCAATAAATATACCAAGTCACCCAAAGTCAAACTTTCAGTTTTGAAAATCCTTTGGAAGAATGGGACGTAAATTGCACACAGTTGACCCAATAAGGAGAACCCAACAGCGTAGTTGAACATGTTGTTCGCGAAGATTCCCACTTCGAAGATAGATCTTGTAGAATGTCTACAAGCCAGCGCGTTGAACATATCGAAAAATACGAAGCAAGTAAAGGTCATAGTGGTGTCTCTGGCAGTGATGGCTCCGTCTTCGGTCATCTCCTTGACAAACACGTATATGGTCCCAACAATGATGAGAACTGCACTCTGTAGAAGTCTTTTGAATACATCGTTGGTCAGAATCTTATCCGAACGCTTACGAGGAGGTTTTTTCATGACTTCATGGTCCACAGGTTCAACCCCAAGACTTTGCGCGGGTGGCCCGTCCATCAAAATATTGATCCATAAAATCTGCATGGCGTTTAGCGGGTTTGGGAGCTTAAATGCTGTAGAAATCGCAACCAAAGACAGCGCTGCGACCGACGTAGAAAGCTGGAATGTCAAAAAGTTTTGAATGTTGTTAAAGATGCCTTTACCTTCTTCGATTGCGGTAAGAATGGTGCTAAAATCGTCGTCCGTCAGTACCATATCGGATGCTTCTTTTGCGACGTCAGTACCCATCTTACCCATGGAAACACCTATATCAGCAAGTTTCAAGGCAGGTGCGTCATTAACACCATCTCCAGTCATTGCAACGATATCACCTCTCTTCTGCAAAGCACGCACAATGTTTAGTTTATGTTCTGGAGTGGCCCGGGCAAAAACGCTGACATGATCGATTATACTTGTCAATTGATCTTCGCTCATATGTTCAAGTCTGTCACCGGTGAGAACTGCTGTTTCTGGATTTGGGATTGAAATTCCAATTTGTCTTGCAATATTGACAGCTGTACTTTCGGAATCACCTGTGATCATAATAACATGGACGGAGCCTTCAGAAAGTCTCTCCACCGCGGCTCTTACTGATGGTCTTGGTGGGTCATTCATACCAAGCAGTCCTGCGAAAGTAAGTCCATCTATCGTTCTTTCATCAAAAGCATCAGTCGAACCATTTGGCGGCTCGAACTGAGCAAACGCCAATGTTCGTAGTCCTTCAGACGCGAGAGTATTTGCACTGTCAATAATGACATCTTTCAATGCACTGTCCAGTTTCACTAGTTTGTTTTCGGCATTGATGAAATGAGAAGACTTTTCCACTATTCTTTCATAGGCACCCTTCACATATATCATGATTTTGCCCTTTGAGTCCTTCACTTTAACGGCCATGAATTTTCTCTTCGAACTAAATGGAATTTCACCAATTCTGGTGACTGCCGGACGCTGGTCCTCAAGGCCAAACTCACGTAAGACCTCGAGTAGGGCAATGTCCGTTGGATTGCCTAGAAATTTAACATGCTCCTGAGAAAATGTAGAGTTGTTGCAAATGTTACCGACACGCAAAGTGGCCTTCACATCTTCGCTGATGTGTTTCTTTAAATTTGCGCCGGATACCTTATTCAGGTTGAGAATATTGGACTTGTTCGACATACTGCCAAGACACCATATTTTGTTTACAGTCATATGGTTGGTCGTTAAAGTACCCGTCTTGTCCGAACAAATAACGTTGACAGAACCTAGCGTCTCAACACTAGGTAATCTTCTGATGATCGCTCTTCTTTTGGCCATTCTCAGTACCCCTAAAGCCAGAGTAACAGTGACTATAATCGGAAGACCCTCTGGAATGGCTGCGACAGCCAATGAAACTGAAATCTGGAACATTTCCAGCCACGAGCGGCCCTGCAGTATACCGATAAGACAAATTAAACCAATTAAGCCAAAGCTCACGAGTGAGAGATCTTTCCCTAATTTATCCATGGCTGTTTGCAGCGGTGTCTTGGGCTTTTCAATCGAATTCATCATTTCGAACACTTTACCGAAAGCAGTGTGCTTAGCTGTTCCGACCACCATACCCCTCCCATGGCCTTCTCTGACCAGAGTTCCCATGAACCCAATACAAGTTCTATCAGCCAATGGTACCAAGGACCCTGGAACGTCGTTATAAGCATCTTTAGAAACCTCTTTCGTGGATTTGTGTACAGGTTCGTTTTCACCGGTGAGATTGCTTTCGTCAATAGACAAGCCGACCGCGTCAGTGATTCTGATATCAGCTGGAATACGATCGCCCACGCCAAAACGCACCACGTCGCCAGGAACTAGTACAGACGCTAGTACTTTGGATTCTTGACCACCCCTAACTAGATGGCACTCTGCAGGAACTAGACGGTTGAGAGCTTCGATAGATTTTTCGGAACGGTGTTCCTGTACGAAGCCAACAGTAACTACTATCACAATAGCCAAAGTGATACTCACTGCGTCGTCGATGTTGCCCATAACAAAACTTATGGCTGCTGAACCGATCAACAGCAAAATCAGCGGATCGCCCACGAAAGTGGCCAGAAACTTGCGCCAGAGGGGATCCTCGTCTTCAGATGCTATTTCATTGATCCCGTACTCTTGTTGGCGGTGTTTGACTTCGCTAGCGGAGGACAGTCCTTTTTCGACATCAGTGCCCAATGCAGCCGCCGCTTCTTCCACAGTCTTTGTACAATACTCCAAAGACGGCGAAGGGATGTCCAATGCGCTCACAGACGCATTGCCATTCTTAGGATTCTGATTTGCTGCCAGATCAAATGGATTATCGCTCATCTTTAACTTCGTTGTTGTTGCGTATCTTTAATGCAGTAAAAATGCCCAAAAATGATCCGTTTTTAACGAGGAAAAAGGGCACCCCGATCTGTGCTATCACTACTTGCAGATAGCGGTTGAAATCAGAGGCCAATTGATTTCAAAAGGGCGGTATTTCCACTCTTTCAGACTTGACCCTCGGGTATTTTGTTTGAGTTTTGTTGTCCGATGAGTTTAAATTTTCAAATTAAGCTTTTCAGATTACGTAATTTATAGATTACGTCGACAGTGATATGATCGAGAGTTTAACCTGAATAACTACGTCATGTGCTCCGATTATTCGCAGATGTGCTTGGTGAAATAGGTAGCCGCTTGGAACTACTATATATCCATGTTTGATATGTTACAATGTTTGCTCGTTATGAAGTGCTGCTGCTGTTTAGAGAAATGAAGCAAAGCTAAGGCTCCTTTTCCTCTTTTTGTCTTCCATTTCGTATGTGCGTGAGAGTTCATTTGGGCTCCACGTTGAACCGCAGGTTGATACCCATGGCGGAAAGCTCCGAGTTCAGATACTTCAACACAAATGGAATAGCAACAGTTGTGGTATCACCACCGCCAACGAATTTGTTGCCTTGGCCGTCCTCCCATATGTGAGCATCGTCGATGAAAATCTGGTCGTCGCCTTGGTATTGAGAAACCAGTTTCTTGGCGTCGTCAAACTTCACAGCACAGCGGCGGCAGCGCATGGTAGCCTGGGAACCGATACGTGGGACACTGTAGTGCGTCGTTAGCAATGCACCACATTCGCGACAGACTGGGGTCTGTGTGTAATCCGAGCAGTTGAGTAAACGGTCTTGAAGTAGGAACGAGGTACCGTGACCAATCAAAGCGTCTCTTTCCATTTCACCCACACGGATACCACCGTGTCTCTTTCTACCCTTGACCGGTTGCATGGTTAAGCTGTTGACGGGACCAGTGGAACGCACTTGGAATTTGTCGTTAACCATGTGACGCAGTCTCTGATAGTAGACGACACCAATGTAAATGTCAACCCTCAGTTCTTCACCAGTGGCACCAGAATACATGGGTTCGTTACCGTGATAGTTGTAGCCCGCATCCTTGAGCTGTTCACCAAAGTAATCGGCAGGGGTATCCTGCTCGCTGAAAGTCCAAGGCGTCGCATCGTGTGCCGTACCGTGAAGAGCACCGGCTTTACCTGCTAGGGACTCTACAAACATACCGATTGTCATACGAGAGGGGAAAGCGTGTGGATTGATAATGATGTCCGGCTGGATACCGCTTTCACTGAAAGGCATATCGACAGTTGGCCATTTTCTAGAACAAACACCCTTCTGACCATGTCTCGACGAAAACTTGTCACCAATCTGTGGAGTTCTTCTTATGCGGTATTTGATGGAGACAGTCTGTAGTTCTTGGTACTTACTTGATTCGTCACCTATCAAATTGACTTCCTCGATGTAAGCTGGTTCCGAAGAGTGATACGTCTTGATTTTCGTCTTGTTTAGCGTGTCATCGAAGTACGCACAAACCGGGTCTCCTTCTTCGACGTAAGTTCCGATGACAGGTAGACCATCATCATCCAGTTTCTCCAACCAGCCCTTAGGCCACTCATCGTCCCCAAACCCGAAGTGTTGAGTTATAGGGTCTCCTCGACTTCTGTTCAATGACAGGTCTATCTTTTCAACCTTGTACATGGTACCATACCCAAAGCCTCTTTCATCAGCAGATTTGTTGATAATCATGGCATCGTCCATATCGTAACCAGTGTATGAAATAACTGCAACAACTGCATTAAAACCATTGGGGAAGTTATCCATACCGTAGTCGTCGTACAGGTTGGCCTTGACTATTGGCGTTTGACCCGTTTGCAGCCTGTAGAGCTTGTTGTCTGAGCGGTGGCATAGCGCCACACCAGGAGTACCCATGGTTTGCTTACCCATTTGACATTGATACATGTTTCTTGGAGATTGATTGAAATCGGAGAACGGTGTCAAGTTAGCCAAGATAGAAAGGATGTTCGTTGGAGTAAATTCGACATGGGTGTGAATGTTATTTCCGATCTCTTGAGGAGTAACTGCGATGTTCATGTACACTTGTTCAAAAGGTCCGACTATATCTTCCTTGCCAAGAGGTAGGTACTTGACTGGGCGCATCATTCTTGAATGTCCTCCAAAAATGTAAAGACCTGGGTATTGACCACGAGAAGAGGGTGGAACGTAGCCAATCTCCAAATCCAATGGTAAACCAGCAGTCTCTCCCTCTACCTTCCAGAACCGCAAAGTGTCAGCGATAATTTTTCCCTGTTCGTGAGAGCACCATCCAATTATTTTACCGTCTATCTGAACACAGCAGAGGGAAGGTCCCGCCGCGAAGGTATGGGAAGCCGGTGCTACACCTAGGGAGTACAGCAAAGCAGGAATTCCAGATACGTCTGACTGAGATGTTGAAATTTTACACCGATGCGCAAAATGATTTAGCAAACCGCACGGAGAACCATCTGGAGTGTGTACAGGACACAGGAATCCCCATGATTCGGGAAGTAGCTTTCTGACAGTAGTGGTCTTCAATTGAGCGAAAAACGAACCTCTGTGTACCATTCTGAAATGCGAGATGAAACGGTAAAAGTTAATTTTCTCAGCAACAACGGTATAACCGGAGACCTGTTGCAAGTCGAGACCAGATTGGGAAACCAAGTTACCAGTTGAAAGGAAATACTGCAGCTTAGCACCGATGTTGTCATTGACTCTCATCAAGACTCTTGACATGTACTTGCGGTCCTTGAAATTGACTGCAAGCCCGCGACCCACATCTGACTGGATTTGGAGTCTAATGTTCTGCAAATATTCTTCGATTTTTTCTTTCATGATCATACCATACAGAAAACCGCCCAAAAGAACCTCTTGATGCTGAGTAGCATCTGGATTGTCTGGGGAACATTCGCCGGCTACCAAAGAGTAAAGTTTCCGAATCATAAATAGCAACATGCGCGCTTTGTCCTCGTTGTTCTCGTCTAGATGTACAAGCACGATACGCTTTAGAAGTTCCTCACCAACTTGAAAATCTGTGGCATCAGGAGCAGCTTGAAGAACAATACGGAATTTGTCACCCAGATATTGTAGAGCTTGGCGGCGGTTGTGGAGCTGGCCGTACTTTTTCTTGTGACTGCGAAGCAACAATTCCAAACGATCGGTCAAAAACGAGTTGGAAGTGTCAGAACCGACAATTCCGTCAAAAACTTCTCTATCATTGAGTTCACACAGCGCCTTCAAAATCATCACTACGGGTATGAGATACTCATTCTTCCTCCAAGAGAATCTGAAAGTCACTTCTCCATCGTTTAAGTAGTGCAAAACATTGGTTTGGGAGGTCTGATCGGCTCTCACAGAACGTATCTGGATACCGTACTGGGAGTACGATGCGCCTCTGTCGGCGAAAGAGGGTCTGATGATGGCCATCGGATGATTTCTACGCTGAACGATAAGCATTCTGATCAGCTTCTCGATACCGTTGATAATAAAGTAGCCCCCCAGTTCGTCACTCTCCTCCTTATGCTGAACTAGATCATTTGGCGACATTTTGTTTAAGTGGCATCGATTGGACTTTAGCATCACGGGAAGCCCCCCGCAATCTTTAATTTCCGTGAGCGTTTCTTCGCCGTTGTTGACGGACCATTTGAGTTTCAGCAACAGCTTGCCTCTGTACGAAGATAGCCTTTGTCTGGATTCGGCTGGGAAAATTTTACGCTCGACAGCGGATGAGACACCATCGTTGGACGTTGGTTTCGCAATGGACACCTGTTCGACGCTTAGAGAGAGCTTGTTGCCCATGTAATCTGGGTTGTCAACCGATTTGGCTCCATCGAAAATGACCTTTTCTCCAATGTCTTTGACTGCTTGGTTAAGCAGGCCGCCATCTGGCCCCTCAGTAAGCGCATTGAACGAGCCTATATGGGGCTCAACGGCCTCCTGGAGAAGAGGATATGCAGATTTATCTTTTGGTGGATTTTTGAACCTATTTTCTCTTTCCAGAGTGCGGAAATCCGCGGTCCTCGCCGCGGCCGGTGGTTTTATAACTTTACTCATTTTCTTCCGCTACCGTTAACCGTTCTGAACCGCTCTTTTTTGGAATAGATTTGCAGTAGCAGTATAGTCTGGTTATTTCAATACACGCCTCAAGGTCAGTGCGAATACTCCTTGTTCTGTTCTTCTTCCGGCGATGTTTTGAACGTAGTGCTGATCTCGATGCGATGCCCTGTTAGCGTTAAGAAATTTGATTATTTCTGAAAAATTTTTTGATGAGAGCCTAAAATGAAAAAAACCAGAGAAGACACACACGTTTGAAATGACCTCATCGCGGGCGCAAAGATCACCAAAGACGAAAGCAGTGCTGTGTCGGCGGCTAATTTGAAATTAGAAAACAATGCTGGAAGCATAGTGAATGAATGTTTTGACGGCTTGGAAAAGGAACGAAGAGTGCTATTTGGAAGGACTTTTCTCAATTCACCCCAATAGTTAGGTAGTCTTACGCTTTTTCGAGCAGGACTGTGGTGCACGAATTTGGGTGGAACTCGCCATCTTTTGGCTGGATGGTCCTTGTAGCAAGTAACCAAGAACAGCCAAGCTACCATTACTAGCAGTAAGCCGTGCAAACTTCAGCAAAAAAGTGTTTGTAGCCTGTAAGATCGTGTTATTTTGAACAAGGGCCTCAAACCTTGCCTTCCGAGCGGTGACGTTAAATGCGTGAAAATGGTACTCCGTTCCTCCTGAACACTAAAAACACAGCTTATCAATGTCAAAAGAACCTGTCAAATAGTCATCCTGCCTAGACACATCTTGGGTTGAGGATATAATGGAAAGCCTGTTAGTGTTAGTGTTCCGGAAATGAGTATCAGCATGTTAAGTTGCTTCACAGCTTGATCTTAATATATCTGTGTGAACTCCAGCAGTCACAGGACTTACATCTTGTCATCAGTACCTCCAATTGTAATCAAAGTTCATACAATTAAGAGCCTTGTTGGCGCAATCGGTAGCGCGTATGACTCTTAATCATAAGGTTAGGGGTTCGAGCCCCCTACAGGGCTTATTTTTTGACACCCGGAATTAAACATAATGTGAATGTAGTCTTTTGACAAGCGCTTGTCGACTCCATCGCTTGCTTGTGCTCAGCGCACACATAACATCTTTTTAAATATGGTGAACAATACAGACCACGAAATATCAAACTTGCGACGCTGTCGTGAGTATCCAGGTCCAAAGAGAAATTCTGTGCTGTCCACAGCCCAGGAATGCACTATGAGGAGATGAAGCTGTTGCCCCAGCCAGTCCAAGAATCGGCCTGAAAACCTGTTACAAGGCTCAAGCCAAGATGAGCCATGAGAGAGCACTATCCTACAAATTTCGCGGAAGAATGAAAGAAATTGGGAATCGTCCAAAAAAGGTATCTACACTACTTGAGGCTGTTAATGGCTCCGAATCCTATGGACTAGCATTCTTTTCATTGGATCCTGTAATCTGTTTTTTGATAAAAGCCTTATCTCACGAAAGTGCATTTCCACAAGGCTTGCGCTGTGATCTGTCATGTCATTCTTAGTTTGTTGACTTAATTCTCTTGAACATGGCGTTTGGCAGTTGTTTTGGATGTGTTCATTGTCCGCGTTGTTCGTGTTGTTCGTGTTGTTCGTGTTGTTCGCGTATTTCAGTATTTAACGTCAGTATCGAATACAGGTCAACATATCTCATTAAAGTTTCGAACTTCATTCATGCTACTAACAAACATGAAAAGATCATCAAACTTGTTTCGAAAACCAAGAATTGTATGAACACTTTATTTGAGTATATAATGACTAGCCAAGTGCTGCTCAGTTGAATATGACAAGATCTTAGCGAGAGTAAGCCAAATATGTACTATAGTCTTGTCTTCTTTGTTCTTGCATGCGTTTCGTGTCGTCCAACATTGGGAGCGAAGGATATCAACCTAGTCAACGTGCCCGTCGTGGAAAATGGACTACTTGTCGCAGCAGAAACGACGTCAGTGGCTGTCCAAACTATTACTACAGTGCTGGTCTCGTCACAGGGCGTAGTGACACCAACGGCCAGCGATTCTACTGTCCACACAGCATCGTCTACAACGGTAGCAGCACCAAGCCCGTCAAATGCAGCCTCTTCGGAGAAAAACGAGTTTTACAACGGAGCTGCAGGCATAGCGTATTCACCGTACCAGAGAGATGGCCAATGCAAGACTTTAGAGATGGTGCGCTCAGATATTAGCCAGATCCAGAGTTTTGGTATCATCCGCACTTACGCAACGGATTGTAACGTCTTGGACAATTTGAAAGCATCGTTGGCACCGTCTCAAAAAATCATGGTGGGAATCTGGGATCTCACCAAAATTTCCGAGAGTGTGAGTGCGATTTCGGCAGCATTTGGTACAGATTTCAGCGCTGTCTACGCGATTTCTGTGGGCAACGAGCTTGTGAATTCGGGGTCGGCAACCGTGGGCGACATTCAAAATGCGGTGAGCAGCGCTAGAAGCCAATTAGCCGGGATCGGATACCACGGGCCCGTCGTGACAGTCGACACACTGGTGGCCGTAATGGCGAACCCACAGATGTGCGACGTTTCTGATTTTTTGGCTGTGAATTCCCATCCGTACTGGGATGGCAACGTAGACGCCAGCAATTGTGGGCCGTGGCTACAACAGCAGATTGCGAATTTACAGTCCAAGTGCGGGTCTCAAAAGCCGGTTTTGATCACCGAAACGGGATGGCCGACCCGGGGAGACGCCAACGGCAACTGCCAGCCTTCCCAGGCCAACATGGAGACCTGCATAGCGTCGATAACCAGCACGCTGGGGTCCCAAACGCTGTTATTTACGACCTACAACGATTATTGGAAGAGCCCCGGCGCGCAAAACGTCGAACAAAATTGGGGTGTTTTTGGCGATCCGGCCAACTAGTTTTGCGAGCGGGTGGAAGCACATTTTGCCTGAATGGAAAAAAAAAGGAGAGAGAGAGAGAGAGAGAGAGACACACACACACACATTTCCGGGCCCCATCTCATGGGATATAGGTTCAGTCCATTGTGTGTGTGCCTATTCTAACGGTCATATCTGATCATCACTATGTACGAACGAGACCCTCAACTGCAACTACAGCGCTTCTTTTCCGAACTCGCTCGCCATTTTGTACTCATCTCATCTCATCTTCTGCATTACATTTTCGAGCAATGGCCCGAAAGAAAAAACCAAAAAAAACCGAAAAAAACCCACGTCTGCATGTTTTCCCTAAGCAAAGCGTCCGTCTGTAACTTTAACGAAATCCTCTTTCCTTCTCTCTCTTTTTCTCTCTACTTCTTTCTCTTTCGCAACTCCTAGATTCTAGCCAGACACTGCTTTGCCAAACTGCACCGTCCGACTTCTCAAACGTCTTCCAAACTAAAACGCGAAAAGAACACTGGTGGTGCATCGAAAAGCCTCGAGGCCACGCGTTCTCTTCTAAGGCGTCACACTAAAACTCAAGAATTCTCCAGTATTTTCAGATTCTTATATAACGGGAAATACCAAACGCATCGGTCATTTCATACGGCAATATACGGCATTATTGTTCGAAAAAACCTGCTGTTATTCGAATCTTGCCGTTCATAGTAACTTTCTTCCCATTTTTTCTACCAAATCTTTCCCATTCGGTGTTCTTAGATCAATCGAAACGTTTTACCCTTGCTATTGCCATCATTTATCACCATTTTTATCATCACCATTATTATAACCACCATTATTATCATTATTATTATTAGCATAATATAGTGCTAATTTCAGATCTCAGTGAAATTGGAAAAAAAAGAGCTTACTTAACTCTTAAGACTCTTTAATACACTCACTAACCTGAATTGCAAGGGAAGTAAAACAACGATATACGGAGCCAAGGAGAGGGCGTGTTGTTGCTTGAACAATCCAAGAGTGCTTATAATCGTCACCTTTTCCAGATCTTTCGTATCTCGATTTTTAGCGCTATGAAACTCCTATACTTCCATGCGCTATTCTTAGCAGTTGCGGTTCAAAAGTCGTTCCAGCAGGCTGTTGCCGGCGGCCAAGACAATAACAACAACGACGGAGGAGGAGGAGGAAGCACCAACTCTAATACCACATCCAGCAGCGTAAGCGTTCAGCTGTCGCCTTCAACCACAGGGTTTTCGTCCACGGCTTCGACGGAATCGTCGTCACTTTCCACGGCGGAGCCATCGTCGTCGTCGTCGTCATCATCATCGAGCTCCAGCGTTCTTTCACCAACGTCGTCGTCGTCATCGTCGTCGTCGTCGTCATCCTTCTCGTCATCGCCATCTTTTAGTGACTCCTCATCTTCCGTCAGCTCCTCGCAAACCTCGTTCTCGTCACTGTCACCAACCACGAGCAGCAGCTCAAGTTCAAGTTCGAGTTCCAGCTCCAGGTCAAGTTCCAGCTCTACGCCAAGCTCTTCGTCTTCACAGTCCTCATCCACCGAATCTTCGTCGGTCCCGAGCAGCTCACGGTCCAGCTCGAGCGCTGCCCCCAGCTCCAGTGTCTCGGGCCCCTCATCGACTAGATCCTCATCGTCATCGTCATCATCAGGATCGTCGTCGAGATCGTCGTTGAGATCCTCGTCGTCCTCATCATCATCTTCATCCTCAACATCGTCGTCGTCGTCATCTCCATCTTCATCTTCATCTTCGTCGTCGTCGCCATCCTCATCCTCGTCGTCATCTCAACCCTCATCATCATCTTCGTCTTCGTCGTCGTCAGCATCGTCTTCATCCTCGTCGTCAAGCTCCGCAAGATCTTCGTCGTCAATGGCCACCACCTCCGCGGCGTCCTCAGGCTCTTCCAAAACCGATCATTCGTCGTCGATTACTGCTGCGCCATCCACCACTAGTTCTGACGTAATAACAACTACAGTGGACGGCAGAACCTTGGTCTCCACCGTCTACTACACCGCTAGTGGCACTGTGGACTCCAAGAAGAGTTCCGGTAACAAATCGGGACTTTCCAAGAAAAATCGTAACATCGTGATCGGGTGCGTCGTGGGCATTGGAGTTCCTCTTATCCTCGCTTTTTTGGCCTTCCTATATCTGTATTGCGTGAGGTCCAAGAAAACAAACTTCATCAATTCTGAAGGCCATGTCGTCACTGCTTACAAGCAGAACAACTTGACCAGATGGTGGTACTCGCTAATGGGCAAAGACGTTGGTAACGAATATGATGGTGACACCCCTATCGGAGGCACATCTGATCTCGACGAAGATGCCGAGGGCATCGGGCATCACGCCAATGGCGTTCACAGAAACCCGACAGACGGGCGCGGCTCTCACTCCAATGACTTGATGTTGGACGAGGAGAAGTACTACGATGAGAACGGAAACGAACTCAGCGCCCGCAACTATTAAGCATAAAGGTAAAACTCATCGAAACCCGACTTAGATCATAAATCAATGGAAGAAGGGACGATGCGGAAGAAAAACGAAAACCAGAAAAAAAACAAACAAATTACTGAATATCTGATACTAGAAGAGCTCGGAGAATGTCCACTTTTGGGCTTATTGCTTTCTTCATTTAAGAATGTCTACAGATGTTCCTCTTACAATATTCATTGGATGAAAGCCATAAATTGCATAAAAAGGAACCTATTTGCTGCACTTTTCGAAATCATCAAAACTAATCATACACTCGTCGGTGCAGCATGGTTTTTCTAAATCAAATCATATACTACATAACTAATCGGTTACTTCCCATAATCTAAGCCGTTTAAACTTGAGTCGTAATGCCAAGGTTAATGTAAATGATTCGATGTCCATGGCGAAACAGTCGTTATTCAACTCTCGAGACAGCTCACGAATGACGGAAGATTAATTTTACTGACCAGGAATATGTGATATATCTGCTTATAGCTAATAGCTTTCATCCTATTATCCGCGATAGTTTAGTGGCTAGAATTCGGGCTTGTCGCGCCCGGGACCGGGGTTCAATTCCCCGTCGCGGAGATCTTTTTGTTAATTTAGTCAATTTTCAAATGCTATCATAAATTAAAGTGTATTTCATTCATGCTCATCTCAAGAGGTGTCCCGTACGCTCAACCTCAACAAACATGTGTTCAAGACTTGCAAACCCGTCTCATTCATGATAACTCCACCAGCTCCTGCTTAAGTACCGCACCCACGTCGATCGGATAAATTTTTTTGAGCGGACTAAAGAGACTCACTTGCAATGCACGATGCCACCTTGATTGACATATTTCCTGACGAAAGTCTGGTCAGCTATTGTGTGTCCCCAGGAAACGTCTTTTTACTGCTACTGTACATCACGGTTGAGAGACCACTGAGGGTTTTGCTCAGGGTAAAGAATCTGAAATCAGATTTGAAGGTCACTACGTATGAAATTCCGATAGAAACTATGTCGTCGCTGGTTCCAAAAAACTCGTTCGGACTGCAGTTGGCACAGGTGTCCAAACAAACCAAAAATAAAATAGAGTTTGAACACTACATCATCGTAAGCACTGGAGAAGGACTCCATTTTTTTACGCTGGCAGAACTTTTTTCGACAGACAAGTTCCGGCCTCGCAAATGGCACCTGGGTTCAAGTGCCGACACATTGACCTCATTCAACGCATACAATGTTAGAGGAAACGACTTACAAGTCGTGTACGCGACGAAACTTGGATCAATAGTGAGGTTCAATTTCAACATAGAATCAAAAACTTTTAAAATGGTTAGCGACTACAAGGATGCAGGCACCGACTGCATAACCAGTTGTCAACCCTGTGAACCAGCCCATATTGATGACGAGCGCATCCAAATTCCCGAACTAGTTTTTTCGAGCTTCGACAACTACTTATACTCGCTGGAAGATAAACTACAAAAATTTCCTGTTGACCTAGCGTCGGATAAAAACGTTCTCGTTTCCGCATACGGAGTGGTTGCAAAGCAATATAGTAAAAAAGCCCTGAGGTACTATGTGGCCAATGTTTTAAACGGCGGCTGTTGTCTTTTCAAAAGGAGCGCTAGTGATACCTGGGACAGAATCCACGTCTTTGAACGTGAGACGCCAGGCGTCGGGGAGTCCTCTCCGCTGATCAATTGTGTGGTGACAGTCCAAGGGCGGACGCAACTGCAAATCGCATCGGGCAGCGAAAGTGGGAAAATATTCTTTTGGTGCTACAACTATCGTGATGATATTGTAACGGAAAGCCACGTAATAAATGTGGCAGGTGACCAGGATATTGTTCACAGCATTCAAATACTGGGGTCCTCGGTGTATTATATGGTGAATCGAGACTCTGTTGGATCAAGTTTGATTCCCTAACCCCTCAAAACCCTTCGAACAGAGCATCGATATTTTTTATCACGTCAATGTGCATTACTTCACCCTTTCTGTTGATGAGGGATCCTTTTTTGAAAATCTCTGGTTCGTCGTTGTAATTTATGCCACAGTCTGTGAATAGAATCTCCTGTTTGTCGCTGCTCAAGGTCCCGCACAGTTTCTGTTCAGATTCTTGCGGCGTGAGACCACACTTGACAATCAATTGCCAAAAGACAGTGTTGTAAAGGTTATTAATATGAGTATCCACGAACCTCCAGCTCAGGTAGTCTTTTATGGTGGTCAAATTGGGGTAACAAACGCACCGGGAATCGAAAAAAGGCAGATGTTTGTAATCTAGCGCCATGTCTGGGAAAAACTTGCTCCACAATGCGACGTAGTTAGCGGTGAAGAGAGATACGAATAATGAGCTTAGCTTATTTTGTCGTCTTTTGAAAAGAACCGTATCTTTGCGCAGAATGAACGAATATTCGTCGCTTTCGCCGAACGCACACACCACATCATTACGATACTTCAAAACTACGTTTTTAGCGCTTGCATTCATGAGCTTTAGAGCGCGCACATCATTGGGTTTTTCGAAGTTGTACGTTTTGGAAAATTCGTGAAATTTCTTGCCATCGATCCTCACGACAATGTAAGTTTCCGGTAGAAGAGTTTCATTGGTTTCGAATTGTCTAACGTATTCGAATCGCGATTTGGCCATGTTTGGTATTGTTAGAAGTACATCTTCATGAGAAGTTGAGCGATGGACTAATCTCTTCATGAATGGACTCATGTGGTACTCACGGGGTACTCGAGCTTCGGATCACGCGACCAGAGGCTCGTGACGAAACGTTACCCCGCCCAATACACAATCGGTAAAAGCTTTAATATAAAGCTATGAGGATGTTCTCTCTCTCAAGATCTGACACAACCATCGTTAGCCGCCAAGACCGATAGTCACGTAACTTTATCCAATTGGCGTCTCAGAATAAAGATAAAGAACTGAAATTAAGCTACTTGGTTGATGTGGCATGCGTTGACCGTTTCTATGGCCAAGAATACGGCTTTAAAATGAGTCCCTGAAAAGTTGTAGCTCAGGAATTGAGAAAGGCGTCTTTTTCAAGGAGAAACAAAAGAGCTTCCTGTGTCCTCATGAAACATTCTCATGGATTGTCGGCCCTAGAGAATGGCATCCCTTGGCTTTTAAGGCAGAAAGCTGTTGTTGTCATAAAGACAAGCACATGAAGACCAGAAAAAAAACCCAAGATCCTTTAAGACAAGAGCTGATGCGTCAGTCAGCCAGCAACTCAAGGCAGCACAAAGTCCTTACTGGTCGAAGAACATCGCTGTCTCTTGAAATTAAACGGACCTTCAGAGTCAGGTTTCGTATCCAAAGACTAAGTTACGAAAGCTACAATCAATAATCTCCACACACGAAAAAACGCCGGTACCGGCGTATCATCATTCGCGCCATCATGTGCGCCGTTCAAAAGAGATATCGACAGATACCAGGAGCTCCGATTTAAGAGATAATAGCACGCCTTTTTTTTTTTTGGGTTTTTTCCACATCATTCTGAAAATTTTTTGAAGTGACTACATTGGCGGGTTCAGATCGACTCAAAATTTTTTTCAGCTATAAAATGGCCATAAGTTGTGCTCAGGGACTTTAAACTAGTTTAGCAAGTCCTTCTGCGGTTTTTTTGATCTAAAATCTGCGTGTTTTTGACCCCATTAAATCAAGTTTCGCATTATTACAATGTCTCTAAGAATCCCAGCTTCCAGATTGATCGCCAACTCGCGTGTTATCACTGCCAAGAGAGCTCTCTCTTTGGCCTCTCGTGCCACTCTAAGACCAACCGTCGCTAGACAGTTTGTCAAGCCAATGGTGGCCACCCGTGGTCTAAAGCAGATCAACTTCGGTGGTACCACTGAAACCGTCTACGAGAGAGCTGACTGGCCTCGTGAGAAGTTGTTGGAATTCTTCGAGAACGACACTATGGCCATGATCGGTTACGGTTCTCAAGGTTACGGCCAAGGTCTAAACATGAGAGACAACGGTTTGAACGTTGTGCTTGGTGTCCGTAAGAACGGTGCCTCTTGGAAGGCTGCCATTGAAGACGGATGGGTCCCAGGTGAGAACCTATTCGAGGTCAACGAGGCCATCCAAAAGGGTACTTACATCATGAACTTGTTGTCTGATGCTGCCCAATCCGAGACTTGGGAGTCTATCAAGCCATTGTTGACCAAGGGCAAGACTTTGTACTTCTCTCACGGTTTCTCCCCAGTCTTCAAGGACTTGACCCACGTTGAACCACCAAAGGACATCGACGTCATCTTGGTGGCTCCAAAGGGTTCCGGTAGAACCGTCAGATCTCTTTTCAAGGAAGGTCGTGGTATCAACTCGTCTTACGCCGTCTGGAACGACGTCACCGGCAAGGCTCACGAAAAAGCTCAAGCTTTGGCCGTCGCTGTCGGTTCCGGTTACGTTTACCAAACCACTTTCGAAAAGGAAGTCAACTCTGACATCTACGGTGAAAGAGGTTGTCTAATGGGTGGTATCCACGGTATGTTCTTGGCTCAATATGAAGTGTTGAGAGAGAACGGTCACTCCCCATCGGAAGCCTTCAACGAGACCGTTGAAGAAGCCACCCAGTCTTTGTACCCATTGATTGGTAAGTACGGTATGGACTACATGTACGACGCCTGCTCCACAACCGCCAGACGTGGTGCTTTGGACTGGTACCCAATCTTCAAGGACGCTTTGAAGCCAGTGTTCCAGGACTTGTACGAGTCTACCAAGAACGGTTCCGAGACCAAGAGATCTTTGGAATTCAACTCCCAGCCTGACTACAGAGAGAAGTTGGAGGAAGAGTTGAAGATCATCAGAGGAATGGAGATCTGGAGAGTCGGTAAGGAAGTCAGAAAGTTGAGACCTGAAAACCAGTAAATGGTTTTCACATCGCTTTCATCACCTGCACATAGTCAACACTGAATTGACCTGCGAAGAAACAAGCAAACAATCATTCACTATCATTACTGTACACTAACTAGAGGGCGCTAGCACGTTCTCTACGCACCGAAACATCAAAAACGTTCTGGTTTTCTGTAATTAATTATGTAAACTGGCACTCGTGTTTAAAAGAATAAACAGATGTCTTAAGGAGAAGAATGGGACGGGCCCGACAGCTCTCCTAATGCGACCAAGCATCAACAATCATACGTTGTGGCTTTTCCCGGTAAACTAGGGTCCAACCGGAACCCTGGGCGGCTAATACTTCGTGATGCGACGTCGATAGTGATCCACACTGAAAGTGAATTAAAACAAATCAAAACAGCTATGCATTCAATTCCGTTTTACAACTGAAGATGCAGTTCATAAACAATGAGCGAAATGCTTCTGAGGAGGGATTCAGTTCGGTTCATTTCAGCTCACAGTTTGTTTCGTCTCAGAATATGTGCTTAAGAATAGCTTTCCCCATCAAAATCAGGGTCTGTGTGCCAAAACACCCATAGAGTTAATATCATCACAATTTGAGACTACGCATCTGGAAGTATATCAAATCCTTCGATACAGGTGTATTGAAACCACGAGAAATGTGGGCGGTTGGTGGGAATGTGATTGCTGACATCTAATTGAGCCTGGTACCGCTGAGGCTGCAAAAAACTCGTGTTTCTCTTCTAGGAATATGTGTCAATTGATGGCACGAAAGCTGTGGTTTGAAGATTCTATGTCATGACAAAAGGATTTCACGTCAAGGGGAAAACATATTGCCTCACAGATGTCGAAGTACAATCGCAGTTGTTACCATTATTAGACTCTGAGATCCGGAAGTTAAATATTTCAGACAGATGTTGCTCAAAACCTGCGTTCAGAGCCCTATACCATGCTAAAGGATTACTACCATTTTCCCGTAAACGGGAGTCGATTCAAGATTCTACAGTCTTGAAGGGTACGATCCCAAGTCTGTTTGAAAGGACATTTCCTTCGCTCTATTCATATTGCACCACTTCTTGCTCCCTGCACGTTGAGCACCTTGCTGGGAACAAAATTAACACAGCACCCGGTGCTAAATTCTCGACTGATCATTTAAGCCGGGCTATGCAAGTCGAAAAGCACATGCCCTATGCACGAAATGTGATTTCTTGTCTCCAACCTGTCTCTCTGGCCACATTTCACGGAGCTACGAACACTTGCTCCCGCAAATAATGTGCCTACAATTTCAAGAAAGCAGCACCAAATATCGCTTTCCAGTCAGGCAGAGTGGTGCGATTATTCGGCCCTACAAGGTGGGAATGTGTGCCAAAAAGTCTGGCCCATCTGAAATTAACGGCGGACAGGAAATCATTTACGAAAGTTCACAAAGCTCACATCGCGGCGGAAAGTAACAAAGCGGACTTAACGTTAGGCCAGCAGCGGGGATGCATAGCGCAGTACAACGCAGTACAAAGCAGAAGTGTGCAGCACAGCAAATACTTGGGGCACACTTTAAAAGTCCAATCTCTTTCTTTACCGCGTGCGAGATGATGATAGACGTCTGTTCCAGAAAAGCCAAGTTTTTTTGCCGGTTAGTATTCTCCCAATAAACTCCCCACCCGCCACTCCACAAGCCATCCTGCACACAGGGTATCAGATCTTGTCTCCGCTTTTCTCTCGCCCGAGATATTTCTCTTGGCTTTCATTGATGATCTATTAGACTACGTCCTACGCGGGTTGCGGGGACGACAAGAACCTTGTCTGCCTAATCTTGCAGCAGAGCTTCAAAGACCCCAGCTGTGATTCGACCAGATCAAATCCTGCTTCCGAGGCAACCTGATACAAGGGGGGTTGGCGAATGCGCATCACTCCACAGTGAACTATACTGAAGTATTGCTTATCTGGCCAGACAGGCATAATTAGACCAATATGATAGGGATTACGGGCGTCTGCGTGGTGCTCTCAAGCTTCATGCACCTGCAGTATGTCTGGCAGTGGTAACACCCCGGTTTCGGAAGTTTTGGCCCGGTGACAACCATGGTAATACTCAATAACGGGCCGTAATACTGGAAACTAATAGCATCCATGATAAGAAAGGTTCTTGTCGTCAGTGACAACATGGCCCGTGATTTAAAGAGGTGCAGGCAAATCACAGAGCCCAGATAAAACGACAAGGGTGTCGCACGATCCTCGCATCAAACGTTTCAGATCGAAAAAAAAAGATGATGGAAAACCGGCAGAGGAGTTGGCTGCAGTGTCAAGAGCAACTACAGGGGGAGTTAACAGAAACCAAACACAGTGAGCGGAGGTACTACTATGCGGAAAGAAGGCAAGGAGATGAGATGGCTTTTGATGCGTGTTCACGCCAGACACTGTGGCCATACGGTTCATTACGACATCAATGTCTGAGAGAGACTGATATGATCCGGCTGCCAGGTTCTTTTCTTAGAGCGAGGGATCGATAACAGTGGTTTTTAATGAGTGCACGGAAATGACGGTCAAATCACACACAGTAGTCGTCGTGCTTTGGGGGAAAATACTCCACATCTTGGAAAGTGACATATAAGAGAAGGGTTTCGGCAACAAGACGCAAAAGATCGAACAAACGCCAGGCCGTTTAGAGATGCAATTATCGCACACTGTTTTAGGGCCGCGAAAGATGGGCATCAGTAGTGGTGCTGGTGGCATTGCAACCATCGACAGCTCGACAGCCAGACACTTCGACCTGTCTTCTTCTTATGAAACGGCAGAATTTGACGACTCGCACTCTTATTTGGGGGAGCCGTGGCAGAATTTGAAGAGATCCGAACGCTCAAATTCCGTGCAATCGTGTTCCAACTCATCGACTCGTGAATCGGTGTGGAAATTGGATTTCATGGAACATGATCCAGTGCATGTGAGTCCGCCTAGTGCGTTCGACATCGCAGTATCTACCACACCACCTTTGGCGAACTACAACGTACCCAATTCGAGACCGGCATTGAGACCCAGTTTTGTCAAGGCAAACTCCTACTCAGAAGGTGTAAATGATTTTGATGAAATGTCACATTATCTGTCATCTAGTGCGTCCTCAGCTCACCCGCATTTGCATCATACAGCAGCAGACTTTAGCCCACAACGCCGTTTGCAAAATCATGTCCAAAGTCATCCGAAACCGCCCCATGTATTACAGTCTCGAAAAGCACTGCCGGGCCGCGAATCTCGGCCTTATAGCCGTCCGGCTTTACCCTTCGAGCTGGTTGTTCCATCCAACGATTGTACTTTACAAGCTCACGCTTACGAAGACCAAAATATGCAAGAGTTTCTATTCGAAGAATCTCGCTACGGTCATGGCTACAGCTACGATGGTGGCCATGGCTACAACGCAAAAAATGCACAGACCCAGGATTATAAACGTCATCATTACCTCAGTTCCCAAAATCCTGATCTGGACACCTGTCAACACTGCCAGAATAACCAGCATCCTCATCCTCATCCTCATCCTCATCCTCATCATCATGCTCATTCTCATTTTCATCCTCATTCTCATCGTCACCAACAGCAGCAGCATCAGTTGCACCATAGCCAGTACCAACAGTACTCTCGCCATTACCAAAGCCATGAAGATGTCTCACATGCCACTCTTACTCACAACTCTCAATCGCAGCTTCCCTCTAATGAATCAACAGCGTATGCACCATGGCAAGTGACTCCAACTAGTAGCCTTTCAGACGTTCCTAGAATGGACTACTTCGAAGAAATGCCGGGTCAGTCAAGTTTGGACGCAGAAGGGAAATTTGAGTCGTTGGCTCTAGATTCCAGTCCTCCTCCATCTACACAATCAAGTATAAGCTCGGCGTTATTCGCGGATACTACAACGACCGTACCAGACATAACAGGTGGTAATGACCCAGGAAATGAAACCATCATAATGCCTGAAAATGCCGACCTAGAAAATCGGTTTTACCAGTCGTTCAACAATTCCGTACAAAGAAGTTCCGGTTCAAAACATGAATCTGTGTATGAACAGCTGATAAACGATAAGCCCTTGATGGAAGCACTTTCGAAACGGGTCAAGCGAGGTTACTACCGGTGCGCTCACTGTCCCAAAATGTTTTCGAGCCTTCTTGACTATGCCAAGCATATCGACGAATTCCAGATTCAACGCGACTACAAATGCCCATTCGTGCTATGCCCTTGGAAAATCCTGGGTCTACCTCGACGTCCGGAACTTCGTCGTCATTGTGCAATCCAGCACAAGATGGAGATACCGTTAGAGCTCAAATCCTTATTGAAATTGGGAGACTCAGATTTTCCCATAATGGAGTGTCCCTCGCCCTACTGTGACAAGACATTTTTCCGCCGCGACTCGTACGCCCGTCATGTTGCGATGGTGCATGACAAGCTAGATAGTCGTTTTAACAAACGTTTGAACAAATTGCTGGAGGACTGTCCTTACCCAGTGGGTACTCAAGAACACATTGATTACGTCTTGGAAGAGTTGACGAAGACGAAAAGAGGGCTCAAGCCTTGAATCATTCGTGCCCGTAGTCTATTCCGGGGCGCTACTGCAAGTAGAAAGGAAAATGCCACCTCAAAGACCATTTTTGCCAATTTTTTCTGGTACTATGGCTCCATCGCACATTCTTTTTTCAAGTCTGCACATTTCGTTTCGATCAAAGCATTTAGGGCAAGACCCCTTCTACTCATCCTCGCCCTTTTAACACATCCTGTCTGCCCTTCCTTTCGTTAAATTGATAATATTCCTCCTGTCGAACCTACTCAAGGGAAGTAGGGACGTCCAACTCAACTATACGCACCGAAACGATGACTCGTTGCAAAGCTTTTGAAAGCATCGCTAATTAATTACAGTACTTACTTATAAACGATACTGACCATGCAAAGGAAATCGTAAGGGCAACAAACAACTGACGCGGAATCATGAAATATGTTCTTGAAGTAAGTGTCAAATGACAGAGAATCTTCAACAGACACGTGACAGTTAGGACCTGAACACTTTCGGATTAATCCAAATTGGTTTTTCCGGTTGTTATGACTACGACATCAAAAGCCGATCCGTACTTTTATGCAAGCACTTGGGTTGCCATGGTTTTTTCAAGATCTTCGACTGCGGCGCTTGGCACACCTTTTTCATGGGGTTTAGCGAAGACAACTTTTCATCTTTCAGAGACGGCTCCAGAAAATGACATGCGATGAGCATTAACTACCGGAAGCATGAATTATCGATTATTACGGCCCAAATGTTGAGAAATCTGTGGATTGCACTCTTGATGGTCAACATCTGCCTTTTTCTTGGTTTTCAACCAGTCCACTGATTCAAGAAAACTGCATTTTTAACAGTACGCCTAGCTATTGGAAGTAATTCCAGTTGGAAGACGCCTAATGCCGATGCTTTGTTGTTCAATAATGTCACTACCATGCTTAAAGCCGATTCGGGCAACTAACAAACCCTAGCCTTCCGAGAACGCAAGCTTAGTGGCTCTTCACTCAACAAAATGAAGCCGGGGTTTTTTCTACATTCGGAAAAAAGGCCCAAAGAGACCTGATGTGTATTACAAGGCAAAAATGGGGTGGTTGAATCAAGAGTACTGTCTTGAATCTAGAATGTAATGCGCCATTCTGACGAGAAGAATGGCGATTTACCAAGTGCTTGCGGTCACGCGACCAAGACGAAGATAGAATTTTTTGGGATTTCACTGGGTTTTGAAAGACTCGCAGAAGAGACGCCTTCGGAGGTGGAGGTGTTCAGCCTGATCTTCAGAATGCAACTCGTTCTGGCGATGTGTGAATTTGCTGGGTTTTACATGGTCTTTTTTTTTTCTTTGAGGGAGGCCTCGGTGAAAGCATACGAGGGAACAAGAACTAGAAGAAGAAGAAGTCGTAGAAATTAGAGAATCAAATTCATCACTACCTACTCGCACTTTAATCCCCAAAACATCTTTGAGTCTCTCCCATTAGAAAGAAGAACTATGGTGAACCATCTAAGTAACTATATACGAAATCATCATTCTGGTCACTTTGTACCATTCTAAAGCGCTGTTTTTAGGATTTATTGTTACAATACGACTACTGTTCAGCCACGCGTGTAATTGAAGGAGTTTCGTGTTGATACCGTCAAATATCTGATCCCACAATCAAAGTCTCATTTCTATATCACTATGCACGTACATGACGCTGGCAATTTCGCGTTATAAATTTTGATAACTCTCTATATAGATAAAATCACCATCCTCAAGATTACGCGTCGCCGGTTCGTCCTAACGCGTAAAGAATGTCAACTCCAGCCAGCTATCGGCGACCACCCCGGACTTGCAGTCGTGCTGTTATTTTGAGGTGAAATCTGAGATGCAGTTCATCGCCTCAAAGTCCTTCAGAAAGTGCTTTGACGGCTAAGAAAACAAGGTAGTTAGCGTGTATCGGCTGTAACGCGACCGCGTTTTATTATAACGCGAAGGGCTCCGAATCGCGACTGGCAACTCAGAATTCACATTGCCGCTTGTTGAAAAACGTCTGGCGATGAGGTTGATCCAAAATTAAGGGTATTTGTACGCGCTCCACGACTATTTTTGCCAGGATCGATCTTCGAGACGGGATGAGAAAGAAGACGTTGGGAAGCAGGGGATTGTTCATTTCGCGGAAACTGCGATTCGTGGTCAAACTGAGGAATTAACAATCCGCTCCTTCTTCACCACTTTGAGCTGTCCTCGAAGCTATAAAATAAATGGGTTTGTGATGATGAGATACGCTTTTCCATAAAGTCTCGAGACCAATTGTACCGCACTCTACATTCTGCTATCTTATTTTACAGATCATGAATGGTGCAGCCATCGATAGGGTCCTGTACCAAGAAGATTATCGCAAATACAAGCTAGTACGGAAAGAATTGGGTTTATTTCTTGGGTCTCAGAAACTTGATGCCTCGAACCCTAAATTATTCATACTGCTCGCTAAAAATGTTCACTCCAACGGCCTTAATTTGTACCTGCCTCTCATGATGGCTGAAGCATCTGGATCTGCGAACTTTAGTGGCATGAGTGACGCCAATGTCGTTTATAAGGTCCTCTTGCATTTCAAGCATCACGAAAAGTTCCCCATCCTGGTTCAAAATGATGAAGGAATAACCCAATCATCTTTTGAACTGCAGATCAACAGCACTTGCAGCTGGGCTTTAGTTATGCCTGTGACTCAATACCTCATGGCTAGCGCCCGACCCTCTGGTGACTACTCTCATTTAACGGGGGAGCAAAGACAAAAGAGATTCAATGGTGAAAAGGCTAAAATTGCAGCTAGAGAGTACCTAAACGACCCGAAGTCCTCGAAATCTATTGTAGCCTCTCGATACGAACTTTCACTCTCTACTTTGAATGATGCCATAAAAAGATTACAACGGCAGCGCGGTATGAGTAACGATGAGAACGCGGAACATTTCGCCGATTATAGACAGACAACAGATAAAATTGCACGCAAAAGAGTAGCTAGCGTAGCGCTGTTAAACGTGTTAAATTCTCAGGTGTCTCCCTCGAAAAAGTCCAAATTGGTCTCGCAAGTGAGCTTCAAATACAATATTCCCGAAAGAACTCTTCGCGACAGGCTGAAAGATGTCAACCCAAGTATCTCTCGGGTTGCTGAAGGAATAAGACGCCGCAAACTTTCTCCTTCGGTAGAACAATTCCTCACGACGTTTTATGCCATAAGTAATCTCCAGAACTCACAGGTTACAGTTAAAGAAGCAGACGCAATTTGCGAACTCATGGCAAGTACAACCAACTGCTCTGATATGAAATTAATGAATTGCTCACTAGGCGAGAATGGTACTGTGAGTTTGCGTGAAATGCTCAGACATCACGAAGTTCAATTGGGAAGAAATTTCGGTTGGAGGTTCAGGCACCGTAATGGATTTACATCTTCGAAGGCCAAGCGCATGGATAAACATAGACTGAAGGCGTCAGATGTTAATAACATTGCGATGTGGCTTAACGACGATGCATTTAAAATTTTGAGCTCTACCCCAGCAGAGTTGATCTTCAACGCAGACGAAATTGGATTTGCCCAGACCTTGAACACGGTTAACCAACATTCTCGATTTGTGAGCATGCGCAAATCCACTCATGGTCAAAAAAAGGGAGTAGTCTATAAGGCAAAAGAGGTGGAAGATAATTCAAAGACTTTGACGACAGTTACAGCATGCGTTTCAGCGGCGGGCGCTGTTGTTGCACCCATGGTAACGGCAGCCTCATCCATTGCCAAAGATAATAAGGACTGCCATGTTTTCAATCCGCGCTTTGAAGCTTTGGCACGATCAAAGCTACACCCAGGCGTGGGGGCAAACGTTAATCTGCTCTTCACTTCGAATGGCTGGAACAACCCTGCAGCCTTCTTAGAGTACGTAAAGTGGTTTGACGCTCACACGGTCGATTTAGCACAGGCTCACAGTAATGGGGGAGGACTTCGGCAGCGGATTCTGATTGTAGACAACCATTTTTCGCACTACTGTTCCTCTGTTCTTGACTTTGTCACTAAAAGACGAATCGTTCTGTTACTGCTGCCGCCAAACACTACACACATCCTCCAACCATTGGATGTTGGAGTTTTCAGCAATTTGAAAAAAAAGGTTCGAGCTCTCGCCACGGAGTGGTGCCCCGCGCCAATTGTGGGACCAGATGGTAAGCATCGGCATGGCCACTTTGACATCCTATGCAATTTTATCAATGCACTAAATCATACCCTTTTGCATGATTTCGAACCCTCAACAGTCTGCCAAGCTTTCAAAACAGCTGGCATATATCCACCCGAAAAATCTTTGTTCAACCCTGCTGTAAGAAATGTCATGAAACATTTCGATTCTCATGCTCGAATGAAGGACATCTTCCTTACCAATATCCTTCCACTATCCCAAAATGCAAGGCCCGAGCCGCGCACGATTGCAGGTGCGCGGATAGCAACTGAGGATAGACCCGAGAGTTCTCAACAAGCTTCAAGCCCTTTAGTGCCGCTGGTAAGAGACCAGGCCTTCTTCATTGGAGAGGATGAGCTGGAAAGTCTTGACTATCTTTGTGTTAACCTGGAGGAAGTACTCCACTGCACGTCTAGAGGCAATGACGAAGGAAGCACGAGTGGTTCAGAGAGTGGGAATGCAAGCGAAGCACAACAGCAGGCCGCTCCACAATCTTTACTAAACCACGAGTTTCTATCTAAATTCACATTTGAGGACGTTCTAAAGCTGGTCACAGATCTCGTAGGCGGTCAAAACAGTGACGAGGGTTTGTCATTGGTTCCTAAGTTAATGGAAAGATTGGAAAAATGCTCGGAAATAGCTTTCAGCTCCAATTCGCATCTCACAATCACGAAGGAACTTTTTTTGGAACAGCAAACTAATGTCATGGGCATCGTGATGTACTTGATATACTTTGGCGCTTGTTTTCTCGGACTACGCGAACAAGCCAAAATAGAAGAAACGCTACAGATACACGAGGGTAGGAGGGACGCAAACACAAGCGCACTAAGAGTCCAAGACGCCTCTACAACCAATATTTTAAGAGACTTGTCAAAAAAGCAGTTCTTCAAGCTCTTTCCAAAAGTGGCGGGAGATGTCGATCGCGATCTTGTTAAAAAGATCGAACAGCTTCAACGTTCAACACAAAACACTGCATCCATGAGTGAAGCTTTGGTGAATGAATTGAGCTCCAGCGTGTGGGACTTTTTGCAGAGGATGGTCAAAAACGAAAACTCTGTTTTGTCGTTACAATCAGAAGACCTGAAAAATAAGGTACTTACAATGGCGCTGAATGCCCCAGAGGCTCTGGCCAAAGCTGCAACTGTCAAGAGTATGTTTGATCATACGGGCGGCTTGCCCTTTAGCAGAAAGCATCTGCCATTGGTGTCGAAAATTGAAAGCCTTGGGTCGGTACCGGAGGAGCTTTTAAATCCGGAACTATCTGACGAAGAGTTTGAGTTGCGACTATCGTCTTTGCGAGAAGTTGCAACCCTAGCTTTAGAAGAGATGAGCAGTGTAGATGAGGAGTCGGATTCGCTTGACGGCGATACCATGACGGAAGATGATCCGCTTCAGACTGAAGAGACGAACCAGAAGTTGCTTCAAAATTGGTTTTTGGTCTACCATGTTGATAATGTTGTGAGTCGCATTGCGAACAGCAGGGAGAATGTGAAGTTAAGATCGCAGAATCAGGTTTACAGACAGAAGATAGACGCGCTTACTCAGGTCATAGCGGAGATGGCTAACAATGTACGCCATTCGACCAACCAACTTTTTTACGAAGACCCCGCAAGTTCATTATTTGACTGTGGAGTAGAGGACAATCCATTTATATAGACGATAATATGAGGAACTTTGATGATGGATGCTGTGTGACGGTTTATATCCTAGGCGATGTGCGATGACAGATCATCTTGTACTATTTTGACTCAATCTGTTGATGACAGTTCAAGCATCGACTCCACTAACTACACAGACACGGGATGCCGCTTCTCTACAATACACAGCACGTCTTGATCGTGCTATTCGACACTCTGTCGCAGAAACTTATAATATTATTGAATCTTTTCCTTTCTTTTAAAAAGCGTTCATCTTACACATGCTAACTTCCAGACACAATTTCTTGGCTGATTTACGCTGTTTGAGCTAGTTTAATCGAACAAACCGAATCCCATGTCGTCGTCGGATTCCTCGGCAGCCTCCTCTGGGGCGGCTTCCTCAGCAGCGTCAGCACCACCGGCAGCAGCACCGCTGGCGGAGCCAGCAGCAGCACCGGAAGAAGCTGGCACAGCAGCCAATTTCTCGTTACCTTCGGCGATCAATTCCTCGACGGACTTGCCCTCCAAAGAGCTCAACAAAGAGGAGACCTTGTCTTCCTCGACTTCAATGCCAACAGATTCCAAAACGGACTTGACATTTCCAGCGCTTGGGGCAGAGTTACCAGCGGCGTTCAACAACAAGTAGGCGGCCAAATACTTCATAATTACGTTGTGCGATGCTAAGGTATTTTCAAAAAACCAAACCGAACGTCAAAATCTCGTTCGAAATCTCGTCAAATTGACAAAGTTCGCCTAACTTTTACTGAAACTTTCCAACCTTCACCAGATCCAGTGACGTTGTCGTCGTCCACCGGATGGGTTCAGTCTCCTGCTAGGAGGTCTATCCATCCAGTGCGTGGGTGCTGGAGGCCTAGTTTCGAGGTTATTTTTCCAGTGTTGACGATTTTTCACTGCTTCATGCTGTGGTGTGTGGATTTTTTGCAGGTTTTTGACAAAAAAATAATTTTTTTTTTGCGTGGGTTCTGTTCAAGGATGCGGCTCTGCCTAGAGATTAGGCAGGACCTTGTCAGATTCTAGGCAGAAATGTAATTTTTCAGAAAGAAGCTAGGCAGAGACGCTAGACAGAGGCCTTCTACCGCTGGGGGGCCCGCTCTGCCTAGCTCCTGCCAGGGCTGTCCCTCCAGAGGGACAGCCCAGCACGGTAGAGGGCTCGAATTCTTGTCAGTTTCTGTTTGGATGTGGACAGCGAGCTACTGGAAGGATATACACCTTTGGATATTGAAACTTTTGGGTTGTAACGATTCGGGTTAGAGATTGAATAGTAGAGTTTTGAGCCTAGGTCTGGATTTTTCCTTTAAATCGAATCGAAGCAAGTGTCTCTAGATATACCGTAAAGATGTCTACTCCTGTTGCCAGAAAGAGAACTTTCAAGACCTACTCCTACAAGGGAGTGGACTTGGAAAAGATGTTGGAAATGCCAACGGAAGAATTCGTCAAGTTGGCCCCTGCCAGAGTTAGAAGAAGATTTGCTCGTGGTCTATCTTCCAAGCCAGCCGGTTTGATGAAGAAGTTGAGAGCTGCCAAGTTGGCTGCCCCAGAAAACGAGAGACCAACCGTTGTCAAGACCCATTTGAGAAACATGATCATCGTCCCAGAGATGATCGGCTCCGTTGTGGGTGTTTACAACGGTAAGGTTTTCAACCAGGTGGAAGTCAAGCCAGAAATGGTTGGCCACTACTTGGGTGAATTCTCCATCACCTACACTCCAGTCAGACACGGTAGAGCTGGTGCCACCACCTCTCGTTTCATCCCATTGAGATAAGCTTGCTCGCTTGCTCGCCAGCAACAACAGCAGCAGCAGCAGCAGCTCGGGTTTTCGGCTATGTACGTGTGCATGCATCTCCTCCTCTACGTATTTTTGTAATAAAATCACACAGGTAAGCAATTCAAAGTGCACACCAATCCGCGTGGCGGGTACCTCGGTATCTGTCGGTTGGAAAGTTGTGTATCCATCCCTCGTGGCGTGAAATCGAATGGAGGATTTCGGTTTTTGACACACTTGTAAGTAGAAGCCGGACTTTCGGCCGTGGGTAAGCACCATCAATGCTCAATCAGATCCCTTTGATATATCCCGTACTTATGCTATATGCTTCTCTGCAGCTTTTGCAAGTCCTCGTAGACTTCCGAGTCCTTGAGACCGCTGAGGTTTGGAGCGCCCGGAAACCCATTGAAAAATCTCTTGAGCCCTTCAAGATCACTCAATTCGTTGTTGAACCTCATTCTGTCCACTATGACCTCAAGCTTATCAACCGGATTGTTTTTGAACCGGACTTTAATACCCTCGCATTGCAAATCTTCACTTAAAGGATCTCCCTCACGTCTGAGTTGTGCAGGAGCTGCATAGCCCGTTATGCAACTTAAGGTTTTACCATCGATTTTGACAGGGACGTGGTAATTTACATCGGGAACCACCACGTTGATTTCCCTTCTTTCCTTATTGATGTCGTACCATTTTTGAGTAGTCTTGAACAGCATCTCATGTTTTACATTCGATACCTTTTTCATGAAATCTTGGTGGATGCAACATCTTGTAGCTTTCGTTTCCTTGTCGATGCATTCGAGCTCGTACCGCTGCCGTTGGTAAGCACGCCGTAGCTTGAAGTCCCGCACAGAATCGATCTTTTGATAGTAGCTTTGAAGAGCAGGGTGAGAACCGTCCAGGCACATCTGGGTTTCTGTCTGCAGTTTGGCCAATTTACTTTCGTACAGTTTTTGACGCAACTCAGCAAATTGGTGCTCAATTTCTGTGATTTCTTTGAGAGCCATCAACCTGACACTTTCTGTTTCCCCTAAAGATTGGGCTTCCACCGCGTCACTTGAAGTACTCTTTTTCGGCATGTGTTTCGAAGTGACGTTTGCGAGCGAATCGTTGAAATCGGCTTTATCGGGGAGCTCGTCTTCTGCTTCATCTTCATCTTCATCAGCGTCATTGTCGTCGTCATTTTCGCCTTCCCTATGAGAATCCAAAGTGGGTGCTCTAGGTTTTTTGAACTGAGGATTGTCATCTACATCATCGAGCTGGCGCTTTAAATTGGACTTTTCGTCGTTTTGTTCGTTCTCCTCCTTTTCAAAATGATCTTGTGTAGGGCCGGCAACATCTATGGGTACTTGCTGTGATGGTTCCTGTGAAGGTTCCTGTAGAGGTTTCTGTAAAGGATTTTGTGAGGGCGGCTCAGATGGTTGCTGTAACGATTCCTGTGGTGGCTGCGGCGGAGACCCCTGCGAGGGCGGCTGTGAGGGTTCGTGGCCCGACTGCTGTACGGGCCCCTGTTGTTTTTCAGCTAAGTTTAAAGACGCATTTACCTCTGGCATGTCCTGAGCCCTATTATCCGTAGAGGCAGAACTGTCGTCCTTTTGTTGACTGACTTCAGAAACTTCTTGAGGTATAATACCCGAGGATTGGCTTTCAGTTTGTGGAACTGGATCATGCAAGATATCACCTTTTTGTTCATCGTTTTCCACTTCTGTATGGTTTTCTGTTATCGATTCTGGTTTTGCACTGCCATCAAAACTGCTGATAGGCGCATCGTTGGTTTCTGGTGGGGTAGTTTTATCAGTCATTTCCACATCTTGGAGTTCTTCAGCTTCAAACTCATTATCCTGTTGCTGTGAGGGTGCAGACGGTTGTTTGGCAGTTGCTGGGTCAGCTATGGCACTTTCCCCTTTCTGGACATCACCAGAGGCAATCTGGGGCTCAGCGTCTGCAATTCCCATGCTCATTTCATCTGGAACGCTACTGAAAGTTGGCTGGTCTTCGATCTCTTGATTCACTATTGCTTCAGATTCTGCATCTTTCACTATGGACCCGGGAACATCTTTTGAATCTTCTTGAGGAGAGTCCGGTTTGTCCAAATCTTCAAGAGTCGCACTTGAACCCGCAATTTGAGGTCCATTTTCTTGTGGCATAATTGGCCCCTCATTTACCGTGTTCTCTATTCCCGCACTATCATTCTTCTCTTGCTGTTCTTGATCTTGGGCCAACTCGGACAAAACGACATGGCCAGTGGGCTCGTCATCCATTTTTTCCGTTTCTGCGTCTGACGACATATAGAATCCATCCAAATCCAAATCGGCGTGGGCGATATGGCTGTTGCTATCAATCTTGCTGAGTTCACTCAAACTTTCGTTATCGTCTATCCGGTTTTCTTTCGCTGCAGAGAGAGCCAAGTTTTCCTCTGTAAGCAAGCTATCGTCTATTCTAAAAGTTAGTAAAGTTGCGTTTTCAATACCTGTGGAGCAGAAAGTCACTTTTGAAGCCCTGGAGTCGCCTTTAAAAACATACTCTTGGTCGGTTCCCCTGCTAAACTCATCTATTCGCTGCTAAGCACAACTACGATAGGAGTGTTCTAAGATCGGGGAAACTGCGCAAAGAAGTTTCGATTTATGTAACAAATCGTAGCTATTTCCAAACGTATTGTAACGGGTAGAAGTGCTTCAATCGAAGGCTGAGAATGAGGAATTCGAGCTGGGATTGTAGCTCATCTTGAAGTGTATTTAGATAGATGGATTGTATACCGGGTTATTTATTATTATTATTTAAATTCGAGGTCTCGTGACTTTTTATTAAAGCTGGTTTGTAGTTTTTGAATTTCGCGACAATTGACGGGTAAATGACTAAGAAGTCAAGAAGTGAAGCTATAACGTTTGGTTTGGGACTTTATCAAGTCTTTAAATTTAAGGAGGGTCCATGTCCAGAAGTCTCAGCCTTGTGGAAGTTGAAATGGTGTTGCAAATCGAAATTGTGATAAGGAATCACGTGACCTGTTTTCCACTGAAACTCGATTCTTTCGTTTGCATTCGAGGTAAGCCTGGGAAGAGTGATTTAGGGTATCAATATGCGGAGAAACGATCTTGCCATTGACATAATTGGTGTCAAATTCGAATTTGAAAACTCACTGGCGAAATTATATGGTTGCGTGCCTGGAAGTTTGAATCAAATGGTAAAGTTGATCATCAAAGACATCACGGTGACACAGAAATTATAACTATTGATTAAAGCTGCTTCAACAACTGTCAAGAGTGGAATTTGGAGAGACTAACTGGTTGAAAAAGCGTTAAAGTCTTGATCGTCAATTAAAAACCACGTGACCAGCAGTTAGAATTCAATTGTAGTTTCAAGAACGAAAACCAAAAGGCATCGTGTTTCTTCCTCTTCAAGGTTGGTTTGAAGAGCGTTGCAAGAGGCTTTATTTGACATAGCAAGAAGACTCTCGAAATGTTATACATACTACGAGACAAAAAAAAAAAAAAAAATAGCTGTGGCCGGTGCAAGACGACAGAGTAGATAAAGATAAGGCATTTTCGATGCTGATTATCAAGAAGCAATGTTCATTCTGACACATCCCAATATATCAATGCGTTTAAATGACTTCACCTTCAATGTTGATCAATTCTGATTTCTTAGCTGCCCTGTATCACTCAATCCTGAGCTGTCGTTGAATCACGTGACCCATGGGTATATTCCAAGATTAAAACGGGAGTTGGTCCCCTATAAGCTCATCTATTTTTCCGTCGGTGTAGTGATCTTAAACCGAGATTTCAGCTCTTTTTTCTGCACTTCTTACCTTTTTCTGTTCTCTATTCTATGTTATCCAAAACCACCTTTATTTATCGCTTTCACATAGCGACACTGCAAAATCTCCAAAATTCCAAAACAATACCTCCTGGCTAAGAATAAAGGCCAAGTATCTTTGCAGTAGTTGCCAGCCACACTCAGTCTTCTTCCTCCAAATTATTCGCTAAAATTCCGTAAAATGCTCCGATTTTGAATCAGAAAAAGGGTGGGAATCGTTTGAAAATCAAACATCAAGCAAACACATAACTGAAAGCCTCGACCAGTGCTGAAAGAGTCGCCAACAATTGTTTAAATGTTTACCAAACACTGTCATCACGAATTATACACGTGAGAAATACCTACATCTGCTATATTTTCCATTACCATACTTAATACCCACTATTTACTGAAAAATTTAGCCAACTGGAGTGTCTGCAAGCTCATCGCATTTCAAAAGACAGGAACTAACCGTAAAAAATCAATACAATGGCTTCGATTGATAAGCTGTTTGGGTCGGCAGGTGGCCAAAAACTGGTAAGTGGCCTAAGCAAGCTTTTCAGCGGCTCTTCAGCGCCTCTAGACGCTTCAAAAGTGAAGCATAAGACAAGAACAGTTCTTCCCGAACTAAAACGCTCGAAAGACACCGCAGATGAGAAAGAAACCGGTGAAAGTAATGCCAAAGAAGACGGAAGTGATGCAGTGACAAGTGGGAAAAGAACCGCTGACGATTTGGCTGAACCAGAAGCCGAGAAAACTGCTGAGAAAAAGAAGATCTCGAAAAGACAAAAACGTAAGCTTGCACAGGATACTGAAAACACAGATTTGGAGGCGAATTACTACTCAGAGCTTTTGCAAAAAGAGACCAAAAGTGCGGAGAGCGGAGATGTTGGTGGCACGAAAGAAGAGGTAACAAGTGTGGAAACAAGTGAAGATTCGAAACCGGAGACAAAAGTGGTTTCGAAGAAGGACTTCAAAGAAGCCGAGCTTGAGAAGGCGGACAGAACGGTCTTTGTAGGTAACGTTCCTAAGGATTTGATTAACTCCAAACAGTTGACCAAGAAATTCAAAAAGCTTTTCACTATTGCCAAGAGTGGTGAAGGAGAGGCCGGAAGCGATAGCGAGGATTTGGAGACCGAGAATGAAGCGTGTTTCAAAGTTGAAAGCGTACGTTTCCGGTCGATTTCATTCGAAGAGGCTCTACCAAGAAAGGTGGCCTTTGTCCAGCACAAACTGCACAAATCGAGAGATTCGGTGAACGCCTATGTTGTTTACACGGACAGGGCCGCCGTCAAAGTCGCATGCAAATCTTTGAATGGTAAAGTTTTTGAAGGACACCATCTCAGAGTCGATTCTGTGGCTCACCCTACGCAGCACGACAATAAGCGTTCTGTGTTTGTTGGGAATTTGGACTTTGAAGAAACTGAAGAAAACCTATGGAAGCATTTCGAGGGTGCTGGTGACATTGAATACGTGAGAGTGATTAGAGACCCCAAGACTAACGTCGGTAAAGGTTTTGCTTACGTTCAATTCACGGATTTTCAGAACGTCGGCAAAGCCTTGTTGCTTGATGGGCGGAAACTGAATGGTACCGGACGTAAACTGCGTGTTACCAGATGCAAAAACATGAAGAAAGCGCAAACACAATCTCATAGGGGCCAGAACGACAACCTCACCACGCAACAGAGAACTAAGCTTGGGAGGGCCAAAAAGGTACTTGGGAAAGCCGATAGATCGACTGCCGGCAAGGAAATTACAATTGAAGGTTTGAGAGCCACGAAGGGTAACTCAGCGCCGGTGCTAAAGAAGAAGAAGCAAAGATCCAAATCCGGAAGAGTGACCAAGCGTTCTACCGCATTCAAGAAGAACAATCAATCCAAAGAAAAGTAGAGATTTCAAGCGCCATTCTGTGCGCTTGGCATGTGTGTAAATTAAGAGTGCTAATCGATTGTATAGTAGACAATTTTTAAGAATAAGAGTTGTAACTTCAAAAAAAGAGAGAAAGGATGATGGCCACTATTTTGGCACGCACGGTGGAAAACAAGCGCTAGGTGGAGCTACGCTTCGTCATCGTTCTCTATCTTGTTGGATATCTGATGACAGCCTTTACTTTCTGTGCACGTGACCAAGCGACGGTCTGGGATGAAGTGATATTGAGACCTGTTACTGGAAGCTCACCTTGTTGAATAAATTCTATCGTTGTTCTCCATCGGACACAATTACGGATACAATAACGGGCTTCTTTTTAAAATCTTGTTTGAAAGGTGACTTTATCAAGATTTAAGTGTTTTACATGGGTTGAAGCTGAATGTCGCCTTTACTGTCAAAAACATAAAATAATCAGTTCTGTTATCATGTACGAAATTACCAAAAACCATTGAAAAGAAACACAAGAGCCACTATCAAAATAGTTCTAAAATGCCTCCAGCTATGGGAAACACAGCTGCTGTAAATCCCAGAACTAAGCCAGTTTTCAAAATTTCCGTTCGTAAACTCAAATATCTTATAAAGAGTCAAAGTCACGTGACCACGACCAATATTACACTGTCGTTGACCTAACTAGCCCATCTCGCTCTCTCTATCTCTCTTCAAGACCACACCTGTTTATAGAAGACTGAAGCTCCTCAACTTATCACCATGGAACTATTGAAAGCTAGCTATGGGATTGAGAAACTTCAGGACTCGGTGCGCGAGCGTTGTCGGCTGCTCAAAACACTACATATGAGCCCCTCTACGAATGACACGATAAACTTGAAGAAACAGCTAAATTCCACGATAGAAGCGTTGAAAGAGGCCGAAAAGAGCGTAACAGGAAGCGAGATGTTGGAATTGGAGAGTCTAGTAAACAGATACAACTTGATAGTGGCCGATATTCCTGACCAGGCGGTAGAAAAGAGCCTTTACACTTTCACAAGGAAGACTAACCCTAGCAGTAAATCTAGTGCATCTAGCACAACGGAATCCAAAAAAGTGCGTTTCAAAGATAATGTTGCCGAGTTCCGGGACCATCCTAATGAGCCGTCTGGGGATTCTCAGGCTCAATTCGAACCTTACAAAGATGATCCAGATCTCGATTCTCAAAATGATGACCGAGAAGCAGACAGAAACAGACTCTTCGGTAATAACACCAGAGACTCTTTTGATAACAGCACACCGTTAACGATAGCACCACAGCTTTCTAACCAGGACCTCTTTATTCAGCAGCAGCAACAGTTGCTGGAACAGGACTCACATTTGGAAGACCTTTCAAGATCTGTCCAAAAGGGCCATGGTCTTTCGCTGGACATTAACCACGAACTGACTGACCAAAATGACAGCGTTCTGCGAGACCTGGAAAGTCTGGTCGACAACAGTGGCAGAAACCTCGATCGTGCCAAGAAAAAGCTACACGTGTATGAGAAAACCGCTCGAATAAATGGACCCTGTCTGATCATTGTGCTGCTTGTTATTATACTGATCTTGCTGTTGGTGGTGCTGTAAAACCTGCATGAACTAGCGCTGGCGCTGGTCTTCTGAGCTCTTCATAGGAAAGAGGTTTAACGTGGAAATGCCTAACATTACAGTACTATCCGATGATGAAAAATAAAAAACAAAAAATCTATATACACCTACTGGCGACATTAATGAAACCTTTGACCCCTTTGAACTGGCTGTTCCTGCATTACTTGAACCCGGACGTCCTAAAAAACAAGGAAAAAAAAACCCACCAAAATCTGTCACGATAAGTGCAAACTTCGACCCTGAGTGCGTTGCCTACACCTTTTACCAATCTCTGTGTCCTTTCGCATTACCCATGTCGTGTTGCGAAGGATAAAACTGGAATCCAGAGTTGTTCAAATACGGGTTTTGGTGATAATGCTGTCTCTGTTGTCTTTGAGGATGATGAGTATGCTGTGGTTGCCCTTGCTGTTGCTGCTGCTGTTGCTGTTGCTGTTGTTGCTGTTGTTGCTGCTGCTGCTGTACTGCTGCCAAAAGCTGGTTCTGGTAGTACTGCTGGCCAACGAAACGTCCTGCTGTTTCTGACGAAATTTTACCATTTTCGCTTTTGGATCCCAAGGGCAAATTCAATCTGAGCATCGCCTGCAGATTCCCACCGTTCTTGTCGGAGTCTCTGATTCCTGTCATGTTCAAATTCGAACCTTGTGAAAGTTTGATCTCTGGGAAAAAAAGCTCATCGTCCATGAAGGTTTTCTTCAAATCCAATCTGATTCTGGCATCTCTGATCACCGTTTCTTCGCGCTGTTGTTGATGATGCTGTTGCAATCTAGCTACCGCAGCTTGTGCCATCTTCTCAAAGTAATGTTGGCTCTCTGAACTGATACAACTTGTGCTGATGATCCGTTCTTCAGGTTATAAAACCAGTTCTAACTGGCCATTAATTTACAATACTGGCAATTTGACGGTATCTGAGGTCCTCGTGATCAAATCTCGATCACCAAGATGTCGATCAACTTCGATGAACGCGATCCTGGAAAGTTGACTTCTTGCAATTCAATACTTTAGCCGATGTGGTTTAGTATTTGTTGTCGGATTCAAGAGTTTCCTGGTTTTTTGATGTAAAACGGTCGAAACTAACGTATTGGTCGAACTTTGAAGTTTTGGTGACGTGAAAAAGCCAAAAGTCGCTTTTGTTAGAACGTCGTCATGAAAGTAGGGACGCAGTTTGAGATGCGGTGATATTTTTGTTATTTAAGAGAAGTTTGGGACTAATAGTGATTGTCAGGTTGTTCTTATGGGAAAAAAAAAAGTTCTTGAAGTTACACTACTTCGTAATCTACAAATCGGAACTTCAGGACTTTGAAAAATGTCCAAAGCAGTTGTGTGGAAGAGTTAAGGAGTGGGAGAATGGTGGCCAGCAGGCGGAGCATATGCCGTACGTGAAAAAGCAGTTTCACAACTTTTTTTGGTGGATTCTTTCGATTGAGAGCTAGCTTAAACTCAAGGAACGGTGAAGCGATTCACAAACGATTGTCCCGTTTCACTTTTGATGTCACACAGATTTGAGGTGAAGACGCTGACGGCGTCCCGCGCCGTCATTCATAGTGTGTAACGGATCTCTTGGTCACAAGCCCAAGGAAGAAAACCAAACACGGTGGCCAAGGCCACTCGCTCCGTGCTTCTTCGCCATCCTACCACCGTTCAAGAGAAAGAAAACTCCTTAGTTTGAGTCGTCATCACAACATTTTGAACTCGTCCTATCTTCAATCTAGCAGCTCCAATTCGGTCAAAATTGGTATGTGGTCGCTAGGATGATTTTTGTTCGGTAACCCAAATTCGTTCAATAGATTGAGCTCCTGCGATATTTCGACACCGCTTAGAATGCGTTTAAGCCTGAAGTCATTGTCATGATACCAAATATAGTCAAAAATGCCCTTTAGTTTTCCAGAGTAGCAGGTGTGATCGAAGAGCTCCGAGGGTGTATCCTGGTATATGTAATGATTCAAGTATGGTCGAAGCGGGTTAATGAGACTTAAGTCGGACCGGTGCACACTTTCTCCCTTTAGAAATTTGATGACAGGTGAGTTCGGACTAGAATTGAGATCGCCCGCGAGCAGAATCTTGATGCGAGAATACGTGGCACCGTCTCTACCAACAAGCAGTTGTTTGATAACACGGTGCAATTTACGCATGATTGTCAGACATTGGCATAGTTTGACCTCATCGTATTTCCAATAAAGATGCGTATTGATCACCACGAAAAGCGTTCTCGTTTCCTTATGCATGAGTGACACGAATAAACTTACCTGGTTTCTGCTGTGTAGCACATTCAGCAAACTGTCCTTACCGGTTTGCTCACCCGCGCCGTTTGTTAGCGTTACAGTCGTATTTTTCAGATAATTGAGCTCACTTATGTTGAAAAGCCCCATCAAGTCATTAAGATAGATGCTGGTGGTGGAAAGATGTTGGAATTTGTCGAAATTGTAAAATATACCAACCCCGTCCATTTCATCGTGTGGACGTTTCCAATATTCTGGAGGGGTCTTCGAAATATAACTGCTTCCATAATTCATTTTTTTCTTACAGTGCGGCTTCCAAAACCCCTCGTAATCCTTAACAGTCAATTCCTGGAGACACATTATATCTGCTTTGTATAAGTTCAGAATCTCGCGCTCCAGCAGTCGATGCCGATACGACCAATCCTGGTATTTTTCTGGAACATAAGTGTACACTTGGGGCCACATATAATACGGAGAAAGCATGTTGTAAGTAAGAAGTGTGAAGCTTGCTTTACTGACCGGCAGCGAAGCATTTTCTAGGAGTGCATTGCCTACTGGTAACAGTTTCCTGGTGAACATGTCGTGGTAGTCGTTTTGGGCCAAAAATGGACAAAAAAAAGCCCCGAAAAAGGCCAGTACCAGAAGATAGCCGTAATTGAGACTGTTTCGAATGGTTTTCGACGACAAAACTGGGCTTTAAACAACGAATTCGAAGCCTGATGGTTTCTACATATGGATCGCGGACTAACGAGAAGAGGGTCAAGATCTAAATCATATGTTTTAAATTTAGGCCTTTTCGAATATCATTTTGTACGACGAATGAGACAGCACCAAGATCTCGTTAAAAATCCAGGAAAGTTTGTGATGAAGCCAGACGGGGTCTGAAACTGGGAGGAATTGGATGTAAATTAAGAAAAGCTCGAGAGAATTGCGGGGGACAAGCACAATGCAGTTTTCTGGGTCAGCTTGAGTATTTTTATTAATACAGGTGCCCCGAGTCACGTGACGCAAGGACAGCGTGCGCGTCACAATTCGAACTATGATCGAGAGGATATTCAATATTTTTACATGCGCTATTCAAGGCACACGTTACTGCCTCTCTTATTACAAGCTGTTAGATGGAAGTTCTCCAAGAAAAATGCACTCATCCTCAGGCTCACGTTGTACGAGCCATTATCCAGAGGGCAAACCACAAACTAAAACCTATAAATTCATCAAGTTCCTGATAAAGATATCCACTGTGGTAGAGCTTCAAATTCATCACGACTTCGCACACTATTCCACAACAATAGCACGTAACAGTAAAAAGTATCAGTAGTTCCACGTATAGAGTGATATCAAATCCGAATCTTCAGATTTGTATAAACGGAACTCACAGACACACAGTCACTTGCAAGAATATTCATATTTCTCACATTAATAATAACGCGTGCGGGTGAGAGTGACATCAATGAAATCCTAACTGATGTTAATAAATCTGTGAATTTTCTTTACTGACGCTCCCACCGATGACACTTAATTTCTGGTTCAAGTGTCACATACGTATAAGATGATTTAATTTACTTTCAAGATTAGATCTGCCAAAGCGAACCTAAAGGTTCAAGAAAGGTCCGAAAACCATCGATTTAAGACTATCCTTTCACCACTCTCCATAGTTTGAAATTATTCTACGGACAGCATCCGAGTTGCTCAACAACTGCTGAATTGTGGTAATTTTTAAAATCCAGATTTGGGCTAATATTGCATCTTTTAGGAATCAGGAAAAATTGCTCTCAAAATACCACTTCCAATCGACTATTTGAACTCGTTTATTTGATTTCAATCCGTGTAGTGATTCAAGCCACTGAAAACGTCTCTCAGAAACTTTTTTCCATTCGGTTTTGCATTTTTACCGATAATTTGTCACTTGCCAACAGCAAGGCCTCGGGTATTCGTGGCATTCGCTAGCTCCAAGATCATGCGAACAAGATCTAGCAAGCGTAAGCGTGTCGAAGTTGAACTTGAGGAAGGAGAAACTTCTAAGTATTTCAAGAAAGAGGCGAATGAAAAAGTGCCAGAGGCTCAAAAATCATGTTTGCCAGACTCAAGAAGCGTTGACGTTGAATCGGTCAAATTGATGGGTGCCGATACATACTACGACTGGGTCGATGCCAGAACGAAGGACGAAATTACCTACGAGCCAATCGCAGACAGACCCGAGTTTCCTCGAAATTTCCTCCCGATCTACCAAAAAGTGAGACTAATGCGATCCAAGATCGCTACGCCTGTCGACTCAGTAGGGTGTGCTATGATTCCACTCACAGTAGGCAAAGAATTTGGAGAGTCGAAAGAAACGATGCTGCCACGCACATATCGATTTCAGCTACTCATTGCACTGATGCTTTCTTCACAAACGAAAGATGAAGTCAACGCTAGGGCGATGTTCAGTCTCAAGGAATACTGTAAAGAAGAGCTCAAAGACCCCGAAGGCGTAACTCTAGAATCCATTTCTCGCATAGATCAGGATGTGCTGGCACAACTCATATACCCGGTAAGTTTTTACACAAGAAAGGCTCTTTACATCAAAAAAGCCGTAAAGCTGTTGAAGGACAATTTTGATGGCGATATGCCCCCAGACATCGCAGGGTTATGCTCCTTGCCTGGCGTGGGTCCCAAAATGGGCTACTTGGCACTTCAGAAAGGGTGGGGCAAAACGGATGGAATTGGTGTCGACGTTCACGTCGATAGACTTTGCAAAATGTGGAAGTGGGTGGATCCCCAGAAAGCAAAAAGCCCTGACCATACCCGTAAGCTTTTGGAAGAATGGCTTCCATACGAACTATGGTATGAAATAAATCCTGTTTTAGTGGGATTTGGCCAGGTTATCTGTTTGCCCAGAGGCAAAAGATGTGATTTATGCATGGCAAACGACGTCTGCAACGCAGCGGATCGCAAAGTTGTCAATTCGGCAAAGAGTCGCAACGAACTGCGAAAAAGTCGTGGGAATGTTGCAAAATGGATCGAATATTTAGAGGAAACTACCGGCGCTCGAGAAACATTAGAAAAAGGTGAGGTTAAAGTGGTATTAAAACAAAGCGAGAACGATGTGGAAAAGTAAGCATTTTTTTATGGGTACTTGGACTTAATGGTGGTTCAACTGGAGAGACGATTGCATGCACTATTTCGCTACGGATGCACCTTCGCATGTAAGGATTCGGATTAACATAACTTGTACGTAGATCTAAAATGAAGTTTCAATAAGGGTTTTAACCTACTTTTTTTACTCTTCATGCTAGAAGTGCTTTAGATTTGGCCAGACTCTCAGTTGCGAAAAACCTGACATCGACATCGTCATCTTGTGTCAGTTTCTCCAGAGAAGTGACAATCGTATTTTGAATCAAATCTTTATTCTTACCTTTATCAGCACAGAGACTCTCAACCACCGAGACATAAGATTTGGCGACATTGAATCTTATGTTTGGAACAGCATCTTCAGTCAAATGATTTATGAAAGGAAGAACCTTTTGAGTAATGACGTCATTGGAGACAACGGGAACCAATTCCGTTAAGGCATGCAGTAAAGTGATTCTGTAAACAAAGTTTTCCAGCAGTTGAGAGTCAGACGTCAAGAGACGAGATATGATCTTGTTGCTAGCCCAATCCGAACCGAAAATTTCTGTCAAGTTTTTGAGATTCGTTACAGCAGCTTTTCTTATCGAATAAACTGTGTCCCATAGCCACGAAAGACAAAGATCTCCCAGCTGCTTATCGAAAAACTCAACCCCCAGTTGTTCCGCAAGTAGCGGAACGTAGTCGATGATAGCCATTCTCACTCTCCAATTGGCATCCTTTGCAAGTTCTGTAATTGCAGGTAATAAATTCTCGGAGAGTAAGTCTATACCGACGACTTCATTGACTACCTTCAATTTCGCGATGATGTTCAAACGCACATCAGGGTATTCGTCTCTCAACATGTTGAGTAGAATGGGAATTAGGGTATCGATGGCGTCCTGCTTAGGGACTAGTGGCGCCAAATTGGTGATCTCTGATGCAAGAGAGGCCCTCACCATTTCGCTCTCGTCCATGCTCAAATTTTGTACAACCGGCAACACCTTTTTCAAAACAACCTGTGGATCACCAAGAAGCTTGGCAAATCCTGGTAGCTGTTTGGCAACTCCTTTCCTGACGTCACTTTCGTTATCTTCACATAAAGCCAAAAAGGGCCCTGAAAGTTCATCGACGTATTGGGGTGTGGCGATGAACTGATGGGCTAGTTCTTCAAAGCGCTCCGCGGCCATGTAACGCACTCGCCACGATTCATCTCCGATGAGCTGAATTGCTGATCTCAACAGATCCTTTGAATGTGTGGTGTCATGTTTCTTACTGAAAAATTTCAAGATAGAAATCAAAACGTCAACTGCCAGGAATTTCACCGAATCTTGACCGTCCGTCATTATTTTTTGAAACATGCTGGAAATATAGTCCCAATCGTCGGATGTAGACAAGTCTGGGTTTTGAGTGAGAAGATCTATCAATACAGGCAAATTTTTACCGGCTGCTCGTCTAACCATTGGTGTATCGTCTTGGACCAGTTGCAGGTACAAAGCCAGTAGCTCTTTTCTGAACTTGTCGTCTTTGACTCTGACCAAAACTGCTCTGAACAAACCACAAGACGAAACTTTGGATGAAAACCAGTCAGCGGTAGCCAGGTGCTCGATTAACGGAATGAAGTCGTGAAACAATTGGTCTTCTGAAAGCTCTTGCGCCACGTTATTGAGCGACTCCACCGCTTTATCACGAACCAATGTTTCTTCGGTGGAGGCTAGAATTTCTAGCGCGGGTAAAAGTAGTGTTGCAAATTTCGCCCCACCGATAAAAGGTACAAATTTTCCCAGCTGTTCGGCCAAAACGGTGAAGACCTCGTCCTCGTCATCTTGAGCCACTTCACTCAAAAATGGAATCAACTCATCGCGCGCTCTTTGAGGCCCCAAAGCTACGGCGATTGTATCTAGTTTTTTCATAGCCTCGACGCGATTACCTATGTCGTCATGTTTCAATCCGTCCATCAACAGCGCCAAAGGGTACAAATCCTCCCCTTCCTGTACCCCATTGCCACTACTGACATCTTTCTCGGTACCAACGTTGTTCTTGTTGCTTATAGCTTCCGAATCACCCATTTCGGTCTCTTTGTTGTTGATCTTATTGTTACCGCCCATAACTCGACGAAAATTTTACCAAAATCCACCGCGAAAAAACCAGCGAGTAGTCCTCGAGATTGGCAGTTGATATAATACAGTTTTGACTGTACGCAAGACCTTTCTTGATGTCTTTAGCGAACAATTGGTTAATGGATTGACTTGGTATCTGGTTCAAGTTTTCCCTGAGCTCTTTATTTAAAGGGGAGAGAAACATCAATCAAAAAATCGAGATGATCCGGGTAACACCTTGGGCTTGAGAACTTTAGTCTCGAGTTCGAATCCGACGAGAGACGTAATTTGTAGATGTACCAAAAACGGTGCACAACCTTTAAATGCTCATTAGGATGTTCAAAAGAGCCACCAGTCGCTTGAATAGATTGGGTATTTTCCTTGCCAGTTGTGCCAGCAATTGCGATTTTTTAAGCACGAAAAGAAGCACGAGTAAAACAATCGGTGCGATGTTTTTGTTCAACAAATGCCGCGACAGATTGACTAATGATCTCCTGAAACTCACAAGTCGCGGGAGTGAAAACGAAAATTGGGCCTGTGGTTTTTGAGCTCGAACAGTGCTGCGTGGTGTAGTTTGAGACTTGGTTTTTGGCTGAAGACCGATACTTTTGTCTTCTTCGTTTTTGGTAGTCATCGTCTTTGTTTTGCGACGTCCCAGCTGATTTGGGGAGTGAAGAGACCCACTCTTTTTCTTTTCCGCATTTGCATCTAGTTCTTGGATTATGCTATCCTCTAGTGTGCCTCCAGGACTTGCTTCTTGTTGCAAAGCGACTCGAAGCGATGGGTTCTCATCACAGAGGGCCAAAAATAGAGCTTTAGGCGATCGACATTGCAAGCCATGACTTTGGACAGAAATGAGGTAAAAAATGATGAGGTCTCGCAGCTGGCGAGCTTCCTCGAGATTGTGGGTGACTTTGCTGACATTGACAATGGTTGTTTTGGTCTGCTTAGCCAGACTCTTTATTGCCATCGATGAATTGTCCAGCTCTGCAATCTTGCAGGAGCATCTGAGAAACGCCAGCAAGCCTGTGATGCGTTCGGTTGGTGTTACGTCTATTAGTCTCTGTTCAACCGCAGAAAACTCAGATATGGCAAAATGGGTACGAACCACCTGCATTACGCTAGTTCCTAAAACATGGAAATCAACGTCCTGGCAAGCACTCACAAACAACTGCCACACTTTATAGTCATTACTCAAAACCTCGCAACTCAAAAGTCCCCGATAAAGCATGTCTTCCAAACATTGTTTATGGTCTCCCTTGATGAAGTCGTTCAAACACAACACATACGGCTGTTCTGAGACCGGATCATCTTCTGCCGGATTGTTTCCTGCTTCGAATGCTTTATCATTAAGAAGCTCCTCCACCGTTGTCCGATGAGTTACCACTCCTTCTGCTAAAATCATTTAAACACACTTTCTCAAATCAAACAAGCCGAAATTTAACCAGTGTTTCAACAATATCAATAAGCAGCGCTATAGCTAGCACGGTTAGCAGAAACAGAGCGCCACCAGACCTTATTGAACCTTAAAGAACGCTTATTTCATGAAGTATATCAATATCTTGTAAAATAAGTCATCTCATCTCAACCTTTAAATAACTAATTCACCGACCGATCAGATACTTCAAAAAAATTGATATCCAAAAACTGCTCTTTTTATAGCTACCTAATGTCCACTAATTAAATCGTTATGTGCATACCGGAATTCTCTCAGTACTCTTGTTAGCAATGTGTGCTTGCCATCGCCAAAGGTTCATTTAAACCTCGAGCCATTTGTCGTTACTGATATCCTCTATAGAGGGTCTTTTGCTGACAGATCTGTTTAAGATCTTGCGTATAAGACTGACACAATCGTCACTCACATGCCTACTGGAATTTATTCTTAAGTCGGCGTCGAGAATTTCGTCTATGTTGTAAAATGGATTTTCTTTGAAGATGATGGTGTAGAGCAGTATCCCGATAGCCCATATATCTTGCGGCTTGCCCTCATAAGGCTCTCCGCCCAAGACTTCTGGAGCAGCGTAATCGATGGTGCCCACAAAAACGTCAAAAGGCCCACTTTTGATGTAGGCTGCCGATCCGAAGTCCACGATCTTCACGAACCCATTACTTTCAACAATTACGTTTTCGTCCTTGATGTCACGGTGAACAATTCCGTTATCATGCAGATGTTTTATACCAGACACGATTTGTTTGAATATTAGTCTGGCTTCATGCTCAGTCATGTCCGTTTTTAGCTCAATCAAATCAAACAGATCAATCGACCCACTTAAGCCATGAACTGGTGTTTCAATATAGTAGTATTCGTCATCCTCGAAAAAGTCCAGGAGCTTCAAAATGTTTTCATGAGGCTTGGCGTTCAATGTTGCCATAATTTGTATCTCAGACGGTATTGTGCCCAGCTTACGGTCTCGTACCCATGTATCGACAAGGATTCTCTCTTTGAAAATTAATTTGATCACCACGATGTATCCCTCTTTCTTATGCATACACAAGTCCACTTTGCCATACGCGCCCTCTCCCATCTTTTGCAAAACTGCAAAATCAGAGAACTTCTTGACATGTTTGAGACTCCCAATATTATTTGCTGGTTCAGTTAAAATTGTCTCTTTCGAGGTTATAGCATTTTCCCGATTAGAAGCTTCCCTCACCAGCGACTCGGTTACCTTAGGATTATCTCGAGATGCATTCGACGTAAGAGACAAGATTAGATCTTCATTCAATTTAAAATTCGCGTCTTTCAGAAAAAGCGACTTGTCCTGACCATAGCTCTTTGTTATATTTAGCTTAGCCTGAATTTCTTCGTTCAGTTTCTTCATTTCCAAGCTTCCCGTATGACCGTCGACTGAGTCGTCGGTAGGTGTATCAGGGGAATCCGCGACGTTCTCTTCCGATTGACCGCTGTGATTTTCAAAAGATCCCACTGTGCTTCCGTCTAGCTTGAGACTATCCTTAAGATTCGGTAGCTCGTCCACATGAAGTCTTCCACTAGGTGTCTTCAACGAATTTCTTGACGTAGACCCGCTACCAACAAGTGCTAATTCGCTTTCCTTGAGCATCGGTAGCTGAGACGGAGTAGTTGTATAATTTTCAAACACAACATCTCTAGAATGTGTTATCCACAGTAGTGAGGTCATTTGATTAATGACTCTAAGCTGAATATCCACCTTCAATGTAGAACCATCTCTGTGTATAGCGTCAATCCCAATCGAGTTGAAAAAGCTTTCCTCCTTGTGAATCATCTCGGCCTGAATTTTTCTGAAAAAGTGTTCCGTAAGAACAAGTCCCCTACTACCAGGGGATGATATGTCCCAGTGAGGGTATTTGATCTTGATAAATTCTATCATCTCTCGAAAGGAAGGAATAATGACCGACATATCTTGTCCAGCCAATTGAGACGCATGCAGTCCAAACATATTCTTGGCAATTGACTTATTAAAGCTTACCAAAGTAAATTCTTTAGAGTCAATAAAGAACATACCAGCCTGGTATGGTAAGCTGTGGATCTTGAGCTTCATTTCATTTTCCAAAATTGATGAGGATATGGCGCAAGGGATGTTATAAGAAAGATGATTGAGCGTGAAATAGCGTACCTCATCAATAGCATGCGAGACTTTAATCGGTGCAGGGAGAAGATCGCCGTCTTTCACTTGTATTTTTCCATTTTGAACATCCATTAAAAGTTTTTTCAGCGAGTTACTCAGGTCGCCTATGTCATGAATCTCGTCTGGAAACTTAACACTCTTCTTCGAGCCTTTTTCGCCAGCTGAGCTTTTCTGCCCCTTGCTGTCTGCTTTTTGTTTTGTACCTTTTAAGCCGGCGCCACCAGCAATATGAGCTACTGAGAAATCATCCAGGTTCAGGAGAACATCCATGAAATCACAAGGAACCTTTTCAAAGACGCAAAAAATTAGGCCATTCCTCCTTTTCGCCCAGATGGATGACCAAACCAGTTCCGAAGAGGACTCACCCGGTTGAATGATAGCCACGATCTCCCCAGTGAAGACCTGTTCCTGATTTTCGCTCGCCATAATTTTATTCAAAACAAAATTCCGACTGTCGCTGTGAATGAGATCTAGCAATGTCAGAGCTCGTAAGGCGTTTTGAGAAATTCCGAAAGTAAGACAAGCAAGATCATTAGCGGATTTAAACTGCCACGGAAATTGCTGTAAACAGGTGAAGATGGCCTGGGGAGATGAATTTTTGCTGGAAAATGAGGTGTGTAAGAGCCTGTTATTTATGGATGTGCTCCTCATGCTTGCGAACGATGAGTCGTCAGGCGATGTGTTTTCTGCATCCGCGTAGAGCACTCTCTCTGCTTCCTCTGCGTATTCCGATGCATTTGACTTTTCAAAAAACGGTTGTGCCAAACTTTCCAGAAGGTTTCTTTTTAAAGTGTCTTCATGATTTACTGTTCTTTCTGCAGGGTTTTCAGCGTTCTTGTCATCTTGATCAACATCTAAAGAGAGCTTATCAAAGTTCAAAAGCGATATCATGTGGAGATCTGTAGCTTTTTCGGTACTGTTGTTTTCTAACGCATCATTGAGTAAAGACAAAAGACTTTCCAACTCGCTCTTGGCATCCAGGAAAAGATCATCGTTGCCACAATTAAAACTCACGGGAGTCGAAGCGTCTTTTAAATCAAGATGGAAAGCGGCATCGACAGATTTTCGTTTTGTTTGTTCAATTTTAGATGTGAGCAGGAACTGATCACGCGGCGGCAGCGTTTTGTGAGCAGTTGAAGGTCTGGGTACAAGACTCGAAGGCTGAAAGGGCCCAGGACGTCTTCCCGAGACTTGACGGGAGCTCGAAGAACCTTTGGCGTTCGAAACCAGAGCAGTCAGCGCCGCAGACGACGCATTTCTCAGCCTTGTCGTCGACAGTGGTTTTATTCCATCTTGACTGTAACTTCTGGGAATGTCAGGTCTTTGTGAGGACCTGATGCTATGCGGGGACACCCAGTTGAAATCTTGCTGGCTTCCACTAGGTGTTTGAACTCTAAAATGGTTATCTGGCCGGTGCTCGAGTAATAAAGTGGGGTTGCGGATCATGATTTCCAATGAACGTTTCAAAATTCGCAGCCTGACCGCAAGGGAGTTTGGCGAAAGAGGATTATAAGAGTAAGCATGCGTGGAGTCGTTTGGGAATGTAACGAGCTCTTTGAAGTCTATTTCGCTCGCAGAAAGTGAACATGAATCATCAGGCATGGGAGTTGGACTTTTCCCATCAACCGGCAAAGATGTTGGACTCACAGGCCCACTGCTGCCATCATTTATTGCTCTATGCGACCTCTGGTCTTCTGCGTTAATCTCACGGGGTTTCTCAAACGGACTCGACGACCTTTCTCTATGCTCATCGTCCCTACTTTGTTTCTCCATGTATAGCTTTTCCTTGAGTGCTTCGAACCTATCTTTGCTGTGTGGGGCACCAATGTACGGCATGTGAAGCAACCAGAACACACAGTCTATAGCTCAAGGTATTTGCCGAGTTATCGTGCACTGAAAGAGCCTTCTTTGGCTTTCAAGCTCTTTGGTTCCCTTATCAAAAGTGATGAGTCCAGCAAGCCAAAAAGCACCGAAAAAGGTAGCAGTTCGCCGTTCTCAAAGAGCTGAAAAGGAAACGTGAGGTTCCGTAAATTTTTGGACTTACCTTGAGACGAGTTTCGTGTGTTTTGAAGTCAGGTTGATCTTCGTGATGCGTTTCTCTTGAATATTAATTAAAGACGAGGTTGAAGTTTTCGTCGAAAGGAACGACGTCAGTAAAATGAAAACGCGATCTCAATGAACAATGCGGATTCAGAGTTAATGTTGGCCAATGTGACTCATGCCAAATAGGCTACTTAGATCAGCGTAGTTTTTGGTGACAGAAGTCTCTAAATGTTTTAGAGTTTTGATGCTTTTGGTGGTCGTATGAGAGCCAAAATTTGACGGCTAGAGTCAGAAAATGTTGAAACTCCTCTACAACTGTGAGTTTTATGGATACTGGCACGAAAGGAATTGGGAATTAAGGAGAAGGTCAGAATTTGGAAATTTTAAGGATTAGCCAGAACTCGGAGAGGAAAAAAAGGAGAGTGAATCAGAGCGTTTTGCTGAACCTTTTTGGTAGTGTGTCTGTCATATACACGTCCTTACAATAAAGAAAGTAGCGCCAAAAATCCGAAGATCACGTGATAAGAGACGATGATGAAAATTAAACAATGGATCATTTGACCATATCATTTGTTTGATGAGTATCCAGAAAGATACGCTAGAATTTGCACGGAGGGAACTGATATTTCCAGAGTTTCTTTCAAGGCCAAATTGTTCTCAATTTCAACAAAATTGTGAAAATCCAGAATCACTTTGCACGAAGTAGAAACTCTAGGTTTTAACACCCTGGGAAGACACAGCCAATAGCATCACAGATGGCGGGAAAATCTCGGCTTCACATCAAAGCTTTCATGACTGCAACTTGATATTCGGTGGAAGACGACACAAATGATCCAAGGTCATGCAATTAATTTTCATTGGAGCACTTTTTACAGTACAATGCCCTAATACTGGGCTATAAGGTGAAGCACATGAAATTTCCGCGATCCTAGAAATGCATTTAGAACTCACACATAGGAGCACGACCTCTTAGCTAGCAAAAAGTGCCCAATTGGGTGTTTTGAGTAATGTGAAAAAACGCGTCACGTGACCACGGTAGACAGGTGGGCTTTCTTCGCTCTCAGTACGTCGTCTGCCTTATCCAAGCTGGCAAGCTTCAGTGAAGTTTGTTACAAGCTCCCAATCAGTGGGTTTATTGATCATTGTTGTTGTGTTGAGTCACAAACAATTGCGGAGGGCAAACTATTCTTAGTGAAATGAAAGTGTAACAATGAACGGGACTGTTCAGGTCAGATTTTAACGGCATTGTTTTGACACTATTATGGATGTCTTGAGAAATGTGCCAGTTCTAAACCAAGATTTAGCAGTATTCTTTCACGATCCTTTTTCGTGCTCGTTGCTGCTTCATACTGACTAACACTTGAGCTTTTGACGAGAAATTCCCGTGTATCTGACGTCTGGCGATGCCATATTATTGCATATTCCCTATAAGACCATTAGAGCCCTACAGATCTCCAGAGTCAGAAAGATATCTTGTCCTGAGCGAGGTCTTATCAGGTCAGAGCTGTCTAATTGAAAGTTCTGATATAACCGTCAAAGTCGATGAACATTGAATTTTACCCTCAAGAGCAGCTTGAAATATGCATTTCTGACCATTTCCTTCCCACTCTTATGTCCAATCTCCCTAAAGATGCAGTGTGACGGAAAAAGTAGTCCCGTTCGTTAAGCGCTTATCTGCTGCAAATATCTTCTAAATTTTGAATCGAAAAGCCGTTGAAGCATATCGCCCATCCCCCACCTCAAACGCGTCAACCCTCTTGTTACAGTCAGAAATATCAAATTCGAACGCGTCAACTTTCTTACAAGCTGTTTCATTCAAATCTGTTCGAAACGCACATGGTGTGTTACCCCATTTTGTGGCGTCCTAGATATTGGCGTGTATGCAACCCAAAAGGGTAGCCATTCCCCAATTGGGTAATAGGGCGGCTCACTCGTTTTTGTGTCACATCCTCGATTTTCGGAGTATATAAAGCGAGCAGATCTCGCCAAAGGCAAAATCTTCTTTCTTCCCTCTACTCACCACTACTCTTCCTCTGTCCGATCAGCACGTTTATAACAGGTAGATAAGTAGTTTAGTGTAGTTCTGTAACTGTATCTAAGGAAAAAATGAGTTTGACGGGTTCGTTGATCTTAAGTGGTATCGGCGGCTTAGTATATAAGTATGGTGGCCAACAGGCAGTGAAAGAGGAGGATCTACCCGTTGGTGCCAGGGGTCTGACTCTTGGCTTCATCCAAGTGAGGATCAAAGTCGTTAAAGAACGATGGGGAAGAGTGTCAACCAATTTCTGGAACACATTGGTGCGCAGTGGCGGTTATAGATATCCATTTCGAGTAAGTGAAGATACTCCATTTTTATCGTTTTTTCGGTTTTGGGGCCTTGCACAGAGCTTTACAGCTCAGGCGTGGTAGCAAGGTTCTTTGCGCTGATTGTCGTTTTTGTATGAAACAGCTATACTAACCTAATACAACTTTTTCTCATAGGGCGTTTCTGAAATGTTCCGGTCGAGTATATACATCTACCATTGGGGTAGAGCCTTTGCACTCTACGTCGCATTGTATCTAACCGTGGCTTTTGTTTACTTCATCACTATTTTGCCCGTGTATTTAGCGCTTTTGGCGTTTTGCGGACCCATTGGATTCGCTATCGCCTACTTGCATTTCCTTTTGCACTCTAACATGCTGACCATGATGGTCTTGAGATTCACGCAGTTGAACAACTCATTGTTCGACCTAACGTTGTCGCACAATGGAAAGGACGTTTTCGTCAAACGGGCGCTCGAAAGTCCTACATTGCCCGTTCGTTACTACATCCCCGTTAACACGTGCTATTTCTGGTTCAATCACTTGCCTTGGAGAATTACAGTGCACTTCATTCAGTTCGTTGCGTTGCTAACGCTCTTAATAATTTCTCTCATTCCAGTTTTGGGGCCCATCATATTCAACGCACTCATTTCGCCATTTATTGCCAGACTCTATTTCTCGAGGTTCTTACGCCTTAAGAAACTGGACAACAAGCGCAGGGACGATGAGTTTTACTTCAATCTCGGTTTGTATATTTCCTTCGGCTTCGTGGCAGGTCAATTGGAGATTATCCCATTTGTCTCAGGCTTGATTTATTCCTCCAACAGTGTCGGAGGCGGGCTTTGTGCAATAACTGCTTTGGATGCCGAAGTCGCTGCCCCTGCTGTTTCCACTTCGAACGGCGTTGCTGGTGATAGTCATGAACCCACGGTCGCATGAATAAAATTTGAAGGGAGGATTAAATTGTTGCATCAACATCCTCTCTCATTCTCGCATAAGCTAAACCTCGCATCTAACTTTAATACCTATGATTTGCTTAACTCGACGCCAGTGTCGCTTTACCTGTTTATTTTGTGTCGTGTCGCGTCATAACGTCAACCTTTCCACAGGGTCTAGTGAATATAAAAAGGTGATGCTATCTGAAAAGGTTTGCTCCAGCTCAGACAACAGCTCTCTACTCCCTGCCCTAATGACTTCCATAATGCTTCCCATGGCTTTCCAAAATGATGACTCGCGTTGCCAAGCCCAGCAGTCTATCGCCAGCAACGTTCGACTTTTTCTGTTGGCGAAATGGGAGAAATGGGGCTGTCGCATGGAGGTAGCGACGGAAAGTTTCTTAAGCAACATCTTCGAAGCCCGGTATTGGTTGTATCCTCTTCAAGTATGAACGGAAATTGAAAGTTTCGAAAAAGATCATCAAGACTAACAGACTGCTGTGTTTTGCTCTTAGGGGTTTGGTTATGCCATGTGGATAAACCTGTTTTGGAAAGAAATGACTTTGATATTTTTGACTTACCTGTCAAAGTTAACACTGGTATCGGTGTTTTACTACTTGCTGTTATTTCCTTTCGTTCTTGGCATTAACACTGTAATGTGGGGTCCACTGGGGATAACTGTGGCAGTCGTCCACGCAATATTACAGGTCAATATGTACGCGTCCACACTGACCCGCCTTCACAGTGCCAAGTACGCGCCATTGATCATGGAAAAACTTGTCCGCGCCAAAAACTCGAACAATGCGATTGTTGCAAGCCGCATTTTTATGCCCACTGTGCAACGTGCCATTAGCGCAAAACCCAAAAGGCACTTGGCAAAAGCGGTTCCCATCTTTTTGGCAAAAATGACTCTCAAATTGAGTTTCTATTCCCTGATATTCATGGTGTCTCTGATACCTATTGCAGGTGTTTTCCTGGTTAGGATTATCCGTTCCGGCACTGTTGGATATCTTTACTCAATCCCAATATTGGCTGTCCAGAAACCACTGTCGCTAAAAAAAGGCGAAATCTTCTACCGGGACCTGGGTAAAAACGTTGCATTTGGTGTCGTTGGCGGATTCTTGGAATTGTTGCCAATTTTTTCGGGCCTCTGTATCGCAACTAATTACATTGGCCGTGGCTTATGGCTTCTGGATGAAAGTGCAAAGCTCGAACCCGGGGTTTCACCGAAGCAGTTCTTAGCTTCCTTATAAAAGTCATTGGCTAAACAGTGGTGAAGGTAGAGATAGAATGTTTAGGGCGCTCTTTACAAAATCACTTCATACCTTCTCGACACCTTTGACGCACAAAAGTTTCTGTGACAGTGGAATGAGAAACTTAAACGCTAACAGTACCACAAACAGCGCATAGTTTCCAATATCACATCAATACTGTACTAAAGCAATAATGACCGATACTGCTGTTTTCGGAGCGCTGAATATGCGCCACAACGACTCTCAGCCTGCTCAACAGCCTCATTCACCCAAAAATTTCATCACGGGCGAAAAATTCAGCTCGCAGCTTGTGAACAAGTTCAGGCGCCGCGCCGAATATGTTGGAACCAACTTTCTGACCGACCTGTTCGTGGACCAAACTTATTTCTATCCAGTGATGGTAAGTTTTTGAATCTTTTGTGTTAACCCTACCGTTCCAGGCTACTAACAGGCAACTGCTCCAATGATTTTGTCCAGGGATTTTTCAAATTTCTAGTAACCCCTTCATTCTGGCTCTACAGCCTTGTTCTGGCATTTTGCTTTGCGTGCATATTCGCGACAGTTGCTGCTTTATACTATCTCTTCCTTGTTCCCATTTTGTTGACTTGGGCAGTGACGACGTTGGGACCCATTGGCTTTATAATAGTACACGTCCAATGGCTTCTACAATCCAACGCCATAGCTGTCTCGCTAACAAACATTCTGATCTCACCAGTCTTTGCAAATAGCATTTTTGATGCTGCATTGGCAAAAATGGGACATTCAGAATTTTTGGAAAACGCTAAGAAACTCCCAGTCGCACCATTGAAGACAGTCACTTGGAAAAGTCCAGAGTTTTGGTTTGTGGTTGTTCCCAGTAAAATCGTAAGCCTGAAACTCAGAGTTCTCTCTAGCGTTTTTTTGAGCGTGTTGTCGTTGATCCCCATCATCGGACCCACCGTTGCCAACCAATTGCTAAGCCCAAAAAGAGGATTCTCTTATAACAAAAGACTGTACGAGCTCAGAAGTCTGAACAGCGCCCAAGTCAAAGACAAATTCTATGAGCACCTGGGACAATACACGGCTTTTGGAGTTATGGCAGGTTTGCTAGAATTGATACCAGTGATGTCAATTCTTACCATACCAAGTAATTTTATAGCAGGAGCGCTTTGGGCTTCTGATGAGTTGAAGAAAAATCAAGCCTAGAATCTAGGTTTCTCACGTATACGTTATTCTACCGATATCAATAGAGAACAACACTATCCACGCAGCCAAATCCTGCAGCTACACCACCTTCATCAGAAGAGCTTGATTTTGATCTCAATAGCCATCCTGCATATTCATTTGAGTACAGCTGACTGTCATCGAAAAGGACACAACCAAATATTCCAAGTTCGCTCAAAATGGGTTCCCGCAGAGTTTCACTGCCTCTGATTACAATATTTTGAGTTGTGGGTTCTGGTTTGATCAATTCCATCAAGATGTAACCGCTCCACTCACGTTCATGGATGCTTTTCAAAAATACCGGAATCTCAGCTTTATAGATATTGTTCCCACCACCTTCTCTTTGAGGCTTCAAAACGAACCGTTCTGGCGATTCGAACGCCATCTTCTTCGCTTCTTTTCCTAATTCTGAGTCGTCCAATGGGTACAATTTCACGAACGAGGTGGCTAGTTTCTTGCGATCATTTTCGTTCGAAATAAAAAGCTTCAAAGTTGAGTCTTCCGTCAAAATTTGCTGAATCTTTTTGACTCCTGCTAGCTGTGTGAGTAGGTTTGGTGCTTTAATTGCGTAGCTTGTTTCTAACGCCAATCTGTTTTCCCAATCCTGGGCGCATGTAAAGTCCTGTGGAGAGTATCCAGCTCTAAAATACACAAGGGAGATTTCCTCCCCCGTAGCCTTGAAATACAGTCTTTTCGTTGTAGCATCGATCCTGGTCTTAGTGTCAATCTCATGAATAGTTAAACGAACTGACTTGATTCCATGTTTTTGGAAAAGTTCATATTCCAACACCCGTTGATCAAAAACATTTCTTTCTCCCCTTTGCACTATAAAGGCAACAAGTGTATGTGTTTCGGTAGTTTCAAACCTTTTAACGGCATCTGCCATGCCCTTTGACAATAAAGCTGTGGAATCTGACACCGGGATTTCCTGCTGATAAAACGGCGCTGCTGTGTCTTTGGAGTATTTACCCGTTTCGTTCAAAAACCTGTGAAGCTGCCCCACTTTCGTTGAAAGCCCACCAAATGACACCGACACTGTGTTGAACTCGACTTGTTTGGCGAGATGTGTTTCTGCGTCCAGCAGATAGTCCGATCTGAACAGCCCCAATGCTAGTTTTTGAGTGATGCCTCTTTTTTTAGCCTCCAGATGAAGATTCCACAGCTTTCCCGTGAATTCAGGATCGAATTTAGCCAGCTCGTCAATCCGCTCACTAAGCCAGCCATTTCTGTCCTGAGAAATCTTGGCATACAGCTCGTTGTAAAGGGTTTGAACCGAGATCGCTTGCTCAAAGCTTTGGCGTAGAAAGGGGGTTGGATACAAAGTGGTTGGTGCCAAAAGACTCTGAGAAATGTTGAAGTTTGGTGGATACATCGTTAATCCATTTGTAAGGCCCCATTGGCTAACTTCTGGCACCAATTTTGACTCAATTTCTTCGGGAGAAAATCGAGGAAAGCCAGGATAGTCTTTGTTCAAACTAGACATTACTAAACGTGAGCAATTGATGCCTATAGAGGCTGGAAATTCTGGAGTTTGTAAGTTGTGGTAGTCATTGATGGTTTAGCTTTCTCGAGACCATTATTGACAAATAGTTTCTAATATCATAATGGACGAATGTGTTATAAGCTCATCGATTATAGCTAATGATAACAGTAAAATAGACACCAGTAGTGCCACAACTCGACCTAAAATAATGATATTTCAGAGCTATTCAAGCAAGCTCTCTGGAAGTATTATATATGCTAACGAAATTAAGGTATATTGTCGAAATCGGATTCTCTTTTTTGGCGTGCTGAAAATGAATATTTTTCCAAAATATGTCTGCCAAACTTTTACGAATTTTCCTGGCATCTATGTCAAAGAAGAGCTAGAACACATTCAAAAAATGCTCATGTTATAGACAGGTTTGTGTTTCATATTGGCAGCTATTTTTTGGATTTTTCTGGTACTTTTTGGAGTGTAGAAGATGAGTAAATAATCACCTGGAAATTACTGATCTTTTAAGACCCTGGCGATGGCATCAAGTTTGCAAACAAATGTCTTCAAAAGCTAATATTAATGTGGAGAGCAGCAAAATCTACAAGGACACTGGAACGGTTGTAATTATTTTCTCTTCTCATCGAAGTTAAACAACTGTGAGATGTGTTCATATGTGCTTGCGAAATATTGAGGGAAATGAATATTCAAGTGATGCTAAAATCGAAAATGGAGTACTTTTATGCTTTATGTGGGGTCTTCCCATTACCCATGCACTTTAGTGAGCATCTGCTGTCAAAATAGTGATGACCCATATTTCATCATCATACTTGTATTGAACTGTCATGGACGAAATATTCTACGCTGACATGAGCAGGAAAAGAAGCCCAGGTTTGCTACAATCTTCAATGATTGCATGAATTGTGTATTCTGGCCATCCAAAATTGTGGCTAAAACATGCTACGGAAATTGATGCTGTTGTATCCAATTGCAAGATATCGAATCATGTTCATACGACTTTTATTGTTGACAAGCCTTTACTCCACGGCTTGTTGGATTTTGTGAATAGCCGTCAGAAAAGTCATCAACACTTGAGTTGGAGTTCATAACCGCTGTAGCTATTCCACATTTTGTTGTTTTGGCTCGAACTCATAAATTCTACAAGTGAACATCCTATAATTACTGGGCTTAAACTTGAGGGCGAAATAGTCGAACAGGGCTTCAGTTCCAAAAGTAGATCAAGCCAAGCGTTCTTCACATATAAGACCAAATCGAAACACTCGAAGGCTTTCTTGTCCCAACAAATTAGGTCCTCGCAGCATTATGTCTGACCATAAGAAAAGTCTAACATCATTATCTTACCCATTATTTAATTTACTTATTGAATAGAAAACCACCGCTTGCGCCACTAGCTCAAAGCGTTAAATGGCAGCCTCCCATGAATTCCATTGCCATATGTTGTTCTCCGTGACATCTTCAACATTAACGTCTTTTGAATGCTCTTTCTTGATATCATCACCAGGTGCAGTGAAATAAAGATCCTCCGGTGAGTCCAATTTGATCTTTTTGGAGTCACTCATTATCGTCGACGATGCCGGTGAGATGTTTGGACTGCTATCTAGATCCGCCGCCTTTCTTTTCAGGCTACCAGCTTCAGACTCCACTTTTCTGACACCAAACGAGAAATCAGATATGTGTGACGAACCATACACGTCTTTGAAAGCGCTGAAAATGTCATCCTTTTTTATCGCAAAGGGATCACTCTTGTATGATGTGAGGGCTGGATTTGGCGCAAAAATGATTTTATTGTCTTTGATAGAAACATTGGCGTAGTCTTGGTCCTTTCCTCTAGGAGCAGATGCTTTACCTGTCTTCTTCTTTCCCGCTCCATTAACTTGATCCACAACTTCCGCGGGGATAGGAACTAAAAGTTCAATCGATTCCTCTTCGACGCCTAAGCAATCGCCCAATGAGCTCAAAAACAAATCGGCAGGCGAATGACGAAGAATGTCTTGCCTGCGTTTGAACCTCGATATGATCTCGTTTTTGCGAATCACCATTCGTTTAGAGTTGTCCTCATCCTCCTTATATGGAAAGTTCACTGGAGCAGATATTGGTTGCGCACCAACAGCCGTAGATTTTGGGGAAGGACTAGCATTGGCACTCGCAATTTTGTTCACCATAGGTGATAAACTTGCCGATACAGCTGCTGCCATATTAGGCGTATTGCCCCTACTTGAGCCGGCAATTCCACCACCCGCTGGCAAGTTTGGGGTGTCGCTGGATACCGAGGCAGCAGCAGCAGCAGCAGCAGCAGCAGGCGTCCCTTGATTTGAAGCCTGTTTTAAAGCCATCTTTTTCCTCATTTGAGTCTGTTTCTTTGCCGGCGATAAGCCAGTCTGCTGTGGTGAGGATTTAGCGTTGAGGAATTCGGGAGAGTTGAGAAATTCCATGCCAACGGAACCTGTGCGTACGTTTTCAGGAGCGCTGTGAGGCGGCATGCTGGATTCTGCATCCAATCCATTACCTCCAGCGGGCCTTTGCCAGTTGCTCGCTTGTGGGGCGGGCTGTCCCTTTGGCTGTTGTTGTTGCTGTTGTTGTTGCCTCATCTGCATCTGTTGTTGGATTTGCTGGAATGAACCCTGGATACGCTGCTGGTTGAAGGTGCCATCTGTGGAATTCACAGGACCAGGCTGTGGTTGATTTTCAGGTAGCTGTTGTTGCTGCTGTTGCTGCAGCAGCTGTTGTTGTTGTTGCTGTTGTTGTTGCTGTTGTTGTTGCTGTTGTTGTTGCTGTTGCTGCTGCTGCCTAGCCGCAATGATTTGCTGGTGTCTTCTAAGAACCTGGTCTTTTATGAACTCGTAGTACTTTTGGTAACGGAAGATCACCTTATCCACCACCTCAGGTGGTACAATGAAGACCCCTCTGGAGGCATGCTCTGTAATTTCTCTCGCAAGCATTCTGATCTGAAGCAACTGTCTTACGTTTTCCTCGTTCCTCGTAATCATGTAAAGAGTAGGTATGAAGCTGTCAACATTCGTAAACAGCTGACGATTCAACTGAAGCTTATTTCTTATCGACTGCTTCTGTTCCTGAGAAATCTGATTGGTTATGTTCGACAACCTGAGATGAGACTTTTGAATTTCAGCGGAGATTCTTCGAAGGACCATTAGATCTTGCTCTGTAGGACGTGGAAGAGAGAACCTTGGCTGTTGAGGAGGCTGTGATGTAGCGGTTGATGCATGTGGCGCAACGTTGGAAGGACCCGTCACCGGAGCGCTTGGAACTGCTCCAGCATCATTGAAGTTACCGTTTGAATTGGAAACGTTTGCAGCCCCATAAGGCCTTCTCTGTGGCATGTTCGTAGCGAGTGGAGCATTATTATTCACTCCATTCGATGAAAACTGACTCATTTGAGGAACAGGTGGGCCTTCCATTGGTGGCTGCACAGCCTGCTGTGGTTGGGCGGCATTTGAATTACTCATCTGGTTTCTTGCTGCTTGAAGCTTCTTCAAAGCCATCTGATTGATGTACTTTTTTATGTAAACAGCCTGCTGTTGTGGAGTTAGCACAGAGGGCAGTCTTTTTGTCCTCTGTAAATCCGCGATTAGCTTCTTACCATTCTCATACAAAGCCTTCTGTTCCGCTGGCGTGAAAATCTGGTTCAGTCTGTTGAGCACGTTAGGTACTTCTTGCGACGGCTGTGAGTGAGATTGATTCATCTGCATTTGTTGAGGATGAGCTTGATGCATCTGCATTGGCTGTTGTAGCGGGGTCTGCTGAGGGTGCGACTGTACCTGTTGTTGCTGTTGTTGTTGTGACTGTTGTAGTTGAGAGTCCTGTTGCTGAGGGCTGTGCTGCAGAATGGTAGTCTGGCCCATCATTGGACGTTGATTTTGCTGCAGTTGCGACACGTTCTGTGTAGGAGGTATGGCCGGCTGAGCTGCACGGTTATTGGCACTTGATTGCTGGAGCTTGGATTTGAATACGATCTGCTGATGCATCTGGTATACCTGCTTAGCAATTTGTAAATCTTTTGGTCCAAGTCTTTTCTGCTGCGCAAGTTCCGTTACCTTCTGCCAAGTGTTGACACCTGGCGGCAGGTTAGGAATTCTTTGAAGCAGCTCGCGTGGAATCTCTGCACCTTTCATCTCATTAATTAATTGCTGTTGCTGTGGAGTGAGTTGTGGTCTCACTGGTGCATTGGGAACGGGTCCATTTGGAGCTGCTCCATTTCGAAGCTGCTGTGCAGCTTGCTGCCTCAATTGAGCCTGCTGGTTGAAGAACACTTGAGAGTTGATGTTATTGTTGTTGGCTGGGGGATATTGTGATGGTCTCTGTTGCTGCTGCTGCTGCTGCTGCTGCTGCTGCTGATAGTGCTGCTGTTGCATGGCTGGGTTGTTTCGAGAGTTTTGAGACTGAGATGCAGCTTTGGCCATGCTCTGCTGCACATTGGCTACCGCCTTTTTGCGTGCAGTATCCATCGCCGCTATTCTCTTGCGTATCGAGTCCAGATACAGATCCTTGGACGTACTACTAGCATAAAGACTCTTTTCAAACTGCTCTGCTGTCTTTTTTAGCTTCTCAAGATTGAAATTCCCACGGTCTCCGCCATTGACTCGACTGATCTGAGCCAAAATTTGAGCGAGCTCTGTAATGTACTTGGACCGTTCCTGGTTCGACAAAGTCGATCTCCAGTCGCTTTCCATAGCTCCTTTCGTTACAGGTAAATCCGGCTAGCTAATTGAGAGACTTGTGTTGATCTACCTGTGGGAGGGACGTCGAAGATCAGTAAATCCAGAAAGAAAATTGTGATTCAAGTGAAAAAAGCTGCGTACAAGAGGGTTCTCGACGCTCCTGGGGCTAAAGACTAACTCGAATCGTGATAAGGAGACAGTTTCACTAGGATTCAAACCGATTCGAAAGTGTTCAATTCCGACTTGAATAAAGGCCAAAATTCGACGAAATTGAACGGGGTGAAAGAGCGGTAAAACAAGATCTTGCTGCCACTCAATTTTCAAAAAAGACGAAAACTAGTTACGCTGAAACTGACAACTAAAGAACCTTCAGACGGAAGTTGGGAGGTTTTCTATCAGGTAGAATAAACTAAGATTTCAATATCAGAGCATACTTGATTATATACTAAATCATGATAAATTGTCGAAACTACGGATACATCACACTAGACGAAAAATGATTGATATAAATTGCAAGTAATTTCACTCACGTGACCGATGACAGGCTTTCAATAGGATTATCCAGAAACAAGTGATGTTATTTTACCCGTCAAAGAGAGGGAAGATAAGGTGCTGTGGTATTCAATTTGATGTATGAGGCTTTTATTTTGTTGGTCATCAATACCTACTTAATACCATTTTCTTCGAGAGAGCTGATGACTTGTTTTGTCCAAAATGTCTCTGAGAAGATATCAAACTAGTTTCTGCATGTATCAATCATTTCCTGGAACGGTGGATTTCATTTATTCTCATCGTAAATAATGTCCTCGAGAATATCGCTGACGCGGTTATCCAACGCTTCGGTGGCCTTCGGATCGTCCTCGCTGATGTGTACGTCAAGAGCCAATTTGTTTTTGGCGAGTTGAAGAATCTTTTCCTCAATCGAGTTCCGCGTAATCAAAGTGGTCGTGTGTACAGTCTTGGTCTGGCCAACACGGTGTGCACGGTCTGCTGCTTGCTTGTCATCGTGTGGATTGAAACTTTGATCAAAGATAATCACGTGGTTGGCACACACCAAGTTGATCCCAAAGCCTCCTGCTTTGGTTGACAAGATAAATACTGGGATAGTGTCGTCATCGTAAAATTTGTCAATCAAAGTTTGCCGGTCGTTGACCTGCGTTGATCCGTCCAAGCGAAGAAAATTGATGTTCATCGTGGTTAGCGCCAGTTCCAAGATGTCCAGCATCTGCGTAAACAGCGAGAATATTAGCACCTTTTCCTTCTTGTTTTCAATGATGTCCTTCAAGATCTTACCCAAAACCTCAACTTTGCCCGAATTCATCCATTCGTCGTTCTTCAGCTGGAATGATCCCAAACTCTTTGGAAAGTTCAGACATAACTTGTGCAGTTCAAAGTCGGTCATATAGCTCATATCCTCTTGGATGTAATCCTTATTTCCATTTTCAGCATAGTCCGGCTCACTCAGAATTGCTTGGCTCATTTGGTCCAAAATATCGTTGGTGTAAATATATCTGAACAACAGTGGATGCAATGAGGCCTTTCTCAGTGACATGATTAGATTTTTCGATATGTTCATTTTGGTTTTTACCACTTTGCCGTTTTTCTTGGGTTCCTCATTTGAGTCGCTCTCGTCTGCCTTTTCGGCGAGCATGCGCTTGTGCTCCAAAACAAGCTGTATCTCACGATTATAAATTGCTCTTTGAGCCTCAAACATCTCACAGTAGTCAACTCTAGTATGCTTGCGAGGAAGATGCTTCAAAACCTGATCTTTTTTCCTTCTCAAAATGAATGGTTTCATCATGGTTTTCGCTCTGGCAACCGCTTCTTGTGCCAAAAGTGGATTGTAGTCTTTGTTCGAGTCAGAAGTTCTCGCTCTTTGTCTAAAAACCGCCGACAAGTCATCTTTTTTAGAAATGAAAAGAGAGGGCATGATAAACTCTAGCAGAGACATCAGCTCCTTTAAATTGTTCTGTAGCGGTGTTCCCGTTAGAAGCATTCGAAAGTTGGCTTCAATCTTCATAAGTTTCGAGAACCTTTCTGATAGTGAGTTTTTGAGCATATGACCCTCATCGTAGACAACAACGTTGAAGCCACGATTTTTCAAGAACGAGACGTCGTACTTGCTACCAGAAGCAAGATTATATGTGGTTACGACCACATCGTACTGCCCGTCATTATCCTCTAGAATTTCGCGAAGCTCAGCTCTTTCTTGCTGAGACCCATAATAAGGCTCAATCTTCATTTCAGGACAGAATTTGGCAAATTCTCTCAGCCAATTTTCCAAAGTAGAAGACGGTACCACAACCAAATGTGGACCAGGTTCATTGTTTTGTTTGAGGTACGACAAGAAAGCAATAACTTGGCAGGTTTTGCCGAGACCCATTTCATCAGCTAAGATACAAGATAAATTGTTACGATAAAGTAAATTTATCCAATTGATACCCGTTTGCTGGTAGTCCTTTAGAGTGACTTCAGGAGACAGAAGTTTGGGCTTTTGCTTGAAGAACTTCACCGCAGTCTGCCTTGGTTTTCCCCTTCCACGACCTGATGCTCTTGTTCTTCTTTTCGCATGAAATTCTTCGTCATCGCTATCTTGATAGTCTTCCTCTTCGTCATCTTCAAAATCGCTCTCATCACCGTCTGATTTAGTCTTTTTCACTTTAGCAACGGGTTCGGTGCTGTTACTGGCAGGAGTTTCTGGAGCAGGTGTCTCGCTCTCACTGATTTCACTTTCGTCATCGTCACCGATATCGATGAAATTGAGCTCTCCGCTTTGTATGTCTTCCACGTTGACACCCCATTTCTGTATTTGTGAAGCAATTGAATCACCGTACGCCGAGCATTTTTTGATAAGCGAGTCAATAGCGTTATAGCCTTTCATAGTTTGAATAACCTTGTCCAACAGTTTTTCACCATCTTTTTTAGAGGGTCCTCTCTTGGTCGTCTTCTTTTTCTCTTGCTTCTGTAATTCTTCTTCGGTGACAAAATCAGCTTGACTGAACTCGGTCAAACTGCTATATGGTCTATTTTTGACCACCATGGTTGCCTTGTCCAGCGAGGTATCTGCAAGATCCGCTATGTCCTTCACATCTGCCTCGTTCAAGAATTTCAAAATGTCTGCATCAATGTTAATCTCCGGTGTCCTTTCTTGGTAGTCTTCACCACTGACGATCTCGTCTCCGCTGACCTCTCCTTCGTCCTCATCTGAGAGCGACACAGAACTTTTTTTGTTTCCCGATCTTGAAGGCTGCGGCTGAGCGTCTGATGCACGCACCAGTTTCCGTCTTTTACGAGTCGTGGATTCCAGTTGTGCAATTGTTGACGGGTCAACCACTACCGATTCCATCGTTGGTCTGTGACGCTGGTTCATTACATGCGAGTAACGGTCGAAAATGGAGCTTTTCTGTTTTTCTACTGTGACCTTGGAGGATTTTTCAGGTGATGCGACCACATTTCTGCCGCTCCCATAACCACCTCTGTTGGGGACACCACCGCTTACACCAGTCCTGGCGTTTAAAGACGACGGCGACGACGAAGAGGCCGATCCCAGTGTTCCTAACCGAGCCGTGGGTTTTTTGTCCCCCGCATTCCAAGCCCACGATCGTGATGTTTTCTGGGATTGTATTTTTTCCAATCTTTCGCGAGTTAGATCCAAATTGTACGAATTCGATTTGAACACCGCCTTGATCAATGTTTCCGAAAATTCAGAGTATTCTGAGACCAATAGCGCCACTTCTGCATCCATGCCACCCACTCCAGACTCTGAGCTCACCAAGTCACTCAAACTAGGCTTCTCAGGCGGTTTATACACAAACCTGTCTCTCAAAAGAGATGACTGTGTGTTGTCATTTTTCAGCGGTGAAGACGACGCAATCTTCGTTTCTTCAACGGGCGAAGTTTCTGGAACTTGAACATCCCCGTTTTTCACAGGCGTCTGTTCACTCATCGCGCTATTGGAGTGAAATATGCCTTTTGAGCTGCCTGTTAGGTTGAAAGATGTTTGTAGAAGAGTGTTTGTTGATACTATAGATTTCAAAATTTTTTTAGATGGTAGCCGCTTCATGTAATTTGAAATATTTCAAGGTATAAATTCGTGAAAGTAGCTCATCGCAGGGTCGAAACAGTACCAAGGAGAGCTTTTGGAGAGACCTGTTAGGGCTACTTGGACTCGGGTTCATATTTGGAGCAAATTGAAGTTTCAAACGTTGATTTTCGACCATTGGAAGGCTAGAAAAACCAGGATTCATTGTCAAGCTTGATTATTTGAACAAGTGTGCTATAAAAGAAGTCAAAATCCATCGATTGGTGTAGATTTTCCAGTAGTGCTTGAACTCTAACGTTGAATTGAATTACGAGCGGAAAGTTTCAATTTTTTTGGCCCGGAAACTTACCAAAACATTCGCTCAAGAGGAACATGCGATTTGAAGTATTGGCGTTTGGATCCAACGGATGTGGCCAGCTTAGGCCTCGGTCATGAAAAGGACGTTATAAAGCCACAGGTCAGCTTCCGAAGTAACGTGAGACCTATCAAGATTAGCGGAGGTGGTAATTTCACAGCTTTGCTGTTGGAAAATGGCTCTTTATTTGTAGCCGGAGAGATTCCCTTCGCTGTGGATTTGAAATCTCCAATTGCAGGGCAAAACAATTGGATACGAGTTCCAGGAATGTTTGCTGACGTAGTGTGTGGATGGAGTCATATGGTCGTAATCGAGCAAAACGGAACTGTTTCCACTGCTGGCATTGGGGACAAGGGAGAACTGGGACAATTCGAGGTTCGAAAATCGCCAAAATTCACACCAATACACAAGCTACAAAATCTTGAGAAAGCTCAAGTCTTTGCATGTTTTTACAACACCTACGTTTTAGACAACTGCCAATTATACGGATGTGGCTCCAACACTAAGTGTCAGCTCAAGGACGTCAAATCGCGGGTGGTAGACACACTCGAGGTCGTTGGTTCATTCCCCGTTGCCAGCGCATGTGTGGGTAAGAATTTTGTATGTTTTGTCGACACTACGGGAGAGCTTCACATAAGAGGTGCATTAGCGAGCTTCGAGCCACAGATGCAGCAAAAACACCGCGGTATGGCAGCTTTCGAGTTGAAAGCCATGTGGACATCAATCACTAGTCAATGTGGGCAAGATTTTGCATTCTTCGGCACCGCTAACCAGAATCAAAACGCTGTTGTCGAAAGTCAATTTGATAAACCCGTCACAGCTTGGAATACTGGCAGCGAGCACGGTGTTGTGTGTTTGGATAGAAAGACAGTTTTCTGCTGGGGCTGGGGCGAACACGGCAATTGCGGGCCTATTGCCACATCGAAAGTGATTGACGGCATTAACGATGGGTCCAACATCAATAGTGGTATCAACCTAACCTATGATATACAACGTTTACCAGACGCAACGGTTTACGACTGTTTTGGAGGATGTGCAACTACTTGGATTTGTGTAGAAATCGACAATTAAAGAGTTTTATAAGAACCTCCTACGGGAGAAGAATCTCCTACAAGACAAGAATACTAAACTACAAAACCGAATGTTAAGAAGTACCTTTCCCTAGCTCATTTACACGCCCAAACTCAATTTTTTACGAGATTTCGACGTTTCACAGGGGAAATATGTAAAGACTCCTTGATTATTGCTCTAGAAAACGCGTATCAAGAACAAACAGTGAGACATGGTCTTGAACAGACCATGATGTTGCTCATCCTTTTCTTTAAACGTTCCCTAGAGTTTTTGAAAGAAAATAGTAGTGATCAAGAAGTCAACAAATTTTTGATGCACTGCTTCTTTTATAGTCGGTGTATATCGCCTCGTACGTATGCTGTAGACCCAAGATTGATAGTGTATCTGTATATTCCTCCTGGATGGGTCTCATATGTGTTAGCCAAACAAATAGGGCTTTCGGCACTTGGTAAATCGAGCCAAAAATCCTTCATATCTGTTTTAAGAAATAGACGGTGTTTCTATGGTGCACGGTACGTAATTCTGTCATTTCTTGTGAAAATCGATGTACTGGATTTTAACTGAGTCTATCCGTTGATGCACTTTATTTTTGGAGAATGTCGACATTTTCTGGTCTGTAAAGAACGGTCTTTGGGAGCCGTATGAATTAAGTCATCAAATTGAACATTTGAGAATCACGTCATTATTGGAAAGGGTGTTGATGTGGCTGGGATGCAGCTAAAACGATTAGATAACGAAAGAGAAAATTACAATTATTTCAAATGGCTTTTACGTGGTGCTATTGAGGTAATGAATATGATGAGAAACTTGGTGTTGGCCTGCCGTCGTCGTGTCATCTGAGACTCATCACTTTGTACTAATCTGACGCCTAACTCAAGAAGGGTAACGAAATTATGAAAAACGTGCTCCTCCGCTTTGTTTTATGTATACAACGGAACCAGTGAGCCTCAGGACGCTATTACTATCTAATCTGCTGAACCCACCAATGAGTTTTGGGTAATTCTTTCCGACAGGGAAGCTCAAGCACTCTACGTTGACTCATTGTACACGAAATGAAGCTTATCACTTTTTACCCGTCTGGCATCAGTCACTTGCGAGGTTGATAAATTACCACGTGACCTTGACTATCAAGGATATCTGTTTGTTCAACCGTTGAGTATAAGAGCGGCTTTCAATTTCGCAATTCTATTCTATTGATAATTTTGAAGGGCGAATCAACTACCATCATTGATTCTGGACTATGACTTTTCCCACAATCCATCTGGACCACCTCACATTAAACGTACATATTTTTTTTTCAAAAAACCTGGCAGCGCATTCAAGAGAGTTTCTCGCGGGCTTTAGCGTTTTTGTTGATCATTTAATCACTAATAGATAGCTAATAATTTTGATTATGAGTGATAACAAGAACTTACTTGCTTATGAACGACTAATTATTGCCGTTTTTCAAATTTCTTCAGACCAAAAAAAAACGATAATATCAAAAGTCCAGAAGCTTCAAGTCGTTCCATAAACAGCTTGGCTGGCTCTAATGAGCCTTTCAACAGGTTTTTAGAGAACTATGAAGTTTCCCTCAAGAACCGTTATTTTTTGATATCTATTAAGCATCAACACTCAACTCATCACCAAGTCACGTGCTGCTAATTTAAGCTAATACCTAAATTAAGCATTTATAATAGAGGACAATGTAAACTCAAGTTACGTAGTTCTTGTATGGATCGTCTATTCTTTTAAGCGCTCATATTATAGCAGCTCACCATTACTATTGCCCACACAATTGGATTCTCTATGGGCAATTTTGGTTTCAGCAACGCCAACTCTCCCAACTATTCGTCAGAGTACACTGAAAAGAATAAGAAGGCAAGACTAAGGCTGTCGTTGGTGTGTCGTCACTGTAGAAGACGGAAGATCAAATGCGATAGGAAACAACCTACTTGTAACAATTGTGCAAAATTGCATATCGATTGTGTTTACGACCAGAAGGACCAGCTGGAGCGTAAAAAATGGGGATCCAAACCCTCAACTTTGCATGAACAATTGAACGAGCTGGAGAACAAGTTTGATGAACTGCGCAATACTTTGAAGTCTGGGGAACTTGAAAAGTGGAATTTCGACACGAGTTTGAAGAAACAGCCTATAACAGTGAATTTTTACGAGGGACTTCTGCCGAACTGCCCGAATAGTGTTTTTAAATCGGACTCTAAGCCGTTTTCAGACATGGGCATGATTCGAAGAAATGCGCGGTTGAATCCGTTCTTGAAGTTTGTAACGCGATCATTTCAACCACTCAATTACGCTGTGAAAAAAATCTTACAATCGGTGGGCGACATTATTGAACCGCACTCCGATGAGCTGGAGTCCGTGGCCAAAATTCTGTATCTGACGCCCAAAGTGCGAGAAATCTTGAAAAAACATACCATGAATCCAGCTGAGCTCAATATCGAGACCTCACAAGCCATAAAGCGCTGTCTTCTCGATAAAGGGAGGCCAAGCTTACAAAGCGCGCTGTCCGAACCATTCGACCTGGAGTTTTACGTTTCCAAAACAACGCGGGAGGAGCTCATACAGCTTGTGTTATCGATACTTCCACGCAAAAATAATATCGAACAACTTGTAACTTACTTCATGACAAAAATGTATCCTTTGGTGCCCTACATCGATAAAACACAACTGCTGGATACAATTGCAGAAACCCTGGAGTATTCTCAGACGGGACAAGTGATTGGTCTCAAAATTGGCGATCATCAAGACTTGTCTCGTAAAATAGGTCGCATTGCCATATTTCTGGTTTTATTACGCATATCCTACACGGCGATGACGCTGGTGAATATACCATTTGAAGGAGAGATTTCAAATCAATTTTTAGTACTGGCTCAAAAGTGCTTGGCATATTTGATTGCGCTTTCTCACAAGACCAACGAAGACATCATTTCCTGTTTGATTGTTATGAGGTGGTCGTTACTTTATTTCCCTTTGGATGGTGATATGATGACTGGGTCGGTCACAGACATGCTTGCCAGTTTAATTATGAACCATGCATTCAAGATCGGTCTTTATCGAGATTGCATAGATTCAGAAGCTGACCGCAATAGCGGTCCACAACGAAGGCACCTATTCCACTACAGAAAGAAGCTTTGGCTCGGAACACTAATATTGTCGAGATCTGACATGTATCTGAGAGGAAACTTTCCCACTGGAAATGCTGAGTACGCAAGTATGATCCGGGACTTGGAAAGCCCGGAAACCTACGAAGACGAGACTGAGTATCAAATACACAGCATCCTGCATAAGCAGTGGGAGATTTACAGCAAGGCAAGTGTGCTCGACAAGCTGTCTACGCATTTGCGTGAAAATTTTGACGTTGACGAGATACACTCCAAGATGCGGCATTTGGAATATGAGCTGCAATTCAAGGTTCCGCTTTCCAAAACCTCGGGCCTTGAACAGAGCGCTTCAAGCAATATTGTGATGCAAAGTATGAATAATGCGCTGCATTTTAAGATTAATGTGATCATTCGGATATATCTGCTTGCGATACGCGCGTCCATAGTTAGCGACTTGGAAATGCAAATCAACAAAAAGCCAGGACAATACGATCATTTGCGTTCACGCTACAAAGAGGTCACTGCAGAGTGCTTTGAGGCCGCGCTTCATTTAGGGAATATGCTTCAACAGTACATGGAGTCCGGCAGAGATGATGAAATCAGAAAAGTTCTCAGTGATCACCGCTATATTCTGGATCAGCTAGTACAGATCGGTATTTTTCGAGTTTCCTATTATCTGATAGGAGTAATTTTGACCGTTTTGCGTGTGAAAGAGGGACTATACGATTTCAGGTGGAACAATGAGGACAAGCAAACCTTGGGAACAGAAATCGATTACAAAGTTTCGGTGATAGACTCGATCACTGGATCCATTTTCCAGTACGTGCAAAGGCTGGTCCATCTCGGATCGCACACTTTGTCAGACACGTACTTCACGTCGTTCAAGCAATTCCTATTTCTGGAGTATGCAATGCAGGTCATACAAAATGAAATAACTCCAAACAAGCCCAGTAAGCTGAAGGAGGCCCTCGGCGAGACGCATATACCTGCACCCATCGATTATTCGCCCGAGGACTGGATTAAGTTTTCCAACTACGTGAACAATGCTCTTGGGCAAGACCTATCAATACCGGCTTTTCCCTCAGCGGAAGAACTTCTGGCAACCTCAATTGTTCCAGACGGGAAGCAGGATGACTTTCTCGATCCAATGAATCTCTTTAATGACGACGTTAACATACAGAGTATGCTGTATGGTGATTATACTTGGGCAGATTTTACATGACGAAATTTTGACCAAAAACTTCGGGGAAAAAAACTCCAAAAACATCACGGAAACCATAAAATCATGGCGGATACTAACCTCATCTACCATCAAAGAATCAAACTACTATGCCGTATCACATATTTTATCGTGTCGCTGTTCTTGAACGGGTACAGCAGACGTCGAAGTTACTTCCGTATGGTTATCACTGACAACGAAGGTATGATGATCTCGAAAATATCAAATCTGAGTATATCATAGGGTTAGTTAACCCACCAGTACTCAACAACCACAAGAATCGCTAACAAAGGGTGATTATTCGCTTATAGAGCTGCATGGTTCGAAAGATCAGATTCTTGCGGACATTTTGATACCCTTTTTGTCCTTTCTACGCTAGTTTGAAGCTCACTTTTTGGTCAGGTTTTGTTGATTCGTTTGCATAACAAGATATAGTTCGACAGCTCGAACATACTGCAGGTCAAACCCTGGGAAGTGATTAGGATCAGATGGTTTTCACCAAGAAGAGTCACCATGACAAAAAAACGGGTTCTAAAAACTCTTTGAATAGCCCAAATCACGAAAGAAAAGATGACGGTGTTGTTGAGCTTCTAATCAATGTTGAGTCGCCTCCGTGTGTTTTGTATGGGTCAGTAACAGAATCTACAGGAGCGCTTTTGAGCGGGCTATTAACGCTAAGAATAAGACATCCAAATGATGTGGTTTCCGTCAGCGAACCCCTGACACCAGTAAACTCGCACGGTCGCACGAAGAAAAGTACTACAAGCCTTAACGCTTTGTCTCAAACTTTTTCGAATTTGTCTTTAAAAAACTCAACCGTTAGTCCTGTCGAGTCATTCAAATCTGCTAAAGTCCCGTCTCTCCAGTATTCCACGGTCATAGTTCAGTCTGTGAGTCTTTCGCTCGTTCAGAAGGTTCGATTTGCCAAACCGTTTGTGGCAGACTGTCCCAGCATCAAATCGTGTAAAGACTGCTGCAGGAAAGTAACGGAACTTGCAAGATGGGACGTTCTGACGAAAGAAACAGAAATACCTTTGGGCGATCACGTATATCCTTTCTCTCATCTAATTCCTGGCTCGGTTCCTGCTACTGTAGCCGTTGGAATAGACTCTAAATCGGAAGTGAAATACGAACTAGTGGCTGTTGCGTCGTATAAATCGGTTCGGACAGAGGGCAGTCCAGGAGAAACTACTCCAAGGGTACTACTCAGATTGCCAGTTCCCGTAACTCGCAGCATCATTCGTGGCCCCGACCGAAACTCGTTAAGGATCTTTCCTCCTACGGACCTAGTTGCAACAGCTGTGCTTCCAAATATAATCTACCCTAAGTCTACTTTTCCGCTGGAATTGAAGATCGACGGCATTTCCTCGGCAGATAGACGGTGGAGAATGCGTCGACTCAATTGGAAGATTGAAGAAAAGTCGCGGGTAAGGCTTCAGGCTTGTGATGTTCACAGATCCAAACTTAAGCAGCTGGAAAAGGAAGTGGCAGATTCTGAATCTCGTAAGAAAACCAGCAAGACAAAACCTGTGAAGAGAAGCCACGACGCAGCTCCTCAAATAACAACATCAGTATGCACTCTCGAAGATGCGCTCTTGACCTCGAATGCGCCGGAAGATCCGAATGCTGTAGATCGGCCTGCGACCGAAGAGGAAGACAATGTGCCTGAGGAGAATAGCTTGATTCACCCAAGTGATCATGCCCTACGCCAAGAACGTGTAGCAGAACAGCAGCGTTTGAGGAACGAAATGCTGCGACAGCAAGTGCCACAAGGAACCGCCCTTTTCACCGAGGCCTTGAGAACCATCGCTCATGGAGAAGTGAAAAATGGGTGGAAAAGCGATTTCAGTGGTAAAGGTAAAGTTGAACTAGTCACAGAAATCAATTGCATGGGTCTAAATTCTGGGGTTGCCAACCCCATTACTCGAGTTTCGAGCTTCCACACGGTACCACACGCCAGCACACAGCCTGTAACGGTTGCTTGTGACGTTGAGGACCCTAAGTTGGGTATTTACGTTCAACATTTGTTGGTGCTGGAAGTCATCGTAGCCGAGGAAATGCTTCAGTATGCTAACGGTCAACCTCTTCATGCAGAGCCTAATTCTAGTGCTGCCTCCACACCAGTCACCACCAATGTTGACCCAAGACTGGCGGAACTGTCGCCAATGGTAGCTTCGCGGAACATGTCCGCCTCGGCAGTCGGTGGTGAAAGGTGCGGTACGCCTGAGCTTACGCCTACAACCTCACATAATACCCCCAGGGCTGCTACGACACATCGCGTTGTCGGTGTACCCACTGGTGCAGCTCGTGTTTTAAGAATGCAATTTCGCCAAACTATCACTGAGAGGTCTGGTCTTGGGATAGCGTGGGATGATGAGGTTCCTCCAACGTATCAGGACGTCAGGCTTTTGTCTCCACCGAGCTATGTGAAGGCGACCAATGTCAAAATGGACTTGGCTAATCAAACCTCGTGGGGCCAGGATGGTGTTTTAAACGTGCTGAACAAGAATAAATCAAAGAGCGAGGGAAGTATACTTACACCGCCTCCTCTAGCCCACTCGCATAATAGCAGTAGCACGCAGCTATCTCCGGTACGTTCTCCTCAGTTGGAGAATATTATTAGCATTCAAGGAAACGCTGCTCCCGCTCACATTCTGACTCCGGCAACTACACAGGAAGTACAGCTGCCCAGTTTGTCAGAACTGATGGACACCGATAGAATCACTCAGTAAATAATTCGAAATTTTCGAAAGAATGGTCAATATTTCCGTTCTAAGTTTGTATCTTTAGAAGAACAAAGTCTGTAAATCCAATGATAATGCAGGTGATAGAAACTAGAAGCTTCTTCGTCTCAGAAGTAGGAGAGATATAGCTTGACTAAACTAAAATACTTAGGCAATTGTCCAAGATTTGAACCAGTTCATGTAAGAGTAGTCACTCGATGGTCCCTGCATCCCGAAGGAGATAGGTGAGAAGTAGTAGAAACCGTAGATCACCAAAGCGCTGTATGAGCTGTAAACCAATGTTCTTGATAGATTTCCGGCACTCGATTTGCCCAAAGTGCTGAGTCCAATCTCGAAAAGATAACATAGAATTAGCAGCGCAAAGTAGAGTGCTGGGAGGTAGTGGTGAACGTAAGTAACTCTGCTCATGATCACAAAAGGAGCGTAATGTAGACCCCATCCTAGAAGGGGATAGAACCCACCCATCATGAATAGGTTCAGATCCTTAGGTCTTGACAAATCGGCGAATTGTCTTTGCCATCTCAAAACCAAAATAACAATAAAGGCCATGAAAGCAAACACAGCAATCGTCGAAGCCCATGTAGAAGCTGGCGACCCCATCAAGAAATATTTGGGTGTATCATCACCCCAACCGCAAAGTCTGATACCGACGTTCAATGTTGGCCATTGCCATGCAGAGGAAGCTAGGTTGTCTAACTTATCAGGATCTGGGACCAAAGCGTTGTTGGTGGCCATCATTGCCAAGTTCAAATGGACGAAGTTTTTGATGAAGTTCAATTTAGGGTACTTGAAATCTGCTGGCCTCTCAGGAAGTCTATCGTTGGTGTGTGTTTCAACATTCCACCAGGTTCTCTTGTCTCTCTTGAATGGATTTTTCAAACAAGCAACTTCACTCTGCCTAAAACCCCATTCGGGTAAAGAATTCCCGGTCTGGGCCAAGTAGCAGCCCAAATAGGCATTCTTTAGACGGAAAGCAGTGGTCAAAGGATGCAAGCGAGATGTGTTTTCTGCGCCATGCTGAGCAACAACTTCAACCACCCAGTGATCCTTTTCATCACCAACGGTCGCAGTACCATATCCAGATACTTCCCAAGCAGATTTCGACAGAGGGGCTGGAATTTCGTGACTGTGCAAGTTTTTACCAGTATTTGGATGAACAAGTCTGTAAGAAGCGCCTGGTTCAATAAATTCGATTTCCTGCTCTTCCTGGGTCCAAGCAGCCAATGGACGCACACGGTCGAAAATCCAGTGGTTGTTGCTGTCCTTATGACCATAACAAGTGACTTGTTGTTGATTCGAACCTTCAGGATATCCTTGAACGTGTGAATGCAACAACGCACCACCTAGGGCTTGATTCTTGATGCTTACAGATGAAGATCCCAAGGCTACATCACGAGGGCCCTCGCCAACATCGCTACCGATCAACCCGGCTTGGAACAAAGAAGGCATGTTGGCATCACCGGTACCACTGTGAGACAGCAAGTCGAAATGAATTTTGAAGCAAGCCAAAAACACCAAGAATGGCACGACAATGAGACTCAGAATGCGAGCTAGCCAATGACCTGCATATTGTTTTCTGGTAATCTTCTTGTCGCCGAGCATGTTCCACAAATCGATCACAGTGTAAATTCCCACCAAAGTAATGACAAAAAGACCGACCATTTTAACGGAAATGGCACATCCTAGTGAAAGACCAGTCAAAACAAGCCATTTCCACCATTTTCTTCCAAATGGCTTGAATCTTTGATTGTGGAACACAACAAAACAGTAGACTGACGTGACCGTGAAAAAGAGTAGCATGGAGTCCAAGAGGATGAATCTGCCCAACGTGGCGTACGAATTTTCGAAAATGACCAAAATTGTGAACAGCCATACCGTAGGCAGTGAAAATCCAATTTCTTTAGCCGTGAAATAAGCGACTGGGACGCAAAGGGCGGAAAAAGTCGCGTTGAAAATTCTCATTTTTACGAAGTCCAAATACTCCGGGTATTCTTCGCCCGATGGGAAGTCCCAAGACCCGTTGTAGCCTGCTAGAAACCCAGACAGTCCCACAAGCATCTTACCCAGCGGTGGATGCACATCGTGGTAGAATTCATGTCTCAGATAGTATGATCCAAACTTACCGAAATGGGCCTCGTCCCACACAACGTGGTTGTTGACTCCAATTTTGTACATCCGAGTCGCGAAACCGAGCAGCGTGAACACGATAGGCATCACCACGCGTTCCAAGCTCTTCAGCGGTGTGTCTCGCTGGTCAATGATCACTTTTGACTCATCTTCCTGTTCCAGCGCCGGAGTTGCGTTTTTCGCTATATCGGCCCCATTTCGTTGTTTTAGAACGCCGTTTTCGGGGTTCCCCTGAAACCCGGTCGCCGACATTCGCTGGAGCTCTTCAATTGTTGAGATAGCCGCCGGATATGCTGGCTTTTTGTTTGGTTTGTTGGTTTGCCAGATTGTATCGAGTTGAGAGTTAAAGGAAGGAAGAAAGAAACGTAAACGTAAATTCGTCTACGTGTTGTTAATAATTTTTAACGGAAAATTTGAGCAGCGTGTCGTGTCACGTGCTTCTTAATTTGTCACGTGGCTTGTCATATCTCTTGACGTGTCACGTGTGGAAGAATTCCTAAGATGGATTTGAACCTGGCCTTTCGAACACCAATGGCGGATGAGATAGAGGCAGAATGGCGTGTAGTTGTCGTTGAATTGACTCAATTAGATAGGAACAAGCTGCTGGTTGGTTTCGGGGTTTTCTGTTTTTTCTAGAGGTTGGTTCGCAGTGTTTTTGGCACTTTTTTCGCGAGTAAAATCCAGCTACTTTCAAAAAAGCAGGGATTCTTCTGACGCATAGCTGTGCATGTAACGGGTGGCGCGGCAAATTTAGTTCAGTGACTTACGCATTTGTCTCTTCTTTCATTCTCTTACTTCCGGACCGTCGATTATTATTCCTCTTTTTGGGTGTACGCAGTCACCATGTATACGCATGCGTAGCTGAGTAAACTGCCAAAAGCCAGACCCGACGAGAGAAAAATGTTGGTAAAGCCGCCTGCAGCTTTACGTTCCTTATCGGAGCTGAGCGCTGGACTCACTTTCATGAAGCTTACTGACAAAACGTTTCCGTTGGTGACTCCAAAAACGAACTGCAACACGATATAGCCCAGGTCCGACAGCACTGTAGAAGACAGCTTGACACGATTGTTGAGGTTGAAGCAGAAAAACAGAGGAACAAGCGCAACTCTTGCCACCGAATACACAAACGTTGTGAAGGGCGTAAAGCTGGAAGACTGGAAAAACGGTTTTTCAGATATGTATCTGCCGTATAGGTCACCCAAATTCCAAACAGTGAAGATGAGTGGGATGAATTGGGCGTTGTGCAAGGGCAAAGCTACCACAAGCGTGTGGGCAGCAAAAACGGGGAACAACAAGGTGACCACGAAAGTGGTGAAAATCGACAACACCAAGTATTTGAGCTTGGAGAATAAAGTCGAAAATGCTACTGTACCTGTAGCAGAATTGGCCAATTCGCCGCGGTCGCCACATCCGGTTTCTTCAGTGAGCAGTTCCGACTTGTCGGCCTTGGCCACCGCACTAAAGCGATATAGAGCAATACAAGCCATAGAGACCAGCACTGTTGTGAAGAAATAGGCAAAGATACCCGCAACGCTTTGATCGCGTGAATCCCCAATGAAAGAAACACCAAACAGCACAAACGAGGGCAAAACGCCCGCGATTGCCTGACCCATCATGATCCCTTGGCTAAATTGCGGACCGTGTACGTTTGCTAGCGCCATAGCGCCGTTTTGGGTCATGGCTGTGCCGCAAGAGCTGATCATCACCATTACCATCAAAAATACGAAATTAAACCACAGTGCGAATATATTGTGTACCAGCACAAACACCGCAAGCAGTCCAAATACCACTACTTCCCACAACAGTCCCCGTGTCACCCGAACAGCATAACTGTGCTGTCTTTTCGAAAGCCAAAAGTTGAAGCCCACAGACGATAGGGTGGACACAGACATCATGGTGCTGATGTAGATTTTAGCATATACCGTGCTGTCGTGGAATACATCGTGCTGAAAGTATAGAGACGCGCTCAAAAAGGCGTTCCAGGGCCACAGCAACGCTACACCTATCAGCAGAAACGTTAGATAACTGATGTCTCGTAGTTTCTCACTCAGTGAACCGTTTTTAAGCCGCATTTCGGCTACCCTATGTAAATTGTACTCATCTGAAACATCCTGGTGGTCTACCGAGGCCATTGAGTTGGTATTGGGCTCGCAAATGGTATGTTTGTTGTAGTGATTGTGAGCGTATCGTGATAGGAATTAGATATCTCTTATTGTTATTATACCTGCAACCCGTGACTTTCGATTATTGGAAAAAGCCAGTGAATACGTACATAGTGACCATACTCCTAAGTGTGAAAGGAACGTTTTCAGACACACGCAGGACTTTAAAAGGAGCTGTGTTTTTTCTCTCAAAATGGGTGATGATCAAAACGTCACCGGGAAAGGTTTGAGACGAGTCTTTTTGGTATTTCCGTGTATCATGATCTTGGCATGTGATTAGATTTAAGGTCATTTCGTCAAGTGTGCTCTATTATATATATCGCTATGTACGTATGTGTTAGTCGATGTGGAAGTGTATGTTTATTCTTGATTTTCAATTACACTAAGGTAGCTGAAAAAAAGCCAGTAATTCGAGACATCTACAAGCTCTAGGATAAGGTGAGGTTAACTACGCTATATAAACTTTAAATGTATTTCGTATAGAGTGAGACATCTTCCACTGTATCTGGAAGACAATCTATGATCTTCTATGGATTCTATTTAAGACGCTAAACTTTTCAGCAGAGTACTGAGCATCTCCCTCGCTCGGTACTTTCTTTACACGTCTGTCACCAAGCATAATCAAATCTCTCTTCGTATGCTATGACTGTGCCATTTTTGTACAAAGTGATATTCAGCGCTAGGCGTTAACTATGAGGAAGGTCTATTATATGGTACATGAAAGCTGAATTCGTGAAGGTAAACGTCAAAAGAGAAGGAAGTGCTGCTGAGTTTGCGTTGTGAGGGAATGCGTTGTTCACGCCTTCCTACTACCACCAACGCCTCTGGTAAACTCGAAACGAGTCAACAGTGGAATGTGGTCGCTTGGAAATTTGTCGTTGGGAAATCCAATGAATTTGGAAACATATTCGGGATCAATTTCACCCAGCACACCGCGTACACGCAGCCCCTGTGGAGAAAACCATATGTAGTCGATGACATTGGTGAAAAGAGGGGTGAGATTGGTGAAAGGTAGCTCTCCAATAACGTCGTAACTGGATTTGAGAGGTAAATTATGCGCAAAGTTCTTCTGTGACATATAGCCAAAGTCGCGACCATTGATATCTGTGTGTTCACGGACAGAGCCCGTACTCAACAGCTCGTAAACTGCAGAATCGAGTGAAGAGTTGAAATCACCGCATACGACCACGGGAACTTTCTTGACCTCTTGAGCACTGCTGCAGCTGTGATGTTCCTTGATAGTTTTTTCCAAATAGTCGAGCAATACACCTACCTGGAAAGTCTTGACGTCGTTGAATTGTGGATCCCAATGCAAATGTGTCGTGGCCGCCCACACGTGCTCGCTGCTCTTGATATGTTGTAATTGAGCCACCAGGGCAACATTGTCCTTGTTCATGGCACGATTTAGATAATCTTCGGTGCGTTGGAATTTCTTGTGTTTCATCCATATACTGCTGAAATCGATCGATTCTTTGAATACAAGCTTGAATTCGGCGTCTTTGTAGAAAAGACAGCATCCATCCACTTTCTTAGAGTCTTTGGCGTGCATGGTGCGTGCTCTTGTCTTGGAATGGAAAATACCAGTGTAACCGTGCTCCCGCAAAAGTGGTACCCAAAACTCATCGTACGTCTTGGCTTCGACTTCTTGCATGCAAATCAAGTCTGTCTTATAACCCAGAATTTGTTCTTTCAATTTTTCACGTCTGTAGTCCCAGCTGAGCGCCCATGATGGCGTAAAGCGATACATCTTAGGTGTTGCGTAGTGCTGACACAAAGTATTGTACGACAGTAACGTAAATGACCTCTTCGATGTCTCACGGTTGAGATGAGACTCGGACTCTTGCAATGATGCGTACTCGTCAACAGGTTCGCCATCAACGTTGACGTCGATGAATTTCCTGTCAACAGGAAGCGGTATTTCAGGCGCATTGTCCCGCAAATAGAATATCAAGCCCGTTACAGATTTCTCCGTAAGTATTTTGATCATTTGCCGATCCATTGGATTTCCCTCCAAACCGAGAAACTGTAAATTGTAAAGGTTACCGAATTCCCAAGGTAGCGCTGAAACCATATTATCAAAGAAATACAGATACTTGAGCTCATGACAGAGCCCTAACTCCGCAGGAAGTTCGGTCAACTTGTTATGTGACAGATCCAGTACCCTCAAATTTCTGAGTTGCTTGACAGACTTGGGTAATGATGTCAAATTATTACCATTCAAATAAAGCCTAGTCAAAAACTCGTATTTGAACAACGACGCACTGAGATTGAAAAGTTGCAAGTTTGACAAGTCCAGTGCGTGCCATAGTTGGTCGTCGTGTTTCGTGGTGGTGGGAGCAGTCATACGGTGCTCAATTTCGTCATCTTCGTCGATATTATACTGGGACAGTTTCTTGTGCTGTTGCAGCAATGAGGGGGTTGAAGGGTTGTGTCCTGGACCGTTTAATTCGGCGCTGGGCGTAATGGGGGTTGAAACGGCGCTTGACGATGGAATCACCGAGTTTTTTGCCACTGTTGGCTCTGTGGCCAGATCCAGAAGCAGTTGTTTGGTATTATCCACCAGCGACGCAGACATTTCGTTCAAAGTTCCCGTGTTGGCTGCACTAGCGGGGGAAGAAGGTCTTCCTGCAGCCAGCGTCGCAGCAGCAACACTGGCAGCAGCAGCAGCTGCTGCTGCTGCCGGAGTCGAGGCTGGAGCCGAAACACCCGCATTCCCCTGTGTTTTGGTAAGTAGATACTTACGCATGGCGCTTTGCCGTGCGTAAACGTTGGGCTGGCCCATTGATTGTCGCGATACGGCCGCCAGTTGCAATTGCAGTTTCCATATTGGATTGTTCAGCATCGAAGGATCTCCTTGGTGTGGATGGTAAAGGGGATTTCCAGCATTGGAGACCGCTCCCGAAACCGCATTTGAAACTGGCAAACCGCCGGGCTGACCGCTAAGTAGTCCTGGAGGAACGCCCTGTTGTGAGGGACCCATCGACGGGTTCTGCGAAAGCGACCCGTTCATTCCCATTTGCGAATGTGGTTGTTGCATATGCAATTGTTGTTGAAGCGTTCCAGGAGTGTTTAAGACAGAAGCCAAATGCGGCTGTACCGTGCCGGGCTGTACAGGCCCGGGCTGTCCCGCCAGCCCGGAGTAGCCCACCATCGGTGCTGGGTTGTTCATGCCGTTGTTGGGAAAGAGAGAGACGTGTGGTCTAGAGTTGCAACAGTTGTGGATATAGCTCTGTTTCTACAGTTTCTCAGGCGAGTTTAGGTATCTATGTATGATGTAGGTTTTCTTGTATATATAATATATAATTTTATGAAATTTCGGACACGTGATGGTGATTGTAGTGACGGCATCGTGTGAATGTAGAAGAAGCGAGTTTTGGGTAGTAGAGTGTGTACTTGGAGAGTAAGCAGGGAAAGTTTCAGTGAGGGGAGGAAAGGACGGGGAAAGGTTTTGGTTTGAAAATGTGTGATGATGATTGTAAATGATGGTGATCACTATGTACGGGATGCTATGTTTAGACTAAACTAATGTGTGAAAGAAAGCCTGGAGATTTTTGAAAGCAGGGGTTTTACAAAGTTTTTGATTCAGGTAGCAGAAGGGAGGGGAGGGGATCGGGGTGTTCGGGTAGGTTAATCTGGTGAAAGGATGGTGTTGAATTTTTAGTTTCGTACAGAGTGACTACTGGTTGGAACTTACGCCTTACCAGGGAATTTTTTCGAGGGGATTTTCACCCAGCACTGGGCAGGCGTGATTTATACAAAGAATCATGATATGCAGACGCATACATCAGAGTCCTGAAATGACAACTTTCTTTTTGAGATTCATATATACTAATATCACTTTGTACGACTCTGTCATCTGTCATCAACATGCGTGAAATGTTTCTACAAGAACACTTGACGGTCTGGAAACACGCAATACGAGGAGTAAGAGTAGCTGTGTGGGAATCTTCGCATTGTGTTCTGGGAAAGAATGGATTTTAACATTTATGTTCGAAAAGTGAAATTTTAGAAAAAACAAGGTGAGAGAGGGACGAGTAAGCCATAATTAAGGTTTGTTTCTTTCCATCATCATTTCCATTCTTCACATCTGATAATACGTTCGCCTTTGAAACTAAACAATCTACACTTTTTCTATGTCTTTGGAGTGTCTTTGCACGACGAACATCTGTAATATTGTCTTTCATGGCCAAATGGTTCAAAACAGAGAGAGGTTTCTTGTTATGTATACTCGGTAGCACGACGACCGATGAGTTTAACAAGAGAGAGTTGACTCCCCTTGATCTCCCCTTCAATACCGAATAGCCAGCGGAAAGTCTTGAAGCTCAGTTGAAATATGGCTTTATTCAAACTTCCGGCTTTTATTTCCAATTCTGGCAAAAAAGGAACAAAAACCTTAAAGAAAGAAATCTGATGCAATGACAATGAGTGTTGTAGGTCTTTAAAGCTTCGAAACAGAGTTGTTTGGCGTTTTGAAATCACCAGCAGTGACGCTGTCGTCGTATCACGTGCATGTAATCACTCTGGAACCCAACTGACGCCTAAGTAGATACATAATATCTCGACCATACGTTCTCAGCGATAAGAATGACAAAAGACAGCAGCCAAGAATAACAAACAAACAAACAAACAAACACACACACACATACGCAGAACAGATCTCCCAAAACAGCCAAATTGCCCGGCCAAGATTGCTTTAAATTACGGTTTCTGTCCAGAAAAATCGACAATTTTTTAGAAAAAAAGTCACGTGACGTTCCCTAACTAATTCCAAACTCACTAAAATAAGGTCCTTTGCCATGATACAATCCATCCTTTCATAATCACCAGAAGCTAGCGTTCCATAACAGTCAACTGATCACACCAAACTCTTCATTTTGTCTTCAAATTTCAAACTTTAACCAAACTTTAAACCACGCTCGTACAAAGTGCTCCACCATCCATCTTTTCCTCGCCCGTTACTAAAATTAAGCCTCTCATCATCTATCCGTTAAGACAACCTCTTAAGAACACACAACATTCACCATCATAACCGAGAAATATCTCGATACCCGCGTCTCTTCTCTTCTTCAAACATGTCGTCTTCAGTACCCTATGATCCATATATCCCTGCGGAAGAGTCGCAGTCGCAGACCAAAACGGCTGCTTTGAAAGCTGTAAGTATTCAAAACACACACATACCGATGGGTTTAGGTTTATAGACCTTTATCAAGATTTAGTCGGCTTTTACTAACACGAAACACTCAGGAAATCGATGATACGGTCGGTATCATGCGAGACAACATCAACAAGGTGGCAGAGCGTGGTGAAAGACTCACATCGATCGAAGACAAGGCCGATAACTTGGCAGTCTCTGCACAGGGTTTCAAAAGAGGCGCAAATAGAGTTCGTAAACAAATGTGGTGGAAAGATTTGAAGATGAGACTGTGTTTGGTGTTTGCAGTTATTATCTTACTCGTGGTGATCATTGTGCCCATTGCAGTGCATTTTAGTTGAGAGAGAGAGAGAGAGAGAGAGAGAGAGAGAGAGAGAGAGAGGAGGAG